AATCATAGACCAGGAAACCGGATCGTATCAGCCGGTTCAACCGTTCAAACTGAAAAAACCGGCCGGCACGGCAGAATCATCAAAAGCAGCCCACCGTACTGCTTTTGGTCCAATTTCCGGTTGAACCGGTTGAACCGGCCGGTACGATCCGATTTCCTGGTCTATGGTTTGTAGGCAAGTTGTCCGTCAGAAGAAGAACTAGAAAACCCAAGGGATTTTTTTTTTTTTTTTGCGGTTTCTTGCTTGTTAATAGAAAAGTATAAATTCAAAAACCAAGTTGCAGGGATGATAGATTTCGCGCACGAAGAGGTAATTCAGCGAGTCTAATTTGTGCGTCAAATGAGGTCAATTTATTACTTTGATCATCTGAATTGATGCCATTTTCAGTTTCTTACCTGTTGATGAAGATTGATCATTTCTGACATGGAGCAACCATTTGAGTTTTTTTCTCGTTGTATATGTACACAATAAAAGTCAAAATATAATTACAACTCCCACCATCCATATTTTTAGCTAGACGGTAGCCAATCGAAGCCGTAAAAACTTGGGATCTGTCCTGATTGACCGGCTTCAGGTTATTGACTCAAACGACACTGTTTTCTGGACAGAAATCAAATCGCCTAACCCTAGCTCAAAAGTGGAGAGTGGAGATAGAAGGAACGAGCATCCGCAACCCACATCATCAGCAACCGCTCGTGAACATCGGACTACCGGCGTCAGAAATCGAGCCTGCCTGCATAAATATTATCAGAATTTTGAATTGATGGTTAACATTGACCGTCGATCCAAAATCGTATCTATCATGCATGTGTAACATTGTTTACTGTTGCATCATTCGATTTATAACATCAGTTAGTTATTGCAGTATGACACCTTTTTTAACTCCAGCATAAATTGGTCTACCTTTATTCGGTTGGGGGAACACACTCATTATAGCAGTGGTGGTTGGTGATAATTAGGAGAGGTCCATCATTTGCATAATTCACAAAAAGGCGTTGGTTCACTTGCTTGGTCATCTATCTTCCATCAAGCAAAGACATGCAATATAATATATTGCATATCTTGGGAATCAATGTGTGAGCCCATTGTGTCTGTAATTATATGTCCTTCCCCTTGCACGTGTGATTATGGTCGACCCCAAAAGGTAAAAGTAAAGGTATATTGGAAAATGTTAGACCAAATTGTTATTTATATGAGAATATAAAGATACTAATTTACACCATAATTGTGAATATATAGTTAGAGTATTTTTTTTAAAAACCGGGCATAAAAACATGTATCTATCAGCTAATATATTGATTTAGGTTGGTATAAGAACTAACAATATATTGTGTGGGAATCATAAATCATTATGATTCTACTGAACTAGATGATTCAAAGAATGTGTATCTATGTCCATATTTCATATTAATATCCATCATGTTAAAATAACCCTAGGTTGATCAAAGATATCAACGCCAAAATCATTTGTAGATATGATTTAATTTTTTTTTAAAGATACGATGTATGATTAGATATATATACATTCGACAACATAATCAACATAGTCTAACGCTCTATGTAAGTCACAATAAATGGAATTTATCTTGATATTCTGATAATTAGAAATACATTTTTCTTCTTATTATTATGAGGAATTTTACAAATTGAAATTGTACATTTAACGTTATGGTACAACTTCAGATTGTACCTATACTTTTTGTACAAATTATTTTATGATAAAATTTAAACTTGTACCTTATGTGATGGTACAACTTCAAGTTGTAAAGTTGTACCATAACATAATGATACAAATTCCTTTATGGTACAACCTAAACTTATACATTTAATGTTATGGTACAACTTCAAGTTGTACATTAAAGCACCAATGCTATATAGCATAGTAGAAGTGCTCATTATTATCCTAAAACTTGATAGGATTATTTACAACAACAACAACAAAAAAAAACTTGAGAGGATTAATATTAAAGCAAACACACCCTATATGTTTAATTAGAAGCAAAACCACACGTGTATTACCAATACTATTTTTAGAGGGAAGTGGATTGCCTTTACTTGAGAAAAAATCAAAAAAGTAATCTTAATAAAAGGTGGAAATTATATATATTCAAGGGATTAGATGACACACGAAGATAAAGGGGTAAAAGTCTTTCTCTTCAATTTGTGTTGATTGATTACAGAGTTCATATGTAATCATTGTGTCTGATTAGTGATTAGGTGCATGCATGCTGCAAAAGAAGAACACTAGCTATCAATAGTATTTGGACTCTGTCCTAATTAACAAGATTGAATCAAAGAGATCCTTTTCTGTGGGTTCAACTAGCTAGGAGATAGCTTTCTACCAGCTGTAAGATGTTTTGTGCACGATCCTAGTAGATCAATCTGAGAAGCTCGACTCTTAATTCCTCGTGATAACTAGTTATGAGGGAAATGTTACATTAGTTGCCAATTTAGAATGATCAATCAGAACTTTGGCATAATTAAGCAGGGCCAATCTTACTATCTTTAACCTCCATTTTATAGATATTTCATAATTAAGTAGGAGTATTGATGGGTTTCTTTTGTTGTGGCCTGTGGGTGTGTTTCTCCAACCCATTTCTAGCTGCTGATTTTTCTTGATGTCGTAGCTAATGTATTTCTGCGAAAACATTCTTCCTAAATGTTGTTGGTGTGTTATGTTTTTTAAGTTTTTTAAGTTATTGTGAAATAACTCACAAATATCACATTCTCATTTTGTATTCCACCTATTAATTAATAAAATTTGATATTGGTATGCATTTCGAGCGCTTTTTATTAGTATTCCTCTCACATTTCATGCAGTCTCACATCTTCCAATTAGGTTTAGCATCTGTTCTATCGACGAATTTGTTATTTAATTTGGTTACATATGCAAAGGATGTTTGCCCTTTCCATTGATTCAAGAAAGAGCCCTTGGTTTAGATATGAATTGGACAAATGTAGCCCTTAAGGCACATGCATCCAACTTGCAGCAGTGATATGATATGCCTAGCTCGAATTAGTTGTCATTAAATTGCATATGGTTGCCCGGCCTGTCTCTTAATTGTCAACTTCCCACATTTTGAGATCGCCTAACCCACAGCCAACCAGCAGAGAGGGCAAATAATTAATTGCAGAACATTGGTTAATCAAAGATGTTTTCTTTCTTACTTGGATCTCTTTTAACTCGATTCAAACTCGAAATTTGGCCAACACAAAAAAAAAAAAAAAAAATCAGTTGTTGAATGTTTTCATGGATGATATTTATCTCCACATTAATCCAAATTAACCAAAAGAAAAGGTGCCGCCGCATGTGTATATTCATCCCCATATTATGACTAAATCATCGACTAATCTGGTGATTCTCATCGAAATCATTATCATGTAGTTAATGACACACTTTACTTAACGAAAGTGAAAGTGAAAGATTTAACTCCAACGAATGCATATGCTGTTGACTGCTTGTGGGCATATACGCATCCGGCCGGCGTATTGTATGAAGCCGATCGATCTGCAACTCCCCAAAGTCCAAACTGAATCAATCCATCTAATTGAGTTGAAAGGGACAACAACAAATGTAGCTAATTAGGTTTATTCACTTGCTTATGTCTGGGAGATCCGTTTTACGCAACTCATTTGGTGACAGCCTTTTGTAAACTGCTCATTATACACTGTCAAGTGGAGAGAACTGTTTCAAATTAAATTTACCCAATCGTTGTCAGCCTGGCATGCCTCCTCTCCCTGTGGATCGTTCATATAGCATATATATAATAACTATTGATTACGACTGTACGAAGGAGTAGGACATTGTCACATCGATCTCCATATGACTGAATCTAAGGAAGCTTTCATTGGTATCGATCGGTTCGGCTAGTGAATTTCCAAGCGCACAACAACAATTTAAAATGCTAGCGAATCTGTTGATGGGTATGTCAAAGCGTTCGAACTCGGAAAATCTCATCCAACGCTAGCTCATTCTTTTCAAATTACACGGATTAATCTTTTTAATGTTCTCTGTTCATGGGTTTGCTTTGATGTATTTGTAAACGATATTATTTTTCAGGGTAGCATAAATGTCTATGTTTTGTGGGTTGTCACATTGCATTTGATAGTTCTTTCTAATATACATTAAAAATATAAATAAAGAATTATTGTGAAATTATATGTCATAAATGACATTCTCGAGCTTTTGGTTCTTGGTAAAATTTTTGCTCATCGGCGGCTTTGAAATGCATGAATCATGTGGATGAGGGTTGGGTCAGACGGTGAGTTTGAGGCATGAAAATCAAGAGCTCGTGTTTTCGAACCCTAACGAGGACAATGATCCCTTTAGTAGCACCCCGTTAGAGGTGTGTCTTAGCCCTGCTTGTAGAGCTGTCATGGCCTTTATGTCTAGCGCATTCACATAATCTCCTCACTTTTAATATCGATTGTCACATATTAGAGTTTAACTTTCATGTCGGGTCACTCAAACGAAAATGACGACGACCGAAGGTAAGGGATCTTCCAACAAAGAATTAATTGATGCCATACTACCACAAGGGCATCAAACCATACCCTCCCCTTCTTACCTTGGTGGTCTCCCCAAAAAATTCTCTTGCTTTCTTTTGTATGGTGGGTAGTGGGAATGGTCAAAAAGAAAAGTGCCCCAACAACTGATGAAGAGAAAAAGGGAACAAGAGATGAGGAGTAGAAGAAAGAGCTTTGGGCCTCCCACAAGCAGCAGTCTGTCTGTCTTTCTTTCCCATTGCACTTATGAATGCAAGGCTTCGAAGTTAGAAGTCAGACCCTTTTGCTTTCCCATTGGCGACCTTAAGTTGCAGCAGTCTTCCTTTTGTTTTCCCGAAGAATCCCTTTTCATTTACGTTAAACAAATGGCGTCGATCAATCACGTAACTATAATCATGTGAAACTTTATGCTATATAACTAATAAGATTGAGCTTGACAGTTGAGGCTCCTTGTAATCTATAAATTATCAAAGTCCCTTTGATTATTGGCTTTCCCTTACTTCAATTGATGTCTGGTTTGGTATATATATAATCAATTGTTGATACTACCGTAACTTTAATTCTCAGCTAAAATCATATCCAACTAAGCTGCTAAGCACCATTAATCGTTATGACAATTGACAATCCTAACTAACTTTTGATTGAAGTTGGAACACGAAATGACATAAAACTAAAATCTTAATCGAATTAGACACCAGTATGAAGTAATTAATACAAGACTAGACTAACTAAACTCATGCATGTATTTTGCATTAATAACTGTATACCTAAGATGTGGCCGGGAACATTAACTTCGACGGACCAAACTCCTTCTACCATCTTGATATGATAGATATGATATGACAAGATCTCCTCTTTATCCTGTGCATATCTCTCCTCGATTCTCCTCCTCCGGTAGTTTCACAAGCCACGTGGCTGCAGCTCATGTGACGTATAGTAAATCTTCTCTCCCCATTTATTTGTTTTATATGCCTACACAGCTGCATCGGAGACCGCAAGCCGTAGGTTTTTACCGGTGTAGGGTGGAGGCACCGACACACCGGACTGGCGGTGGTGAGAAAGCCGGTAAATAGTAAAAAAACTGGCGTGGCCGTGACAGAACCGGCGTCCGAAACGGTTAACGCGGAGGCGTGCCCCTTTGACTCCTACTATATGTCCAGATCTAGTGACTTTTTTTGAAGTTGCTAAAGGTCGCCCTTAAAATTGTTAAATGTCGCCCTAAAAAATATTAAAGTTACAAATTTAATCTTTTAGCTTCTTTACTATTCCTTTAGCAAACAAACACCACTTAGTAAAGAAAATAAAACATTATTTAAAAGAGAGAATCCATCATCGTCATTCTGGAGTTGGAATCGGCGATATGATGTCTGGATCATGACTAGCGACTCTAAATCGGTAAAGTTCACTCAAAAAATTGAAAAAAAAAAACAAAAAAAGAGAACCGCAGCTCATTTGCGGTTGCATCATGGGCCAACCGCAGCTCACTTGCGGTTGCACCATGGACCAACCGTAACTTGCCTTAGGTTGAGCGTTTTTTTGAAAATTTCGTTAGAGAATGGGCGACGCCGACGAACTAGTGCGTCGAGAGGGATTCGCGAAGAAGGCAGATGAGGGGTTCAGTTTGAGGGGTTAGGGATTGTTTGGTTTGTAAAATTTTGAAATTTTATTAGGGGTATATAAGTCATTTATCATTAGAGTTAGGGCGACTATTAGCAATTTTAAGGGCGACATTTAGCGATTCAGTTTTTTTTTTCAGATACCTTTAAATAATAAATAAAAACCCCAATAAAATAAACAAAAATATAAGGTCAGTGCGAATTAATTTAATTTTGAATTTATTAGGGTTACATATCTTTTCCCGGCGGATAGACCGTTGATTGCGGTTGGAATAAAGCGGCTCTGAAGTGAACTAACCGGGAGCCTGGGACCCCGTGTATTTGTTTGACCGCACCTTCTTTTGTCATTTTCTAGCTAACTTTTTGCTGGTAACTATTTTTCATCTTTCAAATTTTACCCGGGATGAAAATTTTATCTACAAAATCGTCCCTACATCCAAGTTGATTGCCGCCGGCCGGGTGGATGATTTTTGACCGGCGGGGGGAGTGTCGGTGTGGTTTTTATGATGTGAATGACAGGTAAGTTAAGGGATTAATGATGGGCGTGTGCATTTTGTCGACTTGTCGGATTTGGGCCATGAGAAGAGAAGGGATGGGTTTACATTACAGCCCAAACTTGCACGACATTGTTCCCACGAAGCTGCCTGCGCTGCGCACGAACCCTCGAGTTCTTTCCCCAACTCACCCAACCTTCAAATCATTCATTCATTGTACAGCTCTCTTATTATTCACCTGATGTTACAGTTGGACGTAGCGGTCGATTGGAAGGCTAGGGTGCTTTAAATGTGTGCACAGACAAAAAAAAAAAAAAAATCGTTGTCACAAAATGTCATAGTAGATCGGATGAAATAACGTTTGTGTTAGAATGTGATTTAATTTTACAAAAGACGATTAATAAGGTTGGATAGACATAACGGAACAATCGCATTCTAGAGATACGGAAATGACGAAAGGGTGAAGGCAGGGGCGGACCCACGGCTGTTTAGGGGTGTCCCCGGACACCCCTAAATTTTGGGAAAACGATTATCCAACCCCCGGTAGTAATTTACGTATTGACAAAAAAAATTATAATTGATAGTCGGGGACACCCCTAAATTTAAAAAAGTGATTATCCTACTCTCATCTTTTAGTTTGAGTATGAGAATATAAGTCATAGTTTGGGTAATTCAAACCTAGGACACTTTTATTATTAATAAACAAAATTTTCATTAGGCTACAACTCATATGTTATTTGATTTTAAACACTGTGTAATAGTATAATGTCATTCTCTATCTCTAATTATTTTCAAAATCTAACAATTAAACAAATTTCAAGCTACCCTTAATTTGTATTGATTTATGGTTGTACAACAAGTATTGAAAGAGTCTTTTCAACTTTGGATTACATCACAAACAAGTTTAGAAATTGAATATGTGATCAGTTCGTGAATGATTGTCTAATATGATATACAGAGACAATTTTTTTTTGAATAGTGTAGACCCCAAGTGTGTTCTACTATCATTTTTTAATATGAAAACACATTGTGAATTTTTTCAAACTGTATGAGTAAAGTATTTCTTATTTAAATATTATTTATTATTTATTAATTATTTTAGAATTATTTGTATTTAATTTATTTTTTAAAAGAGGACACCCATATATAATTTCTGGGTCCGCCACTGGGTGAAGGAACGATGTCAAACGTTGCAGAGTAAAAAAAAAAATCATGTACTCCGCCTCATTGCACAATGTGATGTTTCTCGATACCTAATGACGGCGTGACTCAACTCTCCGCTATTAATTTTATTGATGAAGTGTTGCGAGTGGTTCATAGCTCAACCGATCCCTTTAAAGCAAATAATTAACTGCAATGATTTCAAACAAGCAAGATTTTTTCCCCCAAGCTATAATTAATCTCTTGTTTCTCCCATTTGATTTGATTTGATTAATTAGTGAAATACAAATTTGAAACCTCCCTACCAAACGTGGAAAACATAAAGAACACATATATCTTACCTCTGTCAAACAGTTGATGTTGGATATTAATTAGCTCACCGTTGTTGCATTAATGTGGTTTTGAATTTGAATTATGATAGAAAATAGCTAGTGATCATGAGGAGATTTGAATTATTATATACTAATGATTCAAATTTTGAATTAGGGTATGGGACTTCGATTCAGTTCAAGGAAATTAATGCGAGGCTCAGAGATGTTTGGGGTCGAAGCAAGGAAGACGACTAGACCAGTACAGTTGGAACAATTGAATGATAAGCTTCCTACGCTAGAAGAGAAGGAGACTATTAGGTAGAGATGACAAGTTAGATTCCACCCGTTTTATTTATCCTATTTGATATTTTTGGGACTAGGCGTATATGAGTATTATTTTCCATCTCAAACTGACCTGTCTTTACTCCTTACTTTTTATTCTAAACATGTTTGATATTAAACACATTACAATCTTAATTTCAAAAATAATGTTACTATATTTATGATGTTGTACTTTGTTTCTTCATTTTTATTGTTAAAATAAAATTTTAAATATATTATCTTTAAATTACATATTTATATTTGTAGACGTGCCCTGACATGCGTCGAACAATACAATGTTCAATATGTCATGAAACGAATATGGATATCGAAATACTCGCCTAGAACTGTCCATCTGTACAAGTAGGAGTAGGGATGGCAATGGGTCGGGTTGGGGCGGGTTTTGTCAAACCCAAACCCATGGGTTTATCCGCCGAAAAAATCCGGGGTAAAACCCGTTGGGTTTGAAAAACTCAAACCCAACCTAACCCACTGGGTATCCGCGGGTTCATGGGTACCCGTGGGTTTTTGTGGTAAAAAATTTACAATAACAAGTTTCTTTCAAAATAAAAGTTTAACATCAATTTTCTCATACAAATTAATCATATAAAAAAACACCAATCTAGAGCATATAAGCAAACCGCAAATGATCAATACAAATTGTTCAAAATTAAAGATAAACATCTATAAACAAAAGATTAATTGAAAGCTTCTTGCTCATCAACTAAGTTTCTTCACTCTCCACTTCATAATATCAACTTCATTCTAAACAATTAGAAAGAACAAATTATACATGTCTCCACAAACATAAAGAATATTAATTATTTGAGGAAAATATATTATTTAGAATATTAAATATACCGGGAAAGTAATTATATGTGTGTGGGCGGGTACCCATGGGTCGGGTTTACCTAAACCTAAACCCAACCCGACACGGTGAATAGTGCAGCGGGTTTAATCCCGAACCCGGCCCAAAACCCGTCAACACGGATTTTACCCGCGTTGACCAGGTTGAGTTGGGTGGGTACCCGTGGGTTCGGGTTTTGTTGCCATCCCTAAGTAGGAGAGAGTGAGATTTCCTTTTGTACCCTAAGAAATTGCTGCGAAGATGTTACTGCGCTGCAATTTAATGCATCTTGGTTTGATATATGCCGTAACTGTGAAGATTAAATGTGGGTGGGTTCAGAATCCAGCCCAACAGAACACAGATAGGCTATAGTGACAGTTTTGGAGGTGATGCATGCAAAATAAAGCAATCAGGCATTCCTGGTCGGTCAATCGAATCAGATGAATAATTATGGTGTACATGGGCATATAGGATCCATGGATCACAGGTGGCTCGAAAGGTTGCCTATTCGGATGAATGTATGATGATCATGTTTATGGCAATGTTACCATAGACAACATCAGTTGAAGGGATGCAGGGTGCCGGAAAAGAGTTCACCTAGGATAAGGTCACCTAGCGAAGGCGAGAGTATTCTTGGATTAATCCATAACAAAACAGTCATAAGAGAACTCGCCTCGAATTTGAATAACTTTTGTACACGAATTAATGAAATAGTTACGGTCATTAGATGCCCCAACAATTAGTAACGAACAGAGTTTCCACCACTTACTTGGATTGAAGGGTATTGACTTGCTAATAAAGCTCCATAAACCTATTCAAAGCAAAATAGCAAAATTAACACTGGCCCTCATTATATACCTTTGTTAGCGCGGCAGGAGTGGATCATTATTGTAGTAATCACATTGGAACAAATTACAACGAAGGCCGAGGACAATGTGGGGATTATATTGAATGAAAATTGATGCCAAAAAGACACAAATGGATGGGGGACAGTTTCAGTTTCCTGGAACCCTTTTTTGACTCTTCTCCTCCTGCTGCTACTGCGACTACTTTTGCCCTTTCTTCTTCCGGTAATTATGCCACAACTTTTCAATTTGCCTTCCAACTATTTTGCTGCCCCTCACTTGTCCTTTCTTTTCCTTTACTTGCCAATTTTTTTTTTTATTTCTTCCTACACAAATCAATATGACAATATCCATCCTTTTCTTTTGTAATCAAAAATTTTATTACCTTGTTTGTGTTTAGTCAAATTAATCAAAACCCACCTTTAAAGATGTTCCAAATAATACTATTTTTAATCATAACATACTTTAGTTTACAAAATGATCCATTAATTTTAATCCTCCTTTTTTGGCCTTCGAGAAAGGTTGAGACTTGAGCACTAGCATTAGGCACTAAGGCTTGGTTTCCTGAAACAAACAAAAAAATTCTTTTTGGTTTACTACCCTTTAGTGATAAATGGTAAAATAGTAGATTCTTTGGTTTAATTTGGCAAAAGGGTGAGAAAATAATTCCACACCGACCTTCCAGTGAAGCTCCAAAGGGACACCCACATGACTCTGTTCTTTCCCTCGACCGTTTCTTTCCATTCCTCCAAATGGAGAAAAAATAAATAGAATTTAACACATTACAATAATTTTATTAAATATAAATATATATTTCAATTCATTAATGGAGGCCTGCCAATTTCTGCCTCTTGGAGTTGGAGTACCTTCCTTTTTCCCCCTCCTCGATATATAGTGGCTTGAGCTCCTCCACACACTCACAATCCCCTCTTCTTCCTTTCTTCCTCCCTCCAGCCATTTCCTTTCCCCTCCCAACCTTGGTTGTGTGCTTATCAGAAGTTTTTTGCTGATAATCCATAACCCACATTGCCTAATTAATCCACTCGTAAGTGTGGATTAGTAGGCGCTTAAGCTGCTACCCTGTACATTATACATTCCTCTCTGCTGCGCCAAGCGGATCTCTACCTGTCTCTGTTCTTCCCCTGTTTGAGCAGAGATAAGAGTAGCCGCCTGTTACTGCATTTACTGAAAAAAGTGACAAAAAAATAGAACAACCCAGTTCTGCTGTGTAATTATACAGAGTTATGGAGAAGTCTGCGAGGCGCGTTTCAGCTGCTGCTCCCCTGCTTCTTCTGTTCTTACTCTGCTCTTTCCCCTCTGCTTTCGCCGGCCATGACTACGGTCAGGCTCTCAGCAAGAGCATTCTCTTCTTCGAAGCTCAGCGCTCTGGGTTTCTCCCCCATAACCAGAGGGTCACTTGGAGATCTAATTCTGGCCTCAATGACGGCAAAGCCAGTGGGGTAAGCTTTTTTTTTTTTTAACCATTTTTAGTGAAACTTTGAGAGAAATTTAAACTTGGGAAGTGAGAAATTTAGACTGATCTTTCTTGTTGTTTCCTGTTTCAGGTAGATCTGGTCGGAGGTTACTACGACGCCGGCGACAATGTGAAGTTCGGCCTCCCGATGGCGTTCACCGTCACGATGATGTCGTGGAGCATTATCGAGTACGGCAAGCAAATGGCTGCCAGCGGCGAGCTTCGCAACGCCATGGACGCTATCAAGTGGGGAACCGACTACTTCATCAAAGCTCACCCGGAACCTAATGTTCTCTACGGAGAGGTAAATAATTCTAATCACCCGCTTAGCTCCAAGCTTCACTCTGCTTTGCAGTGAATTAATTTTTCCCCTTTCCCGTTAGTCACGGTATTTAATTGTCAAAGAGAATTGAACCATGTATGTTTCCGTATTTGGGTTGGGGTCATTTTCAATTGGGAATTCTCTTTGGCGTATAATTAGTGTTTCCTGTTTGGTGAAAATCTTAATTATCATAATTTGTTCAATTAATTTAATCGAATTTGGTTTTGGATGGTTAGGTAGGGGACGGAAACACTGATCACTACTGCTGGCAACGGCCCGAGGACATGACCACCGACCGCCGCGCTTACCGGATCGACCCCAGCAATCCCGGGTCGGATCTCGCCGGCGAGACAGCCGCCGCCATGGCCGCCGCCTCCATCGTCTTCCGCCACTCCAACCCGGCCTACTCCCGCGAGCTTCTCAATCACGCTTATCAGGTAAAATCAAATCAAAACCTTTCACTTTGAAACCCAATAAAATCGACAGTTATTGAGAGGGAAGTAGGAAGCTTTCTCGCCGCCAGAGATCAACGGTGGAGGTTGTGGACCACCGCCGCGACTGAAACTCCACTTAGTTCCGCGCATTTTAGCTACCGCAGGGCGGCGTACGTTAGCTAGTCTGTGTAGTAAATGGGCAGTTAGAATTGTTAGCTTTTTGGTCTGGCTGGTCGTTTTACTCGTTGCCACTGACGCCGCTAAGATAGCACTGAATTAATGGCGCGCATGGTAGTGCAGAACTCGAAAAATACTAATTAAAAAATTAATCAGAAGCTTAAGCATGTTTTTAACATAATTAGGCCATGAGCCCATTACTGTGTTGCTTTCATGGGCCATCAGCCCATCATTGTTTAATTAATATATTGATATTAATTAATATCTTAAATAACGAAGCATTAAATTAACTAGTATCCCCTTGGCGCATGTTGTGGATCTTTTTGGTTGGGCCTAGCCCCGTCTATCACGGGACTTGTCTGATAACCGTAAAGATCTATTTAGTACTTTCCTAACCAGATCTGAACCGTCCACGTATCATGACCCGCGAAAACCGGGAATTAGTTACCCGCCAAGCCACGTGACCAGTGTCGGTGGCACTGCCCATATGGCATATGGTCCCCAATCCAAGATCCATATTTTACCCATCAAGTTTTTCCAAATTACACAGCATGCCACTGAGCAGCTTCCTTAACCGAACTTCCCTCTTGTTGTTTCAGCTCTTCGATTTCGCCGACAAGCACAGAGGCAAATACGACAGCAGCATCACCGTCGCCCAGAAATATTACCGCTCCGTCAGCGGCTACAATGTCAGTAAAAAAAAACTCTGCACACCAATTTTTACCATCCAATTCCTTTTTACCCTTCTCCTTAATTTTAACCTTGTTTAACCGCATTTGTGCAGGATGAATTGCTGTGGGCTGCAGCTTGGCTCTACCAGGCTTCCAACAACCAGTACTATCTGAACTACCTTGCAGCCAACGGCGACGCCCTCGGCGGCACCGGCTGGGGCATGACCGAGTTCGGCTGGGATGTCAAGTACGCCGGTGTTCAAACCCTGGTCGCCAAGGTTTGCACATCATTCTTGTCTGCAAATTGAACCCAAAATTGATTTGACTTGGGAAATTAGGTTTGATAAACTACCTTGTGCATCTGGCAGTTCTTGATGCAAGGGCGAGCCGGCCAGCACGCCGCAGTCTTCCAGAAGTACCAGCAGAAGGCAGAGTACTTCATGTGCGGCTGCGTCGGCAAGGGAAGCAGGAACATCCAGAAGACACCGGGGGGTTTGATCTTCAGGCAGAGATGGAACAACCTGCAGTTCGTCACCAGCGCGTCTTTCCTCGCCACCGTCTACTCCGATTACCTGACTTCGGCTCGCAAGTCGCTGCAGTGCTCTGCTGGAAGTGTATCTCCTTCGGAACTGTTCAGTTTCGCCAAGTCTCAAGTGGACTACATTCTTGGTGACAACCCTAGAGCCACGAGCTACATGGTTGGGTACGGTAACAACTACCCTCAGCAAGTTCACCACAGGGCGTCGTCGATCGTGTCGTTCAAGAAGGACCCTAGGCCGATCAGCTGCCGTGGTGGGTACGCCACTTGGTTCAGCAAGAAATCGAGCGACCCGAATTTGCTTACCGGTGCCATTGTTGGCGGTCCTGATGCTTACGACAATTTCGCTGATCAGAGGGATAACTATGAGCAGACTGAGCCTGCTACTTACAACAATGCTCCTCTTTTGGGGATTCTTGCTCGTCTTGGTGCAGGCCATGGTGGTTACAACCAGCTCCTCCCAGGTAATTGACATGAAGGAATGATCCTTTTTTTGCAGTTTTGATACTCATATAGTTTTGGGAAATGAGTCAGTGGACATGGGTTTTGATTGGTGTTGTCTGGTTTTCTATTTTTGCAGAGGTTGTTGTTCCTACTCCAAGAGCGCCTACTAGAGCTCCAGCTGCCAAACCTGTTTCCCCTGCTCCAGGTAATTAATTATTACCCTTTTGAGTTTTGATTCTTCTCGTAATTTTTTTCACAACCTTTCTTAATTTTATAGCTAACATTCTGCAATTTTCGCTGATTCTGCTGCAGTTTCAACCTCTGCACCTATATCCCTAGTCCAGAAGGTGACTGCTTCATGGAAATCTGAAGGGAAAACATACTACAGATACTCCACCATTCTGACCAACAAGTCGCCCAAGGCATTGAACAGTCTGAAGCTATACATTAACAAGCTCTACGGTCCAATCTGGGGTTTGACGAAATCCGGAAACTCTTATGGCTTCCCATCATGGATCAAGTCGCTGCCAGCTGGGAAAAGCCTCGAGTTTGTCTACGTTCATTCTGCTTCTGCAGCAGATGTCTCTGTTTCTGGCTATACATTGGCTTGAGGAAGAAGGTAACGCAAAGAAAAGCGTTGGAAAAGCAAAACCAAAGACGAATTACGGCATTGTGAATGTAAGAAACTGTGCAGCTATATATATACTTCGTGGAGGAACGACAAAAGGATTTGCAGGAAGGATGGTCCAAATTTTTCTTTGGCTACCTTCCACCCTCCTTTCTCTTTACGCTTTGACTATTATGGGATTTTCTCTGCAACTATATTATGTAGTGACAGTAGACGAGAAGTGGGGGAAAAAGGTTTCTCCATAAGGTTGAAGATTGGAGGATGAAAGGAGTGAAGAGACGATGGGTTTGAGGGAAGAAAGGAGAAGTGCTCATCCTCTTTCACCTCCTGCTTCACCACAAAAGTACTCTTGTCGTTGTTGTTATATAGGTCTATATCTATATATACTGGTTTTGAGAGAAAGGGAGGATGATTTGTTTGGTAGTGAGTGAGGAGTATGGGGGAAGAAAAGGCTTCTCTCAACTTCTGAAATTGCTGTTTGGATGTCTTTTGTTACTTTTCAACTTTTTTTTTTTGTCTTTGTTTCCCTTGTTGTAAGCTCTACAACACACTTTGAGGATTGTGAAAATGTAGTTTGTGGTAATCAACATTATTGTCTCAAGTTGTTCCTTGCCTTGTCTAACACTCTAATCCAAGCAGCCTGACAAGGTTGGCTAACTCGGTAGATTTATTAACTGAATCTAACCAACATAATCGTTTTAAGCTAACTTCAAATTTTTAGTGATTCGTCCAGTCAGTCGCTAAAGTCCAAACATGGCCTTTTCAGAATGAGTAAGATGTATGTAAATTGTATGTTACATTTTCTCCCCCAATGAAGTGGTAGTCTATCTTTACATTTTTGTCAAAGACGTGGTTAAGTCTAGGGGACTATGATCATCTCAACTTTTAAATGTAACTAAACATAGATGTAAAAATTGTAACAAATTTCAAAATTAAACTAGCTGGTAAGGACTCTAAACCCTTCTCTAAGAACATTATTCAAATCCCTCAGACATATTTTTTTTAGTACTGGTCATTCAGATAATCAGATTTATTTTTATAGTTAATTAAGCAAACCATTCATGAACTTCCTCAGAACGGACAGAAGGCGTGGGGATATTGTTGGCTGTTTTCTTGCCTCTTGGACTTCTAAGAGATGTGAGTTCACTCCGAACATGCCGTGGGCTTAAACTACCCGCAAGGCCCATCGAAATCTCAACCTAGTTTTATAGCCGTGAATACCCAGCCCGTTTTGAAATCAAACCCAGAGTGACAAATTCAGCTAGCTAGGCCCACTCAATGAGTATGCAGCTGTTTGACTCAAATGTTTCGGGAGAAAAATTGTACCGACCATCGTGGATATCTGATCCTCTTTGACGCATTCAAACGAGGGAATTCCTGCATTGAGAAGCAAGGTTGTCAAACCGGTTTAAATTATTGAGACAGTCAAATAAGAGATTTGGGATTTAATGGTTAGATCGGGGTCCGGCCGATTTGAACTGTTTTAGACGCTTTCTAAATATATATACAAATAAGTTAGTAATTACAAATTTAATGACTGAAATGAAATTTATCTTACATGTATCTATTCAAAACTTATTTTCCAAAAAAAAATCATCTAACTAACCACTAATATTAACCATTATATTCAAAACTTATTTTCCAAAAAAAATCATCTAACTAACCACTAATATTAACCATTATCTTCAAGTACATCAGTACATGGTATGGCGAGCATGTACAAACTTCAAGCCCATGAATAAGTTTTACGGATTGATTTAGTAAAATGCGTCTCATCAAACTCGTCATATTCTTATCCGCATACATCACCCTCAACTGAAGTAGACTGTATATGTCGAGCTGGAGCGGAGAAGAGAGGAAAGGAACAAAGCAGTTACAGCAGAAAAAAAAAGGGCAATCCTGCAATTGCAAGCTCCATGCGGTCGGCGCATGCAGCAGTTCTTCAATGAATATGCCATGATCAACTGCACTCTGGCAACAGCCATGATATAGATCGCATAGACATGCATTCATCTCCGTTAAGAAACAAACTCCACAATTCTTTAAACAAATACTGACGAAATTAACAATTGCTCCATCCACACTGACATTCATGCATGCTGTACTATGAAAGGATGATCCAGATCTAGTTGTTGTGTTCGATAAAGCACGTGTGGAGCTATAGCTAGGCCTAGGATTAGGATATATATAATAATAATAATTATAAATATATGGAAGGAAAACCAAACCAGTGGGCAAAAACACGTAAAGCTAAGCTAGGATTTTTGTGCTTTCGAAGATGTACGCAATAATACTGGTTTGTTTGTGAGCGGATAGAATATATATATATACTTCCTGTCATACATATAATAATGACATCATATTCAAACGTTGTTGTAGTTTAGATACCGTATTAACACCATGAAACCCGGACTGCTCTTTGGAAGACTCACAGGTAGGCGTCAGTTCACACAGTCAATCAAGGTAAGGTAAGGTAATTACTTGCTTGAATTTAGTGATTAGTTTCGGTTCCTCGACCGACTTGCCACAATGTAATGGAGGCACCAATGCTTTAGGGAACTGAAAGGAAAATTTTGAATGGTAAATATATAGTAAATTTGAGATCAAGATTCGGTGTGCTTATCTCCGAAATATACCATTGCATTAATTCAAACCTAATATTCGAGATCGGTCAAGGACCCGTCGATCCCTCCCAATAACTCGAGTTGTTGAGAGAGGTTCAATCATGGATCATATACCATTCACTAACACACCTCTCAAACGAAAGCCCATGAATACACGATACCATGTGCTTTAGAAACGGGGTCACCGGGATTCGAACACAAGACATTTCGGTCACATAAGGCTTTGATACCATGTCAAGAACCAGTTGATCCCAATAACTCGAGTTGTTGGGAGATGTTCAATCGTGGATCATATACCATTCACTAACAAGATCAAGATACAAGATACAAGTTAAGATTTAGCATGCATGATTTTGTGTCCAACGGTGATATCTTAAACCAAAAGACTTGTATGTGGCTATGGCCATCCATGACTTCACAAATAGAAAACCTTCAACTTTTTGTGAGCTACAATATGCGAGAAGTTTCACTGAAGACAAGATCTTTACTCGTCGAAGCGTCAACAAACAACGACATATCATCTGTTCATGTTTACGTGCGAAAGTTTCTCTCTCCCATTCGCATGCAGTAAATTGATATTAATAGAGTTTCCACTACATTCTATATGTTTTAAGACAATTGTAATTGCATTATCCCAATATTGTAGATTTAAATAAAGATCTTTCACATCCATATTTTTTACATATAAATCCTCCTTACCATCAACATACGTCGTATGCAATACAAAATGTAGAGGCTAGAGACGGTCTGGCTACTGTGGATTATTACTTGTTCCCAAAATAAAATAATAAAATGCAACGAACCATCAACATACCTCTGAACTCTGAACCGGGGAAGGAAAACGGCGCAAAATGAGGCCGGTGGCGCTCATTAGATGAGTCCGCTTTGATACCAAACAAAGAAAATAAGAAGTGACCAAGTTTGGAACGGAGCATACCCTGGACCTGGAGTCGGTGGGTTTGGGCTATATCACAGAAACCGGTAAGTTTCGATAAAAAATAATAAATAAGCATTTTATCACTCACTATAAATCATTTAGTGTATTTTTTTTTTGCAACACTTAGTGTTATTTGATTGTAATAAATTAATTAATTACACTAAAAGTACAAATGAAATTTACAATCGAAATGATTTAAATGTTTAAAAAAGACACAACCACTGACCATACCAAACCTTATATAATATGGTCCAGTTCTTGACTGATAAAAATAAATCTAAATGACATTTAAACCTAATCAAGTTGGACAACACTGAACTAAATACAAAAGTGATTTGGTCTTTGTTGTTAGGATTGGAAGTTTGGTGCAAGTATTTGAGATATACCAAATACCGTGCCAAATTTATCACTATTTGGTATTATCGAATACCGGCTTATTTTTTAGGGATTGAGATTGTGATTCATTTTGGAGTGTTATTCGGTATTCGAAACTATGAGATTGGGATCGGTATATACCGAAATACCGAAAAATACAAATTAATAAAATATAGCACACCACCTTTTTTCATTTCTCACTCTTTCACAACTTAGAAGCCCCCCATCCAACTCAATTTTGACTTTCCATTTTAAGTCACTCTCGTCTCTTACCTAATCTCTTGCTATTTTCATAAAACTAAAAAGCAAACACTAGTATTAGTCGTCTCCCAGCCTCTAATTCGTCAAATTAAAGATTACCAATAACAAAAATTTGAGATGTCACATCTTCTCCATTCTCCTTACCCATATCCTAGTTATAGGCAAACTCAAGACTATTTGTTTAGTCTCTTTGCCTTAAATTAAACAATCAAATCTAATTTATATATTTAATTATTAATTACAAAGTTAATTAATTTTGTATTCCATAATACCAATTGGGATATCGAAGTATCGATTGGTATAACAAAATATTTAGCGATTGGGATTGAGATATCGAAATTATTTAGCGATTGGGATTGAGATTGATTTTAGGGTGTATTTCGATATCGGGATTTCAGTATTTGGTACTGGCATATCGATATCGTACCGATTTCCACCCCTATTTGTAGATATGATTTGAATCGGGTTACCTGTCGTTGACTGAAAGTCACGTGGGTCCCCCTGTCCGGTCAGCGAGTCAGGGTCCAGGGACGAAGCGTACGGTCAGGGAGCTCGGGGGAACAAGGTCTCGCCTACACGATGTATGGGCTTCTGTTTTGTAACCTTATTCATTACCAGGTTGTTTTAGGGTTAGGTCGTTAAAGAAGTAATACATATAATTCTCATACTCTTTGGTAATTTGTAATCCACTCAAGTATAGTAAAGTTGATTCTTTTCCACTAGTAGACTAACTAACACATAACACACATAGTGTTCTCGACTACTATGAATTTGATTCGATCTGATCTGAACCGAACCGGACAGTTGCACAGACCTAGGCACCTAGCCACGTCGCCCCTGTTATCTCAAAACTTTACCATGCTACCCTTTCCGACGCTCCAAAAGTCCAAACACACAGTCAGTCAGTCAGTCAAGTGGTCTGTCATTCAGGGTTTCTGCCGCTTCCCTGAATCCTTCCCGCGCCCGCCAAAATGACTAAGCCCCGCCCTCTTCCTCAAGTAACAAGTGCTGTCGCCACGTGTGCACCATCTTTCAATCTCAGCCATCCACGTCTTTCGCCTCGCAGCTGGCGGTTCCCGCCACCACATGGCACCACCTCAGCATTCAGCAACCCCTTCGCCTCTTTTTAAATCCACAGCATCGAAGCTCTCTCCGTTCTGTGATTTTCTTCTTCTTCTTCTTCTTCTTCTTCTTTGCAGCCCGTCTTAAGAAGTTCGTTCTTGTTGTTAAAAAACAAAATAATTCAGCTCTAGGTGAAACAATACTTGAATTACACAGAAAAAGGGAGAAAGAACCCGTTAGAAATTGCAATGGTTTCTTCTTCCCCATTCGATTTGGCGAAGAAGACGAAGAATGTCCGAACCCACGCGAGGAACAACAACTCCAGCAGAACGCCGCGCTGTTTGAAGAAAATGGAGAGGATCAGGCACTCGTCCGACCCCGACGTAGAATCCACGACCGAGGAATTGCCAGCGCCATCCATCACGAAGAGCAGGGCACCACCGCCGGCGGCGAGCCACTCGCACGGAGTGGTGTCGGTGATAGGCCGGAAGAGGACGATGGCCGACGCGGTGAAGCTGGTGCCGCGGCTGGAGATCGGCGGGCTCGAGAGTCAATTCGACTTCTTCGCCGTCTACAGCGGCCGCGAGGCCGCCCTATGCCGGAGCAGGATGCATCTCATTGTGGCGATGGAGGCGGAGAAGATGAATTGTAGTCGCGCAGCAGGGGAATCATGCAGGGGATGGGATTACTGGAACAGAGTGATGCAGAGCAGCTTCGAGGGTATCGAGGAGGAGACTCGCGATGCGGCGGCGGAAGGAGGGAAATCCGGGCGGTGGACCGTGGTGATGGTGGGGAAGGAAGAGCTAGTGGTGGCTAGCAACAGCACATCCGCCGGAGATTGCAGAGCGGTTCTGTATCGCGGCGGAATCGCCCTGCCTCTGTCCCGCGATGATGATCATGACAAAGTAAAGTCCTACGATCTCTCAACCTTGTCAAAATGCAAAAGAACAGGAAAGAGGCAGGTTGGGTTCGGATGCCCGCACCCGCATATCAAATTCAATCCAATTATGAAACGAATTAGGTCTCTCTCCATTGCGACTACCTCTAGGCTTAGACGTCATTTGCACAAAGTAATTTCTCCTTCTTCCACCTTTCTGCAAAATGCTCTTTTACGTTTCCATTTCCCCTCCTTGATTATTTGAGTTTGTTTGATTCTTTTGCGTGTGTTTGAATCGTTTTGTGACGCAGCCGGTGCAGGATACAGAGCGAATGCAGGGGAAGGGCATAGGCTGGAACCTCAACCGCAGCGTCGTTGGAGTTATTGGTACGAACTGATTCTTTCTCGGTTTGTCTCGGGAGCTTAGGGCTATTCATTGCTAACGATAATAATGCAGGAGATTGTGATCATGATCGTCATCATCGTGTGAAGCCGGAGGTGACGGTTAGGGAGCGGGGCGAGTCGGAGGAGGGGGAATTTGTGGTGATAGGGTCGAAGGGGTTGTGGGATGTGGTGTCTAGTGAGCTGGCCTGTGATATCGTCGCGAAATGCTTCAACGGCGGGATGAGGATGAGATTTGCCGACGACACTACGGAGAACTGTGCGCCGGCCGCGGCGGCGTTTCTGGCTGAACTGGCGATGGCTCGAGGGAGCCGGGATAATGTCAGTGTTATAGTTGTGAAGCTGTAGATATATAGAATCCATAGATAGGGAAGGTAGGGAGTGGGGGGAAAAAAAATAAAGGGCCTAAAAGTAGGTGGAATAAAGTTTAGGTACCAATGTGGTGATAGTTTAAAGTTTTTCTTGGCACACTATTTTATTTTTATTACGTTCGAGTACGTAGAAAACTGGAAATTGGACGGAGATGGATGTATAGAAGGGAGGTTTCAATTTGTAGTTTGTTTCCATTGTGTGATCTATGCTGATAATGTTGTGTGATCTTACAAGTTTCTATACAAGAATTATGTTGATTATTGAAAACAAATCTCGGTATAACTTATGAATGTAGACTCTGTTTCCTTTGACGAAAGTACAAAATAATTTAGTCTTATTGCATATTCGAAAAAAATAATTAAGACTTAATGTGATGGTGCACAGATTAATAATTTAAGTAGAGAAAGAGTTTAGAAAATCAACTATGTACACAATCACAAGGAAACTACCGAAAAGGATAAGGCTTTAACATAAACACACAAGAGTTACAACAATCAGAGAACGTTGTAGAGTTCAGCCAAACAGCTAGCTAAATCCTTCTTGTCCCTCTGTTGTGGCTTGTTTCACTTGCGGTTGATGTTCTTGTACATTTCGTCGATAACATTCTGCATCGTGTTTGCCATCAGTTAGTTCAATCAACGTCTAAAGTTGACAGCACTTCAATATCTTTTTTCTCTGTTAAAGTTATTCAGTTCATCAAAATTTCACTGGAAAGTCTTGAGGAGCGAGAGACAAACCTGGTAATACTTGAGGAGCTGGGGTCTCTTCTTCTTGTACGTTGGAGTTAGGAGATCGCGATCCATGTCGAAAGGTTCCGGATCAAGGTGCACACCTTTCAGGAACTCGAATCCTTTCAACTGTCGGAATCGACGACATAGGCAGCAGATGACAGTCAGAAGCGAGAACCAGATTCAAAACAAAACAGATTCTCTACTATCAATTGATGTAAGTCCGACTGAAACGAACGGGGACAGGTACCTTCTTCTCTTTCCCAATCTTGGAGAGGTCTTGGAGTACGTGTTCTTTGGCCTTTGGGTTCTCGCAGAGGGAGTTGAAGTCCCCGCTGATACCATTCTCTTCAGCCCATTTCTCAAGCGCTAGCTTGTTCGGATTCACCACTCCAACAAGGTAGGATTCGAAGCTGTTCCCGTAAACCCAAATCTAAGGAGATTCGAGTAGAAGAAAATCAATTTGTCATGTCAGTCTTTTTTTATTTCATTAACTGTTGATCGTTACTCAATCAAGCGACGGATAAAAACTGTATGAATTACCGAATCGATTCCAGGTGTTCCACCGTAGATGTTCTCCAGGTGCTCCACGGCAACGTACTCTCCCTGTGAGAGCTTGAAGATATTCTTCTTCCGGTCGATGATTTTCATGCTTCCGTCGGGTTGCCATTCCCCAACATCGCCTGTTTGTACAATAGTCGAGATTGAAATTTGTTAGAAACTTTAGGACATTGTTACAGAATCTTGAACCAGAGGGGAAAAGTTCACGGACCAGTGTGGAACCATCCACCAATCAAGACTTCCTCAGTGAGATCATCACGTTTGTAGTAGCCGGAGAACAGGGTGTCGCCGCGGATGCAGATTTCACCACGAGGAGTGCTGGAGAGAGCATCGTAGTTCATTTCCGGAACCGATTCAAGGCGGACATCAACATTTGGCACTGGAGGACCTACAGTGCCGAGCATCGACATGTCATTTGGCAATGACACGAAACTTCCAGCACAGCTCTCCGTGAGACCTGCATACATTCATTTTCGTATGAAAATGAGATTCTTGAGTCGCGAAAGGTATGTAGAACGCAAAGAGTAGAAGGGGGTTGCTAATAGTTTACCGTATCCTTGTAGAACATGGGCACATGTGACGACTCGAAGGTAAGCTTCGACATGGCTGGCCAGTGGTGCTGCTCCAGATAGGATTAGCCGTACATTTCCTCCCAACCCTTGCTTTACCTGTGAAGAAGAGCCACCAGAGTTAAACACCATAACAGTATTTCGCAATTTGACAACATAATTAGACTGACTTAAGAGTTAAGACCAAGCATCATGATTACCTTGCTGAAGACGAGCTTGTCACTGAGTGGAGATGCCTCGTCTGTCTTACTCCCGCCTTTCAAATTACTCAGTTTGCTGAAGCGATAGTGAGATCACCAGTTAGTCAAGAAACAGGAACCAGAATCGCAAGCAAGAATTATGAAATATCCCGTTGTTTTTTTTTTTTTTTGTTCAAGTTGAGCTCACAAGGACATGCCAATGCTTAAATGTAAAATGAAAGCTGGAGATGAAAGACCAGACTAGAATACCAAAACAAGTAAACAACACTTACTGGGAGTACGCAAAATTGAACAGCGTCTTCTTCAAGAAGCCCCCAGCAGAGATCTTCTGAGTTAAGCCTTGAAAAATGAGAAAACAAGATACTGTGAATTTGGAGACAAGCAAGATTGTCTAACTATAAGAATACCCCAAATAATCAAAGTAGTGGATTTCGATCATTCTCCATAGTCCATACTAACAAGGGTTAGCAGCCAAGGCTGAAACCACAATGCGTATGGGGGCTCTCTTGACCATGTATTTGTTATTATTTCAATGATCCAACATAATCTCACAAGAGGAAATGAAATATATATATACAACCACAGGAAAGGCCTTACCTCCATATATTCTGTCAAGCACACGGGGAACGGCACAGAAGATGGATGGTTTTAGCTCCCCAATGTCTTCAACCAATAGTTTGACATCCTGTAAGAACATAGGAAAAGGACCTGAGATCACTGAACTGTGTAGCATATGGTCATAGTCAACCAAGGGAATTGCTGGTTCAACTGAAAGAAGATAAACAAAAACTTCTTTCTTCATGCTTACCCCTCGCCAGAATCCTATGGAGGCCCCATGAAAAATAAATAATTCCTCAATCACACGATCAAAGATATGAGCAAGGGGAAGGTATGAAAGATAAACGTCCTTTGAGGTCAGCTGAAAACATGGCAACCAAGAGCATAAATAAATTAGAAAATTAGAAGGCCGCCTTAAGAATTCTGCATGAGATTCAGAGCATTATCTGCAAGCTCATCTGCTGATGATCAAATGCTCAAAAGAGAATATTTACCTTTTCATCCACACATTCTAGCACTCGTTTGACCCCAGCTATAAGAGTAATGATGTTGAGATTAGAGATCATAACTCCCTTTGGATCACCAGTTGTTCCACTAGTATACATAATTGTACATATATCACTTTTCTTCTTCTCTGGAAAGTCGTACTCTTTATTCTCCCCCTAAAGTTTACATGTACGGAAGCAGCATATGGAGTCAAAGAGCAGAATAAAGTCCAAAAAAAAAAAAAAAATCATAAGCAAGAGCTATTTTAAGAAGTCACAAGCAAAGAAAAAGACTTAAACACATGACAGCAGCCTACCAGCTTGACAAATTCTTCCCAAGAATAGACTGACAAGCCATACTTTTCAATCTCCTCCCTCTGCTCAGAAGTAACCTTACCAAAGCTTACAATTGCTGCAAAATGAGATATGTTCGATGAGCATTTCAGTAGCACATAACAATAGATCAGTACTCTGTCAAACTTGACTTACTTTTCAAATGTTGTGTCGCATTAGGAAACGTTTTCAATAGCTGAAAGACGGAAGCACAAAAATATGTCAATAGAGATGTTGGAGGCCCAAAGTAAAGCTCAGTTCAATTTCTAAAGAAAATGAGTTTAGCATTAACCATAATCACAGCATCAAGGGCATTATATATACATGTCTCGCCCACAAACAATACGAGTGGCACACTGTGGCTTCCAAACCATCAGTACCAACGAATGCAAAAGAGAAGGATGACAATCTCATCATAATTAATACCTCAGGAATCTTTTTCTCTTCTGTAAAAGCAATAGAAATCTCTGAATGGCATAAAATGTACTCGATGGCACCAGCACCTGATACAAGCACCAAATATACAAGTAGTTCAGTGTGAAAGTTCTCAAACTCAGCGGCTGCATTCTCTACTTAGATCCAAAAACAGAGAAATCTAATGCCATAATCATGCATAAAGTAGCAGATTAGATGCTGCTTCAATCATGATAATTGCTCTCTTATAAACAGACAAAAGCCCTTACCTAAAGTGTCGTACAATGGAACACAGTACAGTCCATGAGCATTGCAAGCCTGCATCAGTTTGCAGCCATGATTAAGACTTCTGGACCCAAGATATCCATTGATGCAGTTTTAGAAAAACAACAGACAATACACTACACAGCAGCAAATACCAATCACGCAATGAAATAGCACATGACTTAAAAGCCTTCAACTAGATTGGGCACCGAATATTACGCCCTCTTCTACATAAAAAAAAAAATCCACCATGGTGCTCTGGAGAAGCAACAAAAGGAACTTAATGGCATAACAATTCTAGAACAAAAGGCATATAGGCAGCCAAACTCGAGGCTGCAAATCAAACAATGGAGTAAATACAATCCAGCCAAACGGCCTATCTCTTTCCTAGGCAAAAACACAATTGTACTGTTCGTCACATGTACCCCAAAACAAAAGGACAGGGAGATCAAGAAAAACTTGCAAGTTGCAAGAATTAACAGAAGCTTCGCCATAAAAATCAGATCGGCCATTCAGGGGGCAAAAAGCTGACGTGAGTACCTCCATGCTGATAATCCATTCTGAGCTGTTGGCGCCATAAATTCCACATTTTGCTCCCTGACAACCACGAATCACCAATATCAGAATTCAATGTCGACGGCTAAGCACTGAACTGTATCCTAGAAAAAAGCTCAAACAAAGCTATACCGGTTCAACACCGCAGCTGCGAATCGCATTTCCAACTTTGATTACTATGTCGTAGATTTGCTTGTACGTCTGCCACACATACTTTCCGGCCTAAAAGACAAACCCAAAAAAAAAAAAACCGAAACCTCTAAATAAATATCAATATATATTCTCAAAAATATCAGAAACGCATTTAACAATTAATTGAAAGGACCAGGAAAATAGCCGGAAAATCCCTCCTATCAACAATCAAGAACCACCACAAACCTTGCCGTCCACAATCTCCCGGCGGCCAAGCATAGGGTTGTTGGGATACTTCTCCACGCTCATGCTGCACAAAGAAGCGAGAACCGATCCATTAGAATAACAGATGACCGTCTAAAGTCCGACCGAATCGAATCCAAGCTTTCTGGAGCAGTTCGCTAAACAAAAGAACAATTAAACTAGCATCTCACGATTCGCAGCTATCAAATCGACATTCGGGATGACAAAAATTAGAAATCGACATAGATTCAAATCAAAGCACAGGCCGCAATCAGTATTCTGGGAAAGAAATCGCCGCCGTCTCCGTCGACCAATGCAAGTCAACGGCATCTGACTAAACTAGCTAAGACAGACAACACCTCCCAATCTCTAGAGCTCAATCTCCGAGCAAAGCGAACAGAAAACAGAGGGAAAGAAAACTCACCGGAAAACGTCCCAGCAGCTGTTCAATCCGGGAATCGGAGGAGGATATCCATCCTTGGCAAAAATACTGCGGTAAGCTGGGCCGATCGACGGCGTCCCGTCCTTGGCAGGCTGGCCTTTCTCAACCTCGATCAGGTACTTCATCTGAGACTGAGACATTTTTTTTTATCAGTCGATCTCAGCTCCGATTGATCTCCTTCTTCTCTTCTCTCCGCCAAAGAAAGAAGAATGTAGACAAGGCAGCAACGTGCTAGCGTTTCTATTCACAGAAAAAAAACTAAAGGAGAGAACTGATATGTCAATAAATAGCGAGGCGCTGGCGTGAGGTGACCGGAGGGAAGAAAATAAATCAGTTTTTGAAAATTTAATTGATGGAATTTAAATTCGTTTGTAGAGAGAGGGAGAGGCGCCTTGACTTGGTAGCCGGCAAAAGAGAAGGAGTAAATATGGACGCCGGAGGAAGTAAAGAAGGAAGGAGGAGGAATAAGTGCGGACTTTTCTTCTTCACTGAGTGGCTGGCCCGAGTTGGTTGTTGTTGTTGTTGTCGTCGTGTTGGCCAATTAGGTTAAATCTGGTCAACTGATTCTGGCATTCTTATCAAACTCTCCTCTTCCTTCGAGTTAGGGTCACGAATAATTTATAAGAATAAAACAAACAAACAAGTTACACAAATTATTAGGAAAAATATATTTTTGGGGATAAATAATTATAATTTGTTGGGGATTTTAATGGCGAGTGTTACTTTTTTAGCAATTAATAAATCTTGGTGGAAGAGGAAGTGTGAGTTACATGTCCTAATCCATAGTAATGGCAATGGGTGGGGTGGGGCGGGTACCTCAATTCCCATGTCCCACCCCACACTACTACGGGACGGGTAAAACCCGCGCGGGTACGAGGCGGGCGGGTCGATCCACTCTTACATGTTGTTCAAAAAAAAAATACAAGTAAATTTTACTTTTTACAATAAAACGTAGGGAAAGCACTTTAAGAATGAAAAATATTGATAATAAAATGAATAATTGAGCCTAACAAGTTGAAAGATCTACTCTAACTAGTTGAAGAAAAGTCAAAATAAGACATATATATATTGTAAGAAATTGAGATAAAATGAGTCTAGAACGGGGCGGGACGGGACAGGGCGGGTCGAAAGTAGATACCCATGCCCCGCCCCACGCTACTGCGGTCGGGTAATACCCGCGGGGCGGGTTGAAATTGCCATCCCTACTAATCCATGGTAACTCCATATGCGTTAGTTAAATACTTAAACAAATTAGTCTAAGTCAGATTCTCCATCCACTAAATATGTATGGAAAAGAGGCTACTCTTGACTCAGGCTAGTAAGTGGAGCTGATCAAAATACTCAAAACATTTAAAGGGTGCTAATAACTAATCAGGAAGATATCAATAGAGTTTTTTTTTTTTTAAGAACGAGAAATTACGATTAACGCAAAACATAAAACAATCTTAATAATTTTCTGGTGTAACATTACAACTATAGCGCACATGAATACACAATAAAAACAAGAGCAAACATACAACCGATAATAATCTCAATGGATATCGAATCATAATCTTGTTTGACACCTGCTTAATACTAAAGTTAATAACCATTTTGAATATGTAAGAAATAAACTTTGCAGAGGAGAAAGACAGTATTGACCACGAAAAAAAATCAACTTTTATTTTATGGTTGCTTTCTTTGATATTGAAAAGAAAGCATTTTTCTTTCAACACAAGTTTGACCTCATAATATTGAAACTTATCATAAATCATAAATACCGTGTAATAGTATATGTATAGTCAACATTTTGATTTCTTTGGAAAGTGGGACAAAAAGTCTTTAACATTTCTAGTTGAACAGTTCAAAGAAACCATTCATACAGAAATTGATGGACTGCATTTACATCAACGAGGGGACCGTTCCCCGTGATGCCTGTCCCTTGCGAGTTACGACAGGTGACTCGGACGTCGACTCGCCACTCGGTTCGCACATTTTGTCCTCAGTTGACCCGAAGCTTCCACGGAAGTAGGCGTATGGCCTGCCGTAGTACTGCTGATAAGGAAGCCAAATAGCTGTCCCCAAGCAACAGCAAGCTTAGCTGCCTAAGCCTTAGAAGAAGGGCCAAACACCATTGAAACTTTGGGCGGAATACCTCATCACCTTCGTGGATAAAAGCACATGAAGCAAACTTGGACGAAGGTACCAAAATCCAACTCCCCTTTCAAGGTTGGTTAACTTCATCAACAATGTCTGGTTCTGCAGAACCCGACTATGTCAAAACAAACCCGATTGTGACAGAACTTGAACAGAGTTTCTTCTTTTTCTCTCCCGTGTCATTACCTCCTGATGAAAACAGGGCAAATGGGCAATCAATTAAAGTTTAAAGTTAAACACCTCTCTATAGCTGCCAAACTTACAAATAACATTCTCACAAACTGCAATCGTACCTAAACAGAGCTTTCCCCACCTATGGCTTTAGCTCCTAAAACAGGGCATTCACTCAACCATAGCTGCCAAACTTTAAGTACAAATAACATTCTCAAAAACTGCAATCGTACATAAACAGAGCTTTCCCCACCTATGGCTTTAGCTCCTAAAACAGGGCATTCACTCAACCCCAGTGTTCAAGTACAAATAGGGCTTCATGGTTATCTAGGTCTACTGTGGTTAGTATATACTATATAGGGAGTCATTTTGTCCTTTGGTGGAAATGGGGTTTTTGTGTATTAAGTTCTGTCCATGGTAGTTTCTGCAGTTTGGCAGCTCTTGCTGCTATGAACCGTTTGGGTTTTGGCGGGGTATTCCCTAATTTCCAATTTTGATGAAACCAGATGACACCGATGGCATTTCATCCTGTTTGGATGTCAAAAAACTGAGACTGAATGCACCAAAATCCAACTTCTGTTTTGAAGTTGGACAGCTTTAACAACAATTTGATTCTACTGAACCCGATTATGTGAAACAGTTTTCAACCTTCTTCTCTGCAGGATTTAGGGTTACAATTCAAAGATTCATATAGTTCAACAAATGAAAGACAATGTAATAGAGAACCAAAAGTCCTAAACAGAGCTCTTCTTCTATGCCTTTATCTCCTGCAACAGGGCATTCATTCTCCCCCTCTCCTATAGTTGTGAGCCTTCAAGTACATATATCTCGCAAAACGATCGGATATCAAAGCAAAAACGTAATAAAAGAGGGGTATTATTTTAAAGCTAAACAACCCTCTCTTCCTCTTCTAAACTGTTGATATATGACTAATCATAAGTAAAACTCAACTTAAAACACCTTCGAACCTTGTTTCCTCCGTGCGATCACTTTAACAAAATCAATGCATTACTTCTTGCTTTTCTTCCGCTCCTTAACTTGCTTCTCTAGACTTCTGAGTCTCTGACTAAGAATTGAAGATGATGACCCTCTACGACTGGATGTCTTTGCCGACGACGATTCATCAGATGACACGGATGCCACTTCTTCCACTACTTCATCCTGTTTGGGTGTTGAAAACAGGTTGAAGGGCGCTTGGGCAGCTGTGGTGGCCGCCGGTGGAATGGTTATTTCAGGAACGCCCAAGGATTTCTTCACCCCAGGAACCTTGAGCGCTGAAAGGCACGAGTCAGAAGATCAGGCATACATCCTCGCTTGCAATTTAAAGGCAATATATATATTTGTCTTCCTTAGCATTCTACTTCCCCTTTCACATATAAAGAGAAACCGAAGAAATGACTGATTGATACCATAGGCCCTCGAAATAGTAAAAAGGTAGTAACTTACCTAAACCATATAACAACGAGAAGATGTTGGATGTTAACCAATAGCCAAATAAAGCCTGCAGATTCAAGAAAAACATATTAGACTTCCGTCCTAATTGGAATAACCTTGTAAGGGTACTCCAAACTCTTCTTGCCAAGACTTAGCATTCCTGCAACTAGTTTCAGAATATGAACACAAGCAGGAAGGAGAATTACAGAACTCCAAGCAAAAGCTGACTGAGAATGCAGCAGCTGATTAAATCAATTATGTAGTGGAGTGGAAGGAACTATATTTCCACACATATAATGATAATGAGCATGTGATTTGTAACTATAAGTTGAAACCACAAGGAGAACATAAGGGAATTAAGGAATTTATATTTCACAGCCAATGGGAGGAATTGAAAGTTATATTGTGTTACAAAAAATTACCGTGGGGAAGGACGCGGTTAATGGAACAGCTGCCACAGCAAAGACTCTTGAGATTGTTTTCATGGTACCAGCAATGGGGTTTCCCTCTAAACCTTCTTGCATGTTACTCTGACAAAAGAACACAAGGAATTATGAAGCAACAAGAAGTGAAACAAAAAGATGACTAATTCCAATTCCAAATCATAAGGAAACTAGTCTAATAGTGAGACAAAGTGGTCCACTATCCAAGGACTAAAACAAAATGATGTGACATATGATGAAGGACTAGTTTACCATTTTTGTTAACCTTAATTCATGTTTAAAGTCAAGAAGTTGTAAATATAATGGAAAAGCATTAGTAGATAAAGGCTTGAAACGGGAAATAATTATCTACCTCGACAGTTATCAAGATACTCAATCCCGTCAAAACCGGAAGTAGGTACATACTGTCAGGAGTAGTCAGATCAGTGAACCAGAATGCTCCACCATTTTTAAAGGAAGGCATTTTTTCCACCATGTTTGAGATCTGGAATGTTTGCACAATGTCAGTTGAAAATGGCGCAAAAAGCAGATTCACTGTTTCACCAATCATAAATCTATACCATAGGAACCATCAAAATATTGGAATCCACATACCGCAAGGAAAAAGCAAACGAACACAGGACCCTGAATAAAAATCCCCTTCAATGGAGTAAAAGGGGTAACACCATATCTGCGTGAATAAAAAACCATTACAAAAATTAATTTACATTACAGAGCTAGAGGAAGCCAAACATGGGAGCAACCCTTTCGTAAGTCAACAAACAGTTGATGCGGTCCCTATCAAGTGAAATTCTTCTTTCAGGGTAAGAATGGGAGCAAAAGATTTCTCAGGGTGAGAAAACAAACCACTATTTTTTATTGGTTATTTGCTTACCTTCAGAGCATATCCTGCCTTAAAAACAAATAATAAACTAGACCCACTATTCTCATTCTAATAATAACTAGTAAATAGGAACTTAAAATAAATCCAAAGACATAACCAATAATATTTACACTTTTGATGTGGGTTACAAGCTAACCTAATATTTTTAGAATCTCATCAGAAATACTCAAGAAACGAACTAGAAGATCGTCATGAATAACTGATTTTACCTCTTTCATAACACAAGAAAGGATGGTGGAAGGGAAAAATTGAACAATTAAAAAAATTAACTATCCAATTGCTTCCATTACAAGCATGTAGAGAAGTTGCTTACTCTTTGAAAAGCTTCTGCATTTGTTTCTGGCCTTCATAAATAGCCTCTGGCTCTGCGCTCTGTGAGATTGACATAGCGTTAAGAGACAGCTTCGTTGAAACCACTTTAAGAAGGTAATTCAATCACCACAGGCACATGAAAAGGTTCAGCAATGAGTGTAGGTCAACAATATACAGATATTTTTTAATGGTGCAAGAACAACTCTGGAATTCATCTCCACTGAAGAAGTTTGACTGCTTAATGTAGGAAAACAAAAAAAAAGAAAACAAGCCAGGCAAAAGAAAACATATTAAAAATGAATGGTTTCAACATTTTGCTAGTGAGATATAAGGTGAAGTTGCAATAGTGCCCATTAAACTTTGCATTTACCTAATTCAAACCGGCCAACAAGAGCAGAGTTCCCCAATGTGAAGCACAAACTTACAATATCAAAGAACACTAGAACAATAATGAAAAGCAAAAGGAAGCATAGGGAAAAAAGTTCTTAAGCCAAATTCGAATAAGAAGAAACATGATTCAAGCAAAATCTCCAGGTAGTGTGTTAACTCAAACAGACCAAAATGCAGAATACAACCTTATCTCGAATGTCTTTCTGAATCTGCTCCAGCTCCGGCCTCAAAAGCTGAAACACAACACAAGTAAGAAAATGCGGCACCAACATACAATGAACAAAAGGATACAGGTGGGTCAACAATGATGGTTGGGAATTTAACAGAAAGCTCATGTGCATAACTTTTCAACATGCATATGACTTACTGAAAGCTTTGTGGTAGCTTTAAGTTGATTGATCAGGAGGGGAACAGTTGCTGTCCTTATGATCAGAGTTGTTATAGCGATGGACAGAAACCTGCAAAAGGGTGTTTAAAGAAGAAGCATGTAAGACATCTTATAAGGTAATTTTCAGAAGTAAAGGAAATTGCTTCTGTGCTTTAACCAAAACTTTTTCATGAATACACAACTGCACTCTACACATTTTATTTGACTCGAATTATTAGAGCGTTTGCCAGTAAAATCCATGCTAATACTAGAAAACCTAAAGTTCTCATCCATGATATAGAAATATTCATGGATGAATCTAGTGATGTGAACTCACTGCTTTTCATGCATACTTCATGGCATCACATAACAAATTCCTAAATGAATCAAAGCTTTTAAAGCCAGTTTCAGACTAGGGCACCACACCCATTTCGGGTTAAGAAGATGCGACAGCGCCTCTCTCTCTATAAGAACGGTGTGTTCCGCTACAAGATAAGGAATTCCTTTTTCAGGACCTTCCCAAGGCAATATTCTTGTAACAGAAATGGAACCAGTTGTTTACCAGTTACAACCCGTAAAAGAATGGACTGCATCAATGCAATGTTGAAGGAATGCAACAGGCAAGAATGAATCAGCAGCAGCAACCGCAACTTCACTAACACCAGCAGCTTGGCTAGCGACAGCTTCAATAGGTGTTTCTGCAAGAACCTCAGCAACATCGCTGATCAGTTCAATCTTGTCTGCACTTTCACCAATGGCTGTGGACATATACCGGGCAGAATATGATCCGATAAATGATGGCAGCAAAAACCCAGTACGTCTTACGCCCTGATAGAGACCTAGAGCAGTGGTATTGCCAGAGCTGTTACCAAAGAACCGATGCTGGTACACATTCCCCAATCCCTTTTGAGAGAGGCGACCATCAACCGAACTCTCTTCACGATCATGGTCATTAAGTATATAGCTAAAAGACGGGTTAACCCGCCTTCTAAGAAAGCTTGACCTATTGCAGAGGCTTCGAAAGTGAGCCATGGAAGCACAAAACAGAATTTCCTGCGAGACACAGTTGATGAAATGGGGTAAAAATCAGAAATCTGCAACCATAAACTGAACCATTTCTGAACCCTAGTACGTTGAGTCGAAGCAATTGAAGTACGAGCCTAATAAGAGAGCGGATCAATCAACAAAGCCTCAAGTTCGCATTCTATGCAGCAAGCTACCCAGTTGAGGGGGTACCGAAACTAATTTCCCGTATGGCAAGACGAAGCACGAAAAGGGCAGACACTTCTATCATTCTAAGTAAGCAATAGTTTCGAGATCAAAATTAGGAAAAGGTCGAATGGTGCAACAATGATTCGCCGAGCAGAAACCGGGGAAATATCAAGCAGCGAAACCAATCAAAATCCAACGATTTGGAGGAGAGGCTTACCTGCTTCGGACCTCGGTGTGGTTTTGGGGAAGGCGAATTGAAGAAGAAACACTCACGTCTGGGCACCCAGTCCAGGCCAGCAAAGTAGTCGTGAAAAGTTAGAGTCGACGGTGAAAATGCAAAACTCGCCCTAGGGCTAGGACTGGACTGGACTGCACTTTGGTTTTGGTAGGATATTTTACTTTCTTGGGAAAGAGGGTTAGTCAGGTAATTATTGGAAAGAAAAAAAAGAGCCAAATCTTTTAAAAATAGTCAATTTTATTTAAAAAATATTAAGAGCATCCACACCAGCCACGTATATTGAATTACAACGTAATGTAACAATGAAAATGTAATTGCATTTTTAGTGGTGTGAATGGAAGTCTTAATTGCATTTGTGCAAACTAGCATAAATGCAATTATCTCTCTTTGATTTGGATATTTTCTTTTTCTATAAACCCTTTGTTTTATCAAAATAATAATTTGGACTCACATATGCAATTGCAAGTTAATTTCATTCATTGTTGTAGGTGAATGAAATTAATATGAGTTTGAAAAAAGTTGAGTTGGAGATAAAGAGACTGATGTGGATGCACTAAGATACCAGATTGTCAAAATATGAGAACTGTCCATTGTTTATAAGTAAGAAATTGATCTTAACTCATAAACAACGTTTTTTAAGTGAATTGTAAGAATTTTTACAATAACTTTGAAGTTAAACGTGCTCACTAATCACTACGTAGCACTGCATGGATGGGTGATCATGAGAAGTCACCTTGACATAAACCAAGACTACCGTGAGTAGGGCCAGACCGGACCACACCGAACTCAGGAGAACCGCGGTCCAATAGTGAAAGATATGTTAGGACCAAGGACCAGACCAATAGTGCATTCTGTCCGCTTTGGTCCATTTGGTCCGATCCAAATGTAAATTCGGTCCATTTTTCTTCAGTATTTTTAAAATTCATAGGACCAAGGACCGAACCATATTATATTCGATTCGGTGTGGTCCGATCCACACATCGATTCAGTCCGGTATGGACCAACCCATTGTCCACCCATAAGCGTGAGGGTTTCTCCCAAAGTGGATGATATATAGTCAAAAAAAGGTTGGGATATTACAAGTGGTATCGGAGTCTCTATTCGTTTCTCTTGAACGATGATGGGGCCTATTAGCGCGGACAAAAAGGGCTAGCAAGCGTCGGAACTTAACACCTCGTGTGACATCGAAAAACCAATGGTTTTGCAACACATGCAAGGGGCAGCCTCGAACCCACTCCAACCTGTCAATCCCAAGGCAACTCTCGTGAGGCATCCAGCTCGCATAGCGTCAACCTCGAGGGACCTCCCTGGGGCTTCCACTTGAGGCACCTCATCTCAAGAGGCAAAGGCGCATCTTTCGAACTCACAAGTAAGATAAATTAATACAAAATAATGCACTGTGTTAGTCTTTCCATTCTTACAAAATAGAAGAAATATGGACAACCGTGGGATATGAATTAACATGCCTAATACGACAACGGCACACATCATCAATGAGTCTAAGGCACCTAGCCAACTTATTTTAAGGCGCCCACTATGAGGGACCTAGCCTACCCGAGGCGTCCAACTTACTGAAGACGCCTACTCAGGGATTGCTAGCCCACTTGAAGCCTTGGACTCCTATATAAAAAAGCTCGAACCCTCTAAGCAAAAAACTTATTTCTCTTCTCCACATTCACCACACAAGGTCTCTCTCTACCTTTGTCTATTTAGAATCACATATACCAACTTATATCCCATACTAGCTTAAGCGTCGAGCGTAGATCACGGTCACCCCCTCCTCTTCACAAATTCCTCTCTTCACGAAGAAATCGAACATATGAATCCAAATCAGAGCCCCGATTACTATTATGTCAGCCTATGGTACATTCTCAGGTAGAACAAATATGGAAACAGAGATGGATCAATATGATCTTAATTTTTTGGGTAAATACTATATATTAGCCACAACTATTATGATGCGAGGAATTAAAGCCACAACTATGAAAATTCAAATGATTAACCATAACTATTGTTGCGGTTCAAGATATGGCTAACTGTCCGTTACTGTTATTGAATTTTTAACGGAGAAGGCCACATCGTCGGCCACGGCAGTAGCCATGTCGGACTGCTTTTAATTTATAACTTTAAAACACAAAAGTTTATTTAGTATTACTAACGAAATTATTAACAGATATTTAACATTTGACTAATAATTTGAATTTTCATAGTTGTGGCTATAATTCCCCGCTTCATAATAGTTGTGGGTTTGTGGCTAATATATTGTTTTTACCCAAATTTTTTTAGGTAAATATGATCTTTATTGATTTAATGATTTCCCTGTGTGCACTACATATTCACCCTGCAAGAAATGCAAAAGAAAAAGTGCTTTGTTAATTTATTTCAGTAATCATTACTACTCCATCCATCCTCACCGATTGCATCATCACCATCATCAGGCCCTGCAAAAAGATAAAAGAAGGAAAAAAAACAGCTCAAATCAAAATTTTATTTTCCAAATGGGAAACCAGGAGAAGAGAAAATAATTAAGATTTTTATGCGCACTTGGAACAGTCGATGTCGAGAGAGAGCTCAGGCAGCTTGACGTTGACGTTGCACTTCTTGGGAAGCTTGGAGGCGGCGGACAGATCAACCCCGGGGACCAAACTCACCATCGATTTGAGGCACTGGCAGATCGCCGACCGGGAGGACTTGGACTTGGAGTAGGGCTGCATCGCCTTCACCCCGCCGCAGCATTCCTTCGACGGGTCCCCGCGTCCCGACAGGTACGGGATGCACGCCTGCAGCTCGTCGTACACCGTGGAACACGGCGGCGGCGGGGCAGGCTCATCGGCGCCCATCACTCCGGTGCCGCTGGATGCCAGGATGACCACGGCCGCGACGACGACGGCTGCCGGATAGCAAAGAATGCTCATGTTTGTGTACGGTGTTTAGTTATCAATGATTACTTCTGGTGATTGTTAATTAGGCGAGCGATGAGGGGTTGATGAGGGGAATTGGGTTCGGAGAAGTGGGAATTTATATGTGCAGGGGAGGTGTTCGATGAAATGTCTCGAGTCATGTAGGATGCGTGCGTGGTTTCCTTTTTTGACTCTCCCGCGCGCTGAAGATTCGGCTTCCGGGCTTTGCCTCCAGTACTCTCGTTCATGCGCTTGACGCTGGTGGCGGGATGCTGTGGGGAGTTTGTAAATTGATAATGTGGAGGTTCCACTCCAAGATTGTGTTCTTCATCATAGCTCGACGCAGTCAGAATTTCGTTTACGGTGGGTCCAACGTACAAATAAAAATATACAAAATAAATTTGATTAATGATTTATGATGCGTTTTCATAGTTCGTAGATTGAGTTCCCTTTGAGGGTGGAGAATTTGACGATAAGCTAGAAATTAGACATCCCGGGGCATGACAAATTGACACCTACGTAGTGTCAAACAATTATTCTCAACTCTCAAGTACACAACGAGCAGGACAAAACCTAAAATTGATCCAGCAATCACATTCATCTTTGTTTCGTCTTTGATATATAGCAGCGGCAGAAAGATCCCTACAAAAAAAAAAAAAAAAAATGCAGCTGCCCAATGTCTCAACGAGTATTAGTGACAATATTCACAATGAATCGCAACAAGTTCGTATATTCCGCCGCTATCTAAATGCCGGCCGAAAAGACCAAATAAAAAAACCCGACCAAAGACCAATCAATCAATGACTAGGGCGTGGAGAGCAAAGACGACGACGTGGAAGACAAGGAAGGAGACGGGGTGCTGGCGGCGGACGATTCCGGCGTATTCCGGCAGAGAGGACACGTGGCGTTCATCTTCAGCCACTCGTCGATGCACTCGGCGTGGTAGTAATGGTTGCACTCCGGTATCGTCCGCAGCGTCTCCTTCGGCTGGTACTCCGACAAACAGATCGGACACGTGTTGTCGCTCGGCTTCGGCAGCCGCCGGCTCGCCCCCAACAATGTTTTCGGGTAGGATTCGATGGTCGGCTCGTCCAGTCCCGACAACACGACGGAAGCCGGCTGCGGGCCCATCGTGGCGGCGGCTGCCAGATCCGCGGCCGAGTGGAATCTGTCTCTCCCTCGAGACTCGAGTTTGGTGCATATGAAACAGCCCAGCCCAATGGTGCAGATTAGGCCCGGGATTCCCACTCCTAGGACCAGCCCGTACCTGGCCCTCCTCGAAATTCCTGGAAATTGACAAAAATAAACAGCCCAATGTTAACATTTTTTTTCTCCTCGTCACAACTTAATTGTCATGAATACCTAATAATTCTTTAACATAAATATCCAATCAGTCTGTAAAAATGGCTTAGACAAGCAGAACAACAACAGTTCCCATTACCACCGCGTATTATTAATAACATTCGTTATTTTGAAAATTCCTTACAATTAAACTATTTGAATTCTTTGAGATATATAAAAGAGTATTTCAGAAGAAGACGCAACGATAATATAAAAGAATGTGTATGCTTGGAGGAACTTTCTATGCACAAGAGACAGTGTGACATTTTCCTAGTGTTGAACATTGGACTCGGTAAATAAAATTATAATAACATAGAATATTAAATTAATAACTTAAAATATACAGCAAGACTAGCAGGAAAATATAGAAGACGGCAGGCAATAAGACCGACCGTCCACTATTCCATTGGCGAATTGCTTTTAAGAGACACCATCTTTTATAGAAAGTTCACTTTATTCACTATAACTGTATAACTATCTTTAGGTACCAAATTGGCTAATTTTAACCTCTCAGCTTTCTTTGGATAAAAAAACCTTTACGCAACAAACTACCTGAGTACCGACTACCGCCCCATGTGTTGCAGTAACGTAATTCCTTTTCATTCTTTTTTTTTAAATGACTGACGAAAGCAACGATTAATCAATTAAGTAAGTTTAACTAAACTACAAAAAAAAAAAAGATTAGTGATTACATCTACACTAAAAGAACTTTTGGTGGCCTATGAAGCAATTTTACTTTCTGATGATAGCAAACAAGTATACAAGACAACCACCAGACGATTCTAGCGGCTGCCGAGTGGCGAATGTGAGATAATCCAATCCACCTGGGCCCCACCCACTCAATTTGCTGTGGGATTTTGCTCCACTGATTAGTGATTAATTACTACCCCGCCCTAATTTCTTGACTTTTAGGAATTTGGATTGACTCTCTAACCAAACGGCTGCCGATTATGACCCGGTTCTAAGCTTACAAAGTGAGGGGTAAATATAAATACGTCACCGTTTAGCGGGCTTGTCTGATTCCTCTTGTAGATTACTCGGGTTGAAATGAAACAGTCAAAACAGTAAAAGAGTACAGTGAACTAACTAGCACAGTAACTTTGAAAACTTTACCTTGGCTCTTTTCACCGGGATCGGAGCACCCGATTTCCAACCCGGTCTCATCTCTGAACCCGCAAGTCTTGCCGTCCTCCTCACAGGGCAAGCAATCAGGCAAGCTCCAAATCAACCTCGTGTCCGCATCCGACCACCGCGGCCACGTCACCGGGATCCTCACCGCCGTCGAGATCACCCTGCACATAGGCGCGTCCGCCGTCAAATTCAGCCCGCGGAACGCGCTCGTCCGCATCGCCCGGACCGTAAACGCCTCCCCGCTCAAGCACCCGACCCGCCTCGACCCGGGTACGAAGGCAGACGGGGACCCGGATCCGGGCCCGGTCGGGGCCCCTGAGCAATTGAGGAAAGTGAAGATCCCGGTGGCCTCGGGCACGAACGGGGTGCCCTCGAGGGAGAAGGAATCGAGGTACCGGCGCGGGAGGCAGTCGCCGGGGTCCCGGATGTAGACGACCTGGCTGTGGTACTCGATGTACTGGACGATGAACTCGCCGGAGCTTCGGAGGGCGATGACCGTCTGGCCCGACCCGTCGCACGAGAGGCCGAAACCCGGGAACCCGCACCGGGTGTTGGGGATGCTGCTGCTGTTGTGGGTCCGGCCGGCGGTGAGGGCGAAGGGGAATCGGACGGTGGGGGACCCCAGGCGGCATGATCCGCCGCAGGTATCGGCGGTGGCGGCGGAGAGGTGGATGGTGAGGAAGCAGAGGGAGAGGGTGAAGGAGAAGAGGGGTGAGGAAGGCATGGTGATGAAATTGATTGGCGGGGAAGGAAGGATGAAATTGATTAGGAGGAGTTGGTGGTGAAGGGGTCCATACAGAGGTGGGATTTTTTCCGGCTCCCCAGTGGGAGGAGGAGATGCTGAAAGCTCCAAGGTTAGAGGTGACAAAAGTATGTATACAAATCGATTTGGGGACAGAAAGAAGAAAGGGAGTTAAAGGGGAAATGGCGGACGGTTCGGGTCTTTTTTTTTAAATAATAATAATTAGTTTCTTTTGGTTTGACCAGCCATTTTAATGATGTGAATGACCACTCAATTCATCCTCATTAGCACGAGTTTGGCTAAATGGCTCAAAGGGTACGCAGTCCCATTGTTGTATTGTGTGTTGGGCGCTATTTGGTAGATAGAATGATAGATGTGATGATAATTGTAATTTGTAAGTCTCCTCTAATTGGGTAGTATAAGATTTGATTTCGCATTGAGATTGAGATTATTTGAACGACAATATTATTGGGTGATATGGGTACTATTGTTGTCCCGACTCGTCATATTTTAATTCCGCTCAATATCTATTTAACGGTATTTCTCCTATTTTGATTTTTCTTTAATATATTTTCTCCTACCTATTTGACTCAATAAGAGTATTGAAATGATCGTCCTGCCATCACTTTCCAGCTTATTTCCCAAACAAAACTACTCGTTCAAACCTCCGTTTTAGTTATCTTCTCCTACAATAATTAGCTCGCGTGGTGAATTCCATCACATTTTATGCTTATGTAATTGAACTCCCGAAACGTCCTTGTAATCTCATTGTCAACAATTACGTGCCCAACTTTTGTTAAGAGCTACAACTAAAGATGTAAATTTTTATTTTTCTATAATGACAGTGTGAACACGAGTTAAGTTCATTAGTTGGACTAATGATACTTGAATATCTGTAACAATTATATGTACAAGTCAGCTAAAATTTTTCAATTTAACCGGTATTGGTTGCTCTTTGAACAGATGATTAAATTCATAGTTAGTAAAATACGGTACGGGAAAGCTACGTAAAAAATACGTACGGGTATTTTACGTCGTCTCTAAGTTAAAGGTACGTTAATAGTAATAAATATATAAAAATAAATTATTTTAAAAATAAATAAATATATAAATAATAGTAAAGTTCACAATTTAATTCATTAAATACGGATATTAAACGTGTTATACGGGGTTTATACGTGTTTAGTACGGGAGCCATCCAATGAACGGAAAAAAATGAAACGACTTGACAATAATACGGATACGGAAGTTTTAAACGGATAAAGTACGTACGGGTACATATACGTGTATTAAACGGAGTATTTACTAACTATATTAAGCAATGGTTGTATGTTTGTGTTAATGATAATGCAATCTCTAGTCTCTACTAGCATTGGCTTTAGTGTCCAGTGTATAAACTTGCAATGAATTAGGCTAGTGTTGATATGGAACTATGGAAGGATGCAATTGACCGCATTATCAGACGAATCTCGATTACAACAATAATCTAACCGTAAAATAAGAAATGCGTTAGCAAAGATGGATTCGTGTGAGAAGTGAGAACGTAGGACGTTAGATCATGGGCCAGCAAGCATATAGAGAATTTAAACTAGATGGAGAATAAATGGGCCTGAGACTAGATGGCGGAGTTTTAAGAATACGTGGGCCTCGTGAGATGGACCATAGGCCTAAACCGGCTATGCATCACCAATTCACCATGGATCTAACTACAGAAGAATAGTCCAATACTATCAACACAAGAATGAATGTAGACTGTAGTGGTTGGTGCCTTGGTGGTTAAGCGGATTTTTTATATATATATATATAGGATGGTTAAGCGGATTAATCATGTGATTACGGGTTGGATCTCTATAAAAGAGAATAAAGTTTTTTTAACAAGAAAATAAAGTTAATTTTACAGTTGTATATTCTGTTTTTTTCAGATATTGCTGTAAGTTAATTATTCTTTGTTGGATTGGATGGTTAATGCAATTAGAATTATAGAGTTAAAGAGAAGTCAAACTTACAAGTCCGTTACACATAGTAGATGTAATGATGATGAAAAGTTTACATTTAAAAATGTTGAGATGTTATGTGCATGTTATTCGAGTTGTAGTGTTTAATTTATTGGTTTCTTAAAACAATAAAATAACTAGTATGGTGATAAAAAAACTCTTCTTATATTCTACATTTCTGCTAATATATTAGGTTTCGATTTGATATAATGATTAGCGTAATTAATACTTAAATTGGTAATAGAAGCTTTCTTTGTAAAATAAAAGAATTGTACCTTATACACTTTAAATTTACACTGCCTGTAGGAACCAGTAGGGATGGCAATGGGGCGGGTTTGGGGCGGGTTTGCTTAAACCATCCCCATACCCATCTTCAAATACCCAAACCCATACCCGCCCCATACCCATGCGGGGAATGTTTTGCAAACCCATCCCCATACCCGTGGGTTTCGGGTACCCATGGGTAATATCCATTCCCGTACATCCAACATTATTATACCTAAAACTTACAAGAAAAGTTCTAATTACAATTCTAAACGAACATATTATATCATGAAGTCAATAAAATACAGTCATTTTTTAATATGGTTCAAAGATTATGATCCTAAAGTATCCATTAATACATAATATAGAGTATAATATTTTTCAAATTATTATGTTCTAACTCTGATACATCTACTAAATAATAAACTAACATAATCTTGTTGACAAGGGGAAAGTGAAAGAGTGAAATGAGAATTGAGAGAAATGAATTAGATTTTGATTAAGGTGGTCAATCAATTGCATTTCTACTATTTATTTTTTCAAGTTATCCTCATCGTCATTGATGGATTATAATTTGATGCACATATTTTTTTTATATATGAAGAAATTATCTTGGTGGGGCGGGTATGGCTATGGGGATGGGTATGGGGCGGGGGAGGCTAAAACCATACCCGCCCCATACTCATCAAACTTTTTGCGGGTTTTACCCATACCCGGTCAAAGCGGGGATTTCCCGCATTGACTGGGTCGGGGGCGGTCGGATACCCGCGGCCATGGGTTTGATTGCCATCCCTGGGAACCAGGAAGTAGGAAGAGAAAAAAAAAAACAACAACAACCAAACAATCAGAAATTGGAGGGAAGGAGAAACGGGGAAATTTTCATACTGGCGGGAAAATGTCCTTACTCTCCCTAGCTCCTGTATATAAACCCTAGTGTCCGTCAGTCGCTCCCTGTTCGTCAATTTCTCGTCCCCTTTTCCCTCATCGGAGTGATTCAGTTTTACAGTTTTTGAATCCTTGCTACAGTCACACGGGTGGTTCTGAGAACCCTAGAACTCTTCCTTCGCTAATTCCACCAGGTAATTTTCTACAGGCCAACTGTGCACTGACAGTATCGGAAATGCTAGGGTTTGTGGTGTTATAGGCCTTCCAATATTAAACGCATCTTTCCTTTTCCCTTCTTTAACTAGATTGTCGCGGAATTTTCACTAGGCGTATTCTCGAATTGCAGGTCTGAAGTGGGGGTTTCTGAATTTGTGGTCTTCGTGTGATCCCGTGCTGTCTGTTTGAGAAAATGGCCGATGCATTTGATGATGAGACTGAGCAAACCGTCACAATGGATGAGTATCTTAAAGGGGTTGAAGCTGAGGAACTGGTAAATATCTTTTACCGTCATGTTCCAATTATAGCCTCCTTTCGTTGTCCTTATCTGGTTCTGGATTGATCTTGTTGGTGGAGATAATGTTGATCTTGTGAATAGCTAATCTTATGCGAAGAACATGGTTAAGTAATGCATTTTTGTTGATTTGGAAAGGGTGCCAAGAGAACAAGTACCAGGACAGTAAGTGGAATGGAAACACTAGACTGTCGGTGCTTAGTGCAAATTAAGTGTAGATGGTCATTTAGTCTGATCTGATACTATTTCTGTTTGCTTTTATTTCCTCCCTTCTAAATGTACTTTAACTTGTTTTGATCTAGCCTGATTGTTTTCTTGAATGATGACTTCGTAGGAAGCTGATTTGGTATTGGGTGGAGATGAGGGTAAAGAATGCACCTATAACATGGGTTATGTGAAGAGGCAGGCTATCTTTTCATGTCTGACTTGTACGCCTGAAGGGAATGCTGGAGTTTGTACAGCCTGCAGCTTGTCTTGCCATGATGGCCATGAGGTACAGTTTACATGTCTTTCCGTGCAGTTCAATAAGTTTGAAAATGAACTTGCTTGAAATTTTGTTTTTATAACAGTGCATCTCTAATATTTAGGCTTTAACCTTACTTCCTAAGGGGAGGTAATATTTAGGCTTTTATCTGACCGTTATGCTGTGCAGAAATCTACCATTAGCATTTATGATTGTGAGTTTGTGACAAATGAAGCTGCCAACTTTCTTTAATTGGATTCTTGACCCACTTGCACACGTTGGAGTTATGAGTTATCTTAATTGTGGTTCTGCATTAACAATATCCGTACAATTGGGCAGCATTTTGAGAATTATACTTTGGTAGTTTATAGATTTCGATGTCATCAGCTAAACTTTTCCTTCTTTTACTACATGTGATGGCAATCTCATTACTGTTTGTGCAAACAGATTGTTGAATTATGGACCAAAAGAAACTTCAAGTGCGATTGTGGAAATTCCAAGTTTGGGGAGTTCTTCTGCAAGCTTTGTCCTAACAAGGATGTCGAAAATGCTGAAAATTCATACAATCAAAACTTCAAAGGTCTATACTGCACATGCGGGCGTCCGTACCCTGATCCAGAGGCTGAACAACAGGAGGAGATGATTCAGTGTATCTTTTGTGAGGATTGGTTTCATGAAGAGCATCTGGGTCTTGAGACTGTTAACGAGGTTTGTAGCTTTCTCAGTTCTAGCCTACTTTGAATGACAGATTGAAATCTTCCTCCTTGTTTAAGTCTTTCTTGAAAGTCTGTACTTCTATAATACTATCCATTAATTATTTGCTCAATTGATTGGTAATTTAGTTCAGTTAATTGTGTTTATCAATAGTCCCTCCTTCTCTTTTACAATGTAGATTCCCAGAGATGGTGACGGAGAACCTCTGTACGAGGATTTCATTTGCAAAACATGCTCAGCAGTATGTTCTTTTCTTACACTGTATCCTCAAACAATCCGAGCTTCAGAATGCCAGGCTGGAGTATCCGCTTCTAATACCAGTAAAGATAAAGGTGTAATGGAAAGCCATCCTGCTCCCTGTGCAAATGGAAAACTCGAGAACAGTGTTTGTTCTGGTTCTTCTGGAAATGTTCATGCAGTGAGTAGTAGTACAAATCATGTGGCGGTTGAGAAGGAATCTTCAAGCAATGGAACTCTCGAGCAGAACAATTGTTCAGATGCATGTGCAGAGGAAGATAGTACTGTTCACACTGCCTGTGTCTTGGGTTCTGGTTCCATGGTAGCTCCACCTACTACTTCGGAGAGAAAACCATTCTTTCTGGCCAAAAGCTGGAGGGAATCTTTGTGCAGATGTGAAAATTGCTTAGGAATGTATAAGGAGAAGCATATAAGCTACCTAATTGACAAAGAGGACTCAATCGCTGAGTATGAGAAAGTTGCAAAGCAGAAGAGGGAAGAGAAGCTGCAGAAACAAGAGGGTGCTGAGTTGGATTTTATCAATAAACTTGGTCATGTAGAGAAGATGGAGATACTGGGTGGCATTGCAGACTTTAAGGACGAATTTCGTTCTTTCCTGGTAAGTCAGCAGACATTTGATACAGTAGCTAGCAACTTTGTGATACATGCTTTCAAACCCCCCTACCCCCACCCCAATTTAGCTGCTACTTATCTGGCTTTTCGCATCTGCATTGTTCTCGTTATAATTTTTCTCTGTTTGTATCCTGAGCTCAAGAATGTATGCTTATGCAGGAGTCATTTGATCCTTCGAAGACAATAACATCATCTGACGTGCATCAGATCTTTGAGAATCTGGCAAAGAAGCGCAGGCGCACATAGTGTGATTTGCTAAGAAAAATCTTAAGCAACACTCAGCTATTGTTGGTTTAAGTTACGCAACTTTGTTGGGTTAGTTTGAGAACTGAACTACAACCTTGCGTACTGATAGAAGGATGGCCGACATGGAAACAATATCAATATGTTAAGTCACAGCAGGACCTAACTCGGGTTGTAGAAGCCTGTCTTATCATGTTTGATTCATGCATGTGTTCAACTTTGATTTCCCTCAACACTTGTTTATGTCATCCTGTTCTATTTGAGATATGTCCTCCTGTTCTATGGTGGAGGTGGGGCTTTATTTTTCATCGAAGATTGGCTTGTTTCTCTGTCTAACATTTTCTTCCATTGTCAACGTCAAAGAAGCAACAGATTTCGCTAGTAGGTTGGACACGTAGCGAGAGATCGGCCAAACTGCTGATCTGTTTCGGCATTGCTCGAGGTGCTATTCTCGGTTTGGTCGTGTCTGGAATTTGGATTATTGCCTTGTTCATACTTTGTTTTGTTGTGGGTATTGATTTGTTTCCTTATTTTGTTTAGGTAGAGAGATTTGTTGCCTTTTGACGAACAACGAACTCAACATGTGATTAGGTAAACCTTGTTGATTTATTTGGAGGAAAGATTGAGTTCTTACTACATGTGATTCCACAGTTGATTGTTACAAGGGATTAGTAACTTTATTGATTTAATGGTAAACCTTGTTGATTTATTCGAAGTAACTTTACTGGAAACTAGTGTACATGAATCTGGGAATTTGATTCCATGGCCTCTTAAACTAAAACTAATTTATGTTATTGGAGTTTGCACCGTTTCACCTTACAAATTGTTTGAAGATAATAGTTAAAAGTGTCGTGAAAACTTGAACACATGACTTAAAAAATAAACCAACTTGGTTATCATGTCATACATTCAATTGGTTCCAATAGGGTCCATGTATAGATCTTGGGAGTATGTACGACGTACTTAGAGTATGGTTTGGTTTTCATATTATTAGTTATGTAATTGCCTAGCAAAAGTCTTAACTAGTTGCCAGAACTGGTTTACAGACCAAAATGTGAAGACTGAAGACATGGCCAAACTCTCCAGATGGTCAGCTAAAACCGTCGCCTGGGTAGTCATCTCAGTCAAATCTCACTCTCTCCAAACTGAAAGAGACATGCAAAGATTAGTATTGAAGCCCTACATTTCTCTCTCTCTCCCTCTCATTATTAGGGATTCAACATCATTGAATTAACTTTCCCCTTACCCCTTTTGGTTCCCTCCAAAACAGGAGTCCATTTCGTTTACCATATCAAACCTCCACCATAAGTTATAAGTTAGGTGTACATATAGATAGCATCATGATGCCGCCACTTCCAAAATCTTTGAGGTGCATGGTGGTAATTTGATGGAAATTTCTTAAGGCTGTGTTGAATTGAAAGAAATTGTTTTTAAGGTTAATTAGAGACCAAGAGTGTGATGCCTAGCTAGCCTGCATGCAAGATTCTGTGCCAAATTTTGTGGAGGATATTGTCTAGCAATTCCACAACCACATGTGACATCACAAAATTTCCCTTCTTTCTCATTCGATGGGTTGAAAACGGTACTAGGGGAGATGTGAAGGAACAATTTCTTTTTGTCATACTTCATTAATTGCATGGCATCTAAGTTTGACACAATTGCATGGAAATTTTAAAAGTTCGCCATTTGACATGATGTTGGAGTTCATATGGTATGGCTCAAATTATGACTTAAGGTCAAACTCCCTGAATGAAAAGTTGCGAAAATCGTGTTTAGATAACGTCCAATCTTTATGTCCCTTCATTCGCCTAATTAGCCAAGATCTAGTTAAAGGTGAGCTGGGGAACATGGTGGATCCCAGCTGCTTAATTAAAGGTTTAGAAAATAATCCACATGAACCTCCATTCAAGCTGGTACCAAGATGTATAAAGTATGGCGCAACACAAACCCTAATCCACTCTTACAAGAATCCCACCATCGTTAATTATGAAGTTAAACATGAACCTCCATTCACCGACATGATTTACATTGAGTCCACCTCTGAATATTGCAGAACGAATCAAAAGCATACATGACAAGTAGCTTTTCATCGAGTGTTAGTAAAAGCTATAATCTAACAAAGGCATAATAAAGCTAGATATGATGAAACGAAAGAGACTGATAACTACTCTCACGTTCACACCATTTATGTATACCTTTTCATTTTACTTTTGGGGTGTTTGGTTTGAGAACTGCAACATTTGTCAGTACATGGCAATGTTATTATATGGTAATTATACGTCTAGAGTTGGTAAAATTGTTCCAAGAAGTCCACTAAAATCACCCACAAATTCTGGAGAAGATTTTGTGAAGCGATTGTTGTTTAGTCTGTGTCCCTCATCATAATGATATCTTATTAGTTAATTGCATCCAATGATCATTTCAACTGGAATGGTCTCGATCTTCGTCAAACTGAAGTGATGGTGATGATTATAGCCTTTTGTGGCATATCTTCCAAGAGTGGTCGACGGAGGCTCCCTGCAACTAATTAATTGAGGAATCGTTCAGAGACTGCTGTTTTTCCAATGCTTTACCAGTCAATTACCCAACTGAAGAACAAGAAGTACTGGCAAAAAGGAAAAGTAAGGAGAGGAAAAATCAGCTTAGAAATTAGCTAGAATGGGTATTAGTAGTTTCTACCGAAGGAGTCGTTAATTAAATTCTATCGTTCTGGCAATTTCGACTTGGTCCGTTTTACTTGATCTGTTTGGTTTGTTTTGGAGCGAATATGGGTACTCTCATCGATTCGACCTGTCCCGACTCGTTCTTGCCTAAATTATTTGTAATCTTGGGCTTATTTGCTTCATATTTTAGCTATAATGAAGTTGTAAATTAGTGAAAAACCTGAATTTCTCCAATAATTTAACTACATTTATCATAATATTGTTTGTTTTCTTGGTCTTATAATAAAAGTAAACTATATTTCTAATGTTTTTCATATAAATTGCATACCCATTGGATCGACCTGCCCCGACCCACAACCCATAATAAATTACCCGACCTGCCACGAAACAAATCTGGATACCAAAAAACCCGCCCCGGCCCAGCCCATTGCCATTCCTACTCATAACTTCTTTGTGTGTATTATTATTCATAACTTGTACAGAAAACTGGGTTCCCGTTAAATTTTGTTTTATGGGAAAACAAGAACCTCCAAGTTTCATTTATTAATTAGTATGATAATAATATCGGGTTAAAGACACATTTGGTCACTGAGATTACTAAATTGGGACATGTTTAGTCACTAGAAAAAAATAATATCAATTTTAGTCACTCGAATTACTGGAACAGGTCACATTTAGTCACTCTCCGTTAGTCTCCGTCCAACTCCGTTAATAAAGTCTGTTAAGTGCTGATGTGGCAAACAGAGGTACCACATAAGCCAGATATAACCCAAGAAAAATAAAACCCGCCACGTCATTAAACTCAACCCAACCCAACCTTTCTTCCTCCTTCCTCCCACCTCCCACCTCCTCCTTTCCCCAAAACCACCACTGCAGCTGCTCTCCTCCTTCCTCCCACCTCCTCCTGCAAACCTATTCAACCTAACCCAACACCAAATATGTTCGTCTCCTCTGTTACATTTCTTCCCCCAAATCCCAACCCAACCAAAAAAACCCCTTTCCCATTTCTCTCCACAACAATCTGATCTACATTCACAAAAAAAAAATCAAAAATCAAAAAGCCGGTTGTTACGAATGCTTTGCCGCAACAAGCTACAACCGGTGAATCCAGACCGCTGACGTTCGGGATCTCCGGACCCAAGACATGAGGAAGTGCCGAAGTGGAGCAGGTCTGAAATCAACCATTCCCGCATCCCCAGCCGTCGTCTGGAAGCGAAAGAAAAAGGCGATGAATCAGCCGGAGTCAAAGCGCCGCCTCATTCAACTCCGGCGACCATCTTGTCGAGAAACCCAGATCGACAACAACAAAAACATCACTGCCTAACATCTCCATCCGACAAATCTGAAGTCGGTTCGGCCATAACCTACCGTCGAGAAATCCGACGACCAGCATCATCATCTTCCCGGCGCTCGTACTCAGTCCGGTCAATCCTTCTCTTCGGCGACCATGAGAGAAGCCGCCAGGTTCGATTCGCAGACGAACACCGGCATATCTGTAATCCCGCTACTAGACTCCGTTCTTGTCAACTTAAACCCAAAAATTTTAGAAGCCCAGCCGGCGGTTCTGAATCAGGAAAAGAAGTCATCGCTACTGTTGTTGTTGCTGAACGTCGGCCGCGAAGAAACCCTCTGGGAACTGAGAATTCAACCCTTTCAATTGTTGCTTTTTCCTTGATTTCTTTGAATATCTCCTGTTAGAGATTGATTACGAGCTTGATGGATTGGAGCAAATTGAAGCTGCGGATGACGGTGGTGTACTGAAGAGTTGCAGAATCTTTGGAGACGTGAAAAACGATTGGGTTTTGTATGGGACTGGAGGAAGAAATCAGAAGGGAGAGATGGGGGAAGATGGAAAGGAAAAGGAGGAATCAGAGAAGAGAAGTGGAATCAGAAAGGTTGGGTTTGGTTTATGGGTCGGGTGGGTGCATGGGTTGGTTGGGCATATGACATGGTGGGTTTTAGTGACGTGGCGGATCGGGTTTGACCATTTCCGACTCAAAACGGCGCTAACTAGGCACCTTTGTTGTCCACATCAGCACTTAACATACTTCATTAACGGAGTTGGACGGAGACTAACGGAGAGTGACTAAATATGACCTGTTCCAGTAATTCGATTGACTAAAATTGATATTAATTTTTTCTAGTGACTAAACATGTCCCAATTTAGTAATCTCAGTGACCAAATGTGTCTTTAACCCTAATAATATCCTTTCTTTTTGTTATATGGAACCGACTCCCTTTATCGTTCCACCGAGTATCCGGCTGTCTGCCGAATTAAATTCCCAGGTTACTTCGTTCCATCTCATGGATCAAAAAAGTCTACAAAATGGACAATTAGTTTTTATGTACAGAACATGGCTTCGTCCGTAGTCTATTAATTGAGCTCTCTGCCAACTTAATATCAAATTTTATTCTAATTAATTGAACGGATGTATATAACACAAGTGTTGCCGCGGCAGCCATTAATTAAGAAAGTCAGGCCATGCAGTTCGCACCTTCTTGCATGTTCTTGGTCATATATCTCATGATATCCAGCCCGGCCGCAGATGACGATGGATGTTTCAACAACTACTGTTTAGTTTCGCGTATTATGGATCTTATTTCGTTTACTAACTCATCTTTTGAACGAAATTCAATTTACATCATAACAACAGTTCTATGCCTCATGCATGGATAGACCGACGAACAGCCGCTAGTAGCTTGGCGGCATCACAATATAATTAAATTCGCAACATTGATAATTAATGATTCAACCCCACCCAGCTATAAATTGATTATAAGCCTCCCTCCACCGGCTTCCTAAAGCTAGGCCCGGCGGGTACGGTTGAAAGTTGAAAGCAAGCAGCAGCAGCAGCCATTAATTCAGCTCTTTAATTCCAAGCCAATAGTTACTTTTCTTCACTGAATAATTACTACTTAATTAATTAGTATACTTAATAATTAATATCAACACTACTCCAATAATTCTCAGGAGAGTCGCAGTACGTACCACCGCCCCGTACCTGCTGCACCACCACACGGTTTTTGGGCAGAGTGGCTCGATTAACTCATTAATTTAATTTAAACAACCTGGCTAATATAATCAAAGCATAATTAGGGCCTTAATCCACCACTGCTAGTACTCAACCTAATCATCATCATCATCCATTCGATCGAATGCAATAATTTTGTGTGATAATGAAATTCTAGCTACAACACCGACACAAGATATGAGTTCGACTTCGACCTCCATCCAACCTAGCTAGCTCAAGCCCAGTTGTCATTCCGCGCTGCCGACGTCGTGTTCCAAATTCAAGTCACCTAACCTATTGTAATGCATGCAAAACTCATTTTAACAAACTAATGTCGCGGATATTTCTAAACTGAAAACCGTACCATCCATTACCAACCGCGATGGAAATTTCGTATCCTCATCTTCGTCTCGGCTCTGGCTACGTACATTGGGATATTAGCACCTGCAGGTCCGTTGAACTATATATGGTACCAGATTAGAGCATTTTGACTAATTTTGTCATATGATTTCACTACCCACCCAAGAAGAGTACCTCTCTAATGTACTTCAGGTGCTGGCATTTTTCAGTAGTTTGGTAATTAATAGGACTCTCATATACTAATTGTTGTACGATAGTAATTAAAAGATGGATACCAATCAGTGTTTGTTTTCTTTGCAACAGGTTAAAAAAACAACAACAAACAGTATCCTAGTTGAACGATTCTCACAATTATTTGGAAACTTGTCATCTGTCACTTTATACCGTATTTTATAATCTCAGAAATTAGGAAGAAAAAAAAAAACAATTAGAATTAAAAAAAAATCTAATAATCTACGTAGAAGTTTCCAGGCAGCCAGTCTCTCTATAAGTACCCCCTTCTTCTTTCTCCCTTCATCAGCACCTCGACTTTTAACTTACTCCATTAACATACTCTTCTCTTCTCTCCTTTTCCTTCTTCTTCTTCTTCTTCTTCTTCTTCTTCTTCTTCTTCCTTTCAGTCCCTCGCGCCATGGGGAATTGCTTAGCCCCAAGCAAGAAAAGGTGCCAAGTACACCAAGTAGAAGAACAACATGACCTCCCTGCAGTTAACCGTAAATCCGACAATACGACGAATCCAGAGAAGTCAGGGGAATTTCTGATCAGCAAGGGCGAAACCGACGACGGCGGCGGTAGTGGGGTGAAAGTGAAGGTAGTTCTGACCAAGGACGAGCTCGAATGGCTCATGTACGAGCTCAGGGTGAAAAATAATGGAAGCAACAGCACCGTCGGCGGCTCCACGAAGAAGCTTGAGGATGCTCTGGCTGAGATCGAGAGAAACAGAGCACTGAAATCGGTCAGTGTCTACCAGTGCTGGCAGCCTTCTTTGGAGAGCATTATCGAGAGCCCAGAAGAGGTTGGATCGGGAAGATATTATTAGGATGCAGATAGATAGTCGCCATTTTCGATCTGTGATTTGATCAAATTCATGTTTTGGGGTCACTTTTTTTTTAGGGGTGGTTTTTTTCTTCCCCGGCCTCTGCCTTTGGGACCTCTGTTTTCTTATGTCCGATGGTGCCCTGTTTTTCCATGTGGGTTTTGGTGATAAAACCTTCACAAAAATATTTTATGATGCATTGTGTATATAAAGAGAGATCGTTGTTTTTAATAGAAATTATGTATATTTATATTTTGGAGAATGAATTATATATCTTTATCGTATGGACGAGCTGACTTAATTGAAAACGAGTCTAGTTATGAATAAATTCTTATTTTTCTCCCTGGATTTGAATACGAAGTTGCTCATAATCTTTTGTATAATCTATTTGCAACTCTAAAGAGAAAAATGTATGCAACGCCATCTAGTTGAAGTTATGTGATCAAACTTGGAAGAGATGGTAAAGACGGGACACCAGATTAATCTTATTAAGTATCTCATTCTCTCGTATCTCTTTTTAGTAATAATTTAGTCCATTGATTGTTCAATGATCTGTATTGTTTGTCATTCTTATGATCTACAAAATAATGGTCTAAAATATTTAAGATTTATATTTGTAGATTGACTAATTATTTTAGAGAATGTGTACGAGTTAACATAAAATCCATTCTCAAACCTCTCTGTCCATTTTGAATGAGTTGATTCATATAAATGACAAAGAAAACTTCATAGATAGATCCTCATATGTCATAAGTTGTCATATTGGGAGAAAAAGGAGAGCCAAAGGGAAATGAAAGGAATCAAAACCAAATCAGGTTGGAAAGGGATAATTATTTGTGGGGTAGGGGAAAGATGTAGAGAAAAAGTATTTGTTATTAAGAATTGCACAGTAAATCCACCGAATTTGTTGTTGATGGTTAGGGAGATGGCATCCAGTTGTTTTGCTGAGAAAATATTTTAAAGATCAGTCTCCCTCCTTAATTTCTTGTGGTTGTTTTTTCCCCAGTTTAATAAATGTTTCTGTCTTCCATATTCATAAATGAATTTCACTCGGTAGGCAAGGTGATGAAGAAGATATGGTTGGTATTAAGGGTGGTTATTTGGACCGGGACCGGATTAAAAACCGGAAACCGGAAACCGGACCGTATAACCCGGACCGAGACCGGATAGTAAACAATCCAATTCAATCTTTGGGCTTAGATTTGAGGTAAAAAACCGGATAAAGACCGGATAAGAGAGCTCAACACCCAAAACTTAAGGGTAATTTGCATAAACGGTCACAAACCTTTGCACTTAGTACAAAACTTAACCAACTCCTCACCCTTTAAGGCCTTAGGCAACTCAAATCCCACAATCTCAATGTAAAATCAAGACCGAATTGGGACCGGACCGGATCAAAATCGGACCGGATCAAGACCGGACTGTATCCAATCCAATCTTTGGTCCTTATATTTTCAAAAAAACCCGACTGGACCGGATCAATTTGAGCCAATTTAACCGGACCGTATAGCCACCCCTAGTTGGTATAGTGTATTTTTTAGATTAATTTCTATAATCTACTATTTCTAGGGTGATGAGTAGTATAGTATCATATCAGTAACCGCATTATAAACTCGTTCAAATCCGTAATCGCATTATAAAAAGTCTCTAAGCGAAAAATTCATTACTTTTTACATAGAATATGATGAGAGGAGAGAATATGTAAAGAGAATTCCATACATAAGTATGAGGATGAGTAAAAAAAATCTTTTTCTGGAGACTTTGAAGACGAGTGGTGAGCTAGATTGAAGGTAGGAGTTTATCCTCTCTCGACTTTGAATATGGTTTCTAACAAATGTGAGAAATAGATAATCGACAAGTTTTATTTTCCTTCCCCCAATTACTACAGTTCAAAACAGTCCTGCTATTAAATTTCTAGCTCGGTCAACTCTAATAACTCTACGTGTATATCCATAACTTCAAGGCATCTACAAATGACATTATATTTATCAAAATTTGTACAATCCTATTTTGTACTCACCCATAGGGTAAAAATGTTGTAGTAAAATCTAAACTCAAAGAGAAATCTATATGAAAACACGTATCATCAACACAGTTTCAACACTACCCATAATTGCGTCATTCACCAACCAAGTTGTCTGATTTTCCATCTCTTTTGTCAAACTTACAATTAATAAGTAATAACTGAGTTCAGAAGAGGCCGTATGTGGTGGATATATCATATATGCATTATAATTTCTGTTTGATAGAGCTACCCATTGATTTTGTGACTCTATTTTCAACTGGCTTTAATTCATGCTGCTGTGCAAGTAGAGCATACTGTCTATATAACATTTATGTAACATGCATGCACCTCCAAGTCCAACCAAGGTGTCTCATCTTCGGCGAATGCTTTTCTTCCAAATGCTAGTAACTCGCCGCAGAGCTACGCTGAATTTAATGGCTATTGTTTCCTTCAAATTCTAAATGTGGATAAAATATATAAGATTTATAAAAAGTTTCTTGTATAATCAGACTAATTGATGAGGTTATAGCCCTCCCTCCTCAATTAGCATGGTTTAAATCTCTAAAACTTAATATTGTGGCCCTCTCATGTAGATTTCTACTCCGTCATAACTAATAATCATGATGGGTTCAGTTATAGGAAAGTATATATTTGAGGGTAGAAACGGATCGGTCGAACGATCCACATGACACTCTAGTGATAGATATATCATACGTCTCTTAGCACTTTTTTCATGTATCAGGGGACTCATCTTGTTTTGGATAATAATACGATCAAACCATAAGCATTTATAGATGAAAATTGAACTCAACAATTAAGTTAAAAGAGAGAAGAATTTTGTCACAAAAAAAAAGAAGCTGATTCATTGTGATTCTTTTTTGACAACGCTTTGGATTCTATCATGCGAAAGTGATATAGCTTATGGGCTATGGACATTAGCCTCTTTGCTTATAATGGGCCTCACTCAGGCTCACTTGGGCCTTGTTCGTTTTCTATCGGGCTTTTACTGGATGGGGGCGCAAGCCGCATAGAAGCTCGAGCCTCGAGCAATGCGAAGGCGGAACCGCTGAACAGGCAGCAAATAAACTGATACGTCGCCGTCTTGTGCGACCGGGAATTGTTTATTATTTCCCTTCCTCTTCTCTTGGTACGAAGCACGACCGAGAATTGTCTATTTGTCTAGCAACTTCCATTTGTTCCGGCGGAAAGGAAAAAGAAGGGTCAGCGGAGAAAGAATCGAAAGAAAGCAGAAAGAAGAAAATGGCAGGAGTGGCACAGGCAATGAAGCGCATCCCTAGCATCAAGTTCCCCCAGCGGCGCCCCAATCCTTCCGCAGGTAAGATATCTTCGATTTTTCAGCGGAAGATTTTCTTAACGTTCTGATGTGTTTTCTCGGCAATGCCTTTCGACGCGGTTTTTTTTTTTTTTGGTGCGACTCAAGGTGACGCTCGATTTCGGTTTTCCGGATACGAGTGCGGTGATTTTCGGGAAACTTAGATGAGATATATTAGATATGTATTCATTAGAATGCGAATGGAGTTACAATTTGGAAGGCTTTAGCTGGTTTGTTGGCTTGGGGAGTACGCTGCTTGATGTTTGTTTTGATTGATTGTTGCCTAATGTTGATTATGGATTATTAGAAAAATTTGGGACATTTTTGTTTCCGGGTATGGGGGCGCTGTATCATTCTAGTAGTTTTTTTGGCTTTGAATTGAGGCATCTCTTGTTTCCAAACCTAAGGAAGAAACGAAACAAAGTTCATTGAAATTCGTTTCAAGGCAAATGCTTAATTTATGTGAAGTTTCGAGTTTCTTTTTTGTTGTTCAGCTAGCTATGTGAAAGGGTCACTATAATGGTAGAACCTGGAATAGCTCTTTCACTGCTTACCGCCTTTGTCAATTTAGCTGATAAAATTTACTTTCGCAGGTTCTGTTAGCAAGATGGAAGAAGCTTCCAGTGCTGCAAATGTAGTTTCCAACTTCTTCTCCAGTGCAAAGGCTTCAAACTCTCTTGGAGGTCAAGCTTCTCTTCAACCCAAACGAACACCAGTTTCTAATGATGAGATTGAGGCGATCTTGGTATGTTTAGAACTTGTATACTTGCTGTTTGCCAGTGATTTTGCTTGTTTGTTCATTACTATGTCATGCTGCAATGTTGTCATGCATATATCCTTACTTGCATTACAACCAATGCTGGATGGCAATATCTTTTTACTGGGTTAATGGCCTAGATACCTACTACTGGTTTCTAAATGAGAAGTCTGATTTCTTAGCTTAAAAGAACACGTTTATTCTTCAATTTATAAAGAAAGGTCAAGCTTTTTTACTTGTGGTACAACGTGGTTTCCAAACTAAGCACTTGTTCAATGATAATGGAGTTCATTATTGCTTTCGAGATCGTTCCTAAGCCAGGAAGTAGGAGGATTATTTGAGTGGGAAAAATGGCCACAAACGGTTCAGTTTTAGCTTGAGCATCCGTTGAACAGATTTGCTGGTGTTGTTCACTAATGAAATGATCTTTTTTCACGTTTACTTGGCAGTTGGGCGGCTGCATCTGATCATCTGGTTGAAGTTCAAAAGGAGATGGTGCGTCTTTTCTAATTGAATGTCTTTGGAACATCTAAATTTCCTATACTGATTTTCTGTCAAAACAGAGAGCACCATTTTTTCAACTGAGTCTTTTTCATATACTACAACAGAGAAATCAAAAGCTTGCTTGATTGTATTCTTTTTTTCATTTGTGCCTGATACTGCAAGATCTTTACAAAAATCGAACTTATTATTACTGCCTAGTCTGCACAAGCATACATATGAACATACGGCATAGATAGAAAAAACTTGGCAGATTATGAATCTTTCTCAGCCTTAGTTTCTAGGATAACCGATAGAGGATTTTTCCCCGGCGGACCCTTCTCTCTGCGCTCGAGTTCTTCGAGCCTGAAAGTTATTAATCGATCCCATACCCCTCCTTCCAGAAGAACCCCAGCTTTCCCATCTGTGATCCTCTGTACAATGCCACAGTACATGTAGTATGGACTGTTAGGGTTCTTCACTATAGCAATCATACCAGGCATCAGGAGTGGCAATTCGGGCGCTTTAGGCTTCTTTACAGATGTAGTAATCCCTGCTAAAGCTCCTGAATCAGTCTTCTTAGGTGGTGGGTTCTCCTCAATGAACTTCTGCAGCCCCTTCTCTCCACCAGGGAATCCCCCTGTTAAGCCCATCATTTCCTTGTCAAACCCATCTTCTGGGACGCCTTCGGGCAACTGGCTCGCTGAACTTCCTTTGTCATCTGGATCCGAGCTAGTTGGTTCGATGTTCCTCTTGAGTTCTTTCTCCAGGCCTTCCTCCCCATTGCATAGCCCTCTCCCTCCCAGAAGCTGGGAGAGGTCGAATTTGGCGCGTGCTACGTGCTTGAGCCTCGAATCCTTGGGAATCGAGGAGTACGATGGCTTGTGAGGCTTGGTGTTGAGGGCCTTTTGCCCTAGGAAGTTGGATCTAAGGAGGGCGCCTTGATGGAGGGGTTGGAGGGTGATGGAAGAAGAGGCCATGGGGTTTTCAGAAGGCTGGTTTCAGGTTTGGGGAAAGAATGAAAGCGGGGAAGAAGTGGCTTGAAAAATCCTGGCCACAAATTTGGCTCGTGGGAGGGATAGTCCTATATTCCTATTCTTTTGCCATCTCTATCTCTTGTATTTTTGCTCTTCTCTGTAGGCATCTTTTGACGTTTGTGTTTGTTACATGTGGATTGATCCCTTCTCTTCTGGTAACATTTTAGTGGCTTCTCGAATTCGTTCGTGAATCATGATGTTATCCACGTTATCCCTAAAGCCGTAGATATCTTTAGCCACAGGGGCCCATTTGATGCTCTTCTCCCCCAAATTATGTTTTCCACTAAAAGATGTCCAGCAAATAAAGGGCTTTTATGTCTAGTGCTTAGCCTTAGCTTAATGTTTATATATTTCAAACCCAAGCCACAAGGTAAGAGTAATATGTACCGCAAATCCTAGTGAAAATTTCTAGGACCATTTGTATTGAAATTGTGGTTTAGTCGTGATTCAACTGTTTCATATTGTTTAATTTGCTTATATGATTTTGGTTTTGGTAGTTAGTTTTTTCTGGTCGTGCTGTCGCTATGATAAGATTTGCAAACAATGAATGAGACTGACCAGTTAGTTGGATCGGAGAAATTTCTATCGTCATTTAGACAGGTACGTGTATTGTTGAGAATTTGTGATGACCTGACTAACGCGGTCATACTGGCTATCTTAAGTAATATATGAGCCGGTTTTTGGCCAACAATATATACTTGTACTATGTTAGTTGAATATATGATTTTATCTGAATGATAAGTTTGTAATGATTGAATCACGACTAAATGTTGTTACACTAACTTGTGTATTATCGATTCAACAAACCACAAAAATTATAGATGGTCGTACCCTTCCGGGGCTAGGCAGGAAACTTCGTTTGATCATTAACCACAAGCCCTCTAAGCCCATCGAGCAACAAGTCCAGCGTACTTCCCCCTGCTTGCGGGCCCATTCTATCATTTGCTTGATACAAAGAAGGTTAGGTGGAGGAGACGCATTGATTTCTTAACACTTCTAAATTGAATGATTAATTTTGGTTATACTTATTACCAATGAGATAAATGTACATATGGAGATAGACGATGTGAACTTATGTATACTTTCACACGTCTTGATATTCATTTGACATTGATATTTTACTCAAGGAAGATTGTTATCTTATTCCAATACCTCTACCGTTGATATTGGTTTCGGACGTGGATAATAACAATTACTAGCAAAATAATGACATACACTTGATGGACACATCTCATTCTCATCTCAAGATGTCGATAGATATTAACAACTATTAGTTGAAAATAGGAATAGAGGTCAACTTCTCGCCTGATTCCTTAGATCTAGGGATTGTTCTTTAGCTTATGGCAGGAGATTCCGATCTTGTGATTGCCTCCCGATTTTTGTATGAATATATTGGTGGTTTTACTATCCTTTTAGTTTATAATTATGAGATAGTGACATTTGTATCCATTTTCACCAAAAAAAAAAAGTTGAGGAAGCAAACGAAAAGTTGGTTAAAAGTGTGTTGTGTCACAAGTTGTTGGAGTAGGTTCAAATGTGTGTTTATATAATTTGCTTACATGTTTTGTCATATGGAAGTCTATACGCGGATTTTAATTTTGTGCGGACTTATTGAACGTTACGTTGCGTTGCATTTAAAATATACGATGAGCAACATGTTTGTAAGAGTATTGATATTCAAAATTTTCTAAGGGATTTAAACATAAAAACGAGAACAATAAAAAGGAAGGGAAGGACGTCCAAACAACTCCAACAATATTCATCTTTAATATTCGGAAGTGACATGCTAATATCAATCGATTCACGATAACTTGTTATGCACCTACTTAACATACTAATTATTCACAATAACACGCGAATATCTCATAACTATGCACGTTGAAATAATCTCATAAATACTCACACAATACAACTCAATTATTGGGTTAAAGCGACGGATAGTCAAGTATGGAAAAATAATGCTCAATTAGTACAACATAAATATATAATCAACTCATAAGAGATATTCAGGAAATCAAAAATCAAACTTCATGTCACCTAAAATAGAGAATTTCAATAAACAAAAAATGAATAATGAGTCAAATGATGCTAGGTTTTATAATTTATTTTTGTTTAAGAAATAAGAATACATTGATTTATTTATATCATCCTATTAGGTTACGAGTTACGACTTACAAACTCATACCGGACTGCGTAACAGCGTAAGTAAAACCCATTTCCAAAATTTATCTATCCGTTTGGAGTTTTTTCTTTTTCCCGAACTTTGAGAAAACTAAAATACCTACCCAACCCCGCGCGTATATATTTGCTTTCATGGAGGTCAAGCCACTTTCCTGCGAGCCAAAAGTAGTAGCGAAAAACAAAACCTCCATAGCCGCACCACAGGAAAGTTCGCCTTCTCTTGCTCCTCTGTTCATGTTATCAACGCCAACGCATCAAGGGTCTCTTTCTACTGTAGCATATTCGGTAAGTAAAGCAACCCTTCACCCAGCTCGTCTTCCTTCCAGCTTCTTTCTCCAATTATTCCTTTATGATCTGTTTCCCATAGCTTGCTTGCTTGTCTGCTGAAAGTTATCCGAGTTCAGAAATTTCTGGATAAAATTCCCGAATAGATCCGTGCACTTTAGATGTTGTACGGACGTTTTATGGGTCTTAGGTTTTAAGCTCGGAGATTATGCAGCAGCTTAATCATTCTGTGTGATCTGGATTTCGTGATTTGGGATTCACCAGAGCGCTGATAATTGGTAACTGGTGGGTGTGGCTGTGATGTGTAAGGTTATGTCCGGAATCTGCTTGCAGGTGTTGGAATTCAGTTGTGTGATTGAAGTGATTTTTTTGGGGGGGGGGGGGGGGGGGGGGGGATTGAGCTTTTGGGTGGATTTCTATTCCTCCATTAGAATTTGGCCTAAGAAGCTTGAATCTTAGACATAATGGATTGCTTAAACTTGCTTCCTTTGTTAACTACTTGTATGCATACAATCATAGCAGTAGGATCAGCAAGGCACGAATCTTCTGCTGAATATGCCAAAGATTGGAAAAAATGGGTTTGACTTATATATTAGACAGCACATAGAGCAGCAGCTGAAGAGTTCTTTTGTCTGGGATGGATTGGAAAATTGACCCTGTATGCTTGACTTACCAATGTGCATCTCCGTAGTATTGATGATCCTTCTCTTCCTGTCTCTTCGAAATTGTAGCTTCATGGATGATTGTCGTGGAAAGCTGAATATCATACCGGATCACTTTCAAGTCTCAACTTCCAGTGACGACACTCTGCGAACAGAATCTACACCTGTTTCCCATCCGAGGGTTGATAATTTGGCAAGGTACTATATTTCCTGTCTAGTTGAACTGCACGGTAGAGAGATGCCGTTTTCATTCTCATAAGCAAAGAGTTGATTTTGGCTTCAGCTTCTTCTTTTTGTTTAGAATAGGCCCCAAAGCCTTTCCTGGTCATCAAGAAAATTGAAGACTGCTGCATCTATGTTGAGAATGTTCAGTCTACGTGGCCTACCTTGGACCCCTGATGGCCAGCAAAAGGTTCAGATTACTGTTGCAGAGTTGGAATCACTTCGCTCGGAGCTTGCTGAGTTAGAAGAAAGGGAAGCTTACTTTAAAGCTCAGTAAGCAGCTTAAATCTCTTACCTTTATAGTGGGTCATTTTGCTTTTGTGCTTCAACAGAATGTATTCCCAGTAGTAGTTGATGGATAATGTTGTTATGTTTTAAACAGGTTGGAACATGTTGATGAAATTCTGCGCACAGCTCGCCTCTCGGGCTATTTATACATTCGATCTGTATGAACGGCTCCTGTTATTTCTTTATTCTTCGTGTTTCCTGTTAATGCTGCAGCTTTACATATTTTCTTATTTATTTATAAACCTATGACATCCCTCCAATACATCTTTTCTTATTTATTGATACAGAGATGGGCAGCTTTACCTGGTGAGCCTCCTGTACTTGATGATAGTGATATCGACGATTGGCTTCCTCGATTTGTTGTCCTTCATGGACAGTGTTTATTCTTCTATTTGTTAAGCACAGGTACACAAGTTTCACTGGCTAGTTCTTCTTATTGCCAGCCATAAATATGATATTTTCTGTGATTTGTGATGGCTAAATTCTTACCTGCAAAAACTAGCAAGTTTTTCTTTATGCAGATTTGAGTCCTCAAGATTCAACTCTACTCTCCGATGTTGTTGAAGTGGGTTCTCTACCAGATTTTAGGCGAGAAGATGATGAGATAAGATATTCTTTCTACATTATGACTCGTCAAGGCCTTCGGTTTGAGTGTTCCAGTGCTTCTAAAGTACAGGTGTGTAAAAACCCGACTCATTTGCTGCAATTTCGACAGTTGAGTGTTATTTTGATAATACATGAAACGTCTCTCGCAATTGTGCTGGACTTAATCCACTTTCCAAATGCGCTCATTTTCCTTAGGCGGACACATGGCTAGAGGCACTAAAAACTGACTGCAGATATGGCTGTGGTGGTGCAGAAGCTTTAAACGAAGCTTCTGAGACCAAGAATCACTCCGAGACTGACTGAACATTGAACTGTACGTAGGCTTATTCGATTGTACATCTTTAGTTCAGCTGCTATTTGATCGGAGCTTGTGGTTCCTCTAACTTCACATCCTTTCGTTTATGTACATAGATTGACAACTCTCATTAAACCTGGAATTCATTATGTAGTACTTCCCAGAACACAATTCCTTCTTGCTAGTTCATAGAGGACAAAGTTTTCAGTGTTCATTCTGGCACCTTTCATGTACCTTTTGAGATGGAATTCCACTGCATTATAGCTAACCAAGACTCTGAATTTAGAAGAACCCGTATGCGGCGATTTAAATGATGGATGAAATAGCAGAGAGAAATGGCCATATTTTCTGCGGCTTGTTTGATTGATTGGTAACAAGACAAAGTATCCAACTTCTAAATCTGTAAATCAAGGTCCCATGAATATAAACCCTTCAAGCCTGAAAGGCAACTGGTCAACTTTATGCTTGTTACACACACAACCATTAAAGGAAAATTCAAGCTTCTAAACGTAGCACAAAGGGAAAACAACAGTTGGGTGTTCCTTCTCCAAAAACACAACTGAGGAAGCCAGAGAAAACAGAACTACTTGAACAAACCAAAGTTCATCATCAGACCCTGAACTATTACTAGCACTCAACGGACATCTAAACTCAGAAACACATAAGACCACGGGCAATAGTAACATTGAACACAAGAACACAATCCTTCTTCAGCAGCTCGAATGTGCATTCATCCCTAACCTCCAGAGAATTCGCCTTCACAAACTTACTCCAACCAGCACTGAACTTTGCGTACTCCATTTTCTACCTTGCTGGTTGAGCTTCACTTGCCACTGCTTGCCCCCAACCTTGAGTATCGCCCAATCGCTAATGAACTTCCTTGAGAATTCCCCATGTATATACTACAGCAAACAACAGGAGGATCAGAACATCTCACCATGGCTACCTTTGCCATGTCCAACAGTTTCAAGTGTTTTAGTGACAGAGAAGAGATGGCACTAACTTGGATGGCACTCCAGGAAATGAGAGTTCTTTGTACAACTCAGATCCAATATAAAAGGACAGTGAGAAAATGAACAAAACAGAAGCGAAGTGACAAGTAAAGCTGAAACCGAATTCTCTCTCCCTGTACTGGACTGTACAGGAGAACAGAGGATTAAATCAGAGAAATAAATCAACTCCACTTTGCAGGCATTTTTTAATTGGCTTCACCTCAACTTCAAATGGCATCAGTATAAGCATCCTTCTGCCTCAAGACATTATGGTTGGAACAGAAATCTGCAGCGCCTTCAGAGATTAAGCAGATGTAGCACTAGAGGATCCATCATTAACAATTTAAAAGGATCAGTTTATGCTTCTCTCCCAAACGAGTATTATGTTTTCTTTGTAAAGCAAGTTTTAACTGGAACATGCTAATGCAATCAGCAACATCTTCGTCAACAACTAGGCTATTGATTTATTGATAATCAAAGTAAGAAAACTACTGCAACCGATTCATTGATAGCATAGACACAGCCACAGCCACAAGCACAGCACAAGAACTAAGAAACTAAAAGGTTAACTGATTCAACTGTGTTAAGAGAACAGCGCAACAGAAGGCGTGTTTGACGAAATTCACAAGGCGGATGATGAACCATTCTTCTTCTTCGCAGTCCCGTAGTAACTAACGTACCATCTTACAAACTTCTTAAGCCCCGACTCCAGCCCTGTAGTCGGCTTGTACCCGATCTCCCTCTGCGCCAAACTGATATTCGCATGTGTGAACTCCACATCTCCATTCCTCGGCAGCGGCTGAGCTTTCTTCTTCGCCTTCACTTTCAGAAGCTTCTCCAGTATGCTCACCATCTTGGTCATTGGAACAGGGGAAGTGTTCCCCAAGTTGTAGATCCTCAATTGAGCTGGACCCTTCTTCTTCCCTCCACTCCCAGTGCTCTTCTTCGCAGTATCCAGTGCGCCAAGGCAGCCTTTAACAATGTCATCAATGTAGGTGAAATCTCTGGCCACACTCCTTCCATCGGCGGTTTCAAACACACTGATCTCTTTCCCTTTCAGGATGTCCTTGGTGAAGAAGAAGTAAGCCATGTCTGGCCTTCCCCATGGACCATAAACAGTGAAGAATCGCAGTCCAGTGATGGAAAGGCCATGGATGTGGTTGTACGTATGAGCAATTTCCTCGCCGGCTTTCTTCGTAGCGGCGTAGAGGCTCGCCGGCCGATCAGTCCTGTCCTTCTCAGAGAAGGGGACTTTGGAATTCAAGCCGTAGACAGAACTGGAAGAAGCCCAGACGATCGCCGGCTGAGGGTTCGCCGATTTGCAGACCTCAAGCAAATTCACAAACCCTGCGATGTTGCTGTGGACATAAGATTTAGGGTTTTGCATCGCGTACCGTACGCCGGCCTGGGCGGCCAGATGCATGACGTGGGTAAAATAGACGACGTCGAAGAGCTTCCGGAGCAAATCGCCATCGTTGATGTCGCCCTCGACGACGAAGACTCCGGCCCGATCGAGGACATTGCGGCGGGCGTGCTTGAGATCGACGTCGTAGTAGTGGTTGAAATTGTCGAGTCCGAGGACGCCGTCGCCGCGGCGCTTGAGGGCGATCGAGACGTGGGTGCCGACGAAGCCGACGGCTCCGGTGACGAGGACGGTGAAGCAGCCGGCGGATTTGGGGCGAGTGGATTTGAGAACCCTCTTCTCCCACTGGCGGCCCCCGGGGAGATCGGCGGTGAGCTGGCGGCGGGGGGAGGAGGATGAAGGAGGGGAGAGGAGGAAGAAGAAGAGGAAGAGGACGAGGAAGAGGAAAGAGTAGAAAGTGAGCTTGGAGATGTTGGATTGTAGCCGGAGGGAGCGGTGGTGGTGGAGGTACGGCGGAGCTTTGTCCGATTTGAACTTTCCTGGGGTCGAGGGTGGACTGTTGTCGAGAAGGGATGAAGCCATCGTTGGAAAATTGGGGGAGAAAGGAGAATTGATGAAGTCCGGTTATGACACCGCCGTGATAACGGTGGTTGTTAGACCAAGCCTCCGCCGCCGGAGCGGAGAAAAAGGATGATGCACAGCGGTAGGAATTATGTGAAGTTGGGCAGAAAAGCTGTTGCACTAACTTTTTAAGACAAGGAAATGGAAAAGGGGGTTTTGAACTAATTTTGATTAGTGAGTACGGGACACGTTTTGTTGTCTTTAATTTGGTTACGATATGTAGAGGTTTTTTGTAAAACTTTGTTCTTAACGTTTTGTAAGCAATCTGACGTACTCTTAAAATAGATTAAAAGGGGCTTATTTTTAACAAAAATAGAAAATACAACTTGGTGAAGTATAAATCCATTCAAATAAGTTTATTGAGTACTTTATTATGTGATTCATTGTTGAATAATGTTCACAACTGGCTTCAGGAACTTTATTCATCAGGTTCAATTGTTCAAAAAATTTGCTCGAACTTTGCACCAACCATGCTATGATGCTCACAGGACATTCATGATAATGTGTTTATCAGGTGTCCAACTATCAGATCGTGCGGTGAATGGTCCGTTACTATTGGATGAACGCAAAAACATTTTATTTACAAATTGAAACAACATTCATCCAACAACTGCAAAGCGTCCACGTATGAATGAATGGATCCTATAAGTACATTCTCACAAATTTAGTAGGGGCATTTTAGAAGCATTTTTAGTTGTTTGAAATGTGGTCGGTGCGGCAATAAAAATGACATGCATAAAAGTTAGAAAACTACAATGTTAGAGGGATATTCATTTGTGATCAAATGCTAATTTTCATAAAAATATGTAATATATATCTCAATATAAAATATAGGAACGGTCTATTAACTTAAAAAAGGAAAATTTGACCATATCAGCTAAAGAAAACTTACAAAATAATTCGTCTGTGTAACTTACGTTGCATTATAAAAAAAAACAAAATCCAACAATGTGATATGGCAAAATACTTTGCGAAGGAAGAAAGAAACGTAATTATATGGTAAGCTGATAATTTTATTTAGTAGATAATACCAAGACAGCAAAGGCCAAATGAAGTGTTAAAAAAATATTTGAATATACAATTCTTGAAAAATATCAAAGATAATCCGACAAAAGGGTAGTTCCAAATTATATTTACAGTATTTTATTGTAATAAAAAAGGAAAATTACCGTAGAGGACGCCTTAATAGTTTGGTTCCCTGACGTAAGTCAGTTGCGAGATAATAATTTACGGATTTTAATTATTACTGATTTCCTTTCCCGCAACAACGAAGTATTTTTTTATACAGATTATTGTTAATTTATTATATCTTCCTACTATTTGAATGAGGGCTGGGAACGGTGCGGTCCGGTCCAGACCAGACCATCTATACGGTCTATGGTTCAGACTGAGAGGCTAAAGTATAGACCAGACCACATATTATACGGTTCGATCCAGACCACGCCTGTGCGGTCTGGTCTGGTCCAAATAGACCACACTCAACGAAAAATGAATAATTTGTTTAGTCAACCACACAAAAAGTTGAACCAATAACCAGGAAAAATAATTTTTATTTGCCTTAAATAATCATTAATCCTAACATGCATGAATAAATTTGATATTAGTACATACCAAAGATACAAAGTAAAAGCATCCCAACTTGCACTATAACGTCATAAACATTAACATAATGTCATATGGAGACACGATTATCTCTACTCTCTAGTTAAATGTGGTTGTGAATTAAGGAGGGACGAGATTCACAAAACTAAGGTTGAGACTTGGGTGTCGCTGTGGGAGTTGGGAGAGTGGTCGAATGGGCTGTTAACACGTATTTACAAGTCATTTGGGTCCACGGGTTGGTCCGGTAAACCGTGGTCTAGACCAGACCAAAAGATCAAAACATAAAATAGTACAAACCATGGACCAGACCATACTGAAAGGTAGGGGTGTTGGTTCGGGGTCGGGTTCGGTTACCCAAACCGAACCCCGAAAACCCGAAACCGAAAACCACTAAAACCGAACCCGAGCCCGATAAGGACTTGCGGGTTCCGGTTTGGTTAAAGCAAAACCGAAACCCGAAAACACGAACGCCTAAGATACGGGCTGAGTTCTATTCATTGGAGGTTTTTAGACGAAACCCGAAAAACCGATAAGCAAAACCGAACCCGAAACCCGAAACGAACCCAAACCCGAAAATGTATATAATCGGGTCGGTTTCGGGCAAACCCGAAAAACCGAACCCGAATGGACACCCCTACTTAACGGTCTACAGGCCGGACCAAACTGTGTGGTACGGTTTGGACCACGATTTTTCTAACGGTCTGGTCTATTTTCCCAACCCTAATTTGAATGACCAGCAAGCAATCCATATATTGTATTCGGTCATTCTTCTCACAAGATTATGATAATTGGATCAACACCAACCTGGAAAACAATGAAGAAGGAGAATGGCCAGGGGAGTGGGCGAGTTATTTTGCTCTCATCTTGTGGTATATTTGGAAACACAGGAACGAGAACATATTCAAAGGGAAAACTCTCACTCCCTCCTCTTTGGCAAACTATGTCTTAACCAAAGCTAAAGACTGGATTCGTACTTGGGAAACAGCTAGCAGCGGATTACTTCGACAACCCGGCAGGCATCGGAGGGATGAACTAATAGCTTGGAAACCGCCGACTGCGGGATGGCTCAAGATGAACACGGATGGGGCTGCTCAAGGCTGTCCGGGAATAATAACAGCAGGGGGAGTCCTAAGAGATACTTACGGAGACTGGAAAGGAGGCTTCTGCAGTAAAATTGGTTCAGGTACTGCTCTTCTAGCCGAACTTTGGGGAATTTATCACGGCTTGGATTATGCTTGGAAACAAGGAGCTTAGTTCCTCATTCTGGAAACAGACTCACAATTAGCTTTCAACTTCATTGATAAAAAGGAAGATCCAGTGCATCCACACTCGACATTATTGGCCACCATTAGAAGAATGCTCGCACAGGACTGGGTGGTGAGATTAGAACATACATACCGCGAAGGGAATAGAGTTGCAGACTGGCTCTCGAAGCATAGTCTTGTCTATCCCTTCGGTTTGTATGAACTATCGGACCCTCCAGGAGAGGCGAGAAGGATCATCGGAGAGGACATGAGAGGGGTTAGCTTCCCCAGAAAAGTGATATCCGATATTGATATTTCGGTTGTAAGCTAATTCTATACTTTTGGCTTTTGCCACCTTTACTAAAAAAAAAAATCCAACGCTATTTCACCGAAATTGTTGTCATCATATTTTGGACTTTCACTTCCTAATTTGGAGACTCACGAATTAAGGTTAATTATGAAAAGGGGCGATTGATTCGACAAAATTAGACAAAGTCGAGACAAGATCAGATTAAAAGTACAGGAAAAACTGAAGATTAGAATTGGATAAAAAACATGTTTGGTTCATTTGATTTAGATCAAATTCAGTTTTGGTACATAAAATCATTCATAGTATCAAAATCGTACTATAGTACATTCAGTCCGATTATGTCCAAATATCAATTTAGCACGATTAGTTCCGTTGTGGGCAGGGGACCGATCGTTAAATTGAGTGTATTTCTTTAATCTAAATAGTTAATATGGAGATAGTTGGGGTTGTAAATTTGAAATGTTGCCTCTAGTGCGAGAACAATACAAATTTGATTTTTTTTTTTGAGTTTTGATATCTCGAAAAGTGTACCAAATATTGAGATGAATAGAGTAGCAAATCAGGTACAAAGGAGGAGATTGGAGAGAAAGGGACATGCCAAAGAGGGGGAAATGAGGATTTTTTTAAAAATTCGCGAGAAAAATTATAATTCAATATCCACTATTAGTGTTTTGGATGAAATAAGCAATAGTGAAACAAAAGCGAGATTTAAATGATTAGTTGCAATAAAATTGTTTAAGTGGCTAACGTGCAACAAATCAAAATTTAAGTGACATATTGTAAAATTAACCCCGAGCGCCAAGCGGATCCCTTTTACATGCATTCATTGTGGATAAAATTAAAAGGCAAGAGAGAAATGTAATTTTCTCATTAGATCATTAGTTTATCATTCATAATCAATTTGGTAAAAGAATTTTAAACCTACCAAAATAAATAATATTTTCACAACCATCATTAGAGAAATGATATATTCTTTTAACCTTCATCCACTTCAATAATCCACTGATAAAATAACCCTTCAACGTATCATGTATTCATGTGTAAAAAATGATTTTCATTCAATATACAAGATAACCCATCTAGTGGCGGAGCCCGTTTGTAAAACTAGGTGTGTCCTATTTTCAAAATATAAAAATATAAATAAATATTTGATAATTAAAATTGAATGGAAACTAGCAGACTAGAAGAAGGAAAGCCCAGTAGCAGTCAAGCTTCATAGTTCTTGGACAAAATTGAATAGGGTAAATGAGAATAAAGAACTCAATTAGAGATTTATTTTAATTTAAGATATTATTTATAGGGTATAAATTAATTTTATATCAATCAAATAACAACCACTGACTTGTATTGTAGTGGTAAAATACTTTTATACTCTATAAATGCAATTAATTTGAATATTTGATTATATATAGGGATGTATTAATTTTTTTCCAAAACTTATCTGTGTCCCGGGACACATCCCAAACACCCTGCCTCCGCCTATGATCCCTTCTATCAAAATTCAAGTGTTGATGGTCCTGTAACTAGATGTATGTATTTAACATATAAACGAAAATGATAAAACAAAACTTTTCCAACTCTATGTGCTTATGACGCTACAATATGAGGTATACAATAAGAGTTGTACTGTATCGTAGTGATTAGTGAATGCTACCGACTTTAATTTGTCATTTTCATTGAAAAACTAAAAAAAAAGACCATTTGGATATACCACCAACATTTGAATTCACATATGAATAAAGGTATTAGTATTTCTTACTTTTACAAACATTTTCAGCCCATTGCGAAGTAAAGTCTATATCTACAAATTTCGAAAATTATTTAAAAGTTACAAAAGTAAAATACAAAAACAAACTTTTGAAAGATTAATAGCTACATAATCTCAGAATTCATTAACAAATGAGATGGTGGGTCCAAATTATAATCTAAAAATTAGTGAAGTTTATTAATCATTGACACACACTTATTAACCATAAGATCTTCATGATCTATCAATCATAACCCAGAAAGATTAACAGAAAAAAAAAAGGTAAAACGTAAAGCCATTTGCTACCCAACAGCACAACGGGTCCCCGGGTCAAACCGAAATCATGGAGCGGATCCTTCTTAAACCTAGACAACGAGGAACGATAGGACACGTGTCAAAAGAACAAGACTGTTACGCGAGTGTAAACTGTAAAGTGAAAGTAACTCACTCACAGAAGAAGAAACAACAGCGCAGATCGTGTGCCTCCGAACCGTTAATTATGGTGTGTTTGTGTTTTTGACGGACTCCAGTTCCGGGGTAGGGTTTGTTTGTTTCACTTTCTGAGCCACACAGACTCCGTTTCCCTTTTCCCCATATATTCGCATTTATATACCTAAACCTCTCTCGCACTCCCTCTTTGCTTCCTCTCCTCCATTGCCGTCCCTTCCTCCCTGAGCTCCGATCAAACAGAGAAAAATGAGCTCTCAGATCTTCAGATCTGCTTCCAGGGCCGCCAGGTCCCTTCTCTCCTCCGCTTCCAAGAACTCTCGCTTTTACTCCGGTTGGTTTCCTCATTTTGACTCCTGTAATCTTTCTCTTTTGAGTCGTTGATCGGCGGATTAATCCGTCGACGAGCAGGGTGTTTTTTTCCGTTTCTTTTTCCGTTCGGATTATCTGTTGTGATTTTCGATTTTCGACGATTTCTGATGGGAATGGAGCCGTTTTTATGGATGTAGAGGGACGAGCTGCAGCGGCTGCGGCGGCGGTTTCGTTGAGCGGGAAGGCGCCGCTCATCGTTTCGGCCTATGGAAGGACCGGCTCTGCAAATGCTCAGCAGTGGATTTCCGGAGCCCTTGCGATTCCCGTGGCAGGTTAGACTCCTTTCTGATCTGGTATACCTAATGTGTGGACGTTGTTTCGTCATTTCGTTGGAGTTCGGATCCACTAAAGCGCCAGTGACTTTCTTGATGTGTGATTTCTTGTTTGAATTGTTCAACTGTAATGAAATTCGTGTGGTCATAGAATTGCGAGATTAATGAATTGAGCATTGAAATGTGAGTAGTGAGGTTAGTTAGAGAATGGAGAGGAGCATTCACCTTGTTCAAGCCGTAGCAATTGGCGAAACCTCTAGTTTTTGGATTGCATTTCTATAACTAATACATAGATTGTTGTTTGTCTGTCAAATTGTTTGCACAGTTTAGGAGTAGAATCTAAGTATAATCTCTCCGATTCCTTTGGATTGTTGGTGATCAGCTGTCTGGTATTAATCTGGAAACTCCTCTGTTCTGTTCTGTTCTGTATGTGCAGCTTACATGCTCCAAGAACAGGAGGCCCGTGCTGCAGAGGTAATCAAAATAGCTCCGATTATCTCTAATGTTCTTTTCTTCTCTTCTTGTTAACATGTAATTGATGAATGCTAATTTTGCTCTCAGCTCGAGCGTACCTTTATTGCTATCAAGCCTGATGGTGTGCAGAGAGGACTGGTAAGATAGAGCATTGCATTTCCTTTGCTCTTATTTCTAACTTTCCCAGCTAGTAGTACGAGTCTAGCGCTTCTTTGTCATTTCCTTGTGTGTTCATAAATGATACATCTACGTTCAAATGTGATTTTTTTATTTCCAGATTTCAGAAATCATTTCCCGATTTGAGCGCAAAGGTTTCAAGCTTGTGGCAGTCAAGATAGTGATTCCTTCCAAGGACTTTGCTCAAAAGCACTATCATGACCTGAGCGAGAGGCCATTCTTCAATGGCCTTTGCGACTTCCTGAGCTCTGGTCCTGTTTTGGCCATGGTACGACAAGACACCCAACTTCTCCATGTCTAGTATGTTTTCTGTATAATGTTAGAGTCAGACAAAGACCATTTCACTTGTGCAGGTGTGGGAAGGTGAAGGTGTGATCAAGTATGGTAGGAAGCTCATTGGAGCCACAGATCCTCAGAAATCTGAGCCCGGGACTATTCGAGGTGACCTGGCTGTCGTCGTTGGAAGGTATGCATTTTGATCTCTTTTTCTGTCACATGTTGTTACTTCATCACATGATTCCTCTCATCTCATCTCATCACATCGTCCACTGCTAGGAACATCATTCATGGAAGTGATGGCCCGGAAACCGCAAAGGACGAGATCAAGTTGTGGTTCAAGCCGGAAGAACTGGTTAACTACACGAGTAATGCTGAGAAGTGGATCTATGGAAACAATTGATGACGATGATGATCATTTCCCCCCTTTACATTGAATTTTCTTTCTCCAACTTTCGTCCAGGGAGATTAGATGCCACACTAGATTGTGGTTAGAAGCAGAGAATTGCTAGAATAAAAAGTACTGTTTCTTTTGCGTTGAGCTTCAATAGGGTTTATATGCGGTTTGAATACTTCCCTTGAGAGTTAAGCATTCAGGAATAAAGAATCCGATTCCGTCCACTTTCCTCCAGGGTGGGCATTCGGTCGGTTCGGTTTCGACCGAACCGAAATTATGAATATCGGATCCCCGAATTCTCTCAAATCTCAAATCGATTTCGAACCAAATTATAATTCGGTTCGGTCTGTTTAAATCACATTATAATTCGGTTTGGTTTGGTTTTCAACACAAAACCGAATTTGTGAGGCTACTTGTATCTTCTCACTTTTAAATTATTTTTCACCCCTAATATAAACAATAAATATGCAATTATATGCACCATCAATGATAAAATCACACTTTTCAACACATAAGTCATAAAACATTTCAAATATTTAAGTATTAAAACAACTACAAACATAAAAATTCACCATTTGGATGTTGCAATTATAGTATTTCCGTTTTTCAGTCGGAAATACGAAATTTCGGTTTGGTTGAAAGGAATCTGGTTTCCGAAATATCCATATTTCCCTTCCGAATTCCGAACCGAATAGGATTATTTCTGTTTCGCTTCGGGTTTACCGAACCGCTTGCCCACCACTACTTTCCTCCCCTGGCTCCCCACGTTCTCGAGGTTGCCCTTACAGTGAACATATACGTTGGTCTGTTTGTTATGGAGTGACGGATTCAAGTTGTCTATCAGGACTGTCACCACTGGCTGTGTCACCTGGGATTTTACCAAATGGTTCTAAGGGTTCCGGGCGTGCTATGCATTGCGGTTGTGAATATGGTTTCAGCTTTTAGTTCTTAAGCTGTCAATTTGGTTTGTTAATTCTCATGGTCAGGTGTATGACGGTAAAGTTGAGAGATTTTTTTTTGTTCCAGTCCGATGCAGGCGGAAGTTTTTTGCCTTGTTGAATGCAGTGATTCTGGTGGCTCGGGATCCTTGCCCTATATCTATCAAATCTTATTGTCAGGTTTTGGTAAATGCGTTGAGGCAGGTTTTAAACTTGTGGCCATGACAATGTTGGGCTATCTTAGCTCGTATCATCACCATCCTCCTTGCGGCTCCCTAGGTGAGGGTGAAGTTTGTTCTCTGACGTCTCAATTCACTTGCCGATTGGGTTGCTCATAATGCTAGACTTGACTTTTTTTCATGAGATTGTGTTGTGTTTGTTGATCTTATTTCTCCACTGCGGTAACAAACTTTGTTTTTCCTGATTCTAATTGGAATAAAGATGCCACAATTTGTTAAAAAACAAAAAATTATGAAAAACAAAACCAAATGAGGTATTCCCAAAAATCAAAGTCAAAATCATTATGTGGCAAGTCCGTTTTCGTTTAGGAGTAAACGGTTTTGGTTTGGTTTAGATAAATCAAAATACAAATTTATAATTTGGGAAGCCCAAAAATAGAGCCGGTAAAGAAAACAAGAAGCATGGAGATAGGAAAAAAATCTACTACACATAAGTTGCTGACAATGCGTGTTATTGATGAGTATTGACTTAATTAGTGTGATACGAGTTCCTAAAATATTTTTCAGTTTTATCCGAAATCAAAACTATTAAAATTTCAAGTGTTTTAAAATAAAAAATAAAAACCGTTAACATTCTTATCGATTTTATTTTAAAACTAAAAAAAAAATCAAAACCAAAATTTATAGTCTCGACTGTTAAGCATTGAATCTAGCACTGTTATTCACTTATTGTGGAATGAATATTCTTCCATTATAAAAGACTAATAATTTCATAAAGGATTCACACAGTTAGTTCTACAAAAATGAGGACACAACTATTATTGATGGTGTTTTGCTATTAAAATAGCGAGAAGTTTATGAAAATCACTATGGGGTCGTTTGGATCCAGAAATGTGGGCAGGGATTTAGCCCTAATTCTGGCCCGTCCAGGAATTTAAACCATTTTTCTGTTTGGATAGCTAAAAAAAGGACAGAGATTTGGGCCTCTAGGTTTTTTAAATTCGGCCAAACCCGGAATTTGAAAATGCTGCCAGAGCTCAGGTATTTTAAAATTCCGCCCCAATTTTTTTTATTCTTCCAAGCGTGTCCCTGCGTGGCTGCGAGAGAGACGACCGACGACGACATGTCCCGACTCATCTCCTTTCTCCTCCTCCGACGTGTCCCGACGAACACATCCTCCTCCACCGCCGCCCTCAACTCATCTTCTTTATCCTCTTCCTCCGCCGCACTATGCTTTTCTTCCCCTGCGCCAGTCAACAGGGAATTCAGATCTGGAACCCGAATTTAGATCTGCGACCGCCCACGACGAGACTAGCGAGGAATACGGAGGCTCGTGAGGTCGCCCGAGGACGCAGATTATGGCTACAGCGAAGATGATGAAGAAGATGGATTTGCAGCAGTCACGCTGCCAGGGTTGTGATTTGGCCATTTGGGGTTGTGCGGTTTGTGGATTTCGTATGCGCCGGCGTCGGGGATAGTGATGGCGATGGCGGTGAGTTGAGATATTGAGAAGCAGGCGAAAACCGACGATTGGAAGGCGTGGAATGGGATCGGAACTTGGGGGGAAGGGAAGTTAATAAAAAAGTGAGAACAAAATGGAAAAGTGAGGGTTGGGCGGCAGAGGAAGAGAAGTGGGTTACGAAGAAAAAGTGCCAAAAAGGGGAAATGAGTATGTTGCTATTTGGGGTTGGGCGGCAGAGGAAGAGAAGTGGGTTACGAAGAAAAAGTGCCAAAAAGGGGAAATGAGTATGTTGCTATTTGTCAATAAAGACAAATTTCTTGATTGATGAAATTCTTAGTAGTAAGCAAACAGATAAATTGGTCAAATTCCTTGTTTAAAATCTCTGGTTTTCTAGGAATTAAGTCCAAATCACTTGTTTAAACATTTCCCCGTCCAAACGACCCCTATATTATTATGGATCAACATATTCTGAACCCACCAAATAAACCAGCATATCTTGTGAATAATACTATCCACAAAATGAAAATGAAAAATTAACCTCAATGAGTCGGTTATTTTGCAGCTAAACGACGTCTAGCTTCCTACTCGACTTGGGTGCTCACTGCTACATAGGTAATTAGGTATAACACGGGAACTCAGACTATCTACCGTACGCCGTTGCGCAGGTGATTGCCTCCTTAAGCAGATGTTTACAAGTAAAAGGCGGTGCTGCCGGTTGGTTATTTATTGTTCCCTTTTCACTATCGTCTTTCTAACACAAGCGGCAAACCTAACAAACGGAGCAAAACTCCGGAAGTAATAATTTCTTAATCCATCGGGCTTCCGTCCTATATATAACTCAGTTACTCGTGCGTGCATCTTCTATCAACTAGTTTACTTGGTCGCTTCTCGCCGAAGAATAGCTGTTTTGCTACTGGGACGAAGAAATCACTCGTTGCGCTATAGTGCTTTGGAACTGCTTCACGGAGCGCTTAGCCCTAACCCTAAGCTCCCAGTTTGCGGCCGCATTCCCCCGTCTCTCTCTCTCTCGCATCCGTCCTCCGGTTTAGCCTTCCTCGCGTAACTGGTACGTTGTGGCGGATTTTGTACTACGCTTCGTGTTTCTGCCTTTGCGTTTGTGGCTTTCCTGAATCGTTTCGCTTGGGGGAATGCCCGCACGTTTCGTTGATTCGTTCGTCGTGTGATGGGTGATCGATGAATTGGTTCTCTCGTTCTAAACCCTAATCCTATTAGCTTCTTAGGATGAGAGGGAAACTCTTGCGGTGATCTGTTGCTTTTGGCGGTTTGCCCTGGACGCGTTGTGCGCGAGTAGTCTGGAATCAATAGATTGTTTTCTTGTAAGTCTTGGAGCTTCAGGCTGCAGACGTCGTTTGGCTATGCTTTGTTGAAGAGCCGATTTCTGAGTGGATATCAGTGCGGTAATTGGCGTGGCTGCTGATGGTTGATTGATAGATTCGTTAATTATTGAGTTCTACAATCGACTAGGTTTTGTTGTGCTCATGGTTGTGATTTGAGATATCAGAACTAAATTTCATTCCTGAAACAATCTCAGCGAGAGATACTATGTACCCCTGGTCGGTTTTGATTCAAGGGTGGTTCTCTTTCCTGTGTTTGCATGTGTCCTTCTTGCTCTTTAGGACTGGAAACCTGCCACTTCCTTCTGGATGTGTTCGATATGTTATTTCGAAGAGATTAGAAGTTCCAATGGTTGCATAGTGTTAGTTTCTATACGTGACCGGGTTTCGTATCCTTTTTTCACCCCAGATGGCGACCAAACCACTCACTCATGAAGAGATTGCCAATACAGAGAAGAAACTGGACATGCCCTTAGGTATGCCAACCTTGATTCATTGGATAGAGTTTCAGCTTTACTGTTATACGATTGCTCATGACTTGTTCTTGTTGTGCTCTATTAGATGACATCATTAAATTGTCGAAGACTTGTACAACAAAGCCAAACAAGCAACGCAGGGCTCCGGTAAGAGAGTCTGTTCATGACAAATATCCTTCGTGTTTGGTTCTATGACCTTGCTGTTGGATTTGCTAACATGGCAAACATGTTCTATCTGTAGAACAAAAACCAGAGGATGTTTAACAATTCTGTTCAAGAAAAAGCTTTGAAGGTGCAGAGGTATATGGCTTCTAGGCCGTTTGTTCGACAGGTAATGATCTTGTGTAACAATTCTGTAAGTTTGTCCTATCTCCTGCATTGCTCTAATATTAATCAGCGCATTGTGCATCTTATTCAACTTGGTGATCAGGGGGCTTTAGCCCAGAAGAGGTCAAATTTTCAGGGGAATCATTTTCCTATAGCAAAAGAGTTTGCACAAAAGGCTGCAGTTGTTCCCCTTCGCAATAGGCCTTTCGAGCGTAATGTGATGTCTAATCCAAACAAAGCAAGGTATTTTTCTGCTCTATCTCAAGATTCTGCAGTTGTGCTACCAGCTATGAACTATATGAGTTGTCTAGGAATGTATATTTGATATATCATCTATTCACACTCTCATCACTGCACCATGTCTTATTTCAGGTAATTCAATTTTCTGTGGCCTGTGGTATTCAAGTTAAATGTTGCTTACCGACACATATTATTGTGGTACTTCCGTTCATGATTGGTCATGTTCAAGTGGCAGTATTGGGGGTTGTGCTACTACTGGTGAATTTCCATCATTATTGGCCACAATGGATTGCCTAACTGGTTGGTGTTAAGCATTGGTTCTGGATTGTGTTACCTGTGACTTGGGTAGTTAGTGGAGCTGGTGGATTTATTTCGGTAGTGGGGTCTTAGTCGAGGGAAACAAGTTGTGGAGGCAAACTACTTTTGCTTAGAATCTCTATCGCTCTTTGTTGGTTACGGAAGCATTGCATGTGCAGATGTTGATTATGGAAGCATTGCATGTGCTGATGTTGAAGTGAGTTTACAAGGAAGTGATCCACCTCAACTGAACAGATTAATGATCTAAGTTTCTGATTGGTTGTGCATCTCCAATTACCATCTAATCACAGAGCCGAAGGGTTAGATGTTGTTTCTCATCTGGACACGTTGTGAACCCTTGTTCACTACTTTTTGGTCAGCCTGGTCTTCTAAAATTATGTCGGCCTCTATGTTTATTGGTGCTTTGCTTTTCAACCTGTGGTGAGGTCTGCTGTATTTCTTTGGTCATCTTCTGAGGTTGGTCATAATGATCCTTCCATGCTGCATTTGTTCTTCCCACCTGCTCTCCTAGTCTCCTTAACACCTAGAGTTAAGGGTGACCTGGTACCAAAGGGGGGAAAATATGGTTCACCATGCCTAAGTTTGTTTTTGTATATAACACCAGCAAATGAAGTCCAACTCCTTCCATTGACTTCAGCACTTATGCACGTTGGTCAGCATGATTTTCCAGAGATTACTTTCCTTCTCATGTGAGCCAGCCCTGATGGCTTAATTCCCGATTGGCATTCTTTCATGTAGTAACAGACAGTGGTTGGTTGGAGGGCAGTTCTTTAAGGTTCATTGCACAACAGATTATTGGTTGTGGGGAGTTCTGGAATTTGTTTCCTCTCTGTTGTTGTGAAGTTTGAGCATAATATTTGCCGGGAGGTTTCCGTGTAGGGTGTATTTGTCTGAAATGCGCTTCTGATTATTCTGGGGGCGCTTGCTTCTCAAGCACTGAGATTTGTTCATGAACTCCAGCGAGGCACAGTACTGCAATATGTTTTTGGGATCGCAACTCTGTGGAAGTTCTTTTGAACATGTTGTTTCAACAAGCCATCTAAGTTTGAGTCTTAAGTCAGGATTGTAAATATTTCTATGAAATGGAAATGATAGGGTGTATTTTGATTCATTTGGATGTAATGTTAGTCACCTGAGTAGGACTTGGATCTTATTGTTGCAAGAGATTCTACAGTGCTGGCTAGTTCTGTGACAGTTGATATCTGTGTTGCTCTTGGAGAAGAAGCTTGGTGCTCCTGTAGGTATTGCTCTCTCTGGTATCCATCTTCAAACTGGCGTCAATTCTTTCTTTGTGATGTTGTGCATGCAGGGTGAGGGAGGGATATTTCATGGCAAGGAGGGGTGAAAATGGTGCTTTCGCTGCAAAGGTACTCTCCTTTAATTTTTTTTTTTTTTTGTCTCCCTGTTGAATACCTACTCGAATGTTATGTAAAAGAAGATGGTATTGACTCTGCACTTTTGTCTGTGCTTCTTTGCAGCCACTTCAAAGGCAACAGCAGCAGGGCGATGGGGGCATGAAGCAGAGGCCACAGACTCTGGATGCAATGTTTGCTAATATGAAGGAGCAAAGGATGAAGGCCTTGTTGCAGCAGAACAATGCTGCCCGACGTAACAATGGTGCACGGCAGAACAATAACAATTGGGGACAGCGTAATCGTAACACCAGCAGAACAGGGGTTCCATGGGCAAGGAGTCATTTTGCTTGAGTCAGTCAAGTCCTGTTGAAGGACCTCTTACAAGTTACAACATTGAGAGCTCCCAATTCCAGTTTTTTTGTACATGGTTTTCTGACTTCCTCCTCTCTCCCCTTTAGACTTCGAATGCTGTGGGAAATAGATTAGCTGTTTGGTTTGTACTTCTTCTATCGGGAGTTTTCTTAATTTGTTTGTAAACCATACTCTTATGCCTCGGTTCCCTCGATTTGTTCGAGCTGGGGATTTGTCAATTTAGTTCATGTTTCTCAGAGGTTTAGGGGCCTTCTCTGAATCGTTGCTACAGGTTCAGCTGCTACGTCTTCCTTTGCAATTCAGCTGCGCGATTTTTGCATACGCTGGCATGTCTCTTGTTTCCCGTGTATATGTGTCTATCAGTCTGATACGGAGTTGACCACGAGTTATTTTTAATATTAATCCAGGGTTAGTGGTTTGTTATTTTAATGCAAATGATGGCAGTTATGTGTCGGTGGCTATTTTTATTTTTATCTTTTCCGGAGGAAGGAGGGGGAGCTTTAGAAGGCAGGAAAATGGGATGGGTTTTCTCCTGATCTCAATTTTTGTAAAAAATAAACAATAATTAAGGGTGATTTCGCATAACAAAAAGATTAAATTGATACCACATGTTAGATTGATTAATGGTAATTCAAGTGAGTAAAAATTTAACGATTTAATTATTATATTGTATATCAAAAGATTTTACTATTATTTTCTGTGAATAAAATAGGTTTGTCTATTGATTTGTTTTAGGCTTTTAGCATAAGAATTTCAACCACAACATTGCTTTCAGCTTGGAGGTATGCAAGATTAGTAAGAGTACAAATCATCACCTCTTCCATCTCTATAACTAGATAGAGGTTGGAAGGAAGAAGGAATTGGGGGATGGATGGGAGCGGAGAACAATAAAAAAGCAAGGAGATTAATTTTCTCTCCAAATTAGTAATATTGAGCATTTTTTGAATTATATATTTTCTCACCAAAAAAAATATATAATTGATAGCGAGTGACACCCCTTAAATTTGAAAAAATAATTATCCTACTGTCATTTGTGTATAGGAATATAAGTGGTAGGCTGGATAATTTAAATCTAAAACACTATTATTATTAATTAACTTAATTTTCGTTGAGCTAAACTCATTTATTGTTCGATTTTGAACAATGTGTAATAGTAAAATGGCATTCCCTATCTCTTAATATTTTAAAAACCTAACAATTAAACTAATTTCAAACTACCATTAATTTGTATTGATTTTATGATTGTACGGCAAATGTTGAAAGAGTCTTTCAACTTTGAGTTACATCAAGAACAAATTTACAAATCGAATGTGCGATAAGTTCGTGAATGATTGTCTAATAGTGTATATAGAGACAATTTTTTTAAACACTATAGACACCAAGTGTATTCTACAATTATTTCCGAATATGAAAACACATCATGGATTTTTTAACCTGTACGAGTAATGTATTTTCATATTTACAATTTTATTTTTATTAATTTATTTATTTTTATTTAATTTATTTTTTAAAAGAGGACACCCCTATAAAAAATTTCTGGGTCCGCCACTGGGTGCAATTCAATGTGACTTCCCATAAAGTCACCCATCATTGTTGTACTCCGCACATAGCACGTTTAACTTCGAAGTTCTTGTGAGAACTCCTCCGTTTCACCCTTAATTTTTTCGACTAAGATATTGTACACTTTGACCCTCGACTCTCACGGTTTTTGACTTGGGGTGCAATTCAAAGTGACTTATCATAAAGTACCCATTCTTGTTGTACTCCGCACAAAGTATGTTTAACTTCGGAGTTGTCATAAAAACTCCTCTGTTTCACTTCAAAACGCGTATTGTCAATTAAAATTAATTTCTTTAGTGTGAATCATAAATCTCTCATATACTTAGATGTGAAATTCGCCCAATATGTTACAATATACATGAATCAATAAACTTGACTTGGACCATTAAACTTCGTCTCGTTTACGTTCTTCCCCTTCTTTTTTCTTTTTTTTGGTAAGAACGTTCTTCCTTCTTTGATCCTTCGTCGACACACTATTCACGTTCACTTCCCTTACCCGTCTTCGCCAGTTTATCTCTCCATCGTCTTCTTATCAAGCAAATTACCAAGTCAAAACCCCAACCGCTCCCCCGTCCGCCATGGAAAGGCCACCGGCGAAGAAGCGGCGAGAGAGCAAGAACCATCAAGAAATCCCAAATCCGATCAATTCCAATTTCTCCTCTCTCAATCCTCCCACCAGCACCAGGGATCCTATTCCCTTCGATGTAATCTACGACATCTTCACAGCCCTCCCGGTAAAATCCCTAGTCCGTTTCCAGTTCCTCTCCAAATTCTGCCATTCCATCATCAACGACCAAACCTTCGCCCGCTCCCACCGACCCATTACCAAACCGGACTCCGGCCTCCTCATCACTTTCCCCACCAAGCTCCAAACCGCTCAAACATTCTACATCTCCGGCCTCAACGGCGGCTCCGCCACCCACCGCCTCACAATCCCGCCAAGATTCTCGCGCTACACCACCCACTCCATCAACGGCATCGTCTGCTTGGACTTCGGCCTCACCGCCGTCGTCTGTAACCCGAGCACGGGGCGTTCCACTACGCTTCCTTTTGTCTCGAACCCACGCGCGACTCCCGCTCCTCCCACTTATTACTGTGTGAATTCATTTGGGTTCGATCCGATTTCCCAAAATTACAAGGTCTTGAACTCGTGGAGGATCCACGGGAAGCAGGAGACGGAGTACAGAGTGTTCACCGTTGGCGGGACGGCGACGTCCTGGAGAGAGCTGGAGAGTGGGCCTCCTTACTACCCTCAGCGGGAGAGCCTTTGCTTGAACGGGGTAGTGTATTTCAGGAGCTGGGGAGATTCGAGCAAGCGAGCGCAGGCCGTAATGGTGGCGTTTGATGTTCGTGAAGAAAGTTTCAAGGAAATCCAACTCCACAGGAATGCACCGTTAGATGCTGCTACATCTTGTCTGGCGAAATTGGGAGGCCGTGTGGTTATAGCTAAGTTTGTTCAAGTTCAACAGGATGCTAAGCTGACGTTCTGGGAGTTGGACGATTCTTCTCGCAAATCTGTTTGGGTGGAGCGCAGCTTTTTGTTCACTTCGTGGACGCCGGCGGTGGATTCTTCATTGTTCGTGGTTGTTGGACAGGCTTCTGGCGGTGATTCAGCAGAAGATGAGATTGTGATTGCGCCGAGGGTACTGTCCAGCCCTCTGCTACTGTGTTACTACAATCGTGTGAAATCAACGTTCAGATGGGTTGAGGTCTCTGGCTTGCCTCCTTATGATCCATTTGATCTCTCTAGTAATTCTGTTATGGTGACCAATTATGAAGAGAACATATGGCCAATTGCCCCTGCTTCCAAATCATGACATCTTCAGCAACAGATGCTCGCTGCTGTCGCTGAATGCATTATTGCGTATAGATAGAGATGAAAAAGCTGATATATTTAGTTGTTATTAGTACTTACAATTGATTTTGGTTTATAGGTTTTGTTGCAGATTTTCTTGTCTATCAGGAAAACCAGCAACTAGCTATTTTAGGTTTCCATATCATTGACATTGCAGACTCTGGTTTAATTGGCTGATGTATGATACTTTTGAGACTTCTGAATTCTGAACGTCTAATGATACAAGTTGACGAAACCACATCGAGTTGACAGTAGTGCCTGCCTGCACTATTCTGCTTTATACAAGCTCTGAGCATTCTTTTGGAAATAGTGATTTTATGACCTTCAAATGAAGGGAAAATCTATTCCAAGAATAAGATTTTCTTGGGTTTTTGTTTGGAAGGGAAATGGCAGAGAACTGGGTTGAAACAGGAAGTAAGAAATGAAGAAAAGAGCTGCATATGCAATTACAGAATTACCATCTGGATTCTGGACTGCAACTCCTCATCTAAATACACGAAGTGAGTGATTTGTGCAAGTGAAGCCACCATCAACCATCAGATTATCACCACTGACATACCTCGCTTCATCACTCGCCAAGAAGAGCACAGCATTGGCCACATCATCAGGTGTCAACCCAACCCCTTTCAAGTTGGCATGCTTCTCAGCAAAAGCTCTAAACCCATCCATGGCGTCCTCAGTTCTTTCGTCCTCCGGCAAGTGAGCCAGAGCTAACCCGGTTGGGACGGCATAGGGAGAAACACAGTTGACCCTGATGCCATGCTTCCCAAGCTCAGCAGCAACACTCCTCGTCAAACCAAGGACAGCGTGCTTCGACCCAGTGTAAATGTGAGGGCCGAGTCCACCTGTCGTGCTGGCCGCACTGGACAAGTTCACAATCGAGCCTTTCTTGGATGGGATCATTGCTCTCGCTGCATGTTTCATCCCCAGAAAGGTGCCTTTCACATTCACGTCGAACACCAGCTCATAATCCGATAACTTGGCGTCTCGGATATCTGCACAAGGTGGACCTGTTACCCCAGCATTGTTGACCAGGATATCAAGGGCTCCCAATTTCTCGATGGTGAAGTCCACGGCTCGAGAAACGTCGTCTTCTTTCGTGACATCGCAGTGGAGGTAGTAGGTGTTGGGTTCGCCGCCCAGGGAGTCGCAGACGTTCTTTCCGAGGTTGTCTTGCAGGTCAACTATACAGAGCTTAGCTCCGTGTTTGTGGAAGAGGCGAGCGATCCTCTCTCCGATCCCGCTGGCTCCTCCAGTGATCAGTGCTACTTTCCCTGATAGCCTGGGAAAGGAAACATGGGGAAGCTTAAGATTCAACGAACTGAATCTGTATCCATTTGAGCAACAATTTTTAAGATCTGAGCTTCATAGGCAGTACCCAGTAAGATATAGATTGGTAGGTATGTAAAGACCACCAGACAAAAGAGATGCAACTCATTTTTTGTCTCTGATTCAGCCTCTCCATTCACGAAACATTAAAAACCGAACCACTACGCACTAAAAAACTCAAAGAAGAATCTCCAAACCCAGAAATTCGAAATACGCCACACAAATAAGAGAATCATTACAGAGAGAAGTCAAGGAGCCAACTTCACTACCAGAAGTGGAAGATATTTAAGAGGAGAGCAAGTAAATGTGAGAAGCAAACGAATGGCAGCGCAAACAATAGGGGCAAGAAGGCAGACAGACCCAGGAAAACAAGTAAAGCAGAAAAGGGAATTGAACTTGCTTGGTTACCTTTGGTTAGAAAGGGTAGAATCAATGGAGGTGCTTGAGGCCATAGCTGAGCGACAGAAACAATAATACGAAGAAGAAGCACCGTTTTCTAGCTGTGGCCTGTGGCTATGATCCGTCTAGTAGAAAGGAGTCTTCTGAAATGTATAAAGATACGGTTTTTAGGACTACGGTTATCAAGAGTTCATAAAAAAAAAATTAAATTTAATAACATCAAGGGGTTGTAGCTCATATGGTAGAGCGCCCGCTTCGCATGCGGGAGGTACGGGGTTCGATTCCCCGCAGCTCCATTTATTTTTATATTTTTGCACTCCACCGACGGAGTTGCCCTTTCATTCCCCCGCCAGTTTCAGCCTCTCGTTCCTCATCCTTTCTTTCGGCAGCTCTACTACCCAATTCTCCTAAAGCCGGAACTCCGCCATTTCCCGAATTTCGAACTCTCCCCGTCGTTTTCTAACCGATTCCGATCAACGAACAATTCTCAGTGCTATGACTCTCAACTTGGGTTCCCCAACGCTCTATCGCCTCCTCCACCCTCCCGCTCCTCACCTCTCCAAGCTCCGCGACGCCTCTCTTCCAACCAACACTCTCCTTACTCTCTTACTAGCCACCGCCGCTGGCTTCCGAACCACCGGCTTCCGCGCCTCTCCTAAAACCTTTAGAGCCAGAGCTTCGCTCGGCGAAGCAGCCGCCGCCTGCAACTTGTTCGAGGACAATGCGTTGCTCCTACGAGTCTCTTCTGCTAAAGACGCCGATGAGGCCTTGGAGATAGTAGCTGAGCTGACGCAGCGGAGCAGCGGCGTGGTTGGCGTGCAAGACTGTTGTTCGATTATAAACGCCGCGCTTGATCGGAACAATTTTGAGCTGGCCTTGTCTGTTTTCTACGCCATGCGTTCGAGTTTCGATCAAGGTATGGTGCTTGCTGCAGCTAGGTGAATCGAATTTTTTGAAGTTTTTTGTCCGCAATTCAATTGAACTGAGTACTGGATTTTGCCAACTTAGTTGTTAGTGAGAATGACGGTTTGGTTCAGAGATGGAAATGGTCGAGGCCGGATGTTAGTATTTACACGGCTTTAGTGCGGGGCCTCGCTGCGTCGTTGAAGGTCTCGGATGCGCTTAAAACGATTGATTACATTTGTCGAGTCGGAGTGTCTCCTAGTGAAGAGGTGAACAGCCTTTCTTCACCTGCCATAGTTTGATTCTGTTTTCTGGCTTCAATCTGTTTCTCAAGTTAGCTACGATTCTGATAATCTTGTGAGGATTTGCAGGTGCCTTTCGGAAGGGTTGTTAGGTGTCCGACTTGTTTCGTTGCTGTTGCAGTTGCACAACCACAGCATGGGGTTCAGGTAATACATACTCGAGCTTTGGCGATTTGGTCGTGGCGAACGAGTCTCAGTGGTTTGGTTGAAATTTGCCTTTGAAGCGAGTGCTTTAGCTTCTGGAATAATGGGCATTCTCACTGCAGATTGCATCCTGTTCCAAGTGCCGCTATCAGTACGAGCTAGTTTCTGGAGACATAACTAGTATCAGCTCAGAAGAAATCAGGTTGGTGTATAGAAGTGCTACGATCAAGCTACTCATCTGGTGTGACCTGTAGCCATGCATTGCCTTTCCCTGCTTCAGCATGACCAAGTAAATGCTTGTGTATGTTGTTGATCCTGAATTCACTTTCTCTAAGGAACTCCCTCCTGCCGAACGCAGCATGGATCTTCCTGCATGGGAAAGAGGGCTAAGGTTTCTGCAAGTAATGAAGCGAAGAATTCCTGCAGCTGTTCATTCTATTGTGGTTAGCTTTCTCGTCTTGGAATGCTTAGTCTTGATTCGCATGTTTCACACTTTTGCCAATGGATTTTAGAAAGGAGCATTGTGATGTTCTGTCGATTGAAATTCCAAATGTTAATTTCACTTAGTTCATTGTTGGTAAGGCTTAGGATGCATGAATTTGAGGAATCTTTATGATTGCTACTGAGAAGCTATGCCCTCTTAAAGCCTCAGTTTCATGTCTAAAACCCCTAGAATGAGCTTATATTTGCATGTTTGATTAGTTTACCGGCTTGTGTATCATAAATTCTCTTAGCTGCTAAGCTTGAGTTGTCAAGCATTTCTTCAATTATGCATTTGTTTACCCTTCTCAGGTACAGACACCTTCTGGTACAGCACGTACACAAAGGTTTGCTACTGAAACAGTCGATCTCCCAGCCCAAGAAGGGGAAAGGGTAACTATTGCATCAGCTGCTCCATCCAATGTATACCGAAGCGTGGGACCCTTCAAATTTAGTCCAAAGGCCTCTAATGTCTATCCCGGGGAGCCTATGTGCCTTACCAACCATGTTAATGGCCGGGAGTCTCCACTGTTGAGAGCTCCTGCGAAAGATGGGAGACTATCCTTGCTTAATCCTGCTGTGCTTATTCCTCTTGCTGCAGTTCTGGCAACTGGAGATGTTGCATCAGGAATGGTTGACCCCAGCTTACCTCAGTTACTTTCAGTTGCTGCGTTTACATCTGTTAGTGTTGGGGCAGCCCTAAATACGTTAGTTTTGCCTCAGATGAATCAGGTGAGCTGCCATCTTTGTTGTGTAGACACCTGGTATTAGGCTTTTCAGCTGGCTTCCTGCAGTCTTATGAGATTACTAATGTTGTTAAGGCTCTAACTTTTGTACACTTCTTCCTTCCTATAAACTTGTGCTCTCACACTGTATGCTCACTTTTAGATACTCTGTTGCTCTTCCCCTTATCAGGTTGCTTTTTCTTTTAAATTCAGCTCTTAGTTTTGATCTGACCTGAATATCTAGTGTAGGGAGGAGGACGTGTGCTGCTTTAAGTGCACACTCCTATTTTACCTTTTGCTCTGCAAACCCTCTGTTAGTATTCTTAGGAAAACCTTTTGTTGGAGCTTTTATGACTACTTCTTTCTGCTTGTGTGAATCTGATGCTTGAAATTTCTAAAATAGCTTTTGGGAACCTTTGTTAAACTTTGTAGGGATTAGCATTGAGAGATTCTTTGTGCTTCTTATTTGCAGCTTCCTCAGAGGTCAGCTGATGCCATATCTATCAAACAGCAGCTATTGTCTCAATATGACGTCCTCCAGGCCCGCATCAAGGATCTAAAAGAAGCTGCTGAAAAGGAGGTATAGTCCTGCTGAAGCTCAGTCACAGCTTATGTAGTTTTTCCTATGCCCTAGGCGAGCCAAGCTACCTTCGGGATTGGAAATAAAATTGTAAATTCATAGTATGACTACTGCCTGATGAATGATATTCTTCAGCAGTCATATTATTGGGAAGTTAATTGGTTGCTTTGTCTAGGTTTGGATGTTAGCTCGCATGTGCCAGCTCGAGAACAAGATATTTGCTGTAGGAGAACCTTCTTATCGGTGAAAATCTAACATTGCTAAATTTAATTCTTTTGAGATGAAACTCTGATGAGCTTCATAAGTATATGATCTAATGATTTGGATCTTTCCAGTGCCAGAAGAACTAGAGTGAAAAAGGTCCGTGAAGGCTTGGAAGACTCCCTCAAAGGGCGGATTGAACTTATTGACAGCTATGCTAGAGTATGTTATCATCTTTGACCAACAAATTACGTAGCTATCAAAGATTCCATTCCCTCTTTGAACTTATTGAGTGGCTCGTTTATTTCAGATTTCCTCAATGATTGAAATTGAGGTAGAAATGGACTCTGACGTTCTTGCTGCTGAAGCGGTTGGCAATGCAGTACGTGATAACAGTTGAACATTTTATCCTTCCTAATCTCAAAATGTTTAATAATAGCTTACTAGAGAATTATTGGTTTCAGGAAAGCATTGCTGAACAGATAGAGCAAATCATGGAGCTGGAAGATCTTGAAGAGGTACACTCTTTAATCCTTAATTCTTCTTATTTTTTCCACTGTGATTTTAGGCAAGGTGAAAACAGATTTATGCGCACTCTAGAAGGCTGAATGATAGATTTCTCGGCCAATCTTGGAATCCTAGGCTTTATGGTTTCGGGGTTAGGGGAAGCTGATAAATGAAACATGATCTGTTCTAGTTATGTAACTTTTTTGGATTAAATGACTGATGGAATCCTTGGATAAGCAATATTACTTCTCTGGTTTTGCTGTTATTCAAAAGAATGATTAATTTACTTGCTCCATTGTAATTCTGCTATCCCCGGGGTATTCTTTTTTCCAACTGTCAAATGTTCTACTTTGTTGAAATCAGAGGTGGAAGCTACAAGCAGAAGCAAATGATGAAGCCGAAAGACTCCTTGGTTCTCAAACAGTGCCTGCCGAATGGCTTTAAATTACTGCTCATCACACACACAGATATTAACCAATCCCAACACCCACAATTTCTGGTTGACATACGCCTTCTGCGCCAACGGTAAAACCAGCTTCACTCGTAGAAACGAGTATCCTAGAGACGCTGAACGTTTTCCAGGATCATCGGTCGTGTTCCCAAGCAGTAGCGAGTAGAGATGGACAAAAACCTGCTCTGCCTTGGGAACTATGCTGCCGCAGCTGCTGAGGTACTGTACTTAATACGAATTACTGCAAATCTACTCTTTTAACGTTCAAGGTTGCCCCCCCGTCTCCCTTAAGTCATCCCATAATATTGTAAATGTTAGCTTCTGTCTTGCAGTCTTGGAAATGTACTCGTATTGAAATCTGAATGAGCCTTCTCTTGGTAAGACTTCTTTGGTGGTTGTCATTTATACATGATTTTAAGAGATTATGTATTTCGTAGATGGAATCATAAGAATGTGTTCTGTGATAGTTTGTTGGAATTGCAACGGTGGAGTGTGAAAAGTGAAGTGTTTGGTTTTCGTACTAGATTCAGGCAAGAAAGATGACGATGAATTGTCACAACCATGTGTGTTTTCAGAATCCCTGATTATCAGACAACCTCTCTTAATCTTATTGCTTGGACGGTTCACTTTTAAGCCGACCGCTTGGTTCGATGAATTACCTTGTGCTAGGAGCTTGTGATCTCACTTTGCTTGTGTTTCACGAAACATTTCCTCACGTTTTACAATGTCCAGCTGGACGGTTTATATCCATATATCATACATGTAGAAAAGTGGTCCTTGTATTGATTGACGCAGAGAAGAAGAGGCAGTTAAATTTTTGACAAGGAAGCTTTGTGTACAACTTAAGAAAGGCCGTCGGCACTTTTAGTTTTATCCACTTTACTCCACAGGTTTGTCTCGCTTCCTTTCTCCTTGTCACGAGTCTATAGGTATTAAAAATTTAAAATACAGACTGAAATTGTACTCAAGAGCTCCCCCAAAAGGAAAAGGTTAAAAGCCTACAGTTAGGACATTGGAGGGGCACTTTGAGTCGAGGAGAGACCCTTGTGGGTTTCAACCTGTTCTTTGCTGTAAAGACAAAAAAACCACCCTACCATCCAGTTCACGTAATTGGGTTCTTTTTTTTTTTTTTTTTTTTTTGTGGTGGGTGTCCTGAGCTGGCTACTGGAGTGATTGGGTGAGACGCACATTCCCTTGAAATTTTGCTGTCCTGTTTCTTGGTCTCCTGTTATACTTTTGAGCCATATAGTCCAGAAGCAAAAGTCTCCCTTTTCACTGTAAAGAAAGCTGTATTAGTTTATAACTAGAGACTAGGTTAATTAGCGTTATCCTTCTGGTCTGCACCGTCCTTTGTTCTGTCTAACTTTCGAAACATCGACTCAAGTTCATATTCGAGGTTAACGGTCCTTTTGTTATTTACTGTATTACCCTGACAGTCTGAGTATATAAATCATGTTAGAGGATGATATAAGATCTAGCAGAACTTTTTCCCAACAATTAGATTAGTTGTTGGGATCAACTGGTTCATGACATGGTATCAGAGTTGGTTTGGCCAAGTGGTCGTGTGTTCGAATCTTCACGACCCTCAATATTAACATTTGATTAAAAAGCATAAGGTATGGTGAGCCTGTGCAAACTTCAAGCCCATGAGTTGGCTTTTGTTTGAGGGGGCGTGTTAGAGAATGATATAAGATCCAACGGAACCTTCTCCCAACAACACGAGTTATTGTTGTTGGGACCAATTGGTTAATGACAAATCGACTATTGTTGCATGCGACGGTAATATAAATACATGTTTCCTTTAATACTCCATTATGATCTCAACTTTGCTCAATCGTATTACTTTTGCTCAAATTTTTAAATAGCCCAACTTTCATAATCTACAAAGACTCAATTAGTGTTGTTAACCCTACAAGGCATGACGTGGTACATCAAATCCAGCCTTTATTTCCCCTTCTTCGTTCTATGCCGGCCATTTGGGGTTTGTTTCTCAAGAGTCTTCTTGGTCGGTGGGGCTGGGGGTGGAGAATTGACTTCTTGTAGTTCTGGAGTGATCGGACGAAAAGGAGACTAACGAAAATTTATTTGCTCATTCCCGTGTGCCGTGCCGTTGTTCACCTCCACGCAGTAGAAAAATGACATAAACAGCCCACCGCTCATTACGTACCGACACACTGACGAGCACGAACTGATAAGGTTTTCAGTTTTCGTGGAAAGTGTGGAGGGCAGAATACCAATCCATATCCATCTAACCATTTCCACCTAAACCCAAATTCTGCGTCACGCAGATCCCCTGAAAAAGAGTGAAAGAGAATACGATTTGGTTTGGCGCCTTGGCGGTATACTGTGTTAGTGTACTTGCTACTTAGTTCCGGTCTTGCTGGTTAAAGGGTTTCGACCCCATAAGTTAATGCTTAATAACAATATCCTTTTATTAACTTGATCCAGTTTCCATAGAAAATATTTGCATTTTGTTGATCTTTTGTTGTTCAAAGTCTTGATTTTAGGGTAAAACGATTTCAACGGTTGCAACTCATTTAGAGCAGATACAATTAAAAAAAAAGAAAATTTAGGGCGATTACAATTAAAGTTGACTTGTTGAGTTGATGTTGTCTTCTTTAATGTTATAATGGGTTAATTATTTACTATATGACAAGGATAACCTTGTTGTGATGACATATATAGTGCAATTTTGTTACTTGTGAGTCCTATTTTCTGTGAATTAGTATTCATATAAAATCTCAAATCAAAGTGCCATTAGAACAAAATAGGTATATTGGTTTGCATAATTGTTTATGGCCATCTATAAGTTTGTGCAAGACATGGAAATATGGTTGATCTATCTTCCTTTTCTTTTCTAAAAAAACTAATGGCGTGGATTAAGAAGAATTAGAAGCACCTGTTCTAAAAAGAATAGGTCGACTACCTTAGCGCTAAATGGTGTAATCAAATAATGAATGAATGAAATGATGGCTGCTTTTCATTGGGCTTGATTCACTGTCTTAGAACTCTTAAATTACAATTAACATATTATTATTGTTATTATGGACCAATCGATAAAGACAGCATAATAATAATAATTGGATAAACCATATGGGGGACATGTGAAATCACAAGAAGAAGAAGAAGAAAACTAAAAGGGCTAAATTGGCAGATGATGCAGAGGTTGGTTTGGTGTTGTCTTCAGGTAAAGACGCTACCCTAAGGAACTGCAACTGCAAATTCAGGTCTCATCTACCATTCCTTCCCACCATCGAGGAAGATGGGAAAAAAATGAAAGAAAATAACACTAAAACTAAACATAAGAGAAGAAGTAACATGTGCAAAAGTACAAAGGAAGTAGATTCCTTATGTGATGCCTTACATATTCTTTTGAATTCAATCCATATATAGTTAGTTAACCCCAAGTTAAAGAAAGGTTTGGAGCTTAGTCCACACAATTAGGGTCTTTAAGCTGAGATTTTTTTTAATTACATGATTCCATCCACATGTGAAGTGAAGATAATTGAGATTGGTATTCATAATTGGGGTTCTATGTGTTAGTGAGTATTGCAATGGCATATACTCAATGATCAATCATTAACTACCGTTTTATTTCGAAAGTTTCATAGGTTCCACCAAATTGGTCAAAGACCATTCTTGTTTCGGCCTTTGCACGTATCTGGTTGGTGTAAGGTTGAATATGTCAAGTCATACCTTGTAGAGAAGTCGTAACTGAAATATCTTATTTTTGTCCACTCCTCGGATAATTTTATTTTATCCACAGTTCACGTTTTGGATGGTTGCATACTAGCAATTTAGGGGACGGTTTCATAATGTTGGCATGATTGATATGTATTATTCTTACACATGTATAATAATATCAAGTTCCGCCATGCTTGTATCACGGTATCTAGAGACCGTGTTTAACCTAAAATAATTCTAGTGTTTAGCCATTGATATTCACATAACTTAGTGTTTCTCTCAACTCCGAATGCTCCAGAAAGTGCTTTGCTGCACCAATGGCCCTCCGCATTGAAGGCCATTTCTTTGCATGTTTTAAGTTGATTTGATGTGTTTTTCCTTTAAGTACATGCAATTACTATGAGGAGAAACAGAAGAGGGAATAAGACACCTTAGGATTCTTGTGGTCAATAAACTCTGAATTAGGGTTTGGAGGCTAAACCTTTTGACTTTTATGAGAAGGGGCTTAGCATGAGTTCGTTGAGTTCTTAGGTGCAGACTGTAGAATGGGACTCCAAGCCCTTAATAAGAAATTAAGTTGTAAGGAGGTAGGTGTATTTAGGACTTATAGAAACAACCTTAGTTCAAACTCTATACAGAGTAATTTAGATTTTTAGGTGGATTATAAATTTATAACTTAATGTGACATTTATAGTGAGAAAAGTTATGAATTACAATTTTGTTAGAGAGAGAGGGCTAAAGAATTTGGGTTTGTTAGGTATATACCTAATTTATTGAACCACTTTAATTCACTTCGACGCGAAAAATGTTCAAAGAGTTTGGTCTAAACTGACTTGAACCTAATAACACTTCTCGCTAACTAGGATTTAAATTACTCTTAGGGGGGAAAGCAAACCCACTAAGCCCGATATCAAGCATTTGGGATCCTTGATTGGATTGAGTTCACTAAACATGATGACTTCACTCCTCCATGTGGATGAGTTGAAATAGAGTTTGAATCATTTCATTATCTTACCGTATAAACGACAAGTCTGATCTTGGTCATTGATAGTTGTTACGAGTTTAGTAATCCATCGGAAACGAAAAGTTATATATATGTTATCTTCATTCTAAATCCCTAAGAACTAACTATTTTGGATCTCATACACATTTTTGTAAATCTCACAATTTTTCTATGTACTAAGTTCAAAAAAAAAAACTCCAACAAATTTCGTATAGTTAAGACAAAAAAAAAGTATTATGACTAAACGAACACTATTTTCATTATAGTTCATCAATAAATTAAAGATAATATTTTAATCCACGATTAGTAGTGCTTCCATAGAGATCTACCGTCTACGGCTAATATTCAGTTATAACTGCGCTTTTTCAGCGGAGTTATCTCTTTTGAGGTTGCAGTTAACTTTTCATATGCTTCAGTTAAGTCCTCTTTAATTAATTAATTTTTTTTATAATCCGTACTTAATTAATTTATGAAAACGTAGTTAAGTTGTTTCGGGGCCCTAATTAAAAGAAAGCGAATCCCTCCCTCCCTCCTCTCTCGCTGTCATGAGATGACATTAATTAACACTTAAATTATTATTATTTCATGATTTGATTTAATTAATTAAAATGTTATTTTCCAGTGAGCTTTCAGTTTTCTTTTCTCGTTTCCGCAGATTCCTAATCAATGCACGCAATTCATTCCGTTTCTCCTCCGTTTCTCCCTCCTATATAATCACTCTCCCCTCCATCTCCACCTTGTTTTCGGCCTCAACATACAACGATTTCCCCCCTTTCCGAGAAAAAAAAAACCCCGCAAAAAACCTCTCTTCTTCACTTCGCTTTGTGTCATTCTGTCGTTGGAATTCTATACTCTATGGCGAAGCGCGTCCTCGTCACCGGCGGCGCCGGCTACATTGGGACTCACACCGTGCTCCAGTTGCTCTTAGGCGGTTACCGCGCCGTCGTCGTTGACAGCCTGGACAACTCCAATCAACTCGCCCTCCGCCGAGTTAAGGACCTCGCCGGCAAGCACGCCGATAATTTGTCTTTCCACCAGGTTTGTCATTTCCCGCTACTCCCCCGCCCTTGGACGGCGAACTCTCTCTCTCGGCTGTGTGGATTTTACTGAATTGATTTCGTTCGGTTTCCGAATTGTCTGGAATTGAAGAGCTCTACCGCGGTGGCGAATCTGTCCGCTTCCGCGGAATTCCCGTTTCTCTGTGGCCAGCGGCAATTTTGGTTTTCCTGTGTTGATTTGATTGGTTTCTTTATTTCCTGTGGTGTACTTTTTTTTTTTTTTGTTTGAAGTATGGTCTGCTGATTCATTCCTCTTCTTCTTTTCTACTTTTTTTATTTGGTCTTTCTATGAGTTTAGAGTATCTCAATTATGCTCTGCAAAGTGGTTTTAGGTCTCTGAAATTCGTCCATTCCAGTTCTGTTGTGAATTATGAGCAGTTATTTATGATATATACTGAATTCAGCATAATATATATACTTTGTGTAGCCAAATTCCAGAAGTTTCCATGTGTGTTCGTTACTGAGATTGTGGGTTCAAATTTGCAGGCCGATCTAAGGGACAAATCTGCTCTGGAGAAGATTTTCACGGGGGCAAAGTATGATGAGTTTAACACATTGATATCCCTGAATTTTATATGTTTCCATATTGATTAGGTGAATTATTAAGGTCTCTTGCTCTCAACTGCCCTTTCCAGATTTGATGCTGTCATCCACTTTGCTGGACTGAAAGCAGTTGGCGAGAGTGTTGAGAATCCCTTGTTGTATTACAACAACAATATCATTGGAACAATTGCTTTGCTGGAAGTAATGGCTGCCCATGGATGCAAGAATGTAAGTATTTTCTTCTGTGCTGTGAGTGGGGATTGTGTTGTTGCCAAGTAGGGCATTGTGCTAATGATCTTTTCATTCTGGCTTGTGTTTTCAGCTTGTCTTCTCATCTTCAGCCACTGTTTACGGTTGGCCAAAGGAAGTGCCATGTACAGAAGAATCTGCAATCAGTGCAATGAACCCATATGGGCGTACCAAGGTATCTACTAATGTTTGTTGGGTCTGTACTGAGTGACTGGGTACTCAAGGATATTGGTTAGTTTGTTCCATATATGGTGTGACGAAAGTCAACACTAGGTGGATCTGGGAGAAATCATCTTTAGAGCAAGAGCTGTAACTAGAAGATGAGGTTCTCATCTGTATTGTTAAGTTATGTAGAAAGTATACAATGCTCTGAGTAGAATACAGCCATGACTTTGTTTGCGCAAAAGCTAATCTTACGAGGTTGGTCTTTTCAGCTTTTCATTGAAGATATTTGTCGTGATGTCTACCACTCAGACTCAAAATGGAAGATAATTTTGCTGAGGTATTTCAATCCGGTTGGCGCCCATCCAAGTGGTAAGATTGGTGAGGATCCACGTGGAGTCCCGAACAACCTCATGCCCTATGTGCAGCAAGTTGCTGTTGGCAGAAGACCTCATCTAACTATCTTTGGGACTGACTACAAGACCAAGGATGGAACTGGGGTATGCTTCACGCTTTTCTTTTTTACATTCTGTCTTCTACCTGCTCTTGATGTAAGCCCTTCTGCATTTTTGGCTGAAAAGTCCATCCAAGAACGACTACAGTGTCAACCCTTCCAAGTCTGGCTATAGTTTTATCCAAGAATGCTGTTCCCGACTTTTGCTACTTGTGTGGTTGCCCTTGCTTCGATTCCGATGCTAGTCTAGTTACATGGCCACTTGGAAATGAATGGTTACCTCATCATCATCATGGTTTCAATTAAAGAGGCAGCTCATTATCTGTTCATGGACTTATTCTGCAAGTTAAAAATCCAATGTTTTGTGTGGTTGGCTTAGCGAAAGTTTGTCTCATTGCAGGTCCGTGATTACATCCATGTTGTTGATTTGGCGGATGGCCACATTGCTGCATTGCGTAAGCTGGATGCACCCAATATAGGTATGCACCTCAATTATTCATCTTTGTTTGATTTTTTCTCCACTGCTTGACACCCAATCTTGGTGTAGTTATCACTATACTGGAAACCTTTCATCCTGTCCAGATGCTTACAGCTGTATGCATGAGTCCCTGGTTCTGAACCCCCACCAGATTAATTGCCTTCAATATTGTCTAATTCGAATTCAACATTTTGGACTATCCTTCTGGGTGTAAATGTTATATAAGGATACAGTTTGATAGACTGCTCTAGCTTCTTGTGGTTCTGCTGTGCACCCTTCTCAAACTTGATTGTCCATGGGGGAATATTGTCTTTTGCCCACATTATGAATGTGTATCCTTACCAGTTACCGGTATATGAATTTACAAGTAGTGAGTAGGTCAAGAAGTTCCTGAGTTAGAATGTTGGATGGGTGCATTGTGCAGGTTGTGAGGTATACAACTTGGGAACAGGGAAAGGAACATCAGTATTGGAGATGGTTGCAGCATTTGAGAAGGCATCCGGAAAGGTACACCCCACTGTCAAAACTGCATATCTTTAGTTATCCTGCTTCTCACAGAAGTCTTCACCCAATTTTGGCCTCTGCCATCCAAGCTTCATACTGACTCTTCCCATCACTCTCATCAGAAAATCCCTCTAGTAAAGGCTGGACGGCGACCCGGGGATGCTGAAATAGTGTACGCATCAACAGGGAAGGCAGAACGTGAATTGAATTGGAAGTAAGTTGCTAAATCAAAATCACCATCCTTTTTAAAAAGTTCATCGTCAGTCAGCATCACAGGAATCACAATGAGAGCCCCTACATGTTTTTGCTTTCATTTCCTTTAATCATAGTAAAGCGCCTGTGTCTCAGTCTCAAAGTCTCGACCCCACAAATGTTTGTGCAGGGCCAAATTTGGAATTGAAGAAATGTGCCGGGACCAATGGAACTGGGCCAGCAACAACCCTTACGGCTACAGTTCATCGGACGCCCCTAACGGAACCAAGTAGGAAAAAGAAAGAAGAAGACACAGCAGCATTCTCACAGGTTTTTTTTTCTTTAGGTACAAAAGCACAGTAAAGAAGCATATGATATCGGTGTAGATTCTTCCTTCCTCTTAAAAAAGGGTATTTATTACTGTTTGTAGGCAGAGAAAGAGGGTTTCTGTTCTTCTTGCTCTTCTTACTATACATCTCCTGAATAAACATCTTGCTGCGGGCTTCCTGCCTTCCCAGCATTGAAAGTAGAAAATTAGGATTGAGTTTTTCTTTTCTTTTCCTCTGTTTTCTTGGGTTCTAGTATATGTGTAAAGAGGGTTTAATGTTAGGGTTGGTCTGTTTTGGGTCTCTAATTGTTAGCACCACTGCCACATTGTTCACAGATTATGAATAGAGAGCTAGCTGTTCCATGATCCCCCATGTGTTCTGTAAAGCAAGCTGTTCTGCTGCATGAGTGGTAAACGAAAAGAAAGGAAAGAAGGAACGAATTATTGTTTATTGTAGAGCAGATTCTGTGCCTGGTCAAAGTGGCAATTAGAGGAGGACCACGCCACATTTTGAGATGTTCTTCCCCTTCTCTTTCTCCTCTTCAACTTGGCCTAAAGAAGTGTCCAGGCAGTATTCATGTATTCATGCACCACCGTCAGAGAGAGAGGATTCTTTGGGGGGCTCGTGCTTGTCCCGTTGGCGGTGTTTTGAATTTCCTAATCATTGGGATCGGTGGGATGAATGGGCGCTTTTACAACATGAGATCAATAGTTTATTAGGCCAGCAGCAATTGCGGATTCTTGTGAGAGCAGAGAACGTGGGTTGAGGTTCTGGGAGGCCAAATCAAATGCGAGAATGTTAATGATGCTTCGCAGTTGGCATATAGTCTCTTTTCTACGGGTTTAAATACGTAATTAATGATAAAAAGTCGAAAGAACTTGGTACATATATGTTTACAATATAAAAGATTCAATCAGAAATTTAGATTACATTCCATTATCAATTTGCCGTGCATTTGTGTTATCACTCGTATGTTCTCTTGTCTATTCATAGTGCAACATGATGTTGCTCGAGCATATTTGGATATCGAAAAGTATTAGTTTTAATAACTAAATTTGGTCATAATACAATTGATTAATTTTATTAAAGATCAGCGGTAGATCGATTCTTGGAAGAGATGGAGCTATTAACATGAAATTTGTACATTCTATAAAAAAAAAACATGAAATTTGTACATTGAAGGACATATATACATGTATGGCCTTGTATTGCATATTTGCATGCATCCAATACTTCCTTCCAATTATGTATGTCAACTTTTCGGGTAGTTGTCAACTCATCATCAATCTGGCATATTTCATTCTACGAGCCCTTTAACATGAGCTGAAAGGATATCACCCTTATATAAAATAAAATAAAAACGGAAAGAACAATCACATATATGTTTGGAATAGATACCATTTTGGGAGAGTTGAAAAAACACTATCTCGTTGAAAGATTCTATACATTTACCCCTTTTCAATGCATTTCTTTAGACAAAAATTCTGTTTTGTCCTCTTTTCGGATTATAAATATTTCTCAAAACATGGAATGTGAATCAAAACTCATGTTTGAATTGAAATTGAGAGACCATACGTAATCATAATCATGGAACACCTTGAACAAAACTAAGTCAGTCTGTCTATCAACCCAGCTCGGTCCAATGTGCCCCAACCATACTGAAGTGGGCAAATATATGGGCCACCTCGTGGGCTTTCCTAGAGACGAAAGCCCAGTCTAAAACAAAAAAAAAAAACAGAAATTTCGACAACCATTGTCACGAGTCACGACTCATGAGAAAAGAAGAATGTCCATCCTCTAGTTTCTTGTTCATCTCTTTTTGTTTTTGGTCAGTTTCTTGTTCATCTGTTCTTTGGCCTTGCGTTTAGCCGTTTACACTGGTATAAAAGTTACTCGTTCATAACAGTTTATGAGTTGGGGAAATTTTGAAATCCAGGATAAAGCTTCAGTAATGAGGAGAGGTTTTGTTTGATTGGCATTTTCCTACCGTTGGGTTTGAATAAATCATGACTTGGGATCGGCCCAATTCCAAAAACAAAGATAGTGGATGTTCGGTGGGCCTACGTTTTGTTCCATAGCGTGGCTGAATTTGAATTATTTTGGATCTCCGGAGCCTTCTCTTCTTAATATATTAAAAAGAAAAAAAAAGCCCAATACAATTTTGCGTTAAGCATCGAAAAATCTTTCTCCCAAGTCCAAATTAGTCCTCCCTTCTCGTCTTCATCTTCGTTAAACCCTCCCATCCAATATATACACCTCCCTCCATTTTACAGATAACTTCCTAATTACCTTTCCTCCCCATTTGAAGTCATCTCTGTGTCAATTTCATTTCAAACGCACCACGGGCTTCTCCCTCTCTCCCTCTGCACTTTCGACCCCAACTATTCCTTCCGGCAGATCCCCCCGCCTAACTCCTCAGATCCAGGGAGATCTTCGATCTGACGGCTGCGGGCGGCTGCGCCGGCGGGACTCTCTTCAGATTCCTTCTTGTTTCCTTCCTATCTGATTAGCTCGGAGATATGGACAATTTGATCTCTCTTGTTAACAAGATTCAGAGAGCTTGTACTGCTCTCGGTGATCACGGCGAAGCTAGCGCGTTGCCTACTCTTTGGGACTCCTTGCCGGCTATCGCCGTCGTCGGTGGCCAGGTTACCTTCCGGATCCCCACTCTCTTGTTTAGGCGGTTGCTTATTGCTTTTGACCGCGTGAATTTGAAGGTTATCATGGTGTTATTGGGTTGTTGTTGTTGTTGTTGTTGTTGTTTTATGTTGAAATAGAGTTCGGGGAAGTCGTCGGTGTTGGAGAGCGTAGTAGGGAAGGACTTCTTGCCTCGTGGATCTGGTAAGAGTCTTCACCTCGAATTGCTCTTTGATGTATTGCTGTTCTTGTTGAGCTTTCTGTGACTTGGAGATGCTATAATGGGTTATCTTCTCTGAAATTACTTTGTGTAGGGATTGTTACTCGAAGACCTCTAGTGCTGCAGCTTCATAAGCTGGATGAAGGAAGCAGAGAATATGCTGAGTTCCTCCACCTGCCGAAGAAAAGGTTCACTGATTTTGGTAAGTTTTTTGAACTTTCAGAATGAAATTCCACTGATGTATTTGTTCGACATTGGAGTCCATTGGCAAACCGCAAATGAATCAACAGAATGTTCACATTGTGCTTAGAGCAATGTAATCGTATGTGGCTAATCACTGATCACTAGAGGCATGTCTATATGCATATGCCTTTCGTTTATATGGATTCCGATTGTTAATGTGTGGACTTCACTTGGGAGTGATGTAGTTACTTGTATGCGCAATTGGTTTAATTCACCCATTGCAAATCGTGCAGCTGCTGTGCGGAAAGAGATTGCAGATGAGACTGATAGAGAGACAGGCCGCTCTAAGCAAATTTCTAGTGTTCCCATCCATCTCAGCATATATTCTCCAAACGGTGAGGTCCAGTATGGAATTTTAAGTTTCTTTGGAATATGTTGTTGTAAGCATTCGGCATTCTGATGGCTCTTTGATATTGCAGTTGTCAACCTCACGCTGATTGATCTTCCCGGGCTCACAAAAGTAGCAGTTGGTAAGTAGCATTTGTTCATTAGGTCTGTCTGACCAGTATTCCAAAGCTATAGTCTTCTTCTAGTTAGTTTCTAGGCCTCTGGAGTACTTAAGGTAATTGGATGAGATGGACGAATAGTTGGAACTTCGTAAAGGTTTCAATGCATGCACAGTTGGATGATTTGATACGATTGCATGCTGGATATATTTTTAAAAAAGAAGGAATAATCAGTGGCAGTATAGCTGGCCTTGGCGGATATAGCTGGATATGACATGGAACTGTGTGCTTCTGAGATTTGGTTGCAGCTTCTTTGTGGGTCATAAGTCATGACGTGATTTGTCTTGCAAATTGCAGAGGGTCAACCTGACAGTATCGTGCAGGATATTGAGAACATGGTCCGCTCTTTTATTGAGAAGGTACATCAAAGGCAATTGTTCGAAGTGAAATTGATTTTTGTTACACCTCTTTCACGATAGCTTGTAAGTTTTCGTTAAGTTACTTCGAAATGTGAGATGAATGATTAACCGACGTTATGGTCTGGCTTTAAATATACACCTGCTTTCTTTGATGTTTCGGTTTCCTTTAAGAAGTTCTTGAAACTCTGGAACTTGGCATTGTTACTATTTTTGACTTGCTAAATTTTTTGCAGCCCAACTGTTTAATTTTAGCAGTGTCACCTGCAAACCAAGATCTTGCCACCTCGGATGCTGTTAAAATTTCCCGTGAGGTGGACCCTACAGGTGAATTTGCTATATTTATATCTAGTTAGTTTTAGCCTTTTGTTTTAACTATGTTTTCTCAAATTTATTAGTTCCATGTGCTAGTTGCTACCATCAGAATATATTTCTCAGATAATGAGATTGTTACCTGTTGCATTTTCAGGAGAGAGAACTTTTGGAGTTTTGACAAAGATTGACCTCATGGACAAGGGTACCGATGCATCTGAAGTGAGTAGATATTGAATTGATGTACTGCTGAAACTAAAGCTTTCTGGCAACTTTGCTCTAAGATGCTCTTCTGACTGACTCAGATATTGGAAGGAAAAGCTTACCGGTTAAAATTTCCTTGGGTTGGTGTTGTGAACCGTTCACAAGCTGACATTAACAAGAACGTGGACATGATCGCTGCTCGGCGTAGAGAGCGCGAGTATTTTGCAACCACCCCAGAGTACAAGCACCTTGCTAACAGAATGGGTTCTGAGCACCTAGCAAAAATGCTGTCCAAAGTAGGCCCATTGGAATTATGCTCTTTCTCTTGAATGATGAGTTAGAATATTGGATGCAGTAGTGACCTGATAATTGACTTTGTTTATGGCGCAGCATTTAGAAGTTGTAATCAAGTCCCGCATCCCTGGCCTTCAGTCTCTTATTAACAAGACAATTGCTGAGCTTGAAGCTGAGCTTAGTCGCCTTGGAAAACCTATTGCTACTGATGCCGGAGTAAGTTTGCTCTTTGTTATTGATGGTCCCCCCCCCCCCCCCCCCCCCCCACAACACACATACACGCAAAAAAAAAAAAAAAAAAATCTTGATCCTTGTGTGTGCTTGTGTATATGTCTATCCCACTAGAAAGTCTTGAGTGATTATGATTGGTTGATTGCAGGGGAAGCTATATTCGATCATGGAGATTTGCCGTCTTTTTGATCAAATATACAAGGAGCATCTGGACGGAGTGTAAGTTTAATGCTTATGTCCTCCCCTTTTGGGTCCAGGACCCCTCTGATTATTTTCATGGTAGTTCTATATATTTGAGTCTGTACGGTTTCACTTAATTGCCCATTCACAGTCGACCAGGAGGTGAAAAGGTATACAATGTATTCGATAACCAGCTTCCTGCTGCGCTGAAGAGGTTGCAATTTGACAAGCAGCTTGCAATGGAGAATATCCGCAAACTGATCACTGAAGCCGATGGGTACCAACCACATTTAATAGCTCCCGAGCAGGGATATCGTCGTCTAATTGAATCTTCTTTGGTTACTATCCGAGGTCCTGCTGAGGCAGCTGTTGAAGCTGTATGCTTGCTAATTGGAAAAACATTCTTTTGGGTCTGACAGTTTATCGTCTCTCCCGCTGATATAATTTTTGTGCTCACTGCTTTAGGTTCATTCCATATTGAAGGAGCTGGTACAAAAAGCCATCCTCGAGACTCTGGTATGCTAAAAATTATTGACTATCCTCGTTATTTTCGTTTCCGGGGTAGTTGGATTGATGTGAGTTCCTTTTTGGCTAACAGGAACTGAGGCAGTACCCTGGCCTCAGAGTAGAGCTTACAAACGCAGCTGCCGAATCACTTGGCCGGATGAAAGAAGAAAGCAAGAAAGCAACCCTGAAGCTGGTGGACATGGAGTGTAGTTACCTGACTGTTGATTTCTTCAGAAAGCTTCCCCAAGACATTGACAAGGGTGGCAACCCTACTCATTCCATATTCGACAGATACAACGATTCATATCTTAGACGAATTGGTAGGTTTCGGCGACTTCGCACTCCTAAAACATGCTTATCGTACTCTTCTTTGTTAATCTTATGATGGTATAAGACTCCACTGATTTTCTACTTTGAAATCCATGAACAGGCAGCACCGTTCTTTCCTATGTGAATATGGTGTGTGCCACCTTACGTAACTCTATTCCCAAGTCCATCGTCTACTGCCAAGTCCGTGAGGCCAAACGAAGCCTCCTCGACCATTTCTTCGCTGAGCTGGGGAAAATGGAGGTGAGAGACTATGGTTTGCTCTCATTTTTCCATATCCTGCCCCATCTTGTTTGCATTTACTTCAGAAACTAACTTGAAGACGCTAATGGTTATGTTGCAGCAAAAGCAATTGTCCCAATTGTTGAACGAAGACCCTGCGGTCATGCAGCGCCGCAGCGACCTTGCAAAGAGATTGGAGTTATACAGGTCTGCACAGGCCGAGATCGACGCAGTCGCTTGGGCGAAGTAAAGATATTTAGGTGATGTCGTTGATGATCTCCTTCAAATGCAGAAGAATGGAATATGGTGTTTGGTGATGTTGGGCTCAGATATTGTAGTATTAGCTGATGAGATTTTCACTTGTTTGCCATTTGATGATTCATTTTTCATTATGTAGTTCTCCTCCCGTGAGCTATGGAGACTTCCCTTCTCTTTGATGTGGCTGGCTTTAGTAGCATAGGGATTCACATTGTAATACGAATTGACGGATGCAGAAAGAGCCTGTCTATAATGGCTGTTTTGCCGAGCTATGTAGTATGTGCTGCATTGTTAGGATTGGAGCTGCTCTACGTGATGATGCCGGTTTCTTTCTTGGTAGTCTGGTTTCGTCTAGTAGATATTTCATTTCTTCCATTACATCATATAGACATGGGCTTTTGGAAGGTGGAACAGGCATTGGAACAGGCCTGGAGCCCAGTCAGAAGCCGAGCGTTCTGGGCTATTGAACTGGGCCCAGTAAGCCCGTTACACTGGGCCGATGTTAGTCGAACCAAAAGGATGTCTCTCAGATTCTAAAATGCATTTACCGTTACCACTTACCAGACCCCTTCCTTCCCTTTCCGGTCGCTGCACTCATTGACGCTTAAACTGACTGCAAACAAACATCGAACACTAATCTATTATAGTTTCTAGATCTCAATTCTCATCGCAAAACTCAGCAAACGTGAAAAGAAGAAGAGGAACAAAGAGAGGAATCTTTCTTAATTGTCGCTTGATTTCATAATCGGATTGGTCTGCCCTTCCTTCTCGGCTGGTAAATCATCAGAAGGTACATACGTTCACCATCTAGTCATCTGCGGTCTACCCTTCTTCTCTGAATCCATCTCCCCCTTTCTCTCGTAAGATTTATGCGAATCTGGATTTTACTCTTTCCATTTCGGTGAATTGGGTTTGCCTTCGGTTCTAGGCTTTTAGCTCTAGTCTCTGAGTGGTCTTCCCTGGAATATGAATTGTCGCGGGGGATGTATATGGAAAACGTTAGTCGGTTCGAATGCACGCGAATTGGAGAGGGGAATGTTTGGTTCAGCTTCCACTTTTGTAAAGGTGGAAACTTTACGGATTACAACTGGTTGCTAGGCCGGAGATGCATGTTCATGAACCCTCTTGATTAGGTTATGGCCTGGCCCCTTAAAATGATTGTGATGTCCTTGCAGACTACTTGCTAGCCTGCGGTTCTTATACAAATCCATTGTAAAAGGAGGGACGTTTTGCCTAGTGTTGAGGGTTTCTGGCCTTACTCTGAAATGGATTTTGCCTGATACCAATATCCGACTTATTGTTAGTCCTTAGGTATGATGATTGAGGATTTCCCAACTGATCGGAGTTGGAAATGATTTGTGAACTGGGAAACCTTTAAAATGAGATATGCTGCGTTAATTTTTAGATGATATCCGAGTAATCAAGTGAATGGCTTGCTTCAAATTATCGTTTCCAGTTTTAGTGGCCTTTGATTGCAGGAGCTTGGTTGTCAACCATTGCTAATCAATTGTTCTGTTCTTGAATGCACCAGCAGCGCATTACTTAGGACCAAGAGTTCGCTGAAGGCATATATGCTATCATGGAGTCTGAGAGGGAAGATTTCAACCTCTCAGGACCCTTGCACTTAACTTTTATTGATTGGTAAGACTTAGCTTCCCACTTTACCTTTTCAGTAAACAGAAAGAAACAAATGTGAATGGAGATGTTCAGTCTATTGCCATGTTCACAAGCTCTTTGATGAATATGGCAGGTCTAATGCACACCATCGAAGATCCGTCGCAGCCAGTTTAGTCCAAGGCGTCTACATTCTAGAACGAGACCGCCAGCTCAAACGCCAACATCCAATCGCCCTTGCACCACCGTGGTGGGAGTTTTTCCACTTCAAGTTGCTCCGGCAGCTGGTAGACGATGCTGATCAGTGCACCTTCGGCGCCATCTACGAGTACAGACTACCAACGCCTCATGGCCACCAGTCTCTCGATGCAAGCCCACGTTATGTGATCGCCTTCCGGGGGACCCTAACCAAGCCTGAATCTTTCGCACGAGACGTCGAGCTTGACCTCCACATCATCAGAAACGGGCTCCACGAGACATCCCGCTTCGAGATAGCAATTCAAGCAGTACGTAACATGGTGGCTGCCGTAGGGGACTCCAATGTCTGGCTGGCTGGACACTCCCTAGGAGCAGCCATGGCAATGCTGGCAGGGAAAACCATGGCCAAGAATGGAACTTTTGTCCCAGCATTTCTCTTCAACTCGCCATTCCTCTCTGCCCCCATCGAGAGGATCAAGGACAAGCGAGTGAAGCATGGGATTCGGATCGCCAGCAGCGTGATCACTGCAGGCCTTGCATTCGCTTCCAAGAGGAACTACAACAACCAGCAAGCAGACAGTCGATCTGTGGCTACTGATCCCTTTGCAGCTCTCTCGTCGTGGGTCCCCTGTGTGTTTGTCAATCCAGGGGACCCCATATGCTCGGAGTACGTGGGGTACTTCGAGCATAGAAAGAAGATGGACGAGATTGGGATTGGAGCGATTGAGAAGCTGGCGACTCAGAACTCGCTGGGCGGGCTGCTGATGAGTGCAATGGGGAGGGATTCGGAGGCGTTGCACCTTATCCCGTCGGCAGTGCTGGCTGTGAACTTGAGCCCTGCGCAGGATTTCAAGGAAGCTCATGGGATTCATCAGTGGTGGAGGCCTGATTTGCAGCTGCAATCCAACATTTACAAGTACACCTAGACTTGTTGGTTGTGTCTGGTAGAATTTGTGTCACATTTGATTCTTTTATTGATTCATTTTCCTTTTCTTGCCCACATTTAATCTGATCATCCATTGTGCATATGTGTTGTTTGGATTTGGAGCTCCAAAGAAACTGGATTTGTATGGTCTGATTCTGATGGTTGTGTTACGAATCTGTCATTCTGCAAGTTGTGTAGAAAGCGATTTGCATGGTTCCTATACAAATCCCTCCATTTTCAATTTGGTTAGCAGTGTGAAAATGGTTTTGAGTTCTGGGATCAATGAATTGTTTAAGTTAGTCACCTGTTAAGTGGCTTTGTAAATAATTACCATCATCTGCATTTAATGATATTTTGAACAGTCATTAGAAAATGTGGTAATGGAAGGGAAGGACAAGAGAGCTCGAATCCCTAGGATGGTGGAGCCATGATTCATGAAATATCGGGCCTTTGCCGGAGCCAGGATTCCTGAACTGCTCTCTCTGCCACGCCTGTAATTTCGTAACCGGTGCGGTGTCCCAAAAATGGTCGGGCGGTGGGTCCCGCCATGTCAAGTGGTAAAAATCAAAAGTCCACAATGGGAGGTGGCAGAGACAGCTCACTTGTTATAGCTAGCACTCACTTTCTCACTGCCTCTGCTTTTACCCTCGGTTAAAAAAAAAATAAATTGTTTACTCTCCACAACATTATAGATAAATTTAAAGTCAACAAAATACGAATGAAATCCATAGTTCATGAGAAAATCGTAAATATTTTCTCACTGCCCGTATGAGCTCTGTTATTATTGTGTGAATTGTGATATTTTTGAAGTGGAAAGAAAGCAACTTTATTGATTGTTGCAATAATGGCATCGAACCCTTTACTTAGACCACAATCAATATATCTCCTTTTCCTTTACCACACCACTCTCTCTCTTTTTGGTCGACCAAAAAGAGCCAGAAATAAAGCCCAAATCAAAGGAACTAGTAGAAGCCAGGGAGAGCTCCAAAAGCCATAAAACTTGGTAAAAAAAAAAAAAGAATCAGAGCTCTGTTACTTCCGTTGGTAGATCACCTCTTAAGTTTTTACCTGAGCATCTCATTTTTACCTCACCAATTGGAATGTGACCACATTGCCAAAATAACCCAAAGTTGGACCAAAAGATTAAAAAAAAAAAAATTTAACACAAACACACACGGACCAAAAACCAAAAACTTTGGCATGGTAAAAATCTCTTGTCTTCTTTTTACAATTTCACCAAAAAAAAAATTGGTACACAGATCAAGAAAAGAGGTGGGAAAACACTACTACTGCCTAGCTAAGAAAAGAGGTGGAGAAGAAATAAAAGCTGCAGCTAGCTAGCAATGGAAGCCCAGCACAGATCCATCCGTGACAGAAATGGCGACCCGGCACGCCGCTTTACCCTCCACGTGGTGGGTGAAGAAGTGGAGCACCCTGACCCGACCCGCCATCCGAATCCTCGACTCGATCTCCATCGTCGGCCCGACCCTGTACCCGGCTCCGCCGCCCGGCCCGACCCCAACAGCAGGGAAACCCCCACCGACGCCGACTCCGGGGAAAACCGCAGCCCCTCCCAAATTGACGGCGGCTTCCGGGTTCGACGAGAGCGGGAAGGACTGGACGGAGAAGGATGCGACCATGTTCTGGGTCCGGCCCGACTCGATTTTACCCGCGGGTATGAACATGAACCCGACCTGCGACCCAGCGTAGACGAGCTGGAGGGTGCTGTCGTAGTGGGAGAAGGAGGCCCGATTTGGGTTGGTGAGGGAGACGTACTGGGTGATGGTGAAATTGACGGTGTTGTTGGAGATGGAGAAGGACGGGAGCTGGACGGCGTTGACGGAGATCTTGGGGTCCTTGGGCTTGAAGACGGTGAAGAAGACGATGAGGAGGATGATGAGGAGGAAGAGGAGGAAGATTGTGGCGACGATGCAGGATGCCAGATTCGTCCGGCCAGATTGTGACGGCCTCTGGTGGTTGTGTTTGCCCATCTTAATTGATTCCTCTGTTTTCAAATCTTAAGCTCTAGCTCTGTGTGTGGATTCTTCTGTGTTCTTGTGGAGAAGGGGGAAGGAGTGAGGAAAGGGAATGGGGGAAAAGTGGTAGTGGGTATAATTGGAGAGTGTTTTGGAAAGTGAAAGGAGTAAGGAAGGAAGTGGAAATGGAAATGGAAATGGAGGAATGAAATGACTTGCTAAAGTGTGAAAGGAAGACTATTTTGGTTTGGTCTTGTTTTTTGTTAACTGTTTTTTGTAGTTTGGTTTGGCTACTTGCTCAATAAGTGTGAAACCCAACTTGTGAAAGTCGAATGAATGATGCCCACTTGTAAGGGTGAATAAGACAAATTGAAAACTGGTTCAATCTACATTCATCTATTTGTAACTGTAATTTTATAGTTCAATTTTGGTTGAACTGGCAAATCACAAATAAAATCAAATCCAACCAATCTCGAATGACCTCTATTGAGTTTAGGATTCAGGACGTTTTAATTCACTTGATAATAACAATCGATCGCACGTTGCAAGTCATGATTGTGGATTTACCCTGGAACGTCTTCAAGACTTCAACTGTTAACCCCAAATAATAAAAAGCTACATATTAGAATAGAACCGTGTAGCCGGATTTCAGTGTACATTGGGCCAAACAGATTACGGCACCAATACTGGACCGTGAAGTGACTTGGGCCTCACCGAAGTGGGATGCATTATTGCGGGCTTGTTGACATGAATATCGGGCTTTCGGTATCCGGGTCACGATCCGGAAAAAATATTGCGAATGGGTCGGACGTTCAACGTTGTAGCCGTCATCTTTTGACTCTTTGCCTCGTTGCGAATGGGTCGGAGGAACCAAGACCTCATGAATTGTTTTTTGTTTTGCTTTCAAATGTATAATAATCTTCCAATAATATATAGTACACTTTTGTGTATTTTTCTCCATTTCAAATTTCGTGCAATGAGAGTGAAAGTAGGAAGAATATTTTTGTCTTTATAATTAATTATTTATCTCACATAAAAAATATCAACATTAGGATTTGAACTCGGGTCTCTTCAGACAAAGACAACAATCACAACCATTTACACTGAACAAATTTGTTGTGTCTTTTTGAATACAAAATATACACGAAGTTCAACTCTCTGAAAATCGCAGGACTTTCCATCATGATTAGCAAGCCCACTAAGTATACCGTATGTATTTTTATGGTGCTTGATACTTCAATTTTCATTGTAGAGTTTCATGTACTTTCTCAATTTTAAAATTATTTCTCTCTTTAATTTTTGCTAAAGGTAAATTGGTAATTGGCTAACATGGAAAAAACTAATTTTGTCACTACGTGTTGTGTCCTTGCAATTTTCAATTTAAATTTTGTGGTTTTTATCTTTGTTCTTATCTCTTTCTAACTTCCTCAAAAATTCCCTCCATCGTACAATAGTTTGCACCCCTTTCACTTCCCAGTACAAGGCCTCCTTTGAAAATCAATCATCTGATATCTTTTGGCACGTCGGTTTTATTGTTGGGTTTTAAGTTGGGCAAGTAAAAGAGTTTTATAAATAATGGAGTTGCAGAAGGAGGATTAGAAATTGAAATTTTGGTTGAAATATATGTCTCTTGAGATAAAAATTTGGTTGTACAACGAAGAGTGGTGGCTATTGGATCTTTATATTTATGGTTTTTATATCTATCACAACCTATTTCTATCTTAAAACGAGGAATCATTGATTGATTTATTGAAGTAGGTCGATTCTTTATTCAACCTACCGGAACTGATAAACCAGGAGTGTTTAATTTTGTACCTTATTACTTTGATTGAGTCTATTAGTATGTTGGAGATAACCCTAATTTTGTCGTTTGCTCTCAAGTTTTGATGGTCCCCTCTTAGCTGAGTTGTTAGTATATAGTTGACTTGAATCAACAACTCTCCATTTCTTTTTTATTAGTGGCATATTGTTCATAAAAGGAGCGCATTAAACCCTTATGTAGGATTGTGAGGTTTAAGATTTAGTTTCAAACTATCTATGAGTCGTGTGGAATTTCACTGAGCTTTTATACTCTCTTTCTTGACAATCAACTAATCAATAGTATTTTAATAAGGGCTTAATTATCATTATGAAAATGGAATTATTGATAAATTATATTTTTTTTCTTAAATGATATGGTATTTCTCCGAATGTTAGACCTATATATTCTTTCTTTATGTATCATCTTGATCGAAGAATTGTCAATAAAATTAAACCGGTTGATTAGCTTAAACATAACATAAAAATATAAATAATTAAATATGAATATTCCGGCCAATGGACCGGGTTATAAGCTAGTAATAATAATAATTGAGAAACCAGGAGGACTCCCATTATTGCTTAAATTGATCCATCCACTAACCCACAAACTTAGGTTACATGTATAATATAATATTATAATGACAATAAAAGTCTGTGGATAAAAGACTATTTAAATTTTTATTTATGAATACTCAACAAATTTATTGCAATAGATAATTCAAGTTTACAATTTTATACGCTATCACCAAATAATTTTTATCATAATGGTTGGTCATAAGAATCGTATCAACTGCATATCTTATCACTTGAGTCATCGCTTTACGATATATATAGTGAATTTTTTTAAGGCTAAATACAATTTTTTAGCCAAATCTTTTCACTATTCCAAAATAATAGTCAAACCTTCCAAATTTTAATAATTAGTCAACTGTTAAGTCTTCGTCAATAATTTCGTTAAATGACGATGAGCTGGTGAATATTGTGCTGAATTGGATCATAGGTGGCTAATTGAAGTGTAGGAAAAGATGGCGGTGATGGACTTGGACTGGTGGTGATGATTATCCGTATCTGCGCCCCACAAGTTTGGATATTATTATTTATTTTATTGTTTTTTATTTAAATGAAAAGTAAAAATATACTGATGTGGATAGTGTTGGTTAGCGGTGTTCTTATTTATTTGCATAACATTGTGATTTTAAAGATTACAGCTTCATCTGAGTGGTACTCCACCCTTGAAATAGCCTACTCCTCACCTGGAGCCTGGAGGGGCAATAATCTTCTTCCCCTACAAATCCATGTATTGCCCCTAAAAACCCATGTTACCATAAGAAACATCAATAACAATAATCACATTTACAAATCCAACCATTTCCCTTCTCATAGAAACAAAAAACCGAGCAGATAAAGCAACTACTGCATGTTATTCATTCCTTTCTCTCTCACCCTCTCCATTTTTAAGCTTCTGCTCACCTCATCTCAATAGTACAATTTTACCCTCCAAGGAAATTGGCTGAAAAAACTGCAGAGAGACAATTCTTTGTATGGCTTCTTCATCTGCCTCACACACAGGATTATCTTTAACAACCACATCTAACATATTATATCTGGTACTGGTACTGGTACTGGTAGATAAACTTCTCTTTTTTCCTTTCAATGGAGTCCAAACTCAAAATGGACTTCTTCAAGTGAAAAGAAACTCATACATGGTCTCCATTCCTTCCAAATCATACAACAAACAAAAGCTTCCATTCATATATACCTGATTGATATAGATTGATAAGATAGAACAGATAAGATAGATAGATAGATAAAGACCACCACCACCCATTGTGTTATTTGTTGAACTTGCTAAGCCTGGAGTCCATTATCTCAGACACGGTTTCCAGGAATGCAGCTTCGCTCATCCCGGGTATCAAGCAATCCTCTGCCTCGCAAACGATCTCCTCAATCACCGACTCCTTGTGCACGGTCTGCCTGCACATGATGCTCCCGATGTCGAAAGGGGTCAGACCTTTCTCGACTCCTTTCTTCAGGAGCATGGTCGAGATTCGAAGGGTTCGTGCGCACTGAGGCGGGATGTTCCAGCCGTGGAACTGCAGGAGGGCGATGTCGAATTCGGCATCCAGTGAGTTTATGTAGTCGATCACCTTTGGAGAGTAGGGTTGCTTTGCTTGTGGCCAGTATAGCCAATCGAATGTGCAATCTTCAAACTGCATTTCACCAACACAAACCCAAAAAACCATTTAGTAACTTAAGAATTCATGGCTAAATGTACATGACTAAGAGATCGTATGAAAGAAAAAGACTTACAGTTTCAGGCAAGCAATAGCCATGATCAATGGGAATCAACACAGTGTTGTTCCCACCATCGCCGTCTCCCTCTCCTTTGCCGATCAAAATGTTGCCAGCATGCCTATCAGCATTGGCCATTCTCACATCCAGCACAGTGATCTTATGCACTTCCTCCACAGGGAACCGACCTGGTCCAACATCCTCACAACTCCCTTCATTCTTCATAAACATCTGCAGTGAACCAATCTTCACATTCTTGGCAGAGTACTCGAACCCTTCAGGATGATGGAACCCTTTGTGCAAACACTGAACAACAATGGTGGGCGGCACACCTGCAAACCCCATCACTTCATTGTTCAGACCCCTCGGTCCGTCAATGGGATGATCCAATATGTAAGCGGCAACTTCTCTAATCGCACCTTCCCCTACCCTTGTCCCTCTTTTCAACCCTTCCCCGTTGGTCGACACCGGCAGTCCCTGCGGGTTGTTCACCGCATTAGGCTCCTCGTCGCTGGGCTTGAACACGGATACGAACCCTTGCCCGGATGGGTTCCTCATGAAATAAGTCCCCCCTGTTCCTTCCGACGAACGGATCGGCGGGTGACCCATTTCCAACCCGACGAAGGTTGAATTCACCATGTTCCAAATCGCTGAATCTAATCTCACGCTAGGGTTTACGATCACGGGTTCTAGCCAGAAATCCCTACCAGCTTGCTCCTGATTTGGCGCCTCAATCGACGACTCCTGATTCTGCTTCTGGTTCTGATTCTGCTTCTGGTTCTGATTAGGGTTTGTTGCGGCGGCGATGGAGATCTCGAAATCTCTGTTCAGCGGCTGGGCTCTGACCTTGGCGGTTTTCTGGACGAGGAGGTGAATCGCGGCGGCGTCTGCGGCTCTGGTATCGCGGATCTCGTCGATGAGGCGCTGGTCATCGAGCCTCTGACCGTTGTAGAAGATTTCCTGCTCGTCGACGTCGACGAAACCCTTGCCCTCTTGGAAGATGCGTTGTTTTAGGTATCCGACGTTTCGGTACCGGTCGACGCGGAATTCGAATTCCTTGCCGCAGGTGGTGCGGACGGTGATGAGGAGGAGGTCGGAGAGCTTGAGAACCAAGTGGAGGACGTTGCCGGTGGTGATTCCGTAGTCCTTGACCAGATCGGCGCTACGGGAGAGCTCTCTACCGCCGAAGACAAGTTTCTGCTTCTTAACGACGAAGCCTTTAGAGTTTTGGATCCGGAGTTTGACCGAGGCGATGGAGTCGGATTCCAGGACCCGCATTGGGATGAACGAATCCGCTGCGCTGAGGAAGATGAGGATGGAGGAGTCCTCCGGCAAGGAGCCGCAGCTGTTGTGATGATTACCTCCGCAACCGGTAAACCTCACCGCTCCTTCTCTGCCGGAGCTCAATGACGCATCGACGACTGACATTATTTTATTTTCCCCCCAAATTTTTTTTTTTTGGCTGACTATTCACAATCTTCAAGGTGGTGATGAACAAAAAGAAAAATTACAGAAAAGGTGTGGGGTGAATTTGAAGAATTCTACTGTTTTCGGGAACTGAGAAACTAAGAAATTGGGGAATTGGGTTGTCCGTCGATTGAAGAAACGACCAAACCCAGAAGCTGAAACTTCACAACTGAAAGGTTTCAAGCTTCTGGGTCCGTCACCCTTGACTCATTTACAGAGGAAAATTGATTTGCTGAATCACGAAGTGGTTTTTGTTGGGTTTTTTCCCCTTTTGTTTTTTCCTTTTAGTAAGGCGACCGAAGAAGCTCCTAGTTCAGAAAAACTAGCTTTACCGGGGAAAAAAAAGGGATAAACGGGGGAGCAAAACGGACTGTGGATTCTTTCCGAAGGGGGAAGAACCAAGGGCGAAAGTCGGGAAGAAGATGAGCTTAAAAAAGCCAAGGAAGATGAATCGGTAAAAGCCCCCGATTTGTTGCCTTGGGTTGGATTAAATCCGAAAACGTCGGCGGCGACCGGGGGATTCCGACCTTCTCGCCGGAGGTTTCTCCAACGGATTTTTTCCCTCTTTTTAACTGATCTTTCTCCGACTAGAGACGACGACGTAGCAGTTGAGAGAGAGAGAGAGAGAGAGAGAGAGAGAGAGAGACAGGAAGGGAAGGGGAGAACGGTTGTGAGTAGTAGCCGCTGGCTTATATAGAAAACTTTGACCGACCCATCGAAACGAAACGTCGCTGACTGGCCGCGTTCAGTTCTGTGATGAATTTTTGACGGCCGTTTGTTTCGTCTTGCAGAAGCAGGCACTGCTTGATCAAATTCTGCTTCCATTTTCCTTTTTTTTTTTTAATTACATGGAGGAGTTTTGTTTAATACAAATTGCGATATTCGGTTGCGTCTGATTTTAATTTGCTCAAATCAAATCAAATTGGATTTGGTTTGGGTTTACAGGCAAATTATTTAATTCGGTTTAAACGGGATCACCATATAATTATTTTTTATTAGTACTCCACAAATTTACTACAATTCAATTTATAACTCACATATATATATCTCCTATCCATCATGTTACATATTCTCTTAATGACAGAGTTACTAATTTATCCCTAACAACTACAACTAGATAACCTAGCCCTATTCACATATCAACATAATCCTGAGATTCTTTTAAAGAGATTACAAATCATCTATACTCAATTATAATCAGAGCAATTACGATTTCTTTCAAACTCAAACACAATACCACTCAATCTATAATAATTTTTTTTTTTTTAAGATGCCAATTGCCAAGTTCATGGTGCTTGGTAATCAATCAAATATCTTCATGATTGTATCGGGGAAAAATTGTTTTGATGATTAGTTACTTTTTTCAAAATTAATCGGGCTCACTTTTAACCAAACCCACTATATACAAACCCATCAATTCCCTCTAAATCATCCTTCTCCACGTACACACTCATCTCACTTCTTTATTTTCCCTCTAAATCATCCCTCAAATATCTTCAATATCATTTTCTAATCACATATTCGGAAGCAACGAACTTATCCTTGATTTGATTCATACTTTATTACTTGGTATAAACGAACATTCATATTGACATTCCTATCCCTACTCTTCAACTCGCTGAGCTGAACTAATACAAAAGGAAAGGCAATGGCAAACTGGGAAGATGAAGGAGGTTAATTTGGGCATGAAGTTACTGTAATGAGAACACGCCACGTGGTTCTGGAAGCAAAAACTGGTTTGCAGGGAGCGGTCGGGTCGGATTTTTCCAAGAAACGACGGATACTCACTGTACCGACGCTGCGTCCGGCCCGCTCCCTCCCTCGATTATAGTGATTGAATAAAGCTTCATTGTTTACCTCACCGCAACCCGACAAAGCGATTAACGTTTACTAATTAATTATCCTTTTTTTTCTTCTTCTTAACGTGTAATAATACTAATATAACTTCACTAATCTTTGATTTTCTGAGGTCAAATGGAATGAGTCATCATGAACAATGAACCATAGGAAGGTGCGAGCAAGGTACTGAGATAGAAAGGTATATGAACTTTATGTACATTAGCATTATTTTTTTCTCCTGATCTCATGGGTAGGTATAGTGAGTACTAAGTACGATTAGTCAAATGAAATATTATTTATGTAATGGATTACGACACCAAGGAAAATGTTCATTGCGCTAGCAACGTACTAATTTATTTGAGATTATATATTGTGAATATATAAGGATGATTTCAACCAAGTTTGTGTTCGTTCTATTTGAAACTAGGTAAACTAAGACAACAATGATGGTACAATACAATGTTAAGAATTTGGATCCATCTGGATGGAGGGCATTAAGCATATGGGGGGTTTTGCGGCTTAATGAAACTTGTTAGCGGCAGTGTCGAAGGTACATACATACGATGACATAAAGCGATTGAGAATTTTTATCAAGAGTGATTCAATCATTGGTATTAGGAATGGAAATGGGGCAGGTCCGGGGCAGGTTTCTTGGTACCCAGACTCGTCCCGTGGCAGGTCGGGTAATTTATCACGGGTCGCAGGTCGGGGCAGGTCGACCCAATGGGTATCCAATTTATATGAAACATATTAGAAATATTCGTTATTTTTATTATAAGACCAAGAAAACAAAAAATATTATGATAAATGTAGTTAAATTATTAGAGAAATTGAGATTTTCACTAATTTACGACTTTAAAATAGTTAAATTATGATGTAGTAAAAGAAAAATTATAAGTAATTTGACTAAGATTACATGTAATTTAGGCAAGAATGAGTCGAGAATGGGGCGGGTCAATGAGAGTACCCATGCCCGCCCCCACCCCAAAGCAGGCCAAACATGTCGGGTTAAACGGGTCAGGTCGAAATTGCCATCCCTAATTGGTATAAATGTCTTTCACGACCACATCAAAGACTATAATAGCCATCTTAATGTTAAAATTTGTGTATATTCAATCCACACTTACATATGTAAAAAAAAAAAACATGCATTAATCATTATGAATGATCAAACCTGTCCAATCCATAATAAACGAGAAAAAGTAGTTGTTTTCTTTCAACAAGATACACAATAACTAACCAAAACGAACAAGCTACATGTGCATTCTCAACTTTTTGACTTCCTGTCAACCTTCAACACGAAACCATTTCATTCATATGATTAAAAACTAAACAGTTCCAGTTAAAACTTAAAATCGATTCGATGTAGATAAAACTAAAATGATTAACAAGCTATAATTTCATTTCATGTGCATCTGAAACCGAATACGTACTGCCATGCCTGTCCACAAAAGAAGGCTAGCCCACTATCGATCCATCCATAGACCAAAATTGCAACAATGTGGATAGAAATTGCGGCTTTCTTCCTCGTGCTAAATCCATTGAAATGGTCTCCTTTCTCGATCGTATCCAGCCATGCACGTGAAGACAAACTCTGGAATTTAGTACCCAGTTGCATAGCCTAATTAGCCCATAATGTAGGAGAAAGAAAGTCCAAATTTGAGGATAAAACTAAGATTTCGACTCTGAGATATCGAGTAACCAAAACTCTAGGCTCCTATTTACTCGTCCCTTATCATATGCATAAACATCACAATATATGCTCTAATTTAACCGCATTTAACAAATAATTGATTAATAATAATTGTTGTATATATTATATAATATATGCTTAAGAATTTGGATGTCAAGGAGTTCATAAACTGCAAATTCTGTAGATTTGGGATCACAGCCGTAAGATTCCCGCCCTTTCCCTATCAAGATGATGTCTTCAAATTAAAACACTGATAACCATATTCTATGAAGAAGCAAATTGAGTTTGGGCCTTGTTCTTATTTTTTTCTATATAAAAAAGAATTTATTAATTTTGTGTAGCAGAGTCGAGTTGAGAAACAAGAGTTCATTGACCAGGATATATAGATCATTAGTATTTAATTTGGTATCACAATACGTGTATAAATTCTATGATATAATAATTAATGTCGATTAGAGAATAATTAAATTTAGTTCTAAGGTTTAGTGGGTTCATCCAAAAATCATACAAATGCATGCATGTGATTTGTGTAATAAAAAGTTTGTCAGGAGGCCAGACTAAGTGCCGTTGCCACCGGAAGAAGGCCCCGAATGCTAGGTAAGTCGAGGTAATTGGAAATTTTAATTATACCTACCCATATAATTATCAAGTAATGTGCAGAAAATTAATAAAGCTTAGTTCATATTCAGTCATAACTTAGTGTAAATTAAAATTCATTATTATTATTAATATACTTAGTGTAAATTAAAATGGAAGAAAGGTAGTATGGCTATATGCACCGGACGGACCCCATTGAAGTGTTTGATAGGTGGAGGTTTCTTTTTGAATATTTATAGGTCGAGGTTTCAATGTATTGAGATTTGCTTTAGTTTTGGGGTAAAGGGAAACAACCAACAACAACGCAACGTTGTATATTATGATTATCTAGTAGTAGGTATGTGGCTGAGTGACTCCACATTCATTCATCATGGCCCAATGTATGATTCCGTATATAGTGTACGTATATATCGTGCTTTGAAAAATTAGAATACAAGCAAATGAAAAAACAAAAGGTTAGGGTAATGATAGGGATGACAACTAGTTCGGACGGGACAAGTTTTCGTATATTTGATTTTCCAATTACAGGTTTAAAATCTCAAATCATTTTGCAAGCAAGCGGCTCGAGGTCGTAGGATTTGCTCAAGTAGACTAACTTGATATTAAACCATGTGCATATAAGAACTATGAAAACCCGCTTGAGCATCGACTCCATTAGAGTAAAATATTGAAATGTTATGGTCGTTGAATGTGTTCAGGTTGGTGTACAAAAATACAGACTGAATTCGTGTAATGTTGCCATACTCTCCCACCTGGAGTTGACGAAGTATGATTAAGAGACAATCTATGACTCCCACCTCGTGCGGCCATGTCCCTTTGCACATGGGAGGGAATTAAGTTGTGGACTGCGGAGATGGCTAACATCTGTCTGAAATAAGAGTGACAAATAATTAAGCTACTAGCTACGTAGTGTGAATAATTAGAATCCACCTGGTCATGATTCCATTATATGCCCAAATAAAATAGTGTACATTACATGTGTTTATGTTGAGTCTATTGATGACTAAGCTCCCAAGAAAAGCACCTGCTTTTGCTAATTAAGCTCAGGTATAGGCTGATTCAACGAACCTAGTTGGTTGATTATCATGAAATCTTTCTATATGGTAAAAGCATCAACGCAAGTAAATAGCTGGCTTGCTACTAGCTATCCACATTTTGTGAAAGTTTGCCCATTTTGCAATTTTTCCAAAAACAAACCGGATGCGGAATCGGGAAAATTAGTAATTCATGGTTCAGCAATTCATAATGGATCACACAAGGCTGATAAGGAGGTTGGGAAACGAAGAAAAGAATCACAAATAACATTGGTTATTTAGGTTGGATGGTCTTATTTAAAGTTAAAGTTTTTTCTCTTAATTTTTTTGGTAGTTAAAATGGTTAACTAGTGGACAAGTAAAACCGCAGTTGTTCATCTGTTCTCATGTCTAACCGTAAAAATCATTTAGTCCATCGCAATCCGAAACGTTATTATATCTACTTTGCTGTTTCTACGGATCCAACCACTGATCCGGTTCGGTTCTTATGACAATGAGTCTTAGCATAATTAGAATGCTCATCACTCAAAAGTCTAACCCGAGGGTGGAGCTCGAACCGAACAACCCAATTGATCGAGCCGTTTTCTTGGCTTCGTAGAGTTCCCTGACCCTTCGGGCGTCAAGTCCAGACTTAACGATTTGGGGCCTTCCTTCTCTTTTCCCGCCAATTTGCTCCGTCGCTATTTTCCAGTTCTCTCCTTCTCAGAGAGAGAGAGAGAAGGGAAAGCAACGAGCTGGAAGAACAGAGAAAAATGGCGAGGGCGGTGGCCGTTACGCTTCCGTTTCTGTTCATCCTCGTTGCCGCCATTGTCGAGCAATCAAGAGCCCTCACTGTCCCACCGCAACTGTACGACTTCCCGCAGGCAATCATTGCCTACAATAACGAACCTCTCGTTTCCCCATCCGCTTCCCCTCCCTTTTCCTCCCTCCGATCAGTCTCTCCGTCGCCCTACTCGATTTCCCCGTCTCCGGCTTCCCCGCCGCTTGTTCCTGCCTTCTTCGTAATCGGTGACTCCGCCGTCGATTGTGGCACCAACAACTATCTCGGGACCTTCGCGCGCGCCGACCGCCCTCCCTACGGCAGAGACTTCGACACGGGCAGGCCCACTGGAAGGTTCTGCAATGGAAGAATCCCAGTCGATTTTCTTGGTAGGTTTCTTTGCTTCGGTGGATTCTGTTTGGTTGCCGAGAATGTGGTTGAGAAAATTGAAAATCGCACCAATTCTAGGGTTTTCATCAATTAGCAGGGCATTCTGATTCGTGAAACTCTTAGAACAATAGATTTTAGGAATCTGTGACTGATTGCTTTTGTGATGTTCCATTACTTGGATCAGCACTGCGCCTAGGGCTACCATTTGTTCCAAGCTATCTTGGGCAGAAGGGAACTTTGGCAGATATGATCCATGGAGTGAACTATGCATCAGCTGGTGCTGGCATTATATTCTCCAGTGGCTCAGAACTGGTAAGACTTTCCAATTACTTGCTTCTCTTGTGTTCATCAGTTCATGGCAAACAGTATGGGCATATACTTACACAGAGGTGTGAATTTTTTTTTTTTTGGGTTCAGGGTCAAAGGATATCCTTGACTCACCAAGTTCAGCAGTTCACCGACTCGTTACAAACATTCATCTTGAACATTGGAGAGCAAGCTACCGCAGATCTAGTCTCCAGCTCGGTCTTATACATCTCGATTGGGATCAACGACTACATTCACTACTACCTACCTAACATCTCCAATGTGCAAGACCTTTACCTCCCATGGAGTTTTAACGAGTTTTTGGCATCTTCAATGAGCCAGGAAATCAAGGTGAAATTTTGCAACTCCTGCTATCCAAATTTTGGGAAGTCGGTTCAAGTTTTGAACTGGTTTGAGAGAGGGTTCTTACTTTTGATATTATTGACTGTGTATATGTAGAACTTGTATGATATGAATGTGAGGAAGATGGTGATAATGGGGATGCCTCCAATTGGGTGTGCACCTCATTACCTCTGGAAGTATGGAAGCAAGAATGGAGAATGTGTGGAGGAGATAAACAACATGATTACAGAGTTCAACTTTCTTATGAGATACATAGTAGATCAGCTGCAGTACGAGCTCCCTCAAGCCCAGATAATCTTCTGTGATGTTTATGAAGGTTCCATGGATATCATTCAGAACCATGCAAACTATGGTAACAATAAAACCTTCTAAGCTCACTACTCTCAGAATTTGTCTCTCCTGATCTTTCATTTAATCTTTGTTGAATCTCTGTGTTTCTCTGGTTGATTGTGTTTTGCTTATGTGTTCAGGGTTTACTGAGACCACAGATGCTTGCTGTGGCTTAGGAAAGTACAAGGGTTGGGTTATGTGCATCGCACCAGAGATGGCTTGCAGCAATGCCTCGAACCATATCTGGTGGGATCAATACCACCCAACAGCTGCAGTGAATTCTATATTGGCAGACAATGTATGGAATGGCTTGCATACTCAGATGTGCTATCCCATGAACTTGGAAGACATGGTCTCTGCTAGACCGAAATGATATGTTCTCGAAGCTTCAACATTTGCTGGAGTATGTGAATATTACTGTTGTCATTGTCATTTTGGTGAAATTTACATTGTTGTTGTTTTGTTAAAGCTAACACAGAAACATCACATTCATACAGAAGCACTGAGTCCATGAAAATTGGTGGATTGTGTTGTATAGATCAGATCTCACTGATATGTTACTTGTCGATTAGTTTGTAATTGTAAGAAATGTGCACATTTCAGTTCTGAATAAAAAAAATCAAACCTTTTTGAATTTGGTGAAATTATACTTGTGTGTCATCATCAATATCAGACTGTTGTGAAACTCGGATATACTGTTCTGACATCCCTGTTAACAAGAAGCAGCTTAGCATCAAGGTATACAAAACATTTGAAACTTAGATGTGAAGGATGGAAGGTTATGAGAGTGAAATTACAATAAATATGGAAGTGTTACACTCTGCAGTAGTGATGGGTACTGAGTTGTGAAGTGCTCCCATTCCTCTTCATCGATCTTTCCATCACCTTTCGAGTCCGCCTCATTGAATGTCTGTTGAGCAGAAAAAAAAAACTAAGCAAAAAGTTCTTCCTTGGTCTCTCTGTTGAGAGGAAGGGCAATGTGAAAATGTAGAATCTTGGGAAGCAAGCAAACCTTATCAACAATGGCTTCAACAGTTTCATCTGTGAGAATCAAGTCAGACTCATCCAGAAGTGCCAAAAACAGCTCCTTGACCTTGTTTCAGAACATAATTTCAAACATGACAAAAAAAGGTTGGTACCTTTTACCCTGAATTAGCCATGACAAGCAAAACATCATCAGCTGAGGTCTTTCGAAGTTCTTTCTTTCTTCTTACTTACTTACCTCTTTGCGTTGAATGAAGCCGGTTTCCCAGATGTCATAGAGTTGGAATGAAACTGCCATTGCCATATCATCATTTACTAGCTGAGCCATCAGAACAAAATCATGAGGAGGGAATCAACAGAATGCAAAATGGAAGTTGGGTTCTTACAAGCAGCTTTCTCTGTTTGAGCTGCTTTGGGGTGGAAGACACTCAAAGCTCTCACAAACTCCTGAAAGTCTATTGCTCCATCCCTCTTGGAATCAAATAGTTGGAAGAGCTGAAAAACCAAGTTAAAAAATTACCCATTTTCTTAATCATGAAGGCTTGAACAAGAAGAAAGGGAGCCATGGAGAACTTAAATCACCCTGTTAGCAAGGAGGGTCTGCTTCCTACTGTTCCCAAACAAACCCAGCTGGAACTCTTCCTGAACACAAAAGAACAACTAAATCAAACAGCTGCTTGGCATTGTCGCATCAGAATCAAGTCAGAAACTGAATCATGTCCATACTTTGCTTATAAGCCCATCATCCACCAAAGAACTGCTTAATTTCCTGAACAGCTCAAACAAAGCCTCAACTTCATCTTCACTGACTGCCCACCACAACAGAACATTTAGAAAACAACGCTAAGATGTTAAAGACCATGAAAATGGAAGAAAATAAGATCCAGGAAACCCACAATATGTCTGAGAAGCAAGGAGAGCTTTGTCCTTCTCACGAATAAGCTTGTGGTTCACGCAACAGCTGCTCATAAGGCGGGACTTCATCTGGACAAGGAAGCTTTGCCTACTTACAAGAGGCATTGTTATTGTTGTTGTTGTTGCTGCTGCTGCTAGCTGCGATACTTACATCCATGGAAGTACTCTGAGATGAGATTGTCTATAACGTTTGAGTAGTTCTATGCATACGGCTATCGACTGGCAGAAGGAAATGTGCTGTTGTTTGGTAATTGGTAGCTAGTAGAAGCAAGTGGGAGTTCGGCTGCAAGAGGGTTAAGAATTAAGATGCGAAATGAACGGTGATGAGATGGAGCAGTTTCTTTTTGTTTTGTTTTGTTGCCATCATTGTTCATGGATGAATGGATGGTGAAATCGAAGCCAAGCCTTCGATCGGCTATATGCTATTTATGGCAAAATTTGCCGTCTCCATAACCCAAAGTGGCCTCAAGAATTTACAATTAAATCAGTAAACGTAATTTGGGGTTTCATCTTGATTTTTTAGAACACATTGTTAAATAAAATAAAAGCTTTATATTGTGAGATTATCGAATACATCAATACATCGTGAAGCATAAAAATAATATTTATAGGTTTCAAATAATAGATATGAAGGGTTTGATATGATGTTACGACATCAAGTCAAATCTTTAGATTTTGTTATTTTCGCTGATTGTTTGATTACATTTGTTCATATCGATTTTTCTCTTTAGTCATTCAATTTCCTGTAGTGAGTATTTTCCCAATCTACAGGTAGTTATACAATTTAGTAAATGACTGTATTAAATTGAGTGTCTCAATAGTTTCTGAACTACTAAAAACAAGATTAAAGGAGTAAAGCTAATAAGCTATGAGTGTGTAATATATTCATTTGCAATATTTCAAGCCAAAGAAAAAATTCCTATGCAAAAGATGAACCCATGCAGCCCTATGGAAGTTTACTAAATACCAATCCCTTTTTCCCCCAGGAACTGTATTCAACTATCCTCTTCATTCTGTTGAAAAGAGGAAGCAAGGAAGAAGCTAGAAGAAAAATAAATAAATTGTACAATGCTTTCATTATAAGCTTTAGAACATGCTAGTGATGATGGCAGTGATGATTTGCCTTCAGTCAGGAACTTCAGTGTTCAGAACAAAGCTTGGAAATGTAACAGTCAGGTCCCTGGTAAAAAAAAGAGGTCACCAGTTAGCGTTTACTTTCACATTTACGAGTTCTAGGAGACGATGATTAGGATTAGAGAGCAAGCCTTAGGTATGGAATTGTCATGTTCTTTATGAGAGATGGATGCTTTGCTACCAGTTCCTCCCATTCCTGTTCATCAATCTTTCCATCACCATTCAAATCTGCTTCTGCAAGTGTCTGGACAAAGGTAGAGATCCAACACTAAGTTCCTAAGTAATGTAAGATGAACGTATTTGAAGCGATTTTGAACATTTGGGTCACCTTATCGACCATGGACTCGATGGTATCTTCAGAAAGTGTTAAGTCTGATTCACTCAGGATAGCTAGTACCATCTCCTTCAACTGCTTCCATTTCAAGAGCAAGTGAGTTAATTCAGCAACCAGCAACAGAGGACAGATTGATTATGCATATAGTTTCCTAAGGAGAGCTTTTGTTACCTCATCTCGTTCTATGTAGCCAGTTTCTCTAAGATCATATAACCTGAATGCAACTGAGAAAAATGAAAAAAACACGGCTTCCACATCTTAGTTACTTATAGTGTTAGGTACATAGTTTGAATATAATGGTACAGATGCAGATGCATTGTCAGCTATAGTTTACAGGATGCAAAGAGCAAAAATAATCCTTACATGAAATTTTGTCAGCTACCGGAGCTCGAGGATGGAAGATGCTTAACGAACGAACAAATTCACCAAACTCTATCACCCCATTGTGCTTTATATCAAACAGATGAAATGTCTGCAGCATTTTCACACAGTAAGCCAGCAAGCATATTGAGTAAGGTTGGATGCAATGCGCCAAAAATTTGGTTGAGAAGAGGATGCTCACCCTCTCAGCAAAAAGGTTGTTAGTATTCCTACTTCTGAAAAGTGCTAATAGGAATTCTTCCTGACAAATCATCAACCATCAGATAGAGAAAACCTGATCAGGATGTGATTGCAGAAACCTCAGCAGTCAATTCAATAAGGAGGGACAAAAAAAAAATTGTACCTTGTGAATAAGGTCATCATCAATTATGGTGCTGCTTAGCTTCTTGAACAGATTGTACAAAGCCTCTATTTCATTGATTGTGACTGTTAGAAAGACAGTTAAGTTAGTTACCAGAAACTCCATATGAATTCATCATGGAAGACGAAAGCATAATGTTGTCCTCGCCAACTGTGTTACTTTTTATAGATTTCCTTAACTGAATGTGATCTGATAGAATGGTGTAGATCAAAATATGCATATGTTGCGGTTCATAAAACTTATGTCTGGAAGGTCAGTCTATCAGAGTCATTCCAAACTAACTGAAGATAGCAGCTACATTTGGTAAGAAGATATTTGAACTTACATGGTGTTTGTGAAGCCAGAAGAGCATTGGCTTCATACCGGGTCTGTTTCTTGATCTTATGTTTGAAAAAGCAGCCACGAAATGCAAGCATCATTCTGGCAATGTGAGTAAAGCACAACAAAGGGTCAGAACTAAGTTGCTTGGAGCTGTCATTATTAGTCAGCAGTATCTTTCAATTTGGTCAAAGTTTGAGTTTGTCCCTTTATTGAGAAGCTGAGCTGAAAACTGAAAAAGGCAGGCTGAGTGGGGGTTGGTTCTGCTTTTTTTTCCTTGAACAAAGTCCCCCCCTCCCCTTCTGTTATATGCTGCAAACTGTAATGATTATGACTGTACTAATAATGGTTAAAGACATGTAGGACCCTGATGCAACCAATGAAGTTGCTCTAAACCTTCCCAGGTGTTTCCTTCCTGGAAACATTCTACACCAGACGAAACCCAGAAAGTAAGTAGATAGAAAGAGGTCAACTCCTGCAAATCAGATCTAAACTATGCTCCACTTCCCACTGATTGGGAAGAAAGATCCTTACTTGATAGTTATTACTGACTATCAAACTCTCATGATCAACCTAGAGAATAAAGAGATCAGAAGAGAAGGAAAAAGTGTGCTTTGCCATTCAATTTCTTCCCCTATTTTTTGGCATAATGGCTTGAACTTGCATCAATCTTTACCTGGATTTGGCACCGTTATCAACTCTGTCCAGGATTTTCAGAACCTCACTTCTCCATTATTAAGCTGCTTGCTCCCCATCATCTCCAGCTTCTTCTGCCTGCTGCTACAGCTCCGACGAAGACCTCCCTTTAAATAGGAAAAACAGCCAAGGAAAAGGGTAGCCAAAGTCGTCCAAATCAGACACAAGCTGACAAGCAGAGACAAGTTCCAACTCCCAATTGGCCTTTTCCAGCTTATGTGGGCTATAGTTTTGGCCCTCCTATGGTTGTTACAACAGAAATAAACAAGCGAAGTGTCTGGTAAGTGGTTATAAACTTGCAGTGTCGTGGAGGAGAATTGTTAACAAACAACATATAGGTGGCTTTTTGTTCGCATTAAAATAAAGAGACCCTGTCTACTATTGGGGATTGGACTTTTTGGGCGGTGTTCCTTGTGGAGTTTGTATTTGATATTATGAGAATTGTTAATTGATAGTATATAAAAAAGTATTGCATGCACCAATCCAGTGCATCAGGATCAAATCATGGAAAAGGTCAAATTCAGTATTATATAAGGCGACCAATTGGAAAATTTGTTTTAACAATATACAAATGGCAAAGAGTTGAAGCACTACCAGAAAATTCAAATGAAAGACTAAATGGAACAATAACTCCACATGTAATGTTTTGTTTATCTTGGAAGAAGAAGAAGAACGTGACAAAATGCCTTCTTCCCCAATTTTTATTTCCTTTCCCCCACCCCCATTGTTAGGTTAGCAAGAACAAGTAAAGTTCAACTTCTTCATTTTGGCATCAATGAATATTCGAATATGTTCCATTTTGACTTTTGAATTTCAGGATGTGATTGCTCGACTGTATCTTCTGAACTACGTATTACTGATTAAATCGGTCTGTTTCTATCGCGATACTATATTGTAATTTTGTTTCACCTTAAACTGTTCATCTCAAATCTGATCTTTTGGTACGATTTCACAATTTAGACATCATCGATTAGATTTACGGGCTCAAAATATAATAATAAGAACGTGGGAGTCAATCCTGGCATCTATCCATATTCAAACAAATTCAGATTATTGGTGGAACCCTAGCTAGTCGAAATTCCAGGAAAAGTTCAGACGCTGACATACCTAATTTGCTTTGTCATTCATTTATGAAAACGAAAGAATGCACCTAATACTGATGATAATAATAATCACGACAGCGGGCAGCAGATAATATTAATCGAATTGAGACTCACCATATTGACCTCCTGTGTAGATTGGAGTACGAATCTTCTCCAATGGCGTCGGCGTGATTGGAGTACGAATCTTCTCCAACCGGAGGGTGAAAATGTAGGTGCGACGGCGAAGACCGCGACGGAGCTGCTCGGGAGAGAATCCGACCCGGTCCCGAGTCGGAGGAAACTGGAAAGTGAAGGAGGAAGGCCACGATCGGTTACTCTGTTCCAGGCTTTCCATCTCCTATTTGGATATTATCTTTCGAGAGTTACTATTCGTCGCACTAAATTTTTAAATTTTGTCGCCCTAAACCATACAAATTTACAAAACAACCCTTCATTTAATTGTATGGTTCAACCACCTAGAATTAATGCCCCAACCAACTAACCCAACCCATTTAACTCTTTCTTCCAACAGAAAACAGAAATATCAAACCAAAAATTAACTCCAAACCACACAACACAAAATCCAACTACAATCTTCTACATTGATAAATTTTCGCCTGATTCCGGCGAGTTTGCCGGAGGTAGAGAAGTAGTCGGTCTCGATCGTCATAGCATGCAGGGACTCGGGCTAAAGGTAAGATTCTGTTTGCAATTTTTTTTTTCTTCTGGAAAACAAGTCGAGCATGTTGAAAATCGGCCTCGACCGGTGGTCAAGCATGTTGAAACCCTGCATCCGCCATGGAACGGACGTGTTGTCAACCTGCCTGTTCCATCCTCCAGGAATGCTCGCAACATGCTCGTCCTCCTGTCTAGGCATGTTTTCAACATGCTCGTCCTCCTGTTTAGGCATGTTTTCAACATGCTCGACCCACGGTTCTTTCTTGTTTTTAACATGCCCGTCACTCGGTCGGGTCTAGTTTTGAACATGCTCGAGTTAATTTTGTGATGTCATGGACCTTTTTTAATGAAAATTCACATAAATTATAATATTATGTTCATTAAGTTTCGTTGTTAATTGTGTTTATTAGGAAGGAGGATAAAAATCTTGTGCCACCATCATTTACTAACAAGGAAACTATTATGGATGATTCAGTAAGTAGTTATTTTTTATAATTTAATTATCGTAACATAATTGTTGCACAACTAAATGTTTTTACCTTGTATTTCTTGTAGGGTGGATCCGGAGTTAATGAGGGTGAATATGTTGATTGCACATCATTGTTTCTAAGTGATGTTTATGATACCCATGATCAAGCTTGTAAAGCGGCAAAGGAGATTGCCATGAGTAATAGTTTTTCCTTGATAGTGGCATCAGTCAAGAGAAACGTTGGAGAAGACAATCCGCGGATCTATATGGATTGCAACCATGGTAGTAGGAGCAACTCATATACGTCTGATCCCGCAAAGACAACACGGAGCAAATCTACAACAGGCAAGTTAGGTTGTCGTTTCCGAGTGGTGGTGCAATCCGTAAAAATAGATGGCAAGTGTAAGTGGAGAATTCATGGGATTAAGTCGAGGGGATTTCACAGTCACAGATTGGAGGTTTACTCTGAGGGAAGCAGGCAAAAGAATGCTCTTTCGCAGGTGGAAAAAATGAATATTAAGGAGTTGGAGGCAACACATACTCAGGCGAAAGATATCAGAAGTTTGCTCAATATGAAGTACGATGCTCATCACAACATGACTCAGATTTATAATGAGACAGCAAAAATTAGGCGTGAGAGATTGGGTGGGTTGAAACCTATGCGGTGGACATTGATAGAAGCTCAACGTCTTGGCTACTTTATTGAGTGTGAATTTGATGATCAACGTCGTGTTACTAGACTCTTCCTATGCCATCCTGAGTCGATTCGGATGTTGTTGGCATGGTATTTTGTTGTTTTGATAGACTCGACGTACAAGACTAACAAGTATAAGCAGCCACTGGTTCAGTTGATTGGTGTTAGTCCGGTGAAGAAGAACTTCAACATTGGGTTCGCATTGATTTCAGATGAGACGAAGGAGACATATGCTTGGGTTTTGATGCAATTGAAGATTGTGCTTGGTGATCGAACCCCGGTTGCGTTCGTCACAGACAAGGCGGGAGGATTGGGTGTCTCTTTGCAACAAATCTTTCCATCTTCAGCTCATTTACTATGTGTGTGGCACATGAAAAAGAACATTGAAGCCAAAATGATGCAGTTGGGGATTGGTCGTGATTCTGCTGAGTTATTTGTAGGAAGTCTATGGGAGAGAGTCTTGCGAGCTAATACTGAGGCAGGGTTCCAACGTCGTTGGCTAGAGTTGCAAAATAGTCATTGGGGTTCAAAAAACAAGTTAATGGACTACTTGAGAGGTGAGTGGTTGCCATGCAGGGAAAGGTGGGCAAATTGCTACACCAATCGCATCTTCCAACAACAGTACTGCCATGGGTCGAGCCAGTAGACACATGATCACTCGAACCTCCAGGATGACCGTCGAAAAGCAACTCATGAAAAGACAACTCATCATCACCCTCCACATCACACTCATCATCACTGCTATCGTCATCCTCCACCATGTCATCATATGTGTTGATGCCTGGTAGCGGCTGGGAAACATGGCTATGAGGGGGAGGAACCACTGCAGCTTGACGAAGCGAAATCTTCTCCTGACGCTCCTCCTCACGAAGTCTATCTGACTCCTCCTGACGTTTTTTCCGCTCAGATACTGTAACGTTGCGTCCGAGAACCCTCGATTTTTCCTTGCCCCTTCTTTCGCTCATTTTTGCCTGCTATCAAGAAAATAAAATTTGATTACTTTCACCGGGCTACTGAGATGGCCAACTAAGACATTGGATAATATCCAAACAAACAATGAGCCTAAGCGATATTCACCTTCCTCCTAGAGACAAAAGACAAAATGATATTTAAGCTCCCAGCACCAGAAGATAGCAAAATTGGTTATTCTCCATATCCTAGAAGCAGCCCATGATTAACATATACTGATTATAATTTACCATTCACATTTATATATTATTAATTAAAATGAACATTCCAATCATTAACATTTTCATTTTAATTGAAAAAAAAAACGGGTCGGGTGGGTCAGAAAATGGGTCGGACCAGGGTCAGGGCGGGTCGGAAAACAGGTCGGACCAGGGTCAGGGCGGGTCGGAGACCGGGTCGGACCAGGGTCGGGGCAGGTGGGCTACCTGCCTCCGCCGGATCCGCGCGGGTGCCCTGCCTGCGTCTACCCCAGCCAAATCGAACGCCCTGGCTGCGTCCCCGGCCAAATCGAACGCGACTCAACCAAAAGAGAAGGGAGGGAGAGAGAGATTTACCTCCGGCGGGTCTGAGTAGAAGCAGCGGGTTGCGGCAGTGCTTCGGGTCTACGGCGGGTCTGAGCAGGAGGCTTCTCCTCGGCGACAGCGGGTCTTGGTGGTAGATGGCGAGGGCGGCGGGTCTGAGCAGAAGCAGCGGGTTGCGGCTGGTCTACGGCGGGTCTGAGCAGGAGGCTTCTCCTCGGCGGCGGCTCTGGTTGACGGCGTGGTGGTAGATGGCGAAGGCGGCGGGTCTTGGTGGTAGATGATGGCGAGGGCGGCGGCGGGTAGGGTAAGTTTAGGGAACGGCTGCGGTTGTGTTTTGTTGATTTGGGGGAGAACAGGGTAAGGGAAGGGTAGGGAAGGGTTGGGTGGGTGAAATTAGGGTTTAGGTTAAATGAGGGGTAAAATCGTCCATGTATGTAAGTTTAGGGCTAGAAATTCAAAAACTTAGGGCTACAAATAAGAATTCAGTTACATTGCTCTGTTACCTTCCTGTTTTTTGGTGCCTACTTTTTTTTAGGCCAGTTGCCTAGTTATTAGTTAAGAATTTGGTTAATTAAGGGGAAGAATTAAAGATGGTAAGAAGAAGCAATACTATTACGTTTAGCATAGAGAAGAAATATCTATTACTCCATTAGTTACAATAACTTTTTTAGACTCCATTAATATATAAAATAGTATGGAGTGACGGTTAAGTCATTATAGGTATAAGTGTTTGAGAACGAATTTTATACTTTATTTTAATTAAATGTTTCACAATATGATATATGATTTTTTCTTAACACAGAGTAAGAGATATTGACAAAGATTCAATTAATAGCATAGATAATGAATAAACTCTATATTTTTTAAAAATATTAAACATATGTCGGAGTCATTAAGAGAAATGAGAGTTGTGTAATCCATTTTTTTTATTTTCATGGTGAATATATCTGATATATTTGATCTAAAAAAAACCTTTTTGCTAATCCTCATTCAAGATTACTTTTCCTCTCCCTTCATCCACGGTTCAACTTTTTCAATTGCAAGCTAAAAAAGCCCTTCAAAAGAGTATTCTTATACATTTTTGTATGGAGCTCACAACTGAAAGAATTAAGTAGGGGGTGAAGTAAGAGGAAGAGTATCCATATAAGAAGAAAAGGAAGGAGGAGGAGTAAAATGATTTTAGGCAGAGAAGAAAGGAAGGAAAAGAATAATCGTGGAAGAAGACAGAAGTGGATAAAAGCTCTATTTTTCTTTTGTTCAGTTCAGTTATTTTTAAAAAAATATTTTTTATGTTCAAGTTAAATAAAAATATTTAAATTAATTGTGGGTTGAGGTAACTTAAAAAAACATTCCTTAACTTTAGTGATAAATTTAACAAAATTTACTATTAAATTGTATTTGAAAAGCGACTTGGTTATTATAGTGCACAAAATAGCAAGTTTGGCTATAATTTTGCACAAAATTAAATGTTTGACTATTAAATTATTTTAGTTTTATATTTGGCTGATATGTCAAAACTCAACATTCACGCCAACATCATTGCCATGTCAGAGTCTCTAACGTTTGAGTAGATGAAAATTTAACTGTTTGATTTGCATGGATGTAGATATAATGATATTAATATGAGTTGAATTGCAAAAACATTGAGGTCACAATAAAAAACTCATATGAAATTTTATTGACATTGATGCTATTAAGAAGTTTACAATTTTTTAGGGAAAACACCATTTATTAGCCAAAACTTTCTCGCGTTCTATTTTATGAACCGAACCTATTGAGTTACTAATAATTAGCCAAAATGTTAACTTCTAGTTAGTAATTTTGTTAGTAATATTGACTTGAAAACATGACATTGACTTGGAAGAGAAACAGGGAGGTCAACATTCAAATTCCTTAGTATTTTTGCGGCTAAATTACACGTTTGGTCACTCAAATTATACAAATGTTTCACGTTTGCCACCCGAATTACTTTTGTTTCTTATTCGTCATCAACTTTACGAATCGTTTCACCGTAGCCACTGGCCGTCCAATTCCGTTAAAATCATCCAACGTGGCAGTCAACTAAACCCTTTGACCGTTAGTTTAATGACATGGCATTATAAAAATAAAAAATAAAAAAATCACCTTCCACTTCTTCCTCTTCCTCTCAGCTTGGAGTAAAGGTCTCATTTCATTGTTTCCACGTTTCGAGCTTGCCTTGGGCCTTATCTAATGGCCTTCCTCCTAACACATTTGTCTCTTCTGTTTTCTTCAAACCCTGATTTGACTTCCCGCCGGAGATAGATAACAATAGTAATAATAGCTTCGGTGCTGCTGCTTGCTTATCGTTGTCGTGTTGGTCCTCGATCTCATCGCTTTCTTCCTCACCGTCGCTGTCGAACATAGATGCACCACCATAAATTTGAATCGCCCAAAAATTCTCAGCTCTTGCGTCTTTGCTCAACCGATTGTTTAACTCTGTATAATTGGAAAACAGGGGAGGGTGCAGGCGGATGTGAACAACGATGGATACTTTGTTTACGAGTATAATTGGAAAAACAGGGGCTGATGCGTTGGTGCTGTTGCTAGCGAATCAACTCTTAGTGACAGAGGTGACTCGGTGCCTGTGTTGTGGTAGAGCTATGAGGCCCAGAAAGTCCCCGTCGTTGGCTATTAATATTATCCTCTTCATTGAGGAGTTTACCGGCGGGCCATCTATCGCAGCCTGCGGGATGGGTAACACAATCCACGATAAACACACTGCAACCTCCCTCCCGACTGATTGATCCTTCCTTTGGAGGGCGGAGCCAATCTATGTGGCCAACTATCGCCAATCACCTTCCAAGCATTCGTGATTCGCTCCCACCACGCCACGAAATCGAGACCCATCACCGTTTTTGCGTGTGGGATTCTCTTGTCCAGATCACAAACCGACATTACAGGGTACCACTCTGCGAACCAGTTGAACTTTTGGCTATCTGTTTCAGTCATGGGCGAGTCAAGAATCAGGTCTCTTGTTGCAATCGTAAACGGCGACGACGACAAGGCAGTGAAGAAAAGCTTTGATTGGTTCGACGAGTCTCCATGAATGGAACAAGGGGAGAAAAGGGTGAGAGCAGAGTCTTAAAGTTAAATGAGAGAGGCAAGAGAAAATCCTCGTTGCAAAAGGTTCAGGGATTGGGACATTTGGATTCTGGGTTCCATTCAGTTTACTCCAAGATGGGAGGAAGAGAAAAAAGTTGAAGATGATTTTTTATATTTTTTTTAAGTATTTTATAAGTGTCACATCATCAAACTAACGGTCAAAGGGTTTAGTTGACTGCCACATATGATGATTTTAACGGAATTGGACGGTCGGTGGCTACAGTGAAACGATTCGTAAAGTTGGTGACGAATAAGAAAGAAAAGTGATTCGGGTGGCAAACATGAAAGATTCGTATAATTAGAGTGACCAAACGGGTAATTTAATATTTTGATACTTTACAAAAAATTTGGTTTATTATTGTTATGATTATTATTAAATATTAACTACTAAGTCCAAACTAACCAAGCCGATAACGAAAAACTTACTAAATCGGTTAGGGATCGCAAAAATTAAAAGGCCAACGAAGACGGCATCTTCGTTGTTCGAAACGGGGGAACGCGATCAATCCTCCCTCGTCCTTCGTCCGTCTTCACATAAAATTTCGGCCATCTCCGCTGGCTAACGGGGCCAGTCAGAAGAATCAGAATTATCGTCAGCGGCCGTTGATCTTCGGGTAGGCGTCCGATCACTCTTCTTCTTCTCCTTCTTCCACTTACCCTGTGATTCTCTCCCTTCGCGTATGAGAATTCCTTGAAAAGAAAACAGTACTTGATCTTCGGAATTTAGGAAAGCGAAGTTGGAAAAATTCTTGTGTTTATGGCTTTTGGCTGATACTTAGAGCTTTCTTCTTGAGAAGTTTGGGGCAGAATTTTGATTATCGAGTTGATTGCTGTCTTCACTTGCTACTTGAAGTGGCTCCCTCTTGCTCTAGCTCTCTCATGTGTTTGTTGATTGGAAGATTTGTGACAGTTTGGCACTGAACTTTGTGGGCGTGAAGTGCGATGATGGAGGCGGATTTTGTTACCAGCGGGATGTTTCAAGAAGAGACCGTCGAAATCGAAGACCATAATGTGAGTTTTTTCCCAAGCCTTGGAATGTCAAGGGTCTATATCCTTTTAGCTCACGACTGCTTAAATGTTGCAAGGAATGATAGTTGTATAGTGTTAACGGTTCATCAAGGGGCTGAACTTTGCAATGCGAGTTTTCTTTTTCCTTGCTTTTGAGTGTAACTCCAACTGGAGTTGAAGTCATCTGGTTTGGTTTTTGGTCACGTACTCTCTTTGGATGAGAATTGGTGATGAGCTAGCCTATTATAGCAGAAGAAACAAAGTTCAGTGGTTGCTGTGTTTTGTGATGTGCAGGAGAATTCTCTTTTGGAAGGTGAAAAATGTGGGATATGCATGGATTTTGTCATCGACAGGGGGGTTGTTGATTGCTGCCAGCACTGGTTTTGTTTTGGCTGCATTGACAACTGGGCTTCGATCACAAACCTGTGTCCTCTTTGCCAGAATGAGTTTCAATTGATCACATGTGTTCCGGTGGGTCATGATATGCTCTCGAAGAATTTCTGACTGTAGATGCTTTCAATCAATTAAGTGCTATCATTTGATTCTAGTTCAAGGTCTTCTTCAGGAGCCATATGTTTTCATTTTCATTCTTACTTTATGCCACTGAGGAATTAGAATCAGGCCACTGCAATCTTTGAGAGATAAAATTCTGACACAAACTTAGTATCTATTTCAATACAATGACTATAACTTTATTTGTGTGCTCATGTAGGTGTATGATACCCTTGGAAACAACAAGGTTGATGAGGACACATTTTCCAAGTATGCACTGCCTCTTTTTATTTTATTTTATTATCTTTATTCGTTTCTGTGCTTTGATTGTTCTGTTTTTGATTGTTCTGTTCATCATCTGCAATCTTCTTTTAATTCTTGGGTGGGCTGTGATTGAAGTAATCTTAGTAATCACAATTGAATTTGAACAGTTTCACTGTTTTACATGATATGCGATTTCTGTTTCGTGTATCTATGCAGCAGAGATGACGATTGGTCTATTGAAGGAAATAGCAGCACCCTATCTTTTCCTTCCTATTATATTGATGAAAATGTAAGTATCATTCAACGAAAAAGAAAATGTAAGTATCATTCTTATGGTTTCTTTCTAAACATGGTTCCAAAACTGGTAAATTTGATGAACTTGCAGCTCCATATATACAAAGCCTCCTTTATTACTGTTGCATCTAGACTTCGATTCTGGTCCTAGCATTTTGTTGCCTTTCTGACTAAAACTCGAAAAGTAACTATCAGAGAGATGCGTTCTCCTTTTCTGCTAGAGAGCTAATAGGATTTATATAAATGACATTTTACTGAAGCTTTAAACTAATAAGAAGGTAATTATGGAATTAACTTGTGTTGGGTACTGTTGAAGCTTATTCTAGCTGGGAGGTGCCATGGTATTAATGGGACATTGCTGTCTGAGGATGAATTATGGCACCACATAAATACAAATTTCATTTACAACTCAACTTGTAGAGAGTATTATGAGATGTAGGTGAAGGGCGGTAATAAATCCATAGCTGAACTTCTTTTCCCTTTCAATCATTTTGTAGGCAGTTACCTGCTTGGATGGGGATGGCTGCAAAATCCGAAGTGGATCCATGAGTATTGAGGAAGATCCTAATCTTGATACATCTATTGCATGTGATTCTTGTGACAATTGGTAAGCCTACTCTTCAAATTAAAATGTGGGACTTGATTACTTAGATTGTTTAGTTTGTAAATTCATCTGGCATAAGATCAAAATCCGAAGTGGATCCATGAGTATTGAGGAAGATCCTAATCTTGATACATCTATTGCATGTGATTCTTGTGACAATTGGTAAGCCTACTCTTCAAATTAGAATGTGGGACTTGATTACTTAGATTGTTTAGTTTGTAAATTCATCTGGCAGAAGATCAAAATCCGAAGTGGATCCATGAGTATTGATGAATATCCTAATCTTGATACATCTATTGCATGTGATTCTTGTGACATTGGGTAAACCTAATCTTCAAATTAGAATGTGGGACTTGATTTCTTAGATTGTTTTGTCTGTAAATTCGTCTGGCATAAGATGAATAAAACTTATGATATTGTCACTGATGTCAGACTGAAACCTTTAGTTGAGGACGTGAGGTTGCATCCTCGTCATAACAGCTGATTCTAGAGTAATCATCTCTACTGTTTTGTACCTAATCATTTCATTAAGTTTCTTGTTATGCTTGGAGACAGGTATCATGCTTTCTGTGTCGGGTTTGATGTGGATGGTACATGTGAGGATACATGGTTATGTCCAAGGTATACTAAGTGAACCTTACTTTAGATATACATATATGATATATACATAGACATAGCTGCGTATATACACATAATTACCTGGTGTCATAGTTATTTTATCTCATTTTGGACATTTTCCCCATTGTATGATTGCAGATGTACTACTGCTGATGAATTGCCGCATAAATCAGATGCAACTTCAGCTCCTATGCCAAATGATCAACGTATGGAAACTTTAGATACTAGCAGTTTGACTGATACTGGCTTCTCTAGAAAGTTGTCGGTTGACCCTGGAGAGACGGCTATTGTCATCTCTATGGTTGGAGGAAATAAATGGACTGAATTGCCTGGTGAGGAGTATAGCCCAATCCGAGAAGTTGGCCTGGAGTATAGCCCAATCCGAGAAGTTGGTGTGGAGTTCAACGTTAATGGAGTTCATTCTGAGGCTCATCTTAGGGAAGAAAAAATAACTAGTGAGAATGATGGGATTAAATCAGTCTTGGAAGCTCCAGAACCTGTGCTCTCCTTATCAAGTGATATGTCAACACCTGGTCACTTGAAGACAGGTCAGGCTGAAGCTGCTGCTAATTCAGACGATGATCCGATTTCAGGGACAAAGTTTTTCAAGTCTACTGTTGGTTGTCATCTTAGTTTCTCTTTAGAAAACTCATCTGGTAATTCATGCTACAACCTGAAAATAACTGTTCTGTTTTGCATTGAATGCTGGGAAGTGTCTGGTTCTAACAGCTATCCACGTGCTCCCAGTTGGCATCTCTAATAGTGGAACTGTAGATCAAGTGAGTTCAACTATAGGGAAGCAAACTGTTCCGGGAGATACTTCATTAAGAGGTAGTCAGATAATCTTCTAGGAATAGCTTCCATTTTTTGTTTCCTAGTTTTGATTGCTGTCTGAAGGCACATTTAACCACATTGGTATGCCGCGTGCAGATGAGAAGGTTGTACCAAATGCTGCTGTGGAGGCTGCCAAAAGCATTGGCGTAAAGAGAAAGCAGATAAAGTGCAGGTTACTTTGCTATTTGAGTATCTATAAACTTACTCAAATTAGTCTAAGCAAAAGTTTCAACGTAATTAAACATTCTGCTAAGGTTACTACTTGTCAGGCATCCAAACACCATTACTCATTTGAGGTTCATTAATCACGTTGGGTCATTTAACTTTTGAAGTTTTTCTGAGAGTGAATGTCCAGTTTCTTTCTTCGCCGTGTGAATAGAAAAAGGATAAATTGCTTTGGTGTATGAGGAACCACTCTTTGAGCTTCAATGGGATTTCACGGACTTGTGGCTGGGTCCCTTGGATTTCTGATCTCCGACAGTCTATTCATTCCAATGTAAACTCTGGTAGCTAAAGAAATTAGTTTTAGTTGTGGACTTGGGTTGTCCCTTCAAAGAATAGAATGGGGGGAAAAGTTTAAAGAGGGGTTTGTTGATCATGGTTGTGGTTGGAGGACTTCTTATGTTAGCATGGCGTCTCCATGATATGTTTTGCTTTCATTTTGCATTTGGTACACTCTCCTCGGGAATTATCAACTTCCATGTCCAACTAGGAATGGTCAACCATGCTAGGATGTGTTATCTGGAATATCTAATTCAGATTTCACAAGAGTGAGTTTATTGGCGTAGAAATCTTGATGGAAAATCTGTCTGGGTTATCTTTTTTAGCTCATTGCTTAGTTAAGTTGTGGTTTCAACTTTAATGTGCCATCATCAATCATATTAGGGTTTCATAGAAAAGCTGTCATGGGTTAACATAATGTGTTCAGTCTTGTTGTGGCAACAATGCTGCTGATGTACAGGCGAGATTGACGAAAGAGCTTAAGGCCAGAGCTAGAGGAGGGTGGTTTTTGGCTGAATAATGGATATGCCTAACTAGCTTGCTGGTCTAGATATAGCATACGCTTTTTGTATTTGAGCTTGAAACATTTGCTGGTTTGCAGACTTCTTGCTCAAGTCCAGTTTCTGTTTGTTCATAAAAAAGAAGAAAATATTGTTTTGGTCTGAAGAGAACTCTGTTTCGCTATATCCTATTTTCTTTTTCTCATCCTATTCATTGTCAATTAAGAAGCCTCTGCGCTTTTTAGTACCATTTTGGCCACGTAGTATGGTGAAGTGTCTAGGTCCTGCTGTTAGTTTCGAACTGTCAGCACAGCTCTTTTGCATTTCCAACCACATGAAGGGGGCAAGTATACAATTGTTGAGATTATAAAAAACATGCATGTATGTGTACATTGCTGCGTTATTCTTTCCCATGTCGATTTTAGCTATTCCTCTTGTGCCTGTCATGATTGCTTGATATTCAAATCCTAACTCTTGCTTTCCTTTTTCTCTGTTTTGATTCTTCTTTGGTTGTAGTGATGATGTTTCCCATAGTATTATCAATAGTGTAGATCCAAATGATGAGAGTGCTGGTGCAATCCCTCTGAAGAAATTTAGAGGCAAGGGGAAGTCTCAAAAGACCCAGCACTCCAGGGAGCTGCCTGAAGCATCTTCTTCTGATGATTTGGATAAGGGTTCTACTGAAGTGGCGGTTACCAAAGATAAGAAGTCCATGAAGCGTAAAGGACAGGGCCAAGCCGTTACACCTGATATAATGAGCATTGTTCAAGGGACGGGCCGTGCCTCAAAAGATCATTCAGCTGCTGGCTTGAGAATGAAAAAGATCATGAGGACGAATGCAAAGGAAGATAAGGACTCATCTGTGATAGTTCAAAAGCTCAGAGAAGAAATCAAAGAAGCCGTGCGCAATGGATCTGCTGTTAATATGGGAGAGAAAAATTTGGATCCTAAGCTTCTGGCTGCCTTCCGGGCTGTTATAACAGGACCCACAGCTGAACCAGTAGTGAAGAAGTTAGCACCTTCTGCCTTGAAGGTGAAGAAGTCTTTGTTACAGAAGGGTAAAGTCCGTGAAAGTCTGACAAAGAAAATATATGCGGACTCTAATGGAAGGAGAAGACGTGCATGGGACAGAGACTGTGAGGTTGAATTTTGGAAGTATCGATGCATGAGGGCCACAAAACCAGAGAAGGTTGCAACCCTAAAGTCGGTTCTGAACCTTCTCAGAAAGACTCCTGGAGGAGAAGTCGTTGAGGAAGCTTGCAAGAATAAGGCAGAAAGTCCAATACTATCCAGATTGTATTTAGCAGATACGTCTGTCTTTCCTAGAAAGAATGACATCAAACCTCTATCTGCTCATGGAGGAGGCACCAGTGATTCTGAAAAGGGCCGAACAGAGAATAACAGTTCAGTTCCAAATGGTCTGAAACCATCTCCTACTAATAAAGTTCCATCAAAATATGTTCCTTTGCCTCAAGGGTTGAAGAATAATAATGTTGATCATTCAAAGAATAGTCCGGTAGCCCCATCAGATGGTTGTAGAATCAAGCCTAAGAAGGAAACGTGCGTTAAAGTGGACGATAAGAAGCTTGATAAACGAAAATGGGCCCTGGAGGTGCTTGCTAGAAAAAAGGCTGCTTCAGCTAGTAGTAGAAAGGAAGAAGAAGAAGACGACAAAGTTATGCTTAAAGGGAACTATCAATTGCTCGTATGTGAATCTGTCCCCACTTATCTAAATTAGTTTCTTGTCTATGTAATAACCCTCTTGATCTGCATTACAGTCTGCAACCTGCTATTCATAGTTCTCGTTCTCTTTCTCTTTCCTGGATTTCTGCAAGCAGGGTCAACTTCCGAAGGATATGAGACCAGCATTGGCCACCATTGAGAAAAGTAAGATTCCCGATTCAATAAGGCAGGTAAGCAATGGCATCTCTCTCATGTTTACCTGTTATTACTGGTGTAGCCTGCTATATCTCGTCTGTGTGTCCTAATTTATAACTGGCCTTTTAGTTTGTCCCATATCAAATCGATAAGTTCCTTTCCTTGCAAATTAGTACAAAACCTTGAATCTTGTAATATCTAGCCTACATCTTTTTAGAATATGAAAAAATATCATGGATCATTGGATAATGTATATTCTCTGTCATGCTGTCAAACGTGTTTCTTGGTGAACCCCAGTTAACTGAAATCATGGCCACGACCTGCACCTCACAGAAATATTTTTCCAGACTATCGAATCCTCGATGGTCGAAGTGAGCTCTCATTGTTTATTGCCTATTGGTTCATTCTGTTTTATTTTATACAGACACAGCTGTACCGTCTTACAGAATTCTTCCTGAAGAAACTAAACCTCCCAGAGATTTGCAGAACAGCTGAAACAGAGTTGGCTGTAGCAGATGCCATTAACATCGAGAAGGAAGTTGCTCAAAAATCTACTACCAAAATGGTATACGTGAACCTCTGCTCTCAGCAAATGTTGCACCGTTCTTCAGATAATAATGTCAAGGCCGCTCAAGCTTCAGAATCAGATACATCAGCTGTCGTCACGGATCAGCAGCATTACAGCAACGAGCTCCCAACCGACCCTGCAATTACAGAAGCACTGAGAAAGGCAGGCCTTTTATCGGATTCTCCTCCAGCAAGCCCACTTGGTAACTCAGAGTCTCCTATTGAAGAGGAGCCCGATAACATACTGGAAATAGATACTGTTCCGGAAGCGGATATTTATGGTGATTTTGAGTATGATTTGGATGATGAAGACTTCATTGGAGCGACTACTTCTATGACTGTTGTTCCTACCAAGACAGTGCAGGAAGAAGCAGAGGCGAAGATGAAAGTGGTCTTCTCAACACTTAAATTGGAAGAGCCAAACAATTCTCAAGATAGCCCAATCGTAGTGAGTGGCAATAATAATGGTTCTCATGTTCCTCCTCCTGAAAGCTTACCCGGTGAAGAAGGCAACGAAGAACCTTCCCTTGCAGAGTGTGAAGAACTGTATGGCCCGGAAAAAGAACCGATGATGAGCAGATTCCAGCTTGAAGCTCCAATCGAGAACAAACCAAGCCTATCGGATAACACAACTTCTGCCCCCAATGCACAACAAATTCCTGATGAGAAAAATCCCTCCAACGATTCCCACTCAACCGAAGAAGCATCGAGGAAGGATATGCAATCTGACTCAGATCCCAAAAGGCAGTCGGAAATTGTCAGTTCTGTGTCAAAGAAGGTAAAGCTCAATCCTCATATAAGTCAATGTTGGTGAGAATCCCCGGCCAAACTTTGCTTCGTGCTAACTGAAAGGCAATCGAATTCATGTCGCAGGTTGAAGCTTACATCAAGGAGCACATTCGGCCACTGTGCAAGAGCGGCGTGATAAGCGTGGAACAGTACAGGTGGGCTGTAGCGAAAACCACCGACAAAGTGATGAAGTACCATTCCAGTTCGAAGAACGCTAGTTTCCTGATCAAGGAAGGTGAGAAAGTGAAGAAACTTGCTGAGCAATACGCCGAGGCAGCTCAAGCTCAGCAGAAGGATTCATCGTGACCCCACTCCTGCCCAAAAAAAGAGTATGTTAGTGATCGAGTATGTCTCTGCCGATTCTCGAGTGGCAACTGCCCAAAACATGATGGACTGTCCCACTGTTCTGTAGTAGTGTGAATGTAACATCTATATATGAATGAATCCGTTGTAGATTGTACTTCCGAGGCAAAGGTCAAACATGCCAGGTTTTTGTCTCGATGCATTGCTGAGGTACACACTGTTCCAAGCGACAGAATGTGTATGTATTGGATGAACTAAAAAAATCGCACGTCTTCCAGGTCCAATCAATATTGGTTCGGCCCACTTAAAAGTTAAAACACAATTTTAGGACGTGAAAATGGTCCAAACCTAGATTTGGGCTGGGCGGGATAAAATTGAGCCATACAGATACAGGCACAGCTGAGTGGTCAGAGGCTCAGAGCTATCTCGGTTCGAACTTCGAAGTTCGGTAAGTGTAAGTGTAACCAACCACTAACTAACCAACCAGGAAAGGAAAAATCTACGCGTCGAACGACGTCGTTGCTTATGGGAGAAGAAATTAGGGCGGGAGCCTGGGATATCAGGAAGTCGACGAACTGAAACAGCGAACCAATTCGACTTCTCCCGAAATAGCCTCCGCCGCCCCAACCTCCCTTCCGGCTTCCTCTACCGCCTTTTGCTACCGGCCGCCGTCCGTTGCCGACAATCTCCCCTTCGAATCCATCCGCCGTGCCTTCTCATCTGTATTGGTGGACAGGTGAACTAGTGAATTAATTGACTGAAAGCCATGGGAAGAGCCAAGAAAGGGCCGAAGTTCGCGGTGATGAAGAAGATGGTCACCTCAAAGGCAATTAAGCAGTAAGGCTTCGCTTCGTCCTTTCTCCCCCTGTGTTCAATTCAATACATACATATATCTCTTGCTTTTTTGTCATGATTTGCACACGCCGTTTTGCTTGGTTGGTATACTGTGTTTCAGATACAAGGAGGAGGTTCTGAACCCGAATAGGAAGGACCTTTCCAAAGAACAACTTCCTAGAAACGTGTAAGCTTCCCTTCTTCTTAAGTTCATGTGAGCTACTTGGTGGTGTTTTGTTTTCTGATCTTCGTGTGTTTTGCTTCGCGGAATAGGCCGAAAGTGTCTTCATCGCTTTATTTTACGCACAACACAGCTTTGGGGCCTCCATACCGGGTTCTGGTGGATACCAACTTCATCAATTTCTCTATTCAAAACAAAGTGAGCGTTTCTTGCAATTTCATTGATATATTCGTCAACCCTTTTGTTTTATTTTTGGTCTTCCCGCCGCCGCCTGTGAGTTCTGTGATTAGCGTGGCATCTGCAAATCATGCATATGCTACTTGGCTGTTTGAATCATTATGATGGTTATGGGGAGGTTAAAGGGAATTGGGTTGAATTGCGGCGATCACTGCAGTCATTCAGCTTTGTTTGTGCTAATATCGTAATATGGCTATTTGCTGAATACCGGTATTGTTAGTAGAAAGTGTCTTCTTAATGTGATTTTTGTGCTATAAACTTACACATTTGCTTGTGTTTTCTCTTTTCAGTTGGACTTGGAGAAGGCAATGATGGACTGCCTCTATGCGAAATGTGAGTTTGGGTTGTGTCTCTAATCTGCTTCTCCTATATTATACAGTCTTCACTTTGCTATTTTTGTGATCTCAAAAGGACATGTTTTTATTGAGTTTATTGTTATCTCTTATTTTGCTTTTAATTTACAGGCACACCTTGCATCACTGATTGTGTTATGGCTGAGCTTGAGAAGCTAGGTCAGAAGTACCGTGTGGCTTTGAGGTATGCTTTATTGAGTTTTAGTTTCTCTGATTCTTTTCCTTGAGGTGTCAGGAGGAACTCTTGTAGCTTTCTGCCACTCTTTCCAGCTTTATTCTTCAGTTCATCACCATGTTTTATTCAGTTCAATGTTATAAGCCTTATCTAAAAGCTATTGGCCATCTTGTTTCTTTTGTTAGGATCGCTAAAGATCCACGTTTTGAAAGACTACCCTGCATCCATAAAGGAACATACGCCGATGACTGCATTGTCTCCAGGGTCTCTCAGGTGTGTTTGCGTGACACTTTACCTCCTTTCTTCCATTGTCCTTGGGTAGAATGAAATAGACTGAGTGTGCTCTGGCTCCTTGGAACTTGCACTTGCTATGACAGTACTAGTACCATGTCTCTATCTAAACTTGATTCTTAATTTTGTGAATTTGATGAAAACCTTTTAATTGATTCCTTTCAACTGGATATAACGCTTCATTGGGACTGAGGATATGAACAACAATCACAATTTGGCCTTCCACCCGTGAATCGTGATGTACGTTATTTTGGTTATGTTGATAACGATGTCTTTCGTTTTTGGTTGGAACAGCACAAATGCTACATTGTTGCAACTTGCGATCGGGATTTGAAGAGGAGGATACGTAAGGTATTCATTTATTTAAAAAGATCATTTTAGGAAATAATACTGCGTTTGCCTGTCTGGAAGTGGCAGTTGCCAGAAGATGGTGTTCTTCGATGTTGTGAATATGTATGCATCTTCATTACTTGCAGGTCCCTGGTGTGCCGATAATGTATATCACCCAACATAGATATTCAATTGAGCGTATGCCGGAAGCGACAATAGGCGGGGGTAAGTCTCAGATACTCAGGTTTAAAACACTGTTGGTTGGATTTTGAGACTGCCTGCCCTTATTATTGCCATCTATGTGGCATCCTTTCAGTGTTATGATCATTGTTATAGTTTTCTACAAGCTATAACTACATTTCCTGTGATGCGTGAGAGAGATTCATTTAAGATATTTCGTCAAGTAATTGTTTACTATGGTTTGCTTCCACCACTCATCTGAGCCCTTTTCTTTTGCCTCCATGCTGCAGCTCCAAGATTCTGATGATGTGGAGATCCAGATTGCTTTGGCCATGCGAGAAACGAAATGATTTTCTCTTAGAAATTGAAGTGTTCGAGAAGGAATTTGCGAAGTTGTATGATCAATCGTCAGTCAGTGGGATTCTGGCTCACTCCTAAGATCTCTTTTATACTTAATGGCTGTAATCAGTGTAATGACTTCTTTCTTGCAAACTAACTATATGGTAATGAATAACTTGTTTATTATTTAAATTTTTAATGATAATGATAATGAGGTTAAATTTTTTGCATTTTAATTGTTTTAGTTTTTAATTGTCATGTCATAACATTTAATGATCAATTATGTGAGTTGACTGCACAGTAGACAGTTAACGGAGTTGGACAGAGAGTTATCAAACATGACATGTTTTATTAAATCTAATGACTATGAACGAAAATAAATATTTTTAGTTAACTAAACATGAACTTTTTTAGTAATTTCAATGTCCAACCTCGTCATTTACTCCTGAATATTTTTATATTAGTTTCCGCCGTAATTTCGAGAGTAGTTTTACGAATCATTTTTATCATTAAATTATTTATCATGCAAAGAAATGTTTTTTTACAATCACATATAGAATAGGCTAGCATAGCAGAAGACTATAAGTATGCAACTTCTAATAAAGTTTTTTATCGGATGTTCTTGAAGAGAGCATAATATAGTTATTTAAGGACAACTTGAAGAAAGAAATATCAAAATCAACACCTTAGTACTCAATTATGATTCATTTGTTCCAAATAATAATGGAGATAATTCATGGAGAATGCAAACACAAACAAGTGAAAAAATTGAACAACCTGCAATTAGGGGTGTCAAAATGATTATCATGGTAATTACCAAACCAAATAAGCATAAATTCTATTAACTATAAAAAACGGTTATCACGGTAACCACTTCGTTTGAACACCCCTACCTACAACAATCGTAAAGCAAGCAACATGCTTTTCACGAAACAATTCCTTTTTTTATTTTTGAATGACAAGTATACATTAGCTATGTGTTATTAAAAACTTCATAATCCATTGTCGAGTAATTTGTGCCTTGAGATTCACTATGATGGGTCATCTCTGAACGACCCCCACATAGCGACTTATGACGTTGCAAATTCAATCACCATGGTCTTGTTTGGTTCGGCGAGCTGAAATCTTATTTGTGTTAAGATGATGGTTGTGGAAGACTGGAAGTGAGGGAATTATCGGTTTTTTTACTCTTGTAATGATTTCTTTGAGTCGATCAATCTTATCTCTCACTCATTTTTTTTAATCCTTTTTCTATGGATTGTTCTTTAGTGTGTTCAGCTTTTCATTGTATATTTCATCCATTGTAAGTTGTAACCCTGATGTATTTTTTTACTACTGTAACCTTCATATTGCCAAAAAAAAAAAATTCTTCCAAATATGTACTTTTTTTAGGCAAAACACACCTGTATAGCCATAACTTTCACACTTTTGACAAATATAGCCATTTCTATTCGAAAACCACAAATAACCAGTTCCGTCCATTTTGGTAACGGTGTTAGCAGACGGAGTGACTGTACTAACGGTTTGCGCTGAGTTGGCAACTGAGTTACCCCACTTTCCGACGTGGCAATCAGACTTAAAAAAAAAAAATTAAACTGATCAGCTGCCCACCACCAGTCGCGACTCAACCTTATCCCTTCAGTTTTTTTTTTCTTTCCCCCTTCACCTCTCTTCTTCCGACCACGACAACCCCCAATAACCACCGACAACCCCCCCCCCCCCCCCCCCGATAACCCACGACAACCCGCCGGTGGATTCCTTCTACCTTTTCCGATCTTCCTCCTATAACCCCTTCCTCCTTCCGTTCATCGCCCCAATCGGCAATAAACCCGAATCCCTAACTTCGAAAACCACAGCTTTTATCATCCCCTTCACTCTCCCTTCCAATGGCGAACCACATGCATCCTGACTAATCCACCAGCGGCCACCGTTTCCCGACGCAACCCAAGCATCCTATCACTGTACAACGCATCGACGAAGCATAGGTAAGTTTTTTCTCGCTACTTCTGGAAAACCCTAATTTCACATTCTGCTGCGATTCGTTAGATTTTCAGGGAGAGGTTGGTTGGTGGTCTCGATTCTGGGTGGTATGTACTTATAGGCCTCCTTTTCTTGTGTCTTTTTGTAGTTGTGGGTCGCTGTAAAGAAGAAGGAAAGCGACATTACTGATTCCAAAAGGGACCACTTTGCATTGAATCTGTGTTTTTCGCGAGATTGCCCTTGAATCCGACGGTGAGTGCCTCCAAATCCTGGGTAGAAGAGTCATTGATATATTTTTTTGTCAAAAACCCTAGAATAGAATAATGGTGGAAGGCTGTGCTATTGTTTGTTTGTTAGTGAATTAATAATTCTTGATTAGGGTTGCTAATTACTTAATTAATTCTTTCTCTTGTTTTGGGTTTAGATGGATGATTCATACGAGGAGCAAGGTGGCGAGAATGATCCAAACCACGTAGGATCAGAGAATGCTAGCTTTGGCAACGTTGCTCGTGAAGATGAAGCTGCATCTGTGGCACGAGATGTGTTCCATATTTATGATTCTGACGATGCAGAAACTTCTGATGATGAGTACCATGAGGCTCGGGCCAATTTACGCGCATATGGGGAAATGAGAAGGAGGAAGGTGAAGGCAAGGAGATATGGTCATGGGGAGGAGGTTGAACAACTATCCGAGTATGAAGAAGAAGCTTCTGACAATGGAACAGAAGATGAAGACCATGAAGAGGGCATTGGAGATGATCCTGAAGAACCTGATCAGGCAGCAGTAATGATGGTGCACCCGAGCAAGCAGTTGAAGATGATGGTGTAGTCGAAGATAATGGTGCACCTCCAGTTCAAGAACCTAGAAGAGAAGAGTCTCACCACTCTAGCTACAGACTGTCAGAGGAATCTGATCATGTTAGGGGCAACCTTTCGGACGAGGATGGTGGAGAGCCATTTGGAGATGCTCCACACTACGATCCAGACTGTGATCACAAGAAGTTTCAGTTCATTCCAAGGTTGAAGTTTGAAAGTCCAGAACAGTTCAAGAACGCGGTAGTCTTACATTCTGTTGTTGCTGGTGCTAGCTTGAGATGGGTCAGGAGCACACCATCAAGAAAAGAAGTGAAATGCAAGGACACAAGATGCAAGTGGAGGGTGGTGGCTAGTTGGTTTAGGAAGGACCAGTCTTTCATGGTGAGGAAGGTAGGGCTGCACCATTCTTGTTCACGTAAAATGCGGGTGAATCAAGTTACTGCAGAATAGATTGCATCTGACATGCTTGAGAGGTTTCGCATCAATCCACAGTGGGCTCCAGACCAGATAATGGCAGAGGTGAAACTAAAATATAACATGGAAGTGGACAAGAGGAAGTGTTATAGAGCAAAGGTTGCTGCAATTCGAATGCTTAGTGGGTCGTTGAAGGAGGAGTTTTAAGGCAATCAGGAGCTACGTTGCTGAAATGATGAAGAGGGATCGACATGGGAGGTTTGTCTTGGAGGTTCAACCTCATTCATCTGAGGACAAAGTGTATTTCCAGAGGCTTTATATAGGGTTTTCATGCTTGAGGGATGGGTTTGTGGATGGATGTCGGCCAATGTTTGGCTTGGACGGTTGCTTTTTAAAGGGAGAGGTGAAGGGGATGTTGTTGACTGCTGTTGGGAAGGATGGAAACAATCAGATGTACCCACTGGCTTGGGCTGTTGTTGAGAGTGAGAATGCAGATTCGTGGAGGTGGTTTATCAATATATTGTCTCAAGACTTGAATATGCTGGATGGTAGGGGTTGGAGTGTTATTTCTGATCAACAGAAGGTACATTCTGTTACATAAGTGAATTTTGCTATATTTCTGACTTCAGTGTTTGACTTTGTTATATTTCTGACTTCATTGTTTGACTTTGTTATATTTCTGACTTCATGAAATTGTGACTTTTGCTAGGGTCTGGTGGAGGCTCTACGTGATCTGTTACCTGAAGCTGAACATCGCAAATGTGCAAGGCACGTTTATGCCAACTGGAAGGTGAAGAACAAGACGGATAGGGTTAGAAAGCTATTCTGGAAGTGTGTATATGCTTGTAATGAAGTAGACTGGAAGAAAGCCACTAAAGAAATGGAGGAGATCCAAGGTACAGACACACTTGTTACACCCTACACAGACTTTATGAATGCTGAACCTAGATACTTTTGCCGAGCTTTCCTCTCTCCAGTTCCTAAATGTGACTCAGTGGACATTTGTGAAACATGGAATGGATCGATCATTAAGTGGAGGGCCATGAGAATCATAGATATGCTTGAGGGGATCCGTGGGTACATGATGGAGAGGATAGTAAAAAAAACACCAAATGCTAGCTGACTGTGATGATGATCTGTGCCCTAGGATTAGAAAAAGAATTGAGAAAGAAAATGGCTTAGCTAGGTTGTGTACCGCGAGACAAACCTTGGATAATAAGTGTGAGGTAAAATTGGGGGATTCAGGGTATATTGTGGACCTCAATTCAAGGTCATGTACCTGTGGATACTGGAGCCTAAGTGGACTCCCTTGCTGCCATGCTGTCTCGGCAATTAGTCACCTAAGGAAAGAAGTTGACGACTATGTTCATCCATCATACCATTGTCGAGAGGTAGTCAATGCCTACAAGGTGGGGATTCCTTGTCTAGATGGAAGGCAAGCATGGCCAGAAGGAGTAGGATACCAAGTACTCCCTCCAAAGGATAGGAGAATGCCAGGAAGGCCAAAGAAGAATAGAAGAAAGGCCGCTCACGAGTTTGAGGTTCGACCGCAAGCAACCGGGATTGGCGAAGAAGTTTCAAGGAGGGGTACTATAATACACTGTTCTAAATGTGGTCTAGAGGGCCATAATGCAAGGTCATGTAAGAATCCTTGTGTTGCCCAAGCCCCGGTGAGTTTTACCAACTTGCTTATTACTAACTTGCTTACTAAGTTTTACTAACTCGAATAGGGTAACTTGCTTACTAAGTGTCTTACCATTTTGTTGACAGAGAGGAACATCTAGACCTAGAGTAAGTTCTCCGAGGCCAAGAGTTGAACCTGCTGCGGATCAGACTGGGGCAACCACTGGTAAAAGAACAAGGACAAGTCATTGCTCTAAGTGTGGTTCGATCTCTCACAATGTTCGAACCGTCCCCTCAATCACGGAACTGGAATTCAGGTAATCATGTGCAGAATTAAATAGCAAATGTTAAGAGTATGAATGTGAATGTGAATGTGGCTGTGGTTGTGTGATAAGTTATGCTGAAATCTTATACTGTTGTATTCCTTAGGCAATTAGGCTGAATGTTGATGATAGAAGAACTATTCAGCGTGAAATGAGAATTGCAACAGCAGGTGTGGGTGTTTATGTGAACGAGGATACTGGAAACCAATATGTTAGGGTAAGATGAATCCTAATTACAAACAAGGTTTTTTTCCAGGCTGAATGTTAACAATTTATTGTTGCTGGTTCTTCTTTTGACAGCTCAATGGAGCTAGTGGGCGTCCTCAAGGGAACAGTCAGCAAGTTGTTGTGGATGCCCAGGGGAGCCAGCCACCAGTCACTCAACCGTAGATGTGCCAGAGTGTCGATTAACCTTTTGTCAACCCCATTTTGTCAACTTCCAGTTAGGATGGCTTGAACTGTACTCATGATATGTATTGGGGACCTAAATTAGGCTGTGTGATTAACAAATGCTTGACTCAAAATTCGGATTATATTTGCAGTGTATGGAACAGTTGGTAGTTGATCCATTCGGATTATATATTGTATTGTAGGAACATATGGTTGTGTAAGGAACAAGTGTTTGGTAGTATATTTCACCTTATTGTTGCTAGTATTTTGCATCTCAACCACTACTCAGTTTTGAACATCTTTCAAGACAGGAAAAACCACCATTGTCCATTGCATTATACAAGCAGAATTGTTGAATTATACAAGCAGAATTGTTGCATTAGACAAGTTGAAAGTTATCATTAGACAGGAAAGAAAACCATTGAATTAGACAACCATTACATTAGACAACCATTACATACCAGATCTGTATCCCCACAAAACAAGAAGGAAAGAGGCATTCACAACAAGAAGAATTGTTAACATAATACGAATAATTTGAACATCATGATTCAATCTCCTTCCATGGGCTAACATAGTCTCACGATCTTTCATCCACACAATCATATCTTGAGATAGTCTCTTTTTCTCCTGCTTCCTCCTCTCTGCCTTAGACTCAGCGATGAGCAAACTGTGCTCAAGTTGGCAAATTAGGCTCTCCATAGAACCCTTTCGATCCTCCATTTCATCCCCAACCATTTCATCGCCAACCATCTCAACCCACCTAAAGAACCGACAATTTTTCTTCCCTAGATTTTCACTCTCATTCTGCACTATCCAGATGGTTTAGTTAGAAAATCAAACATCAAAGCAAACATCAAATAACTCGAGAATCAATCTATCCTTACCTGCTTCCAATAAGGACATCCGTAAAATTTCCTGCCTGGGTTATACTCGGTACCCGACGTCTTAATCACGGCGGGAACGTTGTGCTTGCAAAGCACCGTCCCAGACCTGCTGATGTTGGTCGCCGAGGAAGAGCCCCGCTGAGACATCGCGAGCAGAGGAAGAGGCGCGAGCAGAAAAAAGATGGAGGAAGAAGGAGAAAAAGAGATGGAGGAAGATGGAGGAAGAAGGAGAAAAAGATGAATGAAGTCGGCGGCGGTCTCCAGCGGCGGCGTCGCGGTCTCCAGCGGCAGAGGGGGTCGCGGTCTCCAGCGGCGCTGTCGTCTCCACCAAGTGCAAACCCTAATTAGAAACTGAAATTTTGAATTTCGGGGACAGGGAAGAAGGAGAAAGGGAAGTAAACTTATATAATGTTTTTTTTTAATTATTTACGTGGCAATCCACGTGTAAGTTTTGCTGATGTGTCAATGATGTGTAGGTCGGTTTTCGTCCTGGTCAGCAATCCGTCAAACGATTTAACAGAGTCTCAGACGGTGTTAAAGTTTCTAACGGATTTGGCTAGATTTGTCACACTACCCTCAGTTTTTTGGGTTATTTGTGGTTTTCGAATAGAAATGGCTATATTTGTCAAAAGTGTGAAAGTTATGGCAATACAAGTGTATTTTGCCCTTTTTTTTTATTTCTGGGAGAAGGTTACATAAATATCCTCAGTGGTTAAAAAAAATTACGGCGAGTGAACCCTGCCGCGCGCACGCGCACGCGCACGAGTTTTAGACCGTGTGGCCGTGTGGGTGTCAGTCAGTTAACGAGTTTCCGACTCACACGAGTTCGAATGCGATGCTCAGTTCTGTCTCTCTCTCTCCCACTGTAACAAAAAAAAAATCGCATCTTCCGTCCTCCGCCACCGGCTTAGGGTTGCAATCAAACCGTCTCCGAATTCCCGGCAAACCGGAAGCTCGACTATTGCTGTACGTTTCCTGTCACCGGAGATCGGCGGCAAAGCGAACAGCAGATTGACGTCCAGTGCGGATTTCTTCTCTCTGTTTCGGTTAGGGTTTTTTTTCATGTTCCCGTTCATCGGCGTCATCAACTGTGAATCAGTCGCTTTCATGTCTTGTGAATGGAGATTATCGCGTTCTCTTCTCAGCCTTTACTCATAGCCTCCTCCGTCACTCTCCTGTCGCTCTTGCTCACTGTCCTCTCTCTCCTCCGGTTGAAAACGCCCAGGGAATCGCGCCACCCTTTGAAATCGTCGTCGTCTGTGACCCGGGATTCCGGCTGTTCCCGTGACGGAGCCGTCGTAAAGTCGAACTCTGCCGCCTCTAGTGGGCACGTGAACGGGGAGCGTGACACGACGGGTGAAATGGTAGTGGCTGCTGGCGAAAAGGCGGCGGTGGAGAGGCAGTGTGGGGCGTCAATGATGGAGCAGCTAGTTCCGGAGATCACGACCCACGCCCTGAGTTATTTGGATTACCCGAGCCTGTGTAGATTGTCCATGACTAATTCGTTGATGCGTAAGGCTGCAAATGACGATAATGCTTGGAAAGCTCTTTATCACAAGGTACGATATGAGAGTTCATTGTGTTCCCTAATGTAGCTTGTTTGCTTCCTCTTTTATCATCTGCATAGTCTATTGATTACTTCGTCTGCTTCTTGTTCCCTTTAGCATGAAGTATATTGCACAGTGAATTTGGTTAGTGGACAAGCAAGCATTTGAGAACAAGAACGAATAAGAAATCAACTAGAGAATTAAGTGGATACTTTCGATGACATTAAGATTAGGATGGGTTGTTTGAAGATCTGTTGATTTAAAGCTGTAGATAAGCCTTCTAGGTGTAATACTAAGGAGTGGGCGTTTATGCATAAACCTTATTTCTGTGATCTAGTTGATCAGACTTTTCTGTTTCTCTGAACTCTGGCGGTGTGCAATTGATAGAATTAAAGCATCTACTTACCATGATACAAATAAGATGGATATAGTTTGAAGATCCATAAGGTTCCTGAAGCTCTATAGATGCATGCTAGAGTTGGATTTCCAGAAGTAGCAGTGTTTGAATTTCTCATTCCTTGTCTGTGACAACAGTAAGAATCAGACACTTACTTTTTCCCCCACATGTGTTGTTGTTGATTTGTTAGAAGCTACCTTGTAAGTACTAATATGAGAATTCAGTTGTGGAGGCGTCTTTTTGGGAAAGTATGATTTCCTTTACTGTCTCTTTTTTTCCATAGTAGCACTTTTGACATTTGGGCGCTCCCTTTAGGTTTTGATGATTCACCTTTAGTTATATTTGAGTTTTTTAAATTGTAGTAGTAATATGTGACTTAATCTTGATTCTTTGGCATTACCAATGTTGTCTTCCCGATTTCTCATGCGTGTAACAAGTCGAATTTTGTTTTCTTCTAGGATTTTACATTGGAACAAGTTAGTGTTACGCCTGTTAATGGATGGAAAGCTTACTATGCAGCTACAAGAGCCATTGTCAATCTGAATGCAGAATTCTTCAGCATCATCAGAGAAAGGTCTCTCCAAGAAATGAGCCGTTTCTGGCTTAATGCAGATTATGTGAAGTGCATACATGCATCAGGGGAACTTTTTTCAGGGTAAGATGATTACTTTTGAATTGGCCGGATGCATTTGGCTCCCTGACAAATATCCTATCACTCTTTTTGCTTGTCCTATCTGCAAATCGTTTATGTTTGTTTGGATTGAATGCATCTTTGCATCTAGATCTTTAGCAATCACTAGCCCTTTTAAAGGTGATTGCATTTGGTGTATTTAATGGGAAATCAGGATGACTGAGTATTTTACTTTACATCATTTCCTTATAGCGCAGCTACGACTGAATAATGCTGTTGGACATTAAGTCGAGTGAAGCATATCCGAATGGAGTTTGTATGTGCTAAGTCTTGAACTGATTCGTGTATGGACTTTTCATTTTAGTTTGGTCTGGGCGTTCTAGCACTTAGGGTGTTGAGTTTCGGGAAGGAGGGTGAAGTGAAAAAGAAAATTGGAGGAATGAGGTTAGTTAAGTTCTTATATGCGCTGAGAAAATGTAGTGAGAGTGTGGCTGTTTATTATCATAAAGTGAACTAGACGATTCAATTTTCTCCTTGTTGATTTAGAATTCTATCTGTGGCCACCACTGTTTTACCTGTCTGTCAATGACTCTATGCCATATGGACATGACTAGATGAAGCTTATTCTTCACTCTCAAGTGAGCGATATTTATAGATCTGTTAGACTTTAGACAGCTAATGTAGCCTAATTAGATGAAGGTCTAAAGCTTGTTGGAATAAGAATGTAGCTTTCTCTAGTTCATGATGGCTAAATCATGCCTATATGGACGATTGGACGTGACTAGATAGGGTTTTTTCTTTACTCTTAAGCAAAGCATGGCGGATATTTCTAAATGGTAATTGGTGTGACAGAAAGGTAGCTTGGATATTCGCTGAACCAGCGTGTCTTATGGGCTCCCTATCTCTATTATCTTTCTCTTTGTGTGTGTTGCCCAGGAAAGTTATCCATCGCCTTCTCGTTCATGTTTTCAAATCCAACTTACCTCATCAGCTTTTGTGTGTCTATTCCTGTTTGATTGAACCATTATAGCTAAAACTGGGAAGACTATTCCGCCATTGCATTAGGTACAACGCTGTGATACAGAGCTGGCAGCTCGCGTTCAACTGGTGGGAGCAAGGAGTCGAGTTTCAGGTTCGAGACGTGCGGGTCCGGGTCCTGACTGGCATGGCCTGGGTTACGATGAAAACGTATGTCGAGATGGAGACCGGGCCTTTTCATGTGACAAATGTCTTTGAGTTCCACAATGGGAGGTGGTACATGGTGCATCATCACAGTTCAGTGGACCAGCAGATTATGCATCCGTAATGAGTGCAAAATGAGGAATATAGCGGGGAGTGATAGCTTTAACAGTAGCTGGATAAATAGCGCTATTATTGATTGATAGGAGGGGGAAAATATTCATCTGTGAAGAGGAAGAAGTCATTGAAAGGTCCTTTTTTTCCTTGTTCAATCCAGTTTTGGTGTTTCATTAGTGGTTAAATGGGAAAAGGGATCAGGTGCTTATTCTTTGTTCATCTTTTTTCTTTTTTCCTCTTGCTGAAGTTCGTTGGGCAAGTCAATTGTATGGACTGGATGGAGGGTAAGGAAGTGATAATAGTAAGTAATGAGTTGCTATTGGGATGTGCAAAGTTGGGATGGAAAGGGTCTGCTCTTTGAAGATGTGATGTGAATTGTGATGAGATGATGAATGACATTTGACAGGTGCATCATTCAATGGGCCCAAATGTCAATATGATTCTTTTTTACCCAGAAATTATACATTTCATGAGATCAGGACCAAATGTCGGTTTGGTACCAAATGTCGGTTTGGTATGATACGATTTCACAAACACTAGTATAAACTTAGTAGAAAATGAGTGCATATCCCTCTTCTTAGGACTCTTCATATTAGACGATAAGAATTGTTACTCAGTCCATATATTTTTTGGTACGGATCTCAAATGTATTTTTCAGTAATTTTAAGTAAAAATAATGATGAGCTCGTACATATCTCAAAAATAACTTGGGCGATTAACAAGTACCATTGTCAAATGGTTAGAGAATTCAATCTAATAGCTTTCTAATTCGGTGCTATATTACAACTATATTAGACCATGCACACATTTGGGTCAAACTTTATCGGTTGTCAGCATGTCGCCAAATAATCTTTACGAGTAGTGTCATCCTCCTCGCTGATTGTATGGGTGAGTTATCCCTCACTGATGTGTTCTGTTAGACTATAGATTACAGGAACGAATGTAGTTGAATGAGACAGCAAGTGGGTTACACGTTCCACTGTGCCGAGATGTGAGGTGCAGGTGGTGATGATTTCTTCGGGGTATGTAGCTTTGACTCAGCATAGTCGTGTTTATAGAAATAAAAAAAAATCTGAAACCAGTAAGGTTCCATGGTCTAGTGGTCAGGACATTGGACTCTGAATCCAGTAACCCGAGTTCAAATCTCGGTGGAACCTGTTTTTTTCTTTTTTCCTTTGCTTTCGTCAAATCCGTTGGTGGGCGGTGGCAGTCGCGAGGAAGATTTAGTTGTTATCACAGGTTTTGGGTAATTTGCCGTTCCAGTCGGTACCAAAGGAAACAAGCTCAGCAAACAAGAGCTTTAATCAGCGGGAAAGGAGGAATGGCTTTCACTCTGCTCTCAGCTCCAACGCCTCATCTTCACAGTCCCAAATCCTCATGGTTCCACACCCCACAACCACACGAATCTCTCCCCTTCCCCAATCTCATCCATTTCCCCTTGAAGCCATTCCTCCCTCTTTCTTCTTCTTCCTCTTCTTCTTCTTCTTCTTCGTCTTCAAACTCTGTCCTGGAAGAAGACCCTTCTCCGGCTTCTCTTCCCCTCCAGGATGCAGATTCCAACTCTCTTCCTCCCAGGTAAAAGTAAAACCCCACCACTCCTTCGCCCTTTTATGGGGATTCCAGTTTGCGAGCAAATCTAACTCGGTTTCTCTGTTTTTGAAAATCAATGTTTAGAGGGTGTGAGGGATGTGGGAGGGAAGAAATAGAGAAGGGATGCAATGGGAAGGGAAGGATTCAAGGCAGGATAGCGGCGGTTCCTGGGTTCGGATGGTGGCCAATCAAGGCTTATCGCCCTTGCCCTGGTTTTGTGGCTTCGGGTGGCCGTTACACTCGCCAAGGCCAATCCATGGATGAGGTCGTCTCTGGCGGCGGCGGTGGCAAACGACGAGTCTCTACTCCTCCTCCTCCAGCGTCTTATTCTGAATTGGAGTCTAGGTAAATTTGGTAGAAGTTTTACACAGCTCTTCCAAATTTTTAACTATGTTTGCGGTAGTTATTTCTTACCTTGATTAGGATTGAAACGGTAGTAGAAGAAATGTAAAAAATCCGTTTCCGAGACGTCCTTAATTAGACTTTGAAATCATACAAACAATCAAATTGGTGGGATAGCGAACATTCATATGAGATAAGATCATAGTAGCATGATGAAATCATACACAGTTCTTTCTGCTTGAAATGACAAAGTCAGTTTACTGCTGACAATTGCTGTTGCTCTCTCTTTCTTTGTGGTAATCTTGCTATGTCTCTCCGCCCGCCGGCAGCAAGAAAAGGTGAGGCCCGAAGAAGTTCAAGACTTGAATCCCGACTTCATCGAAGTGTAGGGCTGAGGTTGGGTGATGCTTGCCCTGGTTGAATATGTGCGGCACAATGGAGAAACTCAGAAATAATTTCAGGGACTGAAACGAAGTTCGTGATGGAGTTGGTTAGGTTCGAACTCTCTTCTTTTGCTCGAGTCGACATATTTGATGGGAGTTGACAGAGCAAAATATAGTTAAGTAATGTGATGCTTGTAAATTGAGAGCTTATATTGCCACTTGAATCCAGGATTTTGCAATGTATAGGGTTATTTCTAAACCATGTTTTATATGTTGAAGATTAATAGTTCAATTCGGTATTGATCTCAGCCCTTACATATAAATTTTGTGTAAAAATGATATGATTGAAGTTATTTCCTATGTTAACACTAATCAGAATAGTTTTTGTTTACTGGAAACTAACCACAAAAACAATTCAAATTAGAAAAATGATGATACTAAAATTGAGTATCATAACAAAAGCAACAAAAGGTATAGCTATTTATCTTTAATCAACTCAAATGTCAACATAGAAGAACAACCAAATGAACTGATGTTAAGAGATCACACATTACTGTAAAAAAACTAAATATCGGTAGAGGAGGTTATGCGGTTGTCGAGTCCGATGAGAAGGTTTGGAGAGACGGCGATGGTTGAGCGTTTAGTAGGCCGGGAGTCCGGGACACTGTTTATCTTTAATCAGCTCAAAAGTCAACATAGAATATCAACCAAATGAACTGATGTTAAGAGATCACACATTACTCTCAAAGAAACTACACAACCCACCAATCAGCTCTCCAAGCAAGAACACTCAACATTTCCATCTTTACCGCTTCGAATATTGCTTTGCGTAACAATATAGGTGGAGGAGGAGGTCGGAGAAACGACGATGGTTGAGCGCTTAGTAGGTCGGGACACCATTTAAACCCGTTTACATTAGTTGCGCATTTTCAATCCACATTCGAAAAACCAACATCAATCAACCTTTTCATATTTACCGCTCTCTTAAAGACACATGTCCCCATATTCACTCAAAACTTCTATGTTCAAAAATATTGTTGTTTTATGGTAGTTATATTATCTATGTTAAGAATTCTGCATCGCTTTTACACATTCAATACTGCAATTCGATGTGCATTATTTGCACCAATGACATTAGGCTTGCGGTTTTAAAATTATTCTCCTTTTATAAGACAAATAGAAATATAATTAATTATTAAACTCGAATTTAAATAATCAAAATATGAAAATAAAAGTAAGGTGCCAAAAAAATGTTTAGAAGAGAGTTAGTGGCTTAGCTAATTGCGATGGAAAATTCCAAATTTTTTTTATAGAACACCTAATTATATTAAATTACGAAACCATCAAATGGATACAATCCGCATTCAGTTGCGGTAAGATAAAATTGGGTGGCTTGTCTTCCCACAACTATTGGGAGTCCCAACTAAAAGCTATGTGGCCTACTTGATATTACAACCTCTCTTTGCAAAACACCATTTGATTTGGCCCAACCTCTGGGCTTTAGCCCTTATCTCTTCACACAAGCCTCCCTCCTCTGTCAGCGACGAAGTCTCTTGCCTGATCTGTGAAACCGCTTCCAAACAGTCAGACTCTATCTCCACCACCTCATAGCCCTTCACTTCCACCACCTCGAATGTGAAGACGATTGCCTGAAGCTCTGCAATTTCCGGCCTCCATTGGCGGCGATCCCGACGTACTCCCGTTAGCAGACACATTCCATTCCAGTCACGCACCACCCGCCCCGCCCCGTTGCCCTATGATTTTTCATATTTAAGCTTCCTGTATATTTTTAATTTAAAAAGTTTAAACAAATTTGTTTAGTGTAACTGGTTATGTTCTTGTATTTTCTCAAAGATATCACAATTCAAAACCCATTACTTATGTATTTTTCCTGTAAATAAGAAAACAATAAATGACTGTGAAGACGAATCTACCCTTCCTACTTTTGCTATGGATGCAAGGGTTTCGTAATGGGGAAAACATCTTTCTCATTTCACTATTATATTAGGTGTAGTGAAAGTAACCCTGGTGGTTGAGCGTTTACTGGGTCGGACACTATCTGGGCCCGTTTACATTAGTAGCGCCTTTTCCATCCTCATTGGGCAAACCAACAACACTTAATATTTTCATATTTACCCTTCCAAAATTTCTCTAGCTTAACAATAGAGGTAGAGGAGGTTAGCCGATTGTTGAGTATGCTGGAAAGTTTGGAGAGACAGCGATGGTTGAGCATTTAGTGGGTCGGGGAACTATTTGGGCCCGTTTACATTAGTAGTGTCTTTTTCATCCGCGTTCGGCAAACCAACATCACTCAACCTTTCTATATTTACCCATCTCTTAAATACACATGTGCCCATATTCACTCAAAAGTTCTATGTTTAAAAATAACGTTACTATATGGTAGTTCTAACAATTAAGTCTATGTTAAGAATTCTACATCGCTTCTACTCATTCATGGGTGCAATTCGATATACAATATTTGAATCAATGACATTTCGCTTGCTAACTGTGGTGGAAAAGTCCTATGATTTTTCAGATTTAAACTTCCTTTATGTTTTTAATTGAAAAAGATCACACAAATGTGTTTATTGTAACTAGTCAAATTTCTTATCTTTGTTCGAAAATACCAAGGTTCAAATCTCATTAGTGATGTATTTTTTTCAATAAATACGAAAATAATAAATGACCGTGAAGATGAATATACCCCTCCTACTTTCACTCTGGATACGGGAAATTTGAAATGGGGCTTCAAGTTTTCTCATTTGGCTTTTATTTATTGTGTAGATTGCTGGAGTTGCTTCACTCAACAACTTCTTTGAAGTCTCTCGAGTTTGACTCTTGCGTTATTGCACTATTGTATTTGAACTTCTTTCCGTGTGCCCACTATTGGAAGAGTCATAGACCTTAACTTGTTTTCCTGCACTCGATTGAAGTTCAAATCAATTGACAGTTTGTGTCTGCGAAGGGCTTCGTGTCTCACCATCAAATCCTGTCCTTTTGACCTCTTCCTTATAAATATTCATCGTCATGCTTGCGCAATCCGATTCCCACCATGATGGGGCTCTGAGATATGTTATTCACTTCGCGTAACCCTATGGCAATGTCCTTGATCTCAACGGTGAATCGGAATTGGGACATGAGGAGATTGTGTTTGTACTTCAAGATAATCGTATGAACATATTAGAGAGTGTACAATAACTGTTTTTGTGTAATCATATTTTTTTCTCAAATTAATTCCAAGATCCACATGATACTTCAAAGCGTTTTCGTTTCGTGTGAGTTGTGAAGTAAATAAGAAATCAAAGTATATTGGGTCGTGTGTGACCAGTTCAATGGGTTTCAGTGACCAGTTTAATGGGCTGCGTCCTTGGTGGATTTTGGATACTTGGTTTAACGGGCTTGGTGATCTGTTCAACAGCGATCTCTCTAACCAAACAGACCGAGGCCCAAGTAAAATACACTTGCAAATGCCAAATGATTTTTAACCCTTAAGCAAAAGGAAACCATTCACATTTGGACTTCCGACACGCGTCCAAAGAGAGCCAATGGCACTTAGCCACGTCAGCAACATTCTAGAACGTGCCCGTTGCCTGTTCCAAAGCAGTACCACCCTTCTACCAACTTCGCCCGACCTGTCAAGTTTCAACGCTCTCCCGCCGCTCTCATTTCGGGAACTTCAAACGCTGGCCGGCAACCTCCTGACTCGCGCTACTTGACAATCCATGGCGGTGCCGGAGCTCGACGAGCAAAGGATCGAGGAGGTAGAGGAGCTATCGGAAAAGACGGAGAAGAAGATAGTGAAGCGAGTGAGGAAGATACTGGGGAAGGAGAACTTGTATCAGGTGTCGGAGAGGCAAGTCCGGGAGGAAGCGTCGGAGAAGCTGGGAATCGACTTGGCGGTGGAGCCGTACAAGTCGGTGGTCAGAAGAGCTGTGCAAGATTTCCTTGAGAAGCTCAAGAGCCACGGGATACGCCCCGGAGTCCAATCCCATCTGAAATCGGTCGGCACCAATTAGAGTTCATTGGCCATCTGTTAATCGCAAAAGGTTAGAGTTTTATCTTCAATTGGGAAGTCATACACCTTGCCTCAAGAGCAATTTTGCTTCTTATACTTGGGGAGCTGAAATCAGGATGCTCGATTGTTTGTTGTTGAATGTTGATTTAATTAGGGTTTTAGACTTGTAGCCTTGTAGGGGCAGTTCCTTTGAAGCTTGGAGATCTGAGGCTGCTTTGGTTCTTGCTTATTTCATGTTGTTGCCGTAATGCTTGCTGTAAACGAGGATGCAGAGTGTTGAGTGGTCTTTCTGGAGATGGTTGCTTTGTTGTTCAAACATTTCGAATGGGAAAAACCTGGAATTTGTGCTGCAGTTAGCTACCGAGTGACCACAATGAATACTATGTAGAGACTAATGGATGGTTCGAAAATCAAGTGTTTGTCTCAGCTGGATTCTGGTGTTGATAGATTTTGCAGGTGTAGGTAGTTGATACCTGAACCTGATAGCCTATCAAAATCTTTGAAAGATGTTCATAATTTCGGAGCAAATCATCCATCAACCATAATACCTAGCTCAAGAATGTGGAAACAATTTCACGGTGAAATCGGATTATGAGGTTTTGTTTCGTGTCCTTATATTATGACTCGGGTTGCTTGCTACTCATGCACGAATTATTACTATGATGGATATTCTGAATTCGACAACGTTTTATTAAAGTGGAAGTTAATTCGCCAAGACTCGATTTAAAATCTTATTCGATTGGTTTTCGTTATAAATTCTTCTCTACTCAGTAATGAAATTACGATTCTTAAACCTTTTTATCATATTTACATAGATATGAAACAATAAGGAAATTTGTTGATTCATTATGATCCAAAACTCAACGGTGTATTTACATTGGCAATAGGTTAATTCCTCAACAACCAAAATCCTCAGTACTGAGAAAGATGTACTGAAAGAAGCTTTTTCCAGAAACCAAAGGAAGACCCCCCCCAAAAAAAATTGCAGAACAAAAACAGTGTGTTTTCTTCAGTTGGGCAGCTTGAGCATGTGAGAAAGAGAAGCCGCCTTCCTCGACACTCCCCAAGAACTCCGGCTCCGCCTTGGAGTGAAACTCTCCGCCGCAGCCGCCACCATCCTCATGTTCTCAATCAACGCCTCAACATTTTCTTGCTCCGACCAAATCTCCTCCAGCCGCTTGGGGTCTATCACCAGCTTCACCTTCCACACTCCATCCCTGTGCGACGGCAGCACATGGAGCGCTGCTGACCCCTTCCCCTGCTCCTGCGCCTCTTTCTTGGAATCCGATGACAACTCCTTCGGTTTCATCGGCCCATCATCACCACCAATCGGGACCGCCTTGGGTTCCGGTAAAGCTGCAATCTTTACCGGAACAAGGCAGTAAAACTGCCCGCCGATCAAGTACTCGCAGTGAGGGACAGGCGCCCCGGATGGCCCTTGAGTTTCACCATCTCTGTAAATGCTGAAGCCGGGGTAGTCACTGACGACATCCTTAGCGAGCTTAGGAGCATTGAACTCGATGATCTCGCCGGAATCGGTTCGAACCCGGATTGGATTCGGGCTCTCTTCTATGGTGGTGACCCCTCTTGGACTGCAATTCCCCATTTGGTCTTTTTATCAATTACCTCTCTGCCTCTCTATGATTTCTCAAACACTTGTGTACATATATAAGACTATGAGGCATGCATTACAGAGAAAGGAGAGGGGAGACAAAATGCAGGAAGTTGCGGGGGGAGACTGAACTGTTGCCATGTGATTGCGGACCGTTGGGGGATGGTGAGGCTGATTATTTAAAGGGGAACGAACATAGAGAGAGAGAGAGAGAGAGAGAGAGAGAGAGATGAGTGATGCTGATCTGCGATTGGCCGGCGATCCAATGCAGCAACGCAAATGGGACAGGGGGGGGGGAGAAACGACAGGAATTCAAATTTGTGCGCTAGGGGGTTTGCATATTCGGCCTTGTTTTGATCTTTTCGATTGTACCCATTTTACCACTCTGTAAACTAATAATAATGCAGAGAACAGGGGATAAGAGTTTTTACTGGGAAAATGAGATGTTGAGGGAATCAAGGGGGCTCGTTGTTTCTTGGATTTCTCCTCCACTTGTGTAATATAGAATTGTTTCTTTCCCTCTCCCAAATTGGAAGTATACTGGGGATGGAACCAGACAGAGAGCTCGTGTACCATGCATGGCAGCCACTGCACGGCCAAGGAAAAGATTGCTTACCCGTTGATGGGTTCGAGGGTGCTACCGGTACGAGCACGGCAAAACTAGGAGCAATGTCCGACAAACTTTTCCTAGGTTTGGCCCATATGCGTACCGTATTTGGCATTTTGGCTAGCCACCTTATGTAAATTATTATTTTAAGGTGGGCACCATAGTCTGTATTAGTGATCAAACGGGATTCAAAGATGTGAAGAACATCATAGTTTCTCCAGTATTTAAGATCTAAATCGTACAATCATATGAACGATACGCGTAGTAATTGCTCTCTATTAGCTAAATAGTCCGCAACTTGGTTTCCTTCCCTCTGAAATGGTGGGTATTTGAGTGCTTGAATGTGCTCAGACTTTGAGAAAGGTAATCATGGTACTACAATCAAACCTCAAATGAAAAGTTGCATAATTCAAAAGGTGTTTCATGGTTGTGGGATGCATCCCTCAAAGGAAAACCAATTCGTGGGTTTAAAGTTTGTAGAAGTATATTATGCATTGTGTTTGGATCAACTCTCAATGTTGAGAGTTATAAGAATTCGAATACACAAAATATATTATCAAATTCGCTAGTTCTAATAACAGAAATTGTTGTGAGAAATACGGTAACTTTCCGCTACTGGAATTTCAGCTAATACATCAGTGCTAGGCAGGTCATCCAGAGCCACAGCTGCGAATCAATCAAAGTCTAACAGTAACAGGCAAACAGAGATCGGCATTTCAATGGCATCCACATGACTGACAGCCCACAAAATGGATCATTTAACTGGAGAGTCCATCCTAACAAATCGACAAATCCAGAATTTAGTGAGCCTAAAACCACAAACCGCTGCCTCCTATCAATTAAGTCCCGCCAAAACCACAAAGCAGCACAATTTCATGTGGCATTGATTCCCCCATCTATCACCCTTCCTCGCCACACAGCCCAAATTCCCCCCACCACCATTTTGTCCACTCCCCAGCTCAGATCGATAATGATAACCTTAGCCACACAATTCCTCCCCCAACCCAAATCCAGTTTTTGTCCCCTTTCAAAACCCACTCTGCTTAATCGCCTTCTTCATAATCCCCTGTTTCCCTCCACCCATTCTTGGCAACTGAATCCCCTGTAAAACCCAACATCCACAATGGGCTGCGCCTCCTCCAAACGAATTGAGGCCACCGTCGACATTTATCGCCCCCCACCCTCCAGCTTCTCCGTCTTCGATATCACCTCCGTCCAGGAGCCCTGGCTCTCCTCCGCCGACGATCAGCAGCCCGAATTCGAGAAACCAGCCGGCAACAACGTGAATGCCCCCAACCCTCTGCTCGATAAGCTCCAGAAATTCGAATCCCCTGACGCCGCTCCTCGTTCCTGGGACGAGGTCAGCAAAGCCCTAGAAGACCTCAAGCCCGCAATCAAACCCAAACCCATCTCCGCCGCCGTCAATCCTCCACCCCCTAAACCCCCCACTCCCGCCGCCGCAGAGAAGAAGCCGTCCGCCCAGCGGCGGAGCTTCTCGTTTCACACCCTGGAGGAACTCGACTCCAAACTCTCCGCACCCAAACCGTCGATGAGAAAATCCGAATCCGCCCGAAACGTCAATCTCGTGAAAATCGTAACCGGGGCAGATTCGAGACTCGCAGCCGTTAAAGCCGCCGAATCGACGCCTTCGACGGCGGCGGCGGTGGTCATCAAGCCGGTGAGGGAGAACATCTTCATACTGCGCGACAAGATGGAGCGAGAGAAGGAAGGGAAATCGGTTCCCGTGATAAAGCGGGACCCACTCAGCGATTTCCCCGAGCTGTGCCCGCCGGGAGGAAACGACTCAGTAGTTGTCTACACGACGTCGTTGAGGGGCATCCGAAAAACGTTCGACGACTGTACGCGCGTGGCGAACCTGATGGAGCTGCAGCGCGTGACGACGGACGAGCGCGACGTGTCGCTCCACGGTGGGTTCCTGAACGAGTTGAAGGAACTGCTAGGGGAATCGTCGGCGGGTTTGACCCTGCCGAGGGTATTTATTAAAGGGCGGTACGTCGGAGGAGTGGAGGAAGTGGAGGCTCTGAACGAGTCGGGGAAACTCGGGAGGATACTGAGTTGGGCACGTGTGGAGAGAGGCGCCGGGAGGCAAGCGTGTGAAGGGTGCGGCGGGGCGAGGTTCGTGCCGTGCTTGGACTGCGGTGGGAGCTGCAAGGTTGTGGTGGACGGAGTGAAAAAGGAGCGGTGCGGGAAGTGTAATGAGAATGGGCTTGTTCATTGCCCGGCCTGCGGCTAGATGTTGTTGGGCTTCTGTTTGGGCCTAATTGTATATGGGCTCGGTGTTCAGTTTGTACTTGAGACTTTTGGGTTTAGGCCCGATTATATGGTTTGTCATTATAGTTTTCTTTTTTACATTTCAGTTCGAGTGCGAATATTTGAACAAAGAAAGAGAAAAAAACAAAACAAAAAGAAGAAAGGTAGTAAAGGGACATTAAAATGTAAATTAGAAAGTGCGGTTATAATTTCAATTTTAATTTTCTGTAGTTTCATGAGAAATGTAAAGTTGGCGCGCATTATAGTGGCGTCGTGATGCCCATGAATGTCAATGGCGTGATTCGTTGTTCACATTGCTTTTATGACGACAATTTTATCTTTTGACAAAAAGTATGTTTTCCGTCAAGGAAACCAGTTTGAACTCAATTAATTCACTTTTACTTCTTAAATAACGACAATCAACACGGTTCATTTTTCTCCGAACAATATTCGAACAAGGGTGTTTGATGTTTTTGATGGCTGATAAAACTAAATTAAATTACTCCTACTCCTATGGAGGTTCAGCGAGAGCTCCAAAAACTAAGACTATGGCTAATTTGCAGAGAAAAGATAAAAGTTTGACATAGCGTGTCAAATGGTTGGTTGTGGAACCCTTGCTTCGTCTTCGTTTCTCTTATTTATAGTCATCCCTTGTAACCACCATGTAATTGCCTCTCGTAACCGTTGTCTCTCATGCTTGGTAGGGGTGGGCATACGGTCGAATATAAACCGAACCGAACCCGAATTAATGTTATTCGGTTCGGAATTCGGAAGAGAAAAGGGCATATTTCGGAAACCAGGGTCCTTTCGACCGAACCGAATTTCCGAATTCCGAACCGAAAAACCGAATTATTATAATAGCAAGCTCTAAATGGTGGATTTTTATGTTTCTACTTATTATGAGACTTAAATATTTGAATTATGTTAGTGTTTTATGACTTATGTGTTGAAATGTTTGATTTTATCATTGATGATACATATTTATTATTTACATTAGGGCGAAAAACAATTTAAAAAATAGAAAATACAAGCTAACCTCACTATTTCGGTTTTGTATGAAAAACCGAACCGAACCGAATTATAATTCGGTTTGAGGTTTGATAGAATTCGGGGACCCGGTATGCATAATTTCGGTTCGGTTTGAACCGAACCGACCGAATGCCCACCCCTAATGCTTGGTAACTTGATGTAGCCTGCTTGACACCTTAACCGCCTTGCTTGCATGCATATCCCTCGATACCTCGATAGCTTGATGACTTCACTTGGCAGGTAGGTACCTTGTGACGTGGAGGTATCTCGCTTGACTTCATCTTGACGTTGGATGCCTTATGCAAACAACCCTTGCACGAGGGTTGATGGATGCACACTGACCCCCTTGGGGTGGCATCATGCTCGCAGGGTCATGACAAGATGGTCTACTATATGATGATAATGACCTTGTATACTATGTACCATGCATAACTACCCATGAGACATATCATGCTTGCTACTTGTGATGATGTCCTTGAACGACATCATGCTTGACACCCTAGCACACGGTAGATAGTCAGCCATGGTGCTTGGTGCTTGACCCCCCTTGCATGAATCATGATTGACCCCTCTTGCATGACATCACGCTAGACCCCCCTTGGATTATGTCATGCTTTACACCCCTTGTGATTGAGTCTCAACACTTAGAGTCAAATTTTTCCTTCTTCCCTTGCCACGTCGGGAGGTAGTTGATATAGCCCTCCTTGCACGACATCATGTTTGATACCCGAGTGCAAGGTATGTAGGCGGCCATGGTACTTGGTGCTTGATCCCCCTTGCATGACATCATATTTGACCCCCCATGTGATGATGTCATGCTTGACCCCCTTGTGGTTGGGTCTCAACTCTCAACACTTATCCAAATTTCCCTTTTTTTGTCGCCAGACATTCATATGCTTGGTGGCCCTACTAGCACGACATCATGTTTGACCCTCCCCCTTGTGGTTGGGTATCATGGTACCTGGTGCTTGAGCACCCTTGGATGATGTCTTGCATGACCCCCCTGGATGATGTCATGTTTGACCCCCTTATGATTGGGTCTCCATACTTAACAAATTTTTATGTCTTTTGATATCAAGTCTGTCTTGTCGACTTGATACCCTCTTGGTGTCTTGGTACCAGGCCAACCTGCCTTGCCGGATTGGTACCCTCTTGGTGATTTGGGTTTGGTATTTAGCCAATTTTTCCATACTTGTACCCTGTCGTTTGGCCCCCTGTTGCTATGGTTGGTATGACACCCTGTCGTATGGCCCCCTGGTGCCATAGGATTCCATACTTAGCCAAATTTCATGTCTGGGTACCTGGTCTATCACCCTCTTGACTTAAGACTTAGCCAAATTTCATATTTGGGTAAATGGAAAATTTCATAGCAAGGGGGTGGAGGCATTGTCTGGGCCAACCGCTAGGGCATGGATAGGGGGCTTGGCCACTTAGGCCAAAAAACCTAATAAGGCCCAGCTAGGTCATTTAAGGATTAATGTTGAGCTGACCTTATAAATCCATTAAATCTCTTATAATTAATCGTTATGTTATGAGATTAATTTTTAGGTGTAAACAACAACAACAAGCTTCGAGAAATACAGTCCATGTCTTTGCCACTTTCACTAGTGACTAGTGTGTGGAAAGTAATTTACTCGTCAAGTTATACTGGATTAATAGATACTAGGTAGATTCTGTATCGCACTTTGCTACTACTTCTCATTTGATTAGATGTATTATTTGCTAATCTGTATTTGATTTGTGACTGCGTTTAGAAGAGGTTCAATAGAAAAACTCCTAACAGAATCATACTGATGGGAGTAGATTCATTTCTCTATGTTTCATGGGTCTTGCCCAAAGCAAATTCTGAAGAAGAGAGTTCATCATCTTGGTGCACACAATTTAGCACAAGGAAATGACCCACCTCTAAGAGGGTGAGAGGCAATACATGCATCATTGAATCTAGAGGAAACAGGTGGAGGGTTGTTTTGACTTTGAATTTAGGCAATCCATCCATCAGCCAGTTGGTGGGTAGTTAATATGGAGGGAAGAAAAGACTTGTGGTGGAGACCAGACCAGATCCCTCATTAAAATCATGAGTTGATAAGAACCTAAAGACAGGACACAGCATGCCATCTCACCCAAACACATGTCCTCCGCCATCAATAATTTGCTGCCATGATCCTTGTTTTTCTTTCCCTGTAACAGAGGTGGGAAATCAAGGTTATCTGCAAGCTCAATGGCCAATTCTTTTGTCCCCGATCATCGCTGATACACAGAGGGGGGAAAGCTTTGAAATAATCATTTTTCGGATCGTTATTCCACAATGAAACGTTGATTAGAATCAAGTAGATCAAACAATGTCCAAAAGCAACTATAATCGAACTGATAATCGGAATGATAGTCCGTAAACAGAGCCTAATACGAAAGTAAAGAAAGAAATAACAACGAAATCGGGTTGATGCACGGTGATGAATTTATGGAGTAATGATCCTTAAGATTTTATGTACAGGTCATTTGGTGATCTTTGTATAACTTATCTTAATGAGATGAAATATTTCTCGCATTACTATATCTAACCTGTATCTAATGACTAATAATGTCATCCATCTTATTGAAACAGTCTCGCGTTCTTGTTGCTTAAGAAATGGGTTAGGAAGAAGAAGTCCACCAAATTTTGGCACCACTTTGGACAAACTTTTCCAATTTTGTTTTCTTTGTAAGTTGGGATGTGATTGACAATTTGACAGATACATAATATTCATAAGAAAATGACAGAGGAGCAACCCCAAATTCCAAACTATCCCCAAGAATAAGTTGGAATTTTGGCTATGGCCCTCTGTTTCTATGGGCTATACGACTCCACCTGCTCCCTTGAATTTTGATTCCATATACATTTTCCACCAATGCTAGCAAGCATCTAAGCCACGTGTCAAACAATGTTGCAGCCATAATATCTGATCAATCTGTTTGGTGTATTTGTTCATGAAAATCAAAAACATACTGCACAGAAGCCGTCGACATGTTAACAGAATAGAAGTTGGTGCACTTATATCTACTCAGCTCACTCTGTTCTTCAAGGTTCAGTAGTCTCATCTCTCATGTCTACTCTAATCTTCTATATAAATGGACTTATTACTCACAATATCATGTCATTTTACCATTCATGCATCATTAGATTACTGTCTCATTACAATTATCCACACATAAAATTCATAAAGATATGATAAATTAATTATCAAAAACAAACATAAACATAGAACAAGAAGGATGAAAAATATATAAAGAAGCTCTCACATCCCACAAATATGTTACATGGAGATACGGCTTACACATATATCGATTGTATACATATTTATCTATGCATATTATAGTATATATCTTTAATTCCTTACCACTCCAGAAGTGAAAGGGGTGGAAAAAAAATGAAAAGTAAAAACCCAAACTTTGTCTCCACTTTTTTTTTCACTTTCACCTCTAACCCTCTTCTTCATCATGGTGTCCATATTTTCCTGTAACACCAAAAACCCCTCTATAGTAAAACTCCTTTGCTGCATTCTGTTCAAGCCTTCTGATCACCAAAGATGTCGAGAAGCGAGAGCGCCTCGGGCACGTTGAGCTCGAGACGGAACTTTGGGCCGTCGTAATGGTGGAGAATCGGCCTGAATGAGTCTTCTTCCAGTGGCTCGCAGACTTTCCTGGTTACCACTTTAACCTGCGCAGGGAACCTTGATTCCCCTGCACATTTCTTGTCCTCCCACGCTGACGGATCGATGTTCGACCCTCCGAAACTAGCTGCCTGCAATTAACCACAAACATCCAGCCATTCAGCCAATCAAGTTAAGAACTTTCAAGTTCAAAACTCAATCTAGTAAAAGATTGATCGACTTGTCCCACCCCAACACACTTATGAAATCAATTTCACATATTCCAACTACCCAAAAGGATCGAACCCCCAAATTCGGTCTAAGATGATCATCAGGAAAGAATTCGGTTACAGAAAGCACGTGCTCAAATCGTTGAATTGTTCATTCACGAACTTGACGTGAATCCTAACTCGATCTAATTCATGAGAATTTAAAGCTAAGTTCATAAAGAAAAAAGGGCGTAAGAGAAAGGTACCTCGAAAATTCCATGGAGCTGGTGGGTGGAGTAGTTGTAGAGGAAAAGCGGCAACCCTGGCGTAATCGCCCTGACTGAGTCCCTGTATCGCGGCGGCAAACCTAACCCACCAAAAAAAAACGCGAATTTTAGTCTTCGGAGTTCTAAAAAAAAAAAGACTTTTAAAAGGGAGAATAACAGGGTAAGGAGGTACCGAAGAGCTGGCGCCGGAGATTCTCCGCCATGGTGTCGTTGTTACAGACGAAGATATACCCGCCGATGGTCTCGTTCCTGGGCAGAGCCTCGGACGGCGGAAGAGTCTTGAACCTCTTGTCAACACCATTCTGTTTCCCATCTTTCCCTTCTTTACCATTATCGTTGCTGTCGTTATTCTTCCTACCGCCGTTCTTCTTCCCGAACTTCCCGCCGACGAGATTGTGCTGCTCATCGTCGAATCCAAACCCCTTGCCGTTCTTCCCAGCCCTCGGATTCACATTAAAATTGAAACCCCCGCTGTTCAGCCCACCCTTGGAGTAAATCCCCTTGTTGAAGCCGCCGTTGAGCCCGACGGGGTTCATCGGGTGAGATCCGCTTCCTCCGCCGATTACGGAGTGGTTGTGGTTGTTGTTGTTATTCAACAAACCGGTAAAATTGTTGTTCGACCCGGCGGGCGAACCGGCTCCTCCAACCCCGACCTTCCAGCCGTCGTTGAAGCCGTTCCAATCGGAAGAACCTACCTGGGGCCTGGTGGCGGCGGGGGGAGGAGAATTGTTGTTGAGCTCGGCTCCGACCCGGATGTCGAAGTTGCGGCGCTGCTCGGGCCGGTTTTTGGCGTAGGAGCTGCTCCAGATGGAATCGTTGAGGGAGATGTTGGCTAAGTTGTTGCCCTGCACCCTCAGCTGGTCGCTGAACTGCCAAAAAGACGATTGTTGATTGTTCTCCATCTCTGATCCGATTCACGAACTGGGTTTAGTGCAACAGAGTCTGTGATTAGAGAGACAGGGGAAGCTTTTTCTTCTGGAAAAGAAAAAAAAGGAAGTTATGAGGAGTGAGGAATTAGAAGGGGGTGAAAGTGGAGAGAAGAGATTGGGAGTGGAGTTTATGAAGAGGGTTTTAAAGGGGAAGGAAAATTAGAGGGGAAGTTAAGCGAAGCGGAAATTTCCGGGAAAGTGAAAGGGGTTGATTCATTTTATTTTTCTAAATTGTTTTTTGACGGATTAAAAGGATGTACGGGGAAGGGAATTGGGGATTGCGTGTGGATATGTCAAAGGTTGGGCATTGGTGAACTTATTAAAGAGAGGTTAAAGGAGGGTTTAAGGATTTAATTTATTGATTTATGTTAAATTTTATTTTTGATTAATTTAGTAGGTGAGCGATAATAATGACGCCAGTGAGACGCGGCTGGGGAATGTGGGACCGCGTGGGCAACGTGGCAGAAACCGGGAGGGCAGGGGGAGTTATGCTGACTTGGGGCTCAGGGATTGGTCGGATGACTTGTTCTTTTCCAGATAATCCCCTCGCTGTGCTGCTGCTTTCTGTTCAGGTGTTCTTTTTTAGCACTAAATTTTTTTTAGAAACTATTATTATTATTATACTCTAATGGTATCTGATTTCGCCGTATTGTTCTTATTGTTGGTTTGGTTATTATTTCGTTATTGTTGGACTTTGGTGGACACTCTCCCTACATGATTTGTTTATGGAGGATGGTATAATGTTGTTTTGCATGGTTTATATTCAATTCAATATTATAAAATAGTAATTATAGCAAAAAAGATATTATGAAATATAAAAAAATATATTATGGTATTTGTATGTACTGAAATTTTTTTATCCAACAGAAGGATATAATTAGCTCACTGCAGACTGAATATTAACGTTTTTCTAAAGATAATTTTTAGGATAAAAATGTATAGAATGACCCATTGAATGAATACTTGTTCAAAGGTTGACTTGGACAAGTTTACCATGACCCAAAGCTTAACAAGATGATTTAACAAGGCCTATGAATTATTATCGTCTCATCACTGACGACTTAGTAATGTGTGGGTAATATTACTATAGTGTTCTGGAAAAAGTCTATACATTACCAATACGATCGTTGAAGTTTTCCGTTATTTAATTTGGTTGGTGCAGGGATTGGACACTGTTCTAGAAAGTCTACCTCGTTCTTCTTTCAAGGATTGCCTTTCAAAGTGATTGCCCAAAAATTGATTAATTTTTTTTTTTAAGTAAATAAAGCGAGGAGGGACGGAGTGAAAGAGAAGACGCGTTGGGAGATAAAAATTGAAAAAGACCTTCTGAAAGCCACTCCGTAGGGTTTGATTGGCGGGATGCTGGCTGCGTTTGATTGGCTGCCCACACGGGTGAGGGTTTGGCTCCCACGTGTGTCGGCAGGTTTGTTTTTTTATTGCTAGTTTCTCCTTTCTTCGGTGTGGGCTTGGGCTAATATGCTGGAGCGAATAGAAAGCCCAGGTACCCAGTTAAATTTATTTATTTTCGATGGCCCAATCTTATTGTCCTATGACTTGGCTAGAATGGTCTCGGTAGGAAATATTAGAAACCATGGACTGGCCCAGCATATCATGTCATCTCCATTTTGGTTTTAGGATATGGATTCTGTAGATCCGTCCACGACTCCGTTCCCTCTGTTAACTCCCACCATTTGCCCATTACTATACAGCTATGAATCAAAGATTGTGAATTCCTATTGGAGAATATGCCCGGAAAAATCAATGATATAGTATATATAGTTTCACGATTGTGGTTCAATCATTTCCTATCATTAAAATTGTTCTTCAATGTAGATTCAAACTTTGATATTTCCAATCCAACCAACTAGTCCATGAATTGAAGCAATGGGCTGAAGTAGTCTAAGCCCAACTGTATCACTACTCCTCCCTCGCCATTTGATCTCTGGTTCGGCCCCGTTCTTCCTTCTCTCAAGTCCCTCCCACATCTAAAAGGCTAAATCGCGACTTGCAATAAACTAACCGCGCTTTCTCCGTTATACATTATACAGCATTTAAAGAATCCACCTTAGACTGTCCTTCACAACCGTCAGGAAAAGATGGATGCAGTTGGGAGTAGATGAGCGGCTAAAACCAAATGATCATTGATCACAACAACACGCCTTGTCTCCCCTGCCTATTTCTCTCTTCGTCGTCTTCTCCCTCTTCACCACATCATTGGCTTTCAATTTTCATCGCCCGCCGCCAGCGTTTTATTTGGCATTGCTGTTCGTTTTGGTATCCCAAAATTGTTTACTCGTTGCCCCTCTCCCCGACCCACGCTGACGGGTTCTCCAATGTTGTCCTGTAGCTACCCAATTCACAACACCAACCCACCAAATTCTTTTCCTCCTAGTTAACTCCTACGTTATTTGTCCGCTGCTGATATCCCCGAAGATTTCCCCCCTTCATTTATACCATTTTCCTCGCGTTCCACCCACAAGAAGCAAGAAGAGAGCCAGCGGACGAGCTTTAGCTTAAGCACCAGTAAGTAGTAAACACCCCCCCCCCCCCCCCCCCCCCCCCCCAAAATGGCGAGCATCGCTTCTGGTTCTTGCTCTTCCGCCGTCGCGTTCCAGAGCAGGGAAATCGGTGGAGCATCTTCCTTGGCCCAATTCAATGGCCTCCGCGCCATTGACTCTGTTCAATTGGCCCCTTCTCTCACTAGCCCTCCTGCATTCCTGTCTTCTTCAGGTATCGTCAAAATTGCAACATCAAGTTTATAAATTGTTCCTTTTCCCCCTGCATTTTGACGCTGATTGTGAAAATTTGATGTGGGTTTTGATTTCGTTGAACAAGCTCGCAAGTCGAGGGGGACTGTGAGGGCAATGGCGTCGCAGGCGGTTTCGGCCCCGAAAAGGGAGAAAGATCCGAAGAAGAGAGTGGTGATAACGGGGATGGGGTTGGTCTCTGTTTTCGGCAACGACGTCGACACATTCTACAACAAGCTTCTTGAAGGGCAGAGTGGCATCACCCTGATTGACAGGTTCGATGCCTCCGATTTCTCCGTCAGATTCGCCGGCCAGATCCGCGATTTCTCGTCCGCGGGGTACATCGACGGCAAGAACGACCGCCGCCTCGACGATTGCTGGCGGTATTGCCTCGTCGCCGGCAAGCGCGCACTCGAGGATGCCAGCCTCGGTTCCCAAGTCCTCGAAACTGTAAGTATCCTGCTTTGCTTTAGTCCGCGGATCCGACCGTTACAAATAGAACCCAACAACTCAAATTTCAAGTACTTAAAATAACTTGAATTTCAAATTTCCTATGAATCTCTTATCCAAATAATTTGAGTTTTATGATTGTTGTCGCACTGACATCCAAATTATGTCGCGAACTAAATTTGATCGCGTCGTCTTCTTCTAACGAACTTGTGAATTATGTGGTGTAACATTTCATAAGTAATTTGAAAAACTGTTGTTGGTGCAGATGGACAGGACGAAGATAGGGGTATTGGTGGGAACAGGGATGGGAGGACTAACGGCGTTTAGCGCCGGAGTGGAATCCCTAATCCAAAAGGGTCACAAGAAAATCTCGCCGTTCTTCATCCCTTACTCCATCACCAACATGGGCTCGGCCCTACTAGCCATCGACACGGGCCTCATGGGCCCAAACTACTCCATCTCCACGGCCTGCGCAACCGCCAACTACTGCTTCTACGCCGCCGCCAACCACATCCGGAGAGGCGAGGCCGACATCATGGTCGCCGGAGGCACCGAGGCCGCCGTCATGCCCACCGGCGTCGGCGGGTTCATCGCCTGCAGGGCGCTGTCGCACAGGAACGACGAGCCACATCGGGCTTCTAGGCCGTGGGACCAGGGCCGTGATGGATTTGTCATGGGCGAGGGCGCTGGTGTTTTGGTAAATTGCCAAACTGGGGTGATATATTACTATTGAGTCCTTTTATTCTCAATTTTGTGCAATTGAGTCCAATGTGTTTGATTTTGTTTAGGTGATGGAGAGCTTGGAGCATGCGATGAAGAGGGGAGCCAACATAATTGCAGAGTACTTGGGTGGTGCTGTGACCTGTGATGCTCATCATATGACTGATCCTAGGAAAGATGGGCTTGGAGTTTCTTCTTGTATCAGCAAGAGCTTGGAAGATGCTGGTGTTTCCCCTGAAGAGGTAATCAAAATATGTGGATTTACTGCTCAATCATTCCATGTCGCAGTCATTGGATCAACGCGTTGTGAACAGTTCTGGAAATGATTGTGTTCTTCTTCTGAAGCTTACAAGGGGACATTTTGCAGGTGAACTATGTGAATGCTCATGCAACGTCGACATTGGCAGGGGATTTGGCAGAGGTGAATGCGATCAAGAAGGTGTTTAAGGACACGTCCGAGATTAAGATGAATGGAACTAAGGTATGATTAACAACTTTCGCGCTTTAAGGCCACTTATTTACACGAATCACGAACGAACATTCGACTGTGTGATGTTTCAGTCGATGATCGGACATGGGCTTGGAGCTGCGGGGGGCTTGGAAGCAATTGCAACCATCAAAGCAATCACAACTGGATGGGTGCACCCAACCATCAACCAGGAAGTAAGCTTCACTAACCTGTCATAAAAGGACACACTTTGGTCTGTCTTATATTCAGGAAAAAGTCACCTAAACAGAGTTTTATTCTATGTCCCAGAACCTGGAGCCTGCTGTTACAATCGACACAGTCCCAAATGTGAAGAAACAACATCAAGTGAATGTTGGTAAGTGATGGCTTCCTTTCCTGTTCTTTGCTCTCTCTTCGTCAGAAGAAAGAAAGAATTCAAATGTCTTATTTACTTGGGTTGCAACTTGCAGGTATCTCGAATTCATTTGGGTTTGGTGGGCACAATTCTGTGGTGGTGTTTGCACCATTCAATCCCTAATAATTATACAGACAAACAAGCAGAGAAAGACTCTCTCAGGAGGAAACAGAGATGACAGCACCAGCGCATTGGTTGTTTTTCTTCTTTTGACACCCTTTTTTTTACTCAAGGACCTTATACAATTTTTTTTACCTGCCATCATTTTCGGTTAGCATTGAAGATTAAGATTTATGCCCCACTTGTTTCTCAGTTTTACCTTAGCCGATAACCACAAGCAATATGGTTACTGCTTTCAATGCATTTGGAGCAATAAATCAATAAAACTTTTGTGGCCATGTGTTCTTCGGATTTTTTAACAATCGGTAATCTCAACGCGTGAACTAGATGCAATAGATGTTATTATCCCTTGTATTACTATCAGATTTGCCGGACAATAATGTCATGTCTCCTCTGTTATTGATATTCAGCTTAAGAACTGAGCTACCTTTACTTATTATATTACTACAATCAGGCAACATGGGGAAGATTGTGTAATCCAACAAATCAATGATAACAGTAACTAGCTCGCAGTATAAGAAATGCTTTCTACGAAATCCAAACCAACTGAAATAGTTGCAAACTACTGTACTGACACTTTTTATTCTCCACTGGAGCTTTGCGTGGGTTGGGCTCTGGCCGAATGGGGTACTCCTTCAAGGCCCAGCACAGGTGGACCTCCTTTCATATTGCCAGAGGCCTGACTTTCTAAATATATCCTGTCGGCCCATCAGCTCTTCCAACGGATCATAGCCCTAATTCTACTTTATTGAGTATGATTGATCCTGAAACTGAAGTGAGATGAAATTGTTGATCAGATCCAAGAAGTGGCAAATTTTGACTGCTTATGATTTGCATCATTTGATTTGTTTTTACTCATAATATGTATGATTTTACTTCTCACGAGTCATCATCATAAACTACGACTCCCATTGGACAAGAGGTTATTCTCGACTAATGATATATAGAATAAGTTCTTCATCTTTTAATTTTTCTTAATTTAGTGCTTAGAGATTGTAATTGACTAATTGCTCCCTTTTTCCCCTATTTCACTTTGTACCAAACTTGTGGGATATCCTTCAATTGCATTTTGATACTTTGAAATTTGCCTTTTTAGTTTCTATTAACGGAAAAAAGAATCCTCCAAATTAACAAAAGATGGGGGAAAGCAGATGAGATGAATCAATTTAAAGTGGGATAAGAGATGATTGAGGCAAAGATTGTTTGTTATGTGTAAAAATTCTATGTTCCTTTTTGGATGAACACAATTTTTTTATTCTTCAATTATTTAGACATTTGCTCCTAACCCAGAAATATTGTTTTGCCCCGCAATTAGTCTCAATTGACTCAAGAAGAAGAAACAAATAGTTAGTTGATGACTATAAAACTAATCTATTATTTTAGTTTCTACAAACGAGCTTCTAAAATATTTTTTTTTTAGAAACACACTAATATATCATCAAAATGGTTGTGGCGTTATGCGGCGGAAAGAGAGAGCTGGTGGCGCAAGATGATCGAGTTAAAGTATAGAAACCCTCTCTCGGTGTGGCAGACTACAAGAGCTAGGGGAGGGTTTTCTCAGTCAGTTTGGGAGAATATATCTAAAGGGTATGACTCATTCTGGAACTTCGCTAGCCTGGATCCTGGAAACAATACTGAAGTGTCGTTCTGGCACGATAAATGGATCCCGGGAAGAGTGTTGGCAACCTCATATCCTCGCGTTGCTGCTGCTGCCGCTGACCCAGAAGCTAAAATATCCGACTTGGCATCTCATAATGGTGAGTCTGTTATTTGGTCTTTAAATCTTAATTTTGTGTTGAGAGGGGGAGCGGAGAGTGAAAGATTGGATTTGATACATCTTCTAAGTTCCTTAGAGATGATTGATAAGGCTTGCCGCCCTTGCAGATTAATATGGAATCCTGATATGAATGGGAATTTTTCTGTTAGTTCTTGTTACAAGATGTTGATGCAGGAAGAAGTGTAGGGTTCGAATGACTTCCCAGCTAAACAAGTCTGGAAGAACGTGGTGCCGAGCAAAATATGTTTCTTTATATGGTTAGTTTATCATAACAGAATCCTCACGGCGGAAAATCTGAAGAAAAGGGGGTGGGCTTTGGCGAGCAGATGCCACCTTTGCTACAACAAAGAAGAAACTTCCTTACATTTGTTCATTGAATGTCAGTTTGTGAAGGAGGTTTGGAACCATATCAGCCATACCAGACATGGAGTGTTCTTTCAAGGAGGAGATATATGCTCGATTATCAAAAACTGTCCACACCTTGCGCCGGACTGTATTGAAGGCTGGTTTAAAGCTTGCATCCTCCATGATGTTTGGTAGCTGGTGTGGTTGGAAAGAAACCACCGGATGTTTGAAGAGAAATCAACGACGACTATCGTGGTGGCAAATAGGGCGGTGAGGTACACGATATAATGGCTGGTGGCTCATGGTAAAGTGGAGAAGGTGTTGGGCGAGACTTGGTTGCGGGAGACACTAGCCGGGTACTGATCTGGATTGTTTCACAAGAAGTGTTGGGTGGTTGTTTGTCCTCCCCAGGCCTGCGTGAGTTCAGGTTGTTTTCGGTTCATTATTGAGGTTGCGTCAGGTTTTGGTGGAATTGGTAGGAGTTGACTCTGTTACCCTTGCTCCTTTTGTTTCATAGGTTTTACAGGGCATTTCTCCCTTCTTTGGCTTCTCCTTTTTATATTTCTGTTTTCTGTTCTGCTTTTAATTATATATATATATATTTGTTAATGTCGTACGTGGTAAAGCAATGTAATTTTTTTATGGTAAACCTGTAGCAATGTAATAGTTTAGATTTCAGGGTTTAGGAATATGTTTGTTAAAATCACCCCAAGTAGAAAAGCATGTTTAGTCGCTAACCTTCTTTTTTTTTTTTTTTTTTTGAAGGCGGGCTGGAATCTGTCCGTAGAGCTCTTAGGTTCCATTAGCAACTAGGAGATTTAATACTAACTCAAATGAATTCGTTAATGCTAACTTTCATGATAATGAATAACACTTAACTTTAACGCCGGCAGAAGATGCTCTTTTGATCCAACTTGTTTGGTGCTAAGTTACTGTTGTTTGCAAATTGATTATCATTAAAATATGCTTTATTGGACCACCAAAAAACAAGCACATGGGATTAGCTTAATGTTGGAAATTGTCAAATTGTACTTGTACAGTTAACTACACCACTTTTTGTCTCTTAAACTCACTGGACTTCTGGATTTTAAATCAAAATTATTATTTAGGCTGGATTAGGCAATGATTAACTCCCTAACTCAGAGGCCGAAACTGAAGCACCTGCCCCTGGAATGGAACACTTAAGGCCCATTAATTATTTTGGGGCCCTTTCACTATTAAGGGCTTCAATTTCATTCTATGAGGTTTCTTGTTCTCTTCTGTTTGCAAATTCTTGCAGCAATAGCCATTTGTATTGGATTTCAAGATGCAAACTGAACTTGAATCATAACGTTGTATAAAAAAATTGTTTCTTTAATCAAATTAATATATGGAACTTAGTTCTGCATCACTCTAGAGGGAATCATATAAAAAATGAACTTATATTCTACTTTTGGATTGGAAATTTGATTAAACGTTTACTTAGGCTATAACAGAAAATAAAACAAAAGAGAACACACGGCAATAAAACAGAGCCGTCAAATGTGGCCACTAGCTGCCTAATAATAATAATAATAATTAGTTGTTAAGAGCTCTCTCCAAATTCTTGCTAATGGTGTTTTGTTAGCTACCGTTCAGATTCAAGTTGAAAAGCAAGACACAGAACTTCTCCTTTCGTGATTAGGATGATGATTAGTAATTTAATTGGACTAAAATCATCCTATTCCTACTAAATTCTTATCCCGTCTTCTTGGTCTTTCAAAATTTAGAAAATAATTTCTTAATGATGCTTAACTCCCATGAAAAAAATATAATTATACCTTTATCTTCAACTTATGACTAAGGGTCGTTTGGATGAGGAATTCTAATGGATCAATCTGACACAATTGTCTCGTTTTGAGTCAATTGTGCTAGATTGATCCATTTGGCAGCATAAATTTTGGATGAAGCAATTTGGGCTGGGGAATTCTGAATTGACTCACTTTGAGTCAATTACAATTGGGGTGAGGGCAGGTAATCTGAATTGACTCGTTTTATAAAATGAAACAATTGATCAAATTGTCTCGTTTTACAATTGATCAATCCAAACGACCTAAGTTTGTAGTTTCACACTCCATTGATCAATCCCAACAAACAACAAGGAAAGCCACCCACTAACTCTTTTATACAGAAGAATCAATTGGGTTTTAACAAATATCGAAAATAATGTTCTTAATCGAGTAATTGAGTGTGAACGCATCTGCATCATCAAAGCCAAAGCCCTCACAACCATTATTTGACCTAATTAACCCTTTTTCCAAGCACTAAATTCGTTGCTAATAGGAGGATTAGGAGACGCGACCAATTATATTCCTCACTTACACGTATATTGACTTGCTTAGTGCATGCCCACTTCTACCTAAGCTAATTTATTTTGCCCAATCCCTCCATGTTATTATGAATTGGTACACTACCTTTTTTTGTGACTTGCTCTAATGAAGAACATTTTGTTTGCTTCCAATGAGTAATGATATTTTTCTATATGTTGTCTTTAGCGGGCTATCGGATAATTACATATAATTTGAATTTTGTGATCATTTATTTCTCGAATTAACGCACACTTGAGAAGATTCTTCAAATGTATCAGTGCGAACTGACTGGTCCCCTTCAAAGTAGTGATCGTACTTGAATAAGACGTGGTAAGGAAGAAGAAAAGCATAACCGATAGTGTGGTTTTGTAAATTGTACATTGAAAGGGAGAAGTTACTTTGTAATATAATTTTGTGAGCGTAACAAGCCTATCAACTAGAATCAATAATCCCTAAGTATATTAGTCTATTATCAAGATACCCTTTTTATTCCCCCGAATTTCCCCTTTTTCGACTGATTTTAATTCCCAGGATTTTGATCCTGCTTCGTTGGCACAGTCAGACTATAAAGCAGAGTCTAATGAATTTTCCTTGCACTGTTTTGTACAATAAGACACCAAATGGAAAATCGTTTTCTGTTGGTAATGGGGAATTTTCATTTTCCCCACCAAGAATCTTGCTCGGCCGCCTGTTGTTTGAACTAGAAATTCCACACGAATAAGAGAAGAAAAGGATGGCTATTTATGTGAGGTATATTCAGAGATCTATGAGCAATAGCATAGTAAAAATTTACTGGAATACAAAGAAAACTGAGAGTCTGAAAAAAAAAATTATGTCATTTTCCTTTTTTTTTCTTACTGTACGAGAAAAATATTTACTTTTACAATTAGTACGAGAAAAACTGAAAAGATTAGAGTGAGAGAGAAAGAGAGGACGAGTCCATTAAATTCGGGCATTGCTATTCGTCGCCCTAAAACATATTATTCGTCGCCCTAATGTTTACTAAAATTACTTAAATGACAAAACCACATTAATTCTAAAACAAACACAAAGACATAGACGCAATAACAAAATAAAATATCCAAAAGAACAAATCAGTGAATTAGAAGTTACAACTACAAAAAAAAAATGAAGGAAAAAAAGTAATCGGAACGCCCCTGAAAATGGTCGCACTGGTTGGCTGCAGAATCCCTTCGAATAGCAAATCACTTCACACAGCGGATAGGTTTAAAACCCGTCGGCAGGGAGCACGGGACAGATGGGCAACCCGTCTGAGCTCGCCAGCGATGGGTTTTCAACCCGTTCGCAATCATCGGAAGAAAAAAGAAAGAAACAGTAGCAGGTCTCGCATGCTGGAGAAGCAGTTGCGGATCAGCGGCTTGGGGGAACGGCAGCGTCGACGGATTGGGGGAATCGCAGTGCTTCGGCGTGCTAGGGGCGGCTGAATCTGACTAGTGGATTCCTTTTTACTTCACAGCAACGACAGCGGGTCGGCAGTCTAGCTGAATGGGAGCGACAGTTGGTTGGGGGAACGGCATGGCTGTCGGAATTTGGTTGGTCGGCGGGGGCACAAGACGTAAGGATTGCTGATTGAAATTGGGTAGAGGGGTATAAACGTCAATTTAGTAGGAATTAGGGCGAATTTTTTTTTTAATTTTAGGGCGACGAATAGATATTCAGTTAAATTCCACGCTTGTATAGACTAAAAGTCCACAACCATTAGGAATCAAGGTCTGAATAAGGTGTTAACACTCAAAAATACTAATATCGAATCAATACTAAAAGTTATGAAACCAATTAATTATTATCTCGAAGGGAATGCAAAAAAAAAATTAATTGATTATTTTCAACAAAAAAAAAAAACAAGCTTACATGGATGGAATCGAAGGGAGGTTTATGCTATAGACTCCTCCACTAATTGAAGAATTTCCTATGTACTCCCCATGATTGTCTTCACATGGTCGCCAACCCAAACACCCACATTTTTTTAATGTTTTAAATTTTTATATGAACCACCACCTCACAGAAAGGTACTTGAAGTTGAAACCCCCTAAAAAAGAAAGTTGAACCCAATTCCAATTGCTTTTCCTCACTCCTTTAAACCTAAAGTGCTTTAGAAGAATATTAATAAGAAGAGGAGGGTTATGTTATCACAAATATGAGAAGTTACTCCTTCACTTATAAGATCTACATCAAGATGACGCAATTATATAAAGATTTTTCACTTTGATACGAATTTTAGACTATTTCAGTCTTATAAATATCTGTAGATACAGATAATTTAATTTATAGCCTAAGTGTAAAAAAAAAGTTGGAATAGTAAGTTATGAGAATTAAATTCATTATTTGTTTTGTGTCTAGCTCCACACGATTTTAGTTTTCGCTTCGGTACATGATGACCTTCCAAGAGATCATCCACTTCTGGTTAATTCATACCGTGCAAGTCTGGATCTAGAATCTTTACAAGAGCTCTTTCGTTTAACTTCACAATGTCTTGTTAGTTAACGTTACATTGTTCATTATGACTCATGGATCTCGCTCGCGCTTTATTAGTGTCAAATTTGCCCAAACTGTTACATTACAACCCCTTTCCGACCTATCTTTGAAGATGGCACGGAGATACTCGATACCATTTGTAACGTGTCAATCCTTTTTTTCTAATCAAAATATTGCTCATTTTTAATCTAGCCCCCATGTGGTTTTTTCTTTTCAGTGTACTTCCCCAAAAGTCATGCATCTCTGTCATGCTCCATCACGAACATGTTTAATTTCAAAGTAATTACAAAAGCATAATTTCACCTTAAAACGCATTCTGTCAAGTAATGTTGAATTATTCTTTATGATCCGTGAATCTTTGCCGCTAATGGAATTTGACTAAGAGTGTTACACGACTTAGTTAGCTAGCAACTCTTTGCTCAGATTTTTCTGTAAAACTATGATGAAGAAAGAGAGGCATAATTGGATGAAGTCTCTTTTTTAGGCATTGGGACCCTTGGCAACTCTCTCAATCCTTGGGCTCAAAAGGCAGGAAGAAGGATGGATGGTCATGAAACACCAACCAAATTGGTCTCCACATGGGGACAATGGATATAAAAATTATAACTAAACCACCAATCATATGTTGTGACAGTACTGCACAAAAACATTTTCTTGCTTTCTTTAAGGAGAGAAGGAAAAAAAACCCTAATCACAATAGTCTTTAGCTCTACTAGTTGGGGGTTGTCTTTACACTAATGACTAAACCCTTCAAATGAATCGGATGAGTGTAATAATGAAAAGGGCATCTCTCCTTGTTTCGGGGGACTTTGTAGGGATTTTCTGCAGCATGTGTCCCTCCTTCCACACTGTCGCACAATGAACCAACGGGCAAACTAGTTCCTAGTTGGAATGGGGGCAATGATTCGATCCACATCGGATCGGATCATATATAAATAGTGGTCGATCATTAGGATGTGTTGGTTGGTCTGACGGTAAACGATATGAGAACGTTACATGAGAGGTTGAGGGGAGGAGTTACGGTGCTAATTGTACAATAGTTAGCACCGTCCTAACCAAGGAAAAAATTACTACTAGTTTGAATTAGTAGTGATTTAGTTTAGATGTTGTATTGATTTTATAATAATCCGTAGTGATTTCGTTATTTTTAGTAGCGTTTTTTGCTAGTTATCACGGTGCTAACCCCTATAAAGGTTAGCATCTAATCCCATCCCGAGGTTGAGAGCTTCAAGTTTCCGAGAATTTACAACTTGATCTACATAAAGTGTAGCGAAAAAAAAACACATAATTATTTGCATTTAGTCTACTAGTAAGCGGGTATGATTATATAGTACACACTTGCTCATAGGTTCAAGTCTCCCTCATCCGTTTATGTAATTTAACTTGACTATGCTCAAACAATTTTTTTTTTTTTTCTCGAAGTGATCATAATTGGTGCAACCATCCCGTAATGTGACAAAAAATTACAAGATTGTGAAATTACATACGAAACAAACAATTTAACACAATGGAGAGAGCTACCAGCTAGTATCACAAACAAAAGTAAGTATATGAAATTCAGCACTAATTTCCCTATTATGTCTTATTGTCACACACACAAAATGTTGTTATATTGGAAGTGGGTTAAGGGTTTAGTTCCTCCATCAAATTCTAGATATAATTTTATTTTTGTAATGTGCAGCAGTTGGGATGAATTTGTATAGTTTTTTAATCATCCCATAAGTACTATCCTTGCTAACTTGATCATAATAAATGAATAGGTAAATATTAAAATCCTAATAAATACCGTGATAAACCATTTGATCCATAACAAAAAATTATTTATTTTATGGTGCCTCGACTGTGTAGAGGATGTAGATTGGGTACTATAAATCTTGGGATAAATAGTTACTAGTTCAGAATTTAACACCATTACCATTCAATAAGATCTATGGTGGATCCACTGTATATTGTCCAATAATTACTAACAAAGCCAACATTAGCCCTCCAAATCAGTGAAAATTTATAGTTAGTTCTTCAAAATAATCCAAAGGTGGGCATCAATACGAGATCAGGACCTTCCCCCTTCTAATTAACTAACTAAATTATTTTGTGCCATAATAATAATAATAATAATCAAAGTTAGTAGAGGGACAGGTGTCATGCAATAAAGGCATGCATAAGAAAATTGATGATATTGCATAATTGTGCACATAGACAGGCAGACAGTCACATAACGTTACTGTAATTGGTTTGTCCTTATGCTGGTCTCATGTTGGTAGTGACAAAAGCTATAAAGACAGGGTCTACAAACCTTAAAAATTATGTTCTTCATATATTTCCTCGTAGGCCACTAATCCGAAATTAATATAATTAATTTATCAAATCCCTTTTCTTAATTACTTTGTACACATGCTGATGTGGACTCTGACAGCTCTCGTTAATCGATCCTTCCACCTTCGTTTGGTTGCCTAGAATTTTCTTTTTTTATTATGGGCTGACAGTAATAGTATCATTATTGATCGCCCAGGGTACCTTTGGTAATTTAGTTACAGTAAATTTTTAATAGTTGATTCCCCCTAGGCAGTTGTAAACTTCTACTTACTTGAGTTGTACACTATGTTTGGGAAGGGGTGTAAATGGAGGGGGTGCAAGTTTGGAGGGGTAAACACAAGTTCCAAGGCGTTTACTCCCGTTTGGTTATTTTTTAACAGTAGGGGGGTGCAAAACGTGAGCGTAAATTCACTGTTTCGGCTTATCCCCCAAATTGGGGTGCAAGGGAAGGAAGGAAGGGAGGGGGAAGGGGGAGGAGGGGAATTATGAATTTTTAATTAGATTATAATTACATAATAATCAATAATATTAATTTTTTCTTATATCTATATTAGTGTAGAAGTTGTTTGGGGTTGACCGTTTGACCCAGAGAGCAAGTTTGTCAATGTTCGCCTCGTCAAATCGATATCTCTTAGTTGACCCGAATTTGCATTGAAAATTAGAGATAAGAAGCATTTGTTGAAAAGATAGAGAGGAACAGTTTAGTTAACTCGATTTACTTTAATAAGTAGTTAAAACTTACAGATTCGAATGTGTTTGACTAAGTTTGACCATATTCAATTTAAAGTTAGGCACGAGAACCCCCTTAGGATGACCAGTTACGAGTTGGATTTCGAGTTTCAAGGTTGCTCGACCAATGATTATTATTGTTGTTATAAATAATTATATTTGAGCATTATTATATAATAATTATTTTTATTTATTATTTTTATGATTATATATTGAATTTTCATGTTATTATTTTGTGATAATATTTTATAAATTGATAAATCTATTTTATAATAATATAATTACTTACTTTTTACTCTATTTGCACCCCCCTACTTTTTCATCCAAACAACAATTTACCCCTCCACTTACACCCTCCACCAAGTTGCACCCCCCAACAATTTACTCCTCAACTTGTACCCCCCTCGAACTTGCACCCCCCTTGTTGCCAAACATAGTGGTAATGGAGACATCAGACAAGGAAGAGGTTCTTTTGTGTAGAATTTTTGAATATGAAAACAGAATGGTTTGTCCTGTTGGTTTTCGTTGCGCTACTTTTGAAGACGACCAGATAGTGATGGTTGGTTTGCTTGATTGTGGTGTGAATTTTGATGTGGTGGGTGTTTCGATTTTTCAGGATTGTTTTATGGTCGTATCAATTCTGTATCAGATTGATTGATTGGGTTGAAGAGAGTAATAATATGATAGCCGTTTAGACCATTAAACATCAATGGTCAATCTTATTTCATGGGCACAACACAAATTTATTCTTATATGTAAATCCATTTTTTGTTTATTTTTACATCACCAAAATCACTCATTCACAACATAAATGATAAAACGACCCGTTGGTTAGAAGTACACGAAGATCGTTGTGTAGAATGATAATTGAAAAAGATGAAGTGAGCTCTATAAATGGAGACGTCATTTTTACGTCATTTGGAGATATTTATTTGTTACTTGCCACTTTAAATTTTTTTAAATAAATATGATCGACTCACCAATATGCTTATGTCATAGTTTTTGTTGTTTCTCTAATTTGTATTTTTTATTTAAATAATAATTTGTATTTTGTCATTTTGTCTTTACAGGATATTGACGTGGGAAGGAAACTTTTGTCCAGTATTTATAGCTCAATAACCATGTACTCATCCAAATTACTATATATACCCACGAGAGCTCCAAAAAAATTCGATTTGACTCTTTATCCGTACATGCGTGTGTAATGAATTAAATGTGGGATATCATATAACAATAACATATATATATATATATATATATGCAAACTTCAAGATCATGATCAGATTTATTTAAGTGGGCGTATAAAGGAATGATGTCCATTTTCCAACAACTCCAATAAATATGCACTGATTTGACATCCGTTTATTATTAATAAGAAGGTCGGCCTCGATGTCAATAATGAGTTCATGTTGAGTATTGATCGGGTCATTTTTCGAAACCTACACAGTCAATTAAACTCTTAAAAGTTCGAAAATTAAATTTAGCATCACATTTGTAATAATCCCACAACACACATGTCTAATCAGTAAATTACCCTTGTAATCCTTTCTTGTCCCCACCATGATCGTTGAGTTGAGGATTTTGATGATGATTTATATAAAAATACAGGAGTGATAGTGCTAATGGAAGGGCATCTTTGGTGGATTATCTTGGAGGAGATTGTTGCCCCTAATGGTGTTTAAGTGGTGGAAACAAGGAGTGTCAATAATTCAATAGATTTAATCTAAAGTTGGTATTTAAAAATTCAAGTGTTTTCCTTTTCGATGTTCCTCCACAAAATAGGTTAAAAGGCGAGAAAGAGACTGTATTTTTAATGCAAGTTGAGTTGGGATTATAATTAGTCACCTTTACTAGCTCATATTGCTTTCATTAAGCCTATAGTTTGGAAGGAAATTGGAGTGATGTTTGCTTAATGAAATTTTGTCTTTTAAGTAGCAACCAAAACATCAATACTGACTCCCAACCAAGTGCTTTTATTTAAAGTGGAAGGTGCAATTAAAATTTATAAATTCAGGTTTGAATAGGTAATCGTTTAGTGTTCCACAAAAAGAACAATATTTAGTGTTACGACATCCAAATCAGGTACCTGTGGTTTGGTTTATGCCAACCGTTGATCAGCTACAAAATTCTGATCTAAACTAATTAGGCATTGTACATCTGTTAAGTTTTATAAATCTTATCGATGATAAAATAATTAACGATAAAACTAAAATTGAGAAGAAATTATACGGAATTATAAATAAAAGCATACAAAATTCTATTGTATGCTTGTTTTCAAATCAATTAATTTATTTGTATATAAATTCACAAATACTCGTTAGCCTAGACCCACTTTTAGTTTTTGAGGTTGAAATATCCATATGTGAATGCAAATTAGAGGTTTGGCTCGAGATTTCCCTTCCAAATTTGATAAAAAACAACTTTTTTTTTTGCATTAAGGGAGGCCAAAGCCAAGAAGGAGAAAAGCTACATCAGGGAAGAGAAAAACAGAAAAGAAGAAGGCTAACTATCCCTTTGCACCACAACTCGACGCTCAAAAGAGATACCTTGATTATCTTCCTGCAAAACACGATACAAATCCCTGGGCGGGTCAACAAGTTCTCGCACACTGTAGGGATAAACGAGACTGTGCTTCGAGAGCCAGTCCGCGGCTCTATTCCCTTCCCGGTATGTGTGAACAATATTGACCAACCAATCCTGAGCAAAACGTCGCCGTATCGACAATAAAATGCCAGCGTACGGGTGAATGGGATTCTGACGATCCTTAATCAGCTGAATAGCCATCTGAGAGTCCGACTCGACAATCAAGCTCGTGCACCTGTGACGCCAAGCCATATCCAAACCATGTCGAATAGCCCACAGCTCGGCTAGAACCGTCGAGGCCTCCCCAATCTTAGCCACAAAACCAGCTATCCATCGACCCTGATCATCCCTAATCAAACCGCCAGCCCCTGCACACCCGGGATTTCCCGCCGAAGCCCCATCCACATTGAGCTTCATCCACCCCCTTGGGGGGGGGGGGGGGGGGGGAAGCCATCTAATGCTCTCAGTCCTCTCTTCATAGATCATCCTAGGCTTACCTGGTGAGATTGATGGTGCACTCCACGCCTTGTGCCAAAGGTTGATCTTATGCATAATCAAGTGGCTCAGGGACGGGGCAGTCAGAGTAGCAGCAGTCCCTTTGAAGCAGCCCGTGCACCTGTTCTTCCACAAATACCAGATCGCTATGCTGAAGAAAGCATTTGAATTTACACCTGACACCATGGTATCCTCCTTGAGAAGGTTTTCCTGCAACCAAACTCCCGTAGATGTTGAGAAGAAGGATTGTTGGTCAGTCCCCGGCACGTGCCTGTTCCAAAAGAAAATGGCAGGCAGGCAATCCCGGAGGACATGACAAATCGTCTCGGCAACCCCTTCGCAGTGGTAGCAGGAGGCGGACTGTGCGCACCTTCTAGAGAACATGAGATGATTCGTCGCAATCTTACCCAAACAAACTAGCTAGGCAAAACACCAGACTCTTTCCGGAACAGGGAGCTGCCAAATTCTCTTCCAGACCTGCTGCCGGGCGTCATGCTAGGGCGGATTCGCCAACAGGTAGGCTGTTTTGGTTGAGAAACAGCCGTTGGAGGACCCCGTCCAGAAGATCCTATCCTTCTTAGTGGAGAGAGGGTCCACGACCACTGCTGTTATCTTTTGAAGAACTTCTGCTGGTATCCAGGGGGCCAGCCGATCCACGTCCCAAGAGCCATCTTCTCCAAGGTAGTCAGTAACAACGTCTAACATCATCTCGCTCAGAACCGACTGAATAGCCATCTCCACAAGCGGTACCTGCATCAACCAAAGGATCCGTATGTAATTATTTATGTTCGAAATGTGAATGGTAAGGTCAAAACTCAAAGGAGCAGGAAACTCACTGGCCTAGTAAAGAGACAAGAGCCCAATGGATGGTCTTCAAGAGATGAAATCGTGGTGGTGTGGTGGAGGATGATTGGGGTCAATTGTACAATGCGAGACATTTATTGACTATAGAAGATGTCTGATTTCTCATATACCGTGAATTCAACGGATCTTACTTCGTAAGAGTTCAAACAATGATATTTGTCACTCGCTCTTTACTTATATCGGGTCCCAATGATCTATCAAGACCGCTAAGCCCTTGGCAAACTCTTTAAAACAAAAGTTTTCCTAGGGTCCCAATTAAGGGCAAGGGCATATATAGTTAAACAGACACCTCGGACGCCCAGTCCCTATTAAAGCTTGGGCTAAAACCTCTCGTGTTTGAAACCATGGTTGTAGGACTTACGAATCATATAAACCAGCCATAACGGACTTGAGAGCATGCACCTACATCTCTTGACAATTGACACATAAAGTAACACAACCACAAATAATGATCAGTATGGAGGAGTTATGTTAGATGTGTGGTAGGTTTGAGCAAAAACTTTAAAAATACCATGCAGGATTAATATCATAGATTGTAACTACCTATGCGAACAAATGTTTGGTATAAAAGTTTTATATATAGTCGACTTGGAGGTCTCAAATTAGAATTCCTTCCGTAGCATTTAACAATAAACACAAATTTATATCACCATTATAAAAAAAACTACCTACAACTTTGGTAACGACTTATACATAGTCATTGGAAACCTTTCAAACACCCATCCAAAATCTCGCACTCCTTCTTTGACTTACTCCTTACAATTTCCCATACCGGACTTAAACATAAAAAAAACAAATATACTCATCAATATAAAACTATGATTTTTAACATATCACTCTGTCTCAATAATTGATCATCTCAAAGACTACCAAAATTTTCGGCTAAATTGCAAGTTTGGTCACTTGAATTACTAGTAAATTTTACGTTAGCCATTATAATTACTTTATTCCATTTGTAGTCACTTAAATTGGGCTAACAGTCCAAGTTTGGTAACTGGCCGTTAGTCTCCGTTAACTTTTGCTGATGTGTCAGTCAACTCTAATAGTTGACTGTTAAATGAATGATGTGGCAATAAAAAAAAAATAAAAAATAAAAATCATATATTTTTAATTTCCAACTCATTTTACACCCATTGAAAAAAAAAATATCCGATAAATTTTTTTTGGGAGTTGCTAATTGTCGCCCTGATTTTTACTGATCGCCCTAGCTTAAAAAATGAAAAGTACGTTTTTATCCTTTCCCTCGATTCATTTCATCGCCCTTGTAATTTCCAAGCCTTCCGTAACCTCATACGAATTTTCCCCGGCCCGGAGACGCGCCGCCGCTGCACCTCCATCACAGTACGAGATCGGAGGGGTACCCGCCTAAGTGCCCCGCGCAGATACCTTCCTTAGTACCCGTCACCGGTTCCACCTCAGCATTAGCATCGGGACAATAGCCGCCGGATAGATTAAAGCGACCATAATGTTCCAGCCAAAGGATAATTGCATTAAATTATCGAAGGTAGTAGTCCCTGTTTTTGTCTCTAAAAGTCACAGGGAATATTGATTCCGATGCTCTCCAAAAAAGCTCTTCTTTCCCATTGATACCCTTCGTTTGGTCTATGTGTGGGTACTGGGTAGAATTGGAACTTATTTCGAACGGCGGTGAGACTCTAGGTGGCTATGAACGAATTGGCAGAGTAAAGGTAACCGCATCTTTGAGATTTCGAGGAAAACCGGCGAAGGGTTTTGGGAGAGTCGATAAGCGATGTTGGTGGAGGATTAGAAATTCTAGGGCTCTCTTTGTTCTGTTGAATTGTTATGGATTAATAAAGGACAATTATGTAATATCACGCTTTAAGTTAGGGCGATAATAGTAAAATTAGGGCGATGTTTAGCCATCCAGTTTTTTTTGCCCTTCCCTTCCTTTCCCTTTCCTCTGGTCATGCACGAAACGAAATTCACAGATAACTACTGCAAGCTTCCGCCACCGGAAATCCTCTCCTTCCTCTGACCGATTCCTCGACGCCTTCTTCTCCACCACTCCGTCGCCACTTCCGCAGAGGACAGTGAGCTCAACAAGGACGATATCTTCTTCTCCGGTTCATCGCGGAACCAATATCAACAGAGGAAGGAGAGGAATTCCGGTGAACCGTCGGGCCCATTAGAACCAGGCCGACGAGCACGTCCTTGTTGAACCGGACCAACCCGACGATGGCTCGTGCCACGCGTTCCTTGACTCTGGTCGTCGGCCACCGATCCGATTCGCACAGTTGCGATTCGAGGATCGAGAAGAGTTTCGCTTTCAGAATTGATTCCTATAACTCGCTATCGAATCCCGTACCTAACCGCTCCTCAAACTCCTCAAGTAACCTAATTTTCTCCTCCTCTGCCTCTTCACCTTCCTCCTCACCCTCCGTCAATTGGAGCGTCCTCGCAAGCTTCTGAATCTGCTCCCGATCGAAATACACCTGAATCTCCGCCTCGATCTTGGACCCGAGCTGGTATGTTCTATAAGCGGTGATTCGGCGTCGGAGGTGGAGAAACGAGGAAGTGAGTTGTTGGGTGCTTTTGTGCTGTGTTTCATCTTCCATGGATGCTTGATCGCGCCAAGCTCGGGAATCATGGGGAATTGTTGGTCAGGGGTGGAAGTTCAGGAAAGGGAAGGAAGAGAGGTAAGCTTTGATGGAGAGGAAGGCATCGAGGAATTGGTCAGAGGAAGGAGAGAATTTTTGGTGGTGGAAGCATGCAACAGTTATCTCTTAATTTCGTTTTGTCCTTGAGGAGAGGAAAGGGTAAGGAAGGGAAGGGGAAAAAAATTGATGAGACTTTTTTTTTAATGGGTGTAAAAATGAGTTGGAAATTAGAAAAAAAAATATTTTATTTTTTTTATTAATTTTTTAATTGCCACGTCACTTATTTAACGGTCAACTATTAGAGTTGACCGTCACATCAGCAAAAGTTAACGGAGACTAACGGCCAGTGACTAAATTTGGACCGTTAGCCCAATTTAAGTGACTACAAATGGAATAAAGTAATTCTAGTGGCTAACGTGAAATTTACTAGCAATTCAAGTGACCAAACTTGCAATTTAGCCAAAATTTTCCTTTTTAATCTTCATCCTCCTGATCATCTCAAAATAACCAATCCAAATTATTTTAAATAGATTCACTCTCATATGAAGAGGAATTTGAGAATCCTTTTACCATAGTCAAGATCACGATATATTTCTTAATAGTTTTTATCGATTTAGCATAGAAGTTGGCGTATCGAACATATGCTTAGTCATCCTAAGCTTAGACCAAATACGCTAAATTATTGAGAAAATGGAAGGGAGTTTAAAACAAATAAAAATCCCGACTTCTGCGTTCTTTCTTCCTTCCTTCCCCCGTCCATGAATTCTGCCGGGGTAACTTGGGCCAACCCTGTTGCCTGCTCCCAAGCAGACAACGATAGAGACGTCAACTAACGGTGACGGCAATCCCTCACCTAACAGCAATAAATAAATAGTAATCAAAAGCCCTCCTCCGTTTACTCTCCCACACGCATTCCCATGCCTCCGTACCGCCCAACAAATTTCCTCCCCTTTTTTCTAAAATTACCCGCCAGCCGTCAGCTAACGTCCCTTTAACTCCGTCGGCTTCCCCCCGTGACCCTACATTCCCTACCCTTTCCGTTTTCCCATCCCGCCGTCACCGTCATCGTGACCCTTAACCCTCGACCCTTAACCATGGTCCGGTTAACGGACCAAGAGAGAGAGTGGACGGGGGGTGGGTGGGGTGTTACAGTTAAAGTGGCAATAAAAAGTCGCGTAATATAAGAGGCGCGCGAAGCGGTTTACTGGGGATTCCTAACGGCGTTTCGTATTTTTTCTAGAGAGAGAAAGGAAGAGAACGAGCAAGAAGAAGAAGACCTAAAGCCTGCTGGCTGCTCTGCTTCTTTACAGGGTGAAAACTAGAATTTCGGAAGAGTGGTTTTCAGAGGCAGGGGAAGGGGGCAGGTGGGTAAGCGGTTTTGTAACCGTTTTAGCGGTTTTGAGAGTTCCGTGTTTTTTTTCTTCTTCACTCGCTCACTCTTTTATTCCCTTTTCTCTGGGTTGGATCTCTTCGTCGATCAGTTACAGTTTGGAAAAGGGGGCAGTGTGTGCTGAAAGGCGTGGAGGGGATTGGGTAGTGGGAAAGCTCGAAGCTTTTATTATTATCCTCATTTGAGCTCGTAATTAAGGAAGCCCAATACGTTTTTGCAGTTACCGGAGGTGTTATTATTGAGGAAATTGAAGTGGGGTTACCTTAAAAGTGGGAAATTTCGTCCTTTTCATCTCGTTATCGGCTTTTCTGGGAGGGTTTTCTCTTTTCTCTTGTGTGCTGTGCTCTTTGACTCGGTGGATTTATTTTCTGCTTCTTCGTGGGGAAAGAGCTAAATGATGGCGGCGACTCGCGGTGGGTCTTTCCAGCAGGTCAACAATGAAGGTCTGTGGTTTTCGTCTACTATTTTTCTCTCTGGTTGAGGGATGTTTTGGGGGGAATGCTGAGAATTTCGATTTGTGGGTTACAGGAGGAGGAAGAGATGATCTGTATAAAGAGCTATGGAAATTATGCGCCGGTCCGGTGGTGGAGGTTCCTCAAGTTGATGAAAGGGTTTACTATTTCCCGCAGGGTCACATGGAACAGGTAAGTTTGATTCCGCCTTTCTCCTTCTGGGTTGTCTTGTTTTTCCGAGTTTTCTGTTTGTTTCTTGGGAAAATCTCGACAACTTTTCGGGATTGAAGTGTCCGAGAGGTTGATCCTGGTTTAATTGCTTGCAGTTGTTGTCTCAACCTTTTGTGATTTGAGTGGTGGTAGTACCAAATATGGAGTGTATTTCTTATCAGCTCAAGATTTTAAATATTGCTATTTTTGGTATGGTTGTAGTTGGAGGCATCAACAAACCAGGAATTGAATCAAAGGGCTCCTCTGTTTAATTTGCCGTCCAAGATTCTCTGTCGGGTTATAAACATCCACCTCCTGGTACTTTCCCTTGATCTAGTCAATTTCTTTCTTGTTCTTGGAATTTTCTGTTGATTGCTTAGCAAATGGAACTTCTATTTTGAGCTCCATCAGGGTCAAGCAGTCTTTGTTGAATTGTTTGGTTTCTGGGGATTCTGCAGAAACCAAATTGACCTCTGAGTTTATAGTCGCAGGAAGAGTGTTTGGGAACAAAACCCTTTTGGTTGACCTATTCAATCTATTTGCAGGCTGAACAAGAGACTGATGAAGTTTATGCACAAATAACTTTGATTCCTGAACTTGATGTAAGAGTTCAAGACACCCTTTTCGAATTATATATCAGTTGTTATCTGGTTTTGATGGCTTTAATTTGGTATCACCAAAACTTTCAGCAAAGCGAACAGACTAGCCGAGATCTGTCCCCAACAGAGACTCCAAGGCCTTCAGTTCATTCATTTTGCAAGGTCTTAACTGCGTCAGATACAAGTACTCACGGGGGATTCTCTGTTCTCCGCAAGCATGCAACCGAATGCCTCCCTCCTTTGGTATGTGCACGAGAGGGGATCTATTACCTTTTTTTTTGTTTCCTTCTTTAGATTGCTTGACTCATCAACCTCTAGCTTTGCTGACTTATATTTGAACCCATTTTTAAGGACATGGCTCAGCAAACACCAACTCAGGAATTAGTTGCTAAAGATCTTCATGGTTATGAATGGAGGTTCAAGCATATCTTCCGTGGTCAGCCGAGGAGGCACTTGCTCACAACAGGTTGGAGTACGTTTGTGACTTCCAAGAGATTAGTTGCTGGAGATTCTTTTGTCTTCCTCAGGTATAAGTCAACTCTTTGGGAGTTCTCTATATCCCTATCTCTGTATCTGGTTTTCTCTAGTCATTCAGTTCATTAAGATTGCTTCTTTCTCTGTTGTTTTTTCATTTATCAGGGGGGAGAGTGGGGAGCTCCGAGTTGGAGTGAGACGGGTTGCTCGCCAGCAGAGCAGCATGCCTACGTCTGTGATTTCCAGTCAGAGCATGCACCTTGGAGTGCTGGCAACAGCTTCTCATGCCGTTGCCACTCAAACTATGTTTGTGGTATATTATAAGCCGAGGACGAGCCAGTTCATCATCAGCCTGAACAAGTATTTGGAAGCTGTGGATAATAAGTTTGTAGTTGGGAAGAGGTTCAAGATGAGGTTTGAAGGTGAAGATTCCCCCGAGCGAAGGTTAGAAATCCTAGTCATAGTTCTCTAGATCTTTTGGTAATAGTTGGCTATGAAGAAGGTGGGGTTAGAAGTAAGCTTTTTGTTTGTTTGATCAGGTTCTCAGGCACAATTGTTGGTGTTGAAGATTTCTCTGTTCATTGGGCTGAGTCCAAATGGCGATCTTTGAAGGTATGAATATTTCATATTCACTTGACTTGTCGTTTGTCTGCATAGTGCATATGATGTATGAAACTTTGAGCTCCCCAGTAGGAATATTCATAAACTAAGAACAGCGTTCTCTTTCTGTGTTGTCCTGTTCTGTTTACCAGGTTCAATGGGATGAACCTGCTTCCATTCCAAGGCCGGATAAGGTTTCTCCATGGGAGATAGAACCTTTTGTGGCGTCTTCTATACCAACCAGCCTCCCTCAGCCAGTTCCAATGAAAAACAAAAGGCCACGTCCCCCAAATGAAATTCCAGCTCTTGGTAAATAGCATCTTTTGTTTTGTTTGCTCAATCCTGTCATTATTCCCATATATTTTTTTTAAATTAAATTCCTTCTGACCTGCTCTTCTTGTTTACCCCGGACAGATTTGTCTTCAACTGCCTCACCTTGGAATTCTGGGTTGACTGAAATGACACAGATGAGCGTTACTGGCGAGAGCAAGCGAAATGAGAATATGATGATGTGGCAGCAGCACAAGCAGCAGCCAGATATTAACAGCCACGGGAGCTGTACAGATTGGCTGTCTCCACGCATAAATAACGTCTCTTCTCAGCATAAATTTCAGGATGCTGCAACTGAGGATAGCAAGAGCATCTCAAATTGGCCTGTTAGCTTCTCATCTCCCCCTCAATCTGCGAAACTGAAGAGCGGCGACTCACCAGCTGTTGAGCAGCCAGTTGATAAGGGAGGAAGGAAACCTGAGGCAGCAGCAGCAACCACTACCACCTATCGATTGTTCGGTATTGAGCTTGTGAACAGTCCAATGAGTACACCTACGGCTGAGAAGACCTCTGAGGTACAGCATGCACATAGCAACCTCTCGCCATCTGATGCTGAACAGAAGTCAATCTCACTTGGTAATGAAAAGAACACTGAACAATCACAAGTGTCCCCCAAGGATAATACTCAGAGCAGACAAAGTTGTTCCATGTCCACTAGAAGTCGCACCAAGGTACTGCAGTGAGTTTTGCCTGATTTAGTTATGCAAGTGTGTTTTTAATGAACATAATAATTGTTTCTGTCGCCTTTGGCAAAGCCTCGGAAGAAAGTTTTAACCCTTTTATGTCAAATGTCCCTATAGGTTCAAATGCAGGGAGTTGCTGTTGGAAGAGCGGTTGACTTGACAATGATGAAAGGTTATCCACAGCTCATAAGTGAGCTGGAGAGTTTGTTTGACCTCAATGGACAGCTTCAGACTCGGGATAAGTGGGAAATCGTCTACACTGACGATGAAGGAGACATGATGCTTGTTGGAGATGATCCATGGCCGTAAGTGTTTCTTCTGCACAAGTTTTGAACTTTTTTTCCCCCCCACTGTCAAGACCGTCCGAATGAATGTTGCATGAAACTGAAGGACTTGTTTCATTTGATGCAGTGAATTCTGCAACATGGTGCGGAGAATCTTCATATGTTTGAGTCAGGATGTGAAGAAGATGACTCCGGGAAGCAAACTTCCGATGTTTCCCGTGGAAGCTGAAGGTGGAGGTGTAGTAAGCTCAGACTCTGCCCTAGTCGAAACCTCCAACTAACAGCTGGGGAAGAGCCTCGTCTTCTCTCTTTCTATTCTCTCTTGTTTCTTCTTATTCTGGCCTTGTGTTTGAATGTGTGTTGCTGTGGATTACGGGTTTTGTTTCAATTTTCTTCTTCTTCATCATCTTCTTCCATTTTGGGTGGGCTTGCATGGATGTTTGAAGTTGGAAAAAGAGGAAAGCGAGAGGGAGGGAGGGAGAGAGACTTTGCTATACTAATTTTAAGTAGCTCGGCTTTTTAGAGCTTACTACCAAAAGCAGGGGGAAGGAAAATTGACTTGCAGTGAGAGTGGAGTAGTCGTTTGGACTTTGGTGTCAAAAAAGCAAAGTGTAGAGGGCTTAAGTTAGAGTCTGTAAATCTTTTGTTTAGTGTGGTAGGTATTTTGGGGGGCAGAGGGGGTATAATGTGATCACCTCACAATCTCAGTCATCAATCCTTTCATTAATGGCTTCTGTCTATTCTATGTATATAAAGTATTTGACAAAAGACAATTATCAATGTAATCCATTCCTGGTCTTTTTAGTGAGTGGATTCCTTTTGTTTTCCAGTTTGGTCCTCTATTTTCTAGTCCTTTACATTGTGTCTCCCAAAAATTTACTTGCTCATGGAAGTTTATATATATTATTATAGTTTTGTTAGGGTTGTGCTTGGCTCGTGAATATTTGAATACAAACTTGACAACGAGAGGAATGGTATACATTGTACTAGTATGGAATTGGAATGTCACTCTCGTTCAATGTATGGTTTGTGGTCCTAACGCTGCTCATACGGTTAGAATGTCAAAATGTGGTGTACCTGTTACATCATGTGTTGTGTGATATACATTCGTGAACGATTTTCCAAATATGATGGGCGTTAGTGTTGCAACAGTGGAGTTTGGATTTTGGACTCAGCCATCAAGTTAGACTTTGGATTTTGCACATAGTAGCAATGCTATAACTGAAGCAACGTTATCATATATATTTGCATACGACAATTCGAGATGGCGAGACACACGATTGGACAACATAACAAGGGTGGTCTGCCAAACAAGTTTCCCTCTGTGAAATTGGCAAAGAAGTTTGGAAGTAGTAGATGATGATATGATATGAAAGCAGCTTGTAAGAAGAGGTGCAGCCACTAGTACTACTCTCCACTCCCATGAATGCAGTAGCAGTAGCAGTAGCAGTAGCAGCGATGGCAGTGCATAAGTAAAAACTATAATTGACCTTGCTCCTCCCTTTCCTTTGCTTGCCTTCTCCAATAATTCACCCACCTACACCAACAACAATATCACTTGCAAGTTGCAACCCTCCTAATTCATTAAAAGCCCAATCGGACGTTAAGGTCCGAGTACTACGCGTGAAGGAAGTCCAATTCATGGACCACCAACATGGCCTTGTATGGGAAATGGTGGACTGCATTCGTGGCTATTGGGCCAAGCCCGCTCCGGACTTGTGGGAGACACATTATATAGACCGATCAACATCGGACGTCAGTTGTTTCGCTGAATAAGGAAAGGACGGGGTATAGCCTGCCTTGAGGACTTCGTTTTGGATCCCTTTAACTTGAAAAATCCGATGCCCTGATGGACTATAGTGTCTGTTTATGTAAAGTGTGGGGACCTAACTGTTATGATCTCCTAACTAGGAGGGGTTTTTTTTTTTTTTTTTTACTGTTATCTCTCCAATTGCTCGATCTTCTCAAAAGATCCGACATCATCATCTTCTCCACGGAACGAATCCTCCGCCTCTCCGTTCAAGACCACCCTTCTGCAAAACCAACTACGGCTCTTCATCAACTTTCCCGTTCGCTGCTCAAGTTCCGTCCAACGGTCATCTCTGCCTTCTTATTTATATCCTCTTCAACACTTGCTAAAAAAATGACGATTTCCTCCATTAGGTCAAGATAGGGTTTCTTCCTACATGTAATTAAGTCCATTTTTATCTCTTAAGTAACTCAATCAGTTTACAGTGTCGGCGTACTGCAGGGTAAACTCCGTTTGGGAAGAGATTGTGTTTCCTTTGATCATAAACTCTGCAGTCTAAGTTCATGTTTTTGAATCTTTGTATTTCTAGAAACTCCTCTTCGTTACTTTCCTATAAATAAAAACATAGCGGCATCAATCAAATGGTTGTGGTAACTATGAAATGATTCGAACAAATGGCCGTGAGTATTGTCCGGTTGGAGAGGAGCTATAGTGACTTCTTCTGTTTGGCAAGTGTCAACCAATGAAACCAATTGCCTGACAAGACCGGTATACGTGAATGACAAGGCCGTCATATTCATCGTCTCATTGATGATTATAATGGTAAAATTGTAAAGGATTACTCGCAATTGTTTATGTAAATGGTGCGTTTTAAAGTTTCATTGGATTTCACATCTCAATTAAAGTCAAACAAGGATGACTAACTTGATAAGATTACAAATCCTTCTTTAAAAAAAAGAGGCAAATCTTCTCCCATTTTATTGCCCATTTAATAATTTATTTGTTCACATATAAAAGACGACAATGGTACAAAGCTCGTGGCAGATTTGTTGACAGAATATGGCTTAGTAAATAAAATAATAATTCTCTCTGTTTCAATCAAGAGATTATTTAATTAACTCATATTTCTCGATCCAAATTTACTGCTTGCTAACAAACGCTTACAAAATGAACACAAACAAAAATTGACTACCTGTTAGTTCTTTGAAGATCAATATTATAGCCATTATCACGAGACACTAAAAGTAATTTGGAGAGAGAAGTTGTTGGTCCAGCTATTAGCTAAGCTAAGAGATCAGGAGGATGGAGCTACCATTCTTGAAATGCCTAATGACCTATTTATCGACAAAAAACTTACGTTCTCCTTTTAGACTTTGATAGGATCTTAAACGTTAAACGTGTTACCCATATGTAATTAGTAGATTATAATTATCGTTCGAATCTGGTTATCTTATATTTAATTTAGTTGTTTATCGAATTTCACAACTATGATCAGATATATTGATCCGCACCGATAAAATTGTTATCCCCTATCCTACAAAGTACAAACTATGATTAGATAATTCCAATTTCATAGTTAAGTTTTACTTCTACGTCCTACGGTGCACTTTGGAATTTGAATATTGTACAATGAGTATTAATTATTACCGTTTGCAAAGAATTATTATAAAATCTTTTTTTTTCTCACAGCTTAAACTATGATTTGTAAATTCTCATAGAAGATATCTACTGATGGTAATTTCAACCTGCCCCGTGGGTATTACTTGACCTGACCCGCGATAGGGCGGGTATTACCCGACCCGCAGTAGCTTGGGGCGGGACATGCGTATCTACTTCCGACCCGCCCTGCCCCGTCCTGCCCCGTTCTAAACTCATTTTATCTCAATTTCTTACAATTTTTATACATATTTCTCCTATTTTGACTTTTCTGCGACTAATTAGAGTCGCTCTTTCAACTTGTTAGAGCAGCTGCATCGCCTTTCATTGCCCAATTCCATTGTGACATGGCATCTGTCTTTCTTCATTTCACCGTTGTAGCCCTGTCTTCAAATAATGGAAGCTGTCACTTAATGAAATAGAGAATGAAATTGCAAGTGGGTAGATGTGGGCACTTTTCCCACGGTTTTGCCTCATCTTTTTTTTTTCTTTTTTATTTCTTTTAGATAAAATGTAGAGTTGTATACTTGTATTGAAAATATAATCAATTGGGCCCACCAAATAAAATAGAAAGTGGATGTCATTGATGCAGAGGAAATGAAATTGGTATGAAGTGAAATGAGAAAAGTTATTGATATGGCAGTAGGGACCACATATGAAATAGAAATGGTATTTCATGAATGTGGATGGTCTTAGACTCAATTACCCATTCTATTATCTACAGCCTCCACCACTATATATCTCCACAAATTGTACACACTACCTACCTAGCTTCCTTAATTACTAGTAGAGTAGTACACTCCCTCCGCCGCCAATAACAATAAATCAATAAATCAAATATCCCATGGACCACCCAACCATCCGCCGCAGCAGCAGCAGCTCCGCCCTCCACACGGCGGAGCCCTGGCCGATCACCCCTTTCAACCGCCTCTTCGCGCCAATCTACCTCCTCGCCGTCCTAGCCCTCCTCTACCGCCACGTCACAAACCTCCTCCTCCTCCTTCCCGCCACGTCATCACCCTCCTCTTTCATAACAACCCTCGCCCTGCTCATCGCCGATGTCGTCCTCGCCTTCATGTGGGCCACCACGCAGGTCTTCCGGATGAACCCGATACGGCGCCGTGAGATGGTCGAGAACTTAAACGACGTCGTCGGCGGGGAGAGGAGCGAGCTGCTGCCGGGGCTCGACGTGTTCATATGCACGGCGGATCCGCACAAGGAGCCGCCCATGGGGGTGGTCAACACGGCGCTGTCGGTGCTGGCCTATGATTATCCTAGGGACAGGCTGGCGGTCTACGTGTCGGACGACGGCGGGTCGGCGTTGACCCTGTTTGCCTTCGTGGAGGCGGCGAAGTTTGCGAGGCGGTGGCTGCCGTTCTGCGAGAGGAATGGAGTCGTGGAGAGGAACCCGGTGGCTTATTTCGAGTTGGCCAGCGGAGCCCACCCTGTCTCCGGTGAGGTCGAGGAACTTAAGGTAACGTTAGCTTAATGCCACGTGTGTATGTGATGAATATTTTTTCCCAATTTGAAATTAAACAATTATTTAAACTAATAAACTTTTTTATTTTATAAGAATGAATATAATTGAACTTTTATATGCTGTTATATATTTTCCATAAAGCATCTATAGTAAGTACATAGTACTTTTGACAAAATATATTTGACAAAATCTATGGTACATAGTACACTATATATGAATTTTGGTATGGATTATAATTTATTCCATAAGTTTAAGTGAAAAAAGAGGATCTATTCGTGATTGATCATTCATGGGATGAAATATACGATGCATGACCGCTCTTGTATCAAATTAGTGTTCAGTGTTCACAATATACGATCCTCTTTCGATTTTATCAATTAAGTTAAATTGCATATTGGTGACTGAATCAATAAGTATAATATATCGCAATATATCATCATTGTATTATTACGATTTCTAAAGATTTTAGTATTGCACCTCTATTTGAAGAGTCATAATCGATGAATCAAATACACACCTCTTCTTCATAGTTCCATTTCGGAAGAGCGGTCAAATGGTAATCTTTGTTGGAGCAAAAAAAAAAAAAAAAAGAAGGTAATTGGTGAACCCGGTCCAGCGGAACAACTGGTTCTTCATTTAGCTGAATGGAAAGTGAGATCAGACCAATCATGTTACAAGTGGGGGAATGGCGATATTGAGTTATTCCCATTATTATTGACACCCATACATAAAATAAAATGAAAGAAGAAGAAAAATCTGGAAATGTGAACCAACCAACCCTGATCTTGATATCCCGGCCCCCTTTCTCTCCCAGTCTCCCTAGCTAGCTACCACTCTCTTAAATTAATCATTGATGCCGATTATAATCCATCCAATATATGTCTGGGTAGATTATGGTGTGTGTTAGTTGTTCTTTTTGTTAACCCATAAAATTTGGGTGTAAAACCACACGTTATAATAATCTACATATTTTTTCTATTTCAAAATATTATTTATGATTAATCAATTAAATGATAATTTTATTTTATTTTTTTATAAATTTGGCTTGAGTTACAATATAAATTACACATCAATTATTTTAAAAATATGATAACCCCCCATAAAATATTTATTGTACCTTAATGCGATGATTGATGTTAGATTATAACATAAAATACGCTTAATAGCTTTCGACTCTTGAATTTTGTAGCTTAATTTGATATTTATTTAGCTTGCTGTAAGCTATTATGGATTTATGGTCCACGACTCCACGTACATATAGCTTATTATTAAAAAAAAAAAAATGAACCCAACATCGGCTATCACCACCCATAATGACACAATGAGTGTGTGAGTCATTTTGTGCCACACACCAAAATCTTGGATAGATGAATTATAGCCCCAAAAAACAACCCCTTAGTTATATATTTCCTTGGAATGTTGACATATTGTCTCAAGTTGCAACTTGCAGTTAATAGGGTTCTAGAGGACTAATTAACACACAAGTCAACAACAATATTCAAGATATTTAATTTCGCTAATGAACTTGCAGAACATGTACGAGAGCATGAAGCACAAGGTGGAGCATGTGGTCGAGACAGGAAAAGTGGACGATCAGTACATCGACGGACCCAAAGAACAGGAAGCTTTCGGCAAATGGACCCATCATTTCACTAAGCAGAACCATCCCACTTTCATTCAGGTCCTCAAACACATATATATAATATATATTTCACTATCACAACATATTTCTATATGTAATAATTATTATTAACGTAACGTCTGATTCCGTCGTCGACGGCGAAGAACAGATCCTGCTAGACAGCAACAGAGACAAGGATGTGGACGGCCACGTACTTCCCAATCTCATTTACGTCTCTAGGGAGAAAAGCACCACTTCTCCCCATCACTTCAAAGCTGGCGCCCTCAACGTCTTGGTACATTATTATTATTCTTTCATTTCTCCCATTTCCTCCGCCGGCCATACCCAATTTTACGTAGCTGACGAGGAAATCCATGATCTCGTTTTCGTTTTATGTTTATTTAATCAGCCTGACGACTGACATTACTATGTATACACACGTTGCATGTCTCGTGAAGCTACGCGTGTCAGCCGCGATGACGAACCAACCAATCGTGCTGACGTTGGACTGCGACATGTACTCCAACGACCCCGGAACAGCGCGTCGCGCCATGTGCTACTTCTGCGACCCGAACCTCGGCCCTGAAAGCTCGGCGTATCTTCAGTTCCCGCAGAAGTATCGAGGGATCAACAAGAATGATATTTACGCTGGTGAATACCAGCGTCTGTTTCAGATTCAGGCCATGGGTTTTGATGGTCTACGTGGGCCGAACCACGTGGGTACCGGGTGTTTCTTTCGGCGGCGGGCTTTCTTTGGGCCGCCATCGAGTCCGGTGAAGCCCGAGCTAGCCGAATTGGGACATGACCACGTTGTGAAGGGTGAGTCGATTGGATCTGATTCGCTGTTGGAGTTGGCACATAAGGTCGCGGGGTGTAACTACGAGAATCAAACCGATTGGGGTTCCAAGGTAAACTTCTTATTATTAACTAATACTAGGAGGCGGGTAATGGTTGGAGTGATTGGATTTCGGTTTTAAATTGAACAATCTACATATTTACGAATTGGTAATTATGATATGTTATTAACTTGCAATTTACTTTAGATTGGGTTGGATGAGTGGTGGGTAGGTGCAATTGGACTTTATGTTAATTAGTAAAACAATTCTCATATATACTAGCGCTTTAAGCAAATTGGCTAACTTTTATAATACATTCCTCACAAATTAAGAAGACATTAACAATTTAGAAATTTCTCACTTCCTGGATTGGTTTTAACCACTCATACCAACTTGTCATTTTGCTACTTTAAATAAATTATTGGTTGTCAATAAAGCAAAACAACTAACCACATATTTCTAAATAGAAAATACACTTTATGTGTGTGGATTTCACTTCTTTAACAAACGTAACGAATCTTTCATTATTCCATTACCAACTGTGCAGGAAAATTGAAACTCTTTATGACGTTAATACAATCAACAGTTTTAAATATGTATCCCGATGTCTAATGGACAATGCACAACATAGTAACCAATAACCGTAGTTCAAAAGCATTCTTTATTTTTTCGCATTTAGAAGTTCATTGTGTGGTGACGTTATGAACTACAATTATTGGTTAATCTCATTTGCAATGTAAAAGCGGGGTGTGGGTCATTCGAGTGATCCCTCACCCAAGTGCCGGTAGGAAATTTTTGATCCACGATCCACCACTTCACCAACAACGATCTGGGTTATTTGAGAGTGGATCAATATCAAACAAATGAATTAACCATCCTAACTAATACATATATCTGCAACTCGGTATTCGAATCACAATAACTCGAATGGATGTGTTGCGTACAGATCGGGTATAGGTACGGTTCGTTGGTGGAGGACTACTACACAGGGTACCGTCTACATTGTGAAGGGTGGAAGTCGGTGTTCTGTTGCCCAAAGAGAGCAGCGTTTATGGGAGATGCCCCGATCTCGTTGGTGGATATGTTGAATCAGCAGAAGAGATGGGATATTGGGCTGCTGGAGGTTGCGTTTTCCAAATTCAGCACCCTCACCTACGGCGTCAAGTCGTCGGCTGGATTTCTTATGGGTTTTGGGTATTGTCAGTTCGCGTTTTGGCCGAGCTGGTCCATCCCTCTCATGGTTTACTCTTTCCTTCCCCAGCTCGCACTTCTCAATCAAGTCCACATCTTCCCAAAGGTACGTACGTAACCCACCCTCCCTAATTTACGAGTCTGTTAGGTAATCATTCATATTTGTTTACTGCACACAAATTGATTATGTTTTGGCTCACGTAGTCACATTCCAATTATGAAAAGGGAAACAAAATTCCCTAGTGAGACCAAAATCTGTGGTCTAGTCATATATATTTTGTTTAAACAATATTCTTATTTATTTCAATAACCGGTCGATCGAATCAATTTTGACACCATTTCATCAAGCGATTGATATTAATGATTGAGTTGTTAAAGAAAACTTAATTATAAATCATGTACCATTTTCTTTAAAGATTGTGTGAAAAATATAAGCAAATATGCATAAATGGTTTGAATGTAGATAACTTATTTTTATTCACGCAATGTCTCCATCACCAACCAATCAACCCATTTTTAAAGGGAGCAGATAGTGTACAACACTCCGATCTGCAAAATTCTGCAGAAACCGGTCATAACATCGTATCACGATGTCGTGATGTATGATGATATGACCGGGGGGTTTGCAGGCCAGAACTTTGTACCGGAACTCAAGTCATTTCCATCTAACAGTCCATTGGTTTAAATTAAGATATTTTAATTTATGTAAAAATGAAATATAAAACTCTTATAATTTGGCATAAATATAGGGTTCTCTCGCTTTTCATTTTTGTCGCAAATTGTGATGTAAGAAGTGATAAGTTTCTTAGATGTTAGCTAGCCATCAATATAGAAATTCCTTTGAAAAATCCCCTTTTTATATCAATTTGGCCATATATATTTTGACGAATTTCGAAGTGATGACCTCGTAGTTAACCGGGAATGTCCACGTGGACTACTAATTATGTAGTGTAGTCACGCTTCCATTGAGTGAAGAGTTGACTTTTCCAACCCATCACTCTTATGAAAACTAATATTAATGAAGCAAAAATTATTTTCTTCCCAACAATCTTTTTTATCTGCAGGCAACAGAAGCGTGGTTTTGGCTGTACCCTTTCCTCTTCCTAGGAGCCTACGTACAAGACATGCTCGATTTCACCATCGTCGGCGGGACCCTCCAAAGATGGTGGAGCGACCAAAGAATCTGGCTCCTACGTGGGCTGACGTGTCACCTGTTCGGTTCCATCGAGTACTTCCTCAAGTTCCTCGGAATCGCCGCCACTTTCAACGTGACGAGCAAAGTGATCGACGAGGAACAGAGCAAGAGGTACGACCAGGGCATCTTCGAGTTCGGAGTCCACTCGCCGATGTTCGTTCCCCCCACGGTGGCCGCGCTGATCAGCTTGCTGGCGCTGGTCCAGGGCCTCGCCGTGCTGGCGATTCGCGGCGGTGGTTTGGCAGACGCGCCGCTGCTGCAGCTGCTCGTGGCGGGTTTCGGGGTGGTGAACGGCTGGCCGATCTATGAAGCTGTGGCTTTGCGGAGTGATAATGGGAGAATGCCGGTGAAGACCGTTGTTGTCTCCGTGGCTCTGGCTTGGGCTTGTTACGTGGCTGCCTCTAATTTTGTGTTCAAGTGATGGCCATGGTTTCTTATGAAGGTTTTCCTAAGGTGATATTTTCCACACGTTACGTTGGAGATAGATATACATGTCTAGTTTAGTAATGGAATACAAATAAATTGTCTAGCAAGACTGCGAGGTTTGATAAAACCATCTTATTTCATGTTATCTCAACTTGCCCGCAACTTATTTGGTTTCTTTCTAAGGGTGATATATGTTCGATTTTTAGCTAGGTGATTTTTAAGAGACTCGAACTTGGAACCTTTGGACCAAGCTCTTGTTCTCCCATCTCGTATGATTTAGCTAGGCCTGAAACTCAACAATACCAACTTAGTCTCTCTATCGTCGTCCGACAACGCCACATGATTCTGATGGAAGAATATACCTAGACGTGACAAGGTATGTCGACGTCGGGTGGCACGAGCCACTGCCCTGGAATCAGAAATACCACCAATGACTATTTAGGGAAAGTATCTATATAGCATCGACTCATGTCAATGTTGCTTCAAGAAGAATTGATAATCATCGTCTTCTCAATTTGGCGGTGAATCTGCAACCTAGCGACATGTTTGGATACAATTCCATATGAAATAGAAAAGAATTTTTTTTATTATCGTACGTAATTAGGTATAGTATAAATAAGATGATAAGGTTCAATTGGGCCGACCAAGGGGGTGTTTTAGGAGGCCACCAATACATAATCTCTGAAATTCAGGGGGGCCTCCAACTAGATCATTTAGTTAATCCGATCGTATATTAAAATATTACCGTTTCTCAATAAACTTATGAATTATAGTGTCATACCAATAATTTTATTTGTTTAATTATATATATGTTTGCACCTATATGATATATTATCATTACTAATATATTAATTGGTGCGGGAGACAACAAATGGTCAATTGATCATGCATGATGTATGTGCGGAGGTGGAAACCAAATCAGATTTGAGTTTGACTAGATCATTTTCTTTTATATACATGACCAAATATATTATGTATTATCACAAAGGTAATGTGCATGCATGCTTAACAAATAAGCATCAAAGTTTAAATAATGTGTTAGCTAAATTGATGTCATAGCTTGAGTTGAGACAATTAGGATCAAGGTTCACCCAATGTTTTCATAACTGAATCAGATGTTGAGCCAAAAAAGTTATGGTTGATGGTTCGACAGTTAACTGTTATATAACTGATGGTTAACTGTTGACAATAACGTTCATGTGCTATAACATAAAAGACATATATAGTACACTAATTTAAATATTAGCTATCACAAAAAAAAAATTATAACAAAGTATTCAAAATATTTCACGAAAAGGAATAATTTTTTTTTATCAAATTCAAATTAGTAATCAGGGTGGCAATCCATAGTGGACAACATAAAGCTGGCAAGGAGGGAGGGAAATGAAGAAAATGAAGCATAAATAAAATTAGATATTGAGGTTGGTTTATCTTAGTTTACGTTCAAATATTTTATTTATTTATGTTGTTAAAAGTTGTGAACTAGTGGGCAGTCTAATCGAGGTGGTTCATCTAGTTTCATGTCAACCATAAAAAATGTTGGGTCCATTGCTAACCGTCAAATCAAACGAATCGAACTGCTATTGTAGCTATAGTTTAGTGATTCTAATGACCCAACCATTGATTCTTATAACAATCGGTTTGGTTCTTACTTCTTATAACAATGGGTTCTCCCATTAGAAGTTATGGTTATGGTGTAGTATCATGTCTCAAACTTATGTGAATTCACAGTGTAGATAGCAAAATTTGTTGGATGTGCGATAAAGTTAGCGTACGTAAGGTAGTGAAACCGTACTTATTTCAATATTCTCAAACACAAACCCAAACAACTTATTTATGAAATTTGGTTATGCTACTTATCTATCAGACTAGAAACTATAGAAAACACATTTTCTACGTGTTGTTCTTGTAGCTTCAAATAACCATGGTCCATAAAACCGTACTGTACCGACGTTTCAACCACGAAATATCAGTATCAGAGGTTAAACCGATAAGCGGTATTTAATAGTCTAACGATTAAACTATGGTTAAATCACGGTTGTATCATAAAATATCATATTGCCGACTTTTTCAGTGCAATATCCGGTACGGTTTCATGCACCAAGCAAATAACCCCCTCTTTATTATAGGAAAAAGAAAAAGAAAAGAAGATTGGGAGACATGAGAATCCCCAGCCACCACAATTAATTACATTTCTCACTGGGTCCAAATTATCAGGCCAGCAACCAACCAAAAACAGAAGAGCATAAATATTGAGGTCATAAACCCCCGACATGAAAACCAAACCGCTACATAAATGATACTATAAGAAACCAAAACACCGGTCCGCAAATCGATACACATCACTAACACTACCACTCCAATAATCCATCCCGCCCTCTCCACATCTCATGGAAGAGCGCACCGCCGGCCGCCGCCGCACTCCCGCCGCCACCCTCCACACGGTCAGGCCATGGCCCACCACCACCTTCAACCGCATCTTCGCGCCAATCAATCTCCTCGCCGTCCTGGCCCTCCTCTACCACCGCGCCACACAGCTCTTCCTCCCTCCTCCGACCGCCACGTCATCACCACCTCCCAGCTTCGCCATAACCCTCGCTCTGCTCGTCGCCGACCTCGTCCTCGCCTTCATGTGGGCCACCCACCAGGCCTTGCGGATGAACCCAATACGGCGCCGCGAGAAGCTGGACAAGCTGCAAAACGACGTCGTCATGGGGAGTGAGTTGCCCGGGCTGGACGTGTTCATATGCACGGCGGACCCGTACAAGGAGCCGCCGATCCGGGTGGTCAACACGGCGCTGTCGGTGATGGCCTACGACTACCCCAGGGACAAGCTGTCGGTCTATTTGTCGGACGACGGCGGGTCGGCGTTGACCCTGTTTGCGTTCATGGAGGCGGCCAAGTTTGCGAGGCGGTGGCTGCCGTTCTGCGACAGGAATAAAGTGGTGGAGCGGAATCCGGCGGTCTTTTTTGGATCGGGTAGTCGGTGTTCCGATGTGGCAGGTGAGGTCGAGGAGATTCAGGTACGCCGGCGGGGATGTCTTAACAAATGAATGTCAACATGATATTTACTCGTTACTATAACATAAAAAAAAAAAATCACGTACGTTATTAGTGTGGTGGAGCGTTTTTCACCTTGATTATTCGCTTTTTTTTTTAAATAGACGAATTAAATCTATTGTTTTAGTTTCCCTTGTTGGTTTGATTTTCCTGTCCGAGTATTATTGGTCTTGTTGTCACAATAAATTACGACTACCATTAATGCAAGCTCAATTCTTACGCCGTCAGAGATTCTTTTCCCACGAGGCGAGAAATATTGAAGTGACAAAACTACTTCTTGTACAAAATAATATATATATATATATAGCTCAACTCTGTAAGATTAATAATAACTATATATATATATTGTTGTGGAAAAAAAAAATATTATATTGCACGCAGAACATGTACGAGAGCATGAAGGTGAAGGTGGAACGTGTTTTGGAAAGTGGGAAGGTGGATGAGCAGTGTCTCGACAGCCCTCAAGACAGGGAAGCTTTCGACCAATGGAAGTCCCACGATTTCACAAAGCAACACCATCCCGCCGTTATTCAGGTCCCTGGTTAATTTTAGACATGCTTCTATAATTAAGATCACCTAACGATAATTATATGGAGAATTTTTTTTACTAAAAATGCTATAGATGAGTTGTTCTTATAGTTCATATCATTCTATTAGTCAAATACTTTTGCCCCACATGAAATAATAACTAGAGTTGCAGTAAGTTGAAGAAGTATAGAATGCATATAGTTTCTCAGCCTCTAATTAATGTCATTATAAGAACTGATTATTTAATTACAACAATTTGAGCATTGTAAAAAAAAACAACAATTTGAGTTATGGGAGAACGTATATAAGACAACTTATTTGTTGCAATCTGGTAAATATATATGATATCTCATCATTGTCACATCACCTTGAATTATGTGCACCGCAGAATGAACTACTTTATTGAGAAACAGATACGACCAAAATAAAACCCATTATAACGGATGAAATATTAATGCACCATATAATAATATGGAGAGAAAAAAAATGGTGAATAACAGGTCTTGGTGGAGAGCAAAGCAGACAAGGATGGCGATGGACGAACGATGCCAAACCTCATCTACGTTTCCAGGGAGAAAAGCAACACTTCTACACATCACTTCAAAGCTGGCGCCCTCAACGTTTTGGTATTATATTATATTATATTATATTATATTATATTATATTATATTATGTTATGTTACATATTATGTTTGGGTTACGTCGCAAAATTTAGGAACTAAAAAACCTATAAAATCCAGCCTTAATCACCTCTATTAAATTACATATTATGTTTGGGTTACTATAGTTATTATTATACACTATCTTTCATCATATTCATGCCGGCCATAAACATCTACATCACCGATCATTTCAAGTATAATAATATCCCAACCAACCAAAATGGAATCACATCTCTTCCTCACCATGACCCATATTTCACGTTCGTTCAAACAAATAATTAATGTACAATCCAGTCAACCAAAAAAAAAAAAAAATGTACAATCATTGATGTTGTTTTCTTGTCCTGTTGGCAGCTCCGGGTGTCAGCTACGATGAGCAACGGCCCAATAGTGCTGGCCGTGGACTGCGACATGTACTCCAACGACCCCAAAACGCCTCTCCGTGCGATGTGCTACTTCTGCGATCCTAATCTCGGCCCAGAAAACTCGGCTTACGTTCAGTTCCCACAGAAGTACCATGGAATCAACAAGAACGACATCTACGCCGGGGAATTCCAGCGTCTGTTCCAGATTCAGGCCATGGGGTTCGACGGTCTGCGTGGTCCGAACCACGTTGGCACCGGTTGCTTCTTTCGTCGAAGAGCTTTCTTCGGACCCCCATCGAGCCCGGTCACACCCGAGATACCCGAGCTCCAACCCGACCGAGTTGCGAACAAAAATGGTTCGATCCGGTCCGGGTCGGTTTCGGAATTGGCACATAAGCTTGCTGGTTGCAACTACGAGAGTCAAACCCACTGGGGGTCCAAGGTACGTAACTTCTTGACTAAAATGAATGTCTCACCCATTCATCCCTGAGTTATAAATGGTAGACACAAATTATACTATTTTTTTTTATGATGACAAATTACGATATATTTATGTTGATAAGATTATTTACCGTCCACTAAAAGTCACACGGATTTCTGTGTTGGGTTTATACAACATTCCCGATTTACGATGTTTGGGATTTATTCACACGTTTGAGTTTCTGTTCTGTAACCTTAATCTTTATCGGATTGGATTAGGGTTAGGCCGTCAAGAAAAGTACTATGTTTACTTCTCGATTTCTCATTGATTTGTATCTTTTCAAGTATAGTGAAACTGACTCTCTATTATTCATAGACTAACTAACACGTATTAATAAATAACGTAAATTTGTGTGGTATTTACTTTTATTACGCTGTCCATCGATTTTCTGATCCGTTCTAACCATTTGAAATGCAGATAGGGTATAGGTACGGATCGTTGGTGGAGGACCTTTTCACCGGGTATACCCTACACTGCGAAGGGTGGCGGTCGGTTTTCTGCTGCCCGGAGAGGCCTGCGTTCCTTGGGGACGCCCCGATCTCGTTGTTGGATTTGTTAACTCAACAGAAGAGGTGGGCGACTGGAGTGCTTGAGATCGGCTTCTCCAGATTTACCACCTTCACCTACGGTCTCAAGTCGTCGGCCGGCCTTCTCACTTGCCTTGCGTATTCGCAGTACGTACTCTGGTCCATCTGGTCGGTCCCTCTCACCATCTACTCCTTCCTTCCCCAAATCGCTCTCCTCAATGGAATCCACCTCTTCCCTAAGGTACGTCAAAGCTTATATGGCTACGAATATCCCAATAACTCTGAGTCGTACACAATGGTTATCATTTCTTTTTTTCTTACCCACGGCTTTAAACTATCAGTTTGCACAGATTGAACCTATCATTCATTGGGTTAGATCATTAAGTTTTCCGTTTGTGCAAGTTGAACATATCATCTCTAAAGATGTGCAACGGCCTCGTCGATCTAAGTGTCATATCGGTACATTATTCTTCTGTATTTATAAAATTTATGGACCCAACTTTCAAGGACGAGGACCACATTATATTCGGTTCAGGATGGTATGGTCCAAATGTCGATTTGGTCAATGCAATCTGTTACAAACCAATTCGTTGTATATCCTAAATCATCCCTTGTGTAGTGTGTAATCATTGTTTACATTGAGAGCCGTCGTAAAGATTCAGAACCTATAACTTGGTTGTAGGCTCTGATAACATATTAACGAACAAACCATTTAGTCCGATAGTTTGTGTGTTGTTGGGAAAAGGGTTGTCATTTACATCTAGAGCTGCAAAAGAAATTGATAGCGTCTTAATATATGGAGTCATGATATTTGCAGGCAACGGAAGCATGGTTCTGGCTGTACATATTCGTGTTCGTCGGAGCCTACGGACAAGACGCGTTGGAGTTCGTGCTGGTGGGCGGGACCGTCCAAAGATGGTGGAGCGACCAGCGAATCTGGCTGCTACGTGGGCTGTCGAGCCACCTGTTCGGTACGGTGGAGTACTTCCTCAAGTTCCTCGGCATGGCGGCCGGATTCAACGTCACCAGCAAAGTGGTCGACGAGGAGCAGAGCAAGAGGTACGACCAGGGCATCTTCGAGTTCGGCGTCCATTCCCCGATGTTCGTTCCCCCGACGGTGGCGGCGCTGATCAACTTGCTGGCGCTCGTTCAGGGCCTCGTCGTGGTTCTTGTCGGGATCTGCAGTGGTGGTGCTGATGTGGCGGCGGAGGTGCCGGTTGTGGAGTTGCTTGTGGCTGGGTTTGGGGTGGTGAACAGCTGGCCGATTTACGAAGCTGTGGCTTTGAGGAGTGATGATGGGAGGATGCCGCTTAAGACTACTGTTTGGTCTGTAGCGCTTGCTTTGCTTGTTTATGGAACTGGTTCCTTGCTTCTCAGGTGATTGTTGTTCTTCTTTGGGGTATTATAATAAGTGTCGTAATGGATTGGAAATAATGTATGTCAATTTAATTAAACGAGCATGAGATATCAGTTTTATTATGCTTGAGGTTGACAAGATATAACAACCTTTTAGAGTTGAGATCAGAAGCCTTAGTTGTTTTCATTGCATCCTTAGCTTATATAGCTGGGCAGTTCACTTACAGACACATTGAGAGAAGAAGACAAAGTTTGGGTCCTAAGCAAGTACAACTCAGAAATGAAAAGAATTACAAATAACGATTTTAGGGAGTTGTGGGTAATTTGCCAGAAACGACATCATTCCAGCTTCTCGGTTGAGTCTGTCTCAGCGAAATAATGTCGTCCGATTTAGTTGCAGTGGGCCTTGACACAACGACAGCGTTTGATTCGACGGTCGTCTTCTCCAATGATTCTGGATTCAAATTTGGGGAAAAACCGATTGTTTTCCCTGATAAGATACAAATTATAAAGACGAATCAAAAAGTTTATGTAGCACATTCTTCATAGTTCATACGATCTAACTTTAACCCAACCTAAAAAGAAAAAGGGTAAATACAATTTAATATCCAAATCTTTCATTTTAAACAATATAATAGCCAAACCACACTTCAAAAAAGTTCGAAGTACGACGCTTCATCAATATCCATCGATATCTTCTCTGAAAAATCACCAACATGTCGTGGTTCCAAACCCGAGAAGTATATGACTCCACCATGATGGTATAAAATATCTAAATATTCAGTCATCTGCAATGCCAAAACAAGAAAACAAAGTTGTATTGTGAAATTTCCCCTAAACAAAGGTTTTTTGAAGTGTCAACCAACGGTCAAACGGACGGAAAGTTGACGATTTGAATATTAGATTGTTTTCGAAAAAGTTTGGCTATTATATTGTTTAAAATGAAAGGTTTGGATATTAAATTATATTTACCAAAGAAAAATGTGAGAGAAAGTTTCGTAACTTCTGTGACTAAAGTTGGATAACCTGTTTTTAAGTTGCGCAACGAGATGTATTGGCCCATCGAGTGGCGGGCTGTAATTGAGGGCCCAACAAACTGGTCCAGCGAAGTTGCTGGTCCTCTCTAAGTATAGCTCATTAGCCAAGGGCATCAAGAAACTCGGCTTGTTGATGGGCCTGTGATTTTGTCGTTTTGGATTCTGGCCCATTTGGTCTCTTCCCATCACAGCATATGCTTTCCTCCCACAACTTGCAAGCTCTTCTCAACATAAAAGGACGAGACTCAAATTGAAATTGCATATAATTTGATTCTGTATTTTAACTAAACGGTTTGTGAACGTAATTCACGCAACCTTTCTTCCCATCGTGATAATTATGGTGTTAAATTTGCCTTCTTCAACTTGTGTGTTTATTTGAACTTGATTCAAGAACAGAACAAGCTTAGCTAGCTAGTTCTGCTGATTTCTCTAGCTAGGTTCTTGATTCGCCTAGTTGTTTTTTTTTTGTCCCCTCTTTTACTGAAGAATTCCATCTCTTTGACCAAATGAAGCTAGCTTAGAAGTTAAAAAAGAATTGTAACTCAAACTAAAGAAACGCTATTGTGAGCTAGAAGACTCTTCAACGACACGTATTAAATGATGCTCTACTACTGGACTTGTAGCAACAAGTTCTTCTTCTTCTTGCCGGTATCGTTGCTCTGCATGCGTACTGACGCTTGCTTGATGTTCCGAGCTCACCATGTTGTGCTGCAACGACACCACCACCGCAGGAGTTGTGCCATCACCACTAGATTGCGATGTAACATTATTGAGCTTGTTGGTCGTCGGGATGACAAAACATCTACAGATTGGACAAGTAGAGTTGTTGAGAAGCCAATGACGAATGCAGTCCATGTGAAACACATGTTTGCAAGATGAGATCTGGAGCAATTCTTCTTTCATCTCAAAGTCCACCAAGCACACACAACACCTGCGTGCAAACACAATGATCAGATTTGAACAACTAACAAGAACAAATTAATTAATCTCAATCATTCAAATTGACGGGAAAGATTATGTTTCACTATGCTAGTATCACATTATCTGTTTTCATTCAGGAAAGTAGTGGACGACATTGGAGATTCCAAAGCTTGGGCATTGCATGTGTCTTTTTGTTTGATGGGCTTCTAGATATCAATTTTTAGGTAGTGAGAGAAGTGGATTGTCAATTGGTTAGGCACAAAAGGGAATAAAAGTGGGCATAAAAGTTAAAAACACGACGACCCAGCAGGGAAATTAGCAGAAAGCTTTCCTTTCCTTCTTCTCAATCAATTATGACACCAAATTGGAAAGAATAAGTTATCGAATTCAAAACGTAATTACAAAGTGATTCTTAAGGTCATATGTCTAACTTAAGAAGCAATTAATAAAGTTGGGTTAGGGGAATGTCAGTGTTGAGGAAGTTGGGGAAGAAAGGTTAATTTCTCTCGGCTGGCAACCTCGCCACGTAGGTGTCAATGTCAGTTGCTACTTCATAATAATTAATTAGTTACCTGGCATTTTCATGCATTATTGGGAAAGGAAAGAAAACCGATCGATAATAACAACTTACTGTGATTCCTTTGACCTCAATTCTTCATCAAACGACACAACTTGGAGCTTCTGGCTCATGAGCTTCTCTTTCAGCAGACCAACCTCACAAACCTACAGACATAATTATTGACAGAACAGTTAATGATTTTGAGAAAGAAGAAGAAGAAGAAGAATGAGTAAGGAGAAATGGAGGTTTTAATTTCTTACATCAGACAAATGGGCAGCAGCATCAGGTTGATTGGAAGAAGCAGAAGTGGGGAGAGAGGATGAAAGTGTTGAGGCTCTCCTCTTGAGGTAGAAAAGGTAGAAGAGGAGAACTAGGATGATGGTGAAGAGAATTGGGATTGAGAAAAGGAAAGCCTGGTACAGCTTCAGCTGAATTTCTTGTGGGTATAGATGAGGTGAAGGTTGGCTCACTGGAGAATAGTAGAAACCCATTGTAGAATTGACCAAAACAAACGAATTAAAACAACTGCTTCAATTCTCTCAAGGGAAGAAGAAGAAGAAGAAGAAGAAGAAGAAAGCTTGAGTTGGTTTATTATTTGAGAGACGTTGCCTCCTTTTCCACCCACAGCCAGCAGTGGGACTGGAACACATGAAAAGAGGGTGGTACTTAAATGGGGCTGTTCGGCTGCTAATTAAGCGTTGGAGCTAGTAATGCAGGGAATATCCTTTTTTTTAATGAATTTTTGTAATTAATTTGTTTGTGGAAGATTTCGTATATAAAAGGTTATACATTTATGTACTGCCCCATGCGTTTGAGATTAATGTACTGTTTTACTTTTGATATGCATCATGGTGATTTCGTATATAAAAGGTTATACATTTATGCACGGCTCCATGCACTAAAATTCTCATAAGCATTTTCTCCATTTCATCCCAAAATAACTCATATCAGTTAATTAAAATCAATTTATTACTTACAAATCATTGATCTTTTCCGTACTTTACTGATGTGGAATTTGTCTAATATTAATATAAAACAGATAGTTTCACATTGTGATTCCACCAAGAAAAATGTTTTTTTTTTTTTTTTGTAAAATCTAGATAATGTTCATTTGTGATTTGATGCCATTAAATATAGATTTATGTCGAACAGAAAAATCCAGAACAGTAATAAAAAGGAAGTCATGATGGAATAATATACTAGGTCAGTTGGCTGTCCATTCAGCGTTCGACACAATTGTTTATTTTCTGTATTTTTAGGTCAAAAATTCTCTCGATTTCACCTCTCCATTGGTGCCAAACCTTTCATTTTCACCTCCCCTCGTTAGTAAAACAAAAGAATTCCCTGATATCTCTAGGCCTCAAAGGCCGGCTTATATTCTTGTTGATGAGCTGCTAATGATACGTAGTTAGTTAGTTTTAATCTATTTTTGCCACCCAATCATTTCATCATTCTCACATCATTTACAATAAATAACAATTATAGTACAAAGCTTTTGGAATAACGAACGATGCTATATAGATTTTATGTTTTGACGACGAGATCATCTCTAAAATTCAATATTAATCTGCGATTGCAAACAAAGGGAGTAGAACTAATAATTACGGATGAAACTTTACGAATGGATTTTATTGAAAAATTACGTAATTGTTTGTGAGTGAATGTGCGACTTTGTAAATAACTAAATATTGAAAATTACAGATTCAACCAGTTATACTTATTCCACTTGAGGAGGGATCGGTTAGCTTGACTACCCCTAAAGGGGTAGTGATTTTTGACACCCCCTTTATGATTGGCCAATTTTATTTCCAATCATTGGCAAGTATTAATTAAACTGATTTTTTATTTTTTTTAATCTTGTAATTTGGGGTCTCTCACCACATTGGAAAAGATAAAGAATCTGGGGAAAAACGAAATCACCCCCATTAATTACATAATTAATTTCTCTCACTGGTACATTAATTACACGTACCACTCTACTGGTACACGTACCACTCCACTGGTACACGTACCAGTGGAGTGGTACGTGTACCAGTGGAGTGGTATTTGTATCATTGAAGTGGTACTGCATTGTTGCTCCGTTATTGTTTATCATTGTTATGAAAAATATCATTGCACTGGTATAGTTCTCACTCTAACCTACCTTGTGGATTGCTCGCACCAGTGGAGTGGTACGTGTACCAGTGGAGTGGTACGTGTACCAGTGGAGTGGTACGTGTACCAGTAGAGTGGTACGTGTAATTAATGTACCAGTGGGAGAAATTAATTATGTAATTAATGGGGGTGATTTCGTTTTTCCCCAGATTCTTTCTCTTTTCCAATGTGGTGAGAGACCCCAAATTACAAGATTAAAAAAAATAAAAAACCAGTTTAATTAATACTTGCCAATGATTGGAAATAAAATTGGCCAATCATAAAGGGGGTGTCAAAAATCACTACCCCTTTAGGGGTTAGCATAGTATCCTACCCCACTTGAGGAGGCACACCTGAAGCACCAAAGGAATTGTTTGTTTCCCCTGATTTTTTTTATGGCATTAATGATATTTATAACTGCAGCAAATACAAGGAAGAAATACAAAGAAAGTGAAAACAACGATGTTCCAATCGGGTAAAACAATCAAATACCTCAAAAGATGAATCCTGACAAATGGGTACATAAAAGCAGGAAGGGAGAAAAAAAAAAAAAAGGAATCTGGACACTGTTGCAACGGAAGCGGGAATAAAAACTACTCAACTAATTGGACACAAAACATAACTATGTATATTAATGGCATAGCCAGCGATTCAGTTTTGTAGGTACAAAATTAAAATAAAATATTACTTTTATAAATGTAGTGTACCAAATAATGGTTCAAAATTTCATCATTCCTCAAATTCCGATTTCACGAAATTCATTATAAAAAAATGCACTTCCGACACTTGTAGTGGCCACAGGCGGCAATAGCGCCAACTTCTGAAGTTTATACACTAATGAGATACTTGTTTACCCAATTATTTTCCTAGAAAGTTCAATATAAATAGTATGTTATGAGTTAGTTAGTTAGTTCTAATAAGCTAAACTGTTGAGAGAGATTCAATAATGAACCTTATTCAACGAAAAAAAAAACAATACCGAAACTTACACAACATACTAAGAGGCTGCACTTTTCTGTCATGGCTGTGAAATAATAAGAGAATCTATGCTTCATTCAGTTCATTGAAAGCAAAGGAACGATTTCCATAATGAATTTGGCTTTGCCAAAACAACAACGAGTTGAGTTAGTGCTTTACTGAACAGTTTTTTTTTTTTTTTCATTTTCACTTCTTAATACCCCTTTTAATCATTACATAAACACCAGAAAATGAGCAAGTGGATCCACTAGCTAGTAGCATTTGCATGCTCGTCCTGTATTGTCTTTCCTTAAGGTGTGTACTCAACAAATAAGCATCACACGCTTAATCTTTTTAAATTATTCTAAAGATTAGAAATTGAGTTTATGTTATGTTAAAAGGCTTACTGACGCATTTCAATTTTGGACGACACGATCACAACAGATGCTAAATTGAAGTTCCACAAACTTGGATATCCATCAATTTCATTATTAATCAATCAAAAGTCTAAACACAAATAAACAATAATGTTTTTCGGTTTAAACCATACACCAATCTATTGATTGGTGTTTTTAGTCATTTTTTATCATGCTTTTGTTTACTTAGTGATAAATGGATGGACACGTGGTGGGTTCTAAATGCTTTTTCAAAGTGATACTTCTGGTGTAGCTAATAATTTCTTAATTTTTTTTAAGAAGTGAACTTGCCATGTTTGTTGTTAATAGTTTAGAGACTATCATTTTACTTTTCGGTCTATACAATTATAATAAATTATGGGTATTGTCGTATCGAGAAGGTAAATAGAGCATTTGATCGTTGATCGTTTGATAAACAAAAATTATAATTGACTGTGTTGTCCACAATAAATTTAATGCAGAGTGTTAACCGAACCGACACGTGAATCTATACCTCACTCAAACTTTAATATATTTATCATGCTTATATGAGCCTACTTGATGGGAGAAAGTAGCATCTTTCTTTTCTGGAAACAAGTTTGAATGTTGCTGTTGGGGGATGTCACCTTTCAATTTCACTAGGGGGGAAAATCTCACTTGTGTTAGTGGGTGGATCAGGAAAGACAGCCTCCCTTCCCTTCCAAGTTCCAACCACACTCTCACAAAGTGGGCATGTCATTTCTATGAGATAAGATCTCAAGCAGTTTCCACTATATGTCTGCTTCTGTTACGATTTGGAATCAGCTCTTCCCTTTTCCCTTCTAATCTTAAAAACAAACTTTTTAGTCCCAAAAGTGCAGCTACCACCATCGTCCCTTTGTAAAGTCCCCTTACCTCTGAGTGGCTGCTCTGTTGTATAGAGATATATTCTGCCTTCTACTTGCTTCTTTCCTTTATGCCCTTCTGTTTATTGGCCTGGGAAATGATTGTTTCATGACTAAAGCCATCGCCTTTACATACTAGATAAACAGGTCCAAACTTTGTTGCCCTTTGCTTTCTCTGTTGGCGAAAAGTATGATTTAGAAATGATAGCTTTAGTTCTATTCAAGCAAAGATCATATATGCATGCTTATCCATAAACTGACTGAAATTAGATGCATTAACAATGGAGTGTAGAATATCAACCCTGCTTATTGCCTTGATCTAGAACCAGATTCCTCTCCACCAGCCTGTGCAGAAACCAAAGTAACAGGACCAGCTAAGAGCAGTTCCTTGCTTTCACTGGCTGAAGTTCCTTTTCTGACTGCATATTTGGGGTGGCACAAGCCAAAGGAGTAACAATAATAGGGTTCTGAAATTTGTACATAGATCACATCCATCCACACCAACAACGTTAGGGTCATCGACTCGAAGTACCAGATGATGTTTCAGAAGTCGTTGATTGGATTGCTTACATGACAGAAAAATCAAATCAAATTTGAAGGAATACAAAGTGCGAGATCACTAGACTGCAACTGCATCCCTTGCTCTCATAGTCCCAACTTCTTTATAGAGTGTGCCGCGAGCGCGAGGGAATGAAACTGGATACAGTATAAATCTCTTAGTACCTTCTCTTCCTGAATTTGAAACTGCTCGATCGGATCACATCATCATCGGCCTGTAATATCGATTCAAGAGCAGTCATGGAATCCGGTTTTGTGAAGTAAGTGAAGAGGAGGTAGATGCCATCCAAGTAAGTGTTGGTCTCCCCGGCTTTGTTCTTCTTCCTGATGCTGTAGGCTAGTGGAATCACCCCTCTGTTGAATACCTCCACATACATCCCACCCCCAGCAACTAGCAACTGCAATATAGTCAACATTAGGTTTGATTCCCTCATTCTACTTATACTTTAAGCTACAGTTGTAGTATATCCTTCAACTTTTTACCTTAATTAATAAAGTACTAGAAATTGTAACTCATCTTTCCACTCAACACTTAGTGCCTTCTACTTAAAGTAGTAGCATCAATTGAAGTTCTCTCTTAATCTGCCAATCATGATACTGCTTCAATTGGCAGCAAACTAAACAATCAAGAAGCTATCAGATCATTCAGATGTAAACCCCAAAGAGACCATATTACCTAAACTAAAAAGCCTCATGCAATTGAACCATAGTCTTAACAAAGCTTTCTGACATGGAAACAGCTCTCCCCCAATCATCATTGAATACTACGAAATCTCAATTCAAACTTCGACACATAATGCACCACTCGATTGTTTCAACAACAAGGGCAAATAGCTCATCGAACCATTATCATCAATCTCAGGGAAATGATATAATTGCAGATTGGATTGGATAAAGCACAGAATGTGGTCTAAAATTCAGAAAGCCAAATTGAAAAAGAACCCTTCCACTCTAAAAATTACCTCCTCGTACTTTTGGGTAAGAGTAAGCCGGTCATCTTCGGACATATCCGGCCTCAGGACCGCCATGGTCTCGTACTGGCGTAGCCCAGGTGGGCAGGGAGGGGCCTCTTTCTCCTCCACCGCCGTCGCGGTGCCTCCCGACGATGACGGTGGTTCTTCGTCGGAACCCATTCCTCCACCTTGATAAAACGAGCCGGAGAAATCAAAAGTTTGCGCCTTCACCGTCGGCGCGCTCTCGCTCCCTCTCCCACGTGTGAAAATCGCCGTCGCATTGGCCGGGAACCGCCCACATAATGCCAGAGACGGTGAAGAGTGGGATTTCGACAGTAATTTGCAGCAAATTGGAGAACAAAATAGAGTGGACGAAACTGCTGAGGACGCCATTGCTGCCGAGCTCTCTCTGTTGTTCGACTCGGCTGCGCATCTCCCGGAGATATAGATAAGGAAGACGATCAAATTTTACGACCCATGGGCCCCGGTTTTATACGGCCTGGCTCAAACAATTTTTGGCCCATTAGAAGCCTGTTTCTGGATGGGCCTTTCGTGTTGTACTTGTACCCAAGAGAGGCAAGTCAGAAACTTCTTTTCTTGAACTCGAAGCCAAGCCAGTCAAGCTATTAAAAGTTTCAAGCGGAAATTCACTGAGGAAAAATACGAAGTTTAGAAAACGGAGACTCATAGATCGGACGATAATCGACGGCGACCCAATCGTGAGAGATGGATCCCAAGCTAACGGAGGTGTCGCAGTACTTCGAGCGATTCAAAGCGGCTTGTGTGAGGGAGGATATCGATACCTCTGCCAATCTGCTGTCTCAGCTTAAGGTGAGAAACTCGCCGTTGGAACCCTAATTCTATGCTTCTATCTTCAGATGTCGAAGTTCTCCGTCTGTTTTTTTCTTCTTCTTTGAATTCCCTAGACTTAGAGCAGTAATGGTCTGTCTTGTTTTGTGCAGGTCTCGTTGACTAGCTTCAGAAGCCTTCCACCTTTGTTCGAAGTTACTCCAAATTCTGTTCAAGAATTGACGATAGCGAGTAGGTTTTCTTTTGCCTTACCGCTTCTGTATGAATGAACGCGGTGGTTTGATTGTTAAATGCATGAACTGAGATCTATCTGAATTAGTTTGGACTGATAGTGTTGGCTAATGGGGAAGTACTTTAGTTATTAAATTCCCTATGAAGTTATGCTGCTGCTAAAGTTTAGTTCTTTTTTTTGTTGTTTCCATGGAAACTTTCAGGAGATATTTATGAGCATGCTGTACTTCTAAGTGTGAAGATGGGGGATCAGGATGCCTTTGAAAGGGACTTCTTTCAGCTGAAGCCCTATTATACAGACGCCCGGTAACTTCTCCATTCTTTCCCCTTTCATGTTCTTTGTCTACTTAGCACAATCCAGGTCAGGTTAATATAGAATGCAAAAAAGGTGTAGCTTCGTTTCTAGATGGAATGAGCAGCAGAAATCAATATTCCAAGGATTTGAAAATAAAATGTATGTACTGCATCTGGTTATGTTGACATGAGTTCTGATTCTAGTGTATGAAGTACAACCTTTTTCAACTGCCTGCTTCTTATGCTGTCTCGAATCTCAGTAGAAATCTTTCATCTTTTGCTTGCCGATGTGTGCTCTTCATGTTGTTGTAGCATATTAATTGTTTTAACATTACTGATGATTCTTTATTCACTCACATTTATTTGCTTAATGAGCAGTAAACGCCTACCACCATCTCCTCAAGAACACATGATATTGGGCCTCAACCTTTTGAGACTCCTTGTTCAGAATAGAATTGCTGAATTCCATACTGAACTAGAACTGCTGCCAGCCGAGTCTCTCGAGGATCCTTGCATCAAGCATGCCGTGGAGTTGGAGCAGTCATTCATGGAAGGGGCATACAACCGTGTGTTGACTGCAAAACAAACTGTTCCAAACCAGAGCTATGACTACTTCATGGATCTTTTGGCAAAGACTGTCAGGTAATTTACTATGTGCAGATTTGGCAGTTGATGAGGCAGCTGCAATTGTTACCATGGATGCATCTGCTAGGCGCATTAGATTTCCACGTTACTTGTTGTCGTTCGCTGTGTGCTTTAATGGTTCTTCTGAAATGTTTTGTCTTGGAGGTAGATGTCGCAATTGCTATCATCCGTCCATTCTGGAATTCATTGCTTTTGATGTCATATTTAATATTAGTTCTCGGCAAATTAACCTGTATTGAGAGTAGTTAGAGAAGTTTTCTGTGGGACACTGATGCATAATTGTTGCCCTTGCACTCATATAGTTAGTTGTTTTTATAAACTTAGGTTTCAGAAGATTTTATTTACTTGAGTTGCAATGATGTGTTGAGGTGCAAGGCTATGTTTAACCTTGAAGGCAGGACATTGTTTTCATTCAGCTGTTAGTTTATGAGTCCATATTTAGTTATTTGTTTCTCTGCTACTTCCAGGGATGAGATATCTGGGTGCAGCGAGAAGGCATATGACTACCTTTCAATAAACGATGCCCGCCAAATGTTGCTCTTCTCTTCCGATAATGAACTCTTGCAATACATTAATGAGGTAAACGAATATGCTCTGCTTATTTCATGTGTGCTAGTCATCGGTAGACTCCGTAGTTTTACTTAAATGTGTGTATTAGCTATTAGAGCATTCTCGTTCACCATGTGGACTCATGCAAGTTTTTCACTTTGTTCATGCAGGAGCATCCGGAGTGGGAAATAAAAGATGGGTCTGTCGTCTTCCAGAAAGCAAAGGAAACTGCACCTTGCAAGGAGATCCCGTCTCTACAACTTATCAACCAGACGCTCAGCTATGCCCGAGAGTTGGAGCGGATTGTTTAGCGAGACTGCTTGCTTTGGCAGCTGTTACACAAACCTCCGTCGCCTTAAAATTGTTGGTTCGTGGAGAAAACAGAGAGCATGTAGTTTTTTCTCATCTGTAGTACTTAAATGGCACCGATGTTTGTTGGGGCGCATTTCAAAATGCCAATTCGCTGAAAAGATGTGTTTGCAAGCATCATTGTGAAACCTGTATTTATCAGGGAGGCTTTCAGCTTGTTTTCTGGAACCCACTGTCTTTAAGCGTTAAAAACATCTTTCGCCCTTAACCCATTTCGGCTTAGAATTTCGGACATCGTCATGTTATTCTGGTACTACACACGCTGGTTGCTCTAATGGATTCAGGGCCTCGACTCGTTGGTGCTATGCGATGCTTTTGTGGTCCGATCTAATGACTCTTTTGCATGGCCATGCATAATACTTGATCATTTCTCTGGGGATCTCAAGGCGTATGGTTTATCTTTGATTGTTGCTGCTGTGAATCAAATCAAATTGAGAATCCCTTGACGTACGGCACTTTGAGTAGCAGAATATCTTGTGGAATTGTGGTTCACAAAAGAGAGGTAGGTGCCACCAAAACGTGATTACACATCAATAACTGGAACTGACTTTATTAGTGGTTGATACGGTTGAATTTCATGAATCCTTCTTCTCTTAGAATCAGAACTTTTCACCCCGATCAATATTGACAGCAAAAACTAATCTGTCTTTATCCTCAAGTAGCTATCCCTCATTCATTCCAGACTCTAGAACTCGAGACCTACTCCTCCACCAAATCTAACCGAATCCATTTGATGCCATAAAGTTCCTGGGCCTATGACAGAACTCTACACCATTCATCCCCAATAGTAGCAAACCCAACAAATGAAGGAGTGTTAATAGTCTAGTAACCTGTTAATCTAAGTAAATTTAGGGTGTACTATCTTAATTTCTTATTTCCTATGATCCTATCCCTCACTTGGTCACTCTAAATTCTAACTTCAGAAATGGGCAAGTAACTACCAATAAGATCCAGCTCCTGTACTTGACTCATTGGCAGGGCAAAGTAAAAACTTGAGGGAGGATTCAGTGTATACCAAGAGGGCAAGAGGCTGGTATCTGCCTGCATTATTGCTTCATGATTAAAAACCCAAAGCTTCCTTCGACAACGACCCTTATTATGAGTTCTCTCTTCCTCCTGTCACAGTTCATCTGACCCAACAGTCTGGTAATATCTAGATTTCAACACCTGCAGACAAAAAGCAGAATAGCATCAACACAGAGAGCAAACAAAACCTCGAGATTTCCCATCTCAACATCACCACGGGGGGGCTCTCTTTGTCTGGTTCCAATAATTTGATTCGAGTCAACACTGCCAATACCCCGACTCACGTGAACAACAGTACTCAGTTACCCATCTCCAGTACTTTTGCTTATTATAGCTCCCTCTCGCTCTCTGTCTAACCCAGCTTTGGCTTCTGTAGTTGACAACAAATCTTTCCATGGAGATCAAGAGCTCAACTCGCCCTCCAGTTTCCAACTCATATGGATCAGCTGCTGCGAGTTTTGAAGACCTCCTCATGCAGCAGAAACTACTCTTCTCTGCCAATCTCCAGGTAAGGGAATAAGAATCCCTCTGTTCCTTCATTCCTTGTGCTTGAGAAAGCTTCAATTATTCTGATTTGGTGGGTGGGTGAGTTTCCCAGGAGTTGAAGAGTCTAAGGAAACAGTTGTACACGGCAGCTGCACAGTTCGAACAGTCATACAGTAATGAAGTCCAGAAAGAGATGTGAGTCACGACCGAATTCCGTACCTGAAAACCATGTTGAATTTACCGGCTGTAAAAAAAGTTTCTTGTTACTTCAATCAATGCAGACTGACGGATACCTGCAAAGACTACACCATAAAAGCCCTGATCAATACGATCGACCACTTGGGTTCCGTGGCATACAAGGTGAACAGTTTCCTCGACCAGACAGCGAATGAAGTTGCTGCAGTGGAGCTCCGGTTCTATTCCCTGGAGCAGGTGATTGATTGGACGATGCTTTTAATGTGAAACACAACCAAGTCGTGAGTTTCATTCAATGCCCCCTCTTAGTTTCTGAAACCAACTTCCCATCTTTTCTTTCCCAGAGAGCAAAGACATGGCAACATTACATAAACCGAGGCGGGATATATCAGCATTCTCTGGCTTTCAAAGCTCCCAAGCACCACAAACAGTACATAATTCCAGGCAGAAATCTTCAGACCTTCGCTTTTAAAATCATCTCCATAACAATGCTGGTTTTCTGCGAGGTGCATAAGAAGTTTTTCTGTTCAGCAGAGGACGCGAAGGAGGCTGCAGAATGGGAAGGAGAGAGCGTGACCACGGAGGAAAATGAAGCTCATTGTAGTAGAAGTAGCTCCAGTCTTGAATTGAACTTCCATCGTCTCACCAATGGTAATTTTGCTTCTCCTCCATCCTTTTTTTTAACAGTTATCTAGTAAACTCACTATTTGTTGGATGGCCGTTGTTCTTCTCCGACAAAGCTGTTCGAAAGAAAATCAATGGCAACAGCCCTTCCACCTTTCTGAGGTAATTGATCTCAGTATATGTTCACCTTCTTCTGTTGTGGTGCCATTTGAATCATGGGTTGACACGTGGACAATGCTTGCTTCCTGTCTGTGTAGAGAAGGGAATTCTCAGTTCAAGTACTCAGAGGGATCTGCACGACAACCAAAGTTAGCATTTTTGTGGAGTTCGACTAGTACCATTGATAGTAGTAAGTAGAAATACAAGAGTGAGTTTTCGGTAGTTGCCTGAACTTGTTGAGACGTTACTTACTGAGCTGACAGCTAATTTTTTTGGCAATGAACAGATAAAAAGAGAGCAGACTCTCCACAGCAGCACCCGCTTCTCCGATCTAGATCTCTATATCTCAAGAGATCAATTTCTCCGAACTATGCCAATGGGAAGCAAAGGGTATAGGCACATCAACAACAGAAATGCAGCATTAAGCTTAAGCAGTAAAAGAAAGAGTTCATGCAGTTTACATTTGTCTTGTTTTCTTTTTCCAGAATCCATCAGCTCCTCGGAGATTGGTTTCATGGCCAGAACAAAGAGGAATAGATGGCGGGAAGAATGAGAATGAGCAGCAGTCCAGCAAAAGCAAACGCCTGTTCAGGGCCATGGTGAGCTTGCGGGGAACCAGGAAAGATAATGATTCCATCCACAAGCAATTGGACGAGATCTGAAAACAACAAGTTCGAAGGAAGACTTTGGAAATTGGAAGACACAATTAATATGGTTTTATCTATCTTTTCTAATGCTTCAGCTTCTAGTCTCAATTTTAGCCATTATGGGTGTGGCCGTGCCTTCAAATTTCTGCCACAAGTATGTAAATGGACTTTACAACTTAAATTTTAAGAAGAAAGAGACCCAAAGTTTAATTCTCAAAACCCAAGATCAAAACTAGGCAACTCCTCAATGCTTCTCTTACGCTGCACAGAACTACTGTTCCGCCATCACTCCTTGGGCCATTGCTGGTAAAGGCTGTTGCAGAACTTGTAGTGTATGAACCCAAACCTGCACCCCTAAATTTGGTGCTTGTTTCGAGATTGTCTAGACTATGCTGTTAACATCAGTTGGGGATAAAAATTTCTATTTCAATCTAAGCTGAAGAGACAGCAACTAAAAACCGTTCAGGCGCTAAGTTCCAAACCTCAGCTTCAGTGCCAACAGGGATCCAACTAAATCTACTGGTATTTTCTGCAACCCGAAGCATGAAGCTTTAGATATCATCTCAAACTAAGGCATCTTTTAAGGCAAGTGAATGTACTAAAGGTACAAGGACTGTGAAATGACCACTTACCTCCTCTGCCATCAAAATCATTAGTTATCTTGTTTATTTCCTTGTTTGTCAGATTTTCACTTGTTCCAAGAGCTGGGAATAAGGAGTCTCCAGAAGTGGAAGCTTGGAGCACCTCAATGTAGGAACGATGAGCATGTTGGCAGTAGTTGATGCATTCTGCAGCAGCACTCTTCTGAGGTGGTTTCTTAAGAACAGACAATATCTCCCAAGCTGCAAGGCTAAAACCCACCATCAGTATGGTGCTAAAAAAAATCCAACCATTATATCATTGCCGAAGTTATCAATATCAAATCGTTCTTTTACATTTACATCTCACCCTTCTTTTCGGACAGTGTTACTTTTTGCAGCAGTAATGAATGCTAAATGGCATGACAAAATATTTGGAAAGCAAAGGAAAAATGACTTTGCAATAAAAACTATATCCATCATTAGCATGACTATAGAAAATATGTAGGAATCTGAACCAGAATAAATTGTCTAAACCAGCCCACAACCATTTCTTACTTTCAACTGGGTTGGGAATAGAGGCGCATACAAATTATTGCTCCACATGAAACAGATCCATGGGTGGGAAGATCATGTTTCTTGCTGAGTTATAGCATAGAAAATACAAGAAAACAAGTAAAAGTGTGGAACAAACCATAACGTAGAGGTTTGTTGCAGAAACAGTCTCAGCAACCTTGGTCCTCTCTAAGTTAGAAGGGCTGCTGCAACTTAAATCTTGTCTTGGCAGATCATTACCATGTGATTCCCCTGTTAAAAGAACTAGAACAAGTTTAATTAGCATTCAGCCAATGGCTCTTTACAAGGAGAAGCCAGGCTTCATTGAGACAGACACATCAACCAACCTTTGAGTGTCGATTTGCTGGATTTAAATGAAGTATGAATTACACTATCGGGCTTGCGAATTTCTCTGGGAGAATTTTCATCATTTAGGCCCGGTAGAACTTGTTTGTCTCCTTCAAGTTTTCCAACATCAACCAAATAGCCACCAAATGCTATTGATTCTCTAGAGCATATTCTTTCATCTTTCTTGAGGTGCCTACTACTGAGAATGTTCCGGCTTGCATCATATAGCTTGATCTGAATCTGGTAATTGAAAGGGTAGGCATCAATATGTGGAAGCCAAACTAAAAAGGGTAAATTCACAAAAGGTCCTATTACTCAAGGGTGTTAATTGGGTATAACCTAAATAGACCTACCTCCCAAGGCTTCCACGATTTTCAAGTTTCATATAACCATCATGGTACTTTTTGGCCTTCTGAGTCATTTGTGAAGTGTACATGACCTGCCATTCTGCATGATAGAGGCATATGCGGAACTGTATAAACTGACAATAGCAAGACGACCTAGTTGAATGAACTAAAAATCAAGATATGGACATTGACACCATAGAGGTGTCATGGTATGTCTTGGCCTTTTTAGTCACTTGAGTAGTATACAAGATCTGCCGCTCTATTTTAGAAAGAGAAACGAGTCTTCCATGAGGGAGCCAGAATAATCTATTGTACATAATGCTGTATAGCATCCAAACAGATTCTATGACAAACCTGCAGCGCCAAGGGTAACCGTATCTTTACCATTATCTGGTGCCTCATACTTCTGCAGCTCACTCTTCCTGAAATCTGAACTGCAAACAACTTTCACATTAATTCTCATTAAAAAAAAAAACTAACATCAATTCACTGCACAAATGACTGATTCTGAACACACCTCAAATAATCTTCTGAGACGGGCTTAAGTCATTCCTAAAAAATTTGTTCTTCTCAGCAATATTCTCTTTACCTTCAGAAAGAAAAGAGGCATGGCGTAGCTAAAGGGTTACCAAGAACAGCAATAGGAATCTGATCAGTTTGCGAAGAAAGTAAGTGGAGATTCGCAGTCACCAGAATCAAAAGAGGAACATCTGAACTTCTGCCTAGTCGCGAAACTAGGTCCACGCTGCGGCATCTTCTTATCTCTCGCCGGAAGCCCGGAACCGTTACATGATGACCCTCCGGATCAGCAACATCGACGAGATATGAATTGAAAGTCAGCGACTCGCAGGAGCTAACGATTTCTTCGTCCTTCAGCACCCTGCATTCCAGTAGCTTCTCGAATTCATCCAACAGCATGATCTGCAACGACAACGGAGGAGGAAATCGGTTCCGGTATGACTGAAGAACCTAATCTGCAGAGAGAGAAACCTAAAATCTCAAACCGAGCGAAAATTGCAATGAGGGGCTAGGGTTACGGGAGCTGCGAAATGCGAGTGAGTGAGAGTGGAGTGGTGGATGGTAACCTTGTCGCTGATGATGAAGTGACCTAAGAAACCGTCCTGATAAACTTTCCTCTTCTGTTTAATGTACTTCGTGGCTCCATCGATTCTTCTTCGTCTCGTTCGCCTCCATTGATAATGCTTACAGGCAAAATGCTTTATCAGGTCTGCGGAAATCGAACTTTGAAAGTGGCGGGAATAAATTGATTCCAGCTACCACTTTTCTTTACCCACTTTTCTCCTCCTAATTTATAAAGAGAGTTCTAATTTGGGTTGGTTTGGATAGATCGAGTAAATGTACTCCAATTGACTCGAAATGAGATAATTGGGCTAAATTATCTCATTTGACTGCAAAAAGTAGCAATGAGGCAATTGGACATGAGATAATTGAAATTGCTTCGTTATGGGTCAATCACAATTACTTGGGTGGGAGAGAGGTAATCTACATTACTTCATTTTGTGGGTCACTTTTCTCAATCTAACCCCTTTATTTACTTTTTTTTTCTTTCTTCCTTTTCTCAAGATGGAGAAGGGCAAAAGTATGAGGGCAAATATGTATTTTCATAAAATGCATCATCACAATTGTCTCATGCCAAATCACAAGCCAAAACAAGACAATTATGTAAACATTTCCTCATACAATTAGCATCCCAGATCTCCTGATTTTCCCAGTTAAAAAAAATATGGGCAATATTTTGCCATAAGTTCCAGCCAACGTTTATGCATAAATTATTGGATAACACCTTCATTAATAATTCATTCAATGACAATGAATTAATTATATCAATGTTGGTTTGATAATTGATTGAGTTGTTGTGAATAGGACTGAAAGATAATCCATCTTGAATATCTTGAATTTGAATCGATTTGGTTGGAAAGATCCAACCGATGTTGTTTTTTAGTGAAATTTATCTATATGTTAAAACTATGGTTTAAAGTTGGCAAAATACAGTTCCATAGCCAAAACTTTCACGTTTGTGCCAATAATAGCCACATTTGGCGAAATACCACTTATAACCACCTTTTGAAAATGTTGTTGGACAAATATAGCCTTTTCCGTTAGAAACATTGACGGCGTTACTAACACCGTCAAATAAGTAGACGGTTTGCTGATTAGGCGAGAAGAAATCGAACACGTCAGCGCCAACTAAGCAATTCTTGACACGTCATATATTACATTATTAAAAAAAAATCTTACCATATATTCCCATTTCCATCGAAGCGAGTCCTTCAGCCCCAATTAAAAAAAACCCTAACACTGTTTCAAAAAAAAAAAAAAAAAAACCCTAACACCAAGTATGGTGTTCTATCTCTTACAATTGTCGCCGTCTCTCTCCATACTTGACCCAATCTATTCCGTCTTCTTCCTCTTCAAATCCCACAAAAATCTTCCCCAAAAGTCATCCAAATCCTCACTTCCCCTGTACCTCCACTCGTCCCCAACAATCCAATCCCACGTTTCCCTTGTGGCTCCTCCTCACCCCGCACAGTCATCCCTCCTCCTCCACGACAAGCTCAACCACATGTCTGGCAAAGATACGGATCTGGAACTGGGAACCAGAAATTCGCTTCCCCTTTCTCCTCCGTCCTGTTCAATCTTCCTTCTGGCGATGACGGCGACGTCGAGGACAACCTTCGTCCGTCATCCGTGGACGGAGAGAAGCAAATCGCTCGATCGTTGTTGCCTTTCCCCACCGCCGCTGCCGCTCCCGTCCTCCTTCTCTCTCTCTGTTTGCTGTCTCGATCGAGAGAGATAGACAAAACTATGGCGGACCGCTTACTGGAGATCCGACTGATTATTGCAGTCGATGGTGATATGAGGAGGGCAAATAGATAGAAAAGATTACAAAGAGGGAGGTGGGTTGCTTTGGGAGAAGAAGAGGCATGGAAGCAAATGGTTTTTTTTGTTTTTGTTTATTGGTGTTTATTTCAGAGAAAGAAGATAAGGAAAGAGGAAGAGTCGACAAAATGGTTGGTGGGTAGGCTGCTTCGTGTTTTGTTTGTTTTTTTTTTTTTAATTATTGTCCACGTGGAAATCACTGGCGGTCCACGTAAGCTGCTCCGCTTGTCTAGTTACACTTAACGTTAACAGCGTTAAAGAATTGGACGGAGGTGGCTATAAGTGGTATTTCGCCAAATGTGGCTATTATTGGCACAAACGTGAAAGTTTTGGCTATGGAACTGTATTTTGCCTTTAAAGTTTAAACTCACTAACTTCAATACTTTACTCATCTATATCAATCACTATAACTTATTATTATTATTATTATTATTATTATTTAAACAAAAATCTTGCTCATTTTCTTACTTTTATAAACAATATCTTAATAGAACTTAAAAGTATAATTGACATTTTGAAAAAAAAAATTCAATTTATGTGAAGAACATTATATATGATTATTCGAGGGAGATACATATATTAATTTTTTTCAGATCGGAGATGAGTAAATTTTGATATGGCATTTGCTTCAACCTTCTTTTCCTTATATGCTACGTAGAAGTAACTTCAGTTAAAACCTAATGACATTACTGAGTGTTCAAATGGTTATCATGGTTATAACCAAATCAAATAAGGCTAAATTCCATTAACCATGGAATACAATATCATAACCAAACCGTCCAAACTAATACAGCAACCAAATTAACCAAACTAAAGTTTAATCGGTTTGGTTAATTGGTTAACCAGATTAACCAATATAAAATCGCATTATCATTGATGATGAAAATTTTCCGGTTAATACAACAATTCACAATTTATATAATGAATAAAACATAACAATCAACACATAGTTATAGTTGACCCTTAACAAAAATACATGCAACTAAGACAATTATCTACGATTAGTATAGAAGTATTCACCTAACAAAAATTTATGACAATGGTATGGGTTAATGAATTGTTGTGTTTGTGTAAATTGACTTAGTCTCTTATCAATTATCATAGGCTGGAAATGACCTTCCTTTCAAGTTTTCACCCATTATAATGTATGAAATTTATCTAAATTAGGCATCCATATGTTGTGGTCTACACTTTATATATACAAATATACACTATATGAGATATATTGAGCTTTATATTTCATATGAGTCTAAAAGGGATGAACGTTAACTCTTGAGTTGTTATACAAGTATTAAGTATGTGTATATAATATATGTTAGATATATGACTAATTAATTAACTGATTAATTTGGTTTAACTGGTTAGGAGTGTCTGAAACCAAACCAAACCACCTAAACCAAACAAGCTAAAAACTTTAACCAAACCAAACCAATTATCCAAATTAACCAAATCAAATTATCCAAATAGTACCGATTAAAATGGTTACCACGGTAACCAAACCGTTTAAACACCCCTATTACTTAGTGAAAATTTTGTTCGGCAAATGTCAACTTCGCAAACTTCAGATCTTGAGTGATAGTACCCTATTTTATTTTTGTGGAAGGAAAATCCCGAGTTCCGAAGGAAAGAGACCCAGCTAGCTTGTTCTCCAGCAAAAGTTGCTTCTGATTGCAGTCAAAACTCACACTATGTTTGGCAACAAGGGGTGCAAGTTCGAGGGGTACAAGTTGAGGGGTAAATTGTTGGGGGGTGCAACTTGGTGGAGGGTGTAAGTGGAAGGGTAAATTGTTGTTTGGATGAAAAAGTAGGGTGTGCAAATAGAGTAAAAAGTAAGTAATTATATTATTATAAAATAGATTTATCAATTTATAAAAATATTATCACAAAATAATAACATGAAAATTCAATATATAATAATAAAATAATAAATAAAAATAATTATTATATAATAATGCTCAAATATAATTATTTATAACAACAATAATAATCATTGGTCGAGCAACCTCGAAACTCGAAATCCAACTCGTAACTGGTCATCCTAATGGGGTTCTCGTGCCTAACTTTAAATTGAATATGGTCAAACTTAGTCAAACACGTTCGAATCTGTAAGTTTTAACTACTTATTAAAGTAAATCGAGTTAACTAAACTGTTCCTCTCTATCTTTTCAACAAATGCTTCTTATCTCTAATTTTCAATGCAAATTCGGGTCAACTAAGAGATATCGATTTGACGAGGCGAACATTGACAACTTGCTCTCTGAGTCAAACGGTCAACCCCAAACAACTTCTACACTAATATAGATATAAGAAAAAATTAATAATATTAATTATAATCTAATTAAAAATTCATAATTCCCCTCCTCCCCCTTCCCCCTTCCTTCCTTCCCTTGCACCTCAATTTGGGGGTAAGCCGAAACAGTGAATTTACGCTCACGTTTTGCACCCTCCTACTGTTACAAAATAACCAAACGGGAGTAAACACCTTGGAACTTGTGTTTAACCCTCCAAACTTGCACCTCTTCCATTTACACCCCTTCCCAAACATAGCGTCAAAGTTGTCTCCAAAAACTCAAAAGCCGCCGGAAGCCAAATCCATAAACCCCCGGAAACGCCAACGGTAAAAGAAATCCGAATTGGAATTTTCATTGGTTAATTTGTTTCTCCAGTTTCTCTCTCATTCCTTCAACGCCGGATTCGGACCTGAACCTCACTCTGTCCACCAGGCTCCTCGTCGTCACCATTCCCTCCAACCGCCCGCGTGCTCCGTCTCCGGCGTTCCTCTCCTCGTTCTTTTTCTGTCATCTCCCGATCCTAAGTTATTCTGGCTCTTCGGATCCGAAGCTCTTGTTACTCAGTCACTGTAAGCCAAGCAATTTCCTCTTTCTTGGTTGTTTCCCATAATTTTGCGGTTTCCCCGAGTGTTTCTTGGTTCTTCTAGCCGTGGGTCCTTTCTGGGCAATTTCGTATTTCAATCAATCGATGCAAACTGTTTTCCTGTTGGGTAAGATATGATGTGGGTGGGGAAAAGTATGTACTTTTTCAGATTTTGGGTTTGGAAGAACTCTTTTTGTTTGCTCTAAAGCTTCTACCTTTGGTTACTCCACGAACCACCCAAAGAACCCTAAGTTCGTCTTCCAAAACTGGACTAAGCTTCGAAAGTTTTTCCGCTAATTATTGTGAATGCTGGCTCATAGTTCTCACTATTCTTTTCTCATTCTGAGTTCCTTACCTTATTATTGCCTCGTGACCAGTTAACAAAAAATCTTTCAAGGAAAGCGACTTTCTGTATCTGGTTTCACGTTGCAAAATGCAGTCTGTGGGATTCAGCAGTGCTTGAAACTACTTTGCTTGAAGATTATCATCATTGGTGAGGAATCTGTTTTCATTTGCAGCGAATTTTAATGATTTTCTTTCATCTTATCAATTTTTGTAGTTAAAAACTGCAAGAAGCTATTGAGTGGTGGCATTTCCATGTCTTAAGCAACAACCCAAGTTCTGATGTGAGAGGTAAGCTCAGTGGGGGCCTTCCTGTTCGGCTTAGAAGACAATGGGAGATGGCAGCAACAACAGAGGCAGTGGTGGTGGTGGCAACAGTGCGAAGCCAGAATGGCTGCAGCAGTACAATCTCATTGGCAAGATCGGCGAAGGCACTTACGGTCTTGTATTCTTGGCCAAAACCAAGCCACCTTCTTCAAACCGTGGCAAATCGATCGCCATCAAGAAATTTAAGCAGTCCAAAGATGGTGATGGTGTCTCCCCCACCGCCATCCGTGAGATCATGTTGCTACGAGAGATAACACACGAGAATGTGGTGAAGCTCGTCAACGTCCACATCAACCACAACGACATGTCGCTCTACCTGGCATTTGACTACGCTGAGCACGACCTCTACGAGATCATCAGGCACCACAGAGAGAAGCTCAACCATCCAATCAACCAATACACGGTCAAATCACTGCTCTGGCAGCTGCTCAATGGCCTGAACTATCTCCACAGCAACTGGATTGTGCATCGAGACCTCAAGCCATCCAACATCCTAGTGATGGGAGATGGCGAAGAGCATGGGGCCATCAAGATTGCTGATTTTGGACTCGCAAGGATTTATCAAGCTCCATTGAAGCCACTGGCCGATAATGGTGTCGTGGTAACAATTTGGTATCGTGCACCCGAGTTACTCCTTGGGGCGAAGCATTACACCAGCGCTGTTGATATGTGGGCTGTGGGATGCATTTTTGCTGAGCTCTTGACTTTGAAGCCGCTCTTTCAAGGTGCAGAGGCCAAATCGACGCCAAACCCTTTCCAGCTCGATCAGCTCGACAAGATTTTCAAGGTATTAGGCCATCCCACGCAAGAGCGGTGGCCAATGCTTGTGAATCTACCCCATTGGCAATCTGATCTTCAGCACATCCAAGGTCACAAGTACGAGACCAATGTACTACACAGTGTAGTGCATCTCTCTCCCAAAAGTGCTCCATTTGATCTGCTTTCTAAGATGCTTGAATATGATCCTAGAAAGCGGATAACAGCTGCACAGGCACTTGATCATGAGTACTTCCGGATGGAACCTTTGCCAGGAAGAAATGCTCTTGTGCCGGTTCAGCCAGGGGAGAAAGTGATCAATTATCCTACTCGTCCTGTTGACACGAATACTGATTTTGAAGGAACGACTAACCTTCAGCCTCCACAGCAGATGGTGTCAGGAAATGCAATGGTGGCAGGTGCTCATGGAATGGGAGCCCGAGGTGGTCCTCGACCTATGCACATGGGGATGCAGAGAATGCAACCTCAGGGTATGGCAGCTTATAATCTTCAGGCTCAGGCTGGAATGGGAGGGATGAATCCAGGAGGAATGCCGATGGGTCGAGGTGTCGCCCATCAGCAACCTCACCTGAGAAGGAAAGATCCGCCCATGGGGGCTGGATACCCTCCACAACAGAAATCAAGACGCTAATAAGACGAGCTCCAACTCTCAGAGAGATTTTACTTCTGCTGGTCCAGGCATAATTGTTCTATCCTGGATCACTCTGAACTGTCTGCCACTCGCTGCTTGTATGCACAGTTTCTCCGCTTAAAAATCGACGAGCAGAAATTTTCACATCAAACTGGCTATCTAACAAAGAGCCCCTGGTATATGTACTATGTATGAATTTTGTCTTGCTGTGATCGTTTTATTTATGCTCCACGGAGTCGCAGTTCTTCCCAATTTTAAGGGATTTGTATGAAGCAGCTGTAACACAATTATGTACTGCAGTTCACTTAAGCAGATGAGTTCAACAAATGTGTATTCTGGTTTCGGCTTAGAAGTTAGAATAACATGTGGGGCTGTGCATTGGGTGGATCAGGCGGATTTCCGCTTCAAATTAGCCCACCTGATCAATCACTCGCCCATAACAATCACAAATTATTTACAGGTGCCTTGAATCTTGATGACTCTGATGTCAACCCACGGTTCAATCACTCGCTCGCCCAACATGTGAAGTAAGTACCTTACTCCAATATTACATCTCAAAGCCACAAAAGTAGAAATAGAAGGCCCCTAATTATCAGGACATGTCTTAACGTGACAAGTTAGAAAGACGACATATTTTGGTTGTTTAATTTCCGAGGGCCGAGGGGTGCTGGCACAAAAAGTTTCGGTTTCATCGCGTTGACAGGCAGAGTCCTATTGGCGAACTGCTTTCGGCTAAAACTTCAGACAGGAAAGGAAACAATCGGCGATCAAAAGGGGAAGAAGCGGAAGCCGGAGAAGTGAACATGGTACGCGAAAAGTTCAAAGCTTTTGCATTCTTTTACACTAGAACGGTGATCGGGATATTCAGATTGAATCTGAGAAGGGTTCTCTTTTTTGGATCATTGAATTCTGCAGTCGGCGCTTTTCAATTTTCATTCGTTTCTGACGGTGGTGCTGTTGGTGATCTGCACTTGCACTTTCTTGAAGATGCAGTTCCCCACCATTCTCGAACAGAAAACCGGGTGGGTTATTACTGCTACTGGCTAACCCTCTTGCATCCTCTTTATTTCTCTCTGCTCTTCAGTATTCGTGTCTCTCTTGGCCTCTGAGATGGGTTCTGAGTTGTTGTTCGTTACAGATTCCGTGGATTCTTTTGGAAAGCAGCCAGAATAGGTACACATCTGTAACCCTTGTTTCTCAACTGTTCATTACAAAGTTATCAAGACCCCCCCAGAACAGATTCTTAGTTGTAGTAGCATTGTTGTAATTGTTCTGATACTCAATTGCACGATGGGCTCTTTCATGGCTAGAACTAGAACTAAACTCATTGAACAAAATCCTGCTGCAAACCATATATTCATTACCCTGTACTATTACGTTTTCGCACGGATTGTGCTGAGTTCTTCCTGGTGTCGCTGATCTTTGTGCCGCATGGGGGAACACAGGTGAACGGTTAAGCCCCTGGGTAGCTGCAGGGTGCCTGACGATGGGCGTCTCGATCATATTCTTCTGACAACAGCTTCTTTCTGCCATTCAACTCAACAACCATGTCTCCATATCCAGCAGCTGTTTGCAAAATGCCAAGTTCTGCGTATGCCATATCTTGATATTATAACAAGGTAATCGATCCATTTGTAACTTAGCAGTACTAAGCAGTGTGAGTTGTTTTTGCTTCTCTGACAGTGTCTGAAAGGCAATCTGAGGGGCACTTTTCTGTGTTAAATTATTTGCTTTCCTGTTGCAATTGGAGATTCAACTTGCAGAAAATCGCCAACTTGGCTTTGACCCTCCAAAGGTACCGGAGGAAAACATTTAATCCCCTTGTAATCATTCATATTCTCCCAAAATTTTCATACCATATGCGATTGCAAATTAATTATGCAGGTGTCTCCGTATTTGCTTTGACTTTTTGGCATGGTTTGGTTGCTGGTTGTTGTTGATGTACCAATATTATTTTAAGTCAGCACTAATTGTAGGCTGTAGCATCATTACCTTTGCTAATAATAATACTATTATATTATGATCATGAATTCACGATTAAGATAAAGGGTGGTGGCGGTTGACCTGACCCCTCCACCCCCCTATAGAATTGGAATTGGGATTTCACATCAGCAGCTAGCAGATTGCAGCAATGGCCAGCAATGTTTGCTTCACAATTGTTCTCAGTTTGTGGGATCTTGGTGGTGCAAAACCGTGTCAACAGCCACCAAACAAAACCCAGCCACAGAATGGAATTCCTTTGTATTATAACAAACAGCAAATGGACATGTGCAATTGGAGAGTATGAGCAGCACTGTTGATTCGAGTATAGATCAAAGTTGGAACTCGAAGAACAGTCGACCAATATATCTTACTTGTTAGCATGAACACTCTGCTCTAGAAATGTTGATTCGAGTATAGATCAAAGTTGGAACTCGAAGAACAGTCGACCAATATATCTTACTTGTTAGCATGAACACTCTGCTCTAGAAATGATAGCTACTGCTTATTGGACACTATTATCCTAATCGTCAAGTTGCTGTACTTTTTCGTTCAGAACATTCTGTGCTGGTATCTTATGCCGTACTGAGTTCAGTATGACATGCACTTTAAGAATAAACAAAGATAGTGTGACAGGAAGAAGATGGGAGAATTCAACCCAAATCATCTGGAGATCTGCCCTTTTAACGCAACTGCTTGGCCGCGGCGGTATGGGTAAACAGAGAGAGCATTTGATGAATTTTCACGCAGTTTTGGCCGCTACTAAAGGGACAAGCGGAAGAGGGGAAAAAGATCGAAAAGAACAGATGCGGCAACTTGGGGCCTGGGCTGGCTGTGGCCAGTGGGCACAACACAACAAGTGGGGGCTAGTGGTTTCAGGTCACTTTCGTTTCGTAGTAGCCCACACAAACAATTGGTTGCCTTCCAATGCACTCAGAAGTTGAGTGTCTAGACTCAAAACGATATTTTAAAATTTTAACCTCAAGTTCAATTAGTATCGATAGGAGTCAAGATCCAAAACATGTAAAAAAGCTTACAAGACGAAGCTAAAGAATAAGTCAAAGTCGAGAGACAAATTTTAGAAGTGGACATCATCATAGGAGTTAGGGGGACAAAAACTATCAAGCCAGACACATTCTGATGAAAAGTAATATAACCAGTGATAGAAGGCGTCGGGTGTCATACCGTAAACTGAAGTTTTGTCCTCTAAGATCATCAAGCCATATACAATGACTACTACTTCTCTATGCTCACTTTCTCTCTTTAAGTCTCCGTATGCTTCTTTCTTTTTCCCTTCTCTCATATCCATATTGATATGGGGACATGTGAACCGTTTTGCGATAAAAAGATGTCCGACCTTTCAAATATCTTGGATTCAGTTGACCTTACATCAGAAAAGCACAACTAAGTATAATTCAAATATGATGTTCAAAATGCTCTTGTAAAGAACGTACTTACAGAGTTGGGAGTTGTTGAATTAAGCGTTAAATGTCTTGTAATCATTGAATGAATGTGATAACATTTTATTTACAAAGTTACCAACGCAATAAAAGTTAACGAAAATATTGTAATTTATTTCTAATTAAATATGAAATTTTCTGTTTCTGTCTGTACTTATTGTTGTGCCTTTTTGCTAATTGGGTATGAAGGAGACCTCCATATTGTGATTACTGTGGTAAGTATGTCCTAAATCCTAATCTGATTTCCACTCTTTTCCTGTCGCTTTTAGGACCGCTTTTCACCTTTGACAACAACATTATTGGATGGGCCAGGGCCAGCCCAATTTCCCTATTTATAATTAAGCTTTAACATCATGGCCATCCACCATTGCAAAGACAAGACAAAACTCAAATTGAAACCATCTCATTCACCCACCACCAGATGTATTACGTAGTGTTATTATATCGATAATTATAAATCTAACAGCACTTAATTAGCCAAAACATAATTAGAGTGGTTGGATGGCTGATTGTCCTGTACTAATATGGATTAGAGCAAAGTCTAGTGACATGATTAAGGCTTCTGTGGCCTTTAAATAAACAAAAACCAAAAAAGGAAAAACAGAGTTGATTGGATGGACGAAAATGGGAGGGTATTTTAGCGAGTCAACTTTCGAGGTTACGTGGAAGCATTTATAAATCTATTATTATTTTTCGTTCTAAATTTGGAGTAATTGTTAGATTCGACATCGTTCTTTGCTGAAAAAATGGAATCCCCTATAGAAAAAATCATGCGGTGTACAATTGACCAAAGTACCAAAACACATGTAGTAGTGTCTAACTACATCTAAAACCACAAGTATGTTGAGCGAAGTCCAATAACCAATGATGCGGAAAAAGAATGTATTAACAACTCAATCTATCTTCCGAATGAGGAGCACCACACTGGCAACTGACGTGAAAACAATAAGGCAACTATGATGAGAAGCATTTCGATATTCGACCAAATCAGAAACCATCAAATACCAACGTGAAATATGTCATAAACTGCATAAGACAATCTAACCACGACATAACCAAATTGCCAGTTCAGTGAAAGCCTCCAAGAAGATTGATTAGGAGCTCAAATGGAATGATAATCGCTTTCAAACAAAGTTGAATCCAAGGGAAGATCACATTCTCATATATATACTCTTTGAAACACGAGACCATTGAATGTACGCTCGAAATTTTAAGACCAATGCAAAGCTCCTAAACTATCCTTATATTTCTTAATCCATTGATATTGTCAGTAATTAGTGCAATAAAATAAATCAATTTCTTAACAAATAATTTAACTCAAACGAGGCCGATTCAACCAAATAAATTCTATACCTTTCTCGGCCCTTTGGCTAAGATCAAACAAACCAATCTCTAACAAATTTGTTGAAATATTTGGATACTTGTGAAATTGTTAAATGTTGGCTCTATGTTTACGATATTCCCGCTAAAAATGGTTCAGAAATTAATGCGATGCCGAAACTCGGGAATTGGGATTGATAGTACAGCGTAGTACTCTCCTCCATTGATGATTCTTTCAAGATAAAAATAAGACTCCCAATCTCCCATAGGAACCAACGTCACTGTTTATATACTTTGTTTTGTTTAATCGACCACCCCACCTCTCTGCAACTAATACCAATTACAAAATTCGGATTCGACATCTCACAATGGAATCACACGCTGCAAAAAATTTCCCCACCTTTCACTCTCTTCCTATCTCTCCAGCCTTATATTCATCGCCCAACTCCATCCATATCCAGATTTCCTTCCTCTTTCTCTCCCCCTGGTCCTGCCAAAACAGAAGAACCCAGAAAACGGAGGGACGCAAGTACACAACAAGAAACCCAGCCGCCAGCTTCACCTGAAAGATTAGATAGAAATGGCTGAGCCGGAGGAAGCTGCTGAGAAGTCAAAGGCTCAAAACCCACACTACCAGAGTCAGGGTCAACCCATCCACCACCACCAACAACAACAACAATATCACAGTGTTTTCGTTACTTCTTCTCCGGCTATGTTGGGGAGAGACAGGGGAGAGTCTCTCATGGAGGTCGACCTCGATCTCGACAATTCATGGCCTTTGGATCAGATCTCTTATGCTTCCAGCCATCCCATGTCTCCCCTTTTCCTCTCTTCCTCTGACCCCAACCCTTGTTCCCCTCTTTGGGCCTTCCCTGACGCCGACGACGACAAGCTTCCTCCCGCCGCCGCCCCCCGCGATTACCCAATTTTCGTCACATGTTAGTAGCCTAAACTTGCCTTTTCTGGGTTCTTCTTCCTTTGCTCTTCTCTTGTATAATTCCTTTCTGGGTCTTAGGCAAATTGTTCACTAATTTTGACTTTAGGAATATATTTTTGGGGTTAATTGATGAAAGCTTAGCTGATTTGTTAATGGGACTTCGTTTTCTTATCCACAAATGACAACTTTATTGCAGGCAATATAAGCTCAGCTACTGAAACGAACAGAGAAAGTGATGAAGGAAAGAAGATTCCTCCTTCTCCGCGGTGGGGATCGATGCCAATCGAAAGCCCAGATGGCCACTGCCTAATAAAAGAGCGGATGACTCGAGCTTTGAGATATTTGAAAGAATCAACCGAGCAACATATCCTAGCTCAAGTTTGGGCGCCTGTGAAAAACCAAGGTCGATTTGTTCTGACAACTTCAGAGCAACCATTCGTTCTGGATCCTCACTGCAACGGGCTTAATCAGTACAGGATGGTCTCTCTTCTCTACACTTTCTCTGTGGATGGCGAAACTGATGGAGAGTTGGGTCTCCCTGGCCGTGTTTTCCAGCAAAAGTTGCCTGAATGGACTCCAAATGTTCAGTATTACTCTAGGAAAGAGTATTCTAGGCTTGGTCATGCCTTGCACTATAACGTTCAAGGAACTTTGGCTTTGCCTGTCTTTGAAACTTCTGGCAAGTCATGTGTTGGTGTGGTTGAACTTGTGATGACTTCGCAGAAGATTAATTATGGCCCTGAAGTTGATAAAGTCTGCAAGGCGCTTGAGGTTAGTCTTCTGTTTTTATATCTCCTTTTTAGTTTGTTGTAAGGTTTGATTCTCATTACTCATCAGGGTTCCTTAGTCACATAAGTTCAGTTGTTCTGCAGGCAGTTGATCTTAAGAGTTCACAAATAATGGACCATCCAAGCCCACAGGTAATATAGCTGCAACTTCAAGGCTAGATGTTCTTTGTCTGTCAAATATGATGCCATTTCTGGATGTGTTTGGTTAGCTATATATGTAAATGAATATTACTGCCTTGCATGCCATTATATAAGGTGTAATTGCAAACCTGGTGTTTACTTACATTGCATTTGTACATGAAATTGTGACTGAAAATGAAAGATGATATGTTAAAGCCACCTTTCTACAATGCATTTCAAATACTTCATACTATCACGTATTGGAGATCACATTACTATATGAATTTGTTTGAGACTACTGTTAGTGTTGTGGTATATGATCCACGATTGAACCTCTCCCAACAACTCGAGTTATTGGGATCAACTGGTTCTTGACATGGTATCAGAGCCTTATGTGACCAAGAGGTCTTGTGTTCGATTCCCGGTGACCCCCATTTGTTAAGCACATGGTATTCTTGTCTTCATACCTGTGCAAACTTCAAGCCCTTGTGAGTGGCTTTCGTTTGAGGGGGCGTGTTAGTGTTGTGGTATATGATCCACGATTGAACCTCTCCCAACAACTCGAGTTATTGGGATCAACTGGTTCTTGACAACTACATGTGCAGTTCCAATTACATTACATCCAAGTATACCAGAAGTGTCAATGAAAACGAGATATTGTTTAGCTGCATGTATTCTTGTCTTCATACCTGTGCAAACTTCAAGCCCTTGTGAGTGGCTTTCGTTTGAGGGGGCGTGTTAGTGTTGTGGTATATGATCCACGATTGAACCTCTCCCAACAACTCGAGTTATTGGGATCAACTGGTTCTTGACAACTACATGTGCAGTTCCAATTACATTACATCCAAGTATACCAGAAGTGTCAATGAAAACGAGATATTGTTTAGCTGCATGTAACTGTAAATATCACTCACTTTCCATGCGCTCGACAGAAGGACCGGTCTTTAGTGTGTCCTTCCATTCATGTCTGCTTCTTCCCGCTTTGTTCTCACAGATTCTCTGCTTGGCACTCTGCTTTGAAACCAGATATGCAATGAAGGACGGCAGAATGCACTGGCCGAGATTCTCGAGATATTGACAGTTGTATGCGAAACCCATAACTTGCCCTTGGCTCAAACTTGGGTCCCATGCATGCACCGCAATGTCTTAGCCCATGGTGGAGGAGTAAAGAAGAGTTGCACCAGCTTCGATGGCAGCTGCAATGGCCAAGTCTGTATGTCTACAACCGATCTAGCCTCCTACATTGTTGATGCACAAGTTTGGGGCTTCCGAGAAGCATGCCGCGAACATCACTTGCAGACTGGCCAGGGTGTTGCGGGCAGGGCTTTCCTGTCTCACAATGCTTGCTTTTGTAGGGACATTCGAAACATATGCAAGACACAGTACCCGTTAGTGCATTATGCACGAATGTTTGGATTAAGCGGCTGCTTTGCAATCTGCTTGAAGAGCAGCCACACTGGTGATGATGATTATGTTCTCGAGTTCTTCCTCCCGCCAGGGAATGCTGAGGGGATCGAACAGAAGAAACTATTGGGATTATTGCTTGCTACAATGAAGCAGCATTTCCAGAGTCTTCGGGTTGCATCTGGAATGGAGCTCGGAGATGAAGAGGAGGGATTTGTTGAGATTATTGAAGCTTCCGAGGCTGGGAAACTTGAGTACAGTCTCGAATGCATTCGTGTCCCACGTTCTGCCACACAGGCTACTTCACCAGATGCTGATGGTGATACATTGCCAAAGGAAATGGAGGTTGTGCAGCAACAGCTGCAATACACTTCATTGAAGCATCAACCGAGTTTGGAACTGAATGCTATTGATAATGGGTTAGAAGTAAACAATTGTCTTCCTCCTCTTGAAAATGGCCCCAAGATTCCATTGAAGAAGAAGCGAGGCAAAACTGAAAAATCTATCAGTCTAGAGGTTCTTCAGCAACATTTTGCTGGCAGTCTTAAAGATGCTGCAAAGAGCCTTGGTGGTACGTAATGTGGTTCAATTATTTGAAGAAACTATTGTTTGTTTAGCATTGTCTGTACGTTCTTCAGTTTTCCTAAAAATTAAGCGACTTCGTTTTGAACTTTACTAGAAGTGAAAAAGAAACTGGTGTGGTTGAGTTGACGAGATATGTTTCATCTTCAGTAATGAAAATAATAGTTAGTATGAGTGATCTACTGATGTTTCTAAAACAATTATTTCCTTTACCTCTTGTTGCAGTTTGTCCTACCACAATGAAGCGTATCTGCAGGCAACATGGGATCTCTCGGTGGCCATCTCGCAAGATCAACAAGGTGAACAGATCGCTCACCAAGCTCAAGAGGGTAATTGAATCCGTCCAAGTTGCAGATGGAGCATTCGATTTGACTCCTCTCACAACATCCCCACTTCCTGTCGCAGTTAGTTCCATTTCCTGGCCCTCTTATGATATCAATAATGGATCCAAATCCGGTGAACTAATTCATAGGAAGAGTAATGGATCACCAACCAACTTTGAGACACCAGGAAGAAATGGAGTCGAAGATCAAACTGCAAGCGTGGGTTCCCCAGAGGTGCCCCAAGGTCTGAAATTTGGAAATGCTTCGAGAGAAGACAGCGCCGGCAATTCTACTTCTCATGGTTCATGTCAAGGCAGTCCAGCAAACGGTGAAAGTGGCTCCCCTGCCAAGGACCCTGATGAACATTCCCCAAAACCTGCTGGGGGATCCCCACTTGGCTTGCCATTTCTAGACATGAAGCTGTCAGCAGCATACTCAATCCCAGATGCTCTTGTGGCAACGACAACAGGAGCTGAAGAAGAACCATTTGGAGAGATGCTAATCGAAGATGCTGGAAGCTCCAAGGACTTGCAAAACCTTTGCTCCCCCTTAGCCTTAATCGAAGACCGGCTTCCAGAGTCCAGTGGGACTAATCCTCCAACAGCAGCCCAAACAGCAGCTGCCAATCATCAGCCAGTGCTGCTGGATGATCCTGCATTAGTCAGGGGAGAAGCTAAGAAAGTGATCATAAAGGCGATGTACAAGGAAGACATAATAAGGTTCAGGATATCGGCCGGTTGTGGGCTCATGGAGCTGAAGGAGGAAGTCGCGAAGAGGTTGAAGTTGGATATTGGGGTTTTCGACATCAAGTATCTGGATGATGACAACGAATGGGTACTGATCGTCTGTGATGCCGACCTTCAAGAATGCATCGATATTACCAGGTCATCGTCCCGGTGTAATATGATCAGGCTATCGGTTCACGATGTGAGTGCCAACTTTGGGAGCTCCTGTGAAAGCACAGGTGGGGGGTTGCGATGATGATGGCTAGTTTAAGAAGTCTTGCTGTGTATATGCGATATGTGATATTGATAGCCAGGTATTTTTGAGAGTAGCAGAAAAGATAAGTTTGTATGTTTGTTTGTTTACCCTTAGGATTTCAAAGGAAAGAAATGCTGCTGTAAGAGTTCTTCATTTAATAGAGAGATCTCAGCACCCATTTCGACATTTCACCTGTTTTGTTGTCCATGATATTGTGATAACTAACGTACAGACTATAGAGGTTGACGTCCTTCTTTGCCAGGTTGTTAGATGCTTTTGTGCTTCAGTTTGCTGTGAAATCCGAGTCACATCAGGAATCAGATCCAATACCACTGGGACGAAGGTTGCAGAGAAAGGTGTGATACCTTTTTGTCAACACTTGATCAGCACAAGCATTTTTCAGTGGAAATGGAGGGATCAAAGTTTGAAAGCTTTAGATACTTACATTTTGCTTAGGGTCAATTGCCTTGACAAGAGCCTTTTAGAAATGAACTTTTGATTCCATCTGTTAGTTCTTTTAACAAAAAGATGGACTAACTGATGGTTTGATCGATGGAACTAACGGAGATGAAGTGTTAGATGTACAGAAATGTTGATGATGACATGAGAGCATTGATTCGTTGATTTCTATCATTCGTTAAGTTTCGTGATAAATATTTTCAAAATAAGTGGTATGTCTTGTTTGACAGTATTCATTCGTTCATTTTCACAACTGGTGAAAAAAACAGGAGTCTTCTTAAACAATGAAGTGAGTCATGGGCTTAACAAACAAAAAGTTTCGAGCGACCTTTTCAACGAAAGATCCGATCGATGTTGTATTTTCGCGATTCATCTCCCTGACCCATACGGTCAAGCTTATATGGGCCTAGGTTTACCGAAAAAGAACGGACCTAAAATTTTCTTCGAATGTCAATGCAATATGAAGTTTCTTTATGAACATCAGCACAGTGAATAACCTTTGACAGCCATAATAATTACCTTAACTCATCAACCCAACCAACATCCTCAATCCCACGTGTTCCTCAGTCTCAGAAACACAATTGAATTGCTGCAGCTAAAGAGAAACAATGAACCACCCAAAGAAAGAAACCCCCATTCTGGACCACTGGAAATGAATCCTTCCCTTCACTTTCCCAATAATTAACTTCCCATTCTGAACAAAACAAATTCCAATTAACACAAACACAGATAATTAACAGAAGCTGGTCCATCCACTAGTACTGCCACCCACCCAGCCAGCTAGCTAGCTAGCTCCATTAATTGAGGACTTAAAACTGTTTCCTTTCCAGAGCTAGCAGAGCCGTTTTTATGTTCTTATCTGCCATGATACGGTTCAGTAATTAATAAACAACACTCCAAACTCCATTAACTCATAATTAATCCATCTCTAGACCTAGCTAGCTGCCAGCTTCATCACATAGCCCCACCACCATTGCCTGCCTTGTTCTTGCTAATGCTAGCTCCATCTTCTTCTCTGTCCACAACCACCTGCGCCAAATTTACCTCTCTACCCTTCTCCCCGGCCTTCCTCTCCGCAATCTGCCTCTGCGTCGATTTGTAGAACGCCCCGTACAGGATCAGCTGCACCATCGCCAGCAACACACCTATCCCGTTCGGAATCTGTACAGTAAAAAGTAAAAACCCATGCATGTACAGGTTAAAACACAAGAAATCAATTTCACCCATCAGTAAAAAAAAATCGGAAGTGCTTAGTTAATTTAATTAATTAATTACAATGATGAACAAGTCGATCCGGATTAATGCATAAGCAGTCCAGCAAGCACCGTTCCCTAATGACGCCAGGGACAGGTAAAACGGCATGTACTCCACGCTCCTCGTCTTTATCACCATTTTCTGTCACAGGAAAAGCGTGTTTTAGCCACCACTCTTTTTTTTTTTTTTGACCGGTGCCCAAAAAGTATCATTATAATAATAATTAATTTTTTTCTTCTTTTTTTACTATTTATTGTCCTAAAATTACTATTTGTCGTCGTTGCAGTAAAAAAAATGTTGTACCATGACGGAGAGAGGGGCGACGTAGATCATGGTGCAGAAGACGACGCAGAGGACGCCGACGATGGCGGCGCGCTTGTGGAGGTCGTGGACGAGGGAGACGACGAGGACGAGGAGGAGGACGACGAAGGCGACCTCGAGGAGGACGAGGGAGAGGACCTTGACGCGCCTCTTGCGGTCGGAGTAGGCGAGGTAGACGGCGATGTAGACGAGCTGGATCACGGTGCCGCCGCCGTTGATGGTGAGGACGAGGGTGCTGTTCGGGTGGACCACGGGGAGGCCGTACACCACCCAGGCCATGCAGTTGAGCAGGGTCGCCAGGTACGGGTCGGGTTTGAACTGCTCCACCGACTTCTTCTTCCATATTTGGACGAATGTTGGCCTGCATGGACAAAAAAAAAAAAAAAAAATTCTCAAAGTTAGGGGGCCAAACCGGCAATACATGTTAAGTTCGGTGGCCGAATTGCATGTTTTCGGCGGACTTACACCGGCGAGAGGAACAAGCAGAGTGAGATAACGTTCCCTGGAGACAAAGGAAAAAACGGTGAGTGAAATTACTGAAACGACATCGGGAAAAGTTTAAATTGTTGTTACCTATGATGCCAACGGCGGTCCTGGCAGTATCGAGAGACATGGTGACGATGATTTTAGGAGTACTGTTTGAGGAATTTGAAGTAAGGAAGAATGGGGATTCTGACTTTGTTTTTGTTTTTGGGGGAGGATTATTTCAGTTCTGAGGGTTTGGGAGGGGGGATTGGAAGAGAAGGGTGTATAAATAGAGGAGAGGCAATTTATTTGGCAAGTGAACAGGAGAAACGTGTAGTGGCAAAATGGAAATTTGGGTCATTCTTCTTCCTTTTTTTTTTTTTTTTCTCTTTTGTGGAGAATTTTGCATGTCGTATGTTGTGTCAAATGGAGGGGAAGCAGGGAATTTAATGCTGTGACTGAAAGCAGTTTTTCCGTTTCAGCTTGTTGGATCCTTTTACTTAATGCTTCATATCCGGCTTTTAATCTGAGAATATTCATCAAGAATGTGAAAAAAACTCGGCGCATTTTCGTAGACATGTTCGGAATTATCTTTCCATTGATATCGATGAACCTATAAAATGATATCTATCAATGTAAAGTTAGATAGAGTGACGATCATCAACAATATTGACGAGGTGGAAATTTTAGTTTGTAGAAGATAATCTCCTCTCAAACCCCATTTTTCAATAATATAATAATGTGATTTATCCACTTGATGAGAAGATAATACCACCGACTTCAGGCTCAAGAGTTAATGATATATGTCTTTGTTACATTTTACACGGGATTGTTGGTAGAGGGAGAACCATAATCCAGATTGCTAGTCAAATTGCTGGGAATACTAATCAGGGCAGTCCCATTTGCCAATTGCTTCACTTAACAAAACCGACACTTTCCTATTCTGGCTAGTTTGGATATCAAATACTCAGATAGTTTACCAGCAGCTTTTTTTTTACAGTGACAACTTGGGTATATGTGGAATCAAATAATTAGTCGGTGGAAGAGGAAGATACGTTGGTTCTACCATTTCAAACCCAGGCGGTTTCTGTAGGTACGTGGATATTTTTTGTGATTCTAAAATTGGCCATCATTTACCACTAATTAGCACCAAAACCAAACGTTTGCTGCTGCAGAGCAGGACCAACTTGTGGTTTCTCTTAGGTAGGTAGGAATCTGCGTTGGGATTCAATGGATATAAGAAAGAGGCCATAATTGGCGCCATTGGAGAGGTGGCCGTGGCACTATGTTCAAGATCCCCAAAACCCTAGCTATATCTGGTTTCTTTCATTTAATTCTTACTACTGCCTTGAATTAATTAATTCATATTACTACATGAGCAGCTGCCAAAAGGAATGAATGACCAATTGCGGAAAGCATGCAGTTGAAGCTTATCCGAATTCCTTTTTTTTTTTCAAAGGCCAAATCCAATTTTGGGGGGGTGGTGTCAGATTTTCACCTGCCCGCCCCTTGCCCTTATTCGGCTGAAAATGGGGTGTTAAATTAATACAGTACCCGCCTGCCCGCCGGCCGCCGCACCGCCCATCACACAGTTTATCCTCCACACAGTAACACGGTAAAAAAAATAAAAATTACAATTTGTTGGGGGTGAAGTGAAGTTGCTTCTTTTTACTTGTTTTGATGAAGCAGAGGGTGGAGTCGTAAAAAGGGTGGTGATGATTAGCTTAGCTAGATGATTAATTATTACATGTACTGGTCTGGTGGATCATACAGTATGGGATGTGAATTAAAGTAAAAAAAAAAGAGAAAATTAAATCATGCGTCTAGTGCTTTACGTCAAATTGTCAACTAAATTTGAGCCAGCCAGACCAGATATCATTCTCATTTCTCAAGAATAACTGGTAGCCGTCTTCCTTCCTAACTTCCACCTTTTTCCTCGCCGGAGAAAAAGGATGGCCGCCGGGAAATTGGGCTTGATATTAGTTCCTTTTTTTAACTAATGATGATTAGCATGGCCGCCGGAAAAGCTAGAATTCAGCTACAGTGAGTAGAGGTGGAAAGAAACAAAGAAAAATCAAGCTAATTAATCAACCCATCGTCATAGAGATGTTACCCACTTACAAGTAAAACCTATTGCTCATGCAGCTCTGGATTATAAAAAGACTAAAACACATATACTACTTCACGATGATTATGTAATAATATGATCATGCGAGACATCGTTACAGTTTTAAGTGGAGAACTTAATTACTGGATAGGGCAAACGAGTACATTATTTTACGGTCTAGAACAATGTACGTAAATCGTCGTGTTTCATATAAATCGATCGAATGACATGATGATGGCAAAGGGACATCTGCCCTAGCAGTGAAAAAGAACGAGGTACCCTTTTTGTTGGCCATGGTGTTGTAGGAAGCACTTCCAGCAAAGTTTGCAAAGGAGATGAGATCATATATATATGCGAGAGAGATCCCTTTCGTGTCCTGATTCACGTCTTTCCTTTAAAAGGCCAAGCCTCCCCACCTCTATGTTCTGACAAAATCCCATACGTTGTTGCCTCTTGCTCGTAAAGCTCTCTTGTCCGCTTCCAAAACGACTATGATGATGATCCGATTTCGGCCTCTAAAAGCAACCCACATGATCATTTGCAATTACCAAACCCCGCTAATAAAGCAAATATCGTCAACGAATTGTTAATGGTTTCTGTTGTATATAATCAGCCTGATAATTAAAAATCTATCTTCCCACCAAGAAAAAACCTTAGTATATCTCTACAATAGTATATAGTGTGTGTTGCAGAAAATGGGTCGTGCAACGAGGTTAGAAATTTAGAAAATATTAATTGAGGAGAATTTGGGTAGATTAGAGCAAAATTAGAGTTTGGGGATGGGGAGTAACAAAATCGAGATGATTAGGATTTTGATGAAGGTAAATGTTTTGTTTATTCTTTAATGATCCTAACAATAGAGTACAAGGAGTATTTTTAGGGGGTTTTCATCCAGGTTCTAAAAATTAGTAAATATCGCCCTAAAAAATATTAGGTTAAATTGCATACCGTAATTGTTGTTGTTACTTCACAACATTGCTAATAAAATATGGTACGGGAAAGTTACGTATAAAATACGTACGTGTATTTTAATTCGTCTCTAAGCTAATATGACGTATAATAGTACGTTAATAGGCATAAATATATAAATTAATTACTTTTAAAAATAATAAAAAAATAATAAAGTTAATAATTTAATTCATTAAATACATATATTAAACATGTTATATGGGTTTTATACGTGTTTAGTACGGAAGCCGTCAAATGAATGGAAACAAATGAAACGGCTTGACAATAATATGAATACGGAAGTTTTAAACGGATAAAATATGTACGGGTACATATACGTGTATTAAACGGAGTATTTACTAACTAAGCATCAAAAATCCACTTGACCTAATACTAATTCCAGTAATAAAAATAATAAGGTGCTAACAACAAAAACTAATAAACTATGCTATTAAATTTCAGAACCAATGAATAGAAGAGAAGAATTGCAACAGGACGAACGTCCAATGGGCGGCAGGTTTTGCTCGGGGCATCTGGTTAACATGGGACTCCTCCAGAATCTCAATTAGACTCCTATATAAATCATTGGTTCATGTACAATAAAATAAATAATATAGGATTCGAGTTTGAACGTTTTAAGCCAACAAGTTCTTAACATAATATTATAGTACCTTAATTAACTTGGGCAACATGTTACTTGATCTAATACTACTCCCACCTAATATTAACGCTTGATGCACGATCCCGCTTAATTATCGGAACGAGCGTTCGTTTGATTACATATGTAAATGAGCTATGTATGATCCAATCTTCAACGTTCGATCTCCGACGTGTTGATTTTTTTTTTTTCTTATACCAAATTATCTTTGGCACAGAGGGCTCAGCCAGCATCATCATTATAAGAAGCAAAAAGAGAGATGCATAAATTAGATACAAAATGGTGCCGCGAAAATCAAACGGCCAAACTTCAACCAAACGCGGCACATGATGAACAGATTCTCGGCCGTGTAATTCCCAAATTAAGGAGGGAAGGAATCAGATTTCGGATGGCGCAGAGAGAGGCATCCTCTCGTCCCACCACCTTTCCTCATACATCAATGTCGTGATTAAGATGTAGCATTGCGAACTGAAACTTACATATACGAAACGATTAAGTCAAAGCTTAGGCTGCTAACCCAAACTGGGCTACAGGGCCGTTCTTTTGCCCCGTGACGGAGCTTTCAAACGTGCGTTGTTGTTGTTTATAGATATGGAAACATGGACGACAGTCGTGATGCCTAAAGCTACGTACAATATGGGAGATGATACATTCATGGCAAAGAAAGAAAATGGTATGCCGATTTTTCCCATCGGCTATTACTGTGAAGCATTTCTCTAGGTAAGTTACCGGCCATCTCTTGAGTTGGTAAAACATAGGTAATTTTGTTGCATGGTATAAGATCATAATAACCACGAAGAAATAGTTGATTCACGATTTATTATTAATGGAGTTGGGATGGTAAAAAAAAATCTCAAATTTTGTGATTTTTCAAACCCAGTTTACTAATGGTCGAATCAGACTTGAATAATATCACTTCTGATGTATACTCATTTCCAATTGTTGGTTTGAAAAATCATTATTACTACATATAATACTGTTTTTTTTTTATGAATTACTACATATAATGCTGTTAATTTCATTCCACAATTTTTACATGATGAAACCATGATTATTTTTACGTACTTAATAATACATGTTACATAACACTTGGTAATAAGTTGACCCTCTTCGATTTACGTAGCTGGCCGAGCTGGATATTGATTTTCATTACGTAAATATCCATAGCTAATGGACAGAGTTAATGTACACACATGGCCCATGGGAGATAACTTGGACATCTTCTGCTGGGCTTCTTGGCGCTGGGCCCAACCAGAACTGGGAAGGTGGCGCAACTTGAAACTTCGACATCTCCTACAAAACGGATAACTAACTTCTCTCACAACCTCCATGCTAGTATGCTACCAATTCAAGCAATAACAAGATAACCCGTCTCTAAAAAAAAAAAAATCCCGATTCAAATAATTTCAATATCTATTTTTAAAAAAAAATTGAAATAACAAACATATATTTCAAAACTCTCATACATTTTGTTGTATGCTCAATAATTACGTGAATATATAATTTATGGCCCCTCAAAACAGAAACTCAGTAGACACCGAGTTTGATAAGAATTTGTTTCTCTCTTTATTATTTTATTACACATGAATTTAACTATACTAGACTAGTAGGTTTGGACTATGCACAAACTTACCAATATTAGATTTTTCAAATGTATGAGATTTATGAATTGATGGATTCATAAACTAAATTAAAAAAATTGATAGATTCCTAAATTGAATTCATTGATTCATGCGGGAACTACATATCATATGAGAGTAATATGAAAAATTTAGATACGAAAATATCATTATAAAAACATTAGATAGTACAAGGAGCGCATGTGATATACCACGGCGAACCATACTACAGTAGTACTACAAGGATTCTGTACCCTGATGAACAAAGGCACGTATTTGGATCTTGCAGATCATTCGTAATTTCCAATCACTCAGACCTGACAGTCACAAATGAATGAATTGTTCCAAAAAAATCTCTCTTCGTACTTTATTGGTCACCCTGACGACTATCTATATCACTAACTACGATCCCTCCGGCCGGACCATACTGTTTATTTGAAACTCAAAGAGAATACCATTTCGCATGTTGATCACTGAAATTATAAGCTTCGTCAGCGGGAGTACTTTAAGACCTGCCATGGCTGTTGGGAACCTTGTTCGTTTTCTTAGCTGCAGAATCTCTGTCCACGACAACCTCCGACAGATCGACCTCTGCGCCCTTCCCTTCAGCTGCTCGCCTCTCTGCTATCTGCCTCTGCGTGGACTTGTAGAAAGTGGCATACAGAATCAGCTGCACCAGTCCCAGCAACGCGCCACTCCCGTTCGGAATCTGTTCTCCGATTGGAAAGCCAAAAATTCAAAAAAAAAAAAAAAAATAAAAAAACTAGTTATGGAATCTAAAACATAAACATGCTAGCTGTAACTAATAACTCGAGGTGTCGGGACCAAAGGGTTATTGATATGGTATCAGAAAGTGTGACAAAGAGCTTTTGTTCAAATTCTAATGACCCAATTTGTCTGAACATTTTGTTTTATGCATGTGCAAATTTCAAATCCAAATAAGTGGCCTTCGTTTGAGAGATGGATGTTAGTATATGATATAAGATTTATTATTGAACATCTCTCTTCCCAACAACTCGAGTTATTGAAACCAACTAATTATACATACCACGAGGAAGATTTCGATCCGGATGAGAGCATAAGCAGTCCAAATAGCACCATTGGCAAAGCAAGCCAAGGACAGGAAAAACGGCATGTACTCCACGCTCCTCGTCTCAATCACCATTTTCTGTCCAACCCAAAAAACACACAAATTAATAGATAGATCGGCCAAAGCAACCATACCCTACAAGGAAAGAAGTTTTTTTTTTCGACCGTCTTATTTCTTCTTCACTTTCTTTTTCAGCGTAGATTTTGAGGGGAGCTTATGATTGTAATATATACGTACCAAGACAGACAGAGGAGCACCATAGTTGATGACGCACAGCACGACGGCGACAACTCCGACGATCAAGGTTCGTTTGGAGACGGTGGGAACCAGGAAGACGACCAGGAGGAGGAGGAGAACAATGAAGCAAATCTCGACGAGGAGGATGGTCAAGATCTTGACCCGTTTTTTGTTGTCGGAGGAGTAGAGGACGAAGATGGCTATGTAGATGAAGGAGATGAAGGTGCCGACCCCGTTGGTGGTCAGGACCAGGAGCCCGTTCGGGTTGATCATGGGCAGCCCGTAAACCACCCACGCCATGCAGTTCACCGCTGATGTCAAGTACGGGTCGGGTTTGAACTGCTCCACCGAACGTTTCTTCCATATTTGGACGAACGTCGGCCTAAAGCACAACATTAATTTTATGTTTAATTAATTGTTTATGAAAATTACATTTAACTGATTAAAAAAGTAGGATAATGAGAGGATGGAGAACAAGGCTAATCACTTACAAAGGAGATAGAAACAAGCCGAAGGAGATGACGTTTCCTGCAAACATACAATCATGCATTAGTTAATTAAGTTACGGAAGTGTTAAACATAATTATTGAACAGAATGTAATTAATTATGCTCAACGCACCAATGATACCAATGACATTCCTTATAGTATCCGGAGACATTATCAGGCTGTGTAATGCTCTTGTAACGGTTATGATATTAAAAAAAATTTAAAAATCAAAATGCAACACTACAATTACTCGATCAAATCAATGTTTTTGAACTGGAAATCAATCAGAGAAAAATTTAACGACGGAGAAATAAATAATCAAAGGGGATAGATGAGTGAGGCAGGGAGGGAGGAAGGATGGAGAGGGGTGGTGTGAGTTTGTTTAATCAAAAAGCTAAACTGTAATTTATAGATAATGAGAACTCTGAAGCAGCTCTGCTACCTTGCAGTTGGCCTGCAACTTAATCTTATTTATTCTTGAGTCGCCCATTCAAACAAAAAAACGTGTTGCTCCGCCTCTCTTCCTTTTTTTTTTTTTTTTTTTGCGATTATTGTTCCGGTTTAGCGACTAATTATATAAGTGAGTTTATATGTTTCAGGGAAAGACCTATTCGATAAGTTAATTTCTCAAGGGGGAATGCCAATGGCAGCATTCGACAACATCGATGCAATTGGCAATCATGCATAAGGAACTATTACTTAAGAAATAAATATAATGTTTTGACCTACTTAAATTAGACTTTAGTTGTTAAAAGAATAAGTGGATTCTACCCCAAAAAAAAAAGAATAAGTGGAGGTCGAACTCAAGCTCATTAACTAAAATCTTCGCTCAAACTTGATCGGGTCGATTGCGACTCGAGGTTAAATTGTTAATAATGTTATGATATTAAATAAACTCAAAAAATAATTAAAAATTAGACTCTAGTATTTGTATACCATGATGCATATAATTAATATAGTGATGGAAATGAAAGAATGATAGTAAATTTTCATGATTAATTGATCTGACGCTTATACACTCTAATTTATCATATTCAATCCATAAATTTTAGCTAGTTCATATCATGTTATTTAGTGTTAATAAGTACATAAGATCAGCTCACGCGCTCAAAATGAGCCACAACTCAGGAGCTGAACTTAATGAGCTACCGAAACGAGTTTGCTCGTGAACATCACTAGCTAGTTGAATAAGGCTTAATTCAACCCCGCGCAACTCATTAATAGACAAATCAAATTTTGAATGAATTTTTTTTCCCCAATCAAACACAAAATCACATGTGAGTTGTTTAACTTTGAGATAGTGGTAAGTTTTTTTTTAAATCTAAATATATGACCTGCCGGCCAAATATTTAATAGTTTAGGCAATTGGCTAACTGGATCTCGAATAATAGGGGTCCGGGTTATTTCGGGGTAAAGGAGTAGTTTAGCTGTTTTGCTATGTCAGACTCTTTATATTCTTGATCCTTGAAATTTTAATTAATTAAAACTTCTCTTAATCGGATGAAGCACCCGCGGACTAGGACTAGGACTAGGACTAGCTCGTTGTCTCCGAGAAGAGAGACAGGCAGCATCGACGGAGCTACAAATATAAACTAGAGGTAATATATAAAAATAATAATATTAAGTGTGCTAACAAAGTGACATACTAAATGGGCTTAAAAGGATCATGTAGCTAGACCAACCCAACTCGTGAACATTTGGGCAAAAAAAAATTGCAAATCATTATGGAAAGGGTAGAGAACGGGAATGGACGGGGCAAGCCGGGTCGGAAACAATATTCATTTCTGGTCGCACATTATTGTGGGTCGGTTAATGTTCGCTACAAACAGATCGGTTTACTAGTAGGTAAAAAATTAAATGACTATTACAATAATTTATGAACATATGACATGGAAGACACCTCGTATCCACTTCAACATTGTATGTTGAGTCATAGACGGGAAAAAATGTTTGACCATCAAAATTAATGATAAACTAGAATTTCAGACCAAATATGTCAATATCTTTCAAAATTAGATAAAAATGTTTTATTTGAAAGTTGATACCAAAATATCATAGCAGCTCTTTTCTATCAAAACCATCAATGTCAAGTTGCTTAAAATTATTGAGATTCAGCATGATATGTTCATAAGTAATTTGAACTTCACTTAGACGGTGAATCCCCATTTATTCGTGGATGATTCTTTTTTCAGTAGTCCTCTTCGAGTTGGGATCTGTATATCAAGTTTTCGAGGGACTTGGTCTTCTTGTTCCTAGCCCCGCCTGCTTCTTTAATTTCATAAGCTCCGCTAGCCTGTTCTTCTCGTCTTCAAAATCAGGGTTAGCAATACCAAGCTTTTCTTCTCTCAGTTTAAGAACGTATTCCAAGCAAACATTTGAAAGATTGTACCGTATCAATGGTTTCAACCAGAAAAATCATCGAAAGCAAAATCTGGAGGCATTATTTAGACGGTTGAAATAATTGAATCACTAAACTAAATACGATTTTAACATAAAATATCTTACTTCTAATATTTCCGGCACAACGTCCAATACGATTTTTCAATCTTTGATTACAAGATATGAAGGGCATCTTCCACCCTGCATTTTCCAGCCGAATTACCTCCTCACAACATCGTAAGTTGAACGGACGCCAATCCCATCTGGTTATTGCTGGTAGTGCCTTCTTCCATAACGAAATTGGTAAATTACATTTTATATTGTGTTTGACGCAAAATTATTGTAGTACATAAATTTTTGCAAGTTAAAAAGCTACTTTTTTCCCCTCTTAATTAATAACCAACTGTTGCTAAAAATTTGATGAGTGTACAAAAGATCCCAAAATTGTTAAATCTGAATCGACCTAAGATTGATATTGAAATAACTAAAAAGGAGTTTCTATCACTCTCATATCCTGAATCTTTATGCGATAGAGCACGTACACACGAAATTAGCCCAAATAAAATTCGGGGAAAAAATAATAAATAATAGCGACATATAAAGTAGGAAATAACGAAACGTATTTCAGAGTCGAATCTTCTCTGCATTAACCATAAAACGAGTACGTATTTATAGATGAATGCATCACCAATTCTCTTTCCTTCTCTCCCTAGCTAGGCCGATCGATAATCAAATGCAAAATATATAATAAATAAAGATACTCAAGCACAAACTCTCGAAATACATGACAATCTCAATCCGTACTGTATTCCTCAGCCCGACGACTGATGATCTACCACTAGCTTGGGTTCCCTCCTCGACCCAGACCGCATGTATATTGTTTTTTTGGAACTGATCAGAGCTGCATGGCTATTCGCAACCTTGTTCGTTGTCTTAGCTGCAGAATCTCTATCCACAGCAACCTCCAGCAGATCGACCTCTGCTATTTGCTTCTGTGTAGACTTGTAGAAAGTGGCATACACGATTAGCTGCACCAATCCCAGCAATGCGCCACTCCCGTTCGGAATCTGTACGTTCTCCGATCGATTATATTGCAGACACCCAAAATTGAATTAATACACCAAATATACACTAATTATTACATGTACAAAATATATATAATACATGGTGTAAAAACTAGCTGCTAATTGTCATATAAATACCGCTAGGAAGAGGTCGATGCGGATGAGAGCATAAGCAGTCCAAATAGCACCATTGGCAAAGCAGGCCAAGGACAGGTAAAACGGCATGTACTCCACGCTCCTCGTCTCAATCACCATTTTCTGTTCACCCATATGAAATTGTTTACATAGTTGTGTGAATAATAATAATAATAATAATACTAATTATTATGCATATGAATCAATGAGCTGTTAGTAAGTGTTATAATTAAGATCCATTATTGAACCGACCAATTAGTTCTTGACATGGTATTGGAGCTTTTTGGTGATCAATATGTCTTTTGTTCGAATTCTGGTAACCCCCATTTGTTAAGTACATGTCGGACATGTGCAAACTTCAAACTTATACAAACAGGTTTTCGCTTGAAAAGACGTGTCAGTAATGAACACTTCTACTATGCTTTAAAGTACAACTCAAAGTTGTATCATAACGTTAAATGTACAACTTGAAGTTGTATCATAACGGAATTTTATAAAAGAGTATAAGCACAACTTAAAGTTGTACCATAACATGAAAAGTACAACTTCAAGTTGTACAATAAAGGCAATAACTTCTTCCAAAAAAAAGGTAATAACTAAAGCACCGATTCTTTAAAGCATTGTAAAATTTCTCATAGTAAGTGGTGAAAGATTTATTATTGAACCTCTGTCAATAACTCTGTCCAGTTGGTTCTTGATTGACAACTTGTGGCTTATGAATTTAACATAATACGTACCAAGACAGACAAAGGAGCGCCGTAGCTGATGACACACAGCACAAGAGACACAACTCCGACGATCAAGATTCGTTGGGAGACGGCGGGTACGAGGAACACGACCAGGAGGAGGAGGAGAACGATGAAGCAAATCTCGACGAGGAGGATGGTCAAGATCTTGACCCGCTTCTTGTTGTCGGAGTAGAGGACGAAGATGGCTATGTAGATGAAGGAGATGAAGGCGCCGAGCCCGTTGGTGGTCAGGACCAGGAGGGCATTCGGTTTAACCACGGGCAGCCCGTAAACCACCCACGACATGCAGTTCACAGCCGTCGCCAAGTACGGGTCGGGTCTGAACTGCTCCACCGAACGTTTCTTCCATATTTGTATGAACGTCGGCCTAAAGCACAACATTTAGGTTTTACTATTTATGTGGAAAAAAAGAGTACGAAATGTTTCCGGTCATATTAATTATGACGTAATTTTGACATTTGTGCAAATTTTTTATGAAATGTTGAAAGGATTCTGATTTTTTTTCCTCAACAAAAACGGATACTTTCATCCAAGGCTGTTAATCTCCTATCGGACCCCCGGTAGCCGGTTGAACTAGATCCAACTTAGGTCGGACTTCAAAACGGCCTCCAGAAAGCCCCCTGATCTGACCCCTAAAGAGAGAGAAGAAGAGAGGGGGAAGAGAGGAAGAGGAACAAATGAAGGAGGATGGTGGATGGGTCATGTAGGTTAAGTAAATTTATTTTATGGATAATAAGTTTTTAATAGATACAGATAACTTTTATTTTAGTCTTTAAACTATCTTATTTGTATATATAATATATGTTTAGAAAACGTCTAAAACATGTCAAATCGACCGGACCCCAATCAGACCATTAAACTTCAAACCCCTTACTTGACCGGTTCAATGACTTAAATCGATTTGACAACCTTGTTTTCATCAAACTCGATCTCTACACAATTTCATATATTGTGCAATAACACTGCATATTCCAGCTTTGTAGATCATCCCAAATTTGAATAAAGAACAACCGAAGTCCAGCTAAATCGAGCCGAACCAACCTATGAGAATCATAAGTGACCTCTATCGAACTCCTAAAATATCAACTCAATATCTTACCGGATATGACTAGTTTTCTTTTGACCGGTTATGAGCCGGTCTTGCTTATTGATTCAAGTGCTTTTTTTTTGTAATTATATATTCATGTGCATATTAAATTAACCAAATTAAAATAGTGGATGAAAATATATTTGAAGAGTTAAATTCTTCACAAATTAACATGTATTTAATTTCACGAAGGGGAGGGAGCTTGATTAAAAAACAAGGGAGAGGTTGGAGAACAATGCTAATCACGTACAACGGCGATAGAAACAAGCCAAAGGAGATGACATTTCCTGCATGAAAATTAAGTTAATTACTAAGGATAAACGTGATAAACATATAATAACTCTCGTTCACCATTATCAAAAAAAAACTCTCGTTCAATTAATTAGTATCATATTCACAATTCGTACGTACCAATGATGCCAATGACATTCCTGATAGTATCCGGAGACATTATCAAATTGTTGAATACCAATTTGATCAAACCTGAGTCTTTGAACATGAAATCAAAAATTGAGATTATGGTTCTTAAATTCAAAATGCGGCTATATAATTACTCGATCAAATCCGTGTGTTTGAACTGGAAATCAAATTGGAAGAGAAAAATTAACGAAGTAGAGATACCCATGAAGGGAGAAGAGAAAAAAAAATCACAAGGGAGGAATGAATTTACACATACATGATGTATATTTATAGTTGGGATTGGGAGAGGGAAGCGCCGGCCGATGGAGTGGCTGTTTAATGAACGATTGAGTGTAATTTATAGATGATGGGAAGTGAAGCAGCTCTGCTAGCTAGCAGTTGGATGATTACTGTGTGCAAGTTAATCCTATAATTTAATTATCTTTTATAAAAATCCAAACCGAAAACGTGTTGCTCCGCCTCTCTTCTTTTGGGTTTGGATGATTGTTGTTTGTTCGGATGTGGTGATAAATATGTGATTCTGTAAGTTTGTATCTTAACTATGGTAAATATCAAGGTTATCAACCAGCGGGCTGATCCGGACCCGATCGAGCTAGTGGGTCAAGGGTTGCTGGGTCACCCGTTTTAGCCCGGAAATATGAAAATAGTCATTATATTGTACTTATCCTGATAAATTATATCAAATTTCATCTAACATATGAGTTATAACATATAATATTCCATCAAAATAACATGTCGTATTTAGATCCAACATGTAGTGAAAATTCACACACACTTAGATAACATCAATATTCAAATGTTTAACTTAGGATTCCAAAGATTGTGTTATGCGAAAAGAAAAATCGGAAAATAGGCGCATTTCGCAAACCAAAGAAAAAAATGACACAATTTGACCTCCAACCCGGTACCATGTAGCGGTCGACCTGGCGGGTGCGTGCGGCCCGTTTTTCTCACCGGACCAGGGTCAAAGTGGGTCGACCCACGGGTTGACAACCTTGGTAAATATGGTGTATCTGTTTTACCACTAAAAAATCAGGATACCACATTGTTATTTTCAAGGAGTTGGCAATGGTTTATAAGGCCAACTTAGGGGTCGTTTGCTTCGTGGATTTAAAAATGAGGGTTTTGTAATTTAAAAACCAAAGGATTTATCAAGGATTTGAGGCATCATGGATTTGTAACAATCCTTTGTTTGTTGGGATGTTTTTATCATGGATTTAAAGGTGTGGGATTTACTACTTGAAATCAAAAATTACATTACTGCCCTTTTCTATATGTTTGACATGTTTATGATATGTACACAAAACAAGGATAATACATACTAATAAGCATAATGTTGCCACATGGACAATAATAATAAACGAGAAAATTCCGTTTTAACTTTTAACGTAACATAATCAATCACCAATTCTTTGTCCTCCTTTTCAAAAGTAACATATAACAACATATATTAGAATCGGGAGAACAAAGAATTACACGTTCCATGAAAAGGTCAAAGAAAACTAGAACACAAGAAATTATATAAAAAATCTAACTCAAGTATGCACATTAATTGAACGTTTATGTTATTCATTTATTGTTAATTATAATGTATAATAGTTAAATTTGAGGGCAACCTTGGAATATTAAAAGTGCATGAGGGTATATGGGTAAAATCTCATCAAGGATTTATGCCATATTCCAAATCCCACATCAACATGTGGGATTTATAAGTCCGTGGGGTCCACGGATTTGGACACTTAAAATCCGTGGGCCCCACGGATTTGGTCTCCAAAAAAGGTGCAAGCAAACAACGGATTGTACCTAAATCCTTGATAGTTGGTTTTTTGGTACCAAATCCATGTACCAAATCCTTGAAGCAAACAACCCTTTAATCATATTATTTAAATTGGTTTAAGCTAGGCTTAAATAATGAAATTTTGGGCTTCATACAAGCTGCCTCAACACACACCTCTTGACCCACCAAACACCCATCTGTCATGCAAGAGAGGTCAAATGAAATCGAGAATTCATTTCATTGTAAAATGAATAATCATATTGAATTCATTGTCAAATGAAATCTTGTGTTTGGTATGTCATATGTATAAGTAATTTAGTTAATAAACAAGGATAATTATGTCATTCTATTATAATTAGTAAATACTTGTGGAATTCATTTGGAAATTCCATCTCAATTCCTCGGAATTGCTATAACTAGTTCCAATTCCATAGAATTCAAAATTTAGAATTGAAAATGAATTCTTTTGAATACCAAACACAAAAATGTTTCATTTCAAAATGAATTTCTCAGAACTTATGAAATTCATTTCTACCAAACGGTATGTTATGTTTACTCATTAAGAATTAGAGAATGATATCATACTTCAAAATCTGATTAATTCAAAATTTAGATAATATTTTTTATTAAAAAAATGTGATATTTTAAAGAATTCATTTTCGAGTAACAATCCCACCGACAGCTTTCGACAACATTTAAGAAGTAAAGAATGCATAGGGTAAACGAACTATTACTTAATTAATTTAAAATAAATAATAATCATTTTGTTCAACCGACTTCTGGGGTGTAAAAGGCATCTAAATATATGATCCACCGGCCCAACAATATGTGAGTTCGCCGCAGAATCAGGCCCTTAGCTCTCATCGATCGATTTCCAATTTTTTGCATTCGGAATTTTAATCAATTAAAACGTCTCTCAATATAAGATGAAGAATTGACCTGATCCGTTTTGTTGTCAAACTACCCAATGCTGCAGCTGATTGATACAATGCAATAACAAGTGAACACGAGAAACAGTACCAAACATTTACTTCACGTCTTCACCAAATCAAACATTCCTTTTTTACTGGGGAAGTGAACACACAAGTAGGCACAAACCAGTGAATAGTGTAACCAAATTAACAAAACCAACCAACTGAAGTACCAAACAGCAAAACAAGCAAACTGCAGTGGGAAAGAGAAGGAAAAAAGGCTCACCCAGATTACAAACTATACAAATGATTTTTTTCCCTATGTTACAGAAATGCATTGGCACAATGTGAAAAAGATTTAGTAGATAAATAAGAGGAAAGCATTTGCTGGTGGGGAGGGAGGTGTGAAAGATACACAGAACAGAAAACATGGCTCTCAAATCCTGAATCCCCATTTCTTCGTCGATGATTCTTTCTTCGTAGCAGTCCTCTTCGAGCTGGGATCTATCAAGTTTTCCAGGGACTTGGCCTTCTTGTTCCTAGCCCTGCCTGCTTCCTTCAGGAGCTCCGCTAGCCTGTTCTTCTCGTCTTCGAAATCAGGGTTAGCAATACCAAGCTTTTCTTCTCTCAGTTTAAGAACGTATTCCAAGATCTCAATGGCATCTTCCACCCTGCATTTCCCAGCCAAAGAGATTTCACATGGGTAATCAGTGAATGAGCAGATGAGTTTCTCAACCAAAAAAGACAGAAATTTGGTCAGGCAAATTACCTTCCCATAGCATCGTAAGTTGCAGCAAGATTGCTATACACGCCGAGAGTATCCTGATGACATGGACCACACTCCTGCTCCAGTATCGCCCTAGCTTCTTCAAACAGCTCAGCAGCTTCATCGATCTTGAACAGCTGAACAGACGCCAAGCCCATCTGGTTCAGCACAACCCCAAAGAAAGCAGACTTCCTCTCTCCGCTTGCCCTAAGCTTACTCACTGCCCCCTCGAAAGATGCCCTTGCATCTTCATACCTACCAAGCATGTAAAACATCACCCCCATTCTTGCTTCAATACCTGCAATGGTATTCTGCTGCCCTGGTTTATCCACCAACAAATTCATCGCCTTCTGCAGAAGCTTCAAGGCCTCCTCGGGTTCATCCACAGACTCATAAATAGCCGAGATCTCGGTCAAACCAGAGGCGATCTCTTCCCCTGTGGTCCCAGGAACAGGTTTTGCATATATCCTGAGAGCATTCTCGCAGTAAGATTTGGACTCTCGGAGTTTTCCAGTCCTGTGGTACAAGTCAGCAAGGCGCACGAACACTGAGGCTACCGATGGGTGGTTGTCACCTTTAGACGACTTGAATACTGTGAGAGCCTTCTGGTATGAGAACACTGCCTCGTCAAATCGACACAGGGACATGTAGATGTTGCCGATGCTGATGTCGATGGCGGCAACCTCGTTGTCTTGTCCATTTGCAATCATTGCCATGCTGGCGAGGACCAGGTGTTCAAGCGCCGCCTCGTAGTCTCCCTTGGCCTCATGGATGAGTGCCATCAGTCTCCGATCGGCTGCTTCCTCGATCGAAGCTGGCTCGCTGTGCGCACGATGGATTTCAAGTGTTTTCTTGCTCAGTTCCTCCGCTTTCTCGAAGTTCATGGCTTGAACGTGCGCTTCAGATAAGTACCTGAAAGATCAAATTACTCCAAAATGAAAGCTCCAATCTAGTGAAATTAACTACAAAAATTACATACATTACCTAAAGAGGAAATTACCCCAAAGATCATAGCAAGAACAGACAATGTAGCACCGGAATTCCACCAAAAGAGAATTATTAATGCAAAGATGAGAACTTCTTCCTCATAATCATACAATGGGAAACCCCAAATCCAGCTCCTCAAGCTGAACTCTACTCTATTCAACCTTGCCTTTCACAAATGCAAATACTCATAGATAACATCGACATTAATTCAACCTAGAATGGACTCAGAAGCTCAAATCACTTCCTTAATTACGCCATGGTCCAATTTCTTGAAATCTCAGTCTAAACTAGCACTACTTCCACCAGTCATCTCTTTAACAAAATGTATGCAGATACCCTCAACAAAAGAACAAACGAGAAAATCCAAAAGAAAATAAAGGAAACTTCTGTAAGATCACGAAAATGTCAAACTTCATTAATGCTTAACGAAACAATAACGTTTCCTAATCCGGCAGGCAAAAACAGCAGAGATTTAAAACGACCCAAAAGAATTAAGCTTCAAGTAACTTTACTTCCTCCCCAGATTTTTTTTCTGTTACCTGCAAGTCTCTCCAACTCGGGGATCAGTGTCTCCCAATGACTCGATCTGGATCTTCAACCCTTCCTCGTAGCAATGGATCGACTTATCCACCTGCCCAATCATGGAGTAAGTATCTCCCAGCTGCATATACCCAGAGAAAGCCGCCAGAGCGTGATCAGTTCCCCGGCTCAATTCCGGCACAGTGATCGCTCTCTCCAGCACCGGCACCGCCTCCTCGAACTTCCCCAAGCTGCAATAAATCGCGCCCAGAACGTGCAAGCTCATGACCAAGTCCAGGCTCGGCTCGCCTTCGACGGCGCATCTCTCGAACGACTTGGACGCCCGGATTGCGTACTCCAGGGCCTTGGAAGGCCCTTCCCCTGAAGCAATCGTGTCCCTAGCAAGCTTCAGGAGGAACGGGCCGAGATCCGGGTTGTCGAGGGAGGCATCGGCCTGAAGCAGCGGGTTGGGGGAGTCCGACGGGGCGGGTTTTTTGGCGGAGCGGGCCGGTGAGAGCTTGGATCGGGAAGGAGAAGGGGATGGGTGTTTTTTGTTGGGGGTTCGTGGGACAGGGGAGGATTCGGGTCGGGTCAGAGATGAGGCTCCGGCGGGTTGGGGACTGGGGACGGAGAGGGTGAGCTGCGGAGTGCCCGGTGGGGTTTTGACTGAGGCGAGTCCCGGCATGGCGGCGGCGGCGGAGCTGAGAGGAAATTTGTGGAGCAGAGGAGCCGCCGAACAAACAGAGCAACAGTTCCCGGTAAGAAATGGGTTTTAGAGAGCGACTGCCATTGTTGAAATGGAGGAAGGAAATTTGGGATCTGAAGAAGAGGAAATGCAAAAGTTGAGGTCTTGGAATGAAGAAGTGGGAGAAGAGAGGGCGAAGCAGGGGGAAAGAGGAGAGAGATTCGGATTCCTTTTTGCTTTGCTTGCTCTGTTTTCCAACTGTTGGGTAAGGTGTGAAGGCAAAATGGGCCAAATGGCAACATTTGGTATCTTTGTTTTTAAGAGAGGTACTTAGTAGTTAATTACTGTGTTTTGGAAAGGGAAATTCTAGTGGGTTAGTAGCCTAGGACGATGCTATTAAGTATTGACTATTGTTATTATGTACTAACATTCTAATTGCATAACTAGTCGTTGTTAAGGTTACTTCAACAATTTTCTATTTGAGGGAAAGCAACTGCCAGAGGAAAATAGAGGGATTAAGAAATAACCAATAAATCAAAGCTCACAAGTATGAAGTATTCTTTAATATTTCATATTAATACGAATTTCGTGTTAGCCACAAATTAGGTCAAATATAATGTGCAATTATGAGTCAGAATACAATAACTTATTTTCATATGTGAATAAAAGCTAAGGAAATATATGTAACATCTTATATGGTTTAAATCCAAGATATGCATCATTTAATTTAAAAACTGCTTGGCTTTCCCAAAAGTAATTTGAATATTGGTAAGTGATAATTAAGATGTGTGTTCAAAATATCACATTCATGGAGAACTGGAAATGCACACTATTCCCTATCTTTTCCATTCTAATGTTTTAATAACTGACTCCCACATTTATGGAAATTTAAACTGAAATCTCATGTCTTTCAATGTACTGATACAAGAACAACAACAACAACAAGAAGAAGAAATCTCCAAAACTCCAAATTAAACCTGAAGACATTTCTGTCCTTTTTATTTTTATTGCTGAAGCAGTAGTAGTATTGTACATCTATATTAATCAAACCATAAAACAGCTGGTTGAAACTTTGTGAGAGTGCACTATAAAATGAAGTTTCAGCCACCGACTCCAGGTTTGGTGGGCGGCTTGGGACCTGGCAAGTGCTTCGTATTGGCTCCTGGATCTTTCTCGTAGTCCAACACCAGATCCATCTGCAGCAGCAGCTTCCTCATCTGCAAAATTATTTGGTCTTATATATCTAAGCTCGTTCTAAGGTGTAACATCAGAATCCAGATCCTGACCTGATAACTCACTTGTGGGTTTGCCAGATGATCAGCTGCAGCAGCAGCCATGGAGATGGGGGGATTGGTGCTGATGAGGAGCAGCAGGAAGACGATGATGATGAGCTTTGAGTGAGTAGTGGCCATTTTCGAGTTCTTCTCTGTAATTAAGTTGCTTTGAAGGGAATGGTGGAGTTTTTATTGAGTAGTAGATATTGGGAGGAACGATGGAAATGGAGGCAATAAATATGGTGGAAGGCAAGCTGCAGCTGCAACTGCAAAAGTCAACTTCTGTCTTCTGCACTATAATTTTTTTTTCTTTTTTCTGCAGCACTTTTTATTGCCGACATTGAAGCCCCTGGTTTGGTGTGTTTCCTTCAGTTTTTTGGAAATTTAAGCAAATTAATCAAAGCAGGTTTGACTAGCTAGCTAGCAAGCTAGCCAGGTGCGTTTAATTTCGTGCTTATACATTGGGATTGGGAAATTATTAAGCACGCACATTTTTCTCTGTTGCCTAGGTTGGACTATTATATTCTCTAATTGCAGTGTAGAGTTATGGCGGAAAGTTAATTAAGTAGTGAAACGAAAAGTCTCTATCAGCAGCATGCATGAATATAATGATAGATATGCATTGGCATTTGGCACAGCCTTCCATTCACTGCACTATTTAATGCATAAACCGATGAACCCTTCAATGCGAACCAAATTGGACGGTTAGATAAGTCAGAAAGCCAATTTAATTCTCAAAAAACAAACAATGATGTGAACTTGGCACCAACAGGGGACTGTACCCTAAAGGCCGAAACACCATCCTCTCATCTTTCAAAACTGCCATTCATATCCTCAGTCCTCAGATCGAGTGATCAGTTTTCGTAGAATGTTCGACCCATTTTAGATGAATTTAGGTTTTGATTTATGATTGAAGGCTCTGGATAGTTGTTGCCGCTATGTATGAAGGAGCTAGTCAAGTGTTGTCTTCCTAGTTACTTCATCAATGTGTTCGCCATACATAACTCGTTGTGTAACCTTTAAGCAAAGTATTTTGACGATGCCTAACGCTAGATATATGGTGTGTGTTGTGGATGATGTGCAATTCTATATAGAAGTTTTTTTTTTTTTACTATATAAGCTTTCACTTATAGAAACATACTAAGATATATGATGTGTGTTGTGGATGATGTGCAATTTATCAGGAATAGCTGCATGTATGTATCCACCAAACTTATAATAAAGGTTGGTTTAGATCCCAGTGTTGGAGCCATATTGTGTGGCAATGGACAAACTTGCATATATGTTCACCTTTCATTTTCAATCGTGGAGAGGCATAATTCATTAGGATGTGATGTGAAGCCTCTCTCCATAAGTCAGCTTCAATCTGTTGGGACGAATTGCAGTGTATTTCGATTTGTTTGCATGGTGGTGCGAATCAAACATTCAAATGGCTGAACGGCACCTTCTCTTAAGTTTACCATCTACCTCTTTTCCATTTTTCAGTTGACCAAAATATATACCACGATCGGCATTATAATTAGGTGCAGTCACTCGGAACATGAATGAATGGAGGCTTATTACAAAGATTTTTACCTCCTTATCCCTCTCTACAGTTCAGAAGAAACAGCAAATGAAGGTCTGTCACTCTTTACCCCGCCAAAATACATGAATGAATGGAGGCTTATTACCGTGTACCTCTTGGTCCTCTAAACATTTTAATTTGTTCCACAAAAAGGAACCGTGACAAATCGATTTTAAAAGATGCTTACCTCAACCTCCTCCATCTTCAAGAAATGCCCCTTCATACATGAATAATTGGTAGACTAAGACCATTGGGTTAGGGAATGTTGGAAGGTAGAAAGAACTACCAGTGTTAATTTTTTTTCGATACAATGTTAAACATCTTTATTATCTTCTACCGCTGTTTAATTAAAGGCAGGTAAACCAAATTAATTAAAACCTATTTTCAAACCCCCCATGCAGAAACTTTGAATAGATAATTGGAGAGAGAGGCGCTCAACAGTTGTCATTATTGAGATTAATGACTTTGTTCACAAGTCACCTACTGGTGGGATTGGGGGAATGACTCCATGATCAATTCTCCTCTTTCCCTTCACTTTCCTTTCCCCTACCTAATCGATCATGCCGCTAGTTGCAGATAATAATTATGTAAAAATAATAATATAATTTATATACGTATCTGATCATCATCAGGTCGCAACTTGGAATGACAACTAAGCTGGCCGATTACTTATACTAATTGCAGAGCTGGAACTTGATTACGTCTACTCGCTGATTGCATGCAAATAAGAGCTGAGAGAAAGGAGAAAAAAAAGAAAAAGGAAGACAATGAATTGCTTAAGAAGCAAATCCGTCTTCATTATTCATATTCTGTTGAGCTGTATGTATAGAAGCTGCTGTTTGATGCTAATTAATTTCAGTTGGTTCATCATTTTCATTGACTAATTGCTGCCTGATGCACTGTTCTCCCCACCTAAGCTTGTTTAATTTCCACATCTTTTTTTTCTCTTAACATGATTTTTTTTTGTCGTACCGATTACGTTCCCTACGAGCTAAGAAGGCAAGGTGAAAATAAAACAAAGACGTTGCGAGTAGGAGTTAATATTTTTGTGAGATAATGACGATATTCTACGCTATTAGATGATATGAAATCAAATTATTCTTTATGTTCGCGTTACTCAAATCGACATTCTTGCTTTCATTTTGTCTACTACAGCTCATATGAATGCTTTAAAGTCAAACAGCCATTTATCGATGTATTTTACATCCCACGAATTCAACACAAGAGCCCTCAATTAGTGAGCATAAATCCAGCCACGTAATGAAAATCCTTACAACAACCCCATAGAAACCATAGCCATATTGATCGGCCCAGATTGAAAATATCTATTAGTTTCATAATGCCGGCCCGGCGCGTTAACCTCAAAAGTAAATTATAGCTGTTTTCAGTGGGGCATTTAATTGGGCTTTGGCCCAACACCTCATGTCCAGTATCAACAGTTGCATGCCCAAATATTTTTTAATTAGAATACAATATAATGGGCCTGAACCAGGAAGCCTAAGCCTAGGCCTGGGTCTGTTTCTGTTGGCTTGGTCTCCGGAGGAAAAAGAGCGTTGCCGCGTGGGTGGGACCCTTTAGCAAGCGTCAAGTTCGGGGAAACGAAAGTACGAAACCCCGAGAAGGCCACGTCGAAACACCCAATAACAGACGGCCACGAGACACCCGCCACGAGCTCCTTTCTCATTGGCCGAGCGGATCAGACTTCGCAACCTCATTGGTCCACGTCACCATCAGTGACATGTTCTCTCTCAGTTCATCAACAAAATGAAAGATCGAAGAAATGCGAACGCAAAGGGCGAATGGTTATGTTGAAGGCTCTATAAAACCCACTATTTCCCCACGCGCGCTTAAAGTGTGTGTGTATCATCGAACACAAATCTGAAGGCCGTTTGAAAAACAGAGCACGTCACTCTTCCATCAGCTCTTCGCCTCTGCGGGGGTTTGCTTCTTTCCGTTGTTGATTTGCCGAGCATAGTTGCAGTTGAGGAAACTCCGGGGGATTGACGAAGAAAGAGTTGCTCGCTCACCATGGCTGGCTCTCAAAGAGCACGCGGTCTCGTCGTCTCGGCGGTTCTCTTGTTCGGTGAGTAGACTAGAACGTTCTTTCTCATTCCAGATCGCCGGATCTTTAGTTGATCCGTTTTCGTAGTATTTCTTGCTCGTTTCGTGTTAGTTTATACTGGATATTGAACTCAAATGATGTAGATCTAGCTTAGGTTTCGTTTCAGTTGGTGAATGGCGTTGCTTGCTGTCAGATCTATCCGTGATTTTGAATTTGGCTTTGATGGATTTAGGAGAGTTTCTTGCACGTATAGATTGCGAAATTATGTAGCCTGAGCTCAATCGCTGCGTGGAGAAACATTGCATATGGTGTAATGTGCTGTTCTGAATGTAGATCGATTTTTATTTCATTGCACTCTTTTGCTTTCTTGCCTGGTGTTGAAATGACGATCTGCTGATGCATGGTCTGTTCTAGAAAGGCTGAAGATAAAGTTTAAGTCTGTTTGATGAAATTTCGATTGAATCTTCTATGAAGAATGTATGTGGTTGCCTGGAGTAGTGTGTTCTTTCTATGCAATGTGAATGTGGTCCTAATCAGCTGATGCTATGATTTGTGCAATAACGTTAGGATATTGGAAAATATCTAGAATCCTATTTGATCTCTTGAGAATTATGCTTTGCAGGCTGTCTATTTGCAATTTCTATTGCGAAAGAGGAAGCCACCAAGCTAGGAACTGTCATTGGGATAGATCTTGGAACAACCTACTCCTGTGTCGGTGTGTATAAGAATGGTCACGTTGAAATTATAGCCAATGATCAAGGAAACCGTATTACTCCATCGTGGGTTGGGTTCACTGATGGTGAGAGATTGATCGGTGAGGCTGCAAAGAATCAGGCAGCTGTGAACCCTGAAAGGACCATCTTTGACGTCAAGAGGCTTATCGGAAGAAAGTAATTCCTCTAACCTTACTTTGTGATAAATTTTCTTATTTTTAAGCTCTTTGGCTGCCGATGTCTAACTGTGGTGGGTTTGATTCTTGGAACAAAAGGTTTGAGGACAAAGAGGTCCAGAGGGACATGAAGCTTGTCCCATACAAGATTGTGAACAAGGACGGGAAGCCTTATATCCAAGTTAAGATCAAGGATGGGGAGACCAAGGTCTTCAGTCCTGAAGAGATCAGCGCTATGATTTTGGTTAAGATGAAGGAAACAGCAGAGGCTTTCCTCGGAAAGAAAATCAAGGATGCCGTTGTCACCGTTCCCGGTTAGTAACTCAATCAAACTATTGCAGTATAGTATTTGTACTTTTGCATTCGAGAAGTATTTTTCGTTGTGTTTTCATAGCACTGACCAATCCTTTATCTGTCTTGCAAATGCAGCCTACTTCAATGATGCCCAGAGACAGGCTACCAAGGATGCTGGTGTTATCGCTGGGCTTAATGTGGCTAGGATCATCAACGAGCCAACTGCTGCTGCCATCGCCTATGGTTTGGACAAGAAGGGTGGCGAGAAGAACATCTTGGTCTTTGATCTTGGTGGTGGTACCTTCGATGTCAGTATCTTGACCATTGATAACGGTGTGTTTGAGGTTCTTTCCACCAACGGTGACACCCATTTGGGAGGTGAAGACTTCGATCATAGAATCATGGATTACTTCATCAAGTTGATCAAGAAGAAGCACGGAAAGGACATCAGCAAGGACAACAGGGCTCTCGGAAAGCTCAGGAGGGAAGCCGAGCGTGCCAAGAGAGCTCTCAGCAGCCAGCACCAAGTCCGTGTGGAAATTGAATCACTCTTTGATGGTGTGGACTTCTCCGAACCACTCACCAGAGCTCGCTTTGAGGAGTTGAACAACGATCTGTTCAGGAAGACCATGGGACCAGTGAAGAAGGCCATGGACGATGCTGGCTTGGAGAAGAACCAGATTGATGAAATCGTCCTTGTTGGTGGAAGTACCAGAATCCCCAAAGTTCAACAGCTCCTCAAGGATTACTTCAACGGTAAAGAGCCCAACAAGGGAGTCAACCCTGATGAGGCTGTTGCCTATGGTGCCGCCGTCCAGGGTGGCATCCTTAGCGGAGAAGGTGGCGACGAAACCAAAGGTAACCTTTCTCTGACAATTGGATCTCGGTCTCCTTATAAACTGTGTAATCTGAGAAGCTGAAATTAATTTGTTCTTTTTGTTTTCTGACAGACATCCTTCTTCTGGATGTTGCACCCCTCACATTGGGTATTGAGACTGTGGGCGGAGTGATGACCAAGTTGATTCCGAGGAACACCGTTATCCCCACCAAGAAGTCTCAGGTTTTCACTACATACCAGGATCAGCAGACCACCGTCTCCATTCAGGTCTTTGAAGGTGAAAGGAGTCTCACCAAGGACTGTAGAGAGCTCGGTAAATTCGATCTCACCGGAATCCCTCCAGCTCCCAGGTTTGTATTCTTTCCGACCTCCATCAATTGTGTGTTCCCTTTTCTCCCTTCTCATTCTACTAGTTTACATTGTGCTGAATGCTGATGCATGTCCTATTCACGTTATAACAGGGGCACCCCACAAATCGAGGTGACATTCGAGGTCGATGCCAACGGTATCCTGAACGTGAAGGCCGAAGACAAGGGCACCGGAAAGGCGGAGAAGATCACCATCACCAACGACAAGGGCCGCCTGAGCCAGGAAGAGATCGACCGGATGGTTCGCGAGGCCGAGGAGTTTGCCGAGGAGGACAAGAAGGTGAAGGAGAGAATCGACGCCCGCAACAGCTTGGAGACATACGTCTACAACATGAAGAACCAGATCAACGACGCCGACAAGCTTGCTGACAAGCTGGAAGGCGACGAGAAGGAGAAGATCGAGGCCGCCACCAAGGAGGCCCTGGAGTGGCTGGACGACAACCAGACCGCCGAGAAGGAGGACTACGAAGAGAAGCTGAAGGAAGTGGAAGCCGTCTGCAACCCTATCATCACCGCCGTGTACCAGCGGTCCGGTGGTGCCCCAGGTGGCGCAGGTGCTTCTGGAGATGAGGAGGACGAGGATTCGCACGATGAGCTGTAATTTCCTCATTTTGGCTTCCTCTCTTTTTTTTGGAGATAAACGACGGCGTAGTCTACTGCTTGGGAGAACGGTGAAAATGCTTGATGTTCGAGGGCGGGAAGGAAAAAAACAATCTAGGAGTAGCGTGAGAGAGAGCTAGGGGAAGGAGATATGGATTATAGCGTGAGAGGATTTTCTCCATTTCCCCGGTCTCTCCCGTAGCCTGTTTTTCTTCACTTTTTCTTTGGTTCCGTCAATACATTCAAAGTGTTAAACATAATCCTTTTTTGTTTAGTTCAGTTGAAGCTAATCGTAACGGATTTTGGTAGTACCTTGATTAAGTGTCTGTTTTTGTTTAATTATAGCCTGCTGTTTAGTTTCGTAGAATGCTGCTCATAAATCATAATGAGTAATTTTAATTTCCCTCCTGAATCTGGTCTTTCCATTCGGCCTGGAGCTGTCAAAAGACTGATAGGAAGAGGTTCAGAAATTGCGCAAAAGAGCAAAAGCTAAATGACTAACGAGGCGAAAGCGCATTTATAGTGATGCAAAACAAAAAAATTGCAATGGCTTAACCCAAAGCACGCCCGCCTATAGTTACGGCAGTTGCAGAACTTTCCAACGGGCGACGTTATGATAATTTATCTCAAAGGCAAAAAAGAATGTAATGAAAGACAAATGCGGAATTCGACCATACTACTACTAGCTTACACTAACAGAAAGTCGGATAAATGACTTGGCTGCCTGCCGTACTACAACCCGGCTTTGGGATCTCCAGCTCCAGCAGCAACAACTCCCATCCCTCCAGACTTCCCTTCCTGGCTCCCTTCTGGAAAAGCAACTTTGTCGCCCTTCACCTCATCGACGAGCTCGTCGATCTTCTGGAACTGATAAGGCCACCTCACGTTGTACAGAAACTGGCGGAGGTCGAACCTGTTGTCCTCAGGTGAATAACTCTGCAAAAAGGCCCAAACAAGCCCCATGATCAGATCAAAACCGGATTTTCTTATAAACTCCGAAGAAAATGAAGACTATGACGTACCTCAGCATGGTATGATGGGGTCAAGACCGTCATTTTGTGACGGTTGATTGAATAGTACTTGAAGAAGTGCTTCACCTTTTCGGCCACTTCTGATGGGGTTAATGTTGATCCCCATCTGAAGCAAAGATTCTGCAACATCACCACAGAGAGACTTCAAGAAGTAAGAGTATATGGTATGGAAATGGCTTAATTTCCTGACAGAGAATTTTTAAACAGAAAGCATGCCTTGAACATTGACACTGGACCAAGCCGGTATATCTTTCGCAGTCTGCCATATACCGAGAGCTCCTCGTATGTCATTCCCATGTCCACTTCATCAAGCTATTATCAGGCAAGGTACACGCATTACGGCAAAATCATGCAGGAAGGTGGCTGTAACAGGGGAGAGAACTGAAGAGTAATAGGAGAGAATACCTGGCTGTAATTTGAGCGTATAGGCTCAAGTTCTGCTGTTGGTGGAGCTGCTTCGATTTCGGACAAGGATGAATAACCAAGATGTTTGGCAGCCCACTTTAGAAATGACCTAAGATCCATCTTGCTTATGCTTCCAATTGGATTTATATCTGCTGAGCTGCAATCATACTGCAGAAGATGCACTTACGTAATAATTAGTGTAAGAAGAAACCAGGAATGGCAGAAGTACATTTGATCTGAAAAGGTTCCATTCAACTAAAACAGTTCTTACCACAATATGTTCTAGCTATAAACGGTGAAGAAAATAGTAAAAGAAGGCAGATACCTCGTATTTTCATTATATCTATTACGAAGATAGCTTCAGAATGTAGAAGCAAATAGACAAATTGCTAAATATCAAGTTCATATTATAGCTTAGTCTTCTTTTTGTCCCAGTACCTTGGTTAAATAGCCTCGCAACCCTTCATCGACATTGGAGCTACCCAAAACAAGATAGAATCCCGGTTTATTGTGAACCCATGGCAGGAGTGAGGCTAACATGAATGCTAGAACCATTCTTATTCTAGCTTGGATATTCTGGAGGCCTAGGTTCTCAATGTTAGAACCCCCATCCACCTGTGAAATGAAACCAAGCTTCAAAATTACAGAATAAATGACACAATGCTCATTTGAGTCAAACACACAACTCAGTCAACCGTTAAGGGAACAAGATATTCCTCAAAGATATGATGGGTTTCTACTCTTTTTGTAAAGCCAGTGAGACTGGGTTCCTACTTGCCACTATACCTTATAGCATGGTCGTTTCCCTGTAAGAGTTTGGAACAAGGAAAGGAATGCAGATACAACACCATCTATTGAAACATTGAGATGCCATGAACCTATCTCATCCGCAAGAACCTTTGCCCGGGTTCTTGTCGCATCAGAACTGCAGAAAAAACAACTCAGTCATGACAAAAGACCACAAAATCAGGTAATTTTCTGGAAGTGAAGATACCAAGGAGGCAAGGAATACGGTTCAATTAGCATGAAATAATCACAAACTGAATGACCATGACACCAACCTATTTTCAGTTCCCATATACACAGTATAAAAGATACGCTTTGCAAATTCTTTGCTGTCTGTGGGAAACTGGCCATCAGTGTAATGTCCAATGCGTATTGCATCAGCTTTGACTTGCTCGTCTCCATTCGCAATCTCTGAAACCAATAAGAAAGCAGGCATGAAGGTTAAGTATACCTGTTCTGGGTTCATAATATCATAAAATCTATATTGACTGCACCAAATTGACCTTTTACAACAAGTTGACACATGCAACCAACTATGGCAGCTACTGAGGAACTATCTGCACCACCAGACAGAGGAAGCAAATATCCAGAAGCACCACTTCTTCTCAAATAGTCCCATAGCCAGCAACCAGGTCCAAAAGCTATTTCCTCCTCAGGACAGTGATAGTTGATCTGGAAAACATAGAGCACAATTAAAGTCGGTTAACATACAAAAGAGGACTGGAAAGAGGTGAAATTTCATTAACATTGCAATAGTCAAAGCACAAGCCAGATCTAAAATCCCGTACAATTGAAGTATGATTGACTCTATAGCTATGCTTTGAATTATACCTTCATGGGGCTAGAAAGAGTCATTTTCAGGTTAAATGGCTGACACAGACTGTAAGGTGCTGCTACAGAAGGCACACTGGTTTTACAGCTAGCTTGTTCTTGGAAACTACTAGTGGATCCTCTTAGGCTAGCCACCTGCGATCAAGAAACAAAACCATTTTATAGTAGCAAAGCCCTCGACAAAGAAATCTGCTGAAAGAAAACATGTCAGCTTCTGAATGCTAAGAAAACCTTTGTGAGAGAGTTTAGACTCATACAGTCGAGAATAAATTTTCAGAAGGGATATATTATTTGACTAGGGCCGGAAGTTCTCTTACAGCATCAAGATCCACTTGAGCAACCACAAGCTCAACATCTTTCAAGGAAAACTGTGAGCCTTGGGCGAGAACTTCTCCATTTACAACAATGGCAGAGCATCCATCTGTGGCATATAGTTCATTAGTTAAGAACTTTTCGACCAGTAAACTTAGTCAATCGGGCTTAGGGATCAGAGCAACTAAGGAATGTTAAAAGCACCATAATAAAGGCGGCCACCATCACATCCTTGGTGATTACTATACATATACACTCCTCCACGAGTAGTAGCACCCATAAAAGCCTCAAGACGGATATCAAGCTTTCTCAGTTGGTGGTGACTTCCACTTGCATTCATAAACACCTCAACCCCATTAAGTGCGAGCTCGTCATGAGGTCTAACCGGTGTAAAAAGCTCCTCGCAAACTTCAGCAGCAACAGCTCTAAAAACCACGTAGAATTAATGATATGGCAATCTTACTAGGAACCGCATCATTTGTTGGCAAACTAAAGTAACTAATTCTTCAATCACTATGCAAAAAAAGAGAAGGAAATTCTAACGTGTCTTGAAATTGAATGAACCCATATCCAAATGGCACCGATCTCTGAGAAATGGCCTCTGCAACGTTTGGTGGGAGCACAAAGTCATGCAGTTGATCCCTTTGCTTCCAGGCAGTGAACCACCGGAGCTCCCTGTAATTGCCGTCGTTTGCAAGCCACATTTTCGGGCGGATCATCAGAATCTTTCGGTTCATGCACAGAATTTGACAGTTATACCGCTCGGAGCCTTTGAGCACGGGCATGCCTATACTGCACAATATTCCGTCGGTCCAATCTCCGACCAGAATCTCCTTCAAACATTCCCATCTTCAGGAAAGACCGAAACTTTCACTAAATTGGAACAACCCAGGATGAAATTGAAACGGTAAAGGGGGCAAGCTTGACTCACGAGTGGGTGACGGTATCGAGCTCGAGAAAGTGATCTTCGCAGCCGTAGCCGGTGACCTCGAGCTCGGGGCCGAGTCGAATGACGGCACCCGCTTGTTTAGCTCTGGTAATCGACTCCTTTATGTGCTTCAAATTGCAGTTGAAGTCCATCGCCCATTGGTTCAAATTGCAGGTGGCTAACTTCAACAGCCTCATCTCCGCCGGAATTAGGGAGAGGTTTTCAAGCGAAGCGAAGGACGCAAGAACCGCCGATTGGGGAAACTGTGGATTCTGCGGAAAAGTTTTTGAGAGGAATGAGAATTGGAAAAGCGAAAGCTTTTTTTTGGAGAATATTTAGCTCTGCCGGTGGCGTGGTTTAGGGGGCGCCAACTCAGCAGCGGGTCCTGGACGTCGGTCCAACACTCTTGGACGGGTTATCTGATAGTCTGATGGATGGACTCAGGTCGATCGGTTTCCTCTGCAAATTTTTTCCCGTTGAATAAACTGACGGGATATCCAATTTGATGGTCAGCAAATTTGAACCGCTTGTCTCGAGTTTCCAGGGTTCTGTGACGGAATTCAACAGACGGTGGTTTATAGGACGGACGGAGACGCGGTCTGTGACGGAATTCAACAGACGGTGGTTTCGAGTTTCCAGGGAGGGTTGAGGAGAATGGATGGGGAGGAACGGCCTCGGGTGGGCTTTTGTCCATCGAGGCAAACATAGTGGCCCACTATCTGGCCCACTGGAACATTCCATGGGATTGGGATGGTTAGTAGATTTGCTTATTAATGAAAAGCAGGGGACTTTTCAAAAAAAATTTATATAATTAGAGTAAATAGTAAATAAAATTTATTAGACTAAACTTTCAAAATTTTAAAATTATTATCCAAACATTTCGTAATATAAAGTATTACCAAATCCTTTTAACACATCGAAATATTAGCTATTTGAATGGTACCGTTGATAGTTTTGTAACTATTTTCTTATTTAAAATACTTAAATTTTGACCTCAACATATCTATTCCATCTCAAGATCATATTGGCAAGTCAGCATTACTAACAAAACTGTTAACATGGAGTAATGTTTGACTAATACTTTGAATTTTGAAAGATCTGACTACTAATTTAAAAAGTTATAAGAAGGGTTTGGATAAAAAGTTATAATGTTTTATTAATACACTTATGCATCATGGATGATCTGACACATACGTGGGAAAATAGCCTAATTTAAGAAAATAGATCTCTCTGCCACCAAGTGTAGTACATTTCATATTTTGTTCCAGGCAGGAGGTGAGAATCACAGTTTGATCGTGGTTGACGGTGTCGGGATGAAAACCTTAACAAAAAGAGACATGTTTGATATATTTTTTTTAATACAAAAGTATGGTTGATGTAAAAAGAACTAAAAGAGTATGCTCGATAAAAATGCATAATAAAAGAGTGTGTTCATATCTATAACCCCTTTTCTATTCTCCTTTAATATATATAAAAGGTAAGTAATTAATACCAATAAGTTACCAATTTGTTTATGGAAAAACACTAATAACACATAAACAAGAAATTCTATAGCTCTATCAATTATGGCAACTAATTTATAACAACACAAAGAAATCCAATTAATGCAACAATGGTTGGTGCAGCATGGCCTATAAAAAGGCCAAAGTGGTTCCTCTAGTTCTCCCCAAGGCCCAAACATATTCCATCACTAACAATTCCAGCGCACTCAATACCCTTTCAAGACAATGGCTGCCCTCGCTTGGATGATCGTCGCCGTAGTTGGTCTCTGCATCATCAGCAGTGACGCGGCGGTTGCGACGCCGGCGTCGGCGTCGTCGACGGACGCGTACTCGTTCCCTGACCACTCCTGCGGCGTGATTCCGGTGGACCCATCGAGCCCGTTGGGTCAGGCGAGAAAAGGGATCCTCGTCAACGTGGTCAACGTCCACAACTCCCATTCCGGCGAGTTCTCGACGTGCATCAACGTGAACAGCTTGTTGTGGGCTCGGGCTGCCTGCCCCGACCCGACCTCGGCCTCGTGCCCGGCCTGCCTCGGCGAGGCTCAGGCTTTCTTGGACCAGAACTGCATGTACTTTGACGAGGGAAGGGTTCAAGAGAATGCTATGACTTGTAACATGGCGTTCGGTGATAAAAGTGTTTGTGATTAATAAAATTCATATTTTTCTTTGATAAACTAGATCAGGACCCGCCCGTTGGCCGGATCAATTTCATTAATAGTATAAATAACATTAGTAATTGCCCAAAGCAAAACATGGTTTATTTCATACCATAAAAATTTCAAATCATTTAATTACTGAAATCATGCTCTTATAATTTTTAACATGCAAACCCGATTTACTAATGGAAGTTCTTACTCAAAGTAGAAAACAAAAGTCATGCAAGGAAATTGACTCCTAAGAATTTAATAAGACTACCACACTATTTACTCCTCGATGTCAAGAATTATAGCAAATTCCATTTTGGTTTTCTTGTGATGGCTCGGCTACGCCTCTAAAGCACCGTCATCTCCACCAATTACAAAGTTTTTGTGTTCCTTAGCGAAATACTGTTCTTCACGATAGGTTGTTCGTCCTTTTTTACATTGAAAGCCAGTATTTAATAATCAAATGTTTGAAAATATTGATTATTACACAGTAAAATTTATATCTCACAAACATTTTATGAGACTTGTTCTTTCCCTAACGCCGATAAACAACCATGTGACCAACAAAAAATTTGATAATCTATAGATTGAAAACTTAATGAATAATAGTAGATGTTGACTATTTTGTAATAGATACGTTTCATTTTTTTTTCTTACATGTCTGCAAATTTGGTTGCCCAATTGTAAAAATGGCTTAGGTGACATAATCATTCTAAGTTGAATTTAAGAAGATATGAAAATTAGTAAATGGTTGCCCAATTGTAAAAATGGCTTAGGTGACATAATCATTCTAAGTTGAATTTAAGAAGATATGAAAATTAGTAAAAGTCTAGTAAGCAAGGTTATATATACCCACTTTCATAACAATCTAACAAAAAATTGATGGTGGGGATAACATTAAGAATTGTCGTAGAGATCGGGTACCACAATTGAAGAATTCATAATTTATGAATGCTATTATATATGATTCAATAGAATGCTTGACTAACATATTTAATTTTTTACTCCAAAATATGTCAAAATATATATTATTTTATATAATTTTTTTGTTTTGTTAAAATTTTGCAATTTAAATTATAAAATGAATAATTAAAAACTAATAAGAGAGTGCTTATGCACCTGAATTATACACCTAATATGTTAATAAACTAATAATAATCTAAATTATCTAAATGGATACAACAAAACACCGTTGCTAATAATATATATATAACAAATATATAAACAAAATTTATAATGTTTATAATATCGGTGCTTTCAATAAAATTTTTATGTTACAAATTGAATTTGTACTTTTAATGTTATAGTTAAATTCAGTTTGAGTCTACACATTTTCGTACAATTTTTTATAGTATTAATTAAACTTGTACTTTTAATGTTATAATACAAATTTACTCAATACATATAACTTTTCATCCAAATTCATTTATGATACAAACTGAATATTTACCTTTAAGGTCTTGGTATAGTCTATACAGGCGTATTTCGTACAAATTACTTTACGATTCAAACTAAACTATACTTTTAACATTGTAATACAAACTCAACTTGTAACATCAATATTTTGATGTATAATAATGAGCTCATATATATTTAAATAATTAAACAGTGATGGGTAGTGGCTTTCTTTTTAGTTGGAGTCCATGGAGTCACGATTTTTTCAGTTAATAAGTGGACTTTCTCTTTAGTTGGAGTCCCAAATTTTTTAATTATTAACTGGCTATTTTAAGCTAATGACCAAATAATCCTTCCTTGTTGTGCGCAAAAGCTAGGGAAAAGCTAATTAGGTGGGTTGTCAAGAAGAATCTCTATATATTGTTTCTAGGATTTGTTGAAAAAAAGATAATGGATAGTTTATTTCGGAAATTTTGTTTTAATTTATCAAACAATCTAGAAACTATAAAAATAATTAGATAAAAGAGTTTCGATCTTGTCAAGTGATAGTGAAAAAATAAAATCCGATTAAGTCGTATAACAACTACATATAATAATCCAATATCACACGAATCAGGTTATACTATCACACCGTAATGACTTCTCATAAAATTTGAACCAATCATTTGTCGATTCATTTTAATTTCGAGGGAAGAAAAATTAGATCAATTATGATCTATAAAATAACATTCATTTTAATACATTTAGAAAGAAAAAAAAAAGAGATATGTTAATGTATTATGGTGGTACATAAAATAGCATATTGGTATAGATGTTGTAAAATGGTTGTATAAATTATCCAAAAAAAAATTTAGAAATATATCATAAATGAATATTTTAACGTATACAAAAATCAATCAACCTTAATTATTAATTTTATCTATGCTTCTCGTTTTTCGTTTCCGAATCTCCTTGTCAGTTTACGTGGTCCACTATGAGTTGTCGTTCTAATTACTAATTTGATTTTGATAAGCAAATTTGTGATTTTTTTGCGAGATAGGTTGAATAATTTATAATTAGTGATAAATTCAGTCTGAATAAGTGCATTAAAAATTTTAGAGTTGAAAAACCGATACGATACAGTTTCACAAACTGAAATAAATTCGAGTTAGATGCGATAATGTACACGAGAGAAGAGAGTGCCGAAACATTTGGGCCTTTTCCTGAGCCCAACGCAAGAGATCCCGTTGCTCTGCAGTCTGCATAATTTTGAGTTTTCGTGAGCACGTTAGTGTCTAGACTCTAGAGTTCTAAAGAGACAATCCCAGCGTCTTACCCATAAACCTGCTTAGCTTTGCTTCAAATCCAATTGGTGCAGATTTCAGGTTTTGATTGATTAATGGATATAGGCTTTGGGAATTCACTACACTTGAAGCGAATTGAATTTATGAGTATGAATGAGAAAGATTGAAAAAATATATCATTCTTTGTTGTGGCTTGAAGGTGGGAAATAGTTGCTCCTGAATCATGGTGCTAATAGTCTCCATACTTTTATTTTTATCTCCTATAATTGGATTCCTCCCCCTCTCCCCCCCCCCCCCCCAAGTCGTATAGTTGTTAACAAAAAATTTCAAAATATAATAGTTCTTATAGAACTTACCAATCTATATATGTTTGGACTTGATTCGCACGTTGTTCGTCGTTGGAGAGGAAAGCGATCAAAGATTGCTTGACATTTGATCTCTGTTAGGAGAAGTGATCTATCTGAAATCAATGAGAGTACAACGATCAATGTTTTCGCCGTGGTAGTGAAACACGATTTTTAATTTCATCACTTTACACATAAGTGATCAACCTTTTATTGCTTTTTACAAAAGCAATCAACATGAATAGCTTTTGAGTTGAAGCGATCAAGTTTCTACTTGGTCGGCTCTTTTCAATCCGACATCACTCCAAGCTAAAGTTAGGTGCCATCACTTTGGGTGGACTGGTCGAAGGCCTGATTCCTTTTTAGCCTTAGCGATTCATGTGTTGATCGCATCAGTTTCAACGATAAAAGTTAGATTGCTTAGCCCTAAAGCGATTGATGTACAATACGCACCGATTAAATAATGTCTTCTACCACCCATTTCTATCCACTCTCATTTCCTCTTCCCCATCAATAGAAGTTTTGGAACTTTCCTACCCATCCCACAAAACTCCTCATATCTATTCCCTTAACCTCCTGTTAGAAGGGAAGAATGAAATTGTTGAATATGCTTGTGTTTATATAATTATGTTTTGGGTTCGAGTAGATTGTAGGATACATTCGAGTAGATTGTAGGATACATTGTTGTTTAACTAGCGTGGCCCTGACCAGTTGGACGGAGGAAGGTGGCGTATGAAATTTGATAATGTAATGGGGTGTATAGCTTATTGTTATATTTTTTTTTGGGAAACATGTGATAAAAATAGTGAATTTTAGCAGGAAAGACACATGAATGATGCAACGAATAAAAAATCACCCTTATGAACCAAAATCAAGTACTTGTTACCTTGTGAAACAATATTGTTTCTGGTAATATGATGAGGTGGAGTAAGTTTTATAGAAACCGAATTCCATAAAATCGAATAAAAAATCGCCTATCCCGTCGGTTTTCAGGAAATGAGCATCTCACAATCGTTGCTAGCTTTTACTCGGCCGTTGGCCGATTAATTTGCTTTATAAAACTTTCATCTTGTCGTCATCGTGCTTTCTGGTTTTTGTCAGGCCATGATAAAATCTAAGGAAATCAAGAACGAACAACACGATTTGGGATAGGAACCGCCGTTGTTGCATCCCTAGAAAATGGTGGTAAACACGGACTCACCTGCCAAACTGGTTTGGATTGAGATTTTTATCGGGTATTAGGGAACCATGTGATTATAAATTAGACTTGATCAAAACGAGCCAAAACTTGAAATTCAGCCTGTTTGACCGACCTATGCCAAATTCTAATTATTCTTTACTTTTAAACTTTCTATTTGAAAATAAAAAATAGCGAAAGAAAAGAGATGACTGCAATTCGCCATTTGCACATCACTTATTCGGGAATAAAACCATAGAAATTCAAAAGGAACTGAAAATGTTTTGGATCGTTTTAATGTTTAAAATAACCAAATAGATCTTTCTGTTTAGTTTTTTACTAACAAATACCAAACGATTTCCTATAAAATACACTATAATTTGATCATTATGATATCAAATAATTATATAATATATATTTGAAATGATTTGGACTAATTGGGTTGTTCGAGGTTGAACCATTGAATAACTTTAAAATATATTATATTTTAGCCACTAAGATATAAAATTATAGCATAATATATATTATGCCAGAGAAAATAGCTTGTTTTAGAATGACAAACCAATGAGTTCATTTGTTTTACTTGATGGCCAAATCGCATGTAGGTCAGACCCATTCAACTCTTTTATTTTATGGTTAGCGGTTAGCCCATTAGATACCATGCATTAGCTTATTGTTAATTTTTTTTAGCAATAAAAATGAGTATTGTTTTTGCCTTTTCATATATATTTTATCACCATGGAGAAATAAAAGGGCTTAAAGAAAACAATTGACACTCCTGGACCCGTTTTAATCTGCATGTGTATGGTAAGTTGGCCCGTTCCACAGAGGAAAGAGAAAAAATTGACACTCCCTATTCTACCCTTCCTACAAACGCTCCTGGAGCAGGGAATTTGAAATGGAGGAATGTTTTTTCCTCGCTGCTATTATATGTTTTTAATTTAAAAAGATACAACAAATGTAGTTAATGTGATTGGTTATGATCCTTGTTTTTTTTTAAATGGACATGGTTTGAATCCTAGTACGTGTCTTTTTAATGAATAAAAAAAAGTAATTGTGAAGTCTTCCTACTTTCATTCTTGTTGCAGAAAATTTGAAATGGGCTCCCGTTTTTCCCTTCGGCGTATTATATTATGTGTAGACTGTTTAAGTAGTCTATAGGGTATGTTATTCAACCATTCTCGACCATTCTCAACAAATGTAGTTAGTGTGACAAATTGGGGCACTTGCTCGTGTCTCGACCATTCTCGTCTCGGCTCCGTGGGTGAAAGTGATGTTTGTTCCTAGACGTCACAATCAGTTGGCCGACTGGGTTGCTCGTAATGCAAGATTAGGTGCTCTCCCACGAGATTGGATCATTGTTGCCAATTTGTTGTCTCCTTTGTTGTAATCAACTGTACTTCCACTGTTTCGATTTGGAATGAAAGTGCCCCAATTTGTCAAAAAAAAAAGTATGTTATTCAACATTAGATTATATATTAAACTGTATGTATTCTTAGTTATTCTAAATTTAGAAAATCCCGAAAGTTCCAGCTACTTATTCGATGGAATAGTCGGATGACTAACTCCCACTTCATATGGATTATGAAGATGGTGAACCCCAAATTCATTCCTTTCCATGAAGTATCGGACCGGAACACTTGAATCAAAACTTGAGGGTTTCTCTATTAAAATACATACTCGTATGAGTCGACCTCATCCAATCGCGCCAGAAAATTAAATAGCCAATTTACCATGGATTGCATATGGATATCGAATATCACTAAGAACTAACAAAATTGTAATCAAACTTAGATAGTTGAATCTATGATAATAACTTATTTACAAATATATTGATAAATAGGTAATTTTGAAACCAATCATAATAGTCGCGAGAAGTTTTATATTGGCTAAAGGAGGTGAGAATTTGAATTCGAAATTAACAAATAATTAGCTAACAAAAGAGGTATTTATTATCTTTAGAACTAGTGACCGAAGAGGAGGGATTTATTTAGTACCTCACCAAATTTGCGGACGTCCCAACTAAAACCCCTTTTCCCCAATTTTGGCGTCCACGTTTGCTCCCTCCACGTTGTTCTTCCTTCCTCTCTGGCGACTAGGGTTTCCAAATTCCCACCCCCAGCAATCTTCCAATTCCTCAATTGATCCTTGAATTCCTTCGAGTCATCCATGGAAAACAACGAAGCCAACAACAACGCGAGCATCGCTTCCGTGGATGGCATAAACCAGATGGCCAGTTGGGTTAGCACGTATGTGACCTCCGCCTTCTTCTCCTCTCTGGAGCGCTTTTCCTGCGTCAATATCCAAACCGCCGATCACGATGATGATGACGATGAGGGCGACGTCCGCCCTCTCAGACTATTCTCAACCGCCTCTCGCGACACCGTCGATGAGCTCCCGGTTTGATGATTGATTCTCTCCCTACCGGCCGGAGCTGACCTCGGTACTTCTTACAATTTATCCCCTTCTAAACCAATCCGTTTTCAATTGGTTGTTCCCTGTTCTCTCTCCCAGCCTGTACTTTGGATGATCTTCGACTTTTGATGTTCAATCGGAAAGCCACCCGTTGTTGTGATTGCTTTTTTTTTTTTTTGTATTGTATTTGAATCCAGTTCCTAACATTTGGGCGCTTGAGGTTCTTTATTGTGTGTATTGTTGTTACATTTCAAGAGTGAAATATGAACAAATTGCCTTAAAGATTGTTCCTTTCTTTGTATCTAGTGGATTGTTTAGGAGGAATATACTTTCTTCTAACGCTTTAAGTATCCTTGCCAAGTATGTCGAATGTGTTCCACCTTTTCTGTACTTCGCTGTCAATGCATTGCTGTTCCATTATCGTGCTTGGGAAGCTGCGTCATCTTTGTTGATGCTGTTTAAGTGTTTAGTCTATTTATGTGGTTGAATTATGACCAAGTACTTCATAGGCATCAATGATGAGTTATCAAAACAACAAAGCATATTTGATGATCGAAACTAGCACAACTTATTAGCATCCGCGGTGTGAACACTTGATATCCCCCTACCATTTAGTGCTGGCTAGGCTGTCAGTGATAATCTGTTATGGATATGCTGACATGTAGATTTCAGTCCATATTGGGGGGGATGTGGTCAAAGTGTTGGGTATTGCTCAAGGAACTTTTTTCCATCTTATCAAGGGTGAAAAGGACTAGAGCATCTGTGACAGTGAGTTGGATTTGGAATGGAGCATTAATGTCTTCCAACTTGTATCTTGGTTTGAATTCTTATGGTTTCATAAAGTTTCTCCTCCTTCCGCCTCGAGTCTTTGAATTAATCTGACCTTGCCTGCCCCAGGCAGTATAGTTTTCATCCTGGGGAAAATTTGGAGTTTGGGTTTGAAAGGATGAAGGATAGCATTATGGGATATGAATACTTTCATAACTCATAATGTCTCATCGTCTTGGCTTACATTTCTGTTAGATGCCAAGTTATGTTAATGATAACTATTAGCTAGACTCATCTTTGATATTCTTGCGCAGATTGTTTTCCTGGGAATGGCATACCTTTCTGGTAAAAGGAAAGTAGGAAGATAGGAGCACAAAATCGTTTTTGTTTTTGCTTGTATTTCATTGCTCTTTCCACATCTGATTACAAGTTTTCCCTATCCGACTCTCTTGAACCCCTGTTGGGTGCTATTACTATTACCTTTGTAGATTGACAAAAGACATACACATGGCTTGAGTAAGTAAGATTGTTGTAGAACTGCTGTACACATAGTTTACCATTTTCCCTCACTTATCTTCATGCTCCTTCCAACAAAGCAGCATCACAATGCAACGACGAATGATGTAAAACCTTCCCTTTGCTTGCTTCACGACCCCACCACCATCCCTTTGCTGACTTTTGTCTTGTCTTTGCGAGGAAGAAGCTAACTTTCTCCTTTGGCTAGTTGATAATTCCATGAATGTCTTGACTCTTTCTATCTCTGCTTCTTCTTGTTTGTTTTGCTGGTGCAACCCCTTATTCTCCTTCACCTTGCTTCTCCTTTTATAGGGGCTCCTTCCCTTTGGAAGTGGTGGTGTTGTTTTAGGAATCTTTTGTTGGAGTTACTGGTTTAGTGCTGGCCGCTGGGTTTTATATAAATTTCAATTCTGTTCAAGTCAGTACATAAACCTGCTGAGCCTTTTATTGTTTTTTTTTTTGGGGCAGTCAAAAAAGTGAAGTGGCCTTTTTCTGTGTTTCTGTAACATCCAGGTTTCCAGGTTAATTTTGCTTTGCTTTACTACCCAAACTGGTGTATTTTGGGTCCAGGGTTTGTTGGATAAGCGACACATGGATCACATTGGCTTGGTGGACACATTAATTAGTGGGGCTTTTTTCATTATTATTATTATTTGTCCCTCCAGTTCTCGTTTCCATACTTCTTTTTCAGATTTTGCCAGTTATTGTGTGTGTGAGAGAAAAAGAAGGGTAGTTGAAGACCATTTTTACCTCCTCTGCGATTTTGGGGAAATGCTCCTCCTGTTTTTAACTCCTTTCCTCAGCTGGCATTTGACCTGGAGCAGTTACTAGTGTGTTCTGTTTCCCACTATTAATGAATCCTGCCCCTATGACCTAACACTATCTGGGTTTTGTTCCTTGCCATGATTTGGTTTGCATTTGAGTGTTTTTTTGTTCATGTGTCCTGAATGGCAAAAGTAGCTGGTGCAGCGGACCAAAGAGCAAAATATAGGCGATGGCTGTTGCACTTAACTGAGGGGGACGAAGCTGCCCTATCGATGACAATGGCGTTTCTCCGGGCGGTAACCAGACCTGTGAGATTGCAAGCAGAGGTAAAATCCAACTTTGCCTTGTTAAGTAGTCATTGTCAACGGAGAGAATGCATGCAGAGGTGAGGAATAAGGATTTTTGTTATGTGCACGTGATGTAGTAGTACTAGTAGATTGGTGGAGGCCTCTTTGAGGTACATAAACCACCCATTTAATGATGGGGTTGGAGGGTTATGGACTGAAGTGAAGAAGGGGAGTTATGGGAGGAATTGGAAGGAGTAAGAATAAGCTGAAACGGGCAACTAGTTAACCGAGAAACCTCTCTAAAGGGTTCCCCTGGATTTAGGGTTTCCATTATGGTTTGATGAGAGGAAGAGAGCAGTTGGAACAGAAGAAAGGTGGTTGGAGATTTTGGGTTTTGGGGATTGTACGGCCAAGAGGAAAAAGAGGGGTAACTTAACGCCCTTAGCTGGGTAACGTGGATGTCATGTGACCTTCACATGGGTTCGTTTTGGGCGGATTCTCACCCTAAACCCTAGAACAAAACTGAACCACACGGAACGGAAACCTCCTCGTGTCAATTGCTGTCTACTAATGTCTTTATTACTTGACTTGGGACATTCGTAGGGAAGACCGATTGAATTTTTTGAAGGATGTGGCCATGTGGTCCGTACTGCTCCTGGGTACGGCCTTGTCTGTTGCCTCACTTCCAGTTCCATGTTCCAGTGTTCTTGCTTTTCTTCTTGGTCTTGTTTATGCTGTTGCTGTTCTCATTTTTGGCACACGGTAATGTCAATGCGTTGGCCTGAAGAATGGGAATATAACTGCTCCGGTGATGAGTGTTCTTCGTCCGTCGTTCCAATTTCTGAAGCCATTGCTCCTTTTCCAGTATAGTGTGGACTGAGTGCTGGGAAATTGTAGAGAAAAAGGATGAACCTCCTACTCTGAGGAGCTTGTTTCTCCATCCCCTGCTCGAAATTGATTCTGGGTTTTCCCTCTTTTGTGTGCTCGTTGCTGCCTTATGATATGGGCGTTCGAATTAGGTAAGGAAGGTGTTGTCAATTGTCATGGTGCTGCACTTGACTGTTCCAGCTAAACTTGTGAAGTTGTTTTATTGGTTTCTTTTGAAAGTAGAAATGGAATCTATGATGCATTATATGGAATCTACATTTTACGAAATACGTCATAATGGATTCTGAAATTCAATTTTGAAATGCGAACATAATTTCATGGTCACAGTCATGTTCAAGCACATCCGTGTGACACTCCCCAAACAACCAGCGCCCAGCGAGACGAATAACCAGGCCCAACGAAAGCATGTGGTCCTTAGGGCCATAAGCCCAAATTTCGCTTCAGATGAATTGTTTTTGTGGCAGTGAACAGAAAATAGGGGAAAGAGGTCACCTTTTGTAATGGCGCGAATTCCTTCCTCCACTACTCGCCGGCTTAACAGTATTTTCCACCCATCCGCCATGGATTTTGCCGATTTGCAGATTCCCCATAGCAGAACCTCACAAACACAACAAGCCAATTCTTCTCACGTAACTAAGAAACCCAAACTTCCCGTCGACTTCACTGGTCAAAACAGAACAGGCAAAGTGACAACTTATCAAATCTTAGGAACCGATTGCCGGCCCCGGTCAAATTGTTACTATGACCAGCTCTAATTCGTCATCCCAAACGGCAACACCAGCCCTGCAATTGCTTCACCAGCATGGACTCCAGCTTAGTCATCGTCGTCTTACTGACGTTTCTGTTCTCATCACAAGCTTATGTATCGTCGGGAATGGAGGTTCCTCAGAGAGGGCCCGTGGTCCCCACTACGCCCCTTCTGGCATTCCTCGAACGAGTTCAAGAAACCGCTTTCCAGGTTCTTGGCGGGGAGAGGGGGTTCGATTTTAAATCCTACATTGATATGTCTCTCAAGTTCAATCTGTCACACACCCAGAAGGTGTTTGATGAATTGCCAAGGAGGGCAAATGGGAGTGTCCCGGTTCAGGAGTTTCGGAGGTTTGTGGCACAGTATTTTGACGATGCTGGGAGTGATCTTCTGGTGCATGAGCCAGTGGATTTTGTGGCGGAGCCTGATGGGTTCTTGCCTAAGGTGAAGAACCAGAAGGTCAGGGCTTGGGCACTGGAAGTTCACTCCTTGTGGAAGAATCTGAGCAGGAAAGAATCGGATGAGGTCCACAAACACCCTGAACTCCACACTCTGCTTCCCCTGCCGGAACCGTCGATCGTCCCAGGTTCAGGGTACAGGGAGCTTTACTATTGGGATTCTTACTGGGTTATCAGGTTAGTTAGCCTTTCTAAAGATAGAGTTTTCAAACTGTCAAGAGATGTATATGGTCTTGATTACAGAATGGGCTGCCCTCCCTATCCATGTTTTATCGTTGCTCTTACAAGCTCCTTGAACCCCCAGTTTCAAGAATAAAAACTTCCAAGTATCTATAAGTATTTTGGTTCTTTCTAGGGTTTGTTCATCTAGTTATCTTTTGAGTGAATTAACTTGTGGAATACACTTCTGATGTCAGAGGTCTCCTGGCAAGCAAGATGTATGAGACTGCCAAATCAATCGTCACTAATCTGTTATACTTACTGGATACATATGGCCATGTCCTGAATGGTGCAAGGGTCTATTACACTAACAGAAGGTAGTAGTCCTTTTGAACTGCAATAATCCTGTTTGATTGCCCTGGAGTTCATTGTTTTCTGTCAGCTTTAGATGTCTACTAACGTATAGATGCATTATAAACAGTCAGCCTCCCCTTCTTAGCTCAATGGTGTATGAGATATACAAGAGAACACACGACACTGAGTTTGCTGAGAAGGCACTTCCTGCACTGATCAAGGAGCATAGGTTTTGGACTTCTGGTATTTCTGTTTGATGCTTTTGCCCCTTTATGGTTCTCTTGTGATTTTAAATGGTCAGAAAGGTTTACTCCAGTCTTCTGTAACCAAGTTCCTTATGGTTTCTATGGTTGATAGGGGAACATAATGTCAATGTCCATGATGCTAAAGCTGGCAAGCATAGCTTAAGCCGGTATTATGCAATGTGGAACAAACCTCGGCCTGAATCTGCAATCTTTGTGAGCGATAATATCCCTTTTATTTCATTTAATCCATTGCAGTGTTGAGTTTCTTGGAGGGTGTTAGCTCATTTCTCCATCTCTCAGGATAAGGACTCTGCTGCCAATATATCTAATGCTTCAGAGAAGCAGCAATTCTATAGAGAAGTTGCTTCAGCGGCTGAGTCAGGATGGGATTTCAGTTCAAGATGGATGAGGTATGTTCACTTCCGATTTTGGCTGTGAAAGCAATCGTTGTTCCAGATTTGTTCTGAACGTGAGGTTTTAGTTTTGGCTTCTGGCAGGAATGCCTCAGACTTCACTACAATGTCAACAACATCTATCTTGCCTGTGGATCTAAATGTTTACTTGCTGAAGGTATGTGATGAAAAAGATCATGTAGATTTATGTGTCTGTTCTTCTTCTGTAGAACGAAATAAACGAACAAGCACGAAACAAGATTTGTGTGGCTCAACAAGTGTGCCTATGTCGACGGAGGGACTTTTTGTAGTTCTTATTATGGGAACTCAACCTCAGAAACTAACACAATGTTGGAAGCCAGTACTAGCATATATATACTAGGATTATTAAACACATGTGACGTGGAAATGACGTTTGGTTATTTACAAACTATTAACACTTTGGGTCCTAGGTTTATGGTCATTGATTCACATCTGTTCTTTCAGTTGGAACTTGATATCATAAACTTAGCACATGCCACGGGAGAAGACACTGTCGCCGAGATCTTCTCTAAGCTCTCTAGAGCAAGGGAAGAAGCTATAAGATGTGTGTTCTGGAATCCGCAGAAGGGGCAGTGGTTTGATTATCGACTTCATGATAATAACGATGGATCCAGTCATTCTCAAGCATGGAAAGGTTCACAGCAAAACCAGAATGCATTCGCCTCCAACTTCATCCCCTTGTGGATTGATCTGTTCCATTCAGGTTTGTGTATGTCTTCAATCAGTTCCCAACCTTTCTGTTGGATTTAGCTCTGCTTGCTGCTTTTAAGTAGAAAGATGAACTTGATGTTTGCAGACACCACGCTGGTGGAGCAAGTGATGCAGAGTCTAGAAACTTCTGGTCTCGTTCGTACTGCAGGCATAGCCACTTCCTTGGAAAATTCAGGACAACAATGGTACTAATCCAACACAGGCTTATTATTCTGAAACACAGTTGGGGTCTTTTGCTGCGAGCTGGATTCCTGATGAATCTGTTCCCTTTTGTTACGTGTCTTGCCTCCTGAATGAACAACTGCAGGGACTTTCCAAATGGATGGGCGCCATTGCAGCATATGATAGTTGAAGGCCTGGTGAGGTCAGGGTCACACAAGGCCAAGTCATTAGCGGAAGAGATAACAGTGAGATGGATCAACAGCAACTACGCTGCGTACAACAAGACAGGTAAAATGCACGAAAAGACGGACGTGGAAACTTGTGGACAATTCGGTGGTGGTGGCGAATCTGTTGTTCCTCAAGTAAGGTCTTACGCGTTCATGTTTTCATCCTTGTGATCTTATCTATCTCAAATATTTGTTCACTCCATGGGAGAAGAAATAAAAGGCTAACTTGAAGTTTATTTGTTGTGTCTTTGTTCTATGTGTGAAGACGGGTTTTGGGTGGTCAAACGGAGTGGTGTTGGCATTTTTGGAGGAGTTTGGGTGGCCTCATGACAGGAAGCTGGGCTGCTGAGTGCTGATTATGAAAACTCTACCGACCTCAAACGTCAACCTTCATTTTTCTCTTTGCTTCCTCTTTTGATGCTTCCGTAAAGATGAAGCACGTTGTTGTAAACTTGCAAGGAGGCATGCTTCTGAGCCAGAAGATGAAGAGTACTTGAGCTCTGAATAGTTAGGACTTGGGAGTTATAGATTTCACTGTTGGTTTACTCGTAGAGGGAATGAGGGATACCTCGACGTTGTAGACAGTAACCAATTAGCGCCAAACAGAGGATTTGCTTTGTATAATAGTGCAACAAGTTTACGAGTTGTTTGATTAAGGATGAATAATGGGTGGGTTGGGTGATATTTGCATTTAGATTAATCTATTTATTGGTTAGTGACGAAAAAACTTGGGTTACCAATTTGTATAATTATGCTTGCGTAATAGTGGATGTTATGGACAACTCAATAATCACATCGTAAATACAAGGGAAATAATATTTGTATATAAGTGCTTATTGAGCTCTTAGTATTAGGCATCTTGATTCAAAGCAAAAAATATCGTACTAATTGAGCGCCTATCTTAACAAATAGTATCAGAAGCTGGTTTTAGAGGTTGTTGGTGTAGAGGTCGTCAATCATGAAGGCAGCTCCGGTGTTGGTTGAATCGGACTATCTCTTACTGATTTGAAGATTGAAGAAATACAAAAGTGACAATATTGAAGTTGATGTTCAGAGTGATTTTATTCACGATATTTTGAATTAGAATGAACAAATTTCGAGTGGATCGATGTTCCGATGATTTGCCCCATGAGTTCAGAATCCAATAGCCCGTTTGTTACCACATTTTATCCACCTCCCTCACAGGCTCAGTCTGTTTTAACTTTTAACTATCGAATGAAGCTCACGGGTCTTTTATAAAAAGAAAGTGGGTGGATGCTTGATTTGAAATTTTGGAGCATCAAAACGTCAGACAAATGGGAGAAGCTTGGACTTCAGTCTTCAAGTTCAAGAGGAAAAGGGAAAACTCTTTCCCTTTCTTCTACGGCGGATTCCTTCGTTCCTTCCTTTCCCTCCTTAAAATTCCATCCCTTGTACAAATCCCACAATGGCTTTGGCCGGATTGAAGATTCTCAATGGTCCAAACCCACAAACACAACTTCCCAATTCTTTCCCACCTAAAACTTATCGTCCACCGATTGAAACAGATCAAGCAAAGAAGCAAACTGACGAATAAATCAATTCGCAGGAACCAACCCATTGCCGGCAGTCTCATTCTCCTTATTATATAACCAGCTCTCGTCGCTCTTCCCAAATGCCAAACAGTCCAGCAATCCTGTCGCAGACATGGCCAGAAACATCATTTTACTGACGTTTCTTCTGCTGTCCAGTTCCTTGCTGCTCTCATCACGAGCTTCTACAATGGGCGTTCTTCAGAGCGGGACTGTGATACCCACCACGCCCCTGGTGGAATTCCTCGTACGAGTTCAAGAAACCGCGTTCCAGACTCTGGGCGGGGAGAAAGGGTTCGACCCTAAATGGTACGTTGATGTGTCTCTCAAGTTCAATCTATCTCACACCCAGAAGGTGTTTGATGGATTGCCAAGGAAGGCCGATGGGGTTGTCCCGGTTCAGGAGTTTCGCAGGTTTGTGGCAGAGCAATTTGATGATGCTGGGAGTGATCTTGTGGCGCATGAGCCAGTGGATTTTGTTGCGGAGCCTGATGGGTTCTTGCCCATGGTGTTGAATCCCAAGGTCAGGGCTTGGGCGCTGGAAGTTCATTCCTTGTGGAAGAATCTCAGCAGGAAAGTGTCTGATCATGTTCACAAATACCCGGAACTCCACACTTTGCTTCCCCTGCCGGAACCGGTGGTCATTCCAGGTTCACGGTTCAGGGAGGTTTACTACTGGGATTCTTACTGGGTTATCAGGTTAGTTACCAGCTGGAGCACAATTGTCCTTTTATTCAGATTGTTATAACTCAAATTGCGGTGGTACAATATGAAAAATAGTAGGCTTGCCATCAAAAAATAGTTTTCTTCTCTTTTATGGTTTAGTCTTCTGGCTCTGAGCTCTTTGTGGTTTAAATTGTGGATTGCTCTTATTATGGGCAGGGGTTTGCTTGCAAGCAAGATGTACGATACTGCCAAATCAATTGTGATTAACCTGATATACCTGCTGGATACCTATGGCCATGTCCTGAATGGCGCAAGGGCATATTACACCAATAGAAGGTAATACTCTCGTTGCAATGTTCCTGCTTCATTGCGTACGAGTTTATTGTTGTTGGCAGTTGGCTAGCTTGAAATGTACTAATAAGTGCGTTCCTTCTGTACAGTCAGCCTCCCCTTCTCAGTTCAATGGTCTATGAGATATACAACAGAACAGGGGACGTTGAATTTGCTCAGAAGGCACTTCCTGCATTGATCAAGGAGCATAAGTTTTGGACTTCTGGTATTACTGGCTGATGTTTTGCCCCTATCTTGTTCTCTTTTAAATGGTCATAACTCATAATACTAAATGCAGCTTCTTTTGACAACGTTTTTTCTAAACGTATTGTATGGTTTACAGGGGAACATAATGTCGCTGTCCTTGATGCTAAAAATACCAACCACAGCTTAAGCCGGTATTATGCAATGTGGAATGAACCTAGGCCTGAATCTGCAATCTTTGTGAGAGACAATATGCCTCGGATTTTATGCAGTCTATAGCTATGTTCAGTTCATTGGAGAATGTAGTGCTTAAACCATTTATCCCTCTCTCAGGATAAGGAGTCTGCTGCCAATATTTCCGATGCTTCCAAGAAGCAGCAATTCTATAGAGAAGTTGCTTCAGCAGCTGAGACAGGTTGGGATTTCAGTACCAGATGGATGGGGTAAGTTCAGTTCTGGTTTTGGTTGTGAAAGTGTTCATTGATCCTGTTTCATACTAAGCAAGGGGTTCTTCTTGTTTTTATTTGTGCCAGAAATAACTCAGACTTCACTACAATGTCTACGACATCTATCTTGCCTGTGGATCTAAATGTGTACTTGCTGAAGGTAATGATCTTCATTCTTGCGTATGTTCAGCCTTCAGTTATGTCATTGATTCACACAATCTGATGAAAGCAAAAAATTGATATGTCTATTCATGCAGGTGGAACTTGACATCACAAGCTTGGCACGTGCCACGGGAGAGGAAACTATTGCTAAGAGTTTCTCTGAGCTCTCTGAAGCAAGACAAGAAGCTATAAGATGTGTGTTGTGGAATGCCGAGAAGGGACAGTGGTTTGACTACCGGCTTTATGATGGTGACGATGATGATTCAAGTCATCCTCACACGTGGAAAGGCTCAAACCAAAACCAGAATGCATTTGCTTCCAATTTCGTCCCCTTGTGGATTGATCTGTTCCATTCAGGTTTGTGAATGAATCATCTCTCAATCATTTGCCAGACAATTGGTCCAACTTTGTTCTCTCTGCTGTCATTTAAGTATGTAAACTTTAGAGAAAAGTTGTTCATTGTGCTGCAATTTCATAAGTTAAGGTGGAATTAAGATAGGGAGTCGTTTGTCATTAGCAGCAAACTGAATTTGCACGTTCTGGGTTTGTGCTGGATGGATTTGATGTTTGCAGACACAACATTGGTGGAGCAAGTGACACAGAGTCTAGAAGGTTCAGGCCTGGTTCGTGCTGCAGGAATAGCCACTTCCTCAGAAAAGTCAGGGCAACAATGGTACAGCTAAAACACAGTCTCTTATTTCCATTATTCTGGAACCTATTCTGCATCTTGCGCAGCGAGGTGATCCTGATGCATCATGTTGTATTTGTTTTTTGGTTGTTGTTGTTGTCATGAACAATTTCAAATGCAGGGACTTTCCAAATGGATGGGCACCATTGCAGCATATGATTTCTGAAGGCTTGGGTCGATCAGGGTCACACAAGGCCAGGTCATTCGCTGAAGAGATAGCAACGAGATGGATCAACAGCAACTACGGCGCGTACAACAAGACCAGCTCCATGCACGAGAAGCTCGATGTGGAAGCCTGTGGAGATTTCGGCGGCGGTGGTGAATACGTCCCTCAGGTATGGCTTGACATATCTCTTGTTACTCCTCTCCTCTTGTGGACGAGTTTCGAAATTGCAAAAAACCAGCATCCATTTAGGAGCAAAGAAGAAGAAAAAGGAGAAGCTAACTTGAATTCGTTTTCTTGTGTCTTTGTCGTTGTTCTTTTGTGCGTGGGTGAGAAGACGGGATTCGGGTGGTCGAATGGTGTTGTACTGGCATTACTGGAGGAATTTGGATGGCCTCACGACAAGAACTTCGGCTGCTAATATAATAGGCCTTATGGTGAATACACAATCATCGTTGTATCATGCTGGTACAGAAAATATCAAAATGAAATCTGAATGCCTTCTCTGCAATTTGTCACGAAGTGTATATCATCGTGATCAACCTAATCACGCATTGATCCAAACTTAATCTTACAACAGTCTGATTACAAAAGAATTTTGTTTAATCATTAATAGCAGCACTGTTCTTTATCTTTGCTTAAACAAATCCCATGTCTAGTCACAGTACCATAATCCACTATCATCTACTCAACCATGGCATCATAAACTAGTTTATCCCACTAACAACCCCACTAACACTCTTTTCAAAAGCTCCTTTTTTTTCCTTTTCTTTACAAAAAATCTGCATGCTATAATTGGAACCCACAAATTCACAACCATCATTCCTCATGTGCACGTAACAGTACAGTAGTACCACATCCAACCCATTCATCCATGGAAGAGACCCACGTCGTTGACGCCACAGTAGTCCCCACAACGCCACTCCTGGCCTTCCTGGAGCGACTTCAAGAAACGGCGCTCCAGACTCTGGGGAAGAAAGGGTTCGACGCTAAATACTACATCGATGTGTCTCTCAAGTCCGATCTGTCCTCCGCCCAGAAGGCGTTCGACGAATTGCCCAAGAGGAGTCGTCCCGATGGGAGTGTTGCCGTACCGGTGGAGGATTTCGAGAAGTTCGTGACGGAGTACTTGGAGCCGGCGGGGAGTGACCTCGTGGCGCACGAGCCGGTGGATTTTGTTGCTGAGCCTGATGGGTTCTTGCCCAAGGTGGAGAATCCGGAGGTGAGGGCGTGGGCGCTGGAAGTTCACTCCTTGTGGAAGATTCTGATCAGGAAGGTGTCCGATGGAGTTGGGGAGCATCCTGAAAGGCACACTCTGCTTCCCTTGCCGGAGCCAATGCTCATTCCTGGTTCCCGGTTCTTGGAGGTTTACTACTGGGATTCTTACTGGGCAATCAGGTTAGTTGGTCGGGAATCAGTGATGGATTTTCAAGCTTTTTCATCGCCGTTTCCACAGTTTAGACTTGGTGCGTGTTGTCCTTTTCTTTTGCCTTCTTTTTGTGACACTCGGTTTAATGAAATTTTCAGAAAATATTTTTATGGAGGGTAAAAAATCCTAGTATTGATTTTCTATGCAATAATTATATTATTATCGAATTAACTTTTCTGGAAAAATATAAATATTCCCAGAGCTCTAAATAAAAAACATATGAGCCCCTTGGTCTAATTGTAATAAGGTAACAACACAAGATTTAGTGGTAAAATGACGATAAAATCGTATTGATTTGATTTCAAATACATAATTGAACAAGTATGATTAATCGGGATGACGATTACACAAAAAATTTGGGAAGAAATTTATCTGAACGATGGGTAAAAGGAATAGAGAGAAGAGAGGTATGTCTTAGTCCATGTTGCTGGAAATTGTTGGATAACTTATCCTTGTGATATGTACATCCTCTCATGATTATCCTCCCTTCGGGGACATCCGGTAAATCCTCTCATGATTTTAACCAAGAGAAACTTAATGATTGGTTCAGGGGACTGATGGTGAGCAAGATGTATGAGACTGCCAAATCCATAGTCACCAATCTCGTATACCTTTTAGACACATATGGCCATGTTCTGAATGGTGCAAGGGCCTATTACACCAACAGAAGGTACTTAATGACCTCTCTCTCTCTCTCTCTCTGGCAACTTAACTGCTGTGTTGATTGCTTCTTAGCTGCTAGACTACTTCTATCTTTTGTAGTGAGCCTCCACTTCTCAGTGCAATGGTCTCTGAGATATACAACAGGACAGGGGATCTGGAATTCGCCAGGAAATCACTACCGGCGCTGATCAAAGAGCACAAGTTTTGGACTACCGGTATGATCTGCAGCACCTAATGGTTTGTATGAACTTGAAAATACCTTTTGGAGAAGCCTCCTTTTTGAGGATGTTGGAATCGTGATTGGCAGGTAAACATATAGTCACAGTTCATGATGCTCAAGGTGCCAAGTACAGCTTAAGCAGGTATTTTGCTATGTGGAACAAGCCTAGGCCTGAATCTGGCACTATTGTGAGTACTAATTAGTACTTCCCCTCTATAACTCAGCTAATTCATCATTTTAAACATTACTGTTGAGTTATTAGGACTTAGGAGTGCATGGCATGTAAATATTTCCCTTTCTGCCTCTCAGGATAAGAAAGCTGCTGCCAAGATCTCTTATAATGGCCCTGGAAAGCAGCTATTTTACAGGGAAGTGGCTTCAACTGCTGAGTCTGGGTGGGATTTCAGTACTAGATGGATGAGGTATATAATAAAGTTCTGCTGAACTTTCTACAAAGAGAAAAGCTTATTTTGAACTAATCCCTTACAAACATAGTCTTGCATGATGATAAGAACTTTCTTTGGTGTTTGTGAGTAGGGATATCTCAGACTATACAACACTGTCCACCACATCCATTTTGCCTGTGGATTTGAATACTTATTTGCTCAAGGTATGTATGTGAATGGAATGGATAGTTTAGAGATTAATATGAACAACAGCAAATGATGTGCTTGATTTTGGCCAGTTGGAACTTGACATTGCATTCCTGGCAAATGTCACCGGAGAAGAAACTATTGCTAAAAGCTTCTCAGAAGCATCTCAAATGAGAAAGCAGGCTATAGAATCTGTGTTCTGGAATGCTGAGAAGGGGCAGTGGTTTGATTACTGGCTTAATGATGATGGATCCTCCTTCAAGGTACTGATTTTAGCTCTAATTCTCTCCCATAGGAGAAACGTCTCGTATTTAGACCCGACTTCTTAGAGCTTCTTCATCATATTATTATTTGCTTATTATTTTGTTTCCCTGGCTTTGATGCTGACAGGAATCTCAACCTCACATTTGTCAAATTGCCAACCAAAACCAGAATGCATTTGCTTCCAACTATGCCCCGCTGTGGATCAACCTGTTCCATTCAGGTTTCGTGGCTCGATTATCCAGCAATTCACAGTCTGATTTTGCAACACTATGATTCACAGTCTGTTCAATCAAATAACAATGTGCCTAAACCGAATGTGCGCAGACACAGCTTTGGCAGAGCAAGTCATGGCAAGTCTTGAGAGTTCTGGCCTCGTGCTTGCTGCTGGGATTGCAACTTCCCTAACAAACTCTGGACAGCAATGGTAGTAAAATGACTAAAATCTTAGCCAGACCATAATTAGCCCTTTGGCTTGCTTGACTGCTATAGCTAATCGTTGTTTCTCTATTTAATTGCAGGGATTTCCCAAACGGGTGGCCGCCACTGCAGCACCAGATAGTGGAAGGACTGGTGCGATCAGGGTCGGAGAAGGCCAAGGAATTGGCAGAAGAGATAGCAGTGAGATGGATTAACAGCAACTACGCTGTATACAAGAAGACAGGAGCCATGCACGAGAAGCTGGACGTGCGAGCCTGCGGTGAATTCGGCGGCGGCGGAGAATATGTTTCTCAGGTAATTCACAGTCTATCAGCTGACCATGTTGGAACATGAGGATCTATTTGCTAGTTAGTTATGTTGGGGCATGCTTTTTATGTCAAAGAGTTTTGTGGTGGTTGTGTTTGGTTTTTGGCAGACTGGTTTTGGATGGTCAAATGGAGTTGTGTTGGCTTTCCTGGAGGAGTTTGGTTGGCCTCGTGACAGGAAGATCGGCTGTTGATTCGTCTCTCAGCTTTTCCGGTTATATGTTAGTTATGGAAGTGTTTTGGAATGTTCTGTGTTATGATCAAGATTATGTAGTTATATGTGAGCAAGGCTGGAAATGTTGGGTTTAAGTTTTTTCCTGTAATAGTAGTTCTCTTCCTACTTGAAATAAACGAATAAAAAACATTACTTGGATTTAAGAAAAATTAGTAGCAACAACTAAAAAAATGAAAATTTTGGAAAATCTTGATATACGGCCAAGAAAAATTTGTACTATAACATTGGACGTACATGTTCAATTTATGCCATAAAGATTATTTGAAAATCAAAGCATGGTATTCAAAGTTTATTGTCTCTGAAAAAATTAATGTATTATAAAAATATATATTCCAAAACTAGTGAATTGTTGGAACAAGGGTGTTGATATGACTTGAATCGGATTATCAGCCGCTACGACTGGTAATCGGGGGTGCGGGGGCAACGCCCCCGGCCCACGGTGTATGGACTCAATGTTATTTGGGTTCGGGCTCTGGGCCTGGTCTGTAACCATTTTCTTTGCCAGATTGGATTAGGTTTAGACCCACGTAGAGAAGTACTATAAATACTTCTCATACTCCTCTGTAATCTGTAATCTCCTTGATATAGTGAAACTGGCTCTCTCTCGCCCGTGGACGTAGCTAACACACATCGTGTTAGTGAACCACGTAAATCGTGTGTCGTGTTTTCGATTCTCGCTTTCGTATTCTTGCTTTGTTGATTCCTGCGATTTCCCGATCCGTAACAGCGCGTTTATAACAAAGGGCTAGGTTTAGGCTGTTTAGTTAAGCCGCCAAATGTCGTCTTCTGTTTTTTCTTTCTGCTCGCTTTCTAGAGACTAGAGAGGCCATACGTATTGCCCACGGCGTACGGCATTTCTTCCGCCCGGCAGATTAATTAATCTAAAAAAGTCTGAGCGCAGGCGAAAAAACGGAATCCAAAATTAGAGAACAGTAGCCGGCCTGCTTTTTTCTTGTCTTTGGTTAGTTCGTTGGATTCTCCCTCCAAAATTTTCTTACCTTTATTACGCCATCGCCCTTCCTTCCCCGAAGTCTACGCGATGTCGTCAACCCCATCTCCATACACAGACCAGCTTCCACCCTCATCTTCACCATCACCATGGCCAACAATCACCTTCATTTCCTCTTCCTACTTCTCCTCCCTTCACTGTTCTGGCTTCCGATTTCCGCCGCTGAATCGTCCTCCTCGTGCGGCGGCCATCAGGGACCCGTAGTGCCCATCACTCCCCTGCTGTCGTTTCTGGTCAGAGTCCAGGAGACGGCACTGCAAACTTTCGGTGGGCGGAACTTCGACCCCAAATTCTACGTCGATGTGTCCCTCAGGTTCAATCTGTCTCACACCCAGAAGGTGTTCGACGATTTGCCCAGGAGAAGGGATGGGAGTGTTTCGGTCCAGGAGTTTCAGAGGTTTGTGGCTGGGTACTTGGAGAGTGCTGGGAATGGTTTAGTTCTGCATCAGCCGGTGGATTTTGTGGCGGAGCCTGAAGGATTCTTGCCAAAGGTGAAGAATGCCAAGGTCAGGGCTTGGGCGCTGGAAGTTCATTCCTTGTGGAGGAATTTGAGCAGGAAGGTGTCTGATGAGGTCCGGGAATCCCCTGACTTGCACACTTTGCTTCCCTTGCCGGAGCCGGTGGTCATTCCTGGCTCGCGTTTCAGGGAGGTGTATTATTGGGATTCTTACTGGGTCATCAGGTTAGCTTCTATTCTGTTAATCTCTTTATGTAAGATAGTACGATGAACTAAATTTCACAACTTGGAGTTTCCGTGAAGAATTTTTATTCATTTTCTCTCAGTTTATAGTCTCTGTTACTTCTATCTAGAGTTTCAGCCAGAATACACAAATGAACAAAAAGAAGTCTAATGAATGTCAGATAAAGGATTGATTTACAGCATCTTTCAGAACATCGTGGAAGAGGGATCTAATTGCTATTTTGGGGACACATTCTTGAGCATGTGGAATGGATAATGACATAGAACATTTATTTTTCTCGGTCCAGGGGTCTGCTTGCAAGCAAAATGTATGACACTGCCAAATCCATAGTGACTAATCTGATTTACCTATTGGATACATACGGCCATGTCCTGAATGGTGCAAGATCCTATTACACTAACAGAAGGTAATCATCTTCTTTCATCTGCTTAGGGATTTGGAGTCACTTAAAAGTTAACAGAGAATCCCCTTGTGCAGTCAGCCTCCCCTTCTCAGTGCAATGGTCTATGAAATATATAATAGGACTGGTGACGTTAAGTTTGCTAGGAAGGCGCTGCCTGCACTAATCAAAGAACATGAGTTTTGGACTTCAGGTAATGTGCCTTTGTGAGGTTTGATCTTTTAATATTTCTTTTTACATTCTGAAGGTGTGATTTTAACTATAATATGAAGTTATATAAATTAATTCTTAATTATGATAGGTGAGCACAAAATCACAGTCCAGGATGGCCAAGCTGCCAAGCACAGCTTAAGCCGTTATTATGCAAAGTGGAACAAACCTAGGCCTGAATCTGCTACAATTGTTAGTGTTACCCCTTTCCACTCTGCTATGCTTTTCATATCCGAAGTTCCTGGGATTTAGTGGGTGTTTCCTTCTCTCAGGACAGGGATTCTGCTGCCAACATCTCAGATTCTTGTGAGAAGCAGGACTTTTACAGGGAAGTGGCATCAACTGCCGAGTCAGGTTGGGATTTCAGTACAAGATGGATGAGGTGAGGTTAATTCTAGTTGGGATTTCAGTACAAGATGGAAGTGGCATCAACTGCCTTGTCAGGTTGGGAAGTGTTTCCTATTCGTTTTTATGTGATTGATACTCATATTAATGGGCATAAATATGGTTTTGTTTGTGGCAGGAATACTTCGGACTTCACCACACTGTCTACAACATCCATTTTACCTGTTGATTTGAACACTTACCTGCTAAAGGTTAACATTATAGAATAGGATTTGAAAGCTGAATCTATTTTCATTGGCTGATTAACACACACGATATGACAAGATCTTTCTTTCCCTGATCGCACCAGTTGGAGCTTGACATTGCATTCCTGGCAAAAGCCACTGCGAACCGAACCGTGGCTAGAAGATTTACGAAGGCCTCTGAAGCAAGAATCCAGGCTATAAAATCTGTTTTCTGGAATGCGAAGAAAGGACAGTGGTTCGACTACTGGCTTAATCATGGATCCGCGCCCGCACACAAGGTACAAACATGCTGGACTTGGTTTGCAAAATTATCACAAATAAAATAAGTTTCAGGAGTATTCTTCCTTTTCCCAACTGTATTTTCTTTATGCACGTTCAGGGATTTTCTTCCAAGACACAGAAAGGCAACCACCAAAACCAGAATGCATTTGCCTCTAACTTTGTCCCATTATGGATTGATCAGTTCCATTCAGGTCAGTCATCCCAAAAAAATTGCAGTTATTGTGACTCCATCCCACTAAATTGAATTGGGTCCATGAATCTAAGAAATAGTGAGAATTCTTGATCTCTCTCAATTCGAAAATCCAGGATTTGAATTGATGTCCTTTCATTGATTCCTCCTCTTCCCCATTTCGTACTCTGAAAGTACATATTTCTGAGAACTTTGCTTTGTTGTTGCATTAATGAACCCAGACAAAGCTTTGGTGGAGCGTGTTCTGAAAAGCTTCAAAAGCTCAGGCCTTATTCGTGCTACTGGGATCGCCACTTCTCTAACAAACTCAGGACAACAATGGTAACTCGGTCAGTGAATGAAAGCATCAGTTATCAAACCCTACTCTGGCTTTGATTGATCAATTGGTGTTTGTTTGTGAGTAAAGTTAATAACAAAGCTGTCAACCCAATTCCCACAGGGACTTTCCAAATGGATGGGCACCACTGCAGCACGTGATCGTGGAAGGCCTGGCTAGATCAGGGTCAAGCAAAGCCAAGGCATTGGCAGAGGAGATAGCAGTGAGATGGATCAACAGCAACTATATTGTGTACAACAACACTGGGGCAATGCATGAGAAGCTGGACGTGGAAGCTTGTGGAGAGTTCGGTGGTGGTGGAGAATACGTTCCTCAGGTAAACTGCAAACGGCTGGGTGCTAATAGTAACATCTTCTATTCGTGTTATGTATATGTATACATAAAATAGCTCTGTTCTTTTCGCACCCTGGTGTTGCCAGTGTTATCTTCTGTGTATTGATTTTTGGTTTTGTTTTTTTGCTGGCTGTATTATATGGCTGCAGACGGGCTTTGGATGGACAAATGGAGTTGTACTGGCATTTCTGGAGGAGTTTGGGTGGCCTCAAGACAAGAAGTTGGGCTGCTGATTTGTTGATTGAGATGGAGGGAACAAAGAGAGACTGGAGATATCAGAATTTCTAACTCGAAGAAAAAGACTCAGAAATTGCGAGCTTGTCATCTTCTTCAGGATCTTCATTGGAAGTTTACAAATGTTGTATTGTTTACAATAGGTCCTTAATCCTTATAGTTATTTATTCCGTATTTAAGTGGAGATACATTCCTCCATCATCTACCCTTCTTTTACGTGACAAAAGTTATACGAATAAAAATGTTGTACTGTTGTATTTTGGATGCCCAAAATTGTTCTATTCTGTATCCTTGTATCTGTTTCAAACACTAAGACAGAAACTCATTGTAATCCTTTAATTTTCATATATTGTTTTGCAAGTACTTTAGTTTTAGATTATATCATTTAAATTCTCCCCATTTTAAAAATATATATATAGAAATGGATGCAAAGCATCCTACCCATCATTCATACCAATCATGTTCAAAAATCATATATCATCGTAGAAAACCCAGTATGCAAGTTCATGATCAACAATAGAAAACCCATGAAAGGTACCATATGACTTTGACTAGCTATAAAGTCCGCACATATCTTACATTCTCGAAAAATATGACTAACAGAGACTTCCCAATCACAAAACCATTGGATGATGGTTGTGTGGCGTTGGTCGCCTGCATCCGACATGAGAAGCTAAACTGCGCATTTGGAATCCAACTGGACCTGGATAGGACCAAAACCAAAGTCCCCAGCAAGTTGAAGCCCCCTACAACTCTCTCGGCTCAGCTCTGGTGATGGAGCAAATGTAGAGGTTGCTACACAACTTCCAGAATGATCTCTAGTCAGGCCACCCATAGTCGCGTGACCCAAATCAGGATGGACGGAGCCATTGAAGTTGGGAGAAACCTATTGGGGTAGGTTATACATCTCTATTCTTATGGATGGATGAGCAAATTTTGTTGAGATTGGAAATTTTATAGGAAAATTCCTGAATCCATGTGACAAATGCATAATGAAAAGAGTAAGTGTCGACAATTGTGACTATCGATTGGTGAATGAAATGAAATCGTTGATTTGGTCTATAGTGGAAGTTGGAACAAGGTTGGAGTTTCTAGTATTTGATGGTAGAAGTTGATCATAAGTGAATTTATTAATTGGACATATCCTGAACTTTTTGTTAAGGACATTTCTTGACGATTAACGAGCTCCATAACTCCCTCCCCTATCTCAATTTCTGGTTTCGCCCTAATTAAAATGTTACTGGTTTAGTTATTGGTTACTAAGTAGGTTGTCATGATCACTAATGATCAATCACTGAAATTACATTTCACGTCGTAACCAACCTGTCCAAACAAAGCCGTCATTTGCCACTAAACCCCGTCATGACCGAGAGATCAAACAAGTACAACCCCTGGACCAAGAAAAAAATTGCAATTCCGGCGATCCATTCCGACTATCCGTTAACTCACTTCCCGCCCGCCTTCCCAATTCATATGCTACTCTGCCTTTTCATCATTCCTCCCAAAACAGCCCCAATGGCCTCCGCAGCCGCCTTCCTGACCACTCCGCTCCACCATCTCTCCCCCTTTTTAACCACCACATCCATAGCAGCAATCACCATTTCCGCCGGAATCTGCTACTATCTGACGGCGAAAAGATCCAACAACAACAAACAACCACCTCTGCCGCCGGAACCTCGCGGCGCCCCTGTTCTCGGTTCCATCCCAATGTTCCTCAACCGAACCCCAATCCACCGGAAATTCACCGCCCTCTCCGCCGAATACGGCCCCATATTCAAAGTCCGTGTGGGCACCAAACTCTACATCGTCGTCAGCTCGCCGGATCTAGCCAAACAAGTCCTCCGCGACAACGAATCCGTCTTCTCCAGCCGCGACGTCCCGCTCGTGGTCCGGGCCTGCACATACGGCGGGCTGGATCTGGCCTGCATCCCGATGGGCCCGGATTGGGCCTCGATGCGGAAAGCCGCGGTCGGCAAGGCCCTCAGTAAGGCCGGGTTGGACGGATGCTACGAATTGAGGAGGAGGGAAGTCGTGAAGTTGCTGAGCGAGTTGGAAGTCGGTAAGCCGGTCGGCGTGTTCGAATTAGCGCAAGAGGTGATTTGGAATGCGACTCTGGGTATGGTTTGGGGCGGAGATGTTGATTACGAGGAGACTCGGGAAGTGGGTAACCGAATGTTGCGGCTATTGGGGAAGCCGAACGTTTCGGATGTTTTCCCGGTGCTGGCGAGGTTTGATCTGCAGGGGATTGAGAGGGAAGGGAAGGAGGTGGCTCGACGGTTTGATCGGACTGTGAGCGCGGTGATTGAGAAGAGATTGGGCGGCGGTGGGGAGAAGAAGGAAGGGGATGGGGTTAATAACAAGACGAAGGATTTGTTTCAGGTTCTGCTGGATTCTGGTGCTGCCTCGTCCTTGGCTTCCATGGCCCATTTCAAAGCCCTGCTCCAGGTACCGTACTGTAAGACTGATGACGATACATAAATAAGGTTTTCTCAACGACTCGAGTTATCGAATTTAGATGGTTAATAGTTAATCTTCTGTCAACTATTGGTATTATTGAGATCGGTTAGTTTGTCAAGCGAAATTCGATTACCTAACAGTTAATATATGAATGTTTGTGTGCATTTTGACAGGATATCGCCGTTGCTGGGAACGAAAACATATCGAGAATGATCGAGTGGGCAATGTCAGAGCTACTTAACAGCGACAGGGCAATGAAATCAGTGAAGCGAGAGCTAGACGAAATGGTGGGACTCGACAGCCTAGTGGAGGACCACCATCTGAGAGACCTCAAATACATTGACGCCGTCATAAAAGAGACGTGTCGATTACACCTCGCCCTCGTCACCCGGACGGCGAACCAAACCTGCACCGTCGGCGGATTCACCGTCCCCCAAGGGACGGAAGTCGTCGTCAACGGCTGGGCCATCCACAGGGACCCTCAGTTCTGGGACGAGGCGTCGGAGTTCCGACCGGAGCGGTTTCTGGACGGTGGGGACGGGAGGTCGCCGGCGTTTGATTTCATGGGCGGCGGGAGCAGCGGTTTCCGGTACATTCCGTTCGGGTCGGGTCGGAGGGGTTGTGCGGGAGTTAATTTGGCGGAGAGGATGATGAAGTATGTGTTGGCTTCGTTCTTGCATTGTTTCGAGTGGAAGCTTGCCGACGGGGAAGGAGGAGTTGTTGATTTTGCCGACGAGTTTGCGCTGTTGATCAAGAAGAAAAGGCCGTTAATCGCAGTGCCGACTCCCCGCCTGCTTGCTAGTGCTAGGCCAGAGCTGCTTGCTTAATTTGGGGATTAGGTCTTCGGAATTTGCAACTCAAGAAATAATGGTTCTTTCGATTTCTACGAAATGGGTGGATTGTCAAATTTCTAGTGTTTGGTATATAGAATTGGGCCTAGAGTAGGATGATTGAATGGGATCTGCAAATTAAATTGAGATGGAGTGGACTGGTGGGCCGCTAGTGGGCCGTTCTGAAGTGGGCTATTTATCCACCAATACAAAGAAGATTGGGCCAGTTTGATGTGATGGGAACGATAGTGATACCATTGAATATTTTCTAGCCAAGCCACTAATAATCACAATGGTTGTTATCACTTAATCAATGATTAAGCATAGTGATCCTTGGCTAATGGCGTGGTCCCTGTCTCCCTGTCAAATCAATTTTCTGTCAACATCCCAAACCAAAAACGAGATTAGTAATTAATTAATCATCATCTCATAAAGCATTAACACAAACGTCGAAGCTAGCTAGTCATTCTCCCACTCCCTTTTGTGGTATTCTACGGACTTATTATCCCCCTTCCCCATTTATCTATCTTATCTTTTTTATTTTTATCTTTATGTGAGTAGCGTTTTTCTATCTTGACAGAAGGAATTTTAATCATTTATAGTTTTGGAAGTTCATTGTATTTATTTATTATAATGTATATAATACTTCATACTGAATAAAATACATTGATTAAAAAGATGTTTAAAATAGTTGGTGGGTTTATGGTGGTGGGTCAATTGAAAGATCTTACTTTTTTCCTTATGGCCAGATCCTCCAAATTAGGATCAGAGAGAGCACTTGTGGTAATAATTAATTAATCGAGCTTCAGTAGTTTATAAAGATTAATTTTTGGCAATATACGAGCTTTCTCATTGGTTAATGTGGCATAATTCTGAACACTAATTCCACTACTAACGTTTGCGTCAGTGTAATCCATATAATCAGTTTAGAAGAGAATCTCTAATTCACAATATGAATTAGATTCCAGTATTTTTGGATAGTAATGGTCACTTAACTTTGAGCGGCAAACAAAATCGTCATCCTAGCTTTAGAATGACACAAAATCATCACTTAAATATTTTGCATGATAAACAATGGTATTTCTTTGAACGCTTTAGACAACTTACAAGCCGCACTTATCTTCAAACAGCCCTGGATCAGATACTTCATACAAGAAAAATGTATCTCCATTTTGAAACCTCCATCACACAACAACAAAAAAACCTGGCAGGGAGCTTGAGCCTTAATATACCATCATTCAGTACTAATCGCTTTTCTTATTAAAAATTGGTTGAATTTGGTTAAGCGCATGCAGTCTCCAATCTTGTCCTATAATTAAGGAACTCTAATTGTTATTTGCTAAGCAATGTGCTATAGTACTGCCACATCGCAAATCACTTTCCGGCTTTCAGCTACAAAAAGGGTTTGCAAGTATATATGAAATATGATTAATTAGTCCCTAATGGAACAACAATAAATAAATAAATGAATAGATTATCACAAAAAAGAAATAGAGAATCATGTACAAAACGATTATAGAGCATGTTCATTTGTTTGATATGATCATATAGCCTACAATTGTAACTAATTCATACGTACTTACTCAACAATTTGTCTTTGCAATAATCATTATATGAATTATATGAATTATGAAGCTGTACCAAACATCTTTCATAATTAATTATTTCAAATACAAGCAAAATGTAAATAATTTTATTGTAAATTCAAATATTTTTCAAATTCGTTATTAAGACTGAAAATTGAGATTATTTTGGATCGAAGCGAACCGTCCAAATCATCATTTCAAAACATGAGCATGTAGCATGCACCAAATAAAACTAAGACGGTATGATGGATACTCCCTAAAGAATACAATGTTAGTGACTAATTTTGGAACTTGTAGCCCTAATTTTAAGGATATGGAGTGGGAAAGGGTGGGAGCCTGCTAGAGATTCGAGGGTTGCACTTGCTCTCATTGTTGAGAGAAAAGGAGAGTGGCAAAGTGGCAATGATTGAGGAGTGGCCTCAATTAATTAATCTAAAATACATAAATGAATTAAAAATAACCTCCCTCAGTCAATTTTAATACAAAAATATTTCATATTGAGACCATAAAAATACAACCATATTGGAAGTTGCTACATACATCTAATATATATCGATTAGATTAATTAGGGCAATGAGTTAGTGGGGAATTAAGTAATGACCATATGGCCAAGCCAATGCCACCACTAGACTATATATATAGTCTTAGACTCTCAGGCAAAAATGGGATTGGCTCCTTCCTAAGTGCTTTTCCACTAGTCAACAGTACCAAACTTATAGCCAGATTTTCCACTAGAAAAATGGCGGAGAAAGGGAGCAAAAGGTAAAGAAAAGCTAGCCGGTAGCTTATTAAGTATGTATAGTATAATCAAAAGGCAACTTGTATTAACTAATTAATCCAATTGAGAAGCAAAATCCAATGTCTTAACTTGATGGTCAGTTGTCCATATGTACCAAACAAATCGAAATCATATCAGCTTTTTGGCTAAGTAAACAGAAGAGGGAGTATTCTTTCATTGTTGATAAGATCCTTCCAATCTTACTCACCTTAATCATTGATTAACTCTACTCTTAAACCGATGTTGTTTATACGTGTCAAGATTTTTCATTGCTTTATGATCATGATGTATGTATATTCAACTCCAAACATCAAACACCCTTCTCTGCCTCTTCATAATTAACTATATTTAAGATCAAGTTGGAAGATCATTAGTAAACAATAATGCATGTATGTATGGGATACTACAACCATATAATTTGATTGCTTAATACATTACTCAACCTTATCTGTAAGTGGGTTGTATACCAAAGTTATCGATCATCGCATGTCAAATAGAACTGTACCAGGCTTGCTAACTTAAGTAAGGGACTAAACCCTCCGTTATACTTTTGCCCTTCTGTTTTCACAATTTGGAACACATGGTTGTTGATACTTTATCATATTGACAACCATACGACCAAAATTACTCGTTGGCAGTCTGGCCCATTTGGTATACATACATTGGAAAAGTATGTATCGATCGATATAATATGGTTATATTGCCTATTTATGTTACATCGGCCAGTTTTGCTAGTTTCTTTCTGTCAAAATTTTATTGGTTGGATGTGATTCATTAATTGGTAGATTTACGAATTGGATTAAATAGATATGTGGGATGAATTTATGGATACAAGTGACAACTAAATCATGGATATTATCATCATTTTGAACTTTTTAGGTAGTAAAATGTCAACACAAAAATTTTAGGTACCAAATTGTATTTTTTGAAGGATAATTTTTATTTAAAATATTACAATTTAGGTATTGAGTTACCAAATATAAAGTATATAGGTAACAAGTTGTAATTTTCAATAATTTATGCATCCAATCCGTTGGATTTAAATTAAATGAATTGGATTTGTTTGATTTCTTAATAGATGAATTGTATTGGATTAGTGGATTGTATTAAACGTGACACGTATGATAAGTTATTGACATTTTTATAACATGCATTTGTAGGTACGAGCAAAATGTTGGCCTATCAAATGGAAATCATCTTTAATTAACCCTTAAATAATTATGCATAAAATGGAGAAAACATTGCAGTTCACCTTTCAATTCTGCGCGTAAATGTTGACCATCAAATGAAAAGGCAGCCAGCCAGATCCCTCAAATCCCTTTTCTTTTTCCTAGCTACATAGCTAATCAAGTAGCCATTGTGTTCACAATCATCAGTTTTCAAATCAATTCAAACTATTAATTATGACCTAATTAGTATATGTAATACAGTTTTCTGATCTTTCCCCTCTTCTAATCGAGATTTAATCAAAACCACCACGTGAACAATCGACACCGCCCAGAATATGAAAATGGAGGGGGGAGTACTGAACATGCATGTATAAATGAGTTGGTGGATTCGCAACTTTGACCCTTCTCCCATAATCTTCAAAAGAAGACCTTAATAACCAAAATGATAATAATAAGAATTAAGAAGAAGGAAAAGATTCGAATTAACTCCCTTAACCAAAGACAATGGCATAACTGAAACCATATATATATATACAGAACAGGGTGAGAATATGTCAGCAGGAGACAGAAGTGCTTGCTTATCAATAATGGACGGTTAGTTTTCAGTGCATGTGGGCATCTTCTAATTATTTGCAATATATATCCACGATAAGTTGACATTAATTTAGTTTCCTCCAAGAAAAGCAATTATTATCAGGAAAAGCTAGAAAACAAAATAGAAGAAGGATCGATCGATATCAAAATAGAAGGTGTTTTGTGGAAAAATAGAATCCTTGTTCAATATGCATTTCATTGAAACTCCCACCAAAAAAAATTATGCATTTCAAATTTTGATTTTCACAGCATTCAGATTAGATAAAAATTAAGGGGGGGAACAGTCATCTAGCTACTCAAGTTTATATATATACACACACTTAAAGGGATAGAAGCTTACTTATGCGTCATATATGTACGCCCACGTTAGAAGCACTAATGCAATAATTTTTGAAATTAAACGTAGTTGAACAAGAACGATAAATATTATTGGATGACAAATATATGATACTATATAATAAAAGGTAGAACAATTTTATTTGGTTACTTGAAGATAGAGTACAATAACAATATTGTTGGTCTGGCTGTATATTAATTAGTTATATGATCTAAACAAATTTTTAGGGATAGGTCATTGTCGTTGGCATGTGCTATTTGCTGCTGGCCCTCTCTGTACTATATATACATTGACGATAACAAAAAAAAAAGGTGGGAAAAGACATGTATACGTGCATATGATGCATCTGATCAAAACACAAATATGAATGTACATAGCTGTACTTTGATTACGTTGCTAGCTAGCTAATATAAAAGATTAGGTGATAGATAAACTGATTATTGATAACCGTAGTTGTGAACTTGTGATCCATATTAATAAAATATATATATATATATAGAGAATAATTGAATAGCTATAGCTTATGGTAGCAGTCGTGGCCATGGGGCGGCTTCGTCCCTTTTGTGTGGAAGAGAGTTGTTCATGTCCATGATAAAAGGAAATGGGCATGCGTGTAGGGTATCAAATCCATAGTCATATGCGCAGTAGTACTGTTCCATTTCTATACGCGATGGTGATCTAGCTAGGGTTTCCTTTTTATCAGAAAAATATATATATCATGATCGTTCATTATGTATTGTATGCCCCATTCCAACAAAGCTGAAAATGTGAAGAAAGTAAAGTAAAAGAGATAGGTTGTGTCTCTCTTTTCCTGTATAACTCTTTTTTCCCCATGTATAGCTTGTTGATACGTAGGGGTGCCTATGGTACTTTTTTTTTTCACAATAAGTAATTTCCATAATTCATTCAAATCAACGATAGGAGTACAAGCAAAACCGAATTACAAGATCGGATTTAAAATGTCAAGCACTTGGATCCATTCTTGAGGATGCAGATGGTTTTTTTTTATGATGACCCCAAGTGCCTATGGTACAATTGATACACTTTTTTGTGATGCTGCATCCACCAGCACCTCTCTTTTTTGTTGTGAACGAAAGCTTCTGTTCATTCCATCAAATATTGCAATACAGGTTGAGCCTGATAGCAATCCATTTATTCACAAGTGTCCCTTCCACACGGACCGGTACGGTTAAATTGGCCCGAATTGATCAGGTCCCAATCCGGTCTTTGCGGGAATATAAGGACCAAAGATTGGATTGGGTACAGTCCGGTTTCTATCCGGTTCGGTCTTGACCCGATCCGGTCCCAATTCGGTCTTGATTTTATGTTGAGCTTGTGGTGATTTGAGTGGCCTAAGGACTCAAAGGGTGAGGAGTTGGTTAAGTTTGGGTGTTGGGCTCTCTTATCCGGTTTTTATCTGGTTTTCGATCCGGTCCCAAACTGGTTTTACCTCAAATTTAAGCCCGAAGATTGGATTGGATTGTTTGTTATCCGGTTCCAGTCCGGTCCCGGTCCGAGTTATACTGTCCGGTTTCGGGTAAAACCAAATAGCCCGAACCAAATAGCCGAACCAAATAACCTCGATATATTTTTAGTATGATTTTTATTACCAAAAGGGTATCTCAATAAAGCTATCAAAATGATCAATAAATTAAATACAACTTGAATTCATGAATCCAACTCTCAAAATCCACACAAAAATTCAATCGTCGAATTCTCATACCATACAATTTCATCCACATCTTCGATCCATCAACTCACGAATCCAATTACATTTGCCAACTCCAAATTTTTGGACAACGTAACTTAACCATAGGAATTTACTCAATATCCTCGTTCCTACTGAAGTCCACAAGCAGAAACACTTTTCTCAAGACTGACTGTAAAAATCTGCATGAATTAATGTAATCTAATCTCCAGTACATATTTTCGTGGTCATAATCATATTACTGATGAGTTTAGACTTTTAGATATCATATACACATCATGCATAACATTATTAATATTATTATTATATCAAGTGTTTAGTTTGTTTAATAATGGAGCATTAATTTGAAATGCGAAGAGGAGGAATTAATGATGGGATTGACCAGGTAAAGAAGAACGAGGACCGAGGCCATTCCCCCCGCACCTCGAGGCCGTAGGATTGAGAGTTTGACCAACTTCCCCTTCCTCACCCTCACGTGCGTTCCTTCCGCATCCATTTAACCACATTTATTATTTTATTTATATTTCTCCTTTGTTTAAATTAATTAATTAACTAATCACCTGTTACGGCGCTTTGAGCTGTAAACTAATCGCCGACTGCTCCGACCAACCCCTAACTAACCACCGACCCGACTACTTCCTGCCCGAACCCAACGTCCATTTCCACAGTTGGACTTGCTCCTCTAATTTAAAAAGTAGTTTTAAGCTCTTGCTGAAACCACGGTCCATTTCAATAGCTCTTTCTAGAAGTCATTATTCATTGACTAGCAAGCAAAAAGATAACAGGGAAAATAAGGGATTACTGGGTAGTTGGGAGAGGGAAGCAAACAGCAGCTAATTAAGAAAGAGGAAAGGATACTCTTATTCCTAGTAGACAGTAGACACAGACAGAACAATATTTGAAAACGCAAAGCGTTAAATGCAAGTCAGCCATTGGTCTCCAACGGAGGAGCATTTTCCCAACGACAAAGTCAATTCAGAATTTCGACTGCGCCCCCTCCCCTAATTGCCGCCGGGAGGGAAAGAAAACACCGGACCTCCAATCATAGTTGTGGCGCTCCACATCCATGAAAGCTGGTTAAAGCTGTATTTTCACATCGTTACATGCATTTGTAAGGAAAACAATACTACTTCAACAAAAACATAGCAGGTTTTGAAAATAACTTACACTCGAGTAATATATATTATGATATATTCGAATTAATCCACCTAAGACGAGATGAGATGAGATAACATGGATGATCAAATTCAATGACTAATATGTGCTATCTCATATGACCTCATATATGATAAAAGGAGCTACAGAGAAATGAAGTTTTTTTCGTAGCAAGAAAGATCCATGAGGAAGCTAATTTATTATTTACTTATCTCAAGCGAGAGGCTAAATTAAATTATGATTTAACTTAAAGGGGCCAACATCCACCTAGTTGGATTCAACTCAATTCAGCTAGGTGATATATAGTTCACTTAGCTCACACTAACAATAACTCAGCCACCCAGCTTTTACTAGATAAAACTGCTCTTAATTAACTAAAGGCTGATAGAGGTAAATGACACTAGTTGTAAGCATCTCGACGTATTTGTGTGATTGGCAGTAGTGATTTTATAAATGATTCACTCTGTCACATAGATATAGGTTGTAAGTGAGAATTCTAATTACTTCAAGCTCCAAATTTCAACCTAAAACCTTTAATCCTTTATCCTTTGGACGGTCTTCAAGTTGAATTTGTATCAACACTCTCTTTCTAAAAGACATTAAGTTATAAAAGCATCTTATACGTATTTATGCCATGCAATGTAACCTTTTTTAAATGAAAACAAAAGGAAGGATGTAAATGTACTAAAGTTAGAATTATTTTTTATGAACTAAAGTTAGAAAATTAAACACGGGGAAATCATATTAAACCTCCAATAAATATAATAAGGGGAAAATGTTACATCATAATCCCCCACAAATTTACAATGCAAAATGGACAAAGAAAGATTAATATAAAATCTCCCTTAAATCTTTGCCAAAAAATTATCTCCCTTAAATATCATTGTCATAATTTAATACATTCTATCCACTAAAATACGTTGAATCGTTCACAGCAAAATTAAAAACAAATGTTACATCATAATAATGCATATTTACCAAATTAATTATGAGAGTTTTCTATACTTTTATTGCCTTATATCGTTTTCCAAATTTTTAATATGTTGGTGCAATATAACAATCTCTACATGTATCGAGCAATTAAGACTGATCCGGTATACCCTATCAATATAGTAGCAAAATCTCACATATTGGACGTATGTGTTTACAAGGTCATTTGGATAAATCATTTAGAGCAATGTATTGTTTAGGAAAATGGAAAATTCATAATACGTAGATATGTTGCCAATTATAAAACAAGCAAGGAAATCTGAAAATGAAATCATACATAGAATACTAATAATAATTGATTTGGGTAATAATTGCTAGTTGATTAGGACCACGGCCATCTAAGCAAAACAACAAAGCTAATTGGCTTGACCCCAATCATGCATCATCACCACAATTAAAAAATTAACACCAAATGCACCTTAATTAATTAATCAATTAAAATCCCCACAAAGAAGAACTTTAAAACGAAATCAGTAGATTTTTTATAATCATCATCACCATGACCATCACCATTCCAAGACAAATACACAATACAATACCCTCTCCCTGGTTTCTCTAATTCACTTCACATTCAGTTGATTCCCCTTTCCTCCCCTACCAAACTCCCACTATAAAAATCCACCATTCCCACTCGCCTTCCTTCACTCTCGCCCCTCTCTTTCCCCCACAAAAGTAAATAACCCAAACCACCTTACCTTCTCTCTCCCCTCGCAGTAAATGTACAGCGGCGTCTCTGCCGTTTGGCTAAACGAGTTCTGACAGAAAACCGCCACACTTCGCCTTTCCTTTCCTCTCTTTCTTTTCCCTGTCCCTCCGGCAGCCGACCTGCAACTGCAAACACTGCCACAAACGATTAAAGCCGAACGACTTTTCTCCCTCATCCTCTGTCTCTGCTAATTTTGTTTTCCTTATCTCGTTAAAAGGAAACAGTAAAAGAGAATTTCAAATTAGGCGTGAGGTTTTTTGTTTTCCGTTTCTCCCGGAAAGGCACAAATGCTGGAAGCGGTCAAGTACTTGATCGGCGCGCACGGAGCTAGCGGCTATGGCTCCAAATCCACCGCCGAGGGAGTCACCGAGAGCTGCGGCGATCTGCGCTCCCTCACCGCCATCATCACCGGTGAGTTTTTTTTTTTTTTTTGTAATTTCGTCGATTCACTAACGGAGATCTGACGGTGATGAGTTTGTATTAGTTATAATAGTCGATCGACTGACGGTTTTTTTGTTGATTTGTCGGAAATTCCGCAGGAGCGACGTCCGGGATAGGAGCGGAGACGGCGAGGGTGCTGGCGAAGCGAGGGGCGAGGGTGGTGATGCCGGTGAGGAATATGAAGGCGGCGCAGGATACGAAGGCGCGTATCTTGTCGGAGTGCCCCGATGCGACGGTAATCGTCATGGCTCTGGATCTAAGCTCGCTCCGTTCCGTCAGAAGCTTCGTCGCTGAGTTCGAGTCACTTGATTTGCCTCTCAATCTCCTCATGTACGTAACACACAGAAAACCTCCCCCCCCCCCCCCCCCCCCCCCCCAGCTCGCCTAACGGTGTCGTTTTTGCTTTTCTTTTCCCCTTCCGTTTACCTCTTCCCTGTTTAGTTGCTGAGAAAAATTCTGTTTGTTTGTTTGTTTGTTATTTCCCGTCTCTTTCCGTTAGAAATAACGCCGGAAAATTCGCCCACCAGCATGCGATCTCGGAAGACGGGATAGAGATGACCTTTGCCACTAATTACCTAGGTGAGAAAAAAAAAAATTCACTATTATGCCATAAAATTAGCTCCGATTCCATTGCTAATGAGGATTATTGTTTTTAATATGAAAATTAATTTATTTTGGGGGTGGGGTTCTTCCAGGCCATTTTCTGCTGACGAATCTGTTGGTGGGGAAGTTGACCCAAACGGCGAGAGAAACGGGGATCCAAGGGAGAATCGTGAACGTGTCGTCGGCTATTCATGGCTGGTTCGCCGGCGACATGCTGCAGTATCTGGCAGAAATTTCTCGACAGAAATGGTTAGATACGATGCCCATACCAAATCTCTTCTTTGATTCGTGGAGCTGCTAGTTAATTACCTTACAATCCTGCCTGAGACCGGATCCCGATTACTTAATTGACTGATTACTGATGATAATAATAATTATTATCATCACCATGTGGATATGAGGACTATCATGTACAGGGAAACGCATCTGAGTTTGACCTTTTCCCCCATTGTTGATTTTGTTTGAATGTGCAGCCCTAATTACGATGCTACACGTGCATATGCTCTCTCCAAGCTTGCGAACGTCCTCCACACCAAACAGCTTGCCCATAGGCTCAAGGTCTCCCTCTCCCTCCCTCTCTCATCCATTGATTTCTGCCTGATCACTATTAATTTAAGCAAATCAAACGTGCAGTAGAATCTTCTGTGTGGAGAAGATGTTTGTTTGGATGTGCACTTAAACTATAGTTATGAGCTTGAAACATTATCTCTCAACCCATATTTGCGGATGTTTTGTCTGTGTGTACGAATGAACGGATGTTTTGGCGTGCAGGAAATGAAGGCGAACGTGACGGCGAACTGTGTGCACCCAGGAATCGTGAGGACGAGGCTGACGAGAGAGAGGGAAGGGTTCGTGACGGACGCCGCCTTCTTCCTGGCTTCCAAGCTCTTGAAAACCATCCCTCAGGCAGCCGCGACAACTTGTTACCTTGCAACAAATCCAAGGGTGGGGAAGGTGTCGGGGAAGTACTTTGCGGATTGCAACGAAGCAACAGCGTCCAAGTTGGGATCCAGCGCAAGCGAGGCAGCTCGCCTATGGTCCGCCTCTGAAATCATGGTCTCTTCTGCTTCCTCTCCTACTACTACTACTCATCACCCAAACTAGAAAAAAGAAAAGCAGAGAGCTCTTTTGAAAATGTCGTCATGCCCCCACTTACCCTTCTTTTTTGCCTTAGACTATTCGCTAGCAACCACCTGACGACGAGACGACCCCAGCTTCCATTCCCCCAGCCCATAAAAAGGAAAAAAGGTGAAAAAAGCGCAAAGCTAAAGGAGTGATCCATAATCAGCAATAATGATTAAGGAGATAACTAGGAGTACTATGTAGGGCCCTCCATATTTATATATATACAACAAGTACCATAGATATATAGATCGAGAAAGAGAGAGAGAGACTTCAAAATTTGTACACAGCTTAGTTAAGTATGTTAGTGATATATATATAGAGAGAGAGCGAGTTCTGGTAAAGAAGAAAGTGGTGCTTAATGTAGTTTAAGTTTGTTATAGTTCTGATAATCAATGTATTTACCGTAATGAGTTAGAGAGAGTTGAATGAAGTATGTTTTGTATGTTAATAAGGTGGGGTGGGTTGATTACAACATATAATAAAACAAACCAACCTAAAGTGGTTAATTGTGTATGGGGTTATTGTTATTGTACAATGATTATGGAGGGAGTTTGATTATGTCATGCAATTAGTTGTATCATGTGGGTTGTGGGTTTGATAATCGGGGATTAATGAATGAAGGTGCTTGGAAAGGGGCCAGGGGGAAGAGGAAACATAAATTACTAGTACTAATCCTTCTCCCTCCCTCGCTGCTAGCGATGGCAATTGGTCGGGTCGGGGACGGATAGTGTATATCCGTTATCCTACTCAAAGTAGTTCGGGTTTTATCCATGCCCATACCCACATAAGAAACATACCTACATAAGAAACGGGTAGAATATCCAAACCATGCCCATACCCGTTCGGGTTTCGGGTATTCACGGTTATCCATGGGTAATAATTTTTCTTTATAACTCCAATCAATATGTTAATATTTACACGTATTCTCACGTTACGTAAGACGAAAAGTACGACAATTATTCACTAGAATGAAGAAAATTAATTAAAACAACACAATTTCATAAAAAATTATATTTATATGCTAAATATAAAATATGTTAGAGAAAAATATTGATTATTTCTAGACAAAATACATGTGCATGTGTATAATCGGGCGGGTTCGGGTTGGATAGTGAGAAAACAATGCCCACCTATTACCTGCAATATTCGAGTTCGGGTTTTACCCGTACCCACTAAAAGTTTTTCGGGTTCGAGTTTTATCCTAACCGATTAGGTCGGATTCGGGCGGATATCCACGGTTACGGATATTTTTGCCATGCTCGCTGCAATTTTGTTAATATATTGGGCGCCTTTGATTGATCATATGATCAGCCATCTGATGATACGATATAAATGCATGATCCCCCTGTTAGAAAAATGGCACGTACCAGCAAGCACCAACCACACCACCCAGAATATAATTTTGCACGGTTGGACGTTGATCACTATGCGCTAACTAACTAATCATATGCTAACACTAATTCATTAGAGCTAGGATGCCTGTAATTGCATGTCTATCAAACAAATTTGAGAGAGAACAATATGATGATGAGCTAGTATTAACCCTTAATATTGAAAGCAGTAGAGATTCAAACACTAGATCACTTGATCAAACCAGCTCTGACACCATATTATAAACCAGTAAACATCCATATATCATAATGAAAACTTACTAATGAAGTCGTCATTAACAAGTCAAATAAATTAAATAAAACGAATCAAATCAAAATTATTATCGCACTATTTTATTTGTTTCCTCTATTTAAGACTGATGACGTCTTTGGCTTTCATCCCAATTTGAAAGTTAGGATATTCTTGTCAAACAAAAAAAAAAAAAGGAAAATTGAAGTTATTGGGCTGTCATTTGTTTTCAGTCCATATGCGGTGCATATTGTCAACAAAGCCCAATCAATTAAAAAGTCCAGCTCAATACTTTGTGTGGGCTTTTGTTTCGACCCGAGCCTAAAACCCTACTAGACGAATGCCTTCCTAAAACCTCCGAGAAAGGAAGTGAGCAGGGCTCCTCCCCCAAATTCTCCGGCAACAATGGCGAACCTTCTTTCCGAAACAACCAAACGGGTCTTCACACCGGAAACACTCCGCTCTGCCGCGAAACAATCGGAGGGATGCCTCGTCGTTTCCGTTCGCCTCCGCCGTGCAATCAAAAGGTTCCTCAAGGAGCTGGAGGAGCCGCACATGAAGAAGAAAGTGCTGAGGCTGTCTCAATCCTTCAACCAAATCAAGGACGCTAACTCAATGCTTTCGGCCAACACTTCCAAGGAGCTAGTCGAGGATCCCTTCAAGTCGATGGAGAGCTCCCAGCGGTGGAAAATCAGGAGCGCTTATGGAGATATTGGGCTCACGTACTCGGACAGTGAGACCGTCGCTTATGTAGCTTCTCGAATGCCCGCCGTTTTCTCTGCCTGCTACCGCGTTCTCAACGAGGTATAGGATAAATCCCATCTGCTAACTTCACATGAAATGTTCTGATTGTGGGTTTTGGGATGGTGGAGTTGAACAAGTTTATTGATTGATTTGAAATTGAAATGTTAATTAGGTAGGGAAAAGGTTGCCGGATTTTTCTCCGGCGAAGGTGTTGGATTTCGGTGCCGGGACTGGTTCAGCTTTCTGGTGAGGGGAAATCTTCCATTCATGTTGTTAGAAATGTTTGAGTTTATGCGTAGCTTCGAAAGCATGGTTTCCCAACACTATGTTTCTGTTGTTGTTGTTGAAGGGCTATGAAAGAAGTGTGGCCAAAGTCGATCAAGAAGGTAAATTTAGTGGAACCATCTCAATCAATGCAGCGTGCAGGGCGAAGCCTTATACAAGGTTTATTAGCTAGTGGAAATGCTGTTATTTACTTGAAATTTTCGATATGATAGTACATTGGAAGCTAACGATGATCTGATGAACTTTATAACATTGCCTATATCTACTTTGGGCGATGTAGGATTGAAGGATTTGCCAATTATTTATGGCTACGATAGCATTCAGGCGTTAAGTAAAAATCTCAAGAAGACCGAGAGAGAACATGACCTCGTGATTGCTGTAAGCCATATTCTCTTTCGTAGATATCTTCTGCTTGTATGCATTCTTTGGTGCTAATCTTGAATGTTCTTCTTGTATGAAGTCATATGTGCTTGGTGAGATACCATCGATGAAGGATCGAATTACTATAGTGCGTCAACTTTGGGATCTTACCCGAGATATCTTGGTATGTGTTCATTCCTTCATAACCTTACAATTCGCGGGTTTTTTTGGTTAATTCCTTGTGTTTGGTTCCTTCATGTTGGATTTTTTTTCTTCTGAAAACTTAAATTTGAACCAGGTTTTAATTGAACCAGGCACACCACATGGATCTAACATCATATCTCAGATGCGATCTCACATACTATGGATGGAGAAAAGGGTAAGTGGATTTTCTTGGTTGTATGAGATCACATTGGTTTGATCTTGTCATGATTGCTCATTTTGTGCAACATACAGAAACTCCGCAAATCTCAAAAGAAAAGAAGTGAGACTTGCACCGACTTGGTGCCCATAAAAAGTGGTGTTTTCATAGTGGCCCCTGTGAGTACCAGTCCTTTATTTCATAGTGTTTGCTTCTCTTTAAAGTTAAGCTAAGCAATTGAGCAGTTGAGTGGAAGTACTTTTTGCTTATTGGGCATATTATGAATGCAGTGTTCCCATGAAGGACAATGCCCTTTGGTTAAATCTGGAAAATACTGTCATTTTGTTCAGCGCCTGCAAAGAACAACATCACAGCGGGCATACAAGGTTTGATCTCATTTATTAGTAGAAGATACACGAATTCGATTAGTTTCACAGCCAATCCTAGCTAGATGTTTGTTCAAGTAATTCAGAGTGTAGGGTTGGATTCAGTTCAAGGTCCTTTTTTGCCATTGAAAGAAAGGGTTGATGTAATGGAATTACCATCTGATGGCTACTGTTTTCTATATAACCGAATTGGCAGAGTTCAAAGGGTGGTGGACCGTTACGTGGTTTCGAGGATGAGAAGTTTTCTTTTGTTGTTTTTAGACGAGGACAGAGACCTCGGTCAGTATCATTCTGCAGCCTTTCTCTACCGTTCTGCAAAATATTGTGTTTCTTGTCCATCCAGTCAGTAAAAAAAATGTTCCTGTATTAATGAAGCAAACCGGCGTTGCATTTCTGTCAACACAGGGAAACTTGGCCCCTTTCTGGTGTAAAATTAGAAACTCTGAAAGAGCAGAGAGCAAACAGAAGTCCAGCAGAAGTTGTGGAAATTGAAGATGGTTGGTATTTATATATGCGTCTGGACAACTTTCATAGCTGCATAAGTTTTCCTGATGAACTCTAATCATGCATATGACGTTCACAGATGAATATGCGGAGCAAAATGAATATGAAGAAGAGGATGACGATGGGGAAAACGAAGAAGCAGACCGCAGTAACTATGACTCTGATTTCATTGAAATTGACAACATTGAAGATGATAATGAAGAAGGGGAGGAAGAAGAAAAGATGTTAAAAATAGAACCAGCAGAAACAAGTGAGGCAGACCTTGGGGGAGGTTGGGGAAGGATTATATTCTCGCCTGTTCGAAGAGGTAAGCATGTTACTTTGGATGTTTGCAGATCAGTGAACGAGGAAAGCACAGAGGGTTCATATGAACGCATAGTCGTGACCAAGAGCAAGAACCCGACATTGCATCACCAAGGCCGCAAATCTCTATGGGGTGATCTCTGGCCCTTCTGAGAAATGGCTCCAATCACAGTTAACTATTATCTATCTAAAGCTCTGTACCAAGAAAGAATGTATGTATCATAATTTCGAGATGGCCTTTGTCTTTTATTACATCCGAGTATGTCAGTAAGAACTACGTTTGTATTAACATTCTATTGATTATAAATGAAAGATTGGATCATTAGACCCATTAGACCTCTACAAAACTACAATAGCAGATAAATCTAAGGAACCATTTTCATTTGGTAGGTTAAAAATAATCTCGAACGATGATAACATGACCAAGTCAATCAGGATATGAAATTCGAACAACATTCACTAAAATTCTTGGATCTTCATCTTATCAATTTCATTATTTTTGAAGGTGAAAATCAGTTCAATATCTCATTTTGAAAATGAAATGTCTATTCAAATGAAGTGCACAATGATTTGTTTCCATCACAAATTCGACAATTTGACATTCTATGAAAATTCATGTAGCTGGTCCCGGTTATTTGATGAACAATTACAGATAATGATGGACTTACGGTGGACCAAAGCTTCCACCAGCACTAGCAGCAGTAAGTAGACAAACAAAAAAAATCTGGTTTTGAGAAAACAAAACTAATTGGAAATGATGGATGTGACGAATCCTGGACCTTATGTCGTGAACATAAGAAGTTCATTCATGGCTTTTTTCCTCCTAAGGACAGCTCCCAAATCTACTAGATCCTCTGCTGCAAGTGGATAGAGTACAATAACCAACAAAGATGTCTGATGGGATAACCGTTTCTTTCTTCTAGGGGTGGGCAAACGGTTTGGTAAACCCGAACCGAAACCGAATTGAACCGAACCGAAACCGAAATAATGCTATTCGGTTCGAAACTCGGAAGGAAAATATAGATATTTCGGAAACTAGGGTTCTTTCAACCGAACCGAAATTCCGAAATTCCGACCGAAAACCGAAATACTACAATTGCAACCTCCAAATGGTGGATTTGTATATTTGTAGTTGTTTTTATACTTAAATATTTGAAATATTTTATGACTTATGTGTTGAAAAGTTTGATTTTATCATTGATTATGCATATAATTGCATATTTATTGTTTATATTAGGAGTGAAAAATAATTTAAAAGTGAGAATATACAAGTAGCCTCACAAATTCGGTTTTGTGTTAAAAACCGAACCGAACCGAATTATAATTCGGTTCGAATTCGATTTGAGTTTTGGAAGAATTCGAAGACCCGTTATTCATAATTTCGGTTCGGTCAAAACCAAACCGACCGAATGCCCACCCCTACTTTCTTCACAAAGTACGCCATCTCATGCTTTTGTCTTCTTTTTTTGTGCGGTTCAGAAAGAGGGTAGTTATTGTTGCTATGTCACGAGGAGCTGGTTGATATGTTCATAAACCAAATTTCACATGGCAAGTTCTAAAAGTGTTTGGGCTGACTGAATATTTTGAGTTTTTTATATCCGTAGGGACATTCAGGAAGAGAGTATGAATACATCTGATATTTTGAGAGCGAGTTCGAGTCAAGGTGGAGATTTGTTACTATGACTTGTAACCTTTTCTTTTCTAGGTGGGATTATGTTTGGCCATATGATACTACATGTATCTTCTCAATATCTATAACATTTATCTCCTCAACTACAGCGAAAGTGCTCCCTCATGCCCGTGGACATAGCTAACACACTTTGTATTAGTGAACCTCATAAATTTATGCGTCCTTTAGTTTCTTGCATTGTCGATTTAACAATCCATTATAACATGTAAATGTTTAGTATATCATGAGTATCAATTCCCTGATAATCATTAGTATGCGAGAACTATGTTAATGATGTGAATGTTTAATCCAAAAATTAGTCATACTCTATACGTAAAATCAATAACTAGTGTCCTCCTCTATAAATATGTAAGAGATGTACTTTCCATCTTTCACGAGGAAGCCGATAAGCTGTCGGATGGTTGTCACAAGCGGAAACGTAGAATTGATGTGATCAACTATAACAATCAAGTGAGAATTGAGTAATTTATCTATAAATCAACCTTCTACCACCACAAATGATAGCCTAAAACAATGTAAAATTCTTATGAATTCAGATTAAGAGATCATACCACCTCTAACGTGGATGATAAAAGCTTCAAGTAATCAAACAACTATTTTCTCAAATTTAGTCATCCAAATGCATTGTGCCGTGGGTGCCTACCATGAGTTAAAAGGGTTCTTCTATCTAATTTAACCTTTCTAAGATTGATTGAAATCGGAATAGAAAAGAATGTATGATTTGAACCGGACGTGGGGACTCCGATCATTGAAAGAAAAGCAACAAACATTTTGGGAGCAGAAGCAAATGGTTGTGTACCCAAGTTGCAGGCTCAGTTGGCCCCAGTCACCACCTCTACCTATTTTATCGTGGCTGCAATTAGTAGAGGCCATAGAGGGGAAATCAGAAAGTTGAACCGTTAGAAATCCTTATTGGGACCGGATTACAGCTGTACGGAGCAGTCATTTCAGAGAATCACAACAGACCAATTAAAGACCTCCATATGGCTATCAGTACAGAAACAATGAAAGAATCATATGAACTTGTTTCTTTATACACACTTTACATACCAAAAACACTGTGAATCCAGTGCACTTGGGTTTTTGCAGATACATTGAGATGCTACAAATCTGCAGCCTGCCTTTCAATGGGCCGACTCCTCAAACAATTGTACAACCTTTGTAAATCTTCACTCAGGTCCACAATGCGTAAACCTAAGCAGCTTTTTTCCCCTTCTTCTTCTTTCTCTATTTGTATAAACTGCCCCATAAAAGAAGAGGACAGTCTTATCTATATAGGTACAGGAATGAATCAAAACTTAGTTAAATACTGTTGCCTCCTTCACACGTTTTCTTCAGTCAAACACGCAGGGGCAACCCGTAATTGAGGTAAGTTCGAATCCTCCCATCCCAGCCTGCAGTAACAATCACCAGGCCCCACATGTGAGAATTGAACATACTCTGGCATGCGTTCTTCAGAAACTTGAACTCCGGTTTCAACTTTGGTGTTGATGAAACTGACACTGGTCTCGTGTCAGGAAGCTTCTCCTCGGGCCAGGTGGCAGATCCCCTGATCAACGAATCTAACAAAAACCCACGAGTCAGCGAGAAACAATCTGGTGAAGATATCATGCTTTTGCTGCTGCTAGTTTCATGCACGACGTCTCCAATGGGTGGCGGTGGAGATAAGATCGTGCCTGGCGCAGTTTCAACCCCACGCCAAGGTATTGCGACTGAAGCATTTTGGGAGATGAAGCTCTCGTAGGAACGGATATGCCTAGCTCGAGAAGATGACTTTTTTTCCTGTTTATCATAGTTCCAAATGTAGATGTTGGAATCATCGCTTGTAGAGACAACGTGCTTTCCATCTGAGGTGAAAGTGGCGTGCATCTGGTTTGCTGCAACCCGAAGGCTGGACACTGGATAACAAAGAGAGCAGACGAAAGTTAATTTGTTGGAAAGGAACGCATGTGGCTCAGTTTGATTCAATGGATAGGAGGTCAATTTGATCAGGTACTACCTGGTGCCAACTAGTTAAATTAATGGAGCCTATGATGTAAGAACCAAGGAAGATATTGGTGGAAGCAGAAGGAATTACTAACCCCTAAATTTGCAGATGACATCTGAGCTGCAGAGAACTCGCACGAGAGAATCAGCAGATGTGACAATTACTTTGCTCGGGTCACTTGGAGAAAACTGGAAAGAAAGCTTCAATGTTACCAAACCATATCAAAATTGAACTCCAAGAGTACAGAGAGGAAGGGTATAGCAATTTAACTACCTCAAAGCCAGTTATCCTCTTGCCAGGCAATTTGGTTTTCCCTTGCAAACATATTTCAGTATCCTGTCTCATCTTGTTATCTACATTTATCAAAGACAATAATACCGTCCGTAAGCTTAAAGAACGAATTAATTCTTTCATCATATGCCAAATGATTCAGTTATTCCTGGTGGTGAGGAATAGATAAGCACCTCTGATCTCATAGAAAAGGCAATTTCCACTCATAGTGCCCACAATAGCTCCCTGCAAATTTTCATGTAAAGAAATACCCTTCAGAATTCAACCTTTCCAAGGAATTTCTTCCTCCTCAAAGCTGAAAGTTAAGATATTCTACCAACCTTCCCACAAGGACGATAAGCTATAGCAGTGACTATCTCTTTGACATCCGTGTAATCAATGACTTGACATCGAGACACTTCCCAGATTCGGACTTTCCCATCTATTGAACCGCTAATGAAATAGTCTTCATCCGCAGGATTGAAATGGACACAAGTCACTGCAATCAACCCCCCAAGAACAGGTAGATAAATGTAACAAAGAACTGAACTAACCAATTATGGAAATGAAATCAATCAATCTTACAAGCATATATACCATAGTTGTTATGATGAAAAACTCTCAGGCATTTGTCACATCCCACTTGCCACATGCGTACAGTATTATCATCTGATGAAGATAGAAGCAACTGCAGAAAGCAAAGCATCATTAACAAGTGTAAAATTGATAATTGAAAACAGTTTGTCTTTGAAAATGTAACTTATGGGAGATATTTACCCTCTGCTTCGACCAGGAGAGATCCAAAACCTCACCACTGTGACCCTGGAATTCATGAAGAGGCTTCTCAAGAACACTAAACACCTTTGGGGGCAAAACAACACAAGTCGAGTCCGAAGAAATATGTCTCTTTGTTTGGCCATCGTTCTTTGCAATTGCATCTACATCCAAAGAAGTTATATTCGATTGATGGTCTATTGCGAAGCAAAGACATGAAGGATCACTACCCGGAAGAACATTAAGCCGGTTAAATCGATCATCCTCAATGACCTTCCACACCCTTACAATACCATCCTCTCCACCACTAGCTAAGTACTGCCCATCTGGACTGAACTTCATAGTCAGAATAGACCCCTTATGAGCCAGAAATTCCTGACCTGCATACAGTGAAGACAACTCCTTGGTCTTCTTCCTGTGAGAATGAACCTTAACTCTTTGCGACTTGTTCTCTCCAGATGGCTCATTACCATTGATCTTATCGGCAATGTGAGCTGGTGATGATCTAAAATTCCTCAGCCAACCCCTCTTAGGTTTCTTCCTAGTTTCCGTCATGGTTCTTGCCTCTTCTGCATATCGACGAAGAAGCCGCTGAATCAAAGGTGACCATCCTATACTTCTCTGGAACTCTTCAAAGCTAAGAGAACGATCCGATCCCACTTCCCGCAATCTGCTAAAGATTCCAGCTTGATCCAGTTCTTCGAAGACAAACTCCCTCCCGTCGTCTAAGTTCCTGATCTTGTACATGAAATCCACCTCCGAAGCACCATCTTCAAACGATTCCCGAGCTTCAGCAGACTGGCAGGAAGTAGACCGTGACAAAGTGTCAGACCAGAAGTCGCGTTCATCAGAACCAGAAGTTCTCAACACTGCGCCGCTATCATCCATCACTCTATCAATCTCCAATTCGATCTTCTCGAGACTTTCCTTCTCCAATTCCTCCACCGAACCCCGCTCGAAACTCGGATTCATCCATCCGAGGAACCTCCGCCGCCGATCCTCTACGCTCTCCATATTCTTAGCCCAAATCTCGAACTGAGAATTGGGGGAAACACCGTTGCCGTCGGAATCGGAAGCCCAATCGGAGACGGAAGAGACCTCTTCCCTAGTATCGAAGAATCCCTCCTCCGCACTGCAACTCTCCATCCACAGTGGGGAATTCCGACTCCCCCGAAGGAACCCTTAAGAATTCAGATCAAGTGATGTTGTTCTGCCGTTGACATGCGAAGTCGGGAGCTTTGAGAGTCGAGAAACGGAACCCAGATCTTGGATTGTGAAGATAAGATGCAAACAAGGAGCGGAAATAGAATTAAAAAAGGGACAGAAAAGGGATGAATTCAGTTACCCATCCATGGGACGGCGACCAACCAACCAAACAGACGAAGCGACGACAAGTAAAGAAACAAAAGAAGGGGCGGGGGAGGAAAATGCAGACCTGGGAAACAGTGGAACTGGAATCTTATTAATGTTTCTTTGGGTCAAAATTGCAGAAATCAACGCGCGCCCATCTCCATTGACACACCCAAAGAAAGAAAGAAGTTTCCACCCGAGGAGGCAAAGTATATTGCCGGGGGGTTACCACTACTGAATTTTGTGCTTATTTACAAGTAGATCTTTCCTTCCCCGTGGCTCGAGCTTAATAAAAACGATTAATCTAGATTGCCTTTTTTCCTGCAGGTTACTACAACAATAATATGTTTTTCCATCTAGATCTTTGAATCTTTTACCATATATAGTATTCACCATTACCCAGAATCTTTAAATGGGGATAAAAAAAACTAATTGAGACCATTTTTAAAGCTAATTTAACTTTAAGTGCACAAGACTTTTACTATACTTGTTATTCATTCCGGCAATACCACTCATAATTTTAGGGTAGTCAAGTTGAACAAGGTTTGATATTAGTCTGTTCATAGAAGTCCAAATCGCAGAGAGTGGATGATTGATATAGGTGAGTCATCTCCTAGTTCCACTTATTCAATTGCTTCATGGATGGGTTGGAGGTGTACCTAGCATGTTAGCACTGGACCTAGCTGTCTACGGGCTAGCACATCACTATACACTTAAGTTAAGATACAAGCACGGGCACAAAAATATATTGGTCAACCTGGCACGAACACAAATACTTAATGAAGCGTTTCGGGGCTAAACTTCATGGTTTGAGATCTTATCAAAATTTACAATTGGTTCATGGAAAAGATATTTGTTTGATGATTTGTCGTTGCTTCGAAACTCATTCGGGTTAGAATTGAAAAAAAGAGGGAGACTTAACAACAACAAAAAAAAAAAATCAAAACCATTAGATTTCGATTTCAACTTCAATTTCTTGAAACGGAACATGACCTGAACTATTAGGAGGCTTGATAGTTTATGTTCTCTTCATAGAGAAATAAATTTCCTTGACATTCGGTTTCTAATTTCGTTATTCGGTTAAACTAAACCGAACCAATATCCCACCCCGCACCCCCTAAGTGCTTACATCTCAGTTCTCACGCTGACCGAATGAATACCTCTTATCACACGAAGCAAAATGGAGAATGTGGTATTGTAAATCTTAAATGAGGGGAAGAGTGTAGACTAGAGAAGAGAAATAGCTAGAGACGGCGGGAGAGGTTGACGGCAGCTCATAGTGGGAGTTGCTATCGAAGTAGAGCGACACAAGTTTCTTTCTTTCTTTCTTTCCATATTTTTGTTTCCATCTGGTTTCTTGCTTGTTAGTGCTGTTTGTTGACAAATGATCTTTTATTGTAAATTTCATTGAGCAAATAATATTATTGAATGGTGTTATCTTATATTAATTAGTAGAGCGCAAATTAGAAAAGTAATTGATCTGGAAAACGTGGAAGCTAAGTGAGGGGTCTCTGTTTCTCCACCGGAACAGTTGTATAACATTGACAATCACAATACTATATACTACGCCGAAAGGGTTGAAGCTGCTCGTGTGGCCAAAGATAAAGGTGCGGTGGCCGGCGCCAATCACTCTCCTTTTTCGCTTCAAACCCACTTAGAGATGACAATTTGAACCCGCCCCGCCTCGTCAGCAAACAACCCTTTGGAATTGTTAAATAAGGAAGAAAATGCTCTTAAGTATGCTACGATAGTAAAAGTTTGATGGCGTCTGATCTTGGGGGCGGGGGAATTTTTGGATCAATTGTATCATCGTCAGCTACCCTTTTATCTCATGCATTCAACTCAATTTATTTAAGAAAATCAAGGAAGAAACATGTTCAATTTTATTAAGAAAATTAGATTAATTTACGATTTTTTTTTACCAATCATATCATCATGTACCGTAGGTACAATCATGATATACTCTAGTAAAAAGTATTGATCAATAATTTCTTTTGCTGGAAAATATATCAATATGAGTGGGTAATCACATACTAGAACCCGATTCATAAACCAACATCTATCAAGAAGAAGACTATTAAAAGAGAAAAAGAAACAATAAAAGTGAGGTGCAAACTACGGTTGATCCAGGAGCGCCTTGACCGGGCTTTGGTCTCGGCCGGTTGGCTAGATCAATTGCCTGATTCGGCTCTCCATCATCTTTCTGACCAAGAGTCGGACCATAGAGCACTGTTATTGGCCACGGAATCTGTCCAACGTCGGGGAAAGAAGCTCTTTCGCTTTGACGCTAGGTGGTGTGAGAATCCAGAAGTTCGGGACATTGTCCAGGAGGTGTGGGATATGAGCTTTGATGGCACCCCTATGTTTCGTCTATGGTGCAAACTTAAAGCCCTCAGGCACCGGTTATATGAATGGAGTAAGCTTGGTAAGAGTAACTCCGAACGGAAAATTCGGAGCCTCCAACGGGAATGGGATGTTACGAGAGGCGCTATTGATGTTGACTGGGGAAAGCTTCGAGAGATTGAAAGCCATCTACGCGCGGCTTGGGTGGATGAAGAGATTTATTGGCGACAAAAGTCCAGGGTGGGTTGGTTGAAGGAGGGTGATCAGAATTCTTCCTATTTTCATAATGTTACTAGGGCCCGTCGTCGCCATAATTGCATTCATAGTCTCAAAGACCCCGCGGGAAATTCGGTGACGTCGGAGGAGGGAAAAGCTCTAATTGCTAATGATTTTTATACCCATCTGTTCACGTCGGGAGGTTTGGACTCTCAGTCAGTTTTGGAGAAGGTGGGGGCGCTGCAGATTGAGAGAAGAGTGACGGATCGGATGAATTCTAGGTTGACTGCCGAGGTCTCTCCGGAGGAGATTCGCAACAGCGTTTTTCAAATCGGAGCTACGCAGGCACCAGGATCGGATGGGTTCACAGGAGTTTTTTATCGGAAGTTCTGGGAGATAGTGGGTCCTGATGTGATTATGGCGGTCCGACATTTTTTCGATACTGGCTCCCTCCTGAAAAACTGTAATCATACTTGGCTGGTGCTCCTTCCAAAGGTTGATAATGCTGAAAATATGAGGGATCTTCGGCCCATTAGTCTATGTCAATTTGCCTATAAGATCATTGCGAAGATTTTAGCTGAGAGGCTTGCTCGATACTTACCATCAATTGTCTCTCCAGGGCAGAACGGTTTTGTACGAGGCAGGCAAATCGTGGATAATGTTCTTATAGGGCATGAGGTGATGCAGTACCTGAAAAATAAGAGGGTGGGAAAACAGAGTTTTATGGCCGTCAAGGTGGATATGGAGAAGGCATATGATAGGGTGGAATGGCCATTTTTGTTCGCATTGCTTGAGAAACTTGGTTTCAGTGCGCAATGGATTAGATGGCTTTGGGTTTGTGTGTCTTCTTCATCGTTCTCTGTTCTCATGAATGGTCAGCCGTCTGGTTATTTCCAAACTTCGCGGGGACTTCGACAAGGTGATCCGTTGTCGCCGCTTTTGTTTGCTATTTGCACAGAAGGCTTTGCTGCTCTGCTTAGACAAGCGTTATCGTCTCGTGCTCTTTCTGGTCTTCGTATTAGTCCCAGATGTCCTGTGATCTCGCACCTATTTTTCGCAGATGATTCATACCTGTTTCTGCGAGCTTCTCGAGCCGAATGTGCTAGTCTCATGGTTCTCTTGCACCAGTATGAGGAGCTCAGCGGTCAAAAGGTAAATTTAGATAAGTCGGCAGTCTGCTTTAGCAGGAATGTTCTTCCACGGGATGCACAAGAGATGGGGCAGTTACTTGGGATTGGAGCTATTGGTGTAACGGATCAATACTTGGGTCTCCCTTCTCTGGTGGGGAGGTCGAAGTATGATACGTTCCGATATATAGAGGAAAGGGTCATCCAAAAACTCCAGGGATGGAAGCAGCAGTGTCTTTCTTGGGCCGCTAAAGAAGTTCTTCTGAAGGCAGTTGCTAATGCTTTACCCATTTATGGGATGTCTTGTTTCCTGTTCCCTCTGACTCTGTGTCGTTCTCTAGATAGACATTTGGCTCGGTTTTGGTGGGGGGTTAAACAAGGGGAAAGGCGGATCCATTGGGTTTCTTGGAAAGCGATGTGCCTCGGTAAGCAGGAGGGTGGGTTGGGTTTCCGTAGATTTGAAGAGTTTAATCAAGCTCTTCTGGCTAAGGTGGCCTGGCGAATCTGGAAGGATCCCAATTCCTTGTTGGCTCGAGTGTATAAAGGGAAATACTTTCCCAATTCAAGTATCTTGAGTGCAAGGACTGGGTCTCTCACATCTTGGGGATGGCGTGGCATTCTTCGAGGGCGTGATCTGCTTCTCCAAGGGCTTCGATGGCAAATTGGGTCAGGGGATTCAGTAGAAGTGCTCACTGATAATTGGGTGCCAGCTCTACATCCGTTTCCCCCCAAACCGCGACAGGGTATTATTGGAGTGGAAGGCAAAGTGGCGTCTTTGATTTGTCCTAATCAGGGTGTCTGGAGGGTAGATTGCCTTCGTCAGATCTTTGAAGAAGACACGGTTAAAGCTATCTTGGCTATTCCTCTCCCCATTAAGGTTGTGCCAGATCGCCTGGTCTGGGATGGAGAAATCTCTGGATGTTATACTGTCAAATCAGGGTATCACAAGGCGGTCGAGTTAAGACGGCAGAAGGAGCTGCAGGTGAAGGCAGTCGCTCTATCCTGGGACCGTAGCCTGTGGAAACGAATTTGGGCCACTCCGATACCGCCTAAACTGCGGTATTTTATTTGGCAGCTTGTCCGGGGTGTCTTGCCAACTGGTGAGGCACTGAGTACTCGCGGGATGGAGGGGCTGGAGCCATGTCCAGTCTGCGGGGAGGAGGTGGAGTCTCTTGAGCATCTCTTCTTCCGATGTCGTGTAGCGCTGCAGCTCTGGGAGGGGGCCGAGCTTCACCTGCTGAGAGATCGGTTCCCACTTAACAATATAAGCATCTTTTGGCGCAGGGTTCTCGAGGAAGGCAATTTGGACAGGAGCACGCTGATGCGGGTGGTGGCTCTTTTTTGGCGTGTTTGGCGTGCGCGAAATTGGGTTGTGTTTGATTTCACTCAGTTCATTGTCCCTGTTTTGCTTTCTCAGTTTCGTTCGCAGGTCACAGAGTGGGATTCCGTTCCTGATAATCAACAAAGGCCGCCTTTTCCAGGTCCTGGGGGTCCTCGCCTAGCGGTTAGAGAGTCAGTCCCGCCTGGGGAGTTAGTGTTGTTTGTTGATGGGGCCACGCTGCGTGGTTCCCACGGGGCTGGAGGTTGGGTTTTGCAGGATCCATCGGGCGTGGTGGTGGCGCCTTAGCGGCCTTGTATGTGGGGATTTTTGATCCCTCCTTGGTGGAGCTGTTAGCTTTTCGGGATGCGATTCGTTGGTGTTTGGCACGAGGTCTTCATTCTATCGTCTTTGCTGGGGATGCACAGGTGGTGATTAGAAGGATTCGAGAAGGTCAGGTTGATGATGTTCAGGGTGGCACGGTTTTGGAAGAAATTCGATGCTTGACGGGCTCGTTTTCGGTGTTTGATATTCGGTTTGTTGGTAGGGATTGTAACAGGGTTGCCCATTTGGTGGCAAGAAAAGCCCTTTCGTTGTTCCCTCACTTAGGAGGGTTCGATTTTGTTTCTTGGCTGTTTTCAGCTGTGTGACTTGTTATATCTGGCTTTCTCGGTAATACGAGTGATCTTTTGGCAAAAAAAAAAAGAGGTGCAAACTACGGTTTAATCGGATGAGCACCAACGTTGCAGAGAGACGTTGGTGAGCAAGCAGATAGCGATAAATTGTAGTAGCAGTCAAAGATGGGCGACTCCCTGCCTGTCCGCCGCCGCCAAAGGGAAAAAAGGTAGGTTTGTTTATGTTATGTCTTACCAATTTTTCAACAAACCAGGAGGAGGATTTCGTTTCACCATTCACAAAAGCAATGACGCGTCTTTCACTTAGTCACTTATCTTCTCATTGCCAAATTAAGCCGGTCGTTTCCTTGTCCTTCGCCTCAATCTAATCTAAAAGTGGTTGCAACTTTCAAGAGCGGTGTCTACTGTCTACCTTTGGTGCATAGAATACTCAAAATCCATAGATAAATATCTCTGGCTACACTATTAGTAGGAAAATATTATTCAGACATTGGAAGAAAAAAAATGGAATTTTCGGATATTTTGTTACAACATATATCTTAACGAGTGAATTCTATGTAATATGTCTCTAAAATCACAACTTAAACTTTTGAATGATGTATCTAGTATGTTTGATATATTTTGGCGAAACATTTTATTTTTTCGTGAATAAAATGGTGAAATATTTTATTAAATTAAAAAAATACAAACAAATTAAGTAGGCGTTTTACAGGCAGCAGCAGGCCTCTCACATCCCATTAGGGGTGGGCAAACGGTTTGGTAAATCCGAACCGAACCAAAACGAAACCGAATTAAACCGAACCGAAACCGAATTAATGCTATTCGGTTCGGAAGGAAAATATGGATAGTTCGGAAACCAGGGTTCTTTCAACCGAACCGAATTTCCGAATTTCCGACCGAAAAATAGAAATACTAGAATTGCAAGCTCCAAATGGTGGATTTTTATGTTTGTAGTTGTTTTTAGACTTAAATATTTGAAATGTTTTATGACTTATGTATTGAAAAGTTGATTTTATCATTGATGATGCATATAATTGATATTTATTGTTTATATTAGGTTTAATACACTTGTATATCCAAAAAAATTACGGTTGTGCCAATAATATCCAAATTTTTCGGAATACCACTTATATCCATGTTTTAAAGTTGTTCTTTGCCAAATCTATCCATTTCCCAATATATTTTTGGTTAAATACACTTGTATATCCAAAAACACCGTTAAAGAATGTGAAAGAATTGGATATAAGTGGTATTTCGGGAAATTTGGATATTATTGGCACAACCGTGAAAGTTTTGGATATACAAGTGTATTTAACCTTTATATTAGGGGTAAAAAATAATTTAAAAGTGAGAAAATACAAGTAGCTTCACAAATTCGGTTTTGGGTGAAAAATCGAACCGAATTATAATTTGGTTTAAACCGACTGAACCGAATTATAATTCGATTCGAATTCGGTTTGAGATTTGGTAGAATTCAGAGACCCGGTATTCATAATTTCGGTTCGGTTTCGACCGAACCGACCAAATGCCCACCCCTACATCCCATCAAAGATATTGGAGTCAACGAAATAAAGAAGTGTACATACATGTCTCTGTTAATTTTGCGAGTGATCAATGTTTGACTGACCAGTAGTGCAGTGAACCCACTTGGACCACAGTTGGCCAAGAGAATTAGGAGGAAGTTAGAAGTAGTCGTACATATCACGTATCTATTTGATTTTAAGGGACGGGGAGCCAGCCAACAGTCAAGCCATCCACTATAGAATAGACACTGTAGCTGCCGGCCGACCGTACATAGGAAGTTTGACAAATTGCAAGTTGATTAATTAGCGGGAGTAAGTAAGTAAGTAAGTAAGGCCACCGAGCTAGCCACGAACAATCCAACAAGCAAGAAAATAACTAGTGATGACGAATTGAATTGAATTGAGGGACCAGAGATTGATGAAGTGATGGATGAGACATCCCGATGCCCCGGCCAACTACCGAATGATCCTTTTCTTGGCAACTCACACAATACAACAAAACAAGGCCGGCCGGCCACCGGGAAAACACGCCGGCCTCCATCCATCCACTTCGCCTCTACCGTAGTCCCGTGCTATAGTTTATTATAGAAACCTTTTAGCTAATTAACTAGGGTTTATGTATTAACTACACAATATAGGTAATGGGTCCTTAATTTGACTAGGGTTGGTGTCTTGCTTTGATTCTGTAGTGTCGGCAGATGTGGCCATCAACATCCTCGCAATGGTTTTTTGTAAAAGCGAGTGAATGCGGAAGGGTAAATGAGAGTATGAGACAGATGATTTATGTGGGTTTCTCGAATGTAGCTAGGGACAAGGTTATAGAGAGAACTCTGATATACAAGCAGTTTAATGGGATCAGTTGATTTCTTATACGGGATCAGAGATGATTTGATTATCAAGTCACGTTTTCAAGTCGAGCATTTCAATATTAGCAGTTGATTCAAAGCATCTAGTATGATGGACTTGTACAAACTTTAAGTTCATAAATTAACTTTCATTTAAAGAGGGTATTAAAAAGTTGTTAAAATTCATACACATGAACCTCTTCCAATAATTCAAGTTATTGGAACAAGTTAATTTTTTGCATTTTGCCAATCGTATCATTGGGCCCATTACTGGCCCAGATATCGTCAACGTAACAATGAAGAGAGACCAGGCCCAGCCAGCCAGAACCCGAAAGTGGGCAGAACAGAACTGCAAAGAGGAGCCGAGCAATTCAATGCAAACCGCAGTTATTGGGTAACGAAACTAGATGCAGGCCCTTAGTGTACCTAGTATGGGCTTGGCCTTTGTAGAAGGGCCCGTTACACCTATTCTATTCTTACCCAAAAAGACCCCGGCCGCCAGGAGCAGCTGCCTGCAGGCCTTCCACCTCCTGCAAGCAACCAATTCAATCAATATTCGCATATGCAGCCCTTAATAAATTCCTCCACCAAAATGGTAAATTAGTATTTAATTTTTTTTTTACTCTGCATTCTTCAGTTTACTTTCCTCACTTCATTTCGTCAAAACAGTTGATATGTCTGCATCAGTAGGTTAAAAATATCAAGACCAGGAACAAGAGAGAGTATGTCCTCTCTGTTTCTTGTTTTGGTAGCCAGTAAGAAGAGAGTAAGAGTTTGAACATCTCACGTTTTTAATCTCTACTTAAGGTTAAAAGAACTTATGCCGTATTAAAGTAATCAAAGGGATAATTGTTTAGTTTCCTTGTTGACAATTATCACTAATAACCCTAAACGTGCTTTGTAACTAGGGCTTGAGTGCCATATATAATTGAATATATTGTGTGTTGATGTGCGTATAGTTGAAAAAAATATTCAACGGTTTCAAATTGGCATAATATTACTTTTTGGTTTCGAATGTGATTCGCGGTACGCGGTTGCGCGCGGCGGTTTCGAATTGATGAAGTGCGGTGTGGGGGCCAACGGTGGACGATGAAGACGCCGACCGCCTGTTTTGCTGCAATGATGCCTGCCTAGCTAGGACTAGGAGGTGCACCAGCGCCACTATAATAATAAACCCTGGCCGCGGAAGTCGTCGATCCATCGGAATATTATTATGATTATTAATTTCTCTCTGCTACCTCCACATTCATCAATGGCGGCATTCATATTAAACCCTAACCTTGATAAACATGCAATTATATGTTAGAAACAATCATCAGTTGAGCAGTCTACAAGTCTGTCACACTGTACAAGTTGTCTCGTATTTATTTGATTTATTTGCGAAGATGCATGCATATTAATGTGGCACATCTGACCGGCCGGCTTCCCTTCACCGGCCGCCAACTCCCAAGTTCCAACCCTACATACCCTCTTATCTTCTACACAAAAGACTGAAAAAAAAGAGTGACACTTTTTTTTTTTTTTTTGGTTTTTTTTATCTCCAACACAAGACTAAAAAAAAGAAATCGAAATAATTGAATAAAGAACCCGTCCGAAGAAAGCATTTACAATTACACCAGCTGATCATTTCGCCTGCGCTATAGCTAGGACAGCAATGATAGCAGGAAACCCCAGGGAGCCAACAAACTATCTGTAATACGTACACATGCTTGTGCTTTCTCAAGCAACATTTCGGTAGGCACGATCCATATGTATATATATATTGATGGCATCGATAGATTATTCATGATTCAGTCAAAGTAAGCCACTACTTTTTCTCCACCTGTCTAAAATGAGCTCATCAAGGAAACAAGGGAGTAACTACTACTTCATGAGAGGGCCGGCTATGGCGGAAGAAGAAGGGGGTCATGATGATGATGATTAGGTATCTTGATGAGATAATGGTAGTAGTAGTGGTTATAGTTGGTTCAAATATATGGCCCCTCACTCCTCATGGTATTTGTCATGCTCGCGACGAAAGCCAACTCATGGGTTTGAAGTTTGCACATGTCCGCCATACCATGTGCTTGAAGACAAAGATTAATATTGGGGTCGTGAGGACTTGAACATCAAGGACAAACCAGCTCTGATATCATATCATAACCCAACTGATCTCAATAACTCGAGTTGTTGAGAGATGACCATGTATGATACTTAACCACTTCCTTACAATATTCAATCTAAATAACTCGATTTATTAGAACCAAGTATATGTATAGATCCACACCCACACCATAAGAGCAAAGATGAGTTTACATGGATGTTCATGTGTTGGAATATAAATTGTTGAGTGATGAACAATCGCCAACCATTCACTCAACCCTATAGTATTGAAGCTCAAGGGATCGATCGACGTGAGGCGTGGTGATGACTGGTCAGAGACAAAGAGGAAGAGACGATGTTGATGTTGATGAGTTTCCAAAGAGAACTTAATCGGCAAGTGACGATGCAAGTACAGAGCTTAGCAACTCAATCGATCCCTTGGCATGTGGACGTACGGTTAATTAATAGGCACCGTTTGGTCCATAACCACTACTAGATCTGTCAAGAATCAATTGATCCCAATAACTCGAGTTGTTGGAAGAGGTTTAGAACACAAGACCTCTCGATCACAGAAGGCTCTGATACCATGTAGTCAAGAACCAATTGATCCCAATAACTCGAGTTGTTGGAAGAGGTTCAATCGTGGATCATATACCACAACACTAACAAGATCTTGAGGTTTTGGCCAGCCTAGCTAGCTAGCTACCTAGTGCCTGCTTCCATTTGTGCGTTGATGATAACGTTATATATTGCAACCAACGCACGAGTTCTTGAACCTCGCCGACGGCTGCCTTTATTATAAACGTCGGAATCGAATGCATGCTTTGAGTACAAGTACGGGAATTAATTAGTAAGTGTGTGGTTCTATTTATTTTGATTATTCCTTTCCATATGCATACTAGCCTTGTACCCGGTCCGTTGGCCGGGTGAACTTTGTTTGAAATGGTGATTGGGACAAATCATAATGTTCGTAGATAATTAAAGATTTTATCAGTTGGAAGTATAATTTAATATTAACTAATATCGTCACTTGGGTGTTTTTTCTCCTACCGTCTCTACTTTGTTCAGGCTATTATTGTCGTCTCGCATCCTCTTTTATTATCTTCCTTGTAAATATTCTAATGTAAGAACCTGGTAGTCGTGTCCCTAAATTGAAATGTAATGTAAGTCTGTGAATTGTTGATGTACATTGTATGTTATGGAGAATGAAATCCAAGTAGTGGGAATAAATTGTTAACTTCCAGGAAATGGATTTAGAAATGTTAGAAAGCTTATTTAAATGAAAATAGGTTTGGGAAAGACAATTGCAATGATGTATTAGCTGCAGCATCTTTTTTTAGTAAAAAGAGAAGATACAGAAGTGTAGAAGATAGAACCCTAAGAATATGAACTACAAACAAAAAGATAGAAACATAAAATACTTTCAACACAATCACATCTAGCGATGGTCAGTGTTTTCCATTAATACCAGCTGAATATGTTCATACCAATTAAAGGAGATTAAAAATTGTGCAATATTCATCTCTTAAAAGTATAGCATAAGAAACTTATTAAAAGTTCTGCAAACTTTTTTTCTGAGACAACGTGGCTGTCTTTCGATAAGAGGTTTCAGATAGACAAACATCAATCTGAATCAGAGATGACTTCAAATTTGCGTTTGTTCTTGTTGCTTGCAGCTGTGCTGTCAATTTCTGGAGTGGAATTAGTTGCTGTGGAGAGTGCTCGTGGAGGGGTGTGGACTCCTGGTTCCTTCTTCACAGATTTGAGGAGTGCTGTAGGGGTGTAAGTGAGATCACTTTGGATGGAATGGCTTGATGAACAAACAGTTTCTTGCAGTGGACTCCTTGTTTCCTCCTGCCAAAATTAGTTAAGTGAGTATGTGTTTATGAAATTATCAATAGTTCATCAAATACTGTACTTGCTGGTATATGTATATATTGTTTCAATTTAATTTGAAGTTAACAGAGTGTTTGAGCTAATCTATATAGTGTTCTGGTTTTACAAAGAAGGAAAGTTATTTTCTCTAGAAGAAGCCACGAATAAAATGGTTTTTGATGAAATCATAAATTAATTGAAGAAATACATTAACAGCTAGTTGATAAAAGCAAAAATTATATTAAATTAAGGTAAGGGAAATGGAAATGGATCCTTTCAAGTCGCTTAGTTTATTAGGGCTGCTGGTTATGAATCTGGAAATGGAGTAATGTTGAGAGGAGGACCTGGTAATGTTGAGTTTCTATAATAATAGAAAGGTGGGAGAAGTTAATGGAGGCTGAAGGTGCAAACCAAAATTGATCATTGATGTCCAGGTTCATTGAAATGAAAAATACAAAAAGAGATAAATTAGAGGTAAACACGTGTACATGGAACTTAGTGTTATCTCAAAAGTATGATTTCATAAAAAAGATCATACATGGATATCGAAGTACTACCTTGATCACCAGCATTGGTAGCATTTGACGAAGCAAAATATTGTGATGAACCTTCACCTGTATGGACGGCTGGTGCTGCATTTGGAATGAAGAGACTTAGTCCTTACAAACAATCGTCCAACAGCCAGGGAGGAAGAGTATTAAGTGATATGAAAGAATAAATGTGGTGCTTACCGTACTGGTGAGAGATTGCTGCAGGAGTTCGTAACCGTTTGGGGCGAGGTTCTTTCGAACAGGAGATTGATCTTTTCCCTTTTCGATCCATCTACAACATTCATGTGTCAAGGTATCAAATAATCAAATAATTCCCGGATATTATGGAATCCCTCTCTCCTCCTAATTCTATGAATTAGCGCCCTCCCCCCTAGGGTTGAGCACTTTGATTACAGGAGCTCCCTACAGGAAATATATTATATTTTTAGATAGGTAAAGTTTGCAATATAAATTGAGATATGGAGGTCCGACTAATTAAGGAGCGAGAGAGCTAGCAAAATACCTCCAAAAACAATGAGAAGTTGGGTATGACATACCAATGTTTTTTTTTTTTTTGAAACTTTGGGCTGAATAGTGTGCCTAGAAATAGCGTTGGCAGATCGGGGTTGTAACTGGACAGCAAGTATAGCCGTAGCCTTGCCGTGCAGCGGGGTGCGAGTTGCTCTTCTTGCAGCGTAATTGGAATAGAGGACGGAACCGTGGGATGGAGCGGAGGAAGTAGAATGTGGGGTTTTCTGGGCAGGTGGGATTTATGGATGGCACTATTGTCGACGGGCAGGCGTTTGCTGGCGGCGTCAAAGGAAGGGGAAGGAGTTGGCGGCGGTGGTTTCTGGTGGCGCCGAAGGAAGGAGAAGCAGTTGGCGGTGTTGGCTGTTGTTGGTCTGCAGAAAGGAGGGTTGGGAGAACCGGAAGAGATATTGCTGCCAGGTTTTGTGCGGTGATGAGTTGCAGGGCGGGAGAAGCGAAAGAGTCGATTTGGGGGGTCGCTTTACCGTTTTACATTTTGTGTTTTTTTTTTTTTTTTGCTGGGCTTATTTTGATTGGCTGGAGGGGTCTGCTGATGTGGAGGCATAATGGGCTGGGGAATTTGAATCCACGAGGTCATTATTTGGAAAAGTCTTATTATATTCTATTGATGCCAGTTGCCAATGCCACGCACACTGAGCCATCAGTAGTCCCATTTAGTTCCAAACGACTTAACGTGTCCTTTATCTTCCTCTTTTTGACCACGTATAAGAACTATTCGTGAACATGAAGGAAACCCCATTTAGGGAGAGCTAGGGACTGTCCATTGCCATACAGCTAGCTATATAGCTGAAAATTTTATTAGTGATCGAAGAGATCATTATGTAGGTTAGATTAAACCTAGAAAGTGCAAGTTTTTCAACGTGATTTCATCATCACCGTGATAAGCTTTCATCGTCAGAAAGCGATGAATCAAAGAGAATGACGATGATAAGAGACTCAATAGTGATTCAGTAACAAATCATCACAAGGTTCTTGAAACATTCATTTCCTTACGGAATATAGAATCTTTACAAGTCTCAAAGTAATTTTGTTTTATTTAGATAATTTTTTTGAACGATATAGATCAACAAGACCGAAAATCCGAGACCAAGATGCATAGATGGGATTACCACAATTTAGTCATACACCACACCAATTCGCCAAATAGAGTCAATTAGCTTTTAACTCAACCAGACTAAACAACACCCAACTCTAATTGGGATGAATTTTACATGTTTAATAAATAAAAGGACAATCAAGTAACTAACTATCAGAAAATTGGTGTAGTGAAGTCACTTTCCTCAAGTATATATGTCTTTGTGATATGAAAATTTTGGGGTTTGGAATTGACAATCACATTATATTCCATCCACCCATTTCTCTCTTTCTGGAAATGAGAGGTAAAAGGGAAGAGAGTAAAAAAGAGAGACAACATCCAAAATGGAGAAAGTTTCACCAACATGATCACCCGCAGGCTATTTGTGCTCTTTACTTTTTACCATCATCAATTAGGGTTGCCTATTACTGGTAAAAGCTTTCATATATGGCCGGTGCCTTGCATGTCCCATTGCCATGCCAAGAATTGCATAATGTGAAGGTTGATAACCCATAACAAGGAATACAAATTAGGTCATCTCAGGACAATAATTATTGCATGGTTAATTCTTTAATCACCTGTTCATGTCATATCCGGACCAAGTGGGTAATTCGTGAGTTGTGAAACATACGATCCTGCAAAGTAAGGACAAATATAAGCATAAAATAAGTCTCGTAACTATAAATGTGTCAATCAAATTGGAATTAGATGATCGATAATGATTTATGATCACTTAGTTTGTAGGATTGAGATTTTTATTTTATTTTATATTTTTGTCAAGACAATGCATGGTGTGGTGGGCATAATTAGGGAGTTTGGTACAGGTATTAATAGGCAAATAATTAAATTGTGGATCTAGCTAGTTGCCGTGAACACTTATGATACATTGGGTCCTATAAATTGCAGGTTAAATTATGAAATGACCTTACTTTATACGGGTGAGGGGCCTGAGATGCTATATATGTAAGTTTGATTGTTTGAAAAAGGGGATTTATGTAATTTATTCTTAGAATAGAGCAGTTAATATGTAGCATTGGTCTTCCAATTTAAAAAAAAAGTTCCTTTAGACAACAAGAATCCAAACTAAAGAGCACAATCTGCTGACCTAGAAAAACTATGGAGAGTGAGATCTGATGACTTTGTCCACATCTTCATTTGGTCATGCAGCATTGCAATTGCAAAGCAAGCCCACGCCCTTGAATGGATGCATGCGCATCCCTATGCTAATTACTTACTAGTTAATTATCACAAGTCAATAATACCCCAAAATTAGCCATTAATCTGGCCGTACCAGTTTAGTTTTCATGATATCGTATAAAACATTGTATTTATTATATTCGACTTCTTGCATATGATAGTGTAATCAATTTATACTATATTATGTAAGGAGATCATAAACATTATTGAGCTTGTTGTGTATGTCTACCAACAAAACATTAATTTTTTCTATCTCACGATAATTCATGATGTTAAGAATTTGTCATTAGCTTAATGTTATCAGTCAGGTTTGCAACGAGGACTTGGAGCTTCACTTGTACGATTGAGGAGTTCAAAGCATGAGGATACAAAACTCGTATTTTCATCTGTGTGAATTCAATCACATTGCTTCATAACGTATGTTTAAGTTTTTTTTAAACCTTTTAGTTGGGAAACACTTGAGATAAAAGAAAACAATGAGATTTGTAACTAATTATCTTTGAGATTTCTAAGTTTGAAAAATTTTGCCGCTAAATTAAATATTGATTTGAAGACAAATATTCTCACCACACATGATTACTCTAAAAAGAAAAAGGGAAAAAACCCTTCTCATCTAGGATTTAGGAAGGAACAGAAGAAGAAGAGGAATGGGAGGAATATATGTCAGTTTGATGCCAATTTTTTTTTTTATATGTTAACCTCTCTCTCTCTCTCTCTCTCTCTCTCTCTCTCTCTCTCTCTCTCTTTCCACTCACTCTCTCTCTTTCTCAGATGGAAACACAACCCCATAAAGCAAGAAGCACTGCACAGTGCACACACATAAACTTCCACTACACAGCTCAAAGAAACCAAAAGCAAAAGCAGAACCCTCCCTTCCCCACTGCAAACTTTATTTCCCATAACATTTTAAATTTCTACTTTTTCATTTTCAGCCAGCCCCCTCTTTCCCCCATGTTCTTCTTCTGAACCAGCCACCACCACCACCAGCAGCAGAAGAGAGAAGATCAACGGAGAGCGAGCTGCTTCCCAGTTCCCACAGCTCAATAATTCCAGCTTTCCATATTCGGAGTTCTACCTCCTTTTGAATTCTCGTCATAGATCGTCTTCACAATTACTAGCCTTTGCTGAAGGGTGAATTTGCCTCCAATCCATGGATACAGCCCAGTGGCCACAGGTAGAGATTACATGTACAGCTAACTCTATACATAATTCCCCATCTCCCCAGATCGACTCGCCAGGTGTTCGATGTTTTTCCACAGAGAAAATTCCTCTCTTTTTTTCCTGCTTCTTCTTCTCCTCCCTTCAAGTATCTCACTCACTTTATATTTCTTTCTCCCTATCCTTTTCTTCCCCCCCTTCTGTGATGATAAAGTGAGAAACAACAAAAGAAGGAAAGCAGAAGAGCAAGAAAAAGGCAAAAGGAGAAGAAAAAGTGGGCATAGCTTAAGTTGTTTTTTACTTGTTTGTCTCTGCTCTCTCTGTCCATTTGTATCCTTCACATATAGGCTCCTCTCTCTCTCAAGTCTCAGAGTGTATTAACAGTAGCAGCATCCACCTGCTTTATCTTCACCCAATATAACTCCTCTTTCTTCCCCCAATTACACAGGAGATAGTGGTGAAGCCATTAGAAGAGATAGTAGTTGGTGCTACTCCTCAAAAGCCTGGAGGAGGGTTAACACCAACTTCATCAGGAGGAGGAGGAGGAGGTGGAAGCTTGGAGAGGAAAGTAAGGCCACAAAAGGAGCAAGCTTTGAACTGCCCAAGGTGCAACTCAACCAACACCAAGTTCTGTTACTACAACAACTACAGCCTCACACAGCCCAGGTACTTCTGCAAGACCTGCAGAAGGTACTGGACTGAAGGCGGATCCCTCAGAAACATCCCGGTCGGAGGCGGCTCCAGGAAGAACAAGAGACCTTCTTCTTCACTTTCCTCATCACCAGCCAACACTTCTTCAAAGAAACTCCCTGGTTTGATTTCCTCTCCCGCTGCTGCCCTGACTCCCAATTCCTCTGCTGGTAATGGTATTGCAACTACAGCAGGTTCCCAAAACCCTAATATTAGTAACAAGATGATTCATCAGGAGGGTCAAGATCTGAACTTGGCCTTCCCACGGAGCTTCACGGAATTGATTCATCAGAATGGGAATCATCACCATCATGATGGTGAGAACAAGAGCCAGATTTCAGCTATGGAGCTGCTGACTGGAATCTCACCAGCCAGGGGAGGAATATTGAACAATCCTAGCTTCATGCATATGCCACCACCACAATCGTCGCTTGTTCATCATCATCATCATCAGGCTGCAGCTGATCATGGTGGCGGTGGTGGGGGTTATAATACTACATCTGGGTTGAGTTTCCCGGTGCTGCAACATCAGGATTTCAAGCATAACGGCTTGAGTTTCTCGCTGGATGGGATTGGGCTTGGGATCAGCAGTGATAATAATGAGAGTGGTGATGGTTATCATCATCATAATCATGAAGGTGGTGGTGGTGGAGGAGGGAGGCCCATGTTTTCGTTTGAAGATCTGAAGCAAGTGCCGAACAGCAACACTACCACGAACGATAGTAATGGGGAGATGGTGAGTAATGGTGATGGTAAAGATCAGCATGCAGATTCGAGTGGGTACTGGACTGGGATGTTAGGGGGTGGATCATGGTAACTTTTATTACTTAATCAGAGCCCGGGATTTACAAGACAAAGTATAAAGAGTTAATCATCGTTGATGAGTTGAGTCCTTTTCTTACCCTTTACTTTACTTTGCCTTTCTAGTTTTTCTTTATGAACAGGGAGGAAAGGGAGAGAGATTCTCCACTTTCTGTGTATTGAAATTTCTTGCTTTGAGGTGGGTGGGTGGTGGTGATGATGACTTTGGTTGGGAATTCCTTCATTGTTCTTATTATTACTAACAGAGGATAGGAGGACATGGCGGGATAATATAATATACAATTGGGGGTTTTTATTTTTCCTTTTGCTTTTCTCTAGCATATGATGATGATCTGGATCAGTTTGAGTTTGGATTGGCCCTTGATTGATCCCAAGTTTGAGGCTTTTTTTGTAATTTATGGGGAGTCTCTTACTTCCTATGTAGCTAACTAGCTATATAATGGTGATGATGAGGCTTTGAAGTTTTTAGGAATTAGCTTCATTCTAAAGGATCATCATATAGAAGAAGGAAGAAGATGATGGATGGAGCAGAAGTTATATCAATCTAAATTCATGCTCATGGTAATGAAGGGTCAGCTTTCGGTTTGGTCGTGTCAGAAGAGTTCGTGAACTACCACTGGAAAAGAAGCTTGAAGCTTAGAGAGAGAGAGAGAGAGAGAGAGAGAGAGAGAGAGAGAGAGAGAGAGAGAGAGAGAGAGAGAGAGAGAGAGAGAGAGAGAGAGAGTAAGGAACAAAAAGCTGGTAATGCATGGGTGGGTTGGAGCAGAAGGGTTAATCAATGGAGAAAAAGAACAATTATGATAATTATTATAATGTAAAGATGACATGTGGGGGAATTCGTCAGACATTAATTAATTAGTGTGAGTTGTTTTAATTATGGGTTTCCATAGAATTGTAAGATTGCTACATATAATTATACTAATCCTGGAATTTCTGGGTTCAAATCGGGCTGCTGCTGCTGCTGGGAAATTTCAATGTAGTCGTCGTTGTCTCCTTCTTGCTTTTGTCGTATGCTCTTGTTCCATTTTTGTTGTGTCTGGTTTCATGATAATCAGTGCACAAATAAAGAAAACACAAGGCTATGCAGTCTATCTACTGTATACGTACTGGTACTGCCGCCGCAGCTCACTCACACAGCTGGTAATAACAACAACAATAAATAAATGCATGATCATTAATGCTTTAATATAGGGTATTTTTGTACAGTAACTTTTCTGGTGTTCTCAAAATTTCAATGGATATGATAAAATTTGCAGATAATTAACTATTAGCTCCATGACTAAACCCAAAATGTCATGATTAATGCTTTAATAAAGGGTATATTTTGTACTGTAACTATTTTACCATTAACCAGCAGAAGGGAGAAACAAAAAAAAAACACTGAACAAATTAAAGGGCAAAAAAGAGAGACATTCATCATATGCACAGATATATTTGGTCCTGCTAAAGAAGAACAGCTTGCTTTGCTGCTAGGTTGAGCAATGAGCAGAGGGCCAGGTAGAAGACGGTTAAAAACAGTTACTTATATCTCTGTAACATTTTGCCTTTGACCTGTTCTTTATCATTACGTGCCCCATTCTCCCTCCCTCTCTCTCTCCACTACTTCATTTCTTTCCATGGACTATGGTACGATCCAGCAATTAATTTGTGGTAATCAGAATGGTTAACTGTTAATCTTTCAGCAGCCCTTAACCTAACAGATTCTTGTTTCTCTGTTTTCATTTAATGTTCATAATCATAGTTTAGTGATGGATGGTTGAAAGAAAGAAAGAAAGAGAAAGATCTGACCGACGCTTTACTTGGGACAGTAAAGCAGAAGAGACCCACATAAACATTCTCCTTGGGGACTGTGTGTCTGTATGTATAAGGACAAAGACGAGAAGAAGAATAATTCATTCACGCCACGCCACGCCACGCCACTACTACCAGTCTCCGTTCCGTCGTAACATCCTACTCACAAAGAATCATTAATCCTAGCTACTCGATTCTGATAAGTGAAATCCGACAGGCCATCAATGGTGCTCCACATTCTCTGTTCATGTGAACGAAACATCAAACAGTCTTAGCATCATCACCCAGAACGTATACGAAGAAGATGGAGTTCAAGTCTCTAGAACAGAATGTTTCATTTTCTACCCCAGGATTTCGTATCCAGTTGTGCTTGTGCTTGATGGGTATAGTACATATTCACTTCCATACTAGCGAGAGAGAAAAAAGAGCATAAAAATGGCATTGCCCTTTCCAGTACTTTTTTTTTTTCCTTCCTTCTTTTGGATTCGTGTCTGTACAGGGGGCCTATTCCCCCCAATTACGTTGAACTGCTGTCAAAATGATGATTCAACCAACCTACTTACTAAAGAGAAAATTCCACAGAATGGTGCGATCCACGATGAACAACCATGTTTCAACCGCCTTCTCAAAGTTTGCAGTCAGAAATCCCCATTGATCCCGAATATGCGGACTTTGTGCATGTGAGGGAACTTGGCGACTACCAGAACAAAGACGGCCAGCGTGTTGAAGAACAGCATTGGATTTTGGTAGTCTGTTGTGTGCGATGCTATTAGATACCTGCAAAAGATGGAAGGCAGGAAACAACAATTTGTTAGGGACGGATCGCATTCTTATGTTCGACTCTGAGGTACAGCAGTTTAATGTGGATTCATTACTGCACAATCCGTTCGGACCATCAGCCACCATTACAAAGCAATTAAGTCACGAAAATGAATCATGATGTCTTCATTCCAAAAGCTTCGTCTGGAACGCATATTTCCATGGAAATTAAGTGAATCAACGACCAGTGGGAACCACTAACAATTTGCTAGGAATTCAATCTCAGCTCACAAGGTAGAAGGAATCTAGTTTCAAATAAAAAATGGCAGAGGATTGATTAATCAGGATAGTAGGATAATAGCAGCCAAAAGAGAAAATAAGTTGTTTCTCTCCAAATTCTCTAACAAAACAAATGTCTCAAGCAAGTCTAATCAAAACACATAATCATCTAGTGCACACATAGAGTGACCGACTGAACATAGCTATGAACGAACAAGATTACATCTACGACACCTGACTTCAAAACCAGGATGACATTTGACAAATCAGTTTCTTTCTCGGATTATTGGGAAGAAACCAGAGGGTACTTCATAACCAACAAACACATTGGCACACAAACAAAGACAATATAACAATGCAGTTACTCGGGAAATCAACAAACAATAGTATGTCTCACCACTTCATGTCTTAGACCTAACAAGTTATCACCAGTCAGAGAGATGGTAGTAAGAAAACTAAATTGAGCCGCACTCATTTGTGTTCGATTGATAAGAACTTAGAAAGATGAAGCAAGTAAAAGACACTACTCACAGAACAACTGGCACAACGGTGAGAAACTTCCTATTCCGTGTGAGTTGCTTCCCATTCTCAATTTGCTCCCACCAAGTCAACCCATTATAGATACCTTGATCGTCAGCAAATGGAGTCCCCTTCTTCCAGTGAAAGAAGTGGTAGGTGACCTGTAAGTTTTGAAGCAAAGCATTCATAAATAGGCAAATTAATTCATAATAAGAGCTTAAAGTAGAAGGTGAGAGACAATGAGAAGCAACACTACCTCAATCCAAGTCCTTATCCAATTCAATAACAATGAGAGCACGACATAACTAAAAACTACAGACCAACAATTCACAGGCTTCATTGTCGAGCTAAATTAACCATCTCTTCTAGTGTCAGGAAACAGAGAAGGGGACAAGAAGAGGAATCAAAGGAGAATCAAAAGCTTCCACTATCCAACAGTGCTTCAGGATTCAGATTCAATTGCTCCCCCTTATCAAAATCTCCCACAAGCAAAGTGGATGAAAGCCCTACATAAAACCCTGAACATACCAACAACAAGTCGGCCCTAAAAATCGGATCTTGCAAGCAAATTTCAGCAAACATAAACCCTCTTGCAAGATTGAGACCTAAGGTCTGCAAAAGGACCGTAATTTTCCTTCATCAAGGAAATCACAAAACGGAGCAAAAGGTCTCCTCCTAACCAAGTAAATCTAGAGCAATAACAATCAGATCCGGGCAGGGGCAAGGAAATCAACCCACCTCTCCTCATCCTTAATCACTAACCTAGGAAGAAAGGGGGAACAAGAAGAATAGGGAAGGGAACTAACGATGAAGTGGGCGAGATGGACGACGGTCCAAGCGGTGCCGGCAGAGCAACCCAGGAGGCAGAGAACCATGAACCAGGATGTGAAGAGGATGATGATGTAGGTGGTCCAGACGCCTGGATAGGTGAACCACTCCGTGTTCCGATTCAAATCCGTCGGAGGAACTGCTCTCACATACATCTTACTGGTGTGGTGGTGGTGTGTGTTAGCGAGGAGGATAATAGGACGGGCACCGAAGAAGAATTGGGGATCAAAGAAGAGAGCTTTTTTTTTTTTGGTTTGTTTTTCCTCTCCTCGTTCTGCTTCCTTCTTTTTCCCTTTCTCTTTTGTTTTGATGAATTTTATTTCATGAATGTGATGAACCAAGAAAATCAGGTATGGCGATGCCGACGGGGACACACACAATGGGGGAAAAAGATTCGGGAGGAAAATAAAGAGATTAATTTCGAAAGTTAAAATAAAATGTGATGACCCGGTCAAATTCTGGGACTGCTTCTCTTTACTTCCTTCCCGTTTTGGGTTCGGAGATTGTGATTTGTGACCTGTCCTAAATGGGACTTTTATACACTCATGATTTTCAAGGCTACACAAGGAAGATAAATACAGCAGTATATATACAAAATTATATTTATGGGGACGACTGGTACGCTATGAAATATTGCGAGTCAAAATTACATACACCGTGTATTATAAGAATAATATCATCTTGTTACAATTTTATCAAATATTTCTGAATGGATAATTGGACATTGTAATTAACTTGAGAGGTGCAATTGTTAAACAGAGTTGAGTTAATGAGAATTTTGATATTATATAAATCTCTTATTGGCTTCATTTGATAGTACTTACATACAAAATATATTTATCTAATATAACGTGTCAATGATGGAATTAAACATGTCATTAGCGTTCAGTTAAAGATACATTTTTAACATATCCATTGTAAAGATAACTTTGTAAGTGATTTTCTTTTTCATCAGAGTTAATTTTATATTTTTACGTAAAAACGACAATGAGAATGGAGACAGATAGATGGAAGAAGTACACTCGCCAAAAGTTACATTATGACATAGTCGATATATGTATGGACCAAATTCAGACATATTTAATTATTTGAATTAGATCAAAATTGTCATCCAATACATACTTTCTAGTTTCTCACTGAATATGTAAATTGAATTAGGATGTTATTTTGAACCTCTTCCATTAAACATAATATCACAGTACTTTGTCAGTAAAACATTATTTAACCTTTCTATCACAATTTGTAAAACATTTATGGAAGTTGTCTAATAAGTTCACAATTTGTAATCATATGCGTGAGGGCCATAAGCCCATATGCCATGAGGCCCGGAAGCGGGTACAAAGTCTCTCTTGGGATCGATTTAGTCAGATGTCTTCGTAATACTTGAGGGCTCAGGCGATGGGCTTTAGAGGTCCCCAAGTAGGCTTGTTGGACACAAAACCATCAAATGGTTGGGCTGGACCATCGACATGTATGTTCCATGGCCCAGCCTAGTGGTCCCTTATAGAAGAAAGGCACTGGACTGGAAGCACGAGGTACGTGTAGTAGAGAAGCAATATCCATCACTCCCTCCCCAACTCACATAATGCTAATGAGCCCAATAGTTCTTCTGCGTGCCTTGCCTTGGTCTCATCAAAGTAACGTACTCAGAGGTGCTTGCTCTATTTTGTTAAAATTATCAGCTAATGATGGATAATCGTAAGCTTACTATGTGGTTGACCTAAACTAAATTCACCACGAGTAATATTGGTTGATTAGTTGTGTGACCGTACGTGCTGTATTTCCACAATCATATTAAAACTTTGGTCGGCTTACAATGTTAATGATGGATAACCGTAAGCTTGTTATTATTGCACATTAATATTGCATATTTGTTTGACCTGATTGTTATGTTTCATTCGTTATATGTATTGTCGTCATTCATTATATATTGTGCAATGGTACATTAAAGGACAATTGTTATGATAGCCTGATTAATCAATTAAATTTTAATTTGGTGAAGATATTTTGAGATAGTGACTGTGGTAAGTTGGTAACTAAACATTTAAATACCAAAAATTACAAGGAGTAGGAAACTCTACTATTTTTCACCACCGTAATAAATAACTAGCTGTGTAGAGAACAAAAAGGACAAAAGCAGGCAGGGGAAAGGAGAAGTAAAAGAAAGAAACAAAGATGCTTACGTCTAATCCCATCACCCCAGATGGAGATGCAGAACAGACAGGGTAATGATTCCGCCTCCAGACATGATTGCTGACGTGGCGGATTGGGGGACCAATCAATGCTCAAGAATCATTTGTCTTCCTCTTTAATGGGACCCACCTCAGCGCTCACTGTAGAGAAAAAAGAGAAAAAAGAAAAAGGGGGAGAATTTTTCACTTCATTCGGGGCCTGACACATGTCCCCCTTGTGACCAGCACTGCGGTCCTTATTGCCCTGCTCCCGTGCTCCCTCTCCCTTTCCTGAAAGTAACCGCCGGCCGTCTGATCACAGGCCGCCGGACGCCCAACCCGCAGATCACCGGCCACGTGTCCGTCTTCTGTTTTTTTTAAGGTTCGGTCACTGTTACACTTCCATCTCTCCATCATCATCAGCAGCGGGTGCAGTCAGCTTATAGGTTGGCAGGCGCCACCACCTAGGCAGCTAGCTTGGCGCATTGGCCAGAAGAGATTGGTTAGGGGAATGTGTGTGTTGTATGCTCGTATGGGCCAACATCAAGCTCATCCCCTTTCTCCATTCTTGTTCGTTTTCCCATTATGGTTTCATTTCTGTCAATTCGGTTGCGGTTGTGTGTGATCTAACGGTTATTGATGCATTAATGTCGTTATCGGATTTGAGTTTTGGGCTAGTGTCACTCCGTCAATACATTCCATCTAAACAACCCATGTATTCATTTATCATTATAATAGACTAGTTTTTTGGCTCGCGCTTCGCAGCGGTAAGAGACTAATTATATTTAAAACTGTATTGACTTATTTAATAATTCAGTTGAAATCAAATAATTCACAAATTTCGGATAAGATATCTTCATAAATTTTATGTAGCATCTGGATAAGCAAGAATGAATTACGTTATATATTTTTCAAGTAATACTAAAAAAAAATCCCTTAGTAGTTTTATGTAATATAGTTTTGATTTACGTAACTAATATATAACATTTTATTATAAATATTATGTAAGGTTTGTTCTAATAATAAAACAAAGTTAGTTTTACGTAGAGTTTAATCATTACAAAATACTTATATAGTACTTTTTGAAATAGATAACTAAGAATGATTATCCTTCCATAAAGTTTACATAATGTATTTGTAATGTACAGAACACAGTTATGAAATCTTTATTAATGTGTGGTCTAATAATAAAATCAAGTTTGTTTTACGCTAGATTGTTAATCTTTATAACAGATATGCATACTTTTTTTTGTAATTGATAACTAAGAAATAATTCTCCCTCCATAAGCTTTACATCATGTGTTTGTAATGTACATATCTATTATAGAACAATGTTATGTAAATCTTCCGTAATGTGTGGTCTAATAATAAAATCAAGTTTGATTAAAATGTTATGTAAAAAATAGGTAACCTTACAAAATCTTAGAAAAGTTATAGAACATTGCCACATAAATATTTCGTATATATGAAATTCAATATAGGAAATAAAATGTTATGCAAAACAATAATTAATCTTATAAATCTTTGCTATGCAAATAACAATGAGCTTATGATGAAATTAAAGGTAGGGAATCAAAACACCACGTGAACAATACCGCTGATGGATTTTTTTCCATCAACGGCCCATTTTTTAGTTTTAATCATTTTAAAAACTTTATGCATTACTTTTTATATTGATAACAAATTAATAACTATTTCTCCATAAGCTTTACATAATGTATTGGTAATGTATGTATCTTTTATAGAACAATGTTATTTAAATATTCTGTAATGTGCGGTCTAATAATAAAATCCAATTAGGGAAAGTATCACATTTAATTAAATTGTTATGTAAAAATTAAGTGAGGTAACATAACCTTTGCCTACTGCAAATTGATGAAACGATTAATCTTCGAGGTGATAACCAGGAAATTAAATTAGAGTAAGTATCAAATTTGATTAAACTGTTATATATAAAAACAAATGACCTTACACAACTTTTTTTTATGTTAATTGATGTGATGACCAATAGTTTATTTAACAATAAAGGAACTTTTGTTCAAATCTATACTAAGAAAAACATGCACAATACATATGTCTAATTGATACATATGTTTTGTGCAATGCCCTAATCATTATGGAAGATTAATATAATAAGTTTGTTAAAAGAATTTATAATGAATAACTATCCCTCTATACGTTTTTCGTAATGTAAATTAATGAGGTAATAAACATCTAACTATTCATATATGAAAAGGGCTTAAGGTGAAATTAGGTTAAGGGGGTACAAATATTGTGAGCAATTCTGTTAATAATTGATGAATTTTCATATAACAAAAAAGTAGAAACAACTAATCATATACGAAAAGGGCTTATGGTGAAATTGGGTGTAGAGGATACAAACCCTTGTGAGCAGTGTCGTTAATAATGAGGAATTTCATCCAACAAAAAATACAATATTTAAGAAATTCTACTGTAGGTAGGACCACAAATACAGAACACTGAACCCAAATCGATTTCAATTTTAGAGGTATGAAACAGAGTAGTACCGTTAATACTTGAGGAACCCTATCGTATCGGCAAATAGGATTGAAAATACCAAATATCATATCCAAATTGGTAGGGATTTTAGCGTATGAAACGCTTGAACCATGATTTAGTACAATACTCTATCACTACCATTTTCGGTATAAACTCCGGTACAATCATGTTACAATTATTGCAAAAAATTATAAACTAATTATATATGAAAATGGCTTTTGTTATAATTGGGTACCGGCTAATAAGATCAAAAATACCAAATATCATATCCAAATTGGTAGGGCTTTTAGCGTTTGAAACGCTTGAACCAGGGTTTGGTACAATACTCTATCACTACCTTTTTCGGTATAAACTCCGGTACGATGTTACAATTATTGAAAAAAAAAAAAAACTAACTATATATGGAAAAAAGCTTATGCTAAAATTGGGTTTAGAGGATACAATCCCCTAATGAACAGTACCGGGGGAAAGACTCCCCTATTTTATCGTGAGGAACAGTGGCAACGGCTTGCGCCTTTAATTAATTAATAACACAAATTAAAAATACGATCTTTGGAATTACATATATTTGTGACTCAACTAGGAACTAAGTTATGGTATTTGATATAGGTACGGCTATTCCGAAATCATGATTAGGGTTTGCAGTTGGGTGAGGAGGAAAAGGGGTTCTTGGCTGAGGCTCACTAAGGCCGTTGGGGATGGAGGAGTCGGGTCGGGTCTAGGTGCAGGATGTGGGTCTTCTTGGCCCGATGGGTGTGGCTGTACAAATGTACAATGGAGATTCATCATTGGTTTCATTTATGAGTTAGTTTTTGGGGATTTTTGATGGTGAACATAAGTTATTCTTCTATACTACTTTTTATAATAAATGAAGGAAGAAATGCGCCCGTCCGTCCGTCCGTCCAATTCGGGGGGCTCCATTTTCCTGTTTAGGGTTTTGCTTGCTTTTGTTACCTTTGCCTCCAGTTTACTCATTTCTAGTTCTTGTGGGGAAAGGCTTCCCCCCACTCTTTTACTTGAAAATGATAGGGCCAATTTTACCACTTCGTTTCTTCAAAACCCCACTTTTTCTCGTCTTCTTCCAAAGATCAGTTTGAGATCGAATTGCGATTGTATTTTTTGAGATTATTATCATACATATATTATTTAGAATACATCAAATTTGATTATTGTTCATTCATAATTCATTAATTCATTGTTTGTTTTGACATAAGTTGTCACTCAAATTGAATGATGAAACAATCTCAATTAAAAACTGACATTGAGATTGTAGGGATTGTTGAGTTAAAATTGCTCAACTCATTTTTATTCACAAATTGAAAACAAAATCGTACATACCAAACACTATATTTTACAATGTACTGAATTCATCAATATATATAATATATACTATACATGTTCAACACAATAAATCTGTTTAATTATCGCAACTTCTTGACACATCCCAATTTAAGCGTACATTTATCATTTTACAGTTGCTACCCACAAATGAACTCCCTCCAAACAAATCAAATCATAGTCGATTTATTAGTTATTACCAGAGAATAGATTGTTGTTTTGTTTGGAATCGACATGCATCAATTCCGATGGTGATCTCGGCCGAGAAGAGAAGATCCCGTGAGATTTGCTCAAATGTTCCACTTTATTTGGACACAAATTACCATTAATTGATCAGACTAATGTTATCCGATCCCCTGAAGAATCCCTACACCAAATATGCATGCCAAGCCAATGCTATGCCACCATCTTTTCAAACTAAAAGAATTCTGCTCTAGAGACAAAACCGTTTGCTTCATTTCGATTTGCCTTTTTATGATTTCCTATCCACATTGGATTTTGGGTTTTGGACAACGAGATGAGTTTTTTTTTTTTTTTTTTGTTCTTTCTGTGTGATTTTGCATGCATGCCGGATTCTCGAGAACATAATCTCTAATCACTACATGAGGTACTGATGGAAAACCAAACTGTATATTAAGTCACACAAATTAGAAACATTTGTACCGGCTCGGACTATATACAATATAATGGTTTGTTTTTTGGTCTTATGAAGGATGGTCAAAATGGTGTGCTCGGAGGTCCTCTAGCTTAGAGCCTCTGAATTTTTTTAGTGGAAATAATATTAATTAAATAATAAGGAAATAACAAACGAAATCCATCCTAGACCTAGCTGAGCATCTGAATATTAAAGGTCTCCAATCATAGGTCTGCTATTTAAGTAGAAAAATATATTATAGGCTTAATTTGTGTTTATATAATTAATTGATTATCTATATGATGATGGGCTTGAGTATATCAATTAATACTACGGTTAGTCACTGATTATTATTTTGCTGTGCGTTGATTGATAAAATCCTACTTGTCTTCTAAAATAACACGAGAAAACTCTAATTAATGCCTTAGTTATAACGACGATTACAAATATGTGTGAATGATCATTTAATTTTTATTATACTTAAGAAAATAGACCGAATCTCTATTATGAAATAGGACCCTCAAAATTCATTGTACAGTCCTATTCGATCTATAGAATTTTCTAAATATAAAAAAAATTGATATTTTAACCCAACCAAACTTATTGTCCAATTCTAATCCTCAAATTTCCTTAATATTAAACCGCGACTATCTTGAGTTAGTCCGGTTCGGTAGTGAACACGGCCCTTGCATACATTATCACAATAAGAGCAAAATAAAAGAAAACAAGAATGCAGTGAAGATTACGATTCCTATATATTGATTGACTTACTAATGAGAGAGAACCCATATAATTGCATAATTAAGAAAAGAAACCCCATTACTTACGTCGTAGTAATGATCTTTACTGTGTATGCTTTCTCGTAGAAGGCATAATATCTATGCAAATTAACGCTCTGATAATTACAATTACAAGCCTTTTATTCGATTGATGCTACCTAGCTAGCCTACTGAGTTGAGGTCGGTTTTTCTTTCTGTGCACAAGTCAATGCTCTTCTTTACCCTGTTGCGTTTGTATTCAGCTAATGACCACTAATTAACAGCATATATAATAATTACCGTCCCAACGGCAAAAGAGAATTTAGAGAATGGCCGATTGTAATTTGATTGCTTTCTTTCTTCATGTTCTTTCTGTAACATGAGAAATTATGCGATGTCTATTTGCATTATTGTTGTTGTAGCTATGATTATTGGTTATTCTCTTCCCGAGGCCAAAGAAGAAAAAGGAGATCGAGCTCGTCTTAAAGCACCTTTGCGTTACAAAGTCAAAACTTTCAATGAATAGTGTAGTGGAAAAAGAGTGGAGAAGAGGGCATATTGCATATAGTGCATGGCATGGCATTTGGACATGGCTTTACAGAAAGGCCAAACTGAAAAAAAAAAAGCCTCTTCATCATTAGCTTCCACATCTAATTAGTAAGCAAAAAAAAAAATGTACGAAATAAAGCTTGTAATTAACCTTAATCAAACGGATCTTGAAACAACGTAGGCCCAAACATATATATATGTAAAATATTTGCATTATGAGGAAACATGGTTGATGATTGGTTATTTGCCTGTTAAGCCAGGCTTTGTTCTCCTTTAATTTACATGCAAGAGGATCATGATCAAGACAAAGTTAACCAACCAAATCTTACACTTAGATTTACTGCTCTACCCACTTCGCTTTGGCAAGGTCCATGGAATAATCGAACATTATCGATCGGATCAGAATTGGAGGGAGGTGGCTAGGGTTTATAGTGGGCGATGGAGACTTTTCCTTGGCGTTGACTCTTCCAACTTGCTTGTATATGGACGGCCATGATTAGGCGTGTGCCGAGCTGAGGAGACAGAATCATATGTAAGAAAACCCTACGACACAAATATATGACAAGTGTTCTTCTTCTCCTTTATATTTCCTCTCCTTTTGTTTCAGCCTTCAGAAGATTTATGAAGAAGGGCCTCTAATTTAGTGCTTGGCAGAACTTCATGCAGAAATGGTAATTACCAGTATGTAAACAGAGAAAAAATTTAATAACAATTGAATATAATCCACTTATGCACAACTTGAAATAATTAAACATTGTTTATAAATTCAATTCAACGAGTCAAGAACGCGCGGGAGTCACATAAAAGTTCAAGGAGGATAAGGTGAAACCGATCACAAATAAATTCAAGAACCGAAATTAATTGTCATCGGCATGATAAGTAATGATAAAAATTACCGTATAATTTGGTTTTTTTTTAATGATTCTTTTATGTGTTGACCTAGATGACTTAACAAAGCATTGCCGCTACTTTAGTTGGAAAATTGGGGCATACTTTGCGTATCTCTGAGATAATTAACTTGTGCTACTCTTTCTTTCTCTCTATCTAGCTAGCTAGCCATCCTTTTTACCTCTGCCCTTTATCTTTATCTTTTCAGTATGGTACTCGATGAATTGATCCATCGTTCTCTTTGGTAAGTAAGAAAAACAGTAGCTAGCCATCTTCACCCCACACCACTAGCACAAACAAAAGTTGGTCGTGGGGCACCCAAATCCATCGGGCCCTTTGTTTAGATTCATTCAACCCTTACTTTCATCTCTCACAACGCATAGAAAAACAATCTGATGCTCAATTTTTGGACAACATGATCATATTTATGTTAAGGATATCAAAACATGTTTTGGAGTTTGTTTCTTAATAATTAATAATGCTCAGCTTTTACCCCTTTCATCATTGAAGTGCCCTCTGCAGCTAGCTATGTTAATGGGTTCCAGTACTTCAGAAGAAACTTTGAATGTGTGACAGAAGCTGGATTTGGTGGAAACTGGACTGTGCTACTCTCTCTCTCTCTCTCTCTAGGGTTTTGAACGAAATGGACCGGATAAGAAGCTACACATATATGGCAAAAGAAAATATACACACTAGCTAATTCCAAAAAAGAGTGGGGGGGAAAAGAGAGGGAAATCCCATTTGCAAGGAAGGTTATTAGCTAGGGTTTAGTAAGTCAATATTCTCATACTGAGTGCATAATCTACAAAAAGGACAAAGAATTTTCTAGCTCTTTTAAAAATTTGGAAGAATAACGAGAGAGGTTACAAATTATGGGGGCCCGTAAAATGTTACTGGGAAGCACAGAATATGGCCTTCACTGCATGCATCATGAAGAATTATTCATTGTCCCTCCCTAGCTCCCTCAACTTTTTATAGGCTTTGGGACCTTAGTTTGTGGGGCACATGCCCTACCCACCATACCATATGAAATCAACGATGGAATTGATAGGATAGTAGTACTGCTGAAGTCTGCACATTTTTGTGTGTTTCTGGACACAGGCTGCACAGGTAACAACGGCTAGAGATCAATAGACATGAAATTGTAAAGAGTGAAGTGATCTATTCCTTCCTTCCCCTTGGCTTGCATGTTGTTTGCTGGTATTTATATGGTTACTAGGTTCAGTATCGCACTTTGTTGCGGCCTAGCTAGCTAGCTACTTGTCTCGTTTGAGTTTGGGGTTTCATTTGCTCACTGGCTAGCCATCAAGGCCTCGTAATTTTATAATCTGGAAGGACTGAAATTATGAAAATACAGAGATTACAAAAAAGAGAGAGAGAGAACCTGAGGAAATGATTAGAACGCATGCAAAAAGGTAACAGTCTCTTAGCTTAACACCTCTCTCTCTCTCTCTCTCTCTCTCTCTCTCTCTCTCTCTCTCTAGTATAATTGCCACAAGTGCTATGTATACTACTGCTTCAGTTCAAACCCGACTTTAGTTTTTGGTGCATCATAATGGTAACAGCTTATCCATACATAGAAACTAATCATTCAGCCATATACCTATTACCTATATTATATGCTCTATGGGCATCAAACCATACATCTCTCGTAGGGTTTCTAGCTAGTACATCACTAGATTTCTGCATTTCCAATATACCTAATTAACTCCAAACACTAATTGCTTTTATAATTTCCATTTATTCTATTTTGGTATCGAAACACGTAATTTATGTATATTTGGTTTCGAATAATTACATTTGGTTGGCACAAATGCTGAATTAATCAATCCCTTTCCATATAGGGAAATTGAAATAGAAACTATGCCAGCTGCGTTTTGGTGGGTATCCAGCGGTGAAATCACATATATACAGAGAAATTGGTATCAATGTGCATTGGGTTCTATTTTCCATGATGAGTTGACGACATTGGAAAGAGATTGAGGAACAATTTCTTACACCAAAACAAACAAATAAAAAAATCATAAAAAAAACAACAAAATTTGGTTACGGTGAAAGTCAAATCAAACAGGAAAATTTAGAAGGAAAAAAAAAACAATACATTGTGGACAATGCATTTATTGTAACTATCTCAACCAAACTATCACCAAAACCAAGCGATCTCTAAATGTCATATTCTACAATGTAGACACGTGCTTACGTCCATAGTTATCTAACTAATTAAGCATGTTAAAAAACAGAATTTACTAGGGTTAGGTGGCCAGTGAGTATACTAAATATTGGAAAGAGCGCTATTAGTTGGTAGGAACATAGGTAACACAGAGAGTGACAACACAAATTTTGATGCTAAAAACAACTTACCTTGTGCGTTGTGTTATGAAATGATAGGGTGGGTGGCTTGTTCATTATAGTGCCCTACCTATCTCTTAGCTTATTGCTTTGCTTAGTATTGATATCCATCAAAATTAGTGCAGGTGTGTTATCGATTGTGCGAACATTTCTTTTGACCAATTGCAATGGACCACAACAACCCAAAACCACAAATTAACCCCAGTTAACCTACTAATTATCGGCGCACTTCTATTTCTCACCATCGTCATCATCATCATAATCTCCCGATAAACAATATCATCCTTATACTATTAGTCTATTACTATGCTAATTGAAAGTTTAAACCACTAGCCATCCCTCCCTAATTACACTTAGTGCACCACCCACTTCATCCTAAACCTAGTCATCGTCTAAAGTGAGCGGGATGGTAAAACCTTTTTGCATTGGTTAGCTTTTGATTCTAAAGAGGCCAAAAACTATATGCATAAGAGAAGTTGAGATATGTACATAGCTAGGTATGGAGAGTTGGAGATACAAACTGTATACTTTGATGGTGATATATGATAATGGAGGGAAAGCTAGGCGTGCAAATAGGGTAGCTATATGGTCCGAACAAATTGGTCCAAATTGATTTGGTATCGGTTCGGTCTTTTCGGAAATATAAGGACCAAAGATTGGATTGGATACAATCCAGTCTTGAACCGGTCCGGTCTTGACCCGACCTGGTCCCAATTCAGTCTTGATTTTAGATTGAGCTCGTGGGCATTTGAGTGGCCTGAGGCCTCAAAGGGTGAGGAGTTGGTTAGCTTTGGGTGTTGGGGTCTCTTATTCAGTCTTTATCCGGTTTTTGATCCGGTCCCAAATGGTTTTTTTACCTCAAATCTAAGCCCGAATATGGGATTGAGATTGTTTGTTATCCAGTCCCAGTTCGGTCCCAATCCGGGTTATACGGTCCGGTTTCAGATAAAACCAAAAAACTCGGACCAAATAGCCAGCCCTACGTCCAAATATCAATTTTTATGCTTGGCATATTTTGGTTGGGGGGAGTCGGGTGGGGGCACTTCGAGAACACCAAGGAGAATTTTAACTTCTCTGAGAGATGTATCAAATCTCTCGTTACTCCACAAACAAATTGTGTAGAGAAAATTGACTCTTTTTAGGACTTTGATACAACTAACCGTTTAAGATTTGCATCTCGATATCTAGTGGACAATACACAACATAGTAGTAGGTCAAAAAATATTCTTTGTTTCTGTCTTTAGAAGTAGATGATCAGCGTACGCTGCAGTTATGAACAGTTTAATTAAGATCTGCCCTCCATACTGTATCTCTGTAACACAGCTGTTATTCAGCTAGAATATAAACTTTGGAAGCTTTTGTCCATCTTTTGAAATAAACTGAAATGAGAGGAGGGAATGTTTCTCAAGACTATCATACTATTAAGACTAACGACTGAAGAGATTCACAAAAGATTCGAAACTAAACATAAAAACTTAGCGTTAACTCAATATGATCCCTTACATTTATCAAATACTAGGCTCAAAATATTCGAAGAAAACCATATGCCAATGCAACTACGTACATATCATTGATGGTGATTGGTGGGGGAGTAGGAATGATATAAACATAACTGTATTTATATATGGAGAAGACTTAAATCACAAGCAAGGCTGGCAACAAGGAAAAAAATCATTTGCTATATATAACTTCAAAATAGCTTTACTCTAACACCTCGAAAGATATGAGATATGCATACTATATCTATTGAACCGGCGCCAACACAACAAGCAAAAAATATTGTATATACATATCTTCCACACAATTACTGATGATGGGTTTTCTTGACCTCTTTTAGCTACCACTTTGATCATATATCTGTCTTACGCCTCGCCATTGGCTCGGCCGCTTCAGTTGGATGGAATTTATTATTGTTATGAGCAACGTACAAAGTATTTGCCTGTCGTTTCTCACAATTTGATGATTGCATTTGGAAATTTAACGTGCCCTTTGGAAGCAAGTATATGTAGCTATTGTTTGGATGAGTACGTCAGTTGAAATTGGAGCGTCGAAATAAGGAATGCTTTCTATCCAAAAAAAAAAAAGTATATGTAGTAGCTAAACAAACTAGCCTATAATAGTATCTTGAGGCCTCAGTTGCCATCGGTTGTATATTTGGCGTATGAAAATCTTAATTTTTATCACGTGCCATATTCTGCTAATTAAATTGTCCATTTAATGGCGTGCGAAAACCTTAATTTTACTTGATCCAATTTGTCATTTTTTATTTTTTCTCAGTTTAGCTAAGTGAAACTCTCTCCCTTTTTTTTTTCTTACGGAAATGAACTAATGGAATCTTTGTCAGTATCCTTTTGCATTGTACACTTTAACTAGGAGAAAAAAAGTGGCAATCTTTTGGATCTTGCATTAATTACATTTAAATTTTGATGTACATTAAAGAGTAGTAAATGCAGAAAGCTACGACATCAATATTGCAATTATGCATTTTTCTATGCAAGAGAATGAAATCCTAGCTAAAATGAGTGACATATGTATAAACTAATGGAGAGTGAATTGGAATGAATCATGAATGATAGTAGATGGAGTAATCCATGATATTACGTAAAATTATGATGGAAAAGTAGCAAAGAAAAGCGAGAGGAATGGGAAATTGCGATTAGAGCTCTGAATTACCTGGATGAGTACAAAGCGCAGCAGGGCCAGGACAGTACAGATACACCATCAACTCGCCCTCGAACCCAGATCAAATGGGAACCTCCACCTGCTGGAATTCTGAAACTCAACACCGATGCGGCGATCCTAGGCATGGAGGGAACGGGTTATGGAATGGTTCTCAGAGATTGCTCAGGGAACTTTCTGATGGGAGCGACTTACCGAACGAAAAGGTGATGGCCGATTGAGATGGCGGAAGCCCAGGCGATGAGATGGGGACTGAAGCTAACCCGACTGTATTTTTCCCAACCGCTGCTTCTCGAGTCCGATTGCCAATCAGTGATACACAAGCTCAATCGGCGGGATGCAACAGAAATGGAGGTGGGGATGATCTGTGAAGAAATTCGGGATCTAGCGGCTGAAGAAGGAAATGTGGAGTGGAGATTCTGGAAGAGAGAAGGGAATGCATGCGCACATGAGATGGCTCGATTGAATTGTAGGGCTGAGGAGACAGAGATTTGGTTCTCAATGCCACCTGTCATTTTAGTATCTCTACTTTTACAAGAGAGCAATGTAGTCCCTGAACTTTGATTCATTGGAATACAGATTACCTTGTCAAAAAAAAAAATTAATTCGATAGAGTCACGGAAAGATTTTGTTGGAACCAAATAAATAATTCTTATTTAAAGAGCTATAATTCTTAACGCTCTTATTTTTTACTTTCGTTCACATAATTCTGTGCTTATTTACATAACTAATTTGTATGGTTAAATTTTCTCTTTTTTCTTTTAATAAATTGTATTTATCATATTTTATGAAAAATAATTTTCAATTTCAATATTTTTTAAAAATGACTGTATTCATCGTAATCTACAAAATAATATTCATTTTGATATATTTTAAAATTGGTTTTACAACGAGAATGGCAGAGAATGGGCGGTGAAAGAAACCAGCAAGAGAGTAACCGGAGACAGAGAGAGGAAAAGGAGAATCAGGATGGGGCCGGTCGCTGGGAAACAGGTCGACCAAAAAGGGATTTATTTATTTATACAAATAAACAACAACCACAACAACAACAAAAAAAACGGTAGTAAATGCCGATAAAGGAATATCTCAGTGTTCCCGTCCTACTTCAATATTATTTCTTAGGGGTGTTCAAACGGTGTGATTATCATGGTAATCGTTTTAACCAGTACTATTTGGATAATTTGGTTTGGTTAATTTGGATAATTGGTTTGGTTTGGTTAAAGTTTTTAGCTTGTTTGGTTTGGTTTCAGACATTCCTAACCAGCCAAACCAAATTAACCAGATAAATAATTAGCCATATATATCTAATATATACACATACTTAATACTTTGAATAACCACTCAAGAGTTGAACGTTCATCCCTTTTAGACTCAAAAAATATAAAGCTTGATATTGTTCTTATAATGTATATTTGTAAATGTAGGGTGTAGACCACAACATAATTTAGATAAATATCATACATGATGTTGGATGAAAACTTGAAATCAAGGTCCTTTTCAGCCTATGAAAATTGCTAAAAGACTAAGTAAATTCAAACAAACACAAAAATTCGTTAACCCATACCATTGTGATAAATTTTTGTTAGGTGAATACTTTTATACTAATCGTAAGATAATTGTCTTAGTTGAATGTATTTATGTTAAGGGTCAGCTATAACTATGTAAGATAATTGTTATGTTTTATTCATTATATAAATTGTGAATTGGTAAATTCACCAAAATTTTCTCACTTAATGATAATGTGATTTTATATTGGTTAATCAATTAACCAAATCGATTAAACTTTGATTTGGTTAATTTAGTTGTATTAGTTTGGACGATTTGATTATGATATTGTATTCCATGATTAATGAAATTTAACTTATTTAGCCATTTAAACACCCCCTAAATATTTCTCCATCGCTCCAATTCATTCCAGAGCAGAAAAGAAAGCAAAAAACAGAGAGAGAGACAAAACCCAAAGCCAGAGAGAGCCAGAGAGAAAGTTCATTTGATTCATCTCTCTCTCTTCTGTTCTTTCCAATTTTCTTTCCCTTGTGCTTTTCTTTCATCTCCTCTTTCCTTTGTGGATATAATAAAGAAGAAGAAAAAAGATATATAAAGAGAAGGAAGCCATTAACCCTCTGGCTTTTGGAGTTGTCCGTCCTTCTTCCTCATCAGTCATCACTCACTCTCTCTCTCTCTCTCTCTAGTCTCTATAGTCTCTCACCGACCAGTACTTTCCGCATTCATTAATAGTTTCTTTTGCTCTCGCCATAACCACTGAGGAAAACATCCAGTCTGTTGCATCAAAAGACAGCCCTCTGTTTTGCCACTTCTGGCCAACCAATTCCTCTCCCCCTCTACTCTGTTTTTTCTCCTTTCGTTCTCTTCAAGGAAACTCCTTCCTTCCCTCTTTCTTTCTATCTCTGTTCTTTTTCCCCACTCCCTCCGTGTTTTGCTCTTTTGATGATTCTGAGGTACCTGAGGCTCTGAGGCAGCTCTTCTTCGTCATCATTTGTGTTGTAGTTTGGGTTATTTAATGTGGGGATGCTGGATGGTGATGTGGTGGTGCTGCTGCTGAGATTTTGAAAGCCAAGCCAGGGTTTAAAAGAAAAGAGAGGGCTTTGGTGGGCTGTTTTTGTGTTCTATTTCTCTTGCTCCTTAAAGAGTGAACAATGGGTAGTGGCAAAATGGAAACTTTTGTCAAGGAGAAGCTCAGGGGACTCTGTTGCAGCAACAATGGCTGGTCTTTTGGACTCCTCTGGCGCTTTGATCACCGCAATTCCATGTTAGTTCTTCTTCGCTTCTTGTTCTACCTTCTTCCAGTTTTGGCATGCTTGCTTGCATGAACTCTCATGGGTAACCCAGTACCTTGAAAAAGATCACAGCTTTTGTTTCTTCTTTGGTCTGTAATACTAATCTGTCCTGCTTACTATTTAATTTGTCGCTTGGAGCAGCCAAAGGGGGAAGAAACAACACTTGAAATGGTTTTGGGGGGTACTGACCTTTTTGGTTAAGCAATTTTAAGCCTAGCATGCTTCCTTTTTAAATAAAACAATAAAAAATATTCCTTAAAGAAGGGGTTAACAAAAGTTTTATCATCCTTAAAATGATATCCAAGATCTAAATTCCTTTCTCCTTTCCTACTTTTCCCCTCCTTTCTCATTTAAAACTTTGTCCCCTTCTGTCAATTTTAAGCATATTCCAGCCATTGACCTTGTAGCAGCATCAAGCTTAACAGCAAGTAACAATAATTCTGACAATTATGTCCGAGTAAGTAGTAACTAAGGTTTGCTGTTGTTTCTTATTTTGTTGTATGCTTACCAGGTTGCTAAGACTGGAAGATGCCTTTTATGAAGAGCAAATGAAGACAGTAGTTGAGGATTTGCTTCCCCAGGTCCACATGGTTGGTGAAGGGTAAGCCAATGTCCAGAATAATTACTTCCATGATCCATCATTAAACTGAGGGCTGTGTTGGTCCTTGGTTTTAATTTGGAAATTTCAAGAAATCAGCTGTTATCATAATTGCTCTATCCAGGCATAGAAAACAGTATTTAACAGGATGATGATGTTTTTCTTTGTTTGCTGCAGAATGGTTGGAGAGACAGCCTTTAGTGGGAAGCACAAGTGGATTTCCTGGGCTGCTGATGATAGTGGATGGTGTGATTCTGAGATCACCAGACTGATCTCTTCTGGAGTGAAGGTGCCTGTCAGAAAAAAAACACTACATGTGTAAAATGTTCTAGTGTCTTGTTCTGCTTTCTAATGTTAATGAATGTCATTAATTCTTGTCTACAGACAATTTGCATGATCCCATTGGGTTCGCAGGGCGTCATACAGCTTGGATCCATACATAAGGTTTGTGCATTTCACATTGATGCCAAAAAAAGAATCTGATCTTTAACTTCCTCAGATGATGAATGAACAAGCAGTGTACTCTTGTTGCAGATTTCTGAGAGGCAAGAGTTTGTGGATCAAACCAAAAGATTGTTCAGTGACACGGAGAAGGCTGAATGTATCGTTCCAATGACCACCAGCACTGCTTCATCTTTGACCTATGATGCTGCTTCTTCTGATCTCAGTGACTGGTTTGCTTCCTTCTGTTCTGGAACCATCTCACCCATCCATGGTGGAAATTGTGATGAGCTGGTGGAATTTGGTTGTACTTCATCAAACTTCACTCAGTCTTCTGTTCCAACATCATGTGTTGAACAAGAAAGGATTGTTCCTTCATTTATGGATGCAAGCCGTGAGCGTGCTTCGTCAGAGTCGGGAGGCAAGCTGGACTGCAACAGTACATGGAGCAATGAAGGTTCAATTTTGACCTCACTAGAGTCACAATTAGCTTCAGAGATCGAGTTCTGTAATTTTCCATGGATGCTTTCATCTAGTGGAAGTACTCCAATGTCCCATGGGAATTTGCAAGGGAATGCAACACTTGCTCCATGTTACAATACAGGAGGGTTGATGGATGTGGACAAGTCGACTCAAGCATATGCTGAAAGATCTGTGACAAAGAATGAGTCTTCGACTGTCATTAAGCTTGAGGGACAGGAAACTTTATGTGAGTTTCCTGAAGAGTTCAAGCAGGATGATTTGTCCACAGATTTGTCCAACTTTTTCATATTGGAGGACCCATTTGAGTGGATTCCTTGTTCACAAAGCAATAACACCAATGTTATGACTCCACAAGTTGAGGCAAATCTTTCACAATCGGTAAGCTTTCGTGCACCAGCTTCTGGCCTGCTTGAAGATATTTACAGTGAGCAACCCAAACCTGGGGTCTCCATTGCTGCTCATAGCGATATGTTCGAAATCCTAGATCTAATGTCCGTTGATGGACAAGTTGGTAATGGGGAGAATTCGATGGCACCTTTGGTTAGTGGTACTCAGCCAGGTACTAGCAAAGATGACTCAAAGTTCCACCCAACATTAAATGGTAACTCGAAGCAGAAGGGCTTATTCTCTGAACTGGGACTTGAAGAGCTTCTAGGTGGCCTGAAGAGTTCAAGCTTTGCTAGTGCTAGATCCAGCGTCATCGATGAAGGACTACTGCCACCTACCAAGAGAAGAAAAATGGAGAAATCATCATCACTCAGCGTCAACCAACTTCACTTGGGGAATGTCTCTTGTTCAGCAAGCAGCAGCACAAGCATGCTGTCCGCAAGCAGTTTGGACAAGGCAAAGTCACCAATTGCACTATTGATTGAAGACAGCTTCAGCAGCATCAACACCAGAGGAGGTATTCCAGGAAAAGATAAGAAGCCCAACGATCCTGCTAAAAAGGTGGGTGTCAAGAAGAGGGCTAGGCCTGGTGAGAGCACGCGGCCAAGGCCAAAAGATCGTCAGCAGATCCAAGACCGTCTCAAGGAGTTGAGAGGCATAGTTCCTAATGCTGAAAAGGTATTGTGCTTTTTTTCAGCCTTGGACTCTTGGTATGATTTCAGCAATGTCAGCGTACAAATGTTTGAAAGAGAAGCTGTTAGAAAATAAACTAGGGATTCAAGATAAAAAGTAAATGGTTGTCCTATTACTGGAACCACAGACACAGAAGTCTTATACAGAGTAAAATAGCTAGCTTCTAGGGCAAGGAAGGATGAGTCTAATTGTAAAATGCAGAATACTGCTTGTACTTTAACAGAAGCAGCTATTGACATATGCTTTGTTTGGTTGACATGGCAGGATAGCATAGACAATTTGTTGGATAGAACCATCAGACACATGTGTTTCTTGCAGAGTGTGGCAAAATATGCAGACCAGCTTAAACAAGTCGACAAGCCTAAGGTAGTAAGTGTTGAGTTATGTCCAATTCTTTCTTGCTTCAGAATTCAGAACATTTCATACATGGTCACTTACTGAGACAATTAAGGTTGAACATTTGTACAGATTTCGGCAGGCGAAGGTGGTTGTGGTGCTACCTGGGCATTGGAAGTTGGTGATGAAACAGTGGTTTGTCCTGTCATAGTTAAAGATCTAGTTCCTCCTGGACTAATGCTTGTAGAGGTTAGTCTCAGACATAAACTGCTTACTGCATAAGAAAAAAAAAAGAACTCTCCATGTCCTGAGGTTGAAAGTAAGTTGAACTTGAACCCACTAATGGTTTCTGTTATATTTGCCAGATTCTGTGCAAGGACCAGGGATACTTTCTTGAAATAGCTGAGGCAGTGAGGGGATTTGGGTTGAACATACTGAAAGGAGTGATGGAAGCTCAAGATGATAAGATATGGGCACGATTCGTGATCGAAGCGAATTCATCCATGACAAGGGCTGATGTACTTTGGTCCCTTGTCCCACTTTTACCCCAAAATGCTAGTAGTGGGATGGACCAGAACCTGTCAAGTAATGTTGCTGTATCGAGAAGTTACCAGCAACCAGGGGCACTGGTTTGCCCCATTGGCATGGCTGAGACAACTCAATGATAGTACTACTACTACTACTGCTGTTGTAGTTGTAACACCTTGAGCAATTCATGATTTTGAGGCTAAATGCTGTGATTGAAGTGGTAATCAGTTAGAATAGAGCAAGTTAAAGAAAAGTAAGATGGAAAGTAGACAAATGATAGTAATCGTGAATATTTGGTTGTTGATTACAGTTAGGATATAACATAACATTAAACCTAGTCCCCCCTCTCTTCTGCTACACAGAATCACTTCACTGTAAGTCTGAAAAAGACCAGTAATAGTAATAGGATAACAGGCATTGTAATTTTTTTCTCAACATTTACTGCTGTTTTCTTAAGTATATATATAGTAACCAGTGCCTAATCACTAATCAGTCCATAACAGGGTGTTTTGAGAAGTGGAATTTACTCTGTCCGTCCTGATAGCTTTCAACTTGCCATGTGACTACAAGGTTCCATCGTGGTTACTGGTTAAAATTGTATCTTACTGGTGTTATCAAAAGGACATTAATCAATTTACGAGTTTGGTACATAATTTCCGTGTCAATTATATAAATAGTCTCTAAACTTTGGAGTAACTATCCGATCGGTCATTGAACTTTGACATTTAACAAACTTGCCGATTAAAGTTTAGATTCATAAAAATAACAGTTACTTTGTCCATTCACATGAGGATCTCCTTCAAAATTCTTCGAATCAGATGAACCAAATTGCAATATAATGGTTTCCTTGACTTTAATTAGCTAACATGAACAAATTAATTTAAATTATAAACGCCTGAAACCAAACTCGTTGCGCCATCCAATTCCAACCTTCCACATACTGGAAGACACTCGTCGCAAACCAGCATGCAAGATTTGGATACCGCGATTTAATTTCCTTGTCATGCAAAGATAACTCACCTTTTTTCTTTCTTTCTTCCATCATTTTTATAGTATTTTTTAGGGTTTCAAGTGGTTGATGGTGTAAACACACTAACCATCCACTTCCTTCACAAAATCACCATTACGGATCTGACATTTTTTAAGATTAGTTTTCAAGATGGTAACGTCTGATAACAAAAGCATGTGATTAAAGTAACTTGTCTTTCTTATTGTTTAAAATGCTAGCTGAGGGAAAGGAAGAACAAACCACAGAGCACTAAATGATTCTCTACGTTAAAAACTGGCTAATTAGGTAGCCGAAACTGATTGTTGTCCTTATTTTAAAAACTACACCAGATTATGTTAGGGGAATTAGTGAAACCTCAAAAGGTTAGGTATTATGCAAGTGATCGTTTTTGTTAGGAGGGATAATAGATTATGCACCATGACATCTACTTCTAGCCCCCACCATTATTCACCAACCAAAGGTTGTAGTTTCAATAAAATGGATGGTGAAATACCAAGTTGGGGGTATTCATATCTCGCAAGAGATGACTTGAATGTAGACGTGTAAGAAGAACACAGGATGAGAATGAAACGAACAATTGTATAAGAGTTGAGAAATGAAATGTGTGTCGTTTGGCACAAGAATTTGTTTCTTTTTAGTAAAACTAGAATACAATGAGAATTAATTCGAATGAATTAAGACTCCAAACCCTACATGGAATTGGGAAAGTGTTACACTCTTCTTGCATTGCAGAAAAAGCTATACATAATGGTTTTCCGATATGTCTTACTTAGTAATCTGACATATGTAACATGTTCTTCTCTTCATGTGCAACCTCTAACAACAAACTGCAGCACTTTCTAGAGGTTGTGTGGTGTTGAGTGCTGTCCCTAACACACAGTGGAATTGAGCTTTAGAAACAAGTTTCTAGACACACGGGAAGGTTGGAAATTGTCAAAACTCCAGTCAGCATATAACTTCTTTGTTCTTTTCTGGTTTATGTTTGAAGGTACGAGATGGTATACCTCAGGAATAAAACAAGCACAGGGAATAAGAGCCAACCTTTTTTGTGATAGCTGAGTGTGCCTTTCAAATCAATGGACTTTGTGGAAAAGGGTTTCCATCATCAGGAGATAAGTGCTGTATCCATTCACCTCAAATGTCAAAAACTAGGTACAGAAAGCCAGCCAATTGAACCCTAGCCCCTCATAAAAACATTTTAATCCCTAAAAAAACCCATCTCTCATTTTCTTTTCTCTAGTGATGAAAACCTAATTGTCCCATTCATGACCTAATTTGGTGGTGGGAGGGAATAGACAATAGTATATACTTGGAAGTGCAAGATCTGCAGATTATATATTATGAAGACCCAGCTGGATTGGTGCTTCAGCAGAACCACAACATGCATGGCGAGAAATTGTCCAATTCACCCACTAGGGAATGATAATACCAGAATACTCTCACAACTTTTGGTGAAGATCAGTGGTTAACGGTTCAGGAATTTCAGCTAGTTTACTTGAACCAATAGGGACATGCAGTCGCCTCAATTGGGATAAAAGGGGGAAATGGTGCCTTCTGGGAATTAAGAAGTATGGAAAAGAAGGCAGTTGTAGTTAGTGTAGAGCAGGGGAAATGGAGGGCAGGTGTCCTTATAGTATAGAGAAGAGGGAGATAAACTAAGATAAACTACAACAAACCAGAGGGAGGAAGTAAGGAAGGAAGGGTTTGCTCCCAAATGTTCTTGGGAGGACCACAGTGGCAATTTGCCAAAATAAAGAAGGCGGTCCTCCATATTATTATCAACTTCTGCATAAATATCAGTAATATTATAATATACTTAAGAACCTCTTCTTTGTCCTAGGCATTGTGGGTTTCCCTAATTTTCTTATCCAGAGGGGGAACAGATCAGAGAGGAAGCTGATCACATTCCCACTCAGTAGTCATAAACAGTACCAGCATACCAAATACCAAGACTTACTATCTCTTCTTAGTCTTATCGCTTATGTTTGATGTTGCAGAGCCATGTTGGTAAAATCATGAAAACAGTGGATTAGTGGAGTAGATTAACATCTGCAGCCCTTGTTAATTCTCTCCAAGTTCTGTCTTAAAATTTTCATATTGGCGCAGTTGTTCAATGTTGTATGGTGGAAAAAGATTAAAATTTGCAGTGCAATACAAGCGTGTGTGACATAAAATCTAGAAAGAAAAGGCGTAACATGATAGATTAAGTAGTGCAGTGCGATCACAAAGTCTCGAACACGCGGAAACAAGAAATGAATGAACGATTAGATGGTATGATATGTCACCTGTATGGCTGCTGATTTCATCAGATCATCATCAGCTCTCAGCAGCAACAACACAATCTGCACAAGAAATTGGAAATTTGTCCATAATCCTTATCACCCAACTTTACCTACCATATAAAACAAAAAGGAAAAAGAAATGGCACGATGAAATGACCATCTAGAGCTTCTGTTCCATTGAAGATTTTTCTTAAAATTTTCATTTAATTTTCAGCACCTATTCATGTGTAGAAAGTGGATTTATGGGATGCCAATCAACACCTCCTTTCTACATATAAATAGAGTTAATAGTCAGCAGACAATAATGGTCACCAGTCACCTTCCTTCCCCTCCTCCTCCTTTGCATGGAACTAACACCACCTTGGCAAATTACCACATTCTTGCCAAGGCTCCAAAACCTCAAACTAAACTGTGTTGTTATCTCAACACACATATACCAACACCAGAAACCAATATTTACCTGATAGGAGGAGAAGAATAATGGAGTGGAGGATAAATGTGGGAGATGGTTCATCAAAGGCATTGGCCCCAAAGGCAAGTTGTTTTGCCGCGAAACTATGGGCAGCCCTAAAGGAATCCTTCATGGCGTTCATTATCAGGATTAGAGGGTTCTTCCTGAAAGCATGGAAGTTAGGGGTGGATGACCCTAGGAAATTTGTCCATGGTATTAAGGCAGGAATGGCTCTTACACTTGTCTCACTCTTTTACTACATGAGACCTCTGTATGATGGTGTTGGTGGCAATGCCATGTGGGCTGTTATGACTGTTGTAGTTGTCTTCGAGAACACCGTAGGTAAGTACCTGGCACACAAAAGCAATCAACACTCTAATCATTTGGGATACATGAAGTGAACAAAATCTTAACTTTTTTGTCTGTTTGTTGTTGCAGGTGCAACAATCTACAAAAGTCTGAACAGAGTGTTTGCTACTTCTTTAGCTGGATTTCTTGCCTTGGGAGTCCACTGGGTTGCTAGCCAGTCTGGACGGAGATTTGAACCCGTCATTAGTTGTCTAGCAGTCTTCTTGTTAGGTAATTAACACAAAATTACTGGTTCTAATATCTTTCTGGGTTTTTTTTTTCCCCTTCTTTGACACAGATCACTAACTTAATCAGCTCATGAAACTGTATGCATGCAGCCTCTGCGGCAACTTTCTCCAGGTTCATCCCAACTATAAAAGCGAAGTTCGACTATGGCTGCCTGATCTTCATCCTCACTTTCAGCATGGTTAGTGTATCAGGATACCGGGTTGAGCAACTGTTTGATGTGGCTAATCAAAGGATGGCCACAATCATCATAGGAACTTCCTTGGTCATCATCGTGACCATGTTCATCTGTCCGATCTGGGCTGGCCAGGAGCTCCATGCCCTCATCATCCGTAACATGGACAAGATCGCCAATTCCTTGGATGGTAAGTAACCCCACATTGACTACTTTCTACTTGCTGAAAGGATCTAGCACATAGCACATCTAGTTTCACTATGCATGTGGCTCATGATCACTCCCAACTGCCATGTTTTCAGGATCCATGGACTTGTATTTTGGTCAGAAAGAGGAAGAAACTGGTCCTGACAAACAACTTGGCAACAAGTCGCTTGGTTATAGATGTGTGCTGGGCTCCAAAGCCTCTGAAGAGTCTTTTGTAAGTGAACATACACTTAATCTCAGCACATTAGTTCGTCCTAATAACTTAATTGGTTGTGTCCAAACTACCAATTGATTCAGAGACTGAAAGTATAATAAATCTGCGCAAACACGAAATTCAATAGGTTGGGTGATGGATGAAGAAGAACTGACCTGATGATTTTAAATTTTCCTGTTTCTTGCAGGCGAATTTCGCTAGATGGGAGCCAGCACACGGCCAATTCAGCTTCAAGCATCCATGGAAGCAGTACCTGAAGGTCGGAGCCGCCTTACGAAGCTGCGCGTATTGCATCGAGGCGCTTAACGGTTGCATCAACTCAGAGAACCAGGCTCCGGATGCTGTTAAGAAACACCTGAAGGAAGCTTGCGAGAGGGTGAGCTCGACTTGTTCCAGCATCACAAGAGAGCTAGCCAAAACCATCCAAACAACGACGAGATCGCCCACCGTGGACTTCCTGACGAAGGAGATGAACGTTGCGGTTCAGGAGCTCCATAATTCGCTGAAATCGCTTCCTGACGCGCTGAAGGAGGAATCCGAATCAGAGTCGGAGTCGGAATCGGCGGATTGTGATGCGAAATCAGCAAGGGTCGTGCCTCTGATGGAAGTGATTCCAGCGGCGACATTTGCCTCTCTGCTGATTGAGATTTCTTCGAGGGTTGACAGCGTGGTTGGGACAGTGAAGGAGCTGGCGGAGATGTGCGAATTCGAAGTCGGCGGTGGGAGTAGCAGTGGAAAATCGACGTCGGAGTTGGAAACAGTGAAGGTCCTCGAGAGGGTCTGAGTTTTCTTCTGGAATTTTCTTCAGGATGGGAAGTTAGCTCGTAAATTTGTGTGTAGAGATTTATGTAACATACCACTGATCGGATGATACTACTTACGACGTAATAAACTTTCCTCGCTATCAATTCTGCCTCCAAGAAAATCGACGAGGGTTGTTCTACCTTTCGGAGTTTTTTTTTTTTTTTTTTTTTTTATAGAAGAGTTGATAACAAGTCAGAACAGAAAGTCAAACAAGTAGGGCTGAAGTGATACAGGCCTTAGGCCCATGGGACGCCGATCGATCCAAAAATTAAGCCCAAATTGTCGACTCTTCTTAACTTCCAAAAATTTCCTGGAATTTTCTAGGGTTCTGAAACCTTCCATGGAGGTTTTGCAATTCAATCAGTAGGGGAACAACCGGGATTTAGAGCTGCAAGTTCTGATAAACGATTGATACTCGTAAGGATTGGCTTTAGTGATGGAGGAGCCGCTGATCATTACCTCGGAGGAAGGAGCCTCGTCGCTAAATCCACCTTGCCGCACAATCTGCCATGTGTGCGTCCTTCTCTTCCAGCCAGTGTCCAGCTTGATATGTATCGAAAATTGTTCGTAACCACTCGTGAACTTACTGTTCTGCTGTTGCCGGTTTGCAGATGCCAGAAGCAGTTCTCGCAGTACACTTGTCCGCGATGCAATTCGCGGTACTGTTCTCTCCAGTGCTACAAGGTAAGTTACTGCTCGAAACTGAAAGCATGAATCTCTCTTGTTTTCATCAGCAACAGCTAGTTGTTCATGCTCTTGCTGGGGTTTTTTTCCCCTGTCAACAGTCGCATAGTGTCCGGTGCACTGAATCGTTTATGCGGGAGAACGTAGTTGAGGAGCTGAAGCATTTGAAACCTGGCGATGACAGTAAGCGGAAAATGGTGGATATATTGAAACGCTTTCATTGCCAGGAAGAAGAGATGGAGTCTATGGATGAGGATGAAGGTAAGTTTACGATTCTTTACTTGGACACGTTTCACTTCAATGGCTTATCTTTCTCTTCTCACTTTGGTACTGGATGCGAATAAGTTTTGCACGATGAGGTTGCTGATATATATGTAGTTGGGTAGAGAAGTGGTGTATACTGTATACAAGCTGAAGCCCAATTTTGTGCCAACTGTGAACTTCTACATGTATGTCACTAGCAAGAGTTTAGATGTGATGGAAGTGATCGTACTTTTAAGGGGTTTTAGAAGGGTTCATGGAACAGACTTTCTGAAACTGAAGCTTCTGAAATTGAATTTGGAGACACCATGTTTGTGAAATGAAAATTGGAGATGATATTTGCACATTTCCATATAGTTTACAGAGACCAGTTGGTTAGGTTCAGTTTAAGGGTTCTTACTTGGTCTCTTTGGATGTCTTTCAGATTCTTTTCTGTCCGAGCAGACCATAGAGAAGATGGTTTCTGGTAAAGTTACTTATCCTTACTACGAAGCTAAGTTTATTACATTCTGGATTTCTGATGATCTAGTTCATATAAACCTTCTAAAATTTGTGTTATCTTTTTTTTTTTTTTTTGGTCTGCAATAGGTGGTCAAATTACTCTAGATGATCTCTCTGTCGAGGAGAAGAATCGGTTTGAAAGAGCTTTAGCATCCGGGGAGCTTAGCAAGTTCTTCAAGCCTTGGGATCCTTGGTGGTTGAAGCCTTCAGCCAGAGGCATCTCTCTCAGTAAGCAAGGAACTCAACTGGTGCAACCAATTGCTGATACAGATCACGAACCATCGTCATCCCTTCAAGACATTGTTGCACAAGACGAGTCGTCCATTGAGATCCCTCCTGGCCCTCAAGCCCCACTACCACCAGTTGCAAAGCTAATCGCTAAAGAGCCATCTCCACTTTTAGCTATTCATCTGGTAGACATCATATATTCCTACTGCTTCACGTTACGGGTCTACAATGGGGACTGGAACTCTGATGCCATAGGATCCGCAACCATACTGTTGAGTGTCTCGCAAGTTTTAGGCCAAGCCTCTCAGCCAGAAAACATGATGGAAGCCATGTCGTATTGCTTGGAGCAAGCTTGCTCTCCAGAGTTCAGGCACATAGGGGGTTCCCGATTTGGACTGTCCATCATTGACGACGTAATCAAGCTGCTCTCGCTGGGGCGCGGTGCTCTAATATGCATGCTTGCCGATCTGGAGAGGTTGGTTCGAGCCACGGAGAAGGAGCTGAAAGCAGATAGACGTCTGAATTCGAGTTCAGAGATCAGGAGTAAGCTGAAGCTTGCGGAGAGGAAAATCTACTTCATCATGTGTTGGGCGAACGATCAGCCTGATGAAGCCTGGTCTTCTCTGGCAACCGTTGTTAGAACAGAGCATACCTCTGTCTTAGATTGTTGTAATGGCGATATTAACATTGTGAAAAAATCCGTGGACAAAACTGGATCCGGAGGAAAGGTTTTGATTGAAGAGATGGAATAGATAATGCTGAGAGCTTCTTGCAGTCCTCTTCTGTTTTGGATTACGGAAGCCATGTAATGTAAATTCATTCACTATGGAATGAATCAACCAAAAAATTTGTGCACAGAATAGATATGTTTCTTTATTCTGAGGGCCCACCGTCCGGTTGTGAGGCCATCTCATTGGGAACACAAATTCGTGTGTTTATTTTCTGGTAGTCTATAAATCGGTACCAAACGACGTCGCTTGAAACGACGACTCACAGAGAAGAAAGCAAAACGACATCCTGTGTCGTATCCGATCCAGGACTGTGGCCATTTCGTAATTAAATCCATCCCGTGGCTAGTGCGAGATTTCGTCTCCCTTGTAAAATGAATTCAGAAGGGACACGAAATGTCACCATAAACCGGCCCGCCGCCCATTTCTCCGCTGTGAGAAGATTCCAGTAGAAGTAGCGGAGGAGTTAGAATCGGCATAGTAACTGTAACAAGGAGGGAAGAAGCAGAGTGGTCTCCTCTCCTGCTTCTCGTTTCCAGTTTGGATTGGATACAGAGAGTGATAATGGTCGATGTAGCCGATAAATTGGCGTATTTCCAAGCGATCACGGGCCTCGAAGATCTCGATTTGTGCACGGAGATCCTTCAGGCTCATGGATGGGACCTGGAGCTCGCGATCGCCGCTTTCACCGGCGGTAACGAAAGCGCTGGGGCGGCTTCCGTATCCACCGGTACTGCTGCTTTAACTGCCACCGACACTGGTACTGCGCCCGCGGAATCGTCTAATTCAGCTCCTCCCGAGGTGCTGGAGCGTTCCGATTCCGCAGTTGGTCCCGTCGCCGCGGCTGGTCCTGGTTTAGCATGGAAGCTCGTTACCTTGCCTATATCCGTGATTTCTGGCGGTCTCGGGTTAGTCTCCGGTGCGGTAGGTCTTGGTCTGTGGGTCGCCGGTGGTATTTTGTCTTACTCGCTTGGAATGGTTGGGATAGGGCCGAGTGCAGGCCGGAACGGTGGTGAGTCTTCGTCCCGATTGGTCTCGGTATCTGCGTCGGCGAGGGAGGCTATGGATTTTGTGGCAGCGTTTGAGAGGGAATACGGTTCTAGGGGGCCGAGTTTTGTGACGGAGGGTTTCATGGATGCTCTCCAGAGGTCCAGGAACTCGTTCAAGCTGCTGTTTGTCTATTTGCACTCCCCTGACCACTCTGACAGTCCCGGATTCTGCGAGAGAACTCTCTGTTCGGAGGTTCTCTCTGAGTTCATTAACCAGAATTTCGTCGCCTGGGGTGGAAGTATTAGGGCTAGTGAAGGGTTTAAGATGAGCAATAGCTTGAAGGCTTCGAGATATCCGTTTTGTGCTGTGGTCATGCCTGCTACTAATCAGAGGATAGCATTGCTTCAGCAGGTAAATTTGTCAGGCTTATGTTCTATGTCCTTTGTCATGTGCAGCATTCAACTATTTGTTCTTATGTCATCTGAGGAGTTGTAATTGCTGTGCAATGGGATTAGTAGATTTGGCTATATGTATATCAAATCATTTTGTTTTGAATCTAAGATAATGATTTGCAGGTGTTGTTGGGTTACATATATGCTATTTGATTTGCTTGGACTATCTCAGCTAGGTTTGCTCTTAGAAGAACAATGAATGTCTGTAAAGTTGTTTTTGTTTTGGCTTGATAGTGTGCCCAGCTATGTGGAGAAACTGAGGCTTCTGATGTATTTGTGATTATAAGTTTACTCAAGTAGTTTGCTACGGGGTGAAGAATAATGCAAAGTTGATATAGTTATCAACTTGTTTTGATAGAGTCCAGGTATTGAAATGGCTGTTCTTGTACAATGCAGCAACTACTCATTCGCGCTTACCGTGTCTTCTTCTACTTCTCCCTCTTCTTCATTTGCAGATTGAAGGCCCAAAATCACCTGAAGAAATGCTTACACTACTACAGAGAGTGCTTGAAGAAAGTGCACCGGTTCTTACTGCTGCAAGGATTGAAGCAGAGGAAAGAATAAGCAACACGCGATTGAGGGAGGAGCAAGATGCTGCTTATAGGGCTGCTCTCGAAGCCGATCAGGTATGTTTACCTTTTCACATGTCTTATACAGGCAAAGAAGGCTGCTGCGAAGGTTTATTTTCCTTTTGTAGTCTCGCTTCTTCTTGATGATTTTCCGTCTTTTCCACTTTAGGCTAGGGAACGCCAGAGGAAAGAAGAAGAAGAACGAGTTGAAAGAGAAGCTGCTGAAGCAGAGAGGAAGCGCAAAGAGGAAGAGGAAGCCCGTGAAAGAGCTGCACAGGAGGCCGCAGAAAGAGAGGCTGCTCGAGCCAGAATGCGGGAAGAGAAAACCTTAGCACTTGGGGCCGAGCCTGAGAAAGGAGCTGATGTTACCCAGGTAATAACTAACAACCCCCCTGATTTTTGAACATTTGTAAGAACCTTACCAAAGCAAGAAAGATGAGTGATGTCTGATTGCTAATGATAATAATACTCCATTGGAAACCTCTTCTATGACTAGGTTTTGGTTCGGTTTCCAACTGGAGAACGCAGAGACAGGAGGTTCCGCAGCAGTACAACCATCCAGTCTCTTTACGACTATGTGGATTCTTTGGGTTGCTTACAAGTGGAAGATTATAGCCTTGTGTCCAATTTCCCACGCACTGTTTACGGGGAAGAAAAGCGATCCTTGACCTTTAAAGAAGCAGGATTGCATCCACAGGCCAGCCTTTTTGTGGAGCTCAACTAGGGAGATGGTTTAACAGGGAATTCTGGGTTGTAGCTTTTGACAAGATGAATCCCATCCCCTACATAAAATGATAAAAAGAGACAAGGTGCTTCAGTTGTGTTACGTTTAGTGTTCTTATCTTAACAGGAAACTTGGTTAGACAAGACAATTCTGTGGGATATTTGATCAGGAGGAATATATGTTTCATTTTCTTCTTCGGATATAAAGAATGATTGATAAGAGTAATGGTAAAATGAGCTTGTTGATGCCTCTGACCAGGGGCGGATACATGAGTCTCTAGGGGTGTCCCAGGACACCCCCTAAAATTTAGGGAAACGATTATCCAACCTACGGTAGTAGTTTCGTATGGGTATACAAAATATAATTGGTAATTCGGGACATCCTAACATTTGAAAAAATGATTATCATACCCTCGATAATAGTTTGCTTATGATTAACAAAATATAAGTGGTAGTCCGTGTTATTCCAATTTAGGACACTACTATTATCAAACATATTCTAATTATGTTGCTACTCATTTGTTATTCTATTTTAAACATCGTGCAACAGTAAAACGCTATTTCTTTATCCCCAACTATTTTCAATACCTAATAATTAAACTACGTACACGCTACCCTTAATTTTGAATTGATTTTATGGTTACACGGCAAGCGTTGAAAGAGTCTTTCTACTTTGAGCTACATTAAGAACAAGGTTAGAAATCGAATATGTGATAAGTTCGTGAAGTATTGTCTAGCAGGATATGTAGATTTTTTTTTGAATAGTGCCGACACGGATTTTATTTATATTTTTTTTCAAAATATGAATTTTAATTTATTATTTAATAAAAAATTTATACAAGTATGATATTTTTAATATACGAATTATTTAATTTATTATATAATTTAATTTAATTTTTGAAGATGACACCCCTGTGAAAATTTTCTGAATCCGCCACCGCCTCTGACCGACCAGTTGCTCCATTAAATAGCGCAAGAAAATCACATATCGATTCTGATGAGTTTTTTGTGTGTCGGTCATTACTCATTAGAGTCAGTGGAGGAAAGAATGAACATTTTCATTGAAAGGGATGGGACTACTGTGTAAATATGCTGTTGGATCAACTTTTTTTCGTTAGCTTGCTCATTGATCCATAAGAAAGCACAATATAGAGGTTGAGAAAGCAGTAAGATAGACTGATGGGTTTATATAGAGGTTGAGAAATCAGTAAGATAGACTGATGGGTTTTTTTTTTTTACACTATCGATATTTGGTGACATTATTTAGGAAACCAAATATCACGTGGTAATGCGATAAAGTACTTGGTTTCCTGAATAATGTCGGTCAAAAGAGTTACGGATGGTAAATAAGTGATAAAGTACTTGATTTCTTGAATAATGTTGGTCATCAGAGTTAGAGATGGCAAATGGGTGGGCAAACGAATATCTCAATAGTCAATACCCTAATCTGACATGCATCAAGTACGGGTCAGGTCGGGTAATATCCGCGTGGATACGAGGCAGGATCAGTCGTCCATTCTCATATGTTATTTACAAAAAATAATTTGGAAATTTTAATTCTTTTATGACAAAACAAAGGAAAACACTTCATGAATAAAAATAGTGATAATAGAATGAGTAATTGCATCTAAATAAATAAAATATCCAATTTTACATCTATTTAAAGTTTCATTTGTATGGAAGTGATGGTTCAAAAAGGCACGCTTAACCTTACGCTTAGGCACGCCTAGGCGCAAGGCAATGGTAAAACGCCTCGCCTCGGGGTTTTGCGCCTAATTAGATACTGGAATACGTCAATGTAGTAAGGAGACATATAAGTTTCTCCTAAACATAACTAGATGAATATAGGAAATCAATATTATAGAAGAAAATTAACGTCAACTACAAAATCAATTTTCTATATCAAGATTTTCAATAGCTCAAGAACTTTGTGAGCTATGATTCTAGGAATTCGTGACCTATGTTTTTGTCATTAAGTATTGAGTAAGTTATTAATCATTTTAACTGAAGTGAGGAAGTGTTGTAGATTATTATTTCATTCATCATGCAGTGCGAATAGGTTTTTTCTTCCAGCGCCTAGGCACACTTAGTCTACGCCTAGGCGAGCTAGGCACTAGGCAAAGTCTCAATGTATGCCTTACGCCTAGCGCCTTTTTGAACCTCGCCAAGTATTATTGAAAAAAGTCCAAATATGGAAATACAAATACACATGAAAGAAAATGGGCGAGACTAAGCAGGTTCAAAGTAGTAACCCATGCCCCGGCCCACGGTACTGCGAGTCGGGTAATACCCTGGAGGATGAGTTCAAATTGTCATCCCTAATTAGAATATGTGAAGAATATATACTCTTTGTAGTTGTTCTAGTGTTAACGAAGAAAGTGACCTATCAACTACGAATTTTTGGGATCGATTACCTTGTTAACCATAAGGAAACATTATATTAATCATGAGTTGCAGTAGTACAATCATCGTTCTAGTTATTGTTTTTGCGCTTATAATATTATTATTTTTCATGTTATAAGACTACAACTCCAACACAATCATAATTGTAGTGATTGATTTTACGATTATGGTCATTTTTAAAAAAATTTATGACTACAATAAACACTACAAGTCTACAACTCATTGTTAACACAATATCCCATCCCAGATATTTTTCAACCACACTAGTCAGGATGAAATCCCATAATACATATATTTAAAAAAAAAATTCTCAAAATACACACAGTATAAAAAAAATCCCAAAATACACATGTTTGTGCATCACCGCTGTTGTCAACCGCAGTGAATGCATTCACCGCGGCAGACCAAAGCAGTGAATGCATCACCGCGGTTGACGGCCGCGGTGAATGCCTGACGTAACACTCAAACTTCAAACAAACGTAACTTTGCGCTCGGTTATCCGATTGTAGCGAATTTTTTTTTTTATTCCATATAACTTTTCAAGATCTTTCAATCTGCAGAAAGACTTAATCTCAAAAAAATGTCGTTTGTTACCCCGAACGAGCAATTTGTCGATTTTTCCAAACTTTGGAAGATCATAACTTTTAGCTCGTCAATCCGAACGTCGTAATTTTTTTTTATTGCGCATAACTTTTTAAGAACTACAACTTTTACTAGGAAAGAATTTTTAAAAAGAGAAATTTTTTTTGGGTATACGGGATTTTGGCAATACCTTTGCCTTTACTTTCACAAATCCACATACTTTCCAAAATTATGGTTATAATAAAAGTTGTAGTACTTCAAAAGTTATGCGAAATCAAAAAAAGTTTCATGACATTCGGATTGTGGAGCACAAAGTTATGGTCTTCCAAAGTTTGTCAAAATTGAAAAATTGCTCGTTCGGGGTAGCAAACGAATTTTTTTTGGGATGAAGGCTTGTTGCAGATTGAAAGATCTTGAAAAGTTACGTGAAATCAAAATAAATTCGCTACAATCGGATAACCGAGCGCAAAGTTACGTTTGTTTGAAGTTTCAGTGTTACGTCAGGCATTCACCGCTTTGGTCTGCCGCGGTGAATGCAATCACTGCGGTTGACAACAGCGGTGATGCCCAAACATGTGTATTTTGAGAAATTTTTTTATAACGTGTGTATTTTGGGAATTTTTGTTAAAAACATGTGTATTTTAAGATTTTTCGGTTTAACTTTAGCACCTACCCGTGTAAATTCCAGCCGCACCGGTTATTTAACGGCCCTCAAAACATGCCACCATATAAAATCCGTCAATGTTGAGAGGACTCTTTTCTTCCTCGGCATTACTTTTTTATTTCTCCTCTCGGCCTCTCCGTTTTCTCCCGCCTCCACTACTCATAAAGCCTAAAACCCTAAACCCTAATTTCCAAACACATATGGGCCGTCGAAAGAACAACGCCAACAAGAACATCAATACTTCAGCGAGCTTCCCAGCATCCCAGCAGCCTCAGGGCTCAAAGATCCTGTTCCAGGACGCAGAAGAGGACAAGCCGGCCATGGACAGTTCTAATCTCGACGTCTCTACTACTATTCCCAGCGACAAAGCCATTGCTATGGACGATGACTCCATGTCAGAGGCCGACGCTGCTGTTACCGGGCCCAATCACGGAGACGACGACCAAACCAGCGCCGATTACTACTTCGATTCTTACTCCCACTTTGGTAAACTTTTTTCAACTTTTTTTTTTCATTTTTTTTGTGCATTTTCTTGCATTAGGTTGTTGCCCTTCTTCAGTAGCTAATAAAGTTTCTATCTTTTTGTGTTTCTGCAGGCATTCACGAAGTAAGTGTTGGCTCTGAGCTGTTTTGTCGTTTCTCAACTAAGTTGGGGGGTGTTCTGTGTTCATGAATTTATACTCTGTATCAGCAGTTTACCTCGTGGTTCTCTTATCTACTCCATGAATGAATGAGCTGAACTCCATGAGTAGACTACTTTGATTTGATTTGCTTGCTTAATGTTAGTTTGCTTACTGCTAGTCCTAGCCTATATTCCAATAGTCAACTACTGTGTCTGTTGCAGGAAATGCTGAAGGACGTTGTGAGAACCAAGACATACCAAAATGTCATTTATCAGAATAAGTTTCTCTTCAAGGATAAAGTAGTGCTTGATGTTGGTGCCGGGACTGGAATTTTATCCTTGTTCTGTGCTAAAGCTGGAGCAGCCCATGTTTATGCGGTATGCCTTTCATGCTCATGTAATTGTTTATTCTGGGCAATTTGCAGGTTTGTTGTTTTGTATGTGCTCAAGTAAAGCTAAATGCTTCTGCTGCTGATGTTTGGACTTGTAGGTTGAGTGCTCGAGCATGGCTAACATGGCGAAGGAAATTGTTGAATCGAATGGCATGTCGGATGGTGAGGCTGTTTTCTTTCTTTTAGGCATTGGAAACATAAATATGTCCCTCCTGTTACTGAAACGATTATGTTTTGGCACTCTTCTGATGCTGCAGTTGTAACGGTTTTAAAGGGAAAGATTGAAGAAATAGAGCTCCCAGTGAATAAAGTGGATGTAATAGTTTCAGAATGGATGGGATACTTTCTCTTGTTTGAGAACATGTTGAATACAGTTTTGTACGCACGTGATAAATGGCTTGTAAGTCTTCTCTTTATATTGATTTGCTTACTAATCCGCAGTAGATTGTGCAATGTGTCATAGTTGAAAGCCCCTTTTATCTCTGTCAGACCTGTGGCAATAGATCATGAAGTTGCTTGCCACTTTGATCATTAACCACCCTGGAAGTTGAATTCAGTTTTTGCTGCTCTGTAGAGTTGATTGTGCATGTTAGAGTCACCTTATCACTTGGGTAGTCATTTGTTGTATTGAAGGACTGAACAGGAGAGCACTTCGTGACTTTTTGAGTTGGTATTTCAGTTTAACTCAATTAAGAATCTGTATTGAGCGTCATATGACTTTTGAACTGCACATTAGCTTAGTTGTACTTGGACCAGTACAAAATTAACCTTGAAATGATTTCCTGTTTAATCTCATTTCCACTTGATTTTCTTCAGGTCAACGATGGTATTGTGCTACCCGACAAAGCTTCCCTTTTTTTGACAGCCATTGAGGATGCAGACTACAAAGATGATAAGATTGAATGTTAGTTTACTGAAGTTTTTTGTTCTGTTGTAAAATGTTTTTGGTATCTACTTGCTCTCACTTACTTGTCAGGGGTTCGATTCATGTCTTTTTAAACAAATGCATTTATTTTACCTGGGAATGTGACTTATTTAATGCCGGTGCTGCAGTTTGGAATAATGTCTATGGTTTTGACATGAGCTGCATTAAGAGGCAAGCTATCATGGAACCTTTAGTTGACACCTGCGAGCAGAATCAAATTGTTACAAACTCCCAACTACTCAAGGTACTTGCTATTGGAACAAGTACTTGCCTGTTGAATGTGCCTCCTTGCCCTGTCACGATTTGTGTTTCTCTTATTCATTCACTTCATTTCATTTGCAGACGATGGACATCTCCAAGATGACTTCTGGTGATTGTTCGTTTACTGCCCCCTTCAAACTGGTGGCAGAGCGTAACGATTTTATCCATGCATTGGTTGCCTACTTTGATGTATCATTTACCAAATGCCATAAACTGATGGGATTTTCCACAGGTGACCAGCTTATTCTTCACCCTTCCCTACTCAATCCAGTTTCATTTCTCACAATTGCTCTCATTTAACTGGCGAACATGAACTATAATACGTGCAGGCCCAAGATCAAGGGCTACACATTGGAAACAGACAGTGCTGTACTTGGAGGATGTGTTAACAATATGTGAAGGCGAGGTGCTGAGTGGAAGCATGACGGTTTCCCAGAATAAGAAGAATCCTAGAGACGTTGACATAACGGTCAAATATGCATTGAATGGCAAGCGCTGTGTTGTTGCGAGAACTCAGCACTATAGGATGCGATGATGATGATTGAGCTCTCATCTCATCAACTCCTTTGCTTCTCTTCAAAGGAAGAAGAAGAAGAAGAAGAAGAAGAAGAAGAGCAAGTACTACGATGATAGTATTGATTTCCATCAATCACTGACTGCCTGCCATATCTCTGTTGATTGATCCAGAAGAAGTGTGTTTCCCTAATTATTTTTCTTTCCTCTTTTCAATTCAATCCTCAAAATCCTGGTGGGGGGACAATATACTGATGAAAATCATGAAATTGTGGTAATTAATTTTGAGTTATCTTATTTTACCTGTGTGCATTGCGACTATAATCACCAACTGTGAATCTTAAAATCTGATGGTGTATGATGATTGTCAAAGGAAAAGATGTATATGAACTGAATTCAAGTTTCGAAACTGTATATAAGAGATGGTTGGTAAATTTGACGTGTCGTTGGATCTGTCTGTTGGCAGTTGGGCTTTTGTTTAACTTGGGCTTGGGCCAGTTAATCGTTTAGTGGTCGGACTCGGATTTGCTTTTTTCCACCCGAGAAAAAAGAAACCTTACCCAAAAGAAGAAAGGAAACATTTTGTTGACAACAACCCCGCTGGCTTTATCTCAGTGGGAAAGGTTGATGTGTTCCATTCTGGCAACTACGACTTTCCCATATAATTCCAATTATTAATTTTCTCTATTATCGTATTGGAACGAATTTCGCCGGCTGCTCCTAATTAACCGCTCCCTCCCTTCCTCAACGCCCGCCGCGCTTTTCTTCCTACCTTTTTCCACCAGCCCCGAAATTTTCAATTTAGGGTTTCGGGTTCTCTGAGCTTTTCCTCGTTCGATTGCCGCTCTCTCTAACAGTTGGATTTAGTCGAACCTCCAGAGCCAAACAACCAACAAACACAGAGAGAGAGGGAGCTTCTCCTTGCCTCAAAGGATGTGGATAGCGTTATGGCTGCGTCTAGGGCTTGTGTAACCGCGTCGGAACAGATTCATCAGAGGCAGCTGCCGATCTCCGTCGCCCAATTCCAATTGCGGGGGTCGAGTATCATGATTCTTTTTGGTTTCGGGTGTCGATTCCGCTTCCAGTCGGCATTCGATTCGTACTCCGTCGCTTGTGAGGCATTCTCTGAACACAGCCGTAATCAGCTCCCGCTTCCTTTCTCCATCGCCTCCTCCTCTTCTTCCTGCTCCGCTATCGAACTTCTCTAATAGAGGCCATCCCTCTCCATCTTTCTCCCTTCTTCTTCTTTCTGCCATTTTCTTTGCTATTTTTTTTTCTTCCCGTCCCTTTTTGCTTTGTGCATCTTGTCTCCCGTCTTCTTTTGGTGGGTGCTGTCTCATACTTGAATCGAGTATGGGAGATTCTGGTTCTTGTGACGATGGCCTGGTTGTGGAAAAAGATCCAACGGGTCGTTACATTCGGGTATGAACTCTTCTGAGCTCGCTTGTACCACAATTGTTTCATGAATGAAATCATCGTGTTGTCAAAAAAAGAAGAATTTTTTTTTGTAGATATATATACTCATTGTTGGATCCCTAATCAAGCTGAATTTTAACTTGTTAATTTGCTAGGCGATTAATCAAATTATTATTACGGGATATTGTCTGGAGTAGTTCGAGTATGTGGGATCAGCTCAATATATTCTCTGAATGGTTTCGTTTCTTTTGTTGTCATTGAACTGGGGTTCTCTATCGAGCTAAGCTATCTCTGTCATTCCTTTTGATGGGAAGGAGTAGATGAATGTTGATCCTTTGTGGATGCGGTGTTTTGCTTATTTTGTACCGTATGAGGGGTTTCTCTCTATTGATCATTATACTGATATTTTATTTTCCTTTTGTTTTTCTTAATGTCCAGTATGATGAGATCTTAGGCAGAGGGGCATTCAAGACTGTGTATGTTCCCTCTGCAAAGCACTTTGTTTATCTATTTTGTTGCTTGCTTTTCATGTTCCCTGATACAAGAGAGCCATGTACTGATTTCTTAGTTTCTTATGACAGATATAAGGCATTTGATGAGTCTGACGGAATTGAAGTTGCTTGGAACCAAATGAACATTGAAGATGCATTACAGACACCGGAACAGTTGGAGAGGTTATACTCGGAGGTTCATCTGCTGAAGTCACTGAAGCATGAAAACATCATCAAGTCCTATCACTCTTGGGTTGATGACAAGAATAGAACCATCAACATGATTACGGAGTTGCTCACTTCTGGCAGTTTGAGGCAGTAAGTACGATTGTCACATCTGTTTTTGTGCGTCTATGTCTGTGTTTAACTTTCCTGCATATTCTTACTGTTTCTGATTTTTTTTTAAACGATTTAGGTATCGCAAGAAGCATAAGCATGTTGAATTGAAGGCTATAAAAAACTGGGCCAGACAGATCCTTAGAGGTTTACACTATTTGCACAGTCAGAGCCCTCCTATCATACATCGTGATTTGAAATGTGACAATGTGTTTGTCAATGGCAACACTGGGGAAGTTAAAATTGGAGACCTTGGATTAGCTACTATCATGCAGCAGCCAACTGCTCGAAGTGTTATAGGTATTACTTCTCTCCTTAGGAAACAATACAACCTGGATTGCTTACTTCATGCGGAACTGTGACATTGAGTACTGATATAGGGATATGGCGCTTTGCTGTGATTTCTTGATAGTTTTGCAATCAAATGCTTATATATATTCTTCCTATCAAGATTTTTTATGTATTTAATTGTTGTATAATGGGAACATTGTGCAATTTGTAATACATTAAAATGTGGAGTGCAGGTCATCTTTTAGAACTATACTTATTCCTCTGTTATTGTGCAGGTACTCCTGAATTCATGGCCCCAGAGCTCTATGACGAAGAGTACACAGAACTTGTCGACATCTATTCTTTTGGCTTGTGCATGCTAGAGATGGTTACTTGTGAATACCCATACTGTGAATGCAGAAATCCAGCACAGATTTACAAGAAAGTTTCTTCGGTAAGCGTTAGTTTAATTTCCTGAAGCATTATGTTATTTCTAATATATGGTTAGTAGTTTTAATATTGCTGTAGTAAAATTATCAGTTTTGCTTCTGCAGGGTGTAAAGCCAGCTTCCCTTGCTAAAGTTGATAACCCTCAAGTTAAGGAGTTCATAGAGAAGTGTTTAGTCCCAGCATCTTTAAGACTGCCTGCCATTGAACTCCTTAAAGACCCATTTTTAGCAGCAACAGTCACTCCAAAGGAAGTAGTTATTTCTTCTGTATCTCTGGATTTGTCAAGTCTGATGCTCGGGCAAGGCAACTCACTTCTTCCATCAGAATCATTTCCCATGGAAATAGATATGCATAGCAAGAAGTCATCATCAAAAACTTCTTGCATTGAAAGCATGAACGAAGCAATGCAGCTCTCACCTCTAGAAGTTGAGAGGTGCACCGAGACAAATGGATTCAGGTTAAGAGGGGAGAAGAATGACGAGAATACTATTTCAATGACCCTCCGCATTGCCGATTCATGTGGTGAGTTAATAATTTATAATGGTGATGCTAGTTTATCGCTTTTGCTTTAACCCGCTATCATACCTAATATTAATGCATTAATGCTAATCTGTGTTGATGGGTTGTTTGAACAGGAAGGGCTAGGAACATACACTTCTCCTATTTTTTGGATTCGGATACTACTCTCACAATAGCAGAGGAGATGGTTGAACAACTTGAATTGCCAAGTGAAGATGTTGCTGTGATTGCTGAGATGATTGATAGCTTGATAATGAAGCTGCATGGTGCTGCAATTATGCAGCAGAATGGTTTGTTTGGTAGTAACAATACTCAGCTGCTGTTTACCAAAGAGCAAGAAGAGGCCCGGGCGACAACAATCGTTTCTGACATTTCTAGCACCGAGTTTTATCTCACAACAGTTTCTTCCTCAGATGATGTTATCGACAACAACCAACAGCAAACCGTGATTTTGTCTTCTTCTCCTGACTACTATGGCCTGGGACAGGATGCAAGTGATGTGATCATAAGTTCAGACTCTGTTGTGAATAATAATAACAATATGAGCTGCTTGTCCAGCATCTGCTCTCTGTCGCATGGAGAAGAAGACAAGCAGTCGCAAGAAGGTGATGAGCTGCAGCTGGAACTGGCTGCTATTGATATGCAGTACAACATGTTTTTTCAAGAACTGTCGAGGTTGAGGGAGGAGGCAGTGGAGAACGCGAAAAGGAAGTGGATGGCCAAGAAAAAAGTAGCTGTTGTTATGTGATGCGATTTGTGTTAGTTGTAGATTGCCCCTTTAGTCTCCCATCTTGTTTTGGTTTTGATTCTTTTTGTTCTCAATTCTTTGTTTTGCTTCCAGTGATTGAGTTTTAGTTGTGGCTGGGGGCAACTCAAAGGAATTCATTTGTGTTGGGTTTTTTTTCCGTTTCCCCCTTTTGGCTTTTGGGGTGGAACTACATCGTTCGTTGAGTTTCTACTTGACCATTGAATTCTACTGTTATATTTTTCTGTGTACATAACTGGATTATTTTCGATTATTCTTACAGAATCCCTACGTATTTGTAGTTGAATTAGTCCGGGAAACTGTGTTTCCTTGTACGCATGGGAATGGCAACTTGAACCAGTCGATCAATAAGTAGAAATGCCTACTTGAACGATAATTCATAATTACATCAAGCAATGCCCGCCAAGCCAGTTCATTGTCTTATGATCACAGGTCACGGCTTCATCTGTAATGAAACTATACTATATATACAAGTAGTGCCTTCCTTCAATAATCAATTTCTTCTTCACCTCTTCGCATGTTCCAAAAGCAGAAAATCGGAGGTTGGGAAGGTTGGTTAAGCGATGTAGATCAGTAGTTGAGTGAGTCTAAAACAAACCTTCCTATCTAATCCGAATTCTTAGCTGTTAGATTTCACGAAATCTTCAATGATCCATGCCGCATAAGTAAATAGATCGAACTCTTATGGCAATAGTACTAGTACAATGGGAAGGAAGTTCATTCTTTAGTACACTAATGATACATTTCGATGGGATATTCAATGAGGGGAAAATATTTCAAAACAAGAAATTGTGCATAATTGTCCCATTTGACATTTTATTCATAATGACATGATGGTCTAAAAGAGATGAGGATTGATCCCGTATCCGCATTTTGGATGCTGCTATCAAACTAACTTTTCTGGCTTTAGTTTTCCTTCTTCTACTCCCAGATTCCAAAATTTTATCAAAGAAAAGGAGATTGGCCAGGGTAAGAATATCATCGTTAATGGGAACTGGGAGCAGCTCACAGTTTATTAGATAATGTGCCGGAAGATGTATCTAGTAGTGTGAGCAGAGCAGTACCAGCTGAAATGCTCCGTTGCCTACAGTTTGGAGAACAAGGGGCCTAGTTCCCAAACAAATACACTCCCTTTACCAGAAGCAATCTTTTATAGAGCATGGGATCTTACCAAACCACACACTTCCGAGTCACTCGTTTAAACTTAGGATTTCACTCTGAAGGCCGTACGGACAGAGAGCAAGCGCCATTTCTGTTTCCAGGAGAGTTGCCCCACTTTAGCAATGTAGTACTGTTGGAAACACATGGAATCTGATTCCAATCCATTCATTTACCAGCAACCAGCACAAACATGGTGGGAAAATAACTGAACATTGATTTCATGGGAGGGTACAGGAAGGAAGCCTATATTTGCAATTGTTGAGCTTCCTTTCCTTTTCGTTCCTTCTTCTCCTCCCCATTTCTCTTCACAATTCACATACAGAGTAACAAACACATATAACTAGCTGATATCAGCAGCACAAGGAAGAAAGCAAAGCTATATATATAATACAGATGATGATGTGCTGGTTTCTTTTACTTATTTATCCGGATTGGGGAGTGCTACCAATTCTCCTTGACGATTTTGGACTTCTCAAGAATGAACTTGCCTTCTTTGTACTTCTGCGTCTCTTCGTAAGCTCGTTCATATTTCCAGCCAAGCACTTCTCGGCAGTCGCTGCAGTGGACATCAGCAACTGTGTGGAGACCAGTCATTAGGTTCCTATCCTCCTTCGCCCCTATGCCAACATTCATCGCGTGCGAGAATAGAAATGCTCGTCCATGTCTTCCCTGATAAGTAAGTAAACATCATTCAACCACCACAAGCATAGTATATATCTGCAGCGATTCAAGCATTTGTCCTCTCAACAGACCAAAATCAGGAGGGAGGATTGGAAATTCAACCTGAAAAGCCTTGGAAATGACATCGTCGTGAAGGGCAACATGGTTCCTGCAATTACAGCAACTGTACAACCTTGGCCCAACCAATTCCGCCATTGCTCTTGTTTCTTTTGGTGGAGCAACACCTCCTAATATACTCTGGCTCTGCTGGTGGGTTTCAGGGCCAAGTGCAATAAAACAAGGGAACATACAAGAAAATGCAACAAAAGCAACATCATCCATCAATCCCATGTAGCTGCTGAAAATTCCACCGGATCATTCGACATATGCAGAAAAGGGAAGCTTACTTGACTATAAGTAACTGATAAGCTGTACACTAACACATCACTTGCCCTTTTTGTCGCCTGTCGGACTCTTCCTTCCTTCTCAGGCAACAAAGAGATGCCACCTACTCAACACACAGGAAACGAAATCAACAACTAACAAATGACTCCCCATATCTAACATCAACAATCCAGAACCCTTTTTTAAACGAGACAACCCCCATAGCATAGAAATTCAACAGAAAAGCAGGAGGATCAGGGAATCGGCAAGGGCAAGGACAAATCAAGCTGGAAAAAGGGAAAAGATGACAACTTTCTGCAGCAAACGAACTACTTACAGATTGGGTAGTAACCGTTTGAGATTGCGAGTCCAATTCAAACGAAGAACAAGAAAAGAACCTCGGAATGTTTGCGAATTAAGCTTCTTGCTAATCAATCGCGTAGTCTCTTTTAACCAATAAAGAAAGGGGGAAGCAATCAAGCGGTGATTGCGAAGGGGAGGGGAATGATCTTTTGAAAGAAATCAATTATTGTGATTAGGGTTGTGTAGCAGGTAGCTGGGGAGATGAAAGAAGGAGCGTGGTTTGTATCGGAATTTGGTAGGTTACTGATCAGGACAGGAAGACATGTTGCGGTTTTGCACTTTTGCTGTATGCCTGCCCCTTGCCCTGTTGGGACTTTGGACTTGGCAGCCTTTATCCCTCAAAGTAGTGAATTACCACTCCTTGCCCTTCACATCACCCAAAAGGCCAAAACCCATCCAACACAATCCAACCTCAACATACAACACGACGTCGTATTTGGTATAACGCTGAATTACATTACGTAAAGTTGTTATGTTGTAAATGAGTAGTCAGACTATCTTGTTCATCCTCCTCGTGATTATGATAGTGTCTCGTGATTATAGTTTACCTATCGAAATCAGAGAAATCATATGAGTACTCGCAAGTGAATCAATCATTAGATCTTGGTTCCAATCCTCAATACATCCTCGTCGATGAATTTGTCGTTGTGACACGAATCAAAGGGACTCCCCAATGTGACAAAATAACCTGTTGTGGCCTGCTTAGAACTCCCGGCTCCCGGTTAAACTGCTTCGTGCAGGTGGGCTGTTTAGACCACAGTTTAATGTAGTGGTCTGGTAAGTGTCCAAAGCCAAGTTATGCTCCAGCAACAAGGCCTTGAGAATGGAATAAGAGAAGGAAAATGAAAGCTGTACCTGTACGTTAAAAATAAAAATTAAAAAAACTGGGCTTGGCCCAAGTCTGTTGCCCATTTCCCGTTTCCCTACTGTTAAAAATATGGACCAAAATATTGATTTGTGAAGGCTCAGTTTGTCAAGGCCCCAGTACTTCAGCGCAGCAATCCCGAGCTTCACCTTAGTGACCAAGACACGAGGAACAAATCCCAGCAGATTACAGGCACAGCTAATCTATGCGATTCTCCATTTATGCTCAAGTGTCAGGCAAGTAACAAGACTGGCATGGCTCCTCAGTTTGAGTAGCAGAGGTTGAAACCGGTTAGCTAGTTGCTGATGATAAGAGAAGCCCTTTTCCAAACCAAAATTAATTGTAACATCATCAACTCCAACCGAAAGCTTTGTTTAGAGAAGCAACAAGTCTACAACCAAGCAAAACAACAGCCTGAGCTTCTCATTCTCTCCGCCCTGAGATCCACGGGGATTCAAAGAGTTAGATTGAAGGAGGATAAGATGAGAAACAACTCTTTTTTTTTCTTCTTCAAATTTATGTTATACAGATTAAGAATGTAAACTTTTGTTAAGTTAAGAATTATTCATCAAGGTATTAAATATATCTCCTATCTAGTTAAGAATTTACTCTCTTTGATTTGTGTACGATCTCCTTTTTCATTTTTGTAATTATCAAGTCCCTTTTCAAAATTTTATGACATCGTTTAGCATACTAATCTATTATCATGATAAATTTGTGGGATCTTTTTGTCAAAATAGGGTAGCTCATAATAGCTTAGAGATACAGAGTCATACATTGATGGCTCAACTTTAAAACAACCCATCATCACAATCTTTTCTGAGTTTAGATTGCATTATCTAATAAAAGATATAAAAATCGAACTATGTTTCTCTCACATCTTTTAAACTAACATACTAATCTTATTCGCAGTGTAATTTCTCTAATGTACTTTTTTATCTCATGGTCTTTCTCTCTCAACGATCCTTTTCCCACTGCCATCGAATTTTTCAGATTGAGTGTTTGAACAAATTAGGATGACAGATTGTTGACGAAACAAGGAACCTACTTATGTAAGAGGTTATGTTAAACGGATGCCATGAATTCTGGTGCATGCTAGCAATGAGTTTGATGTGGGTTAGTGTTTGATTTGTTTGGGCATTTGTTTCTGTAGACATTGCCTTCTATGGTTAGTTTTGATATTTAACCATTTTCACAAATTATAACAAAAAAATGGTTCAACAACCAACCCTTTTCCAAATTATCCCAAACCTCCAAACCCGCATGTGGGGTAGCTCACCAGCTAGATATGGAGCAAAAACGACAACTCCCACCCCTATCAAATTCATCATTTTTCTCCTTATATATATTTTTCCAAGTATTATTTTTATTTTCCCAACTGTGTTTTGGTCCCTCAAACCATAATTAATCAACCCCGTTTCTCCTTCCAAATACATTTATTTTCTGCCACCACCTCATTAATAATTAGGCACAGAAAAAGAAAAACAGAAAAAAAAAAATCTGCACCTCCCTCCCGGCTTTGTTTGGTTCCCATAAGAGAAAGGAATCCCACTTTTCCCCCTATCTTCTTTGTCCTCATCAATCATGATTCACATTTCACATGCAACTAGCTAGTTCCAAAGTAACATTTCACAGCAGCAGCAGCAGCCAGAGATTCTCCGAAGCACAGATTCCGCCATGGAAGAAGAATCTTCCATCCACGAGATCCGAGCCCCTCTCCGTACGAACCATCTTCCTCTTCCGCTCTTCATGTTTTTCATTAATTCTCGTTCTAATTACCAATCCTTTTTTGCTGTTCCATCTCCCGCAGTAACCAAGTCAACGGAGAGAGATGAAGACCTTCCTTCCTCATCATCATCTGCCTCGTCGTCATCGCCTCACAAGGTCCAAGAAGAAGTTGAAGAGGAGGAGAACTCGCCGGTGAAACAGGTGGCGATGACGGTCCCGACAACAGACGACCCGACCCTACCGGTGCTAACTTTCCGGATGTGGGTCCTGGGCACGCTCTCCTGCGTGCTGCTGTCGTTTCTGAACCAGTTTTTTTGGTACCGGACCGAGCCGCTGACCATCACGGCCATCTCGGCCCAGATCGCGGTGGTGCCGCTGGGCCAGCTCATGGCGGCCCGAATCACGGACCGGGTCTTCTTCCGCGGGTCGAGGTGGGAGTTCACGCTCAACCCGGGCCCGTTCAACGTGAAGGAGCACGTGCTCATCACCATCTTCGCCAACTCGGGGGCCGGTAGCGTGTACGCCATACACATCGTTACCGTGGTCAAGGCTTTCTACAAGAAGAACCTCACGTTTTTCGTGTCCCTCATTGTCGTCATCACCACGCAGGTGCTGGGGTTTGGGTGGGCGGGGATATTCCGGCGGTATCTCGTGGAGCCGGCGGCGATGTGGTGGCCGGCCAATCTCGTCCAGGTCTCCTTGTTCAGGTTGGTACCCTAATTAAATTCACTTTCTATTCCCAGATTCCCTCCCCTTTCTTTTTAGATTCTGTCATTCAACGGTGACTGTTGGGGGATGAAATGAAACCCGGTGAGATTAGGGTAGAGAGATGATGAGGTACGGTTTGGTGGCCATACATTCAGAGGGCTTTTTGGTATTTTCAGTTGGGGGTTTGGTATGCTTACTTGAATGCGACAGCTAATGAATTTTGATTTACTTATTATTGTGTCAGCTTTTTAGCTTACGTTACCCGGGAGAGGAGCAGTTTGTTCACTTTAGCAAACAGGAACCTAGCTAAATGTCCTTTTCCCTTTACTTTTATTTAAAACTGAAAGTGAAAGACCACTATTTTAAAATTAAAATTCAATTAATAAATCGACATCTTGAGTAATTAAATTACTACAATGAGGAATCAAATACATTTCCAAAGTAAATTTTTTTACAAAAAGGAGAGAAAAACGGAAACGGTTGTGTAAATGAAATTTTTGGGGAAATAAATTTTCCGGTAACGCTGGAGGATGGAGGGGCCATTAATCGTAGAAGAGTTAAGAGAGGGTGAGTGGGTATCCTTTTCAGTTTTCAGCTGTCCAAACTAAAAAAATACAAATTGCGAATGATGACAGGGGTCCCCGCCCTCCTCTCCCTTTCATAATGGCCTTGGCCCATGGGCCATCATGGGATGGGCCAACGAAATAGTAATCATTCACGCCACGGAACCCGGGCTCAATGGGCCCCAAGCAGATGGGTACTGAAGTTTTGCTTGATTTATGCTGACAGACTTGGATTATTACTCGTAGGCTCACTCAGCCCATTCCCATCTATCAACTATTGATCATTTTCTAATTACGGTTGGGCTCTCACTGACTGGGCTTTCAAATAATTGCTAGGGCCTTACACGAGAAGGAAGAACGGTCCAGAGGCGGCCTGACACGAAACCAATTCTTCCTCATCGCACTCACCTGCAGCTTCGCCTACTACGTCTTCCCGGGATACATCTTCCAAATGCTCACTTCCATGTCCTGGGTCTGCTGGATCTTCCCGCAATCCGTCCTGGCCCAACAGCTCGGATCGGGCCTCAACGGGCTGGGGCTCGGAGCCGTGGGATTCGACTGGTCCGCCATCTCATCCTACCTCGGCAGCCCACTCGCCAGCCCATGGTTCGCCACCGCCAACGTCGCCGCCGGGTTCGTGTTCATCATGTACGTCGTCACCCCGATCGCCTACTGGTTCAACTTCTACCGAGCCAAGACTTTCCCCATTTTCTCCGACAGCCTCTTCACCGCCGCCGGGCAGGAGTACAACATCTCCTCCATCATCGACTCCTCCTTCCACCTCGACCTCGCCGCCTACGAGAGCCAAGGCAACCTTTATCTCAGCACGTTTTTCGCCATGACTTATGGAGTTGGGTTCGCCGCCCTCACCGCCACAATTGTCCACGTTGCCATGTTCCATGGAAGGTAAAATAATTTTTCTTTTGAATTGGAACGTCGCCTAATTATGAAATTGAAAGGTTGATTTTGGCGATTGCAGGGAGATATGGGAGCAGAGTAGGGCGAGTTTTGGGGAGAAGTCGATGGATATACACACCAAGTTGATGAGCAAATACAAGCAAGTGCCAGAGTGGTGGTTTTGGTGCATACTGCTTGCGAATGTCGGGGCTACCGTTTTTGCCTGCGAGTATTACAACGAGCAGCTTCAGTTGCCGTGGTGGGGTGTGCTGCTGGCTTGTACCATTGCCATTGTTTTCACTCTGCCCATTGGGATCATTACCGCCATTACAAACCAGGTAGCAGAAAGGCACAACACAAACATTTCTAGTTCCTTTTGTAGAGGATTAAAATGAATGTTTCAACCAATCAATTAACTAACTAACTAACTTCTGTTGGATAATGAAATTGACAGACTCCTGGGCTGAACATAATCACGGAGTACATAATCGGGTATGTGTACCCAGGGTACCCTGTAGCCAACATGTGCTTCAAAGTCTATGGCTACATAAGTATGACGCAGGCCATCACTTTCCTCCAAGATTTCAAACTCGGCCACTACATGAAGATCCCACCTAGAACCATGTTCATGGCACAGGTGAGTGTTAGTGAACAGTATATGGTCCATAATCGAATCTTCGATTCAATTTCTGGTAATTCTCATATGTTCTGTTAAGCACGTGTATAATCCGCAATTGAACCTCTGTCATATATGTTGTGTTAATTAGGTAGTGGGGACTCTTATTGCCTGCTTCACCTACCTGTCCACGGCGTGGTGGCTGATGGAATCCATCCCCGACATTTGCGAGCGTACTGCCTCCAACACGGTCTGGACGTGTCCAGGGGACACGGTCTTCTATGACGCATCCGTCATCTGGGGTTTGATCGGTCCGCGCAGAATCTTCGGCGACCTCGGATTCTACGCCTCCGTGAACTGGTTCTTCCTAGGAGGAGCGGTTGCCCCAATTCTGGTCTGGCTGGCCACCAGGGCGTTCCCCCGACAGGAGTGGATAAGGCTGATTAACATGCCGGTTTTGATTGGTGCGACGGGCTCGATGCCGCCGGCCACAGCGGTGAACTACACGAGCTGGATTCTGGCCGGGTTTCTGTCCGGGTTCGTGGTGTTCAGGTACCGGCCGGAGATGTGGCAGAGGTACAACTACGTGCTGTCGGGTTCGTTGGATGCAGGGCTGGCGTTTATGGGGGTGTTGCTGTATTTGTGCTTGGGGTTGGAGAATGTGAGTTTGGATTGGTGGGGGAATGATCTTGATGGCTGTCCCTTGGCTTCTTGTCCTACAGCTCAAGGTATTGTTGCGAGAGGATGCCCTGTTTCTAGTTAAGGATGGATGTATCTCTTCTGGGGTGGAAGGAAAGGAAGGGTGTTGAGTTGAGAGGAACAAAAGTTGTTGATTTTTTTCATCTTTTTCCCCCCTCTATTGGGAAGGTTCGGAGGAATGAATTGGTACATATTTGTTTGCACATGGTAGCGTGTAAAATTGTTCATATGGTTTGGCGAATATTGATCCTATCTTTTGTATTTTTTTCTTTCTGCTTTTTGCTCATCATTATAATTCTTCTTCACATGTAAATAGTTCGAATATTGGTTGTCCTCAAAAATCGATTTGCTACCGGACTAATTATGCAAAAAAAATTGAACTTTTGGTGGTTTGGATGATGAATTTTAGCTCATCAATTTGACCCAATTTGGATGAAGCAATTTGATATGAGAAATTTTGAATTTATTAGTTTCGAGACAAGTACTAGGGGCATGTAATTTGGAATTGACTGGTTTTAAATGATTTTTTTTTTAGGATGATATATGTTTACTTTTTGTGTGGTTTAAATACTACTTACGGAATTTGGATCTTGAGACCTCCATATTATAGACTAATGGTATTACCCCTTGTTATGAAAACTAGCCCGAACCGGCCGGTCAGACCGATAAAACCGGACCCGGGCACAAATCCGGCCCTGGAAGAAAGTAAACGGGCGACTTTAGTAGATTTAACGTGAGCCTCCTGCCTCCCTCTTTTGCTATTTTTTAATTAATAATTCAGAAAAGGAAACAAAGGTAACGAAAGAATTAAATAACCCTACCCTATTCTCCGAATCTCCACTATAGGCACCTACTTTTTTTATTTTGACTTTTTCATTCTTTTTGTATACTTATTTCTTCTTATGTAGAGCCAATTATCGGTTTTCAATACTGATTAATCAACGGTTATCCGATAAACCGTGAACCTCTCATTAATCTGGATCGATGTCCGGTTCGGTTTTGACAACACTGGTATTACCACCAAACCAGACTCTTGTTTGTTTACATGACTCATTTTATAAAAACGAGACAATTGGCCAAATTGTCTTGTTTTGCTATTGATCCATCCAAATGAAGATGAACTACATTTGGCACCAACTAGGGCTGCAAATGAGCCAAGTCGAGTTCAAACTAGCTTGCATAATAAAATTTTAACTCGTATTTGATATATTTATTTTGGTTGTTATACATGATACATGTGATTAATGTTAAGATGGAAATGAAAATGATAATAATAATAATAATAGTTAAATGTTCAATATCAACTAATCTCATGTTATACTTTCTAGCATCAAATTATTTAGTTAAAAATTTTAACTAGTGAAAATTATGTTATTCCATAATATCGAAGCAATTTATGATACATAATTTATTTTTAAAATTGGATAAGGCATATTTACTCACATAATCTACGTGTTAAACTTCATATAGGGTGAGATATGTAATTTAACAATCCTATGAATTATCATAAATTCATAATCAAACTGATAATGATCAATTCGCTCATAATTAGGTAACCGAGTTAGCTCTGTAGCCACAATGTTGAGAGTTGAGATATCTCATAAGCTCCAAATGAGCCAGCTCACGAGTTGAGCTCAATAAGCCACCGAGTCGAACTAGCTCGCGAGCTCCGTGAGCTGCAGATGGCTAAAAAGCTCGGCTCATTAGTAAACGAGTTGAGTTCTGACTGAGCTTTTTCCGAGTTGAGCGAGCAGCTCAGCTCATTTGCAGCCCTATCACCAACTAAAAGTCTGTATAGAAGTCAGAAGAATTGGAACATTAAAATCATGAATTGTTTTTCATTTGTTAGTTTGAATATAATTTGTATCGTAGAATTGTAAGAAATTTGAAAAAATCAATCGTTTTTTCATATTCTAAATTAAGCACCGGTAACTTTGATATCGAACGAGGAAACAACATAAAGTCATATAGAGTTCAGACCCTAGGCATTGTGGACTAGAAACTACTCTCAAATACACCAACCAGAAGATCGAAGAAAAATTTGGATAGATTAACTATAAAAATCAAAACGTATTTGAGTGGATAATGAATAACATTATGATGGCATTGAAAAGAACAGGGCAAACATGAAAAATGTAATACTAGTGATCAATTTTGGCATAGTAGAACTCGTGATAGAGTAGAGGGATTTTTAATAAAAGATGTGATGCTTAAGGTGGGAATTAACTAGACAATCGGTAAAAACCTAATCATGTAACAAGAGTATCTTATTGTGGGACATATTGCTTGAATCTGAAGGACATAGTTGGAAGCCCACTAATGGTCTTTTCTTTGTTTGGGCTTACACAATCCATGAAGCTCACTAACACCATTTTTACAGGCTAATCTTTTGCTCTTTCCCATTTGGAAATCCGGGGGAAAAAAAGGGATTTGAAATCAACTTATTATTAGGTGGCCGTGGCATCCGAAACAAAGGCGACCATAACCATTCACTCTGCTGACTGCTCGCATATTCACCCAGATCTCAAGACAGCCTGGTTGGTTCAGTATTTATTCATGCTACCTCCATTGCCTAAAGTCCATTTCGCTGAGATTGATTAAACAAACAAACTATATAAATTCTGGTCGCATCTTAACATCTCCCGATGCCCTATCAGAGCTGTTGGAACAGGAATAGATAACCTGGAAATCGACCCCACTTGGTCGACATGTTTTTCTTTGGAAAATTCAAAAGCCACAAGGGATGGATCGCAGCGAGAGAGTTGCAGACAGAAGGGTGTCGGCACAAAGATGAGGAATAGCTGGCAAATCTGATTTGTGAAATGAATTTAATAAATGCAACTGGGACGGGAAGGAGTATGTCACGCCAGCAGCGCCAACAGGGGGGAAGCTGTACGTTGTCTTTTCTTTTTGTTTTTGCTTCTCAAATTTCCTTTCTTCCTTAAAGATTGCAACTTTTCCTCGATTAGGCCATTGGGTAGTTCGTGCCCACTGCCCGCTTTTCTTCGAATGCATCAAATTGACCCGTTCCCAGTTTCACACTTTCACTTTTTACCGGATGAAAACCAAAAAATTGCGTCTTTTATTCACTTGAATCGAATCCTCTGTTTTGTGTCCAGAACCCCAAAAAAAAATCCGTATATTGACCGATAGAATTGAACAATAGGAGAAGATAAATGGTGTAACAAAAATCAATCAATGCTGTCTCAACTGCATTTTCTGTGAACTCAATTGATTCACAGACTTCCTATGACCACAATTCCAGAGACCAATGATCCAACAATGGCTGACAAGATGACTGCGAATCTGGCTCCCATTCCGGAAGAAGAAGAAGAAGAAGTAGAAGGAGCGACTGGGATCGAGCCGAATGCGATTGGCGAAGAGGGAGCAGTGTCAGCCAAGGCACCGCCGGGACCTGAATTAGGAGCATAAGCAGAAGAAGTGCCATTGCCAACTTTTATATGAAGCTTCTGCCTCTTCTCACAGTGCCCGGCCTCCCCGCTCGTGAAGTAGAAGTCTCCCTCTTCGGTGATGTTGAACAAAGAGTTGCCGTTGTTCATGTGCAAGATTGGATCTTTCAGGTTGCAGGAGTCGAAATTTTGTGGGGTGACTTGGATCACTGAGTCTTGGCTTGGTGGGTACAAGAACACTGCACAAGAGAGAAAAGAATGAGAGAGCTGGAAACAGAGAGAAGGGGATTGGAAAGAGAATCAATAAAACAGAGGGTGCTGGGAAGCTTACAGAGGGAATCTCCAATCCTTACGGAGTGGTATTTGGACCAATAAGAGTAGATTTTGGGGTTTGTCTCAGAAGGAATGCCCCAAGAGGATAAATCTCCGACCTTGAATGTGTAACAGGAGACTTGGGATTGAAGCAAGGCAAGAAGCTGGAAAGCACAGAGAACCATGAACATGGGACTTCTCAGATTGGCCATCTTGCTTGATCTTGCCTGTCTGTGGAAACTTGGGAGGGGTTTGTCAAATTTAATTAGAAGGGAGGGGGGAACAGTGGTGTAGCACTATAGGATGGTGGGGTTGAAGTTGTTAGAATATGTTTAATTGGTTGTAGTATTATTGTATCAGTTGACAGATTGGAGGAGTAGAAAAGAACAAATTTCATGTTGGTTGTGGTTTGACAAGAATGCCCTCTCCTACTCATTGACTGGTTTTGGATCTTAAGCCTACATAGTCATTGACTAATTTCAATGGTCAATAGTGAAAACCTTAAGCACTGTGAATATGTGAAGTGGTAATAATACTTGAGAACAATGGACAGTGGAGATTGAACCAAAACTGTTCTTCCATTGTGGTGGAATGAGATCTGTGGCTGAAAGGAGGAAATTCCTAAAGTGTTTGAAAGGTTGAAGTTGGAACAAAAAGAAAGAGATAAATAATGCAAGCTTGATAAGAACGGGCACATGGGGCTTGTGTGTGTAATGAAGATGCTTGCAAGGTTGCAAGGAAGTTGAAAGGACTAGGAGGTGGAGGTGGGATGTTTCTTCTGCACATTTCAAGAGTTGGGGGGTTTGATTGATTCCAATTTCTTGTGGCAAAGGCAATAACGCCACCTGAAAGAGCACATGCCATTTCTGCCCACCACATGTGCAGTTGCAGAAAGAAATGCAATGGATCTGTAAGCTTGTTCCTTGAAATCCCTGTGAATATGTAATGTTGACTTTTGAGAAAGAATGTTTACTATGTGAGATTAAGTAAACAATCTATTTCTGGCATTTGTAACTATTATATAGCCCTTATTTGATGGCAAGTCTACCAATGAGCTACTACCATAACATGTCATTTGAGAATCATAATTCCAAAAGTGTCGAGTTCAAGCTTGATATACTCCTTGCCAATGGTGTATAGAAGAGAAGGAACAAAGATTGGAAGTGTGCAGCAAAAATGTATTGATAATTTGATATATGACACCAAATATGTTATGGGTATAAGAGTAGCACAGCACTAATGTGGAAGTAGTACATACAGCAACAAATGACATGATTTGCCTTAAAAGGCATTTTAAAAGTATGTTTACCCCGAAACAAAATTAAGGCCGATAATCAATCGCTGATGAATAGTTGTCCAAAAAGCCTATAACATTGGCTGTTAAACCAAATCCCGGTTCGTTCGATTGTTCCCTCTACTATACTTGAGCAGCAGAAGAGAAAAGACTCTAGTAATACAGTAGCCGTTGCAGCAGATAAACAAACATCTAACATTCAATATTACTCTAACAAACCTTCTATGTTCTATTACCCACTTTCTTCACTTGACCATCATCCGAGGACCTTTAAAATTCTTCTGAGTAGTGGCACTGAATCCAGCAGTACTTTTCTTATTGATCCAGTTTGCAAACCAGCTAACCAAGCAAGCAAGCAGCATCGATTTTTGAGGGTGGTGTTAATGAGTAATCTTGCTTACAATTTCAAAAGAATCTCAAAATACTTCCACGTATCCAATCAAGCGTTTAAAGGCTCTTCCTCTGTACCCAACTCTCTCATTGTTGTCCAATCTTGTGATTCTGCAATCGAACAGACCAAATTGAGCACATGTCAATAGGACTTGCACTTAAGAAAAGCTACAAATACTGACATTCAGCAATGTAGAATTTTAATCCAGAATGGAAGTCTTTTGTGTGTGAAATCCCACGCATTCCACACAACATGACAGTGCATGTATGTCTTGGAGATCAAATGTGAGCATTCATGTAAGACGGTAGATATGCTAGATTTTACAGCCCCCAAGAAGATAGAGAAGAGGAAGTAAACTAATCTATAAGCTTACTTGGTTTTTGCAGCTCGGCAATAAACATCAGCCTACGTTGAAGAAGAGAAGCCACAAAGAGGAAAATAGAGCACATGCCAAACATGACAATGATCGGGAATGCATTAACCTGCACGCATTTGAAGACACAAAAAGTTCAAAAGAGGGAGCAGGAAGCATTAATGTATCATTATTCCAACTAGGAACACCAATAAATTTGAGAATATAACGAAGGAAGGTTGAAAGAAACTCACATTGTACAGCACAACACAAACGAAAATGTTGAGAGGAATTCGGAAGAAATTCATGATGGTGCTCCTAGCCTCCTCTGGGATGTATTGGGATCTCATTTTCATGATTGAGGGCCAGAATAATCCGACACAGGCCTCAAATGCACAGAATCCCATAAGCTGGATGCACCCAGAAAAGGAGATTCCTCCACCCTTAACTCCAGAAGGTGCCACCAAGAACTGTTTACAATCCAGAGTCACTTATCAAGTTGTATTTTTGTAAGGAAACAGAAGAGTGATAGAAAGAGAGAGATAACAAACATACACTTGTTATCACAGGAAGCATAAGGGCAGCTGCAGAGATTAAGAACACTATCTGCATGTAACTCTCAACTCTTGGGGATGAACGAGCAAGCAGGCGGGAGGCAATGGAACTTCCCAACATTGAAGCGAGCATGAACGTTGCAAAAATGAAACCATGAGGAATTTCCTCACCGCTCGGGCTGAGAGCAGGAGTCCACAAGAACACAAAGGTGTACATTGAACCTTCAAATAGGGATTGGATAGCGCCCAACAATGCAATCTTCTCATCTGATTCACACGCAGGATAACAGAGTAAACATTTAATGCAGAAAAAAGGCATTGAGCAAGATAGGTCTCCCGTTTCTGATAAACTTCTAATTTTCTCTTAGGAGTTGCCACAACATAGCATATACATAACTCAGCGCAGTAACTTGAAAACGGAGAACATTTTAGAAAGTAAAGATCATTCATCCAAAAATAACAATGGATTGACTCAAATTCTGAACCCATATGGCACCTAGCAATGACGCTACCATACTGGAGTATTTGTTCTGTGTCAGAGTATGATCTCACCGGAAGCAATGGCTACAGCTGCAGCTTTGAATTGTGACATCAAATCCTTGTTTTCTGAAGGGTCTCCATAATTTTCTGGCCACGACGACATGATAACAGCCATACCAATTGCAAGAAAGCATGCAGCAGCATCAAATGGAGCAACAGGCCCAAGTGCCAGGGTGTCGACTAGTACATTTCCAAACAATCCAGATATAATAGCAACTAAACCATTGCCAAGAAATATGGCCTTGGAGAATGTAACGGAGAGCCACTGTTGATCAAAGCCTCTCTGCAGACACAAAGAAAGATAAAGGCAAGAACAGGCAAACAAATGTCAGAAGAAGTCTGAACAATGAAGCATATAAACAATATACGAGGTGAATCCAATCAGCAAGTTAATCTCAGGAGACCTCTAGGTTCGTGCAACACAACACTATTCTCTTTTGCCTAAGGTAGACAGTACTCCATCACTTCTCCTAAATTTACTAAAAAAGAATCGCTCGTTCTTCTCCCACTAAAAGTTTTCAACTCAAGGCTGCAGCTTAATTAAACATAGCCACCAGTATTTGGAATATTTCAAATTAATAACGCAAAACCATCAAGGACGAAAAAGGTTGAACAGCCAAAATGAAAGCTTGAAGATCTCAATACCCATGACAAAAATAATTCCAAATGTAGAAAGTACAAAGCATGTAGCACACTAGGAGAAAGTACTCCATGACAGAAACAAATTAAAGTTGAAAAGCAGAGGGGTGTTATAGCACCTTAAAGTGTTCAGCAACAAGCCAAGACTCGAAGGCTGAGAAAAGCAGAGAAGTAGCAATGCCTCCCAGTATACGACCAAGCATTAAAACCTTGTACTGAGGAGAATGCTTGGTGATGCAACTCAAGATGTATGTGATGCAGTAAGTGACACACGCCCTCTTGCGGCCCCTGAATCATGCAGAGTACCAAACAAGTTAGCAGGCCTCATCTTTTGTACTGTTTGTTATCTCTACAAGTGATTTCAATTCAATTCAATTCGAAATCAAGCAGCCAAAAGCACAAGTATTTCAAAAGGAGTAATGGGATCTTACTGTTTGTCTGCAAGAGAGCCAACAATGGTCCCGAAAAGCATGGAGGATCCAAAACCAGCAATGAAGAGCTGCCCTATATCTCCCTTCGAATAACCATACTGACTGTACAAGTAGTAGACATACGGACCCTGCAACCAATCTCCAGCTGTTGTCGGCCACAGATTCAAAGTTTCACCATATCAATAACAAGTCATCAGTCGAAGAATACACGGATCGAGTGACATTTCAATTCCAACCACCACAAACCGACGTCAATTTAAATCAGACTCTAATATCACTTCAAATACGTCAAATCACAAGATTCCTTAACAAAACTAAGAGCAGGATCAAGTGGTAGAAATGGAAGAATTAAAGCTTGTCCAGAAAAAATCCAGATCTCAAGGTTAGCTCGCCTCTTAAAAGGGAAAGCTAAACTAAACAGGACTGCACTCCCAGATCGAACGTCGAGCACATTGTGCAAGCGATTCGTGGAGCAAGCAACGGAATGAGAGGGATGATAATGTTGAAGTAAAGAGGGAGAGAGATCGAGAGAGAGGGATGCGGTACCCATCATGAGAGAGTAGACGACAAGGTAGTTGTTCTTGAAGGAATTGAAAGGAGTGGAAGTGTTGACGCGATCTTTGCTGCTTTTGCTGAATTCGAGCACGGCGACGATGGAGGCCAGACCTCCGAAGACGAGGAAGTAGAAGATCTCCATCGCTCCGATGACGAAATCGGAGATCGGGAGGAGGGGATGATGAGGAAGAAGAGTGTGAGAGACGGTGGGAGGAAGGAAGGGGTTAAATAAAAATGAGAGGAAGGAAGGAAGAGCTACTTCTCTTATTCAGTTATTCTGCTGCTGCCCACTCGCCAACGATCTAACTCGTACCCCGCTCAGCTCATGCCAAAAGAAAAAAAAAAAAGTTTACTGAAATGGACAGTTTTGACCTTGGGCCCCCTGCTGTTGGATTTCTTCGCTATTTTGTCTCTTTTTTCTTTGCGTGGGGTTCATAGACTTTTGCTTTGTAGTGGTATTACTTTATTGTTTTCTGGAATATGTATCAAAACAATCATGTTTCTTGAACACAGGCGTAAACAAATAGTTTTAATAATAAGCGGAATTCAACAATCAAGCACCAATTTGTAAAATTTCAACATTTTAAAAATTAATATATGATGACTGACTCACGACAGAAGCATAATTAAGCCTCGAATTGTTTGCTTTCATTAATTTTTTAAATGATTGCGAACTAAAATGCCGAAGAATTATGTAAAATCTAAACGACATAATCACAAATTTAAAATTAAACTATTTGAACTATAATACTTATTTTCAATGACTCACCAGAAAACTGTAGATCCAAATCGCATGACACTCGCGTGATACAATAGTATTTGGATATAAGATTTCATGTAATAGATTTAGTTGATTTGAACATTAATTTCTTAGCTATGTATGACACTATAGACGTCCTCTAAAATCGTCGTCCTCTAAAATAGTTTTATTTAAGTGTTAGACAGGAGCCTCTTACTAACATCCCATTTTCTATAAAAAAAAAATCCAATTGTGATTCCCAATCCCCGGATCCGGACGTATGCTTTCCTTCCCCATTACTACTCGCCGTCCGTCCTCTATAATTTCACTTACAAAACAGTATTTCCGGTCAAATCTGGTAAGTATAGTCAAACGGTTCAACTAGTATTTGTTAGTATATAAAATTATATATGATATGATTATGAACAAAATGTAATCAACGCAGCAGCGAAACGAAACCAAAATACCGAGATTTCAGATCCCATCTATGATCTACCCCATCCCGCGGAACCAAATACTAAAGTAAACAGCATTAAACTGGCAAGCAAAGCAAGTGGATTGGTGAAACCAAAAAAGAAAAAGGCCCACCGACACCAATGCGCGTGTACTACACTACAACATGGATTGAAAATGAAAACTCCAGTCCAGAGCATTTATTGATCTCCGAATTTACGGGCTCATTTTATGCGCCTCCTTGAACTTGTTCACATCTCGGACAACACCGTCCCTGAATAAACCCACATCCACGGCCCCACACACCATGTGGTACCCCCTGCTCCGCATTTCCGCCGGCCCAAGCCCATCGTCGTTTCCCACGGCAAACCCGCCCAGGTACGCTCCAGAGCCTCTACTCCTGATCCGGCCCAACACAGCCTCCTCCGCGTCCGCCATCATCTCCTTCACCTTAGGATGGGCCGGGTCCGTCAAGTAGCCCATGTCCGCGCTCAGGTCCAGCGGGCCCATCATCACGCAGTCCACCCCGTCAACCGCCGAGATCACCCCGACTTTCTTCACCGCCTCCGCCGATTCCACCTGGCACATGATGAACAGATCCCGCTCGCTGTTCACCACGTAGTCGCCGTCCAGACCGTATTTCGAGGCCCTGATCACAGGGTGCGCGGCGCCGCGTGTCCCCGCCGGCGGGTACCGGCAGTAGGACACGGCTCTCTTGGCGGATTCTGGGTCGTGGACCAGCGGGAACATGAGGCCCTGCGGGCCCAAGTCGAGGGCCTTCTTGGCCCATGTGGCGGAATTCTCCGGTAGCCGGAGGATGGCCGGGGTGTTGGTGGCGGCAAGAGCGTGGAGGCAAGGGAGAGCCTCGGAGATGCCTCCGTGGCCGTGCTCCATGTCTATGACGACGAAGTCGTAGCCGGCGAGCCCTGCTATTTCGGCGAGCGTTGGGGAGAAGGTCATCAGGAAAAGGCCGTACAGTGTCTCGCCGCTTCGGAGGCGGGCTTTGATTGGGTTTTCGCTTGCAGCAGCGGCGGCGGTTCTCGTGGTTATGTCTGATCTCATAAGCGCAGTGAATGCCGAGGATGACGACATTGTTTTCGTGGTTTGGAAGAAGAGATTGGAATTTCGATGGTGGGTAAATTGCTACATGACCACGGCATATAAAGTTGGCCGAGGAGCCGCCATTGTTTCAGTTTTGCTTCGGGAAATGGTGAATGCAAAAGCAAAAGGATAAGCTTGGCGTTTAGACGAGCCGAGGATTTGCCGGGTGTAATGTGTGATTGGTCCAGCTGCCAGTATCTCCATGCTCCAATCCGGCTTCTAGTGACGAGGCTAAGGAATCAACTTTTGATATTCTTTTTAACTTATTAATATGACTCTAAACTGGATTATGAAGATTGACATAAATCTTGAACTCATCATTTGTGTCATATCTTCTCTAATCTCAATATTAGAGACTGAACTTCAAACGAGTCTGCTACGAGCACTTCTACTATGCTATATAGTATTGATGCTTTAATGTACAACTTAAAGTTGTACCACAACGTTAAATGTATAAGTTCAGGTTGTACCATAAAGGAATTTGTGCTCTTATGTTATGGTACAACTTTATAACTTAAACTTGTACCATCAAATGAAAGTACAAGTTTAAGTTATACCATAAAACAATTTGACAAAAGAGTATAGGTACAATCTGAAGTTGTACCATAACGTTAAAGGTACAACTTCAAGTTGTACCATAAAGGGAAAAATCTATAGCACCAATACTATATAGCATTGTAAAATTCCTCGTCTGCTACAGAAAGGAATAAACACTCTCAACGTGACCATCCATACATACTACACGAAAAAAATCCAAGAAGCAAAAACCCTAAGCATTTCGCAGAGAACTCTGTTCAGAACAAACGATTTTTGTAGCTAGAATGTTCTTGGCAATGGAACTTGCAGAAATTAGACAAAAAGAAAAACCAAATTGTTGTTGCAGAAAGAGACCTGGGCTGTTCAGTTGAGCTCACTCGCTCCAGTACTTTTCATCGGGGTCTTTACCGTCGTCGTCTTCTTCATCGGAGCTCTGGGTCAAGCTCATCCGGAACCTCCTCACGTCTTCCACGGCGGCGTTCCGAAACAGCCCAATGTCAACGGCGCCGGAGACCATTTGGTAGCCGCGTGCCTTCATATCCACCGGCCCATCGAACGGCATCGAGAACCCCGCCAGGTACGCTCCTCCTTTGCCGCCGCCGGTAGGGTTGGACTCCAACACCGTCTTCTCCGCCGCCCGCAGCATCTGCCGGACCTTCTTGTGGCCCGGGTCCCACAAATAGCCCATGCTGGCGCTCAGGTCCAGTGGGCCCATCTGAATGCAGTCAACCCCATCCACGGCAGCGATCTCATCGGCTTTCTTCACCGCTTCCTCGCTCTCAATCTGGCACATAATCAGCAGCTCCTCCTCGTAATTACTCAAATACCCTTCGTCGATCCCGTAATCCGAAGCTCTCACCACCGTGTGGGCCGATCCCCGGATCCCCGCCGGCGGGAAGCGGCAGTACGAGACTGCTTTCTTCGCCAGTTTGGGGGAATCGATCATCGGGAACATAATCCCCTGAGGACCTAGATCCAGGGCCTTCTTGGCCCAGACAGGAGAAGTCTCCGGCAATCTCAGAATCGCCGGAGTCCGAGTGGCTGCAAGAGCTCGCATGCAGTGGAGAGCCTCGGTGATTCCGCCGGGGCCGTGCTCCATGTCGACGAGCACGAAATCGTAGCCCGCGAGGCCGGCGATTTCAGCGAGGGTAGGGGAGAAGCTGAGCAGGAAGAGCCCGTAGAGAGTCTCCCCATCTCGGAGTCGATTCTTCAGAGACTTACCCGAACTGGAGACGACAGATGCAGCGGAGGAATCGTGGACTGGAGAGGAGAGATCCTCGGAGGAGCAGGGAGGAGCAGAGTATCTAAGAGGAGCTAGGGATTTGAATGGGGCAGCGGAGGAACTGGCGAGGAAATCGAAGTGGACGGTGGATGTGGATGTGGATTTGGATTTGGATTTGGAGAGGCAAAGCAGGGATTGGGTCTTGGAACCTCTGCTAACGGTTGACGGGAGGAAGGTGGTGAATGGGGCAGATGGATTGAGAGCTCGCATGGTGGAGAACCTGTGAAAGCGCACTCCTCTCCGGGGCGATGAGACGGTGGTGGAGGTTGAAAATCAAATGAGACTATGAGGGCAGCGCTTTTAAGATGGGGCTGCAGCTTCCAGCAAGAGCAGATCAAATTTGTTACGCAGCCTTTCCTTTTTATATCTTTTTTCGTTTTTTTCTTTAATTGGCACATTCAAACTCGAAGTTGTTGCGAAAATTTTAATCTGCTTTCAGAATAAAAACGGAATCCTTACAGTGTTGTTGACAGATTGACAGTGAAAGGAATGCAGGATTTATCAACGTTCGAAATGGAAAATATGGAATCAATTATCTGTAAGGAAGGATTGTATGAATGCTAATATCAAAGTTAGAGCTTGAGGGCAGCTTTAGCCATGGCTAGGGCTCCTTCATAGCTTTGGTTCCCTCCAATGAAGCCGCTCATGTGGACGAACACACAAGCAGGGATTCCGCATTCCTTGGAAAGATCATCGTCTCTCAGCCCCCGCCATTGAGCCGGTAGAGGTTTTCGGTTCTCGAAGCTGTCCGGAGACACTGCAACAGCTTGAATTCGCCAGCTTTTGCTCCGTTCATCCTGATGCCATTACAGTTAAATGAATATCCGTACATAATCCACACCCGTTCCAGAGAATGAGATTGAACCCACCAACAACGAGCACGCTTGAGCAAGGGAAGAAAAAACAACAAACTACCTGATAGAGAACATATTTGATTGAAGGTTCAATCTTCATCTCCTCTTCAAGCTCAAACAAGTGAAGCTTCCACTGTCAAAACCAAACCCAACTTTTGGATCAGGAAAAGATAAACAATTAATAAAATGTTTGATCTTTTTCAGTGTTAGTTCAGCAGACCGCTAGTATCGATGATACTTACAGGGCAAAATCTGTTCAGAACCATGATTTCTCCACTAGGGTCAACGTCAAACCTGGCTGCAAGACATCCCAGAACTACTGATCGTGCAGGTAACCATGACCTTGCCTGGAAACGAACTCTCTGCAAAAGCAAAGAGTTGCAGCATTCATAAGAACCTAGGTTGATATGAAGAACAGGAGAGGATTTATTCCCATAAACTCGGCATTGCTCAAAAGCAAAGAACCTTGAGTGAAAAAAGGAACCGAGAAGTTATTTTGTGAAATCGAATGAGCGGAAACTCACTTCTAAGAACTCGCTGCCAGCCAGAGCCATTGCTCTTTGGAAAGCTTCGTTCTCCTTCTCAGAGGATTGATCTGGATCAATCCAGTCAAGGTTCAGCCTCCCAACTCTCGAAGACAAGTGTGTATTGTTCACATATCTAGGAGGTTTGTCTGTGTCATACCGGTTGATTCCATTGTCAACAGCATCAATTGCCTGCAAGTGAAAGGACAACAATACTTGCATCAATGAAGAGTGAATGAAACAAAGCACAAGCATCAGAAGCAATGAGACTTCAAAAAAGTGTTTTGGAGAACGGACCTCCATAAAGCTTTTGTAAACAGAGAGGAACAAACATAGAACATCTGGGTGATCTTCATCAACTTGTAGCTCCTTGGCTATAATCTCCTTTCCAAAATGCTATGGGGGAAGAAATATCAAGCTTAGCAAAATCAGACTAACAGTTAAAAGTTAAAACAGCTCAAAGGAAAAAGTGCTTGAGAATCCTCCTCGATTGGAGAAACAATAGGATCAGGATACAGTCCATACCTTGTAAACAAGTCCTGCACTACTGAGTTTGGTGGAAAAGCCATGTCCAAACACCTCCTGAAATCCTTTCTGATGGTGATCATACCTATCACGACTCGGGTCATACACACCACCAACATCAAGCACAGCATCAAGAGTCTCCAACACCTACAAATTCAGAACCAGTTCATCCATCAGAACTTCCATTCTAGAAGCCAGCAACCCACCAAGTCAAATAGCATATTCACCCCATCTTAACCGTTCTGATGGTACTCAGAAAAATGTTCTCTCAACTTCAGTTATGCTATCCTACAGATCCTCCTAGAATATAGGAAATACTCAAGTCATAAAATTTACAACCCCATTCAGCACCGTATTCACGGAATTTCAGCATCTACTTGAAACCTAACGAAACTACATGCGAACTAACAATCCAGCTTCAGAAGCCACCTATAACTTCTAGGAAGGGCATTTCAATGGTGCAAAGGAAGGAATGGGACTAATAATTAGAACCTGTGGGTCGCGAGTGCGGATGATTTCAGCGTTGGCGAACTTGTTGGTGAGGCGAATCATGAAGCAGCCGAGGGCCTCGTCGCAGTGAAAGCTTCCATTGTGAGTGCCGACGCGCTTTACAGGAGCGTGGTTAGGGGATGCAGCAGTAGAGTAAGGCGGCGAAGACACCCTGGGCGGAGTCGCCATGACAAGGAACTGGAGAGGTCGAGGTCGAAAAAGGGTTTTGGGGACGTTGAAGAAATTGGAAGAGGAGGAGAAGAAGACGACCTTCTGCTTAAACCCTGCAGTTAATGCCAACATAGCCCCTCCAAAACTCCGACGATACTCTTCGCTCCCCTAAATTGAAAGCTAAAAGAAAAGGGGAAAAGACCACTTTTTTTTTTTTTATGAAAGTCTTGTTTTTTAAGGAATTTATGAAAGTCCCTCTCAACAAGGTTGTGAAACAGCGGTTTGATCCGCACCCGGTCGAGTTAGTGAGTCAAGGGTTAAGGGTCATCTTTTTAGTTTGGTTTAGTCCGAAAATATGTAAAGAGTCATTATATTGTACTTATCCTGATAAATTATATCAAATCTCATCTAACATATGAGTTATAACATATAATATTACACCAAAATAACATATCGTACTTAGATCCAACATATAGTAAAAATTCGCACACACTTATATAACATCAATATTCAAATGTTCAACTTAGAATTCCAAAGATTGAGTTAGGCGAAAAGAAAAATCGAAAAATAAACGCATTTCGCAAAACAAAACAAAATTATACAATTTGACCTTCAACCTGATACCTTGTAGCAGTCGACCCCGCGGTTACGTGCAGCACATTTTTCTCACTGAGTCAAAATTAAAGTGAGTCGACCCGTGAGTTGACAACCTTGCTCTCTCCCCATTCAGTCCGTTTTTCTTTCCTTTTATCCCCTAAGAAGAGAAGAAACGTTTCGGTTTCAGGGTCATCAGTCCCACACGAGAGCAATCTGATTCCACTCTGCTTGCTTCCCGCGAAAAAATGACGGCCAAGCAAGCACTGCAATCGTATTATCTACCAGTCATCGCAAGAACAACCACGACAGTCAGAAGCAAACCCACTTTGCTATTGTCATGCAACAAATTGCCAGGTTCATCGCCGCTCTTCTTTCAGGCTACTTCTTCGCTTCCTTCCAGGTCAGCCGTGGCGAAATGCAGCGGCGGCGATAATTTGAAGGATGCGCTCAGCGGGATGGTGGGGAAGCAAGTAGAGGAACTACTGGGGAAAGAAGAGAACAAAGGGCTGCTGGATGAATTGGAGAAGGCTTCAGAGAGAGTAGAAATCGCAAGAAGAGAGCTAGCAGAGATTGAAAGACAGGAGCTTGAGTCTAAACAAGTTAGGGAGTATGTAAACCAGCTTGAAACCAGAGCTTCCGAGGTCTGATCGTGTCTTCTTCGGGCTCGTTCGATTGCGTTTTCAGGTTTCTTCTCTGCACTTGTGTAACGAAGTTTGAACCTCTTTGTTGTGGGTCGCAGATCGAAGAATGTCTGCAAGAGATCTCCGCGGCAAAATCCTTGGTAGAAGAAGCAGAGAGATCCCTGTCAGCAGGTGGTTCACAGAATGAAGCAAGTGAGAAAGATAAAGAGAGAATAGACTCCATAAAGGCAGCCGGAGTATGTGCACTTGTTGGGACACTGGCTGGGCTCCCTGTTTCTTTAGCACAGGTGACTAGTTACGAGCAGCTGTTGCTTCCACTGGCAGTAACCTTCTTTAGCTGTGCATTGTTTGGAGTAACCTTCCGATATGCAGTGCGAAGAGATTTAGATGATTCCAACCTCAAGACAGGGGCCATTGCTGCATTTGGCTTCGTGAAAGGTGATCAACCTTTTCTGCTCAATTTAAACGTTTACTGACTGCAGAAAATAATTGAGCAATAGAGTTGAAAATGGAATTATGGGTTCGCAGGGCTTGGTAGGCTTTCTGGAGGAGCACCATTGGAACTCAACCCAGGAAGCATCTTGTCTCATGGTATCGATGGTGCAGTATATGTATCGCAGAGCGTGCTGGTGTTCGGCTTTGCTGCTGTTAGTCTGGATTACTGCTTCAAGGTAGGGCTGATAAGTCCATTTCCTTTGAAAGCATCTCCTTCAGAAAACAAGGCAGAGTAAGCACAAAGCTCCAAGCATTCTGTGAAACTGGTAGCTTTTGATGAGACCCACAGATGGAGAAAAGCAAGTTCTCTTGTTATGGAGAAAGAGTGACAGTATGTAGAAAATCAATCTGCCATTAACCAACTAGTCGTTCAAACACATTTATCCATCAATGTGTAGAGACAAATCAGGAGTACCGTTGCAGTTACAAGAAGTTAGTGTTTGATTCTCAACTCTTAACATGTTCTTGAATTAGTCCCAGTCGCCGTGTGAGTCATCATGATGTTCAGAGGGCTTCTTCTTCTTTACAGTATCCCGCCTCCCACCAAAATCAGTTGGCAGGTTTCCATGCCCTTTCCTACCCTGCAATCATTGTTCGGCACCCAAGATTATATAATTATGGCATTGCAAGAGAATCTTCAATGTGATAACATGAAACTTCAGAGCAGCCACAGTACTAGACCTTGGGTAGTCTCTCGCCATCCACGATATCATTCTCTCTCTTTTCCTTTGTGAATGAAAGAAGCTTTGAAACTTCACTGAACAATTGAAATCCTTGAATATCTCCATTCTTAATACTTGTTTCCAGCTGATCAAAGAAAACCAACCACCAGAAGTTGTGAATACGAAATTACGAATGCCGGTTGGATCAAGGTACTTTCTTGCTGGTCTATAAGTTCCTCATAATTTATCTTCATCTACTAACGTCCAACTAACAGTGGAAGGATCAAAATCACACAGACTAATAGAGTAGCCATTGATTCGGTACCTGAACATGAATGACGCCGAGAAAAATACTAGCAATAGGCAGCCAGGAATCCTCCGGTGAGAGTGACAGATTCGACCTGTCAAGATTTATGCAAAACACTGCAACCTCTCAAACAAAAACTCTACAACCATTTTGGCTCAACATTCACACAGACAAAAAGCAGCAGGTAAAGCGAATAGAAATGAAAACCTGATAAATGGAGCGAGGTAGGCAAGGGCGTAGACTGCATAACGGCGTTTCCCAGTGTCAGTCCACGCAAACACCCAACTCTAAAGATTGTAAAGAGCAATATTTGATGATATGAAACGAGAAATTAAGGGGAAACTAGAACCGAATTGCTTTTTCTTAAAACGAACCAGCCAATTGAAGTAGGGAACGAAACTAATGATCCCCATAACCGTCAAGCGAGTATCAGTGGTGTCCATTCCGGAATCAGATTCCTGATCGGAAGGAGGATAAGAGCTGGGCAAGAGAAGCGAACTCAGCATACAGGCGCCGATAGCCGCCGCGTAAGGTGCCTCCTGAGGCAGCTCCGCCCGGCATATCAATACTCCACGTCTTCCTCTTCCGGCGGTCCTAGAGAACCCCTGCTTCAGCTGCGAGCCAGCAAGAGAGCTCAATGATAATCAAATTCAGAGGAAGCAAAAGGAAATGAGAAAGAAGGGGGAAAGTGAGGTGCTAGGTGAATTACGCCGGAGGGTACTTTCGAGCGGCGGTTGCGCGATGAAGGAGGAGAGAAGGAAAATAAATTCGGAGTGAAAGTAGAGGAGAGTAAAGTTGCCGAGGAACGAGGAAGGAGGGGATTGAAGGTAAGGGTGACCACCATTGACGCAGGTGGATTGAGAGTGTTGTTTTTCGGTGCGAGTCTGATCTCTGACCAGCCCCGAAAGTTTCGAACTTCGTACTTTTCGGGGAAAGAAATGCACTGAAGTGGTAGCGGGCGACTCCGTCTTGGTCCGGCACAAAGTTCGTTGTCAGGAGTGCCGAGTATGGAAGTGGGCCAAATCGTAGATGAACAGGGTTTCCATTGGGCCTGTATTTGATTTTTGGGTTTTCTGTGCACAAGCAGAGGGCTTAGTCTTACGTCATAACAACCCGAGTTGTAAACAGATAAATAGCGTACATATTGACGGAAATAAACGAACAATGTACCCTTCTATAGGTGTACATTACATTCTCAAATAGCTGTAAAATTCCAACCCCAGAAATATAACATTTGTGCAGTCATGGTACATTACAGGTTCTGGATAGGAATAAACAAAGATAGAGTGCAAGAGATCCCGCATAGGACGACACGAAACTATACAAAACCACGAAAGGATAGTAAGCTCGGAATAACAACAGGGCGATTGCTAGTCATATGACGGCACCATACATATGTTATGTGCATTCTAGGAGGATTATCTACTGCTTTGATGCATACATCTAAAATAAACATTAGGTAGAACTACAGGCTCAACAGACTGTGGAACTGTTAATTTTCCACAGATGAAGCCCGAAATTACAACATAAAATTGAATGAATGGCATCCAGATCTACTCAATATATAGCTGTTTGCTGTTGCTGCTACTTTTCTGCTGATTTGGCCACCTCTGGGTGATTGGATTGGAACAATGTGCTGCTCTGATTCCAGATCATGAAATGTTACATTGGATCGATCAATGGCTTCATGGTACACGCTGTAGCTCGACATAGTTACCTTCCGCTTACGACCATCCAGTCTAGATGAAAATGAATGGCCAATGCTTTTTGTTATCAGCACGCATCATTTACAGCTCTCCCCTGCATTTACAAAGTTTCCACTGTACAAACAAAGCTTTTCAGCTTTCTGGCACTGCTTCCCTCCCATCCGATTTAAGCAGCCGTTGCAACTGTGAAATGGGGAAAAAAACACCGCCCAGATACTCATTAAAGCATATTCGCTTGTTGCAGTCAAGTCAAAGGAGAAAGATTTTCGGTGAACTAACTTGCTCGTATTTCAGCTTTTCAGCATTCAGTTCATCGGACAAACCGGACATCCTGAAATTGTAAAAGCCAAACATAAAGTTAAGAAACTCATATAGGGAACCGAGACAGAAGATAATGCAAGCTCTTCGAAATTATCAAACCTAGAGTGAAGGTCGGAGATCTTTAGCAACAATAACCGTTCTCTTTCAGAAACAGCTGCATCAACCTGTTTGCATCAATCGCACAGGGTATAAATGCAAAATAAGTTACAATAACATGATGCATCAAAGTTTATTTTTTAACACATAATGAGAACAGAAATGAAATGGGTCCAGAGTCATTCTATAGAAAAGAAAAAAAGGCATTAAACCAGTCAAGTTACTCATATTCTAATACATGACTTTCTGAATAGCAGGAAAATGAAGCAGAGATCAGTGTAGGAAAAGTTTCATCAGCAGACCAACTCTAGATAATAAAAAATTTGATGCATCATTAAGTCGACTAATTCCCAGTTTTCTTCGTCCAAAACGAATCAATTCTGTACAAGCGTCAGACAGAACACTTAACTAAATATCCCACACCTCACAACAAAAATTAAGAAATTGACTGGTACTCATGCCTAGATGAAAGCTTACAATAAGACCGCATGTAACTACCAAGGTGAAGAATTATGTGTAAAAAACAGAGGTTCCAAGGGGAAAACATGACCAATGAAAGACATCACAAAAGCATGCTTACAGTCCCATTATTCTCTGCAGTTCGAGGCAATGGAGGCAACTTGCCATTTTGCACGGCTGGAAGGGAAAAAAGCTTGATTTAGTGGCTGATCAAACAGGATGACCACAGATAGATACATTAACAACCAACTTACCATCCGAGCCCTCTGCTGGTTGCAAGCTATTCAACAAATTGAGGATCAGATCCTGGCATCATGAAAACGTCCAATCAAAATTAACGGTTGATAATCTATGCATATGGTGAACAGCCTAGAATAAGAAATTAAATAGTAAAGGACCCCTGTCTCATGAATAATCCATGATTATCTATCATTTACCTGCTGCATTGAGTTCTGCTGAAAAAGATTCTGGAGGTGAGTCATGAGTTGTGATGCAGGTAAATTACTGCCGCCACTAACCTCTTTTTGTGACTGGACCACAGGCTGAACAAAACAAAAAATCAGTAGATATTATGAGTTTATGACAGAAAAGCAGTCAGCAGATGTTCAATTAACTGCCCCACACAGGTTTGCAAAAATACAAACCATTGGTTTGGCCTCGTGTATCCAATCACCCACACTAGCAGACTTTCTCAGTGGTGATGTCTGAAAAATAGTACAAACAAAAATAAAGTAACTGAGATGCACACTGCGCCATGTATGACAAGGCAAATTGAAATAAGAGTATGAGATTGCTAACCCACCTGGGAGGATCGACGTTGAACTGTACTTAAAGGAACATCCTATGGCATAAGATTAAGTTAGCGATAGCCATTTGAAGAACAAACATAAATTAAGACTTAAACATACCTTTGCAAGGTCCAAATTTTCTGATGTCACAGAGAACCGCCCTTTGATTTGTACCAGATTAGCCTTAGTCTTATCATCTAGAGAATCTCGAAATCCTATCATTACAGTAATAATTTTTTTAATAAGCAAGCTAAAGATCAGTTTAGAGATGTATTTTTCAACATGCTTCAACAAGAACATACCTCCAGATGACTTTATGGGAGCTGACAAACTATTTGCAGAAGCTCGGTTTGGGAGCATCAAAGGACCACTAAAGCTAGGAGCTTTTCTCGTGACTTTTTCATTTGCAGGCTGAGTTTCACTCTCAAACCTACATCAAAAGGCAAGATTCCGAGTAAGTCAAGTTTGAAACTATAAATAGAGAGATGCATACCATATTTAAAGTCGCAGACAAGACACTTTCACCATTTTATTTCCACGAAAGATAAAAAAAAGGCATACATTATTTACGGGACCAAGAGCCAGCTCAATTTGTAAGTCCTAAGATGGCCAAGCTAAGGTATAAGGTACATGGCTAGCAAGATCGTGGACTGATCAGTGAGAAGAGGGAAGAAGCATCACTATTCATCAAGAATCATCTCAAGTTGTTGTTGCACCACATTAATGTAAGTGCCTGAAGGTCAAGTTCAACCATGAAACAGACCAACCTTTCTGAAACCCGACCCTTTTCGGATGAATGACTGGATGCATTACCAGGCATGAGTGGCCCACTGTGATTTTGGCGACTTCTGATTGGTTTAGCCTTGGACTGCACCACATCATTTTCTGAGGTCGATGCTTTCGAGTCAGGGCTAGAGCCATTTCTGTTGCCCCCAAGTTTATCCTGGTAGGCTACTTCTACTATATCACTTTCCAGAGACTTGCCCTTCTGGTTCATGCTCTCAGCTCGCAATGCTTCAGTTGTAGACACCAGCTGTGAAATCTCGCTAGTCGAATAATGCTTCACCAGGCGCGGTTGGCCGTTGGTTAAAGCCTAATTATAGCAAACAAGATGATGGTAACATATTAAGCAGCAAACACGATATCTGGGATCCAGCACAAGGTGCCTCAATGACAGAAGCCAAATACGACAATCAAGGAAAATCAGTTATATAAGACGTTCATAAAATAGTGGATGCTGTTGATATACAGTGACAACCTTATCCCTTCCATCGGATTTCAAGCTTTCGTCTTCATATTTAGTCTCGAACATCTCATCATCGTCTCTAACCTAACAGAACATTGGTAGTACTGGTTCAGAATTAAATACTAAAGATCAAGAAAGAAATACAATTCTTAAAGCACATTAAGTAAACAAAGAGCAAAATGGAGCATTAGATTACCATTGATGCTTGAGCCTTCAAATCCTCAATATCAAAGTGCCAGGCACTAACTCCTCGCTGGTACTCGCTCTGATGGGCAAAAGTTAAGCCATCACCAAAAGATAAAAAAATATATATATAATCAATTTATTTCATCTCTAAAGACTAAAATAGCTTTCAATTTAACATCTCATTAAGTATCAACAAATGAGACCAATGAAAGAGAATGATATCCTCAAACCCTCGGGTCAAGAACTTGAGGCTCTAAAAGGTTGCCATAATCCACATGAATCAAAAAATCCACAGAAGGAAAATCAAAATTAGCCTTAGGCAACAGCAAAAGAAGGGTTCACAAATGGCTTCATTAGAATAAAAGAGCCAACAAGCATAAAAACCAGATACAGCTGCATTCGGAAATAGTTTGTACCTGTGATAAAGCTTCTTGTTCACCTGAAGGCATTCTTTTCAGAGCTAGTTGTGCCGCATCCTTAAGCTGAGACATTTTGGAAACGTTAATTAGGCCTCTTTCTGAGTTGGATAAGGTACCAAGGTAGAATTACATAAGTACAACGATTCACCTGAAGGGCTTTTACACGATTCCAAAGTGGCGGCAAGTCTGCAAACAACTTCTTTACAGATAGCTCCGGGGGTTTTGCATGCTTGAAAAATGAGTGTTTCATTAGCTTCTCTGCAGTCGGCCTCTTTGTTTGATCTTTCACCAGGCACATAGCAACCATTTCTTTAAAAGACTGATGACAACTGGAAGTCCTCCAATTAGAATCCTCAGATATGAACGAGTTATGTAAAATTGCCAACACCATCAAGGAAATCTAAAGCAGCAGTGCACTGAAAATTCATCATGTAAATACAATCTTGGAAATGAATTTAGCCAGAAAGATTTCAGTACCTTGGAGAACTTTTTATCCCGATCATAATCAAGTCCTGGAGGGGCATTCTGTATGGTCATAAGAAGCACCTACCACAAGGCAGAAAAAATTTGAAAGATTTTTCGTTAAAATGAAAACAAGGCATCCAGATCAGGCTGTGCCTCTCAATATTGTCATGTCACCATAATGAGAAGTACCTTCATTGGTGGGTATTTTGAGAAAGGTGCATGACCATGAGCTAACTCCAAGGCCGTAATACCAAAGGACCATATATCAGCCCTGAGCAAGAGAACAGCCAACAGATAATCATATATCAGTTGTTTTTACATTCACCAACCCTGACTGACTTCTGGTTTTCATCATGATTTGAAATTAATAGTGTCCACCGCAAGTGTACATTATGTTGAGATCAGTAACTCGGTACTTTTTAAGGAGTTTGCATAAACGAGAACTTAACATCAGTTTGCATGTTCAGATCTTCCAAGGTGGTCCAGGTATTCTTATTTGACCACTGAAAGATGGAGCAATTATCTAGCAGGATTGCCTGTGAGAAGGATACCGAGACATACTACAGCTAGTAAAGATGTTCCTTTTCTTGAAACTTCAGGCATAATCATTTCATTATGTCTGAAGAACTGCCAGGAGTATGACATCAACTTTACAAGGTGCGTTTCAGAAGGTAGTAAACTCACTTTGAATTATATCCACTTCCTGGCTGTAACACTTCAGGTGCCATCCTGAAATGATAACAAAAGCAAGAACACAAACTGGTTAAGCAGTCGAGTTACAGGAGAACATGCACCCACAAAAGTTTCGGACCTACCAGCAAGGAGTTCCCACAAAAGTATTTCTCGCCCGTTGCCTGTCACCAGTATCAAACATGCATGCTGACACACCAAAATCGGCAAGTTTTACTACTCCATTGGTATCCAACAGTATGTTTCCAGCCTGAAAGTACAGCAGATATAAAGGGAATGATTCAATAATAAACTAGAAGATGCAACATAAGAAGGAAAAAGTATCCATTAAGATAGTCAACAATACTTTTGAACTTATTGACCTTGACATCTCGATGAATGTGCCCTTGACGGTGTAGGTACTCTAAGGCCTTAAGAGTTTCTTTCAGAATTGAACCGATAGCAGCTTCTTCAAAGCCATCAGGATATGCTATCTTCATAAGGTGTAAACAAGAACCCTCGGCCATAAAGGGCATGATCACCCAGAGATTTCGGTCAACGACAAATGAACAAAAAGCCTTAATAACATTTGGATGGTCTATCAGACTCATGGTCTGAGCTTCTCTCCGTATGTCATCCTAAAAGAAAAATGTTAAAAAGAAAGTAAATTAATAGAATAGGGAAATAAAATATAGTAATCAGGCTATTAGCAAACGGAGAGCATGAATGGAAATTTGCAGCACCGTTTTTAACATATAGACAAAAGGGGTATTACATTGATCAAGAGTTCAAATGCAGTAACTGGGAATCATTGGTAGACACATTGTGGCTAGGATCAAAGAAAATCAGTCAGCAGACTGAGGTAATCATCAATCCATAACCCCTCTCCTTCTCTAGCATTCCATAACAGAAGGAAAGTAAAAGTGTAAGATCTTCCTGTTTCGGACGGGAAGTTCAACCAGTATTTGTTAGTGGAAGTTAACAGCTCCAGTGAATTTGTTATAGACAACTTGGACTGAAGCCAGTTCTAGTTACAGTTAAAACTTTTCATCTGCGGCAAAAACCGTAGTGTTTGATCCAAAAACAACAAAGATAATAAAAATTTTCAGCTTCAGAGGCCAAAACCACATTATCAATAACTAAGATAACAACATCACCACTGGTGGTCGAATTAAGCTACGATGTTCTTGCTGCTCTCATGTATCGATTCGCTCAAGTTTGGCGAGCTGATCAACAAGTCAAGTTACAGAAATATGAATCATACTATCTCTACCCATCTCACATATAATTCAAGCAGAAAAACAAACACCATTAAGAATTGACTTGAACCTCATAAATGATAAAACCATTGAAAATAGCAATCTAGGCAGGTCAAAAGAGTACTAATAATTTAGGAAAAACGCTCCACTCCACAAGTCTGAGCAGTGCCTTCGAGGTTTCGATTCTAATCAGACTATCAACTATACACGAACCAAAACACAAATTCAATTCGTCCCTTCTAGTATTGCGTCTTCCAATATCCAAACAGTCAAATCAAGTCAAAGGCTAAACAAACAAGAGGAGAAATCCAATGCTCCTAATTCGCCAACTAAATACGATCCATGCCTACAAATAAGTTGATTCGGATAAAAGCAAAACGAATCAAGCCAGTAGGAATTACTAACCAGATTGCTATTGCATCGATCGAGATCCAAGCACTTGACAGCAATGACTTCGTTGGTCGGAAGATAGATCGCTCTGAAAACGGTAGCACTGGCGCCATAACCGACCTCTTCGAGAAGCTTATAGTCGTTAGAATTGGCAGAGAACGTCCGCTGACTACCTCCCATCCCTACCATGCCCCCGGACAAAGGAAGCGGCGAAAGAGTGGCTCGAAATCAGGATTTGAAGCCCCCGGGATATGCTAGAAGGAGTTGACTCTGTTTGAGGCGGGAAGCTAGCAGGAAACGAGGTGATTAGAGGGAAAGTCGTTGAGAGGGCAATCCGTTGACCGCCATGGGAAGGAAGGGGATGATAAATGATAGTAAGATTAGAGAAGGACTTGAAAGTTGAGAGACGGGGAGGTGGGAAGTCGGGGAGGAGAGAAAGGGCAGAGGCAGGGAAGGAGGGAGATGTGCTGACGTGGTGAGCCCGGGCTATGTATTCGGACTACGACACGTGGATGTACCAAACGTTAATGCTTTCTTTTATTTTTCTTTTATTCCGTTATTTTTTTGAGGTTGTTTCTTTGTAACCAACACCTTAGTCAAATCTTATGTCGATAACCAACACCTTAGTCAAACGAGTTGGGTCAAAATTGTTATCGGTAATCGAACTTGACAAGATGCATTTTGGGATGAAATGGATGAGCTTGTAAAAACAAAGGATTGAAATACCGTACCGGAGGTCATACCGAAAAAGTCAGCGGTAGGGTATTTTATGCTAAAATCGTGGTTTAACCATGGTTCAACCGTATTATACCGCTAAATATCACTTAACGATTTTACTTCCGGTAGGAGGTTTTCAAGTCGAACCGCCAGTACGGTACGGTATTTTAATCCTTGGTAAAAACTTGAAAGGTAATTGTGATGTTGTAAAATGGAGTAGGGCTCGGGCAGGGACAATATCCTGTTCAGAAAGGCGATTGTGATATTGTAAGTGAATTCATGATTCATAAACAATAATTCAATATTAAACGATAAATACATTTCGTGATGAAATAAATAAACTTCTAAAATTTCAAAGTCAAATGTGTTTAGTGTAGATCATCACATTGATGAGTGACCTCTTAAAGACTCATCATTATACACCCAAACCAAAAGACATTTAGAATGAACAATATTCTGGTAAGTTGGACACATTCTTTTCATTTTATGCGTTTTATTAAAAAGATGAATTTCAACTCATTTTTTCAATACAAAAAGGAATCAATCACAAAAATAAGAACATGAATTATTTGCAAATATCTGCTGAAAAAAAGAATCATATATACTTATACACAGAAAGAAAACATATAAATATGGGTGTAAGAAAGGAAATTTTTATAAGCCGATAAACCTCTCCTCATGTTTGTATATATTTTATTCATTACAAAAGAATATTAAATCCCACTTGTTCATTTCTTGTCTTCTTGAGTTAATCATCCAAAAATGCTGTCGAAACTAATACCCATTGGCTTACCTTGACTAGATTTTTTTTTATTCTATTATAATTGTTATTTTATTGAAACCTTGAATTATTTTGTGACCCTAAAAATGGATCTTAATATATTCTAATATGGTCGTACATATAAAAATGATGTTCTAAAATTGTGATATCTTTTCTTACATTTACAGTAAGACTGGTTAAGACGCCTCTTTATTCGCATGTAAAGATAATTTTACTACATAGAATTTCTAAAAGGACCATGAGTTGCCTTCCATAAAAAAAAGTTTTGAGTTTTCCTGTCATGTTGATCTTCCGAAGCTTCTTCCAGTTGAAATCATCCCCATGCTCTTCAGAGTTGCCAGATGCCTCTTCTTCCATTCTTTTTTGCTCGAATAGGTACCCTGATTTCACTGTATATTTCCCATCTTCAGTCCCTGTCCAGCACAACACATCCTTGTTTGCAGATGAAGCCAGTGGAATCGCCTCAATAGCCTGCCTCTCATCAGGTGTGAAAATAAGTTCAAGCAGATCGTGCCTCCAAGTTCTTGTCCCCTGGTCAATAAGAGTCGACACTCTTGCTTCCCAATCCATGAACGGGCAGGAAAAAAAAACCCTCAAAATTGTCCAGATTAGGGACCCATTTATCTCCCCAGATTCCAAGTTCTTGTCCCCTGGTCAATAAGAGTCGACACTCTTGCTTCCCAATCCATGAACGGGCAGGAAAAAAAAACCTCAAAATTGTCCAGATTAGGGACCCATTTATCTCCCCATATTCTTACTTCCTACCCAGAACCAATTCTCCATCTGCAACCTGCTTTAAGCAGATCCTGAGCCCCCCAGAAGACTCCTCCAAATATAGCTAGGCCGCCACCTAGGGCTGGCTATTTGGTCTGGGTTTTTTGGTTTTACCCGAAACCGGGCTGTATAACCCGGACCAAGATCGGACCGGGACCGGATAGTAAACAATCCAATCCAATCTTTAGGCTTAGATTTGAGGTAAAAAACCGTTCGTGACCTTATCGAAAACTGGATAAAGACCGGATAAGAGAGCTCAACACCCAAAACTTAAGGGTAATTTGCATAAACGGTCACAAACCTTTGCACTTAGTACAAAACTTAACCAACTCCTCACCCTTTCAGGCCTTAGGCCACTCAAATCCCCACAAACTCAATATAAAATCAAGACCGAATTGGGACCAGACCGGGTCAAGACCGGACTGTATCCAATCCCATCTTTGGTCCTTATATTTTCAAAAAGACCGAACTGGACCAGATCAATTTGGGTCAATTTAATCGGACCGGACGGTATAGCCACCCCTACCGCCACCCCAACTTAGCTTCCAGAATAGATGTTCGTGGATGGTATTTTGATTTGATCAATCTAGGCACAAGAGTGTCAGGCCTAGTATGCAGATTCCATAGCTGCTTTGACAACTTCGCCTTGTTGAAAATTCTTAGGTCTCTAAAGCCCATTCCACCCTCTACCTTTTATTTGCACAATTTCTCCCATTTTTTTTCCAATAAATTCTTCTTTCAGATCCTTTCTCCCATCAGGTGTTTTTAAGACCGACATAGCAGAAGTAGCTTGTGCTTGAGCGGCGCTTTAGATCAATATCTCCTTTCCTGCATCACTGAAGGCCATCGTTCTCCTACGTTGTTAATAACTACCCAGCAAAGGAGGTAGCACAACTGAGCTCTTTAGTGTGGTTCTTCTAGAAGTATATAAATAACTTATTGTTCAATAGGAAGTTCTTGGAAGAATGACAGGTTTTCCCCCTGACAGATGAGTTTATCCACAGTTTTTTGGAAGTACAATGGAAAGATGAGGCATCCTCAAGGCCTAGACAAAGAAATGACAAAAAGTGGAAGAAACCCTCTATGGGAGTTTTCAAGTTAAATATAGATGTAGGGGTGAGCAGCGGAGGAGAAGTAAGTCTGGGATGCATCCTTAGAGACTGGGAGGGTAATGCAATCTTCATGCTAGCAGAAGAATCAACGTCAGATGGTCTTCGGATGTTGCAGAAGGAATGGTTGTTCTCAATGGAATTAGATTGGTGAAGGAGAGGGGACTTGGACCCGTTGTTGTGAATTTGACTGCAGGAAAATTGTTCAGCTGTTGAAACAAGGCAGGATCTGTAGAACTGAGCTAGGGAATATTTGCTCGGACATTCTGAAGGAGTCGGAAGAGTTGGATGTTCACGAATGGTCTTTTGCTTATAGAGAAGCTAACAACGTTGCTCATCTCCTAGCTCATCTTACTGCTATTTCTGATGAAACTCTTTTTGAGAATGATTGTTTGCCTTTAATGGTAGCTGATGTTGTAGCCTTTGAGACAATTGATCATTGATTTCAATGAAATCACATCAGTGAATTCTAAAAAAATAAAACAAAAAAGGATCCATGAGCATTCACCCTAAGTCCATAACCAACTGAATTTGACCTTCGATACGATTTCACGTTGGTATACACCAAGGAGTTCCTTCCAAGCTCACTAAGAATGGCTGTGCATCTTCATTAGTAAAGCTACAAACACGATTAAACAATACCGAAGAGTATCTCTAACAAGGTTACAACTTACAACTCACTAGTAAGTAAGTTTAGTCAGTGTATATTCCGGTATTTACAATTACGAACAAATGAATCTGATCCTTGAATCCAAGATTCAGAGTATCCTCATCCGCCTAAGTCGCTTGGTTGAGGCCTTAGAGACCAAGTAGCCCACACCCAAACACATGACCCAAAGCCCAACATCCACGGCCCATCCAACTCCCTCCAAGTCCAACTCCTCCTCATCACTAGCTGGCGACCCCGGCCCACTAACTTCCTCACAATTACCACCGCTATATCCGCTATCCGTACCACTACCATCGCAGTCGCAGCAACACGGACCGGCCGCCAATTCATCATCCACGTCATCATCCTCCGCGTCCTCGGGGATCACGACCAGCCTGTCAAGCCGCACTTTCCGACAATTCCCCTTCTTCCTCCTCGGCGGGGCCACCAACTTCACTCTCTCGCTCAGCGCCGCCATCCGATCCGCCACCGCCACGCAGACATCCGCCGCCGCCGCCGCAGCGCAGCCAACGAGGACGGCATTCTCGACCCGACACCTGCACTCCAGGTTCCACTCGTGTTCCTCGTCCTTGGTGAAGATCCCTTCCAGGACCCTGTCGTCCCGCAGGTAGACCTCGAAGCTGACCCCGGCGGTGGATTTGACCGGCTCCCTCGACCCGTAGACCGCCTCGCCGGATCTCGCCTTGACGTCGACGAGCCTGTGGAGCTCGAGGAAGGCGTTGGAGTCGGGTCGGATCTTGGATCCGTCGATCTGGAGCTCGGTGCCGTTCACCCGAGGGAGGAAGCGGAGAGTGAGGGAGTCCGGGAAGGAAGTGCGGCGGTGGAAGCCGGAGAAGCGGCAGAAGAAGGCTTTGATGTTGAGAGGGTTCCTGCTTCTGGGCTTGAATCCGTCGAAATCTGTTGTTCGGCACATCTTGCGATGTTCTGTGACGAGCGTTTCGTTTTTTTTTTTTTTTAATGTTCTTTTTGGAGTTTTCGATTGCGAAATGCGAGAGAAGGGGGAGATGGGTTTTGTAGCAAACGGCGGGCGGAGGGTTGGCGGAAATTCTGGGGGTGAGGAGCACGCGGGTTTTGTTTGGGACCGGTGGCGGCAGAGCGACCACTAGAAGACAAAGTCGGTTTTGGGATCTTTTTCGTGTTTTGTCGCTTTGTTGGAGCCACCTGTTTACGACCTTGCCGCGTGTTAGGGAAACTTCCAGCTGGCCTGCTGCTGCTGTTGCATACAGAGCTGTGCGAGTAGGGGAACGGGCCGAGATGTTTGCTTCTTTTCAGCCCGGCCCATTAGGATTGTGATTGTGCTTTTCTCTTAAGAAGTTGGATAGGCCCAGGATCAGCACACCGCCCTCTTTTTTCTTGAATCGATGGGCCATCTAATAATTAATAAGCGTCTATATTTTGGACAGTAAGAACTTCTTTCATTCCAACTCAATCAGGGAAACCAGATTACACCAATGCAACTTTACAACAATGGAGCGGATGACTACGTCTAGGTTGTTGTAACGTGTAACAACTAACAACCAACTCATGACGATGGATTATCATCTATGAAAAAATGGTGGAGAGATGAAAAGAGTAAAGTCTGGAAGGGGTATAAATTTCATATGTATAGACTCCATTTTTCATAGAGTTGGAAAAGGATTCTTACAATTCTTATTCGAGTTTCTAACTTATTTTAGTCTATTAATGTTTTTTAGAATATATTACTCAATTCAGGAAAAAAAATATGTATATATATTACTCATTTTATCCTTATTTATTGATAACAACAATAGAAAATCATGAAATTTATTTTTTAATTAGATTTCAATCCTTTTGAATAAAAAATATAACCAAATGATGAGAATTCAAAATCATTCCTTAACATACAATTGTATGGATTATATGCATTTTAGCCTATTCTTTCAGCTTTGAAATCAATGCTAGAGTTTTGATTGAAGTTCTGTTTCACTGAATTAAATGAAGAAAATCCTACAGAGTTTAGCCAAAAAAGTTGAATTTATACTCTGGTTTACAGAGTTGAACGGAGGGAAAATTTGTAACCTTTGTAACAACCTAGCTAATTTACATTTTGGTTCTAATTACATTTATTCTATTCTGAACTAATCCTAAGCTCTTATAAAAAAAAACTAATCCTAAGCTACTTGGTTATTTACATAATGGGCCTTGTGTCGTCTAATAATAAGTAGAAAGTAGAACTACTAAGGGTTATAGGTATAATATGCCCCTATACTATGTTGTTTTATCAAACATGCCCCTCTACTATTTTTTATATCAAACATGCCCCTGTACTTTGGAAAAATTATCAAACATGCCCTTCTATTAAATTTTTCATTGAAAAAATTGTCAATCATGGTTGAACCGAGATTTAGACGACCCGATATCGGCAAATGGGAGGGAAAATGTCAGTTTTGTCCCCTGTTTTATTTCTCTGAGTCTCGTCAAAGTGAAATTATTAGGATTATTTGGTTATATAAAAGAACCAAAAAAACTCTAAAGTGAAATTATTCAGGATATTTTAGACATTTGTGCCGCCCAAACAAAAGTTTGGCCGTGGTTACGGTTTTTGGATAAAATTTTTAACATAAGTGCATGTTTGATAATTTTTTCAAAATACAGGGGCATGTTTAATGTAAAACGTAGTAGATGGACATGTTTGATAAAACGACATAGTAGAGGGCATATTATACCTATAACCCAACTACTAATTATGTTTGACCAAATTAAGTGGAGCTAGGTTGTCAAAGAGACAATAAAATTTGATCTAAAAAATAAACATATATCGGTTTTATAATTATAAAAAATCCAAGTTCCGGCGGTTCGTGTTGTCGGTAGTTAGGCTGTGCTAATACTGATTATCAGATATTTAGATACTTACAAACAATGTTTAATTGTGTGATCTGCATATTCCCTAGTTAGTGGTATGGGCTGTCATCAATTTAGTATATTGGTGGTATGATTTTTACAAGCTTATCGGAATCAAACCTCCTTTCGAAAAGAAAAAAGAAGAAGAATCAAACCTACCTGTGAGTAATAATTAGTTAATGCAAGTTTGGGCGCGTTTGTAAAAATATCTAGATGTGGGGTGTACATGGATCGGGTGGTTCGGGTTTAACTATTTTAATCACCCGATCCATGCACTACGGTTTGGAAATTATCAAACCCAAACCCACCCAAAAAAATTAAAATCCTACGGTTTGTTTTTAATTGGGTTGGGTCGGGTTGGCGATATTTTTAAGTAAAAATCCAACCCAACATAAAAATATATAATTATTATACATCATAAAAATATTTTATAACATTAAAATTTCAAACGAATAAACCGAGGTGAAAGCTATCAAAATTCAAAAATGTTGTTTGAATTTTAATAAAATGTGATTTACTTCAACATATGTCTAGTTTTTTTCACGATATTTGTTGAAATAGGCTAACAAGGTTATAAACAAACGCATCCATAACATGTTATTCTATTAAAATTGTACACAAGAAAAAGGATTACGTGAATAATAACTATACTCAATTTATGTCTAAACTTTAAGTCGAAGAATGCATTAGATTAGGGAGACCATGATAGAAAAACATGGCGAAATATCTTAATTTTTTCATAAGTATTGCTATATACGACATAAATATTTTTTAGATACGAACTCATACTAATAGTTGGAACACGGGTTGGGTCGGGTTCTACGGGTTGTGTAATTCAAAATCCAAACCCAACTCAAAAGAGGCGGGTTGTACAAAAGAAAACCTTCACCCAACCTAAAACCTTCGTTTTAGCGATAAATACCTGTAGGTTGGATCGGGTTGGACGATTTGCGGGTGTGTTTGTTCACCCCTAGATGTGGATCCAGACCAGAGTCTCCCCTTGGAACGAGAGGGGACAACTGGGGAAGGTAAAGACGATGGGAGTAGACGACAAACCAAATGAAAGAATAAAATTAGAACTAGTCGTAGTGGGTTGATCTGTGGTGGGCCTTGGCCGGTTTTAGAGCTGGGCCCATACACATCTACATCGGCGTGTGGTTGGCACAAATTTTTTTTTTTTTTAATGAAATCTTTTGATCCATTAAATTCAAAGTAAACGAACATCATTCATGGGTCATGGGCCCATGGCCGAGACGGAGAAATATCATCGTTTTCGCCTGCTTCGCACTTCGCAGGTAGATGTCAGGATCTTCTTCCTCCTTTTGTTTACGGGTAGTAATTACAGTAAATTTCTACTATGACAAAAATATAAGTATGAACTCGTGAATGATTAATTATTTATAATGATATACATTATATATTATATTCCCCAATTGCGTAGCACGTATATAGTAGCAGCTAGTAGCTAGATTCAAAGGCACATAGATGTGGAGAGAATCACGTTCTTCAAACTGGGGCTGCTTTCTTCATATTGAATGAATACAATCCATCCAAATAAAGGATTGAAGACGAGCCCACATCACCATCTCCTTTTCATCATTCGATCCCAATTCCCGGCCTCTTTCAATGCCTAGCTAGCCACTGATTGAGCACTAGTTGGTGTATATATATACCAAATTGTAATTATTATATGCATACAATACAATGGACTATATATAATATTCATATTCACACATATGATCCAAGATGTCCCCTCTGCAACCTTATGTACGTCCGTGATCCATACATATGACCCATCTTTATGAATATACACAAGTAGGGGTGTTCATTCGGGTTCGGTTTTTTCGGGTTTATCCGAAACCGACCCGATTATATACATTTTTGGGTTTTCGGGTTCGTTTCGGGTTTTGGGTTTTTCGGTTTTGGGTTCGATTTTTCGGGTTTCGTCTAAAAACCTCCAGTGAATAGAACTCAGCCCGTATTCTTAGGCGTTCGGGTTTTCGGGTTTCGGTTTTGCTTTAACCGAACCCGAACCCGAACCCGATAAGGAATTTTCGGGTTTCGGGTAACCGGAACCCGCTAGTCCTTATCGGGTTCGGTTTTAGTGGTTTTCGATTTCGGATTTTTTCGGGTTTCGGTTTGGGTAACCGAACCCGGCCCGAACCGACACCCCTAACACAAGTTGCATGACAAATTAAAGGAGAGGATATTAATTTTGAATTCGTTCGTATGATTCCAAGCTCAATCATGATCAAATTAATTGTTGGACTTGCAACATGATATCTTCTCCTTGTTTTCAACTGATCTAACTAGACGAGATGTAGCTAGAAAGATGTCTTTGGTTGGAGTACTAATGTATGGCCGCCCTCCGGAAATTTCAGTGGCTGAAATTTTAGTATGATATTGATCACGGTTGAAAGAGTCGCTGCTTCATGACAAACTTTCACTAATTGCTCTCTCTGCAAAGTCCTTCATACAGATCATTCCATTAATTTCAGGGTTTTAAAAAGTTTCTCATTGTTGACAAATCTCTGCCTGTGTATTATTGTTGGTAGATGAAGCTAATTTAGTATACGTGTCTAAATCTACTACTGGGTGTTGGTCTTTGGCCTGACTTAATCTTCCGATCGATCTGTCTCATCGATCAATCATCATTGTCATCGATCGAGCAGAGGAGCTTGGAATTGAATGGCGTGTGTTTACATTCGTTGAAATTTTGAAAAAGCCGCTGCTGCAACTTGCTGAAAGTGACCGACGAGGAAGAATCCATATTCCATCCCCCAAAAACACACAGTAAAACGAGCAGCAACCACGTACACAAAATTTAATGGCTGAAACTAAAAGATGCTAAGAGTCAATGATAAGGTCCATGATCAGTAGGACTGTAGGAGTACTAGTCCCTTCTCCTTCCACACTCCACAATTTCTATCTCTTTCTCTTTTCTGCTTCCCTTCATTATTGCACTTCTTAATTATATGGCTATTGACTAGGGTTACCATGCATGTTTATGGAATTATATCGAGTTTGTTTTTAAGGATGTACATGTGCCTGTGATTGTATTTTACATATATATATATATATATATATCGGGCTATGTTACGTACGTTTTCTTGATTGAATTATTCAGTATTGGTCGAAATAACTATAAGAACTACAATTCATGTTGTGTCGGGACAACTATTGTACTGTTACAATAATGCCGATTAATATCCAGACATAGCTATTGATGATTTGTTTTGAAAAAAAAAAAGTTAAAAAGTTTCTTTCTGGTATAAAATCACCATATATTCATTACCAACATCCATATGCTATTACGCAAGGACCGCATGTTCCACTTCTGGTGTTGCCCTTTCGCCACTTCCTTTAAGTTTCGGCCTTGCGACCATATTGTCTCCGGACCCATTAAAGACTTTGATTTCTCGTAAGGTGCCAGCATATTATGACAGACAGCATGGATAGATTAAATATTCACACATGACATTAGAGCTCTTTTGTTTGTAACGAGATGTTCAATTGTAATAGTGTATTAAGTGCAAAATATTACAAGTATGTTAAAATCGTATATACGTTTTCTTCTTCTAGAACCTATGCACATAGAAAATATAAACCCAAAGAACTTTAGTGTCTCTAAAAACCTTGTATTTATGATTTTTTTTGGTAATACAAGGAATCTAGCTAACTTGACACAAGAAATCTCCCTTTCTACCTATTTTGAATCGAAAAAATAATGAAGATGTTGTCTTTTTGTCATAAGAACTAATGTAAGTGATTCGTCATCATCCGACTAGCCGGCCAACAATGAAAAAAAGAACAGTTCAACAGAGTAATATACTGTTACAGTAGTACCATGAAACGGAAGGAAAGAACGGCAAAACAGATACAAGAGAATCAAAGTTCGGTCTAATATTGATAGCTTCGCAATCCCATATGGCGATAAGCGTTCTTTATAAAACAATACATGCAAAGCCCCCCATCCTAATTATTCCTTTCGGCCGGGAAGAACTGTTGTAAATTCTAATTCATTTGGGTACGTGCATATGGTGGGGTTGGAGAGATAGATATGACTCTTTTAGTTTTGTAATACCCGCCCATTTGAAATTACAAAATCATATTGTATCGATGATTTGATCGAAAGTTACTCGATAATATTAACCGTATGAATAATTGAATCAGTTTCAATATAAAAGATTATATACATTATGGAATTTTTTTTGTTGTGCATCTTCCGGTACCCTTTGACCATCGTTGTTGGGACTAATTTGATATTGCTTGGGTTGGCCAGATCTTTTTGCTTTCTTTCCTTACCTGCCGGTGCCGGATGCAAGGGATAAATACGGGACTTGGCCATTACATGTGATTCAAAAAGTGCGTTGTTTGCTAGGTTGGACGGATTAAGGAGGATGTAATCAATAATTACATTTACAGGTAATAGTCAAATATTATTGGTGTCAATTTCAATCGTATTTGGATGCAATTTTAATTGTCCACAGAATCAGAATATTACCAAAACGATGCAACTTTTTGATTGAGAAAGAAAAAGTATTTGGAGACTGATCCAGTTAATTAATGATAAATATCGGTATAAAAATCCAATCAATCAGTGAATTTGAAAATACATTACACTAATTGCGTGCAAAACAATGTTCCAATTATTCTAACACAATTTTCAGCATCATTTCTCTTAAATCAATCCGTTGTTCTGAAAATACATCCCATATAGTATCATGAAATTTAAATAACACGTAATTGAAAGATATAATATTAATTTACAAAAATACATGGAAACAATTCAAGTTAATAATTTGTTTTCTTCCCCTTGTAATTACTACCCCAATCAATCAGAGCTAAAAAAAAAAAAGATAGACATATAGATAGATAGATAGATACCTTCTTGTCTCTTTAACCTCCCTCCGTCGGAACTACTCCTCCTTTTTCCAGTGGAATAATAATATAAGCTCCTCCAACAAGTCCCACATGCCCAAAAAGACCGACCTCCATTCAATTCAGCGCAGAGGGAGGCTTCCAACTTTCTATTTATAAAGATTTATTACTACCCGTTTTATCCACTCCATTCCACCTTGAAGCCACAGCAGATCGAGGAATCACAGAAACCACAGTCACCAAAGGTAATCATTGCGATCGAGCTTCATCACTAATTTCACCCTCACGATCAAGTTGAACATAATTTATGTTGTTTTCGGTACGACGTAGGCCATGAATACTGAACTACAAGAAGCTGCTGCTGCTGCCGCCAGAGAGAAGATCAAACAAGATGCTAATAACGATCACGAAGTGAAACATCAAGATGATGAACAACTACAGCAAGATGGGGATGACGACGACGACGACCCAACGTCGTTGAAGGAGAGAGCTTTCCGAGCTCAGCCATGGACACGGCAAATCACAGCCAGAGGATTGATAGTGAGCGTCATGATCGGGTCAATGTACAGCGTGATAGCCATGAAGCTGAACCTGACAACCGGCCTGGTCCCAAATCTCAACGTCTCGGCGGCGCTGCTGGCTTTCGTGTTCATAAGGGCGTGGAACAAGCTGGTCGGGAAGCTGGGGTATGTTGCGAAGCCATTTACGCGACAGGAGAACACCATGATCCAGACGTGTGCAGTAGCTTGTTATAGTATTACAGTTGGAGGTGGGTTCGCTTCTTATCTGTTAGGATTGAATAGGAAGACCTATGAGCTTTCCGGGCTGCACACTGAGGGAAACTCTCCTTACGCTGTCAAGGACCCTGCGTTCGGTTGGATGACCGGCTACCTTTTTGTGGTTTGCTTTGTCGGGCTTTTTGTCTTGATTCCACTCAGAAAGGTAACATCTTTTGTTTCTGGGTTTGGGGGAAAAAAGGTTGATTGCTTTACTGATTCGGTTTTCTGATGATGGACTAAATTAGTTAGTTTGTTAATTGCAGGTGATGATAGTGGACTTGGAATTGGCCTATCCCAGTGGCTTGGCGACTGCAGTTCTTATCAATGGATTCCACAACCGAGGAGACAAGATGGCAAAGTACTTGAATTTATTCGTGAATTTGATTACATTTATGGTGTTGTTCTGTCGTTGGAGAGATGGGAATAAGAGAAAGCTTCGATCTTTATGGTTTTGTTTACAGAAAACAGGTTCGTGGGTTCATGAAGTACTTTTCGGTGTCGTTCCTGTGGGCGCTGTTCAAGTGGTTCTATGCAAAAACAGAGGAATGCGGGTTCAACCAGTTCCCTACCTTCGGGTTGAAAGCTTGGAAGCAAACGTAAGCAGAGGAACTGTGCTTGCTGCCTGAGCTTGTTCTGTTTTTCCGTAGTAAGCAGCTTTTTGAACTGAATTGTTCTGGGTTTTGGTAGGTTTTTCTTCGACTTCAACACAACATACGTGGGGGCAGGGATGATCGTTTCCCACCAAGTCAACCTTTCTCTGCTTTTCGGAGCTGTGCTGTCTTATGGGATCATGTGGCCACTCATTGATGATCTCAAAGGGAAGTGGTTCGAAGCCGATTTGGAAGAAAGCAGCATGAAGAGCTTATACGGCTACAAGGTTACAAAGCTTTCTTTTGTGAAAAACAATGTTATGGAATATCCTTAAACTATTCTTAGTATTTTAATCTTCATCTGGTTTGTTTTTTTCGTAATGACAGGTTTTCCTCTCAGTCGCACTCATCCTGGGAGATGGGCTCTACAACTTCATAAAGGTGATGAGCTTCACTGTCATGAACGTCCATGGAAGGTTGAAGAACAAGAAGCTGAAACCAGAAGGTAATGAGCTAAAAACATATTAAAGAGAGTCCCATTTCCCAGAGAGGAAGTAAAGTTCGAATCTTTTTGGCCTAAAAGTCGGAACCCTTTTTTGCTATTGGCAGGGGAAGTTCAGGAGCCGGGCCAGGAGGATAAGAAACAGAATGAACTTTTCCTGCGAGAAAAGATACCCATGTGGGTTGGAATGGTGGGCTACATGGCCTTCTCAATCCTATCCACACTCGTGGTTCCGACCATATTCCCACAGCTCAAATGGTACTACGTCGTCGTAGCATACATCCTAGCTCCATCGCTGGCCTTCTGCAACGCCTACGGAGCCGGACTTACGGACATCAACATGGCATACAACTACGGCAAAGTGGCTCTCTTCGTGCTCGCAGCTGTGTCAGGGAAACAGAACGGCGTCGTTGCAGCTCTGGCTGGCTGCGGGCTGATCAAGTCCGTGGTCTCCGTGGCCTGCATACTGATGCAGGACTTCAAGACGGCTCACCTGACGCAGACGTCGCCGAGGGCCATGTTCGTGAACCAGGTGATCGGAACTGCGATGGGCTGCCTGATGGCGCCGCTCAGCTTTTTCTTGTTCTACAAGGCGTTTGACGTGGGGAACCCGTACGGCGAATTCAAAGCTCCGTATGCTTTGATATACAGAAACATGGCTATTCTCGGGGTGGAAGGGTTTTCTGCTCTGCCGCGGCATTGCTTGCAGCTGTGTTATGGGTTTTTCGCCTTCGCGGTGGGGGTGAATATGGTGAGGGACGCAGCTCCTGGGAAGGTGGTGGGGCGATGGATGCCGCTGCCTATGGTGATGGCTATACCGTTTCTGGTCGGGGCGTATTTCGCCATTGATATGTGCTTGGGAAGTTTAGTGGTCTACGCTTGGACCAAATTGAAGCCGAGGAAGGCAGAGTTTATGATTCCGGCGGTTGCTTCCGGGCTGATTTGCGGGGAAGGGCTGTGGACTCTGCCGTCGGCGGTTCTCGCTTTGGCTAAGGTGAACCCGCCAATCTGCATGAAGTTTGTGGGCAAATAGGCAAGAGTTCTTCCTACAACGTTAGTCTACATTGAAGCATATGTAAAAAGTTGATTGTTGTCACTTGGTTTACAACTCACAAGCCCCTACAGAGTCTGTAATCCTAGAGCTTCAACACCGGTGCATACAGCAATGAATCTAAAGAAAACAGTAGATAGAATAGAGTACCGTTTTGCCACTGAAAAAAAAATGGCCTAGAAAAATTGAGTGATCTGTGATTTACAGTAAGAATCCACACTTTCGCATATTATAACTCTCAGAAGACTGACAAGACGAGCCAACTTTGTCTCTTCATCGATGATACAGCAAAATTTCACAAAACGAATCAAAAGCTGAATCAGCGAGTCTACAATATACAAATTTCCTTATTCCACATGTCCGAATTGGGATACACGAAGTTTTAATTTCACAACGTTCTATGATTTTGGTGCGCGCAAGAGACCTTCATAAATCAGCTGGTTACTATGGAAGCTAGGACGTCACTCTTACCTCGTGCATATATCGTGTAGACAAGACGAATTGCATCCAGCCAGCCATCCAAGTATTCCCATGAGTCGGCAATCTGCATATAGTGAAACAGACAAAAGATGAGTGATACTTTTCTTCAGTTCATTAATGGCAGAAGGATCTTGATACTTGACCTATCAAAACTTCGAACTAACTTGCTTTGCGATTCTTTTCATTCTACTACAATCTAATATGATTCTTTGCCATTCTTTTCATTCTTCTAAAATCTAATATGATCCGACATAGCTTTCTCAATGAGTTTGGTCTGATATTTGCTTTACACGGTTATGATTTTACAAACTGAAGTAGTATGGAGCAAAAATGTATAGTCATCCCAAACTCCCCCGGCATATTGAAACTCTATTGGTAATTTGGTGTTACATAGGAAATCAGAATATATGCTTACCAGGTAAACGGGTCCATGAATTGTATCAACACAAAGGGCGGGGCCACGTGGCAAAGTCAAATCAGCGCAAGCTGACACTGAAATAATATCTGGAACTTCAACTTTGATAGCCTTTTTATCATTAGTACCATCTGCAGATCTCCGAGACAGGTTTTGTGGAGCTTGCTTTAGATCCGGTTTGTTATACTGCTTGGAATGAGCAAAAAGAAAATGTAATTTTGAAACAATTATCCATGCCTGACAACCGATCTATTATAAACACGAAGAAATAATTGCATCATTACTGAAGCCCTTTATTATCCAAGACCACAAGATGCCATTCTTCTTAAAGAGATGAAGTAAGTAATGATTTTGTACCTGCTGGAGTCCTTCGTGATTCAAAACGAATTGTGACCTTTTCCAATCACTATGAGGTGCAATGGGTTGTCCAGCTGGCGGTGCAGTGAGATATCCAACTTTAAGATATGGTAGTGGTAACTGCCAACAATCAACCCCATATCAATTTACACCATAAAAACACATCCTCAACTCCTCATTATCAACACCACAGGAGCGCATGAAAGAATTTAACAGAGACCAGGGAAATCAAGTCCTCAAGCAGTAGTCTAGCAAAGGTTAGCAGAGCCATAAGGTGAGTTGAATAAAAGCATAATATCTAGCTGGTACTACATGGTTTTGTAGTCTATGAAGAAACACAAAAGAATTAGGGAGTTCATATAGACCAAGAAATTTACAAGTCCATGAAAGATAATGAACTAGAAAATGGTATCATTTGGTTACTAATGGACAGAAGAACAATCACTCCAGAGCATCAAAGAATAAGCAACAATGAGATTTTAAATACTAATATTTTATGGCAGAGGCAATAGAGCTTTGGCACATTTTTGTTACTTTAGCCGCTTAGCCGGTTATTCCGGATTCCCGATTATTTCATTGTCTGATGTTAGCAATGTATAGTGCCTCTGAATCCACAAGTGCCCGCAGAAGACAACAAAATTGAGATACTAACCATGGAACGAACAAGCCGCAAAGCACTGCTGTATACCTGTATGCAAAGCATCAACAGAAGATAACCATCATACAAAAGAAGAGAGTACCAAAGTTTTTTATTAGACAAAATGGGCTTCATAAAAAAGATTATATGATTTCAGTTTACCATTGAGACTTAAAGCAATTTTCTAGTGGGTTTGAGCACACCACTAACCCAAACAACTATAACCAAAGCAAAAGTACGAAATATGTAGTTACTCACAGAGTAACTTGGCTTCAACGCATGAGCAGCCGCAATGTATATAGCAGATTGGCTGTACAACTCATTATTCGTTGCTGCACCAGCCCTCAACATGTCCTCTGCCAATCCGTACTGCAGAAAAAAAGCCATAACTAGTTCAGCATTTTCCATCGTTCAGGTTAGATAAGGATAACCAAAGATGACTTATATCTTGCTTCCTCCAAAAAGGGATGTGAAAGAAAGTAAGAGGCAAAAGTTTAGAATCAAAGCAATCCATTCATGACAATACTAAGAAAAGTACCAGAACAGTCCCAAGATTGTAGATTGCTCGATGAAAATCAAATTGCAGCCTTATTGCAGCTCGGAACTGCATCATAAAATGAGTAAGAGAAATATTGAGAACGGATACAGGGATACACCCACCCAGGAGTCATTAGATCCTATTTTAATTCACAAATTGTTCCAACATGCAACATCTAATACCTTACTGATTGCTGTTCTCACAATTGTTTGCTTTTCTCGAGCTGGAACAATTGCACTGAGTTCCTGAATTGTAAAATCAATATAGAATTAAGTTTTGCTGCAACAAAACGTTGTTCCCAAAACCATCTGATTTACCAGAGGTAGACTGGTGAGTTAAGCAGAACTCCGTGAAGAAGGAATCTACAAGCAACGTGTATATGGCTATAATTACCTGTAGAGCAAGTCCCCAATTGTTAAGTGCCTGCAAAGTATTTCAAGGCACAAATACATTACTAAACAATCAGGAAACTAAATAAGCATATGCAGATTGGCAATGATAGGCTTACGGGGGGCATTTACAAAGCTTTAGATGGACATACCTGTGGACTGTTCCAATTAAGTTGCACAGCTTTTTCATAGTTTTTTGTTGCCTGAAAAATGAACAAGAATGAACTTTTCCACAAACTTCACTTGTATCATTTGTACAATACCAGAACACAGAAGTAATATGTAGGCTGCATATGAAAATGTATTCAGAACAAATCATGCAATTCAACAAGGATCAATGCAATGGAACCAACTCCCGAGATATCATAAACTAAAGGCACGGAGTGTGCTTAATGACCTAGTTATTCCCAGATGGCCTCTGAAATATGGCAAAATATTACTCCGGCCGCAAGTGAATACCTAGTCTTTGACCTAACTCCGTCAAATGTATGCATGAGTTATCTTCCTATACAAGCATTGTGCTAGACAGGCAGTGGGATTTCCAACTTGACAAGAAAGTGATAGTTCTGATATAAAAAATGTGATCAACCTGCTTCCAGAGTTCTTCAGCCTCCTTTGTACGGCCACGCATTTTTGCTCGGTCAGAAATTGCTATAGCCCAATTGTAAAAAGCCTGTTCAAAAATCATACCACAGGATGTATGGCTACAACCATCAGGGATAGCAGCATGTACACATTGAACTAGTAACATGACACCCCAACATCAAATTACTCAGGTTCAGAAAATAACCACCCATACGTACATCATGAAGTGACGGGCAAAGACGTGTAGCCTCATCATACTTTTTGCAAGCTTCCTCAAGCAAAGCATCTTTTGAAGGTGATGTTGATTCTGGGTTAACATTGTCAGCACTTTCCTATGAATCAAATGAAAATAGCATCAATGGACATCACCAAAATCTAAATGGTACCTGAATTGGAAAAATAAAGTAAAGTCTGAAACCTGAAGAACCAACGCCCAATTGTAGAGGGCATCATAGTCATCCGGATTTCTCTCAATTGCACTGGCATACCTGTCAAGTTTTGATTTAACATGATGAGTATGGACAAAAATTATCCCAAGAAAAGAAAAGACCCTAAGTTAAGTTCACACCATGCTGGACATCACAATGAAAATCTATCACCATCCATTTTAATCCAAGTCAATACATTTAACCAGAACAACCGTCATTATGAACACCCTGATCATGGTTTTGAGAACAGCAGATGCGGAAGAAAGAAAGATGACGGCGAGGAAGAAGGGATCACCTTTTTGCTGCAAAAGTAAGAATTCTTTGACGAGACCGACCCTCCTCGTCCACACCAGTGATACTATTTATCAACTCCATGGCAGCATTGGTCTGCTCTGCTGCATGTTGTTGTGGGGTTTCTTGACTGAAACAATTAACAACGAAGAACAATACAATGAACTACTGAGATGGTAAGAAGAAAAAATCATGCTTATCATTACATTCGAAACAATCACCTGAAAGGAAAATAACATATTCAGATCTTAATGCCATGAGTCCCATCACTCCACCAATTGGCACACGATTAAAACTAATAGCCAACAATCATGATTTGTAAAATGAACTATTCCTATGTCAGATTCAGAAACAACCAAGGGAAAGATCCGCATTGATCCAATCGTACATACACTGAGATCTTCAAGCATGCATCTTAAAAGCTACAATCAGGAACAAGAATCAATTCCAATAAGTATTTGAACTGTGGTTGAATAGAATTTTGCGTTGATCCAAACATAAACCTGTAAGGGGAGCCAGCATCTTCTCCTTCCTCGGTTTTCAACTCAGTGAGCAGTTCTCTCATCGTAAATGTCCGGTTCCCTTCGTCTTTTCGCAGCTGAGCGCGACCCGCCTGGTCATTGGATTGAGCTTCCACCTCTCCATTGGAATGGATCGCAGCTTCTTTTGGCTCCTCCACGACCTTGGAATCCGAATCGATAATTGCTGGTGGAGCTGGTGTTGGCTCTGATTCATGCTCGGCCACGGCCTCTGGCACTTCTGCATCCGGTTCGGATTCTCGATTCGCTTGAGACGCGGATTCCGGCACATTCTCCGGTGAAGATTCTTGTTGCCCTGCTGTTGTAGAGTCTGAGACTGGGGCTGTGGGTAGAGGTGGGGCCGGAGGGAGTTCTAAGGCATCTTGAAATTCGGGATCCTCGTTCGTCGACATTGCAGGGTTTCACTCCAAAGAGAGAGCAGGCAGCAGTGCAACGGCGATGAAAATAGAGATATGGAGGAAAACACTGTTCAGTGACCACCAGATCGAGAGACAGATCCGCAGCGAGGGAATTGGGGAGACTACGACGAACGCAACTGAGGAAGACGAGAATTTTCCCAGTTTTTTTTTTTTTTTTTCGTTTGGCGAAGTGCAAGTCCAGTCAGTTTAATTGTATTGGTCTGCCTCTGCCTGCACTGCTGGGTAATGTAATTCGAAGGCCCACCAAAGGGATGTATAGGTTCTTTAGCTGTGAACTAGTTATGGGCTTAGTTTGGGCTGTCGGCCCGCTAAGTACAATTCCGATCTGCTTACTGCCGTCATACAGATTGGATTTTTTTTAAAAATATTGTAACACTTTAGGCGAATCATACATTGATAAAATACTGGAGAAATTCATGGTTAATAAGTAAGAAACCGACATTAACTCATAATACGTGTTTTGGAGTGAAATAGAGGAGTTCTTGTGAGAACTCTGAAGTTAAACGTGTTCAATGTAGAGTACAACAAAAATGAGTGACCTTATGAGAAGTCATATTGAATTGCACCCCAAATCAAAAATCGTAAGGATCTCGACTCAAAGCGGATAGTATCTTTGTCCGTAAAAAGGTTCGGAATGTTATAGATACAATGAACAACCATATACAAGAATATGCACAAAATTTTGCAGGTAAAAAAAAACAAAAAGAAAGAGATGATGGCCAATTAGTTGGTGAACCAATTGTACAGCGAGTAAGAACAAGAGAAATGGTTGTGAAATTTTAAATTCTGAATTAGAATCAACGATATATTATCATGTCAATGAGGCGGGTTCTTCTAAATTTATTAAGCTCTAACTAATTTATCTTATATTTTGAATTGGACAAGTAATTATAAATATATACGAACAGATTTATTAAGCTATATCTAATTTATCTTATATTTCGAATTTTATTTTGAATTGGACAAGTAATTGTAAATATATACGAACAGAGTGATGATGTATACACTAATCTTCAAATGAAAGAGTCCAAAATGATGTAAGTTAACAACGCTGTTGATATGTACTCACTAACTAAAGGAGCCTAAAAGAGAAGATGGATGAGGAAACAACCTTGAATTCGAAACTTTCTCTCCACAACACAATTCCACCAAATGCTTGCTTGGTTGTCTCTACGCGCTAGACTATTGCAATTTGCAAACCCCTCTCTTGTCAACTTAAAGTAAGTAAAACAGGTAAAGTGGTTAGCGACCATGCCAAATTCAGCTAAGGAAAATGGCAACTAGCTAGACTAAATATATAGGTGAAGCAGCTCAACCACCACTTCCTAAACACCGCCAACTGCCACGGCCACCAAAACGCAGCCATCTTTCCCCCCTCATATGTAAGAACCCAAATCCCATCCTTCCATTCCCATCATCTCCATTGACGCACAAAAAGAAAACAAACAGAATGGCAGCAGCAGCAGCGCGGAGTAGTGGGCAGAGGGAAGGTGCAGAGTTGGTGTACGGAGCAGAGGAATGCTACCGCCACTCGGTCGAGCTTCTCCAGGAGCTAGGGTTCCCCAAGGGAGTCCTCCCGCTCAAGGACCTGGTCGAGTGCGGCCGGGTCAGGGAGACAGGGTTCGTGTGGATGAAGCTCAAGGCCCCTTACGACCACTTCTTCGAGGCCACCAACACACGTGTCAGCTACGCGGCGGAGGTGACGGCTTACGTGGAGAAGCTGAGGATGAAGAAGATGAGCGGGATCAAGAGCAAGCAAATGTTCCTCTGGGTCCCCATCTCGGAGATGAGCATGGAGGATGCTTCCAGCAAGAAGATCACATTCAAGACTCCCATGGGGATCGGCAAGTCTTTCCCCGTTTCGGCTTTTCTTACCGATGATGAAGATGACGACGTGGCCGCGGTGGAGCAGAAATCGGAGGAAACAATCCATCTGGAAGGCTGAAGATTGTTTTGATTAGCAGATTTGTTGTTTGTTCTAGCTTTGGTTTCGGATTGCATCATTTTTCAGACGCTTTTGCTCTGTTTTTCTCTGTTTTGTTCTGTTTTGTGAGCAATAATTCGGACCTGATCTCTTTTGTCACTCGAACGGTGTCGTATCCGCTTACTTAGAACTTGTGAGTTGACTATGCTTTGTGCTTTAGCGACTTTCCTTTGTCACCCCATAAACCATTCCAGCCAGGTAATCCCAGAGAACCAGTACACTAGGGAAGGAATATCCCTAAAGTTTCAAGCTTTACCTACCCTCCAATCCATTGCTTCGACCCCCCCAATGGCGAAAGCCTGCTGGGGTTCCTTGCCTACTACATTATTCCCAATCCGCAACCTCCGGTACTCTTCAAAACCAATCGCAGCAATCCAAACCGACGCTCCGATGGATGACCACAGCTCTCCTTCTCCTCCCCACCCTTCACTCGAAGTCACCGGCGGCGGCCGGGAGCTATTCCTCCCGGCTTTGAAGACGATTCACCATCCCTACGATGCTTACCCAATCATCGCCTCCAATCGCCACGTGGAGACCATCTTCGCCTCCTTCTTCCGCTCCATACCGGAAGTCAGATTCAAGCGAGAGTGCCTCCGCACCAAGGATGACGGAGCCGTCGCTCTCGATTGGGTTTCCGGCGATGATCGCCAGTTACCTCCCGAATCCCCGGTTCTCATTTTGCTGGTTCGTTTCTTTTAGAGAAAAACACCCCAATTCCCATGTTCAAAATTAATTCCAGGAGGGGGCATTCTTTCTCACCTAACTAGAAAAGAAAAATTGAATCTTTGCAGCCGGGTTTAACTGGAGGGAGTGGCGATTCGTACGTGAGGCATATGCTGATTAGAGCCAGAAGCAAAGGGTGGCGTGTTGTCGTTTTCAATAGCCGAGGCTGCGGAGATAGCCCTGTCACTACTCCTCAGGTACAACCCTCTAATCTCCTTTGCAGGTTTCAAGCAGATTACTGTGTTTATGGACACATTGATGATTGAAGAAAGAAAGGGAATAACTGATGAAATGCAGTTCTACTCGGCTTCGTTTTTAGGAGACATTCGTGAAGTAGTAGCTCATGTGGGTGGCAGATATCCCAATTCCAATTTGTATGCGGTTGGTTGGTCTCTGGGCGCCAACATTCTTGTCAATTACTTGGCTCAGGTAACCAAATGACTCCTGACGATGCTTGTTGTCTTTGCCTATGACAATTATGATAGCCAATGTATTTCTGGGTTTGATTTTGTAGGAATCTGATGAGAATTGCCGCCTAAGTGGTGGCGTGTCCTTGTGCAATCCTTTCAATTTGGTGATTGCAGATGAGGACTTCAGAAAGGGCTTTAATAATGTCTATGACAAAGCTCTTACAAAGTCCCTTCGCAGAATTTTCAAGAAGTAGTCTTTTCTTTCTCCTGTCTTGTTTCGCCTTTTTGTCAGGCAGAGATCTCTCTGGGCGTGGCTGACAGTGGTGGTGACTTTGATCATTGTTTTAGGCATGCACCTCTGTTTGAAGACATGGGTGGTGAGTTCAACATTGAGTTGGCTGCTAATGCCAGGACAGTCAGGGAATTTGATGATGGACTGACACGAGGTATGTCGTGCACATGTTGATATAATTCTTAAGTGCAAGTAAATTTGTGGGATCCGTCTCATTAGCTGATTTCTGTGTGTTTGAAAACTCGGCAGTTTCATTTGGTTTCAAGTCTGTCGATGATTACTACTCCAATTCCAGCAGCTCCGATTCCATCAAGCATGTTCGAATCCCTATTCTTTGCATCCAGGTAACACACTCTTGCAGGCCTTCATTTTTTACTCTTTACGTTGAGGACTACTATCAATGTACTTATCTGAATCTTAGTGTACTGAGATAAACCTAGACGTAGGTGTTTGAGAGAAAAGTATATTCATAGGTTACAGCAACATCGATTCTATAGGAAAAGAAGGTAAACCTAATTAGGAAACATACTCTATAAACAAAGCTATGTTTAGCTTATACGATCTAGTAAGAATGAAAGCCAAGAGATTGATTGAAGAGGAAACTGGTAACTGGGCCAATCTGGTTGACTAATTGCTTGGGTGGTCCTTCGGTATGCTTTGGTCGAACAAATTGCTGTTGTCGTCCCTAGGTATGCTGTGGTCTGTCTAATTGCTGAAGTGGTAGACTGCTTCGTTGCGGTCGACTGGTATGTGGATGATTCCATACAGATTCTGTTTGGTTATGCATCAGCTATTGGTTTACATTATATGTTTGTCTCTGTTAAATTGGCAGGCTGCCAACGATCCAATTGCTCCTGCTAGAGGAATACCTCGAGAAGATATCAGGGTATGTAATAGGCTGTCATTAGTTAAATACTTGCCTACACAGCATTTTCTTATTCTCTTAATCGTATATCTCCTGCAAGTTGTGTGGAACAAGTCAGAAGTCACAAGAGCTGTTTCATGGGTGTTTCTTTCAGGAAAATCCCAACTGTTTGCTAATAGTAACTCCAAAGGGCGGGCATCTAGGGTGGGTTGCAGGTGCTGAAGCTCCATTTGGAGCTCCGTGGACGGATCCCATAGTAATGGATTTCCTGGAACATCTTCAGGGAGCTGGTTCAACTACATCTCAAGTACCTATCTCCATTGGTAACGTCCAGCATCTAGAAGTGTAAGCGAATTCTAGCTCAAAATTTTAGACTCTTGCTAATTGTTAACTTGTATACCAATGAGGTTAATAGTTAATACGATGTAAATTCAATTCTTTCAATGGCGCAAAGACGCATCAGAGGAATTGATTCATTGGTGTGAACGTGATGGCAATATGTGTGTCTGTTGAAAACCAGATGCTCTGGCAAGTTAGTACCTGCAGGCTGGAAGCTATTCCCATAAGTGAAAATAGCAGAGTAAGATTTATATGTTTGGCACTCTTTCCTTCGTAATTTTTTGCGTGTTGAACAAATCTCTCTCATCTTCCAGGGAGACAGCCTGTTGTTTATGATCTTCCATTTGAGAGGCTAAACAACCAATTTTTCTGTTCCTCTTGAACTTAGAACATACTCTGCGTGCGTTTGGAAATCGGTTGATAGCTTGGCACGTCTAGTTTAAATTTGGAGAAATATGTCAAGCAGATTGAGGTTATGGTCGTAACAGTACTAGAGAAAGTGTTAATTGGAGTTCATTCATCAGTTACTTCCCTTAAAAATTGCAGCTTAACAGAAAAGTTGGAACCAGTTGTATATGTGCATTTTAAACTAGTGAAAGCCACAGTAGTTGAACAGTTATAGCTTGGCAGTTTCTCCTAGCAGAAACGACATAACATGATGCATGGGACCTCAGTAATGGACAGAGTAAGAATAAGCCAGAGGGGTGATTACATTAGCTGATGTGGAACGATAAGTTTGTAACAACTTACCAAGTCTAAAAATAAGCAGCCTTTTCTGTCTCAGTAGATCTCAGAGAACCAAGAATTTCAAAGGTGAATAGCTCTCAAAGTTTGAATAGTTCTCATGTGGAGTAGTTGTATATGGATTTGTTATTAGCTTTAATCAAAAGTGAGTATAAGAAGAAGATTTCCACAAGGTTACCTGATTCGCAGGGAGAAATGGCGGCGGTACTGGTACCTACTGGAATTTCTGAGGTCGAAACAGTAAGCCATGATTTGACGTCGCCCGTCTAATCTTGTCTTGCCTTCCACAGATGAACTGGGGGATTACAATAGGCCGGAGTTTCTCCAGGTTGATCGACGACGACGACTCAACAATCCTTAAAGCAAAAGCAATTGGTATCATAAGAACAAAAAACTGAATTGATGAAGTAGAATGAAATTCGCTTTCAGGAACGATTAGGACGTTTACTGTAAATGTTCACGTACACTCCAAAGTGAAACGCAGATAAATGGCATGCTATATATACGCAGGAACTGCTGCAATATCAGATTTGACAGAAGCCGTGTGTAGAAAGCTCCACGTTGATTATGTAATTCAGAAGTTAGCTGATGATGATCGAGGCTCATGCTTATTAGGTAGGTGGGCGGGCGGGATGAGAATGAGAATGAGATGGATGGTAAGATAGAAGAGAGAACGTGGACAAATCGATTCTTATCCTCTCATCTCATGCCTAAGTTGTCCGTACTCGATCGTGTTATAATTATGTAATTAGTTTGTGGGGTAGTTACGTAGCGCAGAAATGGTAAAGGAGCATGCATGTGCAAAAGGAAGTGGAGTTCCATCACCTTTGGAGGTCATTGTCGCCATTATCTATCATCTCGATTCCAAACCCCACAACCAAAACATCGCGACACTCATATACATCCAGCAGCTACTGCCCTGCTGCCTCCCTATATACACTAGTCCTCAAATTTTACAACAAATGAAAAGTACTGATCTCACAGTTCACTACCCGGCCACTTTGCTTTGAGAATCATCGGTGATAATTCATAAACCAACTCGTCCCAATAACCCGAATGGTTGGAAGAGGTCTAATCGTGAATCATATACCGTTTATTAACACACTCCCTCAAACGAAAACCACCATATATGGATTTGAAGTTTGCACAGGTTAGGACACCATGTGCTTAACATGGTAGATGAGTGTCACCGGATTCGAAAAGGAGATCTCTCGATCACAAAAGACTCTAATACAATTTCACAAACCAACTGGTCCCAATTGAAGTGAAACCATAGTTGTGTTTTTTTGGTTGGTCATTTTGCAAGGTGGTTATTTGATATTAGAATAATTGAAGTGAAATAAGTTTCATCTACCTATCAGGTGAAATAAGTTTCACTCACTGGCGGGACTATCTTGGAGATGTTGTTTATTATTGTTTTTCTTCCGTCAGTGTCGTGTCTTTGCTCCTCCGAGCTTCTTCAGAGTTGCCCATGTAGTGGCTTATCAGGCTCTTTCATCGTAGTCTGGTTGCATACGGACTATAGTGCAATTTTTTAGCTAGTGTGTAATTGTGTCGAGTCTTTGTCCCATGCCCTTTAGAATTGTCTTGGATAAATAAAAAATAAAAAAAACTGGTCCCAATTACTCAGAGTTCATCATATACCGCCAACTGCTATAGATCTACGACTACATAGTTCTTTCATCAATAGTAAACTACCAAAGTTCACAAAATCTTTTGTTACACAAAATTTTTAGGATTATGTTACCATTTTTTTGAATAAAAGAGCAACATGTCTATTTTATACGAACGCCAAAGCACGTGAGCATTTTTTTGGATTAATTAGCCAAACCATATCGTGGGCAAAGGAGCCTGCATGCAGGTGCCTCTTGCTTTATCTTTTGATTGTCATCAGTGTCTCGTGGCTCAATTCTTGTCGACAATGTTTTCCTATTAATATAAGTTATCTCATCCCTTTAGCCGTTAGGGACATCCAATGCAATTAGAATGAGACAGGCAGAATTAATTAGCATGGTCCTGCATATAAATAAGAAAATAATACACATTATTATGAAAAAAAAAGAACTAAGTATAAGATTTTCATTTCAAAATTACCACTCTCATCTACGTCTCCATATGCACACATTTCTATTTACTTTGTCATTCATTTTTGTAGTCTAGAGAAGTTTCGTTTGTTCTATTCGTTAGTTCAATGTTATCCATTTCTTATCATCTTTATAACATTCTATTTCGGTTATTTACTACTCCCTTTAAAATGCTTTGGTGATTTTAGTTATATCACTCTCTATATCGATGCATCGTACTAAAAAAATTATTCATGACTTATCACTTATCAGTTATCACTTATTCAACTTCAAAGTGTTATGCTTACACAGTTCTTTGCGGAAAAAATACTCTTTCTATATCTCTCGTGATCACCGGTAACAACAATGTTAATTTTATAAGTCGATTTAAATATTAGATCATCGGAAAACTAATTGTAATTTGTTGGTAGATATGTGTTAATTGATAACAAGAAATCATAGATTTGAATTCCACACCAACAAAAAGGCATGTTTTTTTTTTTTTTATGTGGATAACCACCAGAGGATCCAAAGTAGTGTCATGAACCCACCTCGAATAAAAATGGCTCCACCACTCCATATACTCTCTGGATTTCAATTTGTAAAGGTCTCCAAATTTTAATTAATCAATAAGAGATACTATCGGAAATGATTTTGAGTTTCCATAAGTCTCGGGAAATTTTGCATTCCCAGGATGGAAAAACTTACCTGCATTAGTTTTGTTTCTCTTCTTTGTTTTCAACCCACGGAAGCCAAATTCGTGTTGCCTTTGACCCATTTCGTCAAAGTTTCGCCGCCAAATTAACTACATTGTGTCTAGGTTCACAATCCCATCCCAACAATCGTAAATAAACCGTCTACGTACATTCACTGCTGTACCTGTATGCAGCGCAGTAAAAGAATTCATGCCATTGGGTAAATAAAGAAAAAAAAAAGCACCTGTGTTTGGTAATTATGTCCCTTGATCACTATTTTGATACATCCAAACTATTCTGAATGTTAGTTAATAACTTAATATATGTCTTTCCCAGATTTTATCCTCTAGAGCTTGGTTGTCAAATAAACCACTGGTATGGTAGCCGGTAACATTAGATTCAATTGGTATCGGACAAAAAGTCGATTGAAAGACAAATTGGTATGAAGCAACAAACAAAACCGGTAAAAAAATGTTAAAAATGATAAAATAGTGATGGACAGGAACAATTGATTTTGAGTGAATGAACAAAATGACGTCGTGTTGATGAAATTAACTAACAAAATGAACGAATTCAACTATAAACATTATAAGATGTTGATGTTATCTGTTGAACTCAAGTATAAACGTTTGGATGTTGTATTTAAATATTATAATTTATCTTTTATTTTATTCAAAGATAGATTAAAATTATAGGTAGATTATTTTAAAATATAATATATAAATGTACAATTCATTTGATATTTATAAATTATACCACTTGCTAAACTGGTTTGACAACTGTTTGGTAGCAATATCTCTAGCCTCTAATTAATTAGAAATAAACAAACAAATGCATGGATTCACTTTCCTTGCATCTGAATGTTTGGTAGGAATAATATCTCTAGCCTTTAATTGTTATTATTACTTTTAGGTACAAAATTCAATTACTGATTCTCAATGATTCCAAACCCTCAATAGTGACGGACTCGCTCCAGCCCAAACCTCTACTCCTTACCCGACCCGACACCGGCACGCGCCCCTCTCTTCCTCTCTATATATATAACCAAAAAGAAACCCATCATCGCCACCTCCCATCCTTTCCTATCTAGCTATCTCCCTCCACCAATTTCCCACCTCCACCTTTCCCTTCCTATCTCCCAATCTCAGCATGGCGGCAGAGCCGAGGAGCCACGACTGCGTTTTCCCCGCCACCAAGAAGCGTGGCCAGGACGATTTCGACAGCGACGATTTCTACCCTTCCAAGAAAGCCATGCTGCCCCCCGGCGGCGTCTGGGAGGATCCCGCCGCCGCCCTGGCCTCCGCTCGCCACGAGTTCGGCGAGCACGGCGGCGTCAACATGTCCATCGAGGCCTCCGCCACTTTCACCGTCATGGAGCCCGAGACCATGCGCCGCATGTTCGCCGGCGAGCTCGGCCCCGACCGCGACTTCTTCATCTACAGCCGCCATTTCAACCCCACCGTCCTCAATCTCGGCCGTCAGATGGCCGCCCTCGAAGCCACCGAGGCCGCCTACTGTACCGCCAGCGGTAATTAAAACAAATTTTAATTACACTGTTTTTTTTTTAACCCATCGCATTTAAAAAAAAAGGTAAATAAAACAAAATTTAGGGTAAAAAATTAAAAGGGGTTGAACTGAATTTGATGTGCGGTGGTGGTGGTGGATGGACAGGTATGTCCGCGATAGCATCGGTACTGCTGCAGCTTTGCAGCAGCGGGGGACACGTGGTGGCGTCGAGGGAGCTGTACGGTGGAACCCACGCGCTGCTGAGCCACTTCATGCCGAGGGCATGCAACATTACGACGTCGTTCGTCAACATAACGGACCTGGAGGCGGTGAGGAGCGCCGTGGTCGAAGGGCAGACCAAAGTCCTCTACTTCGAGTCAATATCCAACCCGACGCTCACCGTCGCCAACATCCCCGAGCTCAGCCGCATCGCTCACGACAAGGGCCTCACGGTGGTCGTCGACAACACCTTCGCCCCGATGGTGCTGTCCCCCGCCAAGCTCGGCGCCGACGTCGTCGTTCACAGCATTACCAAGTACGTCAGCGGCGGAGCCGACATCATTGCCGGTGCGTATGTAGGGAAAACCGATTTCTATTACTAATTGATGATATGTTTTAATAATTAATTTGATTACTTGAATTGAGACATGTAACGGTTGATTACATATTGATGACGAGAACAGTAAGATTGGTAGGTGGATTCCTGGAATCGGGACAAAAGTGGCAAGTGATTTTCGTGGTGGGAAACATGTGTAATTGTGTTATGTGTATCGCTTTTTGATTTTGACAGTCCGTCTAATAAGTTGGTTGGGTTGGGTTGGTTACATGTGAGTTTCATGACCGTCTGCTATAGCCCGTTTTGGGCCGGGCAGCTCGTGACAGCATATGATGGCAGGCTCTGGTTTGGCCACATCCGGTTAGGTTGAGTCATTAGTGGGCTTTGTCGTTTATCTTTTGGGAAAGACGTTTGATGGGTACCCACCTGCCAATATGCTCTCTTTGTCAGTAGTTATCGTCACTGATCACACACGTGACCCGTCCAGCGACCTTGGATTTTAGTTACTGTTTGTTGCTCCTTTCGATTGCTTTATTTATATTATTATTGTGCAATAATTATTTTTTAATGTAGGTGCTGTGTGTGGGCCGGCTAGCCTGGTGAACTCGATGATGGATCTGCGCCAGGGGGCCCTGATGCTACTTGGGCCGACGATGAACGCCAAAGTGGCCTTCGAGCTGTCGGAGAGAATCCCTCACTTGGGCCTGAGGATGAAAGAGCACTGCAACAGAGCAATGGTTTATGCGACCAGGATGAAGAAGATGGGCCTGAAGGTTATATACCCGGGCCTGGAGGAGCACCCACAGCACCAGCTGTTGAAATCCTTGGCCAACAAGGACTACGGCTTTGGTGGGCTGCTGGCCCTGGACATGGTGACCGAGGACCGGGCCAACAAGTTGATGAACCAGCTCCAGAACGTTACTCAGTTCGGGTTCATGGCGGTCAGCTTGGGTTACTACGAGACCCTCATGTCCTGCTCCGGCAGCAGCACCAGCAGCGAGATGAACGAGGAGGAGAAGGAAGTCGCGGGGATCTCGCCTGGGCTGATCAGGATGTCGGTAGGGTATGTGGGGACTTTGGACCAGAAGTGGGCTCAGTTCGAGAAGGCGATGTCGAGGATGCCCAAGTAAAAGAAGTCGTCGGGTTTGTGTTCTTGCCGGAGTTGGTAGAGGCATATGTTAGGGTTCTTGATCAGTGACGCCTATGTTGTTCTTGGTCTTTGTAAAATCTGTTGCTTTGAGTGTTCCTTTACTTTGATGTGCTGTTGGACTCGACTCCGGTTTAATTTATCTCGCTATTCCTTTACTTCGAGTGTTTCATTAACGATTCGGTTAATCTTGGGGGTTGGGGACCAATTTGGGAGCAGCTGTTAAAACCGACCAGTTTTAATTTCTTAATGTTGAACCCTTTGCAGAATTGCAATTTTAAATGACTAAAATCACTTGACGTTATCTCCATATCATCCTAATCTCTACGCCAAGAAACATTATCTTCCATAAAAGCTAATATAGAGTATAGACCAAATATAAATCCAAAATCATGGCACATGTTGAAATTGTTCATGAAAACCAGCAAAGTAGCTAACCCACTCACTCACCCAACAGTAGACATCCATCACATATATTGTCATTATACTGTATAATAACATCGGACGCTACAAAACATAGATATATGGATAACATGAAGCTAACCAAACAAACTAGAAGCAACGTGACACATATTTACATTTTGTTTTTTTTTTTGTCTAACACATGCTGTAGTAGTTTCATACTAACTTCAACGTCTTATTTTCACGATTATATTATCGATGATCTCCTGGGCCTCGCCTTCACCACAAGCGGGTTCGACATTTCACACGACAACCTCAATTTCTCGGATAGATCCACCGGGCCGTTCTCCGAACCATTAACCCATTCAAACTCGTGCAACAGCGTGCCGACCCAAAACACGACGGTCGCAAAACCCAGTGCCTTGCCGGGACACGTCCGTCGACCAGCTCCAAACGGAGCAAGCCGCAGGTCGCTTCCCATAACCGAGAACTCGGCCTCCATTCCACCACCGGCCAAGAATCGGTCCGGGCTGAACCTCAGGGGCTCGGCCCATATCTCTGGATCCCTCGTGATAGCCCACATGTTAACCATAGCTGTGGTTCCAGCGGGGACGTCATGGCCGTTTATCGTGGTGTCGGTAGTCGCCAAACGGGCCCATGACAGAAGTGGGCCGGGCGGGTGGAGCCTGAGGCCTTCCTTCACAACAGCTGGTAGGTAAACCATCGATGGAACGTCGGATTCCGCCAACGGCCTGGATTTGCCCACCACACGATCCAGCTCGTCTTGCACTTTTGCTTGGATTTCAGGGTGGAGAACCATTCTCGCTAGTATCCACTCGATTAAAACCGCCACCGTGTCCGTTCCTCTAAATATCATTTCCTGTAAAAATAATAAATGAAATTAACTAATTTATTACGATGTCGATCTCCAGCTTCAAAAAAATATCTGTAACTCCTTTCTGGTCTCATCCCTCGATCCAAATTATCGGTTAGCAATTCCAAAACAGGCGAATATCTTTTTCCAGATTCTATGGTTCAACCATCAACGTCCAAATTCCACCCATCATTAATTATTCACAATTTGAAAAATAGAAATTCGTGGACAGAGCATTGTGTCCAAGAATCCAATCCACGTCAAAAATAGGGTTTCCAAAAGTTTGTGGCACGGTATAATTGTTTTCCTTGAAATATATATATGTGGATGTGGTTTGATGCTAGCTACTATTCATTTCCCCATCACAATAAGCAAAAAAAATATATGAGTAACTAATAGGAAAATTTTTGGTGCTTACCCAGAGGACCGCAACCATATCGTGATCTGACAACTTATCAGGACCGTCCAGCGAGAGCAGAACGTCGACGAAATCTCGAGCGGTTGGTTTCTGAACATTAATGTTGGGCTGCTTTCTGTGTTCCGCGATGATACGGTTCACGAACCGGTTCACTTTTGGGACCAAGTTGGAGCATCTGAACCGGATTCCCTGCAGGTCCAGCCCGGCCAGCCAGGGCAGATGGTCGGACCAGTTGAGCTTCCCTAGCAACTCGTACCCTTCCTCGACCAGTTCCCTCAGCTGTTCAGTCTCGAAACTCGACTCGCCCAGCTCGTATTCACGCCCGAAAACCGAGCACATCATGTTGTTCAGCGAAGCACCTTTCAAAAATTCCCTGACCCGAAACCCCTTCTCCCCTCGACCACCTTGAATCGACGAAACCATCTGGGAAGCGATTCGGAACCTCTGACCCGCGGTCGAACCGATTTGCTTCGGGCAGAACATGTGGGTGGCAGCAATTCTCCTCAGAGTGGTCCAGTACGCACCGTATGGAGCGAACCCGATCGCCCGGCTGAACATGAGCTGGTAGGCCGACTCCTTGACAGGCCGGTCCGCAAAAGCCGAGCTGGTCAGGATTTCTTTGGCCACGTCCGGGTTAGACGTGATGATGACTCGGGTTTCTCCCAAGCTGAAGGCCATGAGCTTCTCGGCCTTGTGACGCGTGGCCGCAGCGGCTAGCTTGTGGTGAGCCAGGTTGGTCATGAGGCTCATGCTTCCCACCACAGGGAGCCCTCGCGGCCCGGGGATGTGACACGTGTTCGACTTCTTCTTCTTCTTTTGGGCTCGGAGACGCAGGGCGCCCCAGGCTGGGCCGCCAGGGCTGGCCCAGTGGTAAAGCGCGATGGCGAGCCAGGCCGTGGAGAGGAAGAGGAGGAGGAGAATGGTTTGGTAGGAGTTGGAGATGGCTTTGCATTTGGAGGCTAGTACTAGCAGCCAAAAGCTGTCAATCTGAGTAGCAGTTTCCATGGAGTAGGGTAGAGGAGGTGGGTGTTTTGTTCTTCTTTGCTTTGAGGTTGTTTCCTTTTATGGTTTGAACTAGGAAGTGGGACGATGGGCTTTATATAGTGGGAGATTGGGGGCCAGCCGGGGATGTTGATGATTATTAGTGTTGTAGGTGTGATTATTGTTCTGTGAAAGTGGGAGGGAAAGTGAACGGTTGTGCCTTGGAATATATAGAGAGGGAGGTGATGAAGTGATGAGCATGATTCGTGGTGAATATTATTGTGGTAATAAGTAAAGGGAAATGGATATTTAGTTTGTGGTTTAATGGGGTGATAAAGATAGCAAGGTGGTGGTGTTGTTGTTGTTATAAACCTATATATGAAAGAATTTTATTGATCTAACTTATGAAAGAAACAGATTTGAATTAGGGTGATACTATTCTATATCAATTTCTTGTGCATCATTCTCGTTGTGGTTAATAGAAGAGCCGCTATAGAGCTATAGTGTTGGAATAACTCCAATCAGGCTTACGTGTTCTGTTTCGATTTCTAGTGCATGATCACCATCCATCCCTGTTTGTGCAGAAGATACATATAGATGAGTTGAAGTGACAGCAATACAATAAGTGTTCTGAAACTGACGTCTCCTGCTTTAATTTGTTGCGCATCAGCTTTGCCGCCGATAGATAGAAGAAACATATTCCATGATTCAGAGTAACAACAACATCATCAGAGTACTAAGTCCTGTAAAGCTTACGTTTCACGTTTCAATCTCGCTTGCGGATCACATTCACGTACGGTGTCTATCCTATTGATTTTGTATCCTAATGCAAAGTTAGCAATCTATCCGTATATGGATGAAGTAGGCAGGCCGCATACCAAATTCAGGCAAAACTGAAATGAAGCTGCAGGGGAGAGGGGGGTGTAGGTAAACACACATATCCTTTACTTAACTTTTACTGTTCATAAAGGTGCAACTGTATTGGTCGAATTATTATGTTATTGCACATATCTGAGATTATCATTTCACTTTAGGAACCATATCTCAAGTTTTTTTCCCTTTTATAATCAGCAACAAGATGGAGTGCTAATGTAATGTCCCTGTCGATCCGTTCGATCGCTAGCGGCTAGTGAGAGTGACCTGTGCTTTTCTTTTTGTTCAATCCAATTATAGGTAAAAGCAAAAACGTGTGATTCAAAGTTGCAGCAGCACTGCAATCCTCTTTCCACCTGTGAATACCCCAAAAAGGCACATGAAGTTTGCTTAACCTGTAATCCGAATCTCCTCTTGTTGGAACCGAATTAACAAACAGAAAACAGCAAATGGGGAAGATGATCATCGTGCATGTGGGATGGTGGTGGAGAGAGGAGATGAGATGATGTCCCACAGGGGCAAAAAGTGAAAAACATAGGACAAAACAAAAAAGGGGAGCTCCATTTTTATGGTGTTTGGGAGCAACTCAAAACCAACTTGAACATGTAGCGGCAAACTTAGATGCCTGCCACCACCGTGATTGGTCCCAGCAGTGGCCGGAGCTGATTGATCGATCGGTCGAGGTCGGAACTGATTTTAGGGCCAACTTGGGGGGCAAGGGAATCGAATCGTCATCATCAACACCAAATAATATCACATCTTAATTGTCTTATAATTGATTGATTACTTATGAATCTAATGACTGTTATTTTCCACAGACAAAAAGTAACTGTTGTGGGTGGGGCTTATCTCATTTGTTGCTAATTAAGGCCTAACCCCTAGCGCCAAATCAAAGTCACGGTCTAACTTCGAGCCAAAGGTTGTCTGTAGAGTTATACGATTTAGTTTGCATTTTGACCCATTTCAGCCTATATAAAAACGAATCCAACTATTTCATTCATACTATTTAAACAATATTACCTACAAAAAAAATGAGATTTAGCTATTCTTTATATTGAGTTGTTCGTCAATAAAACTGAAACTAACAATGAATTGTTAACAATATAATATAAACATTGTAAGTCGTAACAATCTAGTCTCACAAAATCAAACGATTTTCAAATCATTGTCCCTTCGATCAGACTAGTGAGATTAAAGATTTGAGGTTGAGAGATCTGTTGTATTAAGAGAATTTGATGTAAATATTATGTTATTGGTATACTGCGAACATGGTAGATAAAAGAATGTCTATGACTAAAAAGCCGTTTGGTTTTGGTGATAGTTTGGTTGATATAGTTATAATGTTCCTATTGTTTATAATGCATCATTTTTTTTTATGTACAAACAATAACAACATTATTTGCTTGATGTGGCAAAAGCTATTACTCAAAATGAGTAAGAGTTGAATCTCGACAATATAGTTTTGCTAAGATTGTTGAGCTTTATATTTCAATTCTATCTCTAAATTTTTAGATTTGCTATTTTTTCAAGTCAACTTAAAAATGATATTAACAAAACATAGAAAATGAATGCGATACTTATTCAAAATTTAATCGAAACGGATAAGAAGAACATATCAAATCGAAGTTGTGATCCATAATAATTTTAGTATGTTTTATCCTTTTGCGACCTGAAACCCTTTTGTTTGTTTCCGCATGAAATTGCACTCTGTTTAACTGGGCCGCTTTCTTCCAACCACAACCGCATAGAAATTGATTTACTTTTAATAATATTTTGCTATGACGTATAGCAGTTGGATAGATATCAAATTTGGAAGCTCTCGAGTCATTTTATAAAATTTACCAAATGACTTGTGTGATTTGGGCGTATTTGAGGAACGAGGTAGTTTAATTGTGACTTGTGAGGCAAAGGTTCATGATTAGGGCGAATTCCCTTTGGTTATATTTTTTAATTGTTGGATTAAATGATTGATGTGGTTTGGTATTAACATTATGAAAACGATTCATATCTTTTCATATAAAGTTTGAATGTGATTTTTTTAACATTTATGGAGTTTAAAATAAATAATCTTGCAATTATTGAGATTTTTGAAAACGTTGACTATCACTAATACATGATGGAAATTCTTTATAGAAGGAGTTTGATCACCATATTTAGGGTGAAGTAAGATGGAACGGTCAGAAAACAGTAGCTACACGTTAGTTGATGTATTTGGGGTTTTCGACTCTCTTGGTAGTAAATATTTTCAGGATTAACAATAGTCTTTTGATTAAATTCTAGACTTTTTGCGCTATTATATAGCCTTTATGGATATCACTTTTGGCGAGATATTTTGGACAAGTGCGGTTTGAACACATAAATAAAGTGCTTAATTTATAAACTATCAAAATTCTTTTTACAATAAGAAATAATGAGAAATGACTGATGAATATAATCACTATAAACATAAATGAAATTTAAGAATTAAGGAAATACTAAAATAGATAAATTTTTGTATTTCCTTTATATCTAATAATATTTTTAACTAATTTATTTTGGTTTGAAAACCGATGAGGAAGAAAATTTTATTAGAAACTGTAAAGATTATGTAGTACTTTCATAAGACCTTTGCGCTGATATATTAATTAAAAAATTATGTATTTATGCCATAAAAAACGCTTTTAAGGTTTTCCAAAAGCTCAATGTGAAACAAAAAATATTTAAATCAGACACGTATATTTACTCTAGAATATCTCGTGAAGAAATCAAGAAAATACGTTGATGCGTTTATGTATAATTTATAGTATAAGTATATTTTTAGTTTCAAAATTTGAACCCAATATGTAACAGATGTACTCAAAAAATAATTTCTATACGAAAAAGATGTACACCTTTCCATAATTTGATAGTCTGTAATCTATACTTATAAGAAAAAAATATTAAATAGCCAATTATTACTTTGCAAATGATTGGCTATACTCAATCAATCTAGCTACGAAAGCGTGATCTCCAATTCTCCGTAGGGCTACGGCCATAATCATGTATATGCTTAAGCTTATTAATTATGGGAACAATCATTATCATATCGAACCTAGCTATATATGCTATGAATGGGTTGGTCAATACCAAATCAATGTTCTCAATTTTAGTGGATCCCTTTAGGTTCTGTGATGAACCAATAAGAGCCACAGCCACCATCTGTAATTCTGTATATATCTATCTACGATGATTTGATTCCATACAAGTTCCCAAATTCCTTTTCCTTTATGAGTTAAAATATTGCTAAACGGGTGTTGTTAAAGTGAAGGGATGCTCCTTCATTTCATTGGAAGTTCCTTATTCCAACCACTTGCGCCGACAGAGTATATATGGATCTTTGAATAATGTTCCAAGTCATTTTGGTCGTCAAACAAAATTTCAGGATGCTCCGTCAAACGATGTTCTTCACTATCTCTCTCTTTTTCTCAAAATGTACCGTAGAGAAACTTTTGACAAGATATGAGGCCAGTCGAAAAGAGAAATTTGGTTTGATGGTGAGATCTGAGAGAATATTTAGAAAGCCGACATTTGAACTTTTTTAGTCAAATCTATAACATTCGTTCGAGTATTAACAACGGAATGACGTTGATCAGGTGATTAAAGTTTAAATAATTAAAATTGATTGAATTTTTTTTACTTTTCCTCTTTTTTTCTTTTTAATAATTGTTTCGACAATCTTTTTCTTTTTTGATAATTCACCTACACTTTGTACTATATTTTTCCAATTGAAATGTTGGTCCAAAACTCGTAAACTTTCCCCGGGAAATTTTTTTATATGACTTAAGTGAAAATATGGTAGTCACAGGCGGACCGAGGTGCGGGACACCCCTTAAATTTGGGAGAGAAATTAATGAACCCTTAGTAGTGGTTTGAATATGGAAAAAGGGAGAAAAAAATAGCATACGCGATTTGAATGTATAACACGGTAGTTATTAGTAAACATCTTTTCTATTTTACTACACTTCATTATTGTTGTTGTGATTTTGTTATAAATGTCATTATAAATGTATAACCCTTATCTTCAAAATTTTCAAAGCCTAAAAGTGAACCCATGAATTACCCCTAATCCCTGTCGTATTCAAATTTCTAACACAATTTATTATGAAGAGTTTGGTCATATTTCTTATTCTTTTCTTCAACAAGATTTTGAATTTTTTTATCATTGCGTTAAAAATGATAAGTTATATTGTAGATTAAATTAGTTGAGTTGATGCTGGAGATAAAAATTGAATCTAACATATCCATGGGTATATTTGCTCATCAAAATTGTATTGATTTTACTAGTTGCAACTCCAAGTGTCGAGAGATTTTTCAGCTTCGGGTTACATCAAGAACAAGGTTCAGAATCGAATAAACGATCATTTTGGGAATGATTGTCTAGTATGATAAATTGAAAAAGATTTTATGAGCAATATACACAGTAAGCAACACATCGTGGGCTTTTTATTTAGAATTGAAAAACCGTATTATACCGGCGGTTCGACCTGAAAAATCTCCTTCCGGAGGCTAACCAGTAAGCGGTATTTAACGCTATGAAACGGTTAAACCACGGTTTCATCCTAAAATACCCTAGTCCTAACTTTTTCAGTACAACCTCCGATACATTAATCATTGCTTTTTGTTGTAACTTGTAGTGCTAGTCATATATTTCCTTATTTGAGTAATTTTTTAATTTTAATTATTGAAATGGACACCCCTATACAAAATTTCTGGGTCCGCCACTAGTGATAATAATATCATTTCTCCCTTTTATGTCACATAAGCATTCACATGATGTTGTGTTTATGGATCATTTTTCACTTAAAAGCTAGAAAACGATCGATTCAAACCGTCTCATTTTCAACCAGGGCTTGCATTATATATATCATTCCTTTACTTAAAGAGGAGTGTAAACGTGCATTGACAACCACGTAACAGGGCCGGCTAAGAGGGTGTGCCGGCCCGCTCTCCGGCACAGGGCCTCTGAATATTAGGGGTCTCCATTCAGATTCGTTAGTTACCGATCAAATATTGCAGGTTGTTTTTTTAGTGTATGATTGATAGATTAAGAATATGATGACGAATTTAATAGATAATTTTAGCTATAATAACAATTGAAAAGGATCTCGCGTAGAAAACGAAAATCAGAGAGATAATAGATAATTTTAATTTAAACAATAAAGAAAGATATTACATTTTGAATAATGGTATTATAATCAATTTAGTTTTATTATAGTTAAAAGTCAATTTGGATAATGTCTCAATTTTAGAATAGGGCCTACACGATCCATTAGATAGACCCGCACCCACCTCTCGATCAATTTATATTATTTTCATTTCTCCATTCAATTTTTGCTCAATATCCATTTTCTGTTCCCTCCAGATTTACTTTTCTCCCTCCATGCTAGGAGTGAGAATTTGGTCTTGGTTTCTTGGTCAAACAAGAAGTGGGATTGTTTATTCATTTTGAGATCATTTTATCAATGCTGTCAAAGCCGAACCGGAGTATGACCCGGTAATGGAACGGCTCGGTCATTAGTGGTTTAGCCGGCATTAGACCGTTTAAAAACCGTTTGAGAACCGGTACATTATAAACAATATAATATCATAGTAGAACACACATAAAGTAATAATAATTCAATGATTTAATGAGTAAAAATGATAATTACAGGTACCATTTAATAATTCTACACAACATATATATACAACAACTAAAAAAAAACCCTAACCTAATCCTAAGCGACAACGCCGCTTCCCCACCCATCACTCTCCTTCCTTCTGCTTCCCATCCCCCCTCCCTCTCTCCTTCCTCCTCTCCCACCGCTGCACCTATTTTCATTTTTCAGCCACTATAGCCTTCTGCAATTCCTCAAAAATCTATCACCTCATCCTTTCTTAACCCGTAAATGCTCTTCCTCGTCCCAATCCGCGAAATGGCTCGGATTCAATCCAAGCCTCTGGTGAGACAGGGCAGCTTAGCGAGGAGCTGCTTGCGACGGTGGCGACGGGATGGAAGCGCCGGGAGCGGGGAGCTGCTTGCTACAACAAGGACTGGCGATGGCGATGCGATGGTGACTGGGGATGGCGATGCCGGGACAAGAGGTGTTGACGGCCGATTCCACGATTGGCCTTTTTTTTTTAGGGTAAATCAAACGGCCGAACCGCGCGAGCGGCTCGAGCGGTTAACCGCTTCGACCGCTCGCCGGCCGCTGTATAAAACCGTGGCGGTTAAATAGCTGATCCGAGCCGGTTTTACGGGCGGGTGGCGGCTTTGGCGGTCCGGCCGGCCGGCTCAGGTTCGGCTTTGACAGCACTGCATTTTATGAACTTATGTACTTTATAATTATTTAATAAATTTTATTTTTGATAAATTTATTGAGAAAAAAATTAGGGGCCACATGTTCAATTTTCGAACAGGGCCTCCAAATATCATGGGACGGCTCTGCCACGTAATATTTACACAAATACACGATTAAATAATAATCCATTTCTCATTTCTTTTTGGATGCTAGTAAGGTCATATTTATAAGGATAATAACAATGTAATCTTTCTTTCTTGATCTAGTTAGTTTTATGTTTATTTTATATTAAGTGAGAAATGAACGATAAATCAAATAGAAGGTCTATTTAATGAAAATGAGCAATTGCAGTTAAAAGGATTACGAAAAAGTGCAAAAACAACATAAATTGAAGACTGATTAAGGGAGGTAGTTTGACGGTAGTCTCTTCTTTTGAAGTGAAAGCTAGACATCCCAAAATTTCCCAAAAATATGCTGTATGGGAAGCCATTGCGATTCTTCTCACAATAAGCAAAGATTTTATTCTCTCACCAACACAAAGAGATTTTCTCCAGCAATTTAATAATGTTCCAACTTGGAGCACCTTCAAGTCTGTTCCACTCACCACCACCATCTTCAGTCTTGTGCTATTATGTTATGTATGAAGCAATTGGTTATTCAGTCATCTCTGCATACGCCACTCGTATAGTGGTCGGAATTAAGAGGATGCGGAAGGAAGAAACAATACAAGTAGCCAAGTAAGAGGAGCTCTCGTATAGTGTTTCTAACTGATGGGGAAAAAATCCCCATTTCTAATTCGAAACAAAACAAGACAAAGTACATAATAAATAAAGGATGTTAACTAGGCAGATACAACTCTTAAACATCGTTGGATACATGACATGCTCTCGCACCACCGACACGCTTACCTCTTTCTTTAGCGTCATTCTCTACTCTAATGAGACGTGCGTGTTACGATTCTTCATTGATTTTCATTATGTTCCACATGTTATTGATTTTAATCGCTTTGAGTTTCTACTCCCCAACCACAATATTATGAGTTAATGATACTTTGAACCCTTTTCTCATTATTAAAAATTAAAAAAAGCATGTCAAAATGCAGCATCCAGCTAAAAAGCACTGATTTCGGGCCTGCCTTTGGCCTTTCGGCATTAACGTGAGGTTGCTTAATTAAACTATCTCTCTCTTTTAAATTTGCAGCAAAGCATTGCTAATGGTAGTGGATGATTGGGACGTGCGTGCATGTAATGAAGGCCATAATCATATATTGCAACTTGCAAGTTGGATAGATCGATAAAGCCTTGGAAGATGGTGCAAATTATTGTTCCCTCCCCAGCGCCACAGAGCATACGCCCAAATCCAATCACTGACTACATACACAGAATAGAACAGAAAAGAACGCCTCTCCATCCATCCCCTGTTTACTATATCTATATAATTATAGTACGTGAACTGTGTATTCATCCTTTCGGCCCCTAGCAAGCTAGGCTCCCTTTCTCGTTATTCCTTTTCACTTTTGTTTTTCAGTAAATTATTATCTGTGCTTTCAATTATGACAATATCTGAGTTCCAGAGCTGATTTATCGTGTTTGAATATATGTAATTGGATTTTTTTTTTTTGGAAATAGATTTTTTTTGGATTTAAAATACACGTTGTCGCAACCGTCCCGTCCGGGGGGTGCGAATGTCGTCGCGTCGGCATTTTTTGGGAGTCGCCATCGATCTTAGTTGGAGTGGATCGAACACTCTTAGGATCGGCTCTAACCTTAGGGTCAGAACCGAGATATGGTCTGCGAAAATGAAGTTCTGGGTTCGGGAGTACGGTTACGTGTAGGGAAGTTAAGCAACACCCCCACAACGCCCTAAATCGGTACTACTTAAGTCGATAATTTTTATACGAGTTGGGTGTATTTTAGTAATAATTTGTAATTTTAGGGGTCCCACTGGACCATTTAATGATTTAATCATATTAGTTGTAATTTAATTATACGCCCACTGACGTAAAAATTTAAAGATAAAGTTAGTTGATTAATTGGACTCGAACCTTATCGGTTGCCTACGTACCCGTAAGACGGGATCAAAGTCCACGTAGTTCGCTAGAACTTTGATAATTTAATTGTAATCACGTTCCACTGATCATGATTTTCGTATTATAATTTTGTTAATAATAAAAATGCATTTAGATTAACATGAGGTTATGATGATAGATGCAAGTATTTTAGTTATTAGGAAGTATTGTGACGTATTGAAAAAAACGAGATAAACTTAATCCGCAATTCTACATTTCGTATTAAGGATTTTGAAGGAATAAAATTAAGCGGAAAGGTTAAATTGACGGATGATGGGCCAGCAGCCCAACTGGTTATGCTCCCAAGCATAGTGATGTTGTTGTTGGGGACGCGGGTTCGAAGTCCGCCAGCCTCATTTTTGTTTCGTCGCTTTTTGGTTTCAGAGAAAGGGGAGGGGCAATTTCGTAGTTTCACGAAAACGCGGTGGCAGGGCCGCGTAATAAGCTGAAAACCCGTGGGGCATTTTAGTCATTTTAAACGATGGGGTATATATAGTCTCTAAAAAAAACCCTAACCTATTAACCAAAATCGGCCGCCTCTCTCTCGTCTCTCTATCCTTCCACTTCTCTCTTCCTCTTCCAGAATCAGACCAAAACCTAGCCGCCTCCCTCTCTAACCCTCGCCTCTCTCCCTCTCGTTCTCATCTTCTCCAGAGAACCCTAGCCGCCGCACTCATCCCTCTCTTCCCTCAATCCTCGTCTCTCTCTCTTGCTCAGAGAAAAGAAACCCAAACCCTAGCCTCGCTCAAGGCGGCCGCCGCCGCTCTCCCCTCTCGTCCCTCGATATGACGAAGGTCGCTAAAAAACGAGCGGGAGACCTTCGATCTAGGTAAGATCATTGCATGCAAGTTTGTTTTTTTATTTCTGGGTTTTTGAGCGAGATTCTAACCTTTTCTTGTTTTTCTTTCGGAGATCGATCCAAAACCGAGGAGGGGGCCTCGATTTGCCTTCTAATAATCTCGATCTATCATTTCTAGTTGGAACAGAGGTGGCGACGAGGAGGTTTTACCCTCTGGTAAGCCCTTTTCTACATGCATGTCCATTTCGTTCGATTTAGGTGATTTTATTTGGGGTTCGGCTAATACTTGTTTCATTTTCTTTTGTGTTTTGGATTTGATCGGCGGCGAGATCCTGCCGACCACGATCTTCGTCTAAAAAAAACAAAAGAAGGGTAGGTTTTCGACTCCTAAATTTATTTTAATCTCATTTTTATTATTAACAAAAATAATTAATTTAGTTCATTCTTTTTTGTAGGTTTGAAAGAGAATCCAGATCTGGGTAAGGCTCTTCAAACTTCAGATTTGGTATGACTAAGGATAATTAAACTAAATAAACGGATTATTATTGTTGATTTGGGATTGATTAGCAGATCTGTGGTTTGGAAATATGATGTATATGGTTATGATGACATCGGATTTTATGCTTTGCGGTTTAATCGATGGTTTTAGGTTAAACTATTAACACGCTAGGGTTTGCTGATAAGAAAAGGTTTTTTTAATAGAAAAGTAACTAACATAATTTTGGCGAGTATAACTCTCACCCTCTACATGTGATTTTGATAGAAAAGTGAACTAAATCCATTACCACTGCTTGTGATTTCGGGTAGGTTATGGACAATGATACTGCTACTGCACGTAATTTAATTCAAACATTTTTTTTGACTAATTTGGAAACTGATAAGAGTTTGTGAATCGAATATTATTGTCTTTATAGTTGCCATAGATCTGGATTTGATTTTGTTTATTGTGTATGATGATCTAGTGTTTATCAACTATTAATCTAAAAGTGAATATGACGACATAGTATAAGATTATAAGAGACTATCAATTGATGAGAAGAGTAAACAAGTGCTAAATTGGGAGAAGCTTAATGACATCACTACAAGCACATATTAAGAGTGCTTGGATATAAAGTGGATTGTAAAGTAAATTGCTTGAGTATAAATAGGCGAGCTGATGGATGATTATAATGATTGCAATGACTTGATTAAAAATGAAAGATGGAAGTTGATACTAGTACTAACCTGAATTTCTAGGCCTAAGAATGGCCTTTTCCTGAATCAATCTTCAAATTCGCTCCTTCAATCTCCAATGAACTTCGGCTAAGAGCCAGAACCAAAAACCGTTTGGAGTGTCAATATTTCTCTTTTTTTGTAGAGTTTTTTCTTCTTCCCTTCGTCTCCCTCAACAGAGAGCCCAATGAGCTCATTTAATAGCAAAACTATCCGCCACGTGTCACATGATAATTTGCCGTTACTGAAGCTGAAACTAGCGTGCTTCCTTCTGATTGGTCGAATTTTATGGCTGAACCTTAACCCTCCACCTGCAAAGTCGGTTGCTGAGTGGCTGTGTTGGAGAGCTCCACCTTGCTTGGTCGGCTCTGACTTGTCAGGGTATGGATAGGGTTGGCATATGATTTCGGGCCGAGCTGGCCGAAATGGGCCTAGAGATGTTTGAGATTTGGTCTTCTTCTGGGCTCGAAATGGGCTTCTTCCAGTCTTTCACTTGGGCCAAACTGGGCTCTGATTCTTGGTACTGATTTATGGGCTTGACCTTGTTGACTTTGAATTCTAGCTTGGGCCTGTCTTGACTGATTTTCTTTGATTTTGCAGGCTGCTTTTGCTGGTCTGGGCTCCCCGGTTATGGGCCATGCTTGGATTCTTGATACGAGAATAGGAGTAGATTGTTTCCTTTCAACTTGTATCTTGTATTTGAGGATGATAGTTGTACAAATTGAAATTTCTTGTAATGTTTGATAATTGTGGCGATCTTTTATTTTTCTTTGTAGAGATATTCTTTTAGCCTTTACCATCGAGCTTTGAATAATTCTTTAATACGAATCCCTAAACATGACCCATATCGCTCCTTGATTTGTTTTCATTAACCAAGTTTACTGTGCCACGCTTCTCGATTGAAAGTGGAGTTTGATGTTTCTATGATAGATATCAGACCGGACAAAATGTGGTGTCTACAGTTGCCCCCCTTTGTATATCTCTTTGTATAAAGAGTTATACAAAGTTCTTATAAAGACACCATATTTTGTAAACTCTGATGTCGATTTTGTCATACATCCAGAAAGTGATGCTTGATTGTCGTAAGAATTGCTGGTAGTTGTTTGTGTTTGCATTGTGAATGCTGATTATGCCGAGATCACATTTTTCTATAGCGTTTGCCAACGCGAGTCTTATGTTTATGCATATTGTTTGCCAATGCGTGAAATTGCATTTTTATATAGCGTTTGCCAACGCGGAGACGTATTTCTATAGCGTTCGCCAACGCAGGAATGTATTTATATATAGCGTTCGCCAACGCGGGAAATTACATTTTTATATAGCGTTTGCCAACGCGGGAACGTGTTTATATAGCGCTCGCCAACGCGGGGACGGGTTTTTATAGCGCTCGCCAACGCAGGACGTGTTTATATAGCGTTCGCCAACGCGGGGACGTATTTCTATAGCGCTCGCCAACGCGTGGACGTGTTTCTATAGCGCTCGCCAACGCGGGGACGTGTTTATAGCGTTCGCCAACGCGGGGACTTAAGGTTTTCTAGTACGAAATTAGATGCGATATTTTCTTGGATCTTGGTAGACTTTGAAAGTTGAAACAGACAACTTCTGAGGTTCTGATGAGATGCTCAATGCATGTGTAAAATAAAGATGCACTTGTTTTTTTTAGAAATGACAGTATGATGTATCATGTTGAATAATGATGTCATGAACGTAAAATACATTGTTTTAGTTGTTGGTCCTGGGTTTCTTTAAATCGATCATCCGCCAGGAATTTTGTCATCGTCTTTGGAAGACTTGATCGTTAGTTGAGATCGAAACTCGATAGTGAGAGCTCTTGGGTATCCGCCTCTATGGTGCAGAGGTAGGGATATTGGGTACTTTGTTGCTTTGGTGCATGATGTCTGGGAAACCCAACCTCTTAGGCTTAGGGTTTGGAATAATTAGCTCGGCCAGGGGGCACTGCCCTTGGTGGTATTTGTTGCAATGTAAGCGATATTTGCTTGGTTAAGAAGATCTATCATCTTGAGGTATGTCTTGTTAGGATTGGCTTTTCATAATATACTTTTGATTGAGCCTATCTCGGATATAGGGAACCCTGAGGTACCATGTCGTTCTGTCTTTCTTTCTTGATGCCCAATGTAGGTCACGTGGGTCTCTTATGAGGTTGTCTTTCTTGGTGACAGAGTATATTGTGCTTCTTCTTGTCAGTATGTCATCCAAGAAAAATTTAGCTGACCACCTGGTCTCATGGAACTTGAGTGTCTCCGAGTTCTTCAAAATTTCTTCATAAATAGGGGGCTGAAAGTTGAGTAGTCTAGCTACTTAGTCCCTTGAACTTTCTTTAAGTTACCCCCAATTTGCCCCCAAGGATATCTTACTCATTTTCCATCTTCCGGAGCGAAGAGTGATTTTTATCATCCTCGACTTGGGATAAATGCAACAACGTGTGAAAATAACTTTGTTGGAGTAACAAAGTGAAAACTCATTTTTAGATTGTAAAGCTCTTGTTTAAGGTAGTGTGTGCAAATTGAGCAAATACATTTTCTCACGTGACTTTTGCCATAAATTTTGTTTTCATAATGCTCATAATTGTTTTTGTTTCAAGAAGAGTGCAAATCGAGCCATGAGAATATCCGTGATCTCTCACTCTCGTCCTTGACCTCTTTTCCACTTTCACTCATTCCTATGGATGTTTTAAGTTTACGACACTTCGACTACTATCAAGATTCCTGTCACCATGAGATGACTCTGTCTATGTTGACGGCCACATGAGCTTGAGGTTAAGGTTTTTCTCAACAAGAGAGCTTTGTGTGGTTGATTTAGGTGATCTCATATGGTCTCGTCGTGGAGGTATATGATTTTTCATGAAATGAGGTTATTGGTTGATTTTGACTGTGGGATCTTCTTATCCTGAAATTTTTACTGTCCTGTAGCAGGGTTGAGACAATGATAGAAGGAAGATCTTTGAGAGATTTTGGCCATCTCATGACTTTTGTCGAGAAATTTTGGCTTTCCCCCAAAGATATGTGGCTAATTGATGGGAATAGGGGATTCGTATAAGGTCTGTAGTTTCTCTCATCGAGGAAGTCTTTCTTTTTCTTGGAAATGTTGGTGGTTTCCAGAGAGTATATCTATAGCTTGTATTGCCCTTTTTTCTTAAAATATTGGTTTTGAGAGGCAAGAATGAGTAGGAAGCAAATGAACTCTTGCTCCAACCCAGAATGGTATGCTGAGGAGTTCTTTTGTGTAGTGGTAGTGACTGCATGGTTTTTTTCTTATCACGTAAGCTTTTGCTTGAGCTTCTTCCTTGGATATTGGTTGGAAGATCTCTTGGTTGAGTGGTTATGACTTTAGATAACATAGAAAGGGGCATCTAGTTGTAAGTCCCACAATGTTTTGTTGTTGTTGTTTCCCTTTTGAAACTTTCACGTTTGTGGGACTTGCTTGACTTTGTTATGCCCCTACGTATTTTACTAAGTCTTCAACTGAACTTTGTGGTTTTGGGCACGATCACAAAAGGGTTATAACTTTGTCTTGATGGCTGACAACATGAGTGTCTCTCTTGATGGCTGGGCTAATTGGATGGTTTTTCAAACACTATTTTGTTGACGAGATTCGGCTAAACGTGACAGGATTCTTAAAATAGCCTGATGTCGTATCCCCACTACATCCCTTGACTATCATCTCACATGATTTACGGACACCAGTGGGGTGTTTATATACTCAACATAAGTTGGCATTTTGTACTCTCAACACCCGTGGGGTGTTCAAAATCGTGACACCAGTAGGGTGTTCGTAATCTCTCAACACCAGTAGGGTGTTCATAGTTGTTTGGTATGATAATCCCATGGCTTAACTTGAACACATGAAATTGGTTTATGATTTATTTCAGAGAATTCAAGTCAAAATTTGTGAAATAGATTTTTATTACTTGGAAAGATAGGGACCATTGATGGGAAATCCGAAATCGAGATTGATAATGATCACGAAATGCTCCGAGAAGGTAGAAACATGAGTAACCTTTTATTTCTCATGATGAAAGCAAAAGGTGATACATTTTTATCGTGGCGAGCTATCTCGATATTTATTTGAGGTTATGCTTATTAACTTCCCCGAGTCTGCAGTAGGCTGTTGTTGACGTGTAAACGATCTCCTCTTATTCAAACTTCAACCATCCGGCATTCACCATGTCTTGAACCTTTATCTTCAGAGCGTTGCAATTTTCCACTGAATGCCCTTGGACTCCTGAATGGTAATCGCAATGCTTGTCGAACCTATACCACCTTGGAAATGGAGGTTGTAGAGTCTCACCCGGAATAGGAGTGATTAGATGATCATGGAGTAATCGAGGGAAGAGTTCGGTATACGTGACCGGGATGGGGTCAAATACCCTTTTTGCTTTCCTTGTGATACTAACATCTCGATTGGCACCTTGTCGTGGTATTGGTGTGGGATTTTGGATCGTTGATTTCATGAAGTTTGGAGGTTGCAATATTGGTGTGGTAGTTGCAACATATGGGAGGGCTTGATTATTTTGAAAATTGCTTTTTCGTGTTTTCTCTTTTGCTTCTTTGTGGGATGAATATACCTCTTCTTCCTTTCTCTTGTTCTGGCTTAGTCTCGCGAAGCCTTCTGGTATTTCCATCTTGCCTTGTCGGATCCCTTTTTCTATCCTTTCACCGATTATCAAAAGATCGACAAAGTTAGTCGTGGTAATTCCTACCATGTTGTTGTAGTAGGGAGGCTTGAGTGTGTCGAAGAAGATTGACACCATTTCTTTCTCCGATAGAGGAGGTTGAACATCTATAGCTTTTGTTCGCCACCTGTGGGCGTATTCACGAAAGGATTCTTTCTCTTGTTTTTCCATATTACGCAAGTCCTCCCTGTCTGGAGCTAAATCTTGGTTATGCTTATAGTGTCTGAAGAATGCATTAGCTAGATCTTGCCATCTCTTGACCTTTGATCTTTCGAGTTGCATGTACCATCTTAGAGCTGGACCACTTAAGCTATTCTGGAAGCAATGTATCATCAATTTTTCATCCCGAATATGGTTAGCCATCTTGTTGCAATACATAACCATGTGGCTTCTGGGGCAAGTAGCACCTTTGTACTTTTCAAATTCTGGCATTTTGAATTTGTGAGGTATTATCACATCTGGGACCAGACATAATTGTGATGCATCTGTGGACCCGTATGACTCTGTTCCTTCTATAGCTCTTATTCGTTCATCGAGTCGTTCAAGTTTTTCTTTTGATGTGGCATCGATCACAGTTTCTTTTAACTTCCGTCTCCCTTGCGAGTCATCAAGTTTTGATGATCCAATTTTGTCTTTATCAAGCTTCTCGTTTATGGGTATACTGATGGATTTCTTGCCCGAATTGCCCCCATTATGTGGCTTGCCATTATCGTCATTGTAAACTGACATTTCTTCGTCATTGGTTACTACCTCTTTCTTCTTTGCTGACATCATCCCTATAAGCAAATTTAGTTGATTTTTCACCTTGTCGACACCTTCTAGCTTTTGATTGAACCCAGATAGCTTTTCATCGAATCCGGTCAACTTTCCTTCAACATCGCCGATCTTCTTCTGGAATGCCTCCATGATGAGCTCAACCTTGGATCTTGTCAAATACTTAAAGACTTGACTCTCTTTCCTCGTGGATGAATGATTTTAGAAACCCTGAACCATCTTAAAACTGACCAATTATTTTTCATTTTTATTATGGGTATGTATGCATGATGCTTATGCAAATGTTAATGATGTATGAATGCAAATTTATTTCTCATCATGCATGCATTTTTATCTTTTTATGATAAATTGTTAATGAGTGAATGAAAATCTTATGAGAGAATGATGTTTATTAATTTTGAAAACGTTTTTCATTCATGCAATCACACAGTTTTACGAGCAAAAGATAAAACGCATATCATTACGTCGTAAGTAAACATACATTTAGATAAGCAAACATATATCATTACATCTTTACCCTATTTAGGTTTACCTAGGGTTTTCGGATGGCGTACCGACATGGTTTTAGGGTGGCTTTGGGGATTGTTTTGGATGGTCGAGGGTAGCTTCGAAGTTTACTATATGCTGGTTAAGGAATTCCTAGGGATTTGGCGAGCCCCTCCCGTGAGGTATTGAATGGTAGGGGCGCTCCTCAGCTCCCGTGCGTTGTTGACTGATAGAGGGGCTCGCCAGCTCCTGTGAGGTTTTGATTGGTTGGGGCGCTCCTAAGCTCCCATGAGGTATTAAATGGTAGGGGCTCTCCGCAGCTCCCGTGAGGTATTGAATGGTAGGGGCGCTCCTCAGCTCCCGTGCGTTGTAGCTATGTGAGATGTTGACTTGTTCCTATGACTGTAGGGAAGACTTTGGAATTTGGTTGCCCGCTTGCGATATGCAGAGTGGGTGTAGATTTATTCCCATGGCGGTAGAGCAGACTTGGGATTTTGGTTGCCCCCTCGCGGTATGCGGAGCGGGGTTAGGTTTTCTGCATTGTCTGTGATAGTCGACGAAACAAGTTTTAGAAGGAGGGATCTCATTTGCTCGTGAAAGCCGACGAAGCAAATTTACTTAGTTATCTAAACTGCCCGTGATAGTCGACGAAACCAGTTTAGCATGAGGGTTTTAATTTGCTTGTGATAGTCGACGAAGCAAATTGACTAGGTTTTCTAAATTGCCCGTGATAGTCGACGGAACGAATTTAGTATGGGGGTTTTAATTTGCTCGTGATAGTCGACGAAGCAAATTGACTAGGTTTTCTAAATTGCCCGTGATAGTCGACGGAACGAATTTAGTAGGGGGGTTTTAATTTGCTCGTGATAGTCGACGAAGCAAATTGGCTAGGTAATTTTTATTGCCCGTGATAGTCGACGGAACAAGTTAAAAAGATGGTCTAATTTGCTCGTGATAGTCGACGAAACAAATTGTCTAGGATTTCTAAATTGCCCGTGATAGTCGACGGAACAAACTTAGCAGGGATCCAATTTGTTCGTGATAGTCCACGAAACAAATTGACTAGGTAATTTTTAAATTGTCCGTGATAGTCGACGGAACAAGTCACAAAGATGGTCTAATTTGCTCGTGATAGTCGACGAAACAAATTGACTAGGTAGTTTTTGTAATGTCCGTGATAGTCGATGGAACACGTCTATTAGAGGGCTCGCGATTGTTCGCCCGCACCGATATCGTATGTTCATGGTATTTGTTTAGGACATTCCTAAACTGTTGTTATGGCTTGTCATAAATGCACGTGAAAGCTAAACATGAGACTTGAAGAATTCACATGAATGTAGTTGTTGTATCTTGTAGTGATTCCTTTTTACAAACATTGGAAATCCAACTAAATGTATGAGTTATTTTGGGAATTGCTGGCAATAAATGCATGACCCATTTTAACATATGATGTTGTTTAAGGAGTATCAAAATGATTTTCGAAATTGATTGCGTGACGAATCACACCGATGAAGTCGTGAATGTTGATTGAAAAGAAGATGTGATGCATTTGATAATCTCTATGCAATTTTTGCCTGGGTCTCCTTTAAATTGCTCATCTTCGAAGATTGTCAATCCCTTTCGATCAACTTGATCCATAGTTCATGCTAATGCTGAAGCGATTTTGAACTTGTTGTCCTGAGGTATATCTTCTTGGTGGTAGTTGCACGAAGATATACTTTGTGAGCTAAGGTAATGATGTGTTTTATCTCTGTTCTTCTTGTGGGTCAAGTTTGGACCCACATATTTCGGAGTTGCGCATATCTTGGTATGTGCAGTATATTGGTTCCCTCTCCTTCTGACCCTGAAGTTTAAGGATAATAAGTTGGATGGTTGGTTTAATGAGATTTGAATGTTCTCAAATCCCTTGAGATTTCTTCATCAGCTCATGAGTGAAGTTGAATAATCTGATTCTTGGGTACTCAGACTTCCCCTTCTTCCATACTGCACCGTTTTTGCCCCCCAAAGATCTGTTGCTCACTTTCTATTCTCCAGAACAAAGAGTGACTTTATCAATCTTGACTTAAGATGAATGCAACAATGTTTGAAAATGTTTATTGGAGAATTAATAATGAAAGCCATATTAAGACTTTGCTTTCGTGAAGTGTGTGCAAATTGGGTAAAATCGTTTTTGTGTGGTAGTTGCCGTGTGGTCAAATTTGATTTTTTCAATAAAAGAAGTGTAAGTCAAGCCATGAGAATATCAGTAAGCCCTCACTCTCACTCTTGCTTTTGATTTTGCTCGCTCTCACTTCCACTTTTGGTTCCGCTCACCACTAATTCCTATAGGTGATTTGAGTGTACGATATTTCAGCTACCATTAAGATTCTGGTCACCTTGAGATGTCTCATTTTATGTTGGTGGCCAACTGCGTTCCTTGTGCAGCAACGTGGAAGACCTTGGTGTGATTGATTTAGGATACCTTCCTATGGCTTCGTTGTGGACGTTGGTTTCCCATGAAAGGGGTTTTTGTCCGATATGACTTTGATGGTAGGAGTCTTCTTGCTCTTGAAGAGTGGTTTATTCAGATGGGTGATGGATAAGTCATATCTTGATCTTACCCATATAAGGCTTCTCGTAAAGGGATTTTGGCTATGCCCCCCAAGTATGGTATTGCCCTGATGGGTTGAAAGCCACTATTATCCCAGACATTTTGTTGATGGAGACTTGTTCAAAAATGTAGGGAGTTCTGGGCATATTTGGGGAGTTTATCTTCAACTGGTCTTGCCCCCTGTCTTTGAAATTATGGTTTATGAGTCGAGGGTTGAGGTTTTTGCCAATGCAATTTGGTTATTGACTTGTCGAGATTCTTGATTGACCTCTAAATGTTGATTATGGTGGAGTTTCAACTTCTGACTTGCTCTCAAAATGACGAGTACCTTGAATGATGTGATTTTTTGCCAAAGGGCTTTTTTATCATGGAAGACCGTGGCTTGAGGTCATCATACTTTCTTTGTAAGACCTTGACTTGGTGCATGCGGTTGATACTTGAAATGCTAACTAGGGGCACCTAATTTGTAAGTCCCACAACATATTTTCTATTTTTTTCACTTATTTTCTTGTTTTTTTTTTTGTGGGACTTACTTGGCTATGCTATGCCCCCATCTATGCTTCTCATTTTTCTTAATTCTAAAATTTGTTTTTCTTGACACAAGTATAAGAAGGCTGAGGGTTTGTCTTGGTGATTGAGAATGTGGGTGCCTTTTGCTAGCTAGCCTGATTTGGCTATTCCCTTCCCGAAGAAGCGAGATTGCTGGCGTTATGTGCTTGTTTGTATATATAAGTGTTTCGTGCGTGTGATTCCTTGGTTTGCATAGATTGCATCCTTGAACTCCTTCAATCCACTAGTCATGACATTCAGTGAGAAGTTTCCTATCCATAATGTTGAGTCCCCTGTGTATCGCTGCACTGGGATTTGGCTATTTGACTTCATATGAACGGAGTCTCAACCTGTTAGCAAAAGTCGACTACAGTGGCAACAAGGCTCTACAAGTAGCGTGATGTCCTATACTCGTTACACCTTTTGACTATTAATTTTGACTCTCAATTTTATATGAACTCAAGTAGAGTGTTCATACTCTTAATGCCAGTGGGGCGATTAAGCTCTCGACACTAATGGGGTGTTTAAAATTCTCAACACCAGTGGGGTGTTCGCATTTTCTTAGCATGACAATCTCATGGCTTAACTTGAGCATGAAACTGGATTTTGACGGGTTTCATTTTTGTAGATTTTTTTAAAAAACATCAGAAGTGGTATTCACTATTTTGATTATGAAAACCCATTGATGCAAACTCTAAAATTAAGATTGATAATGTTCACACAGTGCTCCGAAGAGGTCGTAACGCGAAAGACCTTTTATTCATGACGGTGAAAGCAAAAGTGATACATATTTTGTTATGGCAAATTATCTCGATATTTTATTTACTAGATAGGATCAACATCATCCTTCAATCGAGCTTTGCCTTGTAACATGCCTACTAATTCTCATGAGTTGGCAGCGGGTTGTTGCTGACGTCTGGGGACTTAGGATCTTCTTCAAACTTTAACCAACCAGCTTTCATCATTTGTTGGACTTTGATCTTGAACATTCGACAATCTTCAGTTGAGTGTCCCGCTACTCCTGAGTGGTAAGCACAGTGTTGATCTGACCTGTACCAATTTGGATATGGAGGTTTCATTGGCTCACATGGTATTGGGGACGAAAAGGAAAAAAAGAGGACAGAACATAAAATGGGGAGGTTTTCTGGTTCTTTCTTTTGGTTTGGAGGAGTTGATTTCAATTCGGAGGTTTGCGAGATAGGAGCATAAAGCGGGGGTTTCTTAGAGTCAGAAATCCCAACAAGGTTAGTGTTCGTAATCTCGATCTTCGTTTTACTAACAATCCATCTGCTTTGTTGCTCATCTCCATCAGCTTTATTTACTTAATTGAGTTCGTTTAAGTTTATCCATCGGTTCAGTTTCTATTTAAGCAATATACTACTACTGCAATCTGCATATATGCGATTTATTTCAATTGAGCACAGTTTATGCAGCAATAAACTTGTACCCCCTGTCTAAATCCGTTTGCTCAAGTTACCATCATTAGCCTAATCTTTTGGTAAAGATCATGTTGAACTTTAGTCAAATTTCAATTTCTTTTAAGAACATATAGCTTAAACCAACATACAGTTTCAATCGCCAAGATTTCATAAACAGAAACAAATATGATTTTCGTTTTAAAACCAAATCCAACAAAAACACCATAAACGCACTAAATTTCAGATTTCAAACCATTGCAAAATCACAAGCAGAGGCAGTGATTTACAATTACCAAAAATAGTGATTTTTGAACTTCTTAATTACTTTCCCATAAATAATTTTTTTTTTTAGCAAATTCTAGCATCCAGGAGTTACTTCTAAAACCATCAACCAAACCACCAAGCATGAAAATATTCGAGATCATCAAACACACATACAACATATTTCCAAACCACAGATTTACAAACCAAATCTAAACCGAAACACAATCCTTTCCTTTTTTAGTTCAACCACCCCAATCATATTAACCCGAGTTTAGGACAACCTTACCCAGATCTGTCCATTTCCAATAACTGCATCAAAACAAAAGTAGAGGTCAGAATAGATTAAAGAGGTAATAAACCTAAACAAAAATAAAATAAAATTCTCACCTGACTTCGCCGACGGAGATCTCGGCGGCCAAAGAGTCCCTCGTCCTCCACCCAACCGAAATAAAAAATTTATTAAAACCCAAAATACGAAATAAAAAAAACGAATAAACCGACGAAAAATTAGTCCGAACCTACCGTCGACCGTCCCTTGGTCTGGACGTCGCCGCCGGTCTTCGCCCTCCTTCATCCCTCGTCCAACACCAAAAACCCAAACAAAAATCAAAATTAAAATCACGTCTTGTGTAAAAAAAAAATTTATCTAAGCGTGCATGTTTAAGAGAAACTCACCGAGAGAGTAGGAGGAGGTAGATCGAAAAAATCCCCTCGGTTTGGGACGTTTTCTCCAGAAATGAAAAAACAGAAAATTAGTAAATTTGGAACAAAAATATAAAAAAAACAGAAAATAAGAAAAGGGTCATGCATGTCACGGCTTCACCTAGATCGAGAGTCTTCTGGTAATTTTCGAGTGACCGACGGCGGTATCCCCGCCTGTTGCTGCTGTAGTCGGCGGCGAGACCCGATGCTCGTCTCCTCTTCCGCTCGCTCAAATAAAAAACAAAAAAAAAAACATCAGAAACCTTTCGATTTTCACAAAAAAAAAACGAAAAAATACAACATGCAAGGATAGTATCTTACTCAAATCGATTTTTTTTTTAATCCGGTGAGCGGGGTCGTTTCTCGCGTTCATCAAGTCGAGAGGGAGAGAGCCGAGAGAGGAGAGCGGCGGCGGTTTTGAGCGAGGCTAGGGTTGGTTTCTCTGACCGAGATGAGGAACGAGAGAAGAGGCGGCGGTTTCGATTTGGGGGCTAGGGTTTCGGGCGGCTAGATTTCTCTGGAGAAGATGAGGACGAGAGGGAGAAAGGCTAGGTTTTTTTTTTCTCTGGGAGCGAAGAAGAGAGGAAAGGAATCGATAAAGAAAAATGAGAGGGAGATGAGAGAGAGGGCGGCCGCCGCTTAGGGTTAGAGCAGATTAGGGTTTTGCTAAGAGAAGGTTATATACCCTGTTATTTGAAATGGCAAAAATGCCCTTAGGGTTTCCTCAATATTACCCCTCCCTACCACCGTGTTTTCGTTCATTTACCAAGATACCCTTCTTCATTCGAACTCGTGTTGTGTGGCACGCACGTGAATAAATAGCGGCAGTCATACCAGTTGGGCTGCCGGCCCATCGTGTGTTAAATTAACCATCCCGCTTAAGTTTATTTGTTTATAGTTCTTAATACGAAACGGCAAATACGGATTAAGTTTATCTCGTTACTTTTCCAATACGAGTTAAGCCTCTCCCTAATAACTTAAATTATTATATTCTCTTTTCATAATTTCATAAGTAATCAAATTAAATTTTATTAACATAAATTATAATACGAAAATCACGATCAGTGGAACGTGATGAAAATGTCACAATTAAACTATCAAAGTTCAAACGAACTACGTGGACTTTGATCCCGTCTAACGGGTACGTAGGCAACCGATAAGGTTCGAGTCCAACTAACCAATTAACTTTATATTTTAAATTTTTATGTCAGTAAGCGTATGATCAAATTACAACTAATACGATTTAATCTCTTTAGTGGTCTGGTAAGACCCTAAAAATACCTAAAAAACCTAATGATAAATTAATACGATAAAATCATTAAATGGTCCAGTGGGACCCTAAAATAACAAAAACATTACTAAAAATACACCCTGAGTGGTAAGCACAGTGTTGATCTGACCTGTACCAATTTGGATATGGAGGTTTCATTGGCTCACATGGTATTGGGGAAATTAGGTGAGTCTGAATTAGTAAACTAATCAGTAAACTCTATCTTTTAATTTAATTGAATGCAAGGGACGGTTGCGACAGTTGGCGACTCCGCTGGGGACTTCGAGAGTCGAGCTACATAATTAAGTTCGATAAGTTTTCTATTTTCCTATCAAATGTTGGGTGTTTACTTTCTTATTTGCGCAATTATATTTTCGCAATTTAATTCTGCATTCATGCATAAAAGCTCTATACCCGAGCTATCCTATTAGAAACGGAAAAGGAGTACCGTGACTTTCACAGTGGTGGTAGTCACGCAAAACTTTCCAACCAAGTTGAACTCAGATCCGAGGATGATCTTGAGGTATCCAACCAGTTCGTAAGGGCTATGGTAGGATACAACTTGGGAGCCAAATCCTTAGGAATTCCTCTGCCAGCATATAGTAAGCATCGAGGCCTCCCTAAACCGTCCAAAATAATCCCTAAACAACCCTAGAACCGCGTCATTATGCCCTCTGAAAGCCCTAAGTTTTTCCCAAATAGGGTTATGTTCTTATTATCTATATGTATGTTTTCTACTGACGTGATAATTTGTGGTATGTTTTACCAATCGCGATATATTTATTTGTGAGAACAATGTGAATTTTTCTTTTCTTCTTTTTAAAAAAAAAAAGAAACTCATAAGCATCATTTTGGGTTTACGCTTATGCATTCAAAATAAATCATGTGGACATTTTCAAAATGCACGTGCATCCAATGGATCATCTGTGCATCTGTGCATCGCATAAGCATCATACATACTCTCCATCGTTCATTCAAGTCAATTTAATAAAAGTAATTGGTCAGGGTTCCTTAAAATTGCTCGTCCACAAGGAAAAAATCAAGACTTCAAGTACTTAACTAGATCCAAGCTCGAGGTCGTCATGGATGCATTTCAAAAAGAGTTGAACGACATCAAAGGAAAGCTGACCGGGTTTGACGAGAAGCTAGTGGGGTTCGATGAGAAACTAACGGGCTTCGATGAGATGAAAAGCCAGCTCAACACAATAGTGAGCATATTGTCCAGAAAAGGGAAGGAGGTTGCAACGAACGAGGAAGAAATCGTATTTGACGACGACGATCACTATGAGCAACCTCAGGGAAACGTCTCAGGTAGTAAATTCATTCTCATACCTTCGAAGAACACAGGTGAAAAAGGTGATATTGGGTCATCAAAGCATGACAAATCTGGAGAACCCGAGAAGCAAGAGGAACATAAAATTGAAGCTATGCTAGAAGAAAGATTAGAACACATGAATGAACGAATAAGAAGCATAGAAGGAGTTGAGTCGTACGAGCCTATGGATGCATCAAAACTATGTCTAGTCCCAGATGTCGTGATTCCTCACAAATTTCAAATGCCAGAATTTGAAAGATACAATGGCACCACTTGCCCAAAAAGTCATCTGGTCATGTACTGTAACAAAATGGCCAACCATATTCGAGATGAAAGGCTAATGGTACATTGCTTCCAAAACAGCCTGAGTAGTTCTGCCCTACGATGGTATATGCAACTAGAGAAAACAAAAGTGAGAAGATGGCAAGACCTCGCTGATGCATTTATGAGGCATTACAAGCATAACCAGGATCTGGCTCCAGACCGAGAAGATCTGAGGAATATGGAAAAGAATGAGAAAGAGTCTTTCAGAGAATATGCTCAAAGGTGGAGAGAGAAAGCTGCAGATGTTCAACCTCCTCTGTCAGAAAAAGAGATGGTGTCAATCTTCTTCGGAACACTAAGGGCTCCATACTACAACAACATGGTCGGAATTACCACAACCAACTTTGCGGATCTGCTTGTAATCGGAGAGCGAATAGAAAAGGGTTTGAAGCAAGGTCGGATGGAAACCCCAGAAGCCTCTAAGAAACCACACCAAGCCCGAAGAGGAGAAGCAGATGTCCATTATGCTCAAACAGAATTACCCAGAGGAAGAAGGTGGGATCATCAACCTCAAGCCAATCAAGCCCATCCATGTGTTGCAAATGCTGCAATAATTAATCAACGTCCAAATTTTCCTACTCAACGAGCCATCCAGAGCCCGACACGAGTCGCACCACCACCAAATAACCAAAACCAGAATAATTATGAGAGGTTCAGGAAACCCATCCAAATCGATCCTATTCCTATCACATACACTGAACTTTTTCCTCAGCTAATTCAAGGTAACCTAATCTCCCCAATACCATGTGAACCTATGAAACCTCCTTATCCAAACTGGTTCAAAACAGACCAGCATTGTGCTTACCACTCGGGAGTAGCAGGACACTCAACTGAGGATTGCAGATCGCTCAAGATCAAGGTCCAACAAATTATGAATACTGGCTGGTTAAAGTTTGATGATGAGCCAAAGCGTCCGGATGTCAACAATAACCCACTGCCAACTCATGGGAATTAGTAGATATACTACAAGGCAAAGCTCGATTTAAGGATGATGTTGATCCTACCTAGTAAATAAAATATCGAGATAATTTGCTTTAGCAAAATATGTATCACTTCTGCTTTTATCATAATAAATAAAAGGTCTTCCATGTTTCGACCTCTTTGGAGCATTGTGTGACCACTATCGATCTAAATTTAAGAGTTTGCATCAATGTTTTTATCAAAATCATGAATGCCACTTCGGATCCTTTTCTTTTTAAAACGGATTTATCTTCTACAAAAATGAAAGCCATCAAAATCCAGTTTTATTTTCAAGCTAAGCCATGAGATTGTCATGCCAAGAAAATGTGAGCACCCCACTGGTGCTGAGATTTGGGACACTCCACTGGCGTCGAGCAATTATCAACACCATGCTACTGTCCTAATTTTGAACACCCACTGGTGTTACGAGTGTACTTGTTTTGCTAAAATCGAGAGGTGAACACCCTACTGGTGTCCATGAATTATGTGAGCTAATAGTCAAAGGGTGTAATGAGTATACGACATCATGCTATTTGTAGAAACTCGTCACCATTGTAGTAGACTTTTGCCAACAAATTGAGGTTTAGTTTGCGTGAAGTCAAATAGCCAAATCCCGATGCACGGGGAGCCTAACATTACTATCATAGCAAGTAAATCCTCACAGAGTCTCTTGACTAGAATATCGAGGAAGATCAAGGACATAATTTATCATGCAAAGGATTCACACGCAGGAAGTAGTCATGTCCTCGATTCAGGAGCTTACATCCTTATAAGCGGAAAGCGTCCATTAAACTCACACGTCAAAGTCTAATTGTGAGGTATTTGCGCAATACTGGCAAGCAAACGGTGTCCGCATCCCCACTTTTACCAAAAATACCCACTAGTTATTGAGAAGTGGCACTCACATCATCAATCATCAAGAAGACACTCTACCTTTCGATAATCGTCCTACCAATTGAAATTGCTAGATCAGGGAAAATGTGAAACTTATATGGGGGCATGACAGAGTCAAGTAAGTCCCACACGCAAAAAAAAAAAAAAAGAGCAAAGAGCAAAGAAAAAAAAGACAAAAGAAAAACAAACAAAGTGTCATGGGACTTACAATCTGGGTGCCCCCGGTTTAGCATTTGAAGTACCAAATACCTGCACCAAGCCAAAGTCTTGCCCGATCAATCTCAAATACAACAAGAAGGACCTTCAAACAGTAAACTGTGATGATAAGAAAGTCGTTCTAGCCAAAACCCATCATCCAAGGTACTCATCATTTTGAGAGAAAGCCAGAAGCTGAAAATCCACAACATTCAACATTTAGAGGCCAAACAAGGACCTCGACAAGTCTCAAGCCAGATTGCATTCACGAAAATCACAGCCTCGGCTAGTGAAAAATACTGGGGGGCAAATCCAGCTGAGAATACATTCTGAGAAAATCCACCAGTATTTTCGAACAAGACTTTGTCAGCAAAAAGATCCAGATAATAAGTGGTTCTTAATCCATCAAGTCAATCCCATACTTTGGGGGCAAATCCAAAATCCCTCTACAAGAAGCTTTATTCAGATATTGTTGATAAACTACACCTCAAGAACAAGGAGACTCGTATCCTCAAAGTCATATCGGATAAAGGCCTCTTTCATGGGAAACTAAAAACGTCTGTGACGAAGCCATATGGAGGTCTCCTAAATCAATCATACCAAGGGCTTCCATATTTGAGTAAATCATCACAAGGAACACATTTGGCCACAACATAAAGCCGACATCTCAAGGTGACCAGAATCTTAATGGTAGCTGAAGTGTCGTACACTCAAATCACCTATAGGAATGAGTGATGAGCGAAATCCAAAGCGGGAGTGAGAGCGAGCAAAATCAAAAGCAAGAGTGAGAGCGAGGGCGTACTGATATTCTCATGACTTGGCTTACATTTCTCTTAGAAAACCAAATTTGGCAACATGACAACTACCACACAAAAACGGTTTTCTCCAATTTGCACACACTTCTCAAAAGGCAAAGTCTTGACATGGCTTTCAATTTTAATTCTCTAATAAACGTTTTTCAAACATTTTTGCTTTCGTCTTAAGTAAAGATTGATATAGTCACTCTTTGTTCCGAAAAATAGAAAGTGAGTAACGGATCTTCGGGGGCAAAATTGGTGCATCATGGAAGAAGGGGAAGTCTGAATACCCAAGAATCGGATTAATCAGCTTTTCACGCATGAGTTGATGGAAAAATCTCAAGGAGTCTGAAAACATTCAGATCTCATCAAGCCAACCAGCCAATCTATTATGCTTCAAATGCATAGCAAGAAAGAAGTCCTATTATACCGCACTGACTGATAATTATATGACTCTGAAACATGTGGCCCATACCTGGCCGAGAAGAAGGATGAAGAGCATACATCATCACTTCACCATACAAAGTATATCCTCACACAACTACCACCACAAAGATAAATTTCAAGAGAGCAAGCTGAAAGTCTCTCCAACCTAAGCAAAACCTGAGGATCAAGTTAAACAAAAGGAAATGGCAGTTCCTAGTAGATGAGCAATTTAAAGGAACCCCGAGCAAAAACAAAACAACATATTTGCATACCAATTGTTTAATGCATCATACCATCTTTATCACTCAACATTCAAGACTTCATCATGACATATCACACTATCGTGTTCAAATCATTTCGATACTCACTACATAACATCATTATACACCAAAGTGACTTGCTATGCATCACAAACATCCCTAAATTTCTTAAATATTTGTATAAGAGCACGAGAAAACTTTTCATGCGAAATACCACTACGCACTTACATATTTTCTCATTGTTCTATTTGATTTCTATCATAGACAATTTGAGTACAATATCCTTTGCAAAATTGTTAGTTTGATCTTTATCACTAACATTTTCTCATTGTTCTATTTGATTTCTATCATAGACAATTTGAGTACAATATCCTTTACAAAATTGTTAGTTTGATCTTTATCACTAACATTTTCTCATTGTTCTATTTGATTTCTATCATAGACAATTTGAGTACAATATCCTTTACAAAATTGTTAGTTTGATCTTTATCACTAACATTTTCCTCATTGTTCTATTTGATTTCTATCATAGACAATTTGAGTACAATATCATTTACCAAATCGTTAGCTTGATCTTTATCGCTAACGCTTTCCTCATTGTGCTATTTGATTTCTATCATAGACAATTTGAGTAAATCTCCTTACGAAATTGTTAGTTTGATATTTATCACTAACATCTTCTCATCGCTTGATTCGATTCTTATAGCGAGCAATTTGAGTACAATGTCCCTTGCAAAATTGTTAGTTTGATCTTTATCACTGACATCTTCCTCATTGTTTGATTTGATTTTTGTCACAAACAATTTGAGTACATCGTCCTTATAAAATGATTAGCTTGACGCTATCGCTGTCATTCTACCATTGATTAGTTTGATTTCTACCACGGACAACTTGAGTACATCGTTGTTGCAACACTGTTAGCTTGATTTTATCGCTAGCACTTATACCGATGTTCATCAAAATTTATGTCACAGACGACCTGATTATATCATTGTTACAAAATGGTTAGCTTGATTTCATCGCTAACATGTTTCAAAATCGATCGATTTGTTTCTATCACAAACAAACTTGAGTATATTGTTGTTAGTTGTTACGGAATGGCCAGTTTGATTTCATCACTGCCATTTTCTTACACAATTTGGTTACCATCATCTTAACAATATAGATACGTCACTATTACCAAGCATCAACTCAATTTCTACTTCTAAGAGTTTCACTTTACAAAATGTGGTGTCTTTCTAGAAACTTTGTATAACTCTTTATACAAAGAGATATACAAAGGGGGGCAACTGTAGACACCACATTTTGTCCGGGCACACACTACACTTAAAATTCGAAAGGAGAAAATCGATATTGATAGATCAAACAAAAGGTTCAAAATAATCGATTGAGATTGCAGTGGCAAGTCAATTACTTCCAAGTTCACTTAATGTAATTCTAATATCAATTTGGTTGAAACTAGCAATAATTTGGTTAAGACTAGCAGTGGCAAGTCAATATGAACCAATGATTACCATTTTCCGCTCATATACAATCCAAGAATCAATTCGAATGGACACGAGGATAAGTACTATTTTGAAGCTTAATACGCTTTAGGTTTGGGTTTGAATTTGAGCATTGGTTTACAATGCATAGAAGAAAAGAACAAATCAATAAATACAAAAAACATACTTCGCCATTTTATTTCTTCCATGATACATTTGATCGAGAATTACATAGATAACAAATGAAAGATAGTAATTAAGTAGACCGTCACAAATTATACATATGCAATTAAAAGACCACTCCTTTATAAACCGTGGACCTGCAACAGAAGAGAAGAACTAGTCAGTTCTCAAACCAATATACCAGGTCCACAATTTAAGCCCAAACCAAAGTAGTTCAAGTCCAAGAAGTATAAAGCCAGTTTCTTTTCAAGCCCAAACATAAATCAGATCGGACCCAACTCGGCCCAAACCCGACAGGCCCAACTTGGCCAACTGGTTCGATCCAGAGACCAGCCCAATAAACCGACCTTAACCAAATCGGTCTAACCAAATCCTATCCACAACCGACCAGGCACACTCTTCAAAGTCGAAATAAAAAAATGGACGAATCATATGGCGACACGTGGCGGTTTGGTTTGCTATAAATGAGCTCTTGTGGCTCTTTGTTGAGGGAGGACGGTTTTGGAGAAGAAAAACACAGGAAAAAAAATAAAAACATCCACATTACAAAGGGATCATCTTTTTTGTTCTTGCCCTTGGCCGAAGTTCAGTGGGGAAACTGTGAAATTGAAGGAGCAGATTTGAAGATCGTTGTAGGGAAAGGCCATTCTTAGGCCTTGATCCAGGTTGGTACTTGTATCAACTTCATTTTGTCAAATTATACAGTCCGTTATGACGTTATACAATCATCCATCTATTTGCATATTTATACTCTTTGAGTATTTTCCAATACAAGCTATGTGATGGTCGAGTATTTTCCAATACTTTTTGGGAGCCCTAAATCGGTACTACTTAAGTCGATAATTTTTATACGAGTTGGGTGTATTTTAGTAATAATTTGTAATTTTAGGGGTCCCACTGGACCATTTAATGATTTAATCATATTAGTTGTAATTTAATTATACGCCCACTGACGTAAAAATTTAAAGATAAAGTTAGTTGATTAATTGGACTCGAACCTTATCGGTTGCCTACGTACCCGTAAGACGGGATCAAAGTCCACGTAGTTCGCTAGAACTTTGATAATTTAATTGTAATCACGTTCCACTGATCATGATTTTCGTATTATAATTTTGTTAATAATAAAAATGCATTTAGATTAACATGAGGTTATGATGATAGATGCAAGTATTTTAGTTATTAGGAAGTATTGTGACGTATTGAAAAAAACGAGATAAACTTAATCCGCAATTCTACATTTCGTATTAAGGATTTTGAAGGAATAAAATTAAGCGGAAAGGTTAAATTGACGGATGATGGGCCAGCAGCCCAACTGGTTATGCTCCCAAGCATAGTGATGTTGTTGTTGGGGACGCGGGTTCGAAGTCCGCCAGCCTCATTTTTGTTTCGTCGCTTTTTGGTTTCAGAGAAAGGGGAGGGGCAATTTCGTAGTTTCACGAAAACGCGGTGGCAGGGCCGCGTAATAAGCTGAAAACCCGTGGGGCATTTTAGTCATTTTAAACGATGGGGTATATATAGTCTCTAAAAAAAACCCTAACCTATTAACCAAAATCGGCCGCCTCTCTCTCGTCTCTCTATCCTTCCACTTCTCTCTTCCTCTTCCAGAATCAGACCAAAACCTAGCCGCCTCCCTCTCTAACCCACGCCTCTCTCCCTCTCGTTCTCATCTTCTCCAGAGAACCCTAGCCGCCGCACTCATCCCTCTCTTCCCTCAATCCTCGTCTCTCTCTCTTGCTCAGAGAAAAGAAACCCAAACCCTAGCCTCGCTCAAGGCGGCCGCCGCCGCTCTCCCCTCTCGTCCCTCGATATGACGAAGGTCGCTAAAAAACGAGCGGGAGACCTTCGATCTAGGTAAGATCATTGCATGCAAGTTTGTTTTTTTATTTCTGGGTTTTTGAGCGAGATTCTAACCTTTTCTTGTTTTTCTTTCGGAGATCGATCCAAAACCGAGGAGGGGGCCTCGATTTGCCTTCTAATAATCTCGATCTATCATTTCTAGTTGGAACAGAGGTGGCGACGAGGAGGTTTTACCCTCTGGTAAGCCCTTTTCTACATGCATGTCCATTTCGTTCGATTTAGGTGATTTTATTTGGGGTTCGGCTAATACTTGTTTCATTTTCTTTTGTGTTTTGGATTTGATCGGCGGCGAGATCCTGCCGACCACGATCTTCGTCTAAAAAAAACAAAAGAAGGGTAGGTTTTCGACTCCTAAATTTATTTTAATCTCATTTTTATTATTAACAAAAATAATTAATTTAGTTCATTCTTTTTTGTAGGTTTGAAAGAGAATCCAGATCTGGGTAAGGCTCTTCAAACTTCAGATTTGGTATGACTAAGGATAATTAAACTAAATAAACGGATTATTATTGTTGATTTGGGATTGATTAGCAGATCTGTGGTTTGGAAATATGATGTATATGGTTATGATGACATCGGATTTTATGCTTTGCGGTTTAATCGATGGTTTTAGGTTAAACTATTAACACGCTAGGGTTTGCTGATAAGAAAAGGTTTTTTTAATAGAAAAGTAACTAACATAATTTTGGCGAGTATAACTCTCACCCTCTACATGTGATTTTGATAGAAAAGTGAACTAAATCCATTACCACTGCTTGTGATTTCGGGTAGGTTATGGACAATGATACTGCTACTGCATGTAATTTAATTCAAACATTTTTTTTGACTAATTTGGAAACTGATAAGAGTTTGTGAATCGAATATTATTGTCTTTATAGTTGCCATAGATCTGGATTTGATTTTGTTTATTGTGTATGATGATCTAGTGTTTATCAACTATTAATCTAAAAGTGAATATGACGACATAGTATAAGATTATAAGAGACTATCAATTGATGAGAAGAGTAAACAAGTGCTAAATTGGGAGAAGCTTAATGACATCACTACAAGCACATATTAAGAGTGCTTGGATATAAAGTGGATTGTAAAGTAAATTGCTTGAGTATAAATAGGCGAGCTGATGGATGATTATAATGATTGCAATGACTTGATTAAAAATGAAAGATGGAAGTTGATACTAGTACTAACCTGAATTTCTAGGCCTAAGAATGGCCTTTTCCTGAATCAATCTTCAAATTCGCTCCTTCAATCTCCAATGAACTTCGGCTAAGAGCCAGAACCAAAAACCGTTTGGAGTGTCAATATTTCTCTTTTTTTGTAGAGTTTTTTCTTCTTCCATTCGTCTCCCTCAACAGAGAGCCCAATGAGCTCATTTAATAGCAAAACTATCCGCCACGTGTCACATGATAATTTGCCGTTACTGAAGCTGAAACTAGCGTGCTTCCTTCTGATTGGTCGAATTTTATGGCTGAACCTTAACCCTCCACCTGCAAAGTCGGTTGCTGAGTGGCTGTGTTGGAGAGCTCCACCTTGCTTGGTCGGCTCTGACTTGTCAGGGTATGGATAGGGTTGGCATATGATTTCGGGCCGAGCTGGCCGAAATGGGCCTAGAGATGTTTGAGATTTGGTCTTCGTCTGGGCTCGAAATGGGCTTCTTCCAGTCTTTCACTTGGGCCAAACTGGGCTCTGATTCTTGGTACTGATTTATGGGCTTGACCTTGTTGACTTTGAATTCTAGCTTGGGCCTGTCTTGACTGATTTTCTTTGATTTTGCAGGCTGCTTTTGCTGGTCTGGGCTCCCCGGTTATGGGCCATGCTTGGATTCTTGATACGAGAATAGGAGTAGATTGTTTCCTTTCAACTTGTATCTTGTATTTGAGGATGATAGTTGTACAAATTGAAATTTCTTGTAATGTTTGATAATTGTGGCGATCTTTTATTTTTCTTTGTAGAGATATTCTTTTAGCCTTTACCATCGAGCTTTGAATAATTATTTAATACGAATCCCTAAACATGACCCATATCGCTCCTTGATTTGTTTTCATTAACCAAGTTTACTGTGCCACGCTTCTCGATTGAAAGTGGAGTTTGATGTTTCTATGATAGATATCAGACCGGACAAAATGTGGTGTCTACACACGTAACTGAAATTATTTTTTTTATTATTATTCATTTGAAACTTGTAGGTATTTTCGATGGCATGATTTTTTATGTTTTGGAATTTGGAGTTTCTCGTGGAATATTACAATTTTAGGAAAATTACCTTTTAGTACAAAAATTTGGTGGTATGCATATATAATTTTTGGTAGTCCAAAT